ACCCCGGCCCCCCCCCCCCCCCGCCCCCCCCCCCCCCCCGCCCCCCCCCCCCGCCCCCCCCCCCCCCCCCCCCCCCCCCCCCCCCCCCCCCCCCCCCCCCCCCCCAGCGAGGGAGCAAGGCTGGACTCAGACAACAACAGGCTGTTGGGGATAAAAAGGAGACGACAGGAAAGTCTTGGTCACTAAACGAGAAAGTGCCAAGAGATCTGGGCTCTCGGAGAAGGGAGGATGTAGCACATTATAAGATGGGCAGGCGAGGAAGAGAGCAAGGCAATGCGGCATCAGGCCCGGACTAGGGGATGACAGAATAAATACTAAAGGAGATGTTCAATACCACCTGGCCGTGATACCGAGCCATGGCACAGAAGCTTGCACACCCTGCGACGTTAACTTGCCGCATTGCCAGGTTCGCACTTGCAAGCCCATTCACGTCGAGTCTCCACTGAAGGGGCAGATCCTGCAATGCTGCCACATCCTAAAAGTAGCCTCGGAGTGTGTTCGCTTCAACGGCATCGGGGGCCCTCATGATCACGGATGTATCGGCGGCCATCAAGAGTTGCCGGTGGCTGCTAAGCTGCAATTGTGTGGTAGCAAATGCATCTGAGACCCAGCCGGAGCCAATGTGTGGCAGGCCGAAAATAAGCATCAAGTCTTCCCCAAATGGTTTGCTCTTCCACCCTCCCGCACGCGGCCTCCACGCATACGGGGGCCGGCTCAAATGGGACAGGAACCTGAAAATTGATGAGCCGAGCTATTAACTTGCGCAGCCAGGTTACATACATGCTGGCTCTATTGGAACCACTGGGAGCCCTTCTCCGGATCGGAGCGAGCATCCCCAAACTCACCAAAACGGGTGCCATCTGCCCCACATCAGCCGTGCGGCTGATGTGCCTTTCCCGGCAGATCTACCCCCGCCTCCGTGTCTAGTGTGGGCCTCTCTCTCTGCGTCCCATCGTAGGCCGTACATGCGCCTTAAAACGTACAGGTACCTTGGCGCACGTCCAAATTCATAAGCAGTAACAGCGACGAAAAGCCTCGAAATGAGAGAAAAACGGATCGGAGTGTGAAGAAAAATAGCAAGGGGGTGGGGGCCCAGGCATGGATCTCCAAATCTGTATTTTGGCTGATTGCGGCTTGGAGACGGAACATGGGAACCGACGAGCGTAAACAGCGGGCGGATGCGGTGTGCATGCCATGTAATATCCCAACCGCGGTAATTAGTTGTAGGTATAAATAAACCACATATGGGTTACGACGATGAGCTTGCGTAAGGCCCCAGGGCGACCATTTAGAGTGGTATGATGAGGCTTGATGGCTTGGCGGGGTTCGGCTATCTTACCATGTAAGCTCTAGTCATGCCGTTGCAGATCGCAAATGCTGCATGAGTATGCTCGCACATCTACGTATAGATCGGTGTACCTGCTTGGCATTGACCGAGTGGGTGGCTGGCTAGGCAGGGCGAAAAAGAAAAGAAGAACATGACCGAGATGCCCAACCTGCCATTGACGCACGTAATAAGTAAGCATAAAAACGGTTTTCGAGACAGAAAAATCGGGTTGTTTCAGTGAAGAATAACTAGAACCGATTAACACCCAGACTCTGATCTTGCAGATCCCCCTATACCCCGTAAGAAGTAAAAAGGAGAAAAAAAAGAAACAAATGACGATCGTCGTCATCCCTTGCAAAACCGCAGTGCATGGAAAGTGCTCCCAATATAAATGACTTTGCCGATGTACCGAAACTCCGCCTGCTCGCCGGCCGCTCTAGAGGGACTCGACACAAAACAAATATCTGTGTCTAGGACCAGTGGTAACGTGTCATGGATGGTCATCTTTCTGCCCACCAAAAATCCAGGCTCATGCCCGAGACTCCCTCCATGCATCTTCGATACTGTTCCCTGGATCGATCACCGCCGTGCCGTGGTTTCCGATGTTTGTGGGCTGCTGCCGGCTTGTGACACCGGTGTGGGCAATACTACTGTGCCGTTCACCATGGCAAAGTCGCCATTCCTTGCCGCTTCCACGGCTGCCTCTCTCGCCGCCTCTTCCTGAAGTTCCTTTATCCTCTCCTTCTGCTGGATACTCGACAATTCTTGCTTCCTCCTCGCCTCCTCTCGCATCTTCCTTACCTCCTCTGCCTGCCTTTCCGCCTCGGTTGGATGGATGGCCCCCTGCTGGTCGTCTCCCTTGCACCGTTCCCGCTCTAGCTTCATATCCATGATCATACTCAGCTCGGGGCAGTAGTCGAGGATGCTCTTTCGTTGTATGGGGTCGGCCCACACGCCGTCGGACAGTTGCGTTCCACCGTTGCGCACGTGGAACCCCATCGAGTTCTCCATGTAGACGTCCTCGACAGCCAATGCACCATCGGCCCCAGCGGCAACCTTTGCGCCCGGCAATACCCACAGGCGCTTCCCAAACCACTCGTCCTCGGGCTCGCTGTTGTTGTATCGCTGCTGAAAACCCAAGACTCGTTTGATCGCAGACACGCGACGTAGGGACAGTCCACCATTCCCCGAGAATCGGTCGTCGGGAGTCCTATGGCCCGGTTAGGCGTGGTCCAATACATTGGGCAGAAGAGGGGCGTGAAAGGAGCCTACCTCGGCGCACCAGCCCAGTGCCAATCCAGCCAATTGTTCAAGCTGTCGTCCGAGTTTGCGCACATGATGCTGTCGGCTTCGTACTTGAGAATCCACTCGACGCCGGGCAGGAACTCCTCGTAGAAGCGAATGTCAGTCAGGAGCCTGAAGACCATTTCCTTTGTGTCTATCTCCCACGGTTCCGGAAGGACCATCAAGTCCAGCTTGCCGATAACCTGCTGGTGCTTTGTTGCGTATGGCCTTCCCACGCTCACGACGCTTTTCTCCGAGCCGATGAAGAGGAATCGCCAGTCAGGCGGGACCACGGATATCATGTGGAGGATCTGGGGGACAAGGTGCGGCAAGGGTCTTGGCTCGATCAAGATGGCGAGCTTGGAAGCATTGTAGGCGTTACGGGGGTCTTCGCTGGTCTGATGCCAGTCGACCTTGATCGACGGTATCCTCTGCCGTGCCTCACCTAACCTCGATTTGAACTCGGCTCGTATCATGGGCTTGTAGTGAGGAAAGATCGAGGCGAGCCACCATCTTCGCAAGGAGGGAGACACGGTCAGCAAAACGCTCAAACGAATACTCCGAGGCGAGGCCGACTTACGTTATTGCTAGAGAGACGAATAAAAGGACTCTGGCTTTCGTGATCGCGAATATGCCGGGCGAATGCGAAGGAGAGGCGATAGCCATGGTGATGGAGGTTTATTCTCCACTAGGGAAAGACGAATCAAGGTTTGAGGCTCTGTCCCGAAGTCCCGACCGTCCGGCGATGTAATTCCTTGCCAGATTGAACCTGAGGAGGAAATGGTACACTGCGCTTCAACAGGGCATCATGCAGATGTCGTGTTCTCAGTCAGCGCTCGCCACCCATTCAGAGTTCGTCAACCATGTGAAGATGAGTGAGAAGCTGTTCACCCAGGGCGGTAAATTGTAGCGCTACAACTGATCAGGGAGGGGCGAGATCGCGAGCTAAGGGAGGATTCGTATAGCATCACGTCTACTGCTTGGCAGCGCGTTGGCAAACGAGGGAGGGCAGGGAACCTTCCCAGACCTCGAGGGAGGTACTCTTTGGTACCTGTGGAGTGCCCCTTATTTCGTGGTGGAATCCATGCTCGGGGCCCCACGGAAACTTCAGCCCTCCCCTCCCTCCCTTTGATCCCACCTTGTTCGGACTCATTTTGGCCGTCCCAGGTGGTCGGGAAACGAAATTGATGTAGTGCTTACATTGTACGTTCACTATGGACTTGTCCAACTTCTCTAAATACTATGCTATGCAGTTGGGAATTGTGAGTCGGCTTCAGGGCAGTGAACATGGAGACAAGCTACCGTGGCTACCTGAGTTACCTACATAGTAGGACGTCCCTCCCTAGATACCTGAACACTGGTAGTCGCATCACTGAACATACTGGCACGCAGACAACACTAGGTCCACTAAACATTTCCACTTTCTGGCTCCATGGCCCTGGCCCTTGTCATGCCAGTGGGGCCTGTCTTCTTTTTTAAACTTCGTATTTCTGCGCAAGCTTGATGCCATGTGCAATAATGATGCAGGCTCGGATCGCCCAGGCCGTTTCAGGACTTAATGCCAAGCCAAAGGAGCAATGTTATGGCTGGTCTGCCCAATCAAACCCGAACGGGAGTCCCATGCTTTTGGGCTGCCGGGGTTGCCTCCCCTATCGTGTGGGGCAACTCACGAACCCTTACTGCGCATCAGTGACCCCAAAGTACTTCGCCGGTACATACAGATGGAATTTTTGGTCGACACACAGATGGATCTTCGTACGATGTCTTTGGTCGCTTCTTCCCTGGATCCGACTGCGCGTAGCCTCTGTCTTATTTCTCGACGTACGAATCGAATACCTCCCTCGGTTTCGTCCCTTGCTTTGCCTGCCTCTTCGCTTTTGTCCTGAACTTGTCAGAACAGCCAGGACCTGTTACCCGTATTGCTAACCACCTACCACGATGCTATGACCGAAGGGAGCTCGCTTCTTCCCCTTCTAAAGTTGGTGCCCTCCAGCGAACCACCGCTGAAGACGCCCTAGATTTTGCGAGTCTAACAATCTACCAACTAGTTTCGAACGATAAACTGGCCTTGGGCTTTCATTCTTCCCATCATGGCTCTTCTTGAACACTTCCGTAATCACAGCCGTGTCCTGGACGATGTTACAATGAACGATGTATGGGACAAGGGAAAGGCCCTCACTTTGAGAGCCTGGGGGCGGTCGACACGGCGAATGCGCATATCTGGCGCCTTCATCATATTCCTGTAGGGCAACAAACTCTGGGCGCTGAAGGCACGAGTGGTGGCTGACCCAAACTCTCCAGCTCTCTCTCGCTCTATCTGTCATATCCCCAGTTGCAGAATGTAGAACTCAGTCTCCCGAGCGTCTCCCTCGATTACCACTACGAGCAGCAGGCGTCAAAATTCAACGAGTCCAAGGTCGCTCTATTGATCGAGAACCGTCCGTTCCCACTACTTGCGCCCCTGATGCTACACTTCATCAGTGTCGTCCCGCCGGACTGGCGCTTCCGATTCATGGGCTCCGTCGAGAGCGTGGAACACATCAATAAAAGCATGGCGATCCGGGAGCAAGTTGCTGCCGGTAAACTCGACCTGACGTACATCCCTGCCAACATGAGCACCGGATCGCAAGAGGAGATTTCGCGCTTCTTGACCAACCTGTGGCTCTACGAGGTTGTTTTGCAGCCCGCCGAGTGGTTGCTCGTCTTTCAAACCGACAGCATTCTGTGCGCCAACAGCCACCAGAGCCTTAATGACTACCTCGAGTTCGACTGGGTTGGCGCGCCGTGGAATCCCAGGGGCCGGTTCGGTGGCAACGGTGGTCTGTCGCTACGCCGCGTCAGCGCCATCATTGACGTCCTACGCAATCAGCAGCGCGTCGACGGCTCCGAGCCCGAGGATGTGTGGCTGACGGACCGGCTCGGCCACCGGCCGGGATCGACACTCGCAAACGGGACCGTCTCGACAAGCTTCTCCGGCGAGGCGCATTCAGGCAAGCCCATCCGTCCCGATGCGGACAGCAAGAACATCTCAGCCATCGCCCATAAGGGGCTGTACAATACCACATTGGACACGGTGGATCCCGACGATTACGTCGAGGGGATCGACGAGTGGCGCAACGGCTTCTACGAGCCCATGGGCTACCACACGGGCGGCAGCGGCCGGACGCTCCACGGCGGCATCTGGGGCACCCCCGAGCGGCGCAAGCATATCTGGGAGTACTGCCCCGAGGTCAAGATGACGCTGCGGATGGACGTGGCCCAGTACGTGCCCGGAAACTGCGGTTCGAACTGGAAGCGTTGGGACATGGGTGACGAGGGCGCAGAGACCGGCGCCGAAGCCGCTAGCTCCGAGGATCTCGGCCATGGTACGGAGATCATCGACGGGGAGGAGTACCCGTTGCTGCCGGAGAACCTTACGCCGTGGTGAAATGGCGTCCTACTGGAGGTGGAGGTGCAAAAAAGAAAAAGAAAACTTATTGTAACATAAGTCTAGATTTGGTTCGCGCGTCTTGCGCAGCATTGGAGCATGGGAGTTACATTGGGCGCTTTTATACCACTTTTAATTACACGCACAACCGGGAGAGGAGCGAGGCGCCGACGGGGGATTTCAAGGCCAGCATCGAGGAGCCGATTCGCGTGGGAAGGCGCTGAGAATTTCAAGGAAGAGGATGATATCCTTAGGTGTACAGTACCAAGCGTGTTCTCCCGCTTGAGATGGCTCGAGAGGGGCACGGGGGAGAAATGGAATGGCAAGGGGTCAAAAACAGAGAAATCAATCACTCCACGTACGTTGATAACCCACCTCTTATCATAGCATCCTCTTAAGCAAAGGCCATGCGGCGTCATCTCAGTAAAAAGCACACCTGGTAGTTACCCAGGTGAATCGTCCTTGGCAGTGGAGTTATCCAGCCTTTCGGTGCATCGCCAAGCTTTTCCGACACACACACAACCCGCGGCCCGGTGTATGTACATACATATAGGGGCGGGCGAGCCCCGATATATTGACGCAGGCAATATATGCACTGCAACCACCACGGCGACCATGACACCTCCTTCCCAGCAAACCTGGGAGCGTTACTTTGTCCCGCCAGATTTTCCCGTGTTTATTGCTCTTGCGTCACTAGTGGTCGGTCATTTACGCTGATCACGAGGGGTGAAAAGGGGAGGAAGCAAAAGAAAGGCAACGTTGACTCGGCAGGTGGGATGTACAAGAAGGGCCAAGGCGTTTCTTTCCCCCTCTCCCTTCTCCCGCAACATACCCCGAAGTCTTACAGGGAGAGGCTGGTAGACGACTTTTTATTTCCCAAGGGGCGACGATGGTATGTAACGACGCTTATTTCGTGACAGAGGTCTTCATAACCCTTGGTTCATTTTCAAGCCTCAGGTCTTCAATGGGGAGCGAGGAGCGGAAAGCCCCTTGGCGACTGGAATTCATTTTTCCGTCGAGGCGCGCCAAAGAATGCATCTGCTAGAAATACAACAATTCTAAATGACTGAAACACCACCGCCACAGCGTGCCCCGCGTTGGAATGAGCATACATCCCAATTCCATCCCAGCCCAATCTCCTCGCTTCATTATCTTTATGTGTGTGTGTGGTGCATACAGTAGTACCCAGGTAGGCAGCCGAAAGTCTAGCCCCCGACCATATGGCCGACCGCACCAGCGAGATCAGCAAACAGGACCCCCTTGAAGACCGCCTCCCCCATCTCCTCCCCCCAGTGGCCCGCCTGCTCCAGGCGCTCCTTCCAAGCCGCCTTCTGGGAGGCGGGCAGGTCGCCCCACTCCCTCGCGTCGCCATACCTCTCGGCATCATGCGCGTCGACCCTGACCTCGGCCCCCTCCGCGCTCAGCACAACCGCATCTCCGTCCCCACCGCGCCGCGCCGACAGCCCGGTAAGGAACTCCCCCGCCCCTCCCTGTGCACCAGCGGCGGCGACTCCTCCTCCTCCTCCTCCGCGCATCGGCGACTGCCATGTCGCGGGGACGACGCGGCGGGCGCCGACGACGGGGCCCGACAGGCCCCGCACCTCCAGCACGCCCTGCAGCAGCGCAGCGAGCAGGCAGACGACGACGGCGGTGACGACGAGCAGGGCGGCCGGGCTGGGGCCGTGGGACTTGAGGGCGATGACGTACCTCTGCGGGCGCGGGGGCCCGCCGCGGCGGGCCGACGCCGACTTGTCGGGCAGGCGGCGGAGGGGGAGGGCGTGCACGACTACCGTGTTGCCCATTGACCCGATGCTCGCGAGCTTGAGGGTGGGTGCCGCGCGCGACGTGCCTGACTTGGGGGGGATGAAGTGGCTGAATGCCAGGCCTGAGATGGGGCTGGGGTGGACTGCCTTGAGGGTGGTGATGGGGTGGAGGTTGGCCATCAGGCCGATGTCGCCGAGGGTCTGGTAGTCCATTGTGTACAAGGAGACTGAATAGTCCTGGCCGGCGACGGCGATGGCGAATTGGGTGTTGCCTTGCGGTGCCGAGGGTGTGGATGGCGGGGAGAGGTTCCGCACCGCGAGGCCCGTTGCGCGTGTCACGTTCTTCGGGAGGACGACGGAAGCGGCGAGCCGCGCTTTGGCTTGGTCGGAATTGGCTGGGAGGCGGAAGCCGTGGAGGATGGCGCCGCCAGCTTTGGGAAGGTTGGAGACCGTCATGACGGAATGCGACGTCAGGTACCTGACCGAGCGGAACGACGGACGGATCTTGGAACCAATGGCCTCGTCTTGGGTCATCTCGTAGACGGGAGATGGATCGTGGCAGGTCTTCTTCCCAATGTCCATGACGTGGAGCTCGTAGTCGTCGCAGTAGACCAGCTGCCAGGCATCGTCACCCACCTGGGTGATATCCAAATCCATGGCTTCCTTTGACAGCTCCAGCTTGCCTCTGAGCTTCGGCCCAAGGCTTCCGGTCGTTGAGACATCGAATACTGCGATATCGCCACTCTTGGAGAGCCCTGTCGCGCCTGTTGCAGCTGCGCCGACCTGGTGAGTCGTCTCGGAGGTCGTCGGTGATAGCCTGAGCAGCCTCTGATAGGTGGAAGCTTCTTTGGAGCTGAAGAAGGAAGAGCGCGACAGCTCTGCAATCTTTGGCCCAGTCGCGGATTTCGCCTTGGAAGCCTGGTCAACCCCAAACACTCTGAAGTGCTCGTTCTTGCCCTTTGCAATGTCCTCCTCGCTCGAATTAATGCCCGCATAGACTAGTGTCGTTCTGCCTTTCCGCTGGCCGGCTGCGAGCGTCGTGACGCTATCCTCATCTCTGCTGAGCTCAATCTCGGAACTGAGCCGAATCTCGTTATTGGAGGTGTTGAGAACACTCTGTGATGCATACCAGTGAGCGACCTGTCCTGTAGAAAAAGATGCATGCTTTCCATATTTCCTTACAATTGCGTTCCCGACTCCTGTCCGGCTAGCGCCACCTCCGCCTCCGCATATAAGCCGGTCCGCGTCCAGGGGGTCGAAATCGCATGCGTAGAGGCCGTACTTGAGCGTGAGCTTGGCTGAGGGTATGACGGGCGCCATGGCTGGAAGTTGGCCTAGGGGTCGGAATTAATGTAATCAAGTGGAAAATCAGAGTCGTCGTGCCAAAGTCATGATTCGTTCTTGCGAGGGGCGTTTCTAATATATTTATAAGTACAGTAAACCTTCGGTGCTCAGTCCCGAGGTAAGATAGGTTGGGCAGGTAGGTCATGAAGCGCAAGGCCAGGTATTCCACATGTCCTTTTCTAGTAGCGAATCAGATGCCACGACTGTGACGCACTGTCGCCGTAGCCTCGCCGGACCTACCAGCTGACGGGGGGTGGGTCTACTAAAGCCTAGCCCATTTTGATTCCAATTAGGTGCCAGAAGGACGAGTTACTCAGAATAGCTTCAGACACGGTCTCCTCACCATTTATTACTGGTAGCTATGGATCATCTCGCCTATCTCGCCGCCATGTTTACATGGATGCTTTTGACGTTGCAGTACGGGGCAAGACCCGCCTCTCCAAGCTCGCGACCTATACCCGACTGCTTGACGCCTCCGAATGGGATTCTGTAATCCGAGTCGTTGCTGCTATTGACCCAGACCATTCCCGCTTCTATTTCGCGAGCCACCCTGTGAGCTCGGGTCAGGTCCCGGGTGAAGAGCGCGGCACCGAGGCCGTATGCCGTGTCATTCGCCATCTCAATGGCCTCCTCCTCCGTCCGGAAGGAGACGATGGCAACGCAAGGCCCGAAAATCTCCTCCCGGTAGATCCTCATGCTCGTCTTCACATTCGTAAACACGGTCGGGGCGATAAAGAACCCTTTCCCCTTCTGCGGCACAGGCTTGCCGCCCATCAAGACGGTTGCGCCTTCATCCTTCCCGGACTTGATGTAGCTCAGCACTCGCTCGTACTGTGCTCTTGTCACCTGAGGCCCTTGAAATGTGCTTTCCTCGAATGGGTCGCCGAGGACCGAAAGCTTATCTACTGCGGCCTTGAACTTTGAAATGAAGTTGTCGTAAACCTTCTCGTGAACCAAGAGCCGCGATGTTGCTGTACATATCTGTCCCTGGTTGCTCATGATCCCTCCGTGTGACCACGTTGCTGCAAGGTCCAGGTCTGCGTCCTCGAACACGATGAGTGGCGATTTCCCTCCCGTCTCCAGGGTAATGTTCTTCATGGTTGAGGCTGCCATCTTCATGATCTCCTTGCCCGTCGCCGTGCTGCCGGTGAAGGCAATCTTGTCGACACCCACATGCTGTACCAGGGCCGATCCCGCCTCCCTGCCATGGCCATTGATAATGTTAACAACTCCGGGAGGAAAGCCGGCTTCTTTGATCAGCTTGGCTATGTATAGCATGGAGAGGGGTGTCTGTTCAGCTAGCTTCAGCACGACAGTGTTGCCGCAGCACAGTGCAGGACCGAGCTTCCAGGCAGCCATGTCGAGCGGGTAGTTCCAAGGGATGATCTGGCCACACACGCCGAGGGGTTCCTTGACGGTGTAGGCCAACTTTGTTGGGCCGACATCGATGACCTGGCCAAAGTTCTTGTCGGCGTAGCCAGCGTAGTACCTGAGGACGTTTTGGAACTCGGTCACATTATCGTTGAGGGCTACGAAATACGGCTTCCCGTTGTCAAGACACTCGATGGTTGCGAGGATCTCGGCATTCTTGCCGACGAGGTCCGCGAGCTTTGTCATAAGAGCCCCGCGCTCAGTGCCGCTGAGGAGTTTCCATGACTTGTGTTTGAAGGCCTTGCGGGCAGCGGAAACCGCCTTATCAACGTCATCGGCTGTTGCAGCATGCACGGAGCAAATCTCCTCTTCGGTCCTGTTGGTCAATGTTAGCCGTAGACCATGTTTTGCATACGCCTTGACCTGGCGGCTACGAACGTAGGGTTGATGGAAGCTATCTTCTGCTCATTGGCACTCTTGACAAATTCATTATTGATGAAGAGGCCTAGAGGCTGCATCCACTTCTTCCCGTTTGGGGCAGTGAGCTCAACCTCCATTTTGGACCTAGCCGGTCGGACACTCGATGTCAGGAAGGACCTGCGGACGAACTGGAGTTGTGGGATACTTGAGACTGCAGAGGGCCTGAAGGAAGCTTGAAGTTTGGAGGATGAGACAATCCGGCGAGAGAGAATGATGGACATTTTGAGCTTCTCTACCCCTCTCCATCTATCAATGCCAGAGCGACTCGTTACACAAGTGAGGCACCAATGACATCTGAAGCTTAATACTCAGGCCAATTAAGCTTTTGAGGAGATGAGCAGAGAGGAAGCAGCTGAGATAGTTGGTTTTGCATTCCTTAGCAGTAACTGAGGGCTGCGATGTTGATATTGGGGAACTTCGGATACATGCTTCCAAGACGGGACTCTTAGAGCTAAAAGTGTGGAGAAATTGGTGCGGAGGGTCCTTCTAGAACTAACATTGTGCCCGTATATCTGCATCATCAATGCTTCTTCTACCAATAATACGAATTTCATGAAAGCACATGCCACTAGGTCACAGCAGTGAGCAGACAAAACTTAGTCTGCAAAGCAAAACTGGTGAACACGAGTTAATTTGTACAGTGTACGTGTAGGTACACCCCTACCAGTCCCTGGTTCGCAGTGGTGGAGTTAGTCTCGGGCTAAGAGTAAAGTGCCGCCTGCAGTTGGTCCGTGCGCTTCTATACCCTCAACTAAGGTCCGCATCCTGTGACGACGCTACGTAATCTTGCCTTGGCCCCTGCCTCCTGGATTGATCAACTTCGCGACATGAGCCGTCAAATGTCCGTTTGCTTTCCCGTGGCATACGATCCCGAAAATCGCCCAAAATGATGGTAGCCGCTAGCTCCGGGTCGCCGGTGGGCTCGGGAGTGTTTGCTGCTGTGGCGCTGCTTGCCATCTCCTTAATCGTCCTCCTCATCCTGCGGTACTATCTTCCACTGCGAACCACCCCCGGCTACCTCCTGGTCCCCGTCTTCTTTGCCCTTTGGTTGCCCGCCTGCATTGTCATTCTCATGCCCATAGACCTGGCGTCGAGCGCGAGGATTGACGACGAAGCACAAAGAGGGATATGGTTGCCAGACCGGGTTCTGCTGGTTTCGTGGAGGATAACATACTGGCTGACGTTTGTGTTGACATGGTAGGCACTATGCGCCATCCAATTCCTTGTCGCAACCGTCTGGCTAATGAGATTCCAGGTTTATCTTACCGATCCTCGCCGAGTATTCCGACTCAGGACACCGCGAACCGAAGGACAAAGTTCTTTACGCGCTTCGCGAAAATGCCCAATATCACGTCGTCGTCTTTGGCTCCGGGCTCATTGGGTTGATTTACGTTTTTATTTCCTACGGCATCTCCTTCCCGTCTCTCAAGGGTCTGGTCATGGCCCTCGCCTACTGTTGGGGTTTGGCTCTGGCGATATATCTGATGGGACATGGCCTGGTTGCGATTCCCCGTCGGCTCTTCCGAAATGCGAGCATCAGCGGGAGGCTTCGCCGTATCCAGGGACAGGCTCCGAGACTGTACGAAAAGTTGGAGGACGCCGAGATGGCTCTGGAGGACGTCGAGATACAGGTTTCCGAACTCAGTCGGAGAAAGGTTGGAAGCGCCAAAGACTTCCGGGACTGGATTGAGGAACTTGTCGACCTGGCCAACTTGCCCGAGTCGCATCCTCGACCGGGAACCCTTCGAGGATCTTCGGGGGAGAGCCGGATCCTGCCCACCGTAATCACCGAGAAGTATATGGCAGACCTCACAAGGCAGCTGATGCGCACACGGCACGCGCGCTGTCGATACGCCGACGAATGGGATCGTCTTGTGCAGGATGCTGTGGAAACGCAAGCGATCCTGGATTCAGCAGCCTCAAAGAGTCTTGATTTTGGAGCAGCATCTCCCCATTCGGGCTTTTGGGACAGATTCAACGCCCTCAATCCTTATGCACGATACGTCCTACACTATCACATCATCCCTTATATTCGCATCCTTTTTGGAGTCTTCCTAAGCCTTGCCTCGGCCAGTATTGTCTGGTCAGAGCTGGTCAAGGCCGCCCTACCTGGCCTATCCGTTATCCGACTCACCGTCGTGCATCACTGGACCGGCGACAAGGGCCAGGTCGGCTTCGCGGGACAGGTCATTGCCGCCCTGTGGCTGCTCTACATGTGTGCCGCCGCCCTCACGTCTATCACCGAAGTGAAGGTATGGAGAGGGCGCGCCCTGGTTCGCCGCAACACGGCGCATGAGTCGGCATTCTGGTACGCCAGCCAAGTCGCGCGGCTGAGTATCCCTCTCAGCTACAACTTCATGACCTTCCTCTCCCCCGAGGTGTACAAGAAGACAACCTTTTTCCGCTTCCTTGGGAAGCTCATCACCATGACTACAGCGAGTACCTGGTTTGACTATCTCTTCCCCGTGCTCATCCTGGTCCCCGTCTGTGCCACCCTCTTCGGCTTCTACGGCAAGGTGAAGCGCTTCTTCGGCTTTGGCATGGACATCATCGACGACGAGGAGGACAACGAGAATGGCTATGGCACTGGTTCCTGGCGCGAAGGCCGCGAGCTTATCAAGCGCGAGCTGAACGGCACGCCGCTCCGTGGTCGGTCAGGCGAGACTAACGATCGTCGTGCCGGCCCCGCTGGTGCCCGAGCAGCGCCGATTCTTTCACTGCCTCGCGACAATGCCGAACCGTCGGCTTCGCTATTTGGCAGATCTCCGAATTCTCGGCCACTGGCAACTACCTCTGTCAGGAGGGCTGGCGCGCCATCATCGGTCGCGGCGTCGAGGACATTCCCGCGGGGGGAGCCGAGAGATCCGGAAGATGAGAATTTCTTCGAGGCGCTGGGCCATCGAATGAAGAACACGATCGATACCATTGAAACGCCTAAATGGCTTCAAGAAATTGGACAGGGCATCAAGACGCCGAAGTGGATGGGAAATAATGATGAGGGCGCTGGAAGCAGCAGTGGCCAGTCCGGGGACAGGGGCTCGGATGTAAGGAGATGGTTCGGGGGCGGAGAAGGGAGGATAAGATTGTAGATGTACTGGGAAATGGTTGGAAACGGCGTATATATGGGTAACGGAGCCATCACCTAGTGCCATGGCTCATGATTACGATGGGAGTTTGGGAATCAAGGATGTCTACCTAATCTAATATCCCTAGAAGGATGCTTAACATCTGCTGCGTACATTTGCTATCATGTATCCCAGTACATAATACATTCGAGAGGTAACTGCCAATCCTGTTGATGATACACCTAGTCGTGCGTCGCCAAGCCCGTCAAGTAGGTACAGTACTTTAAGTGTTCGAGAACCGGCGGGGATGTGGGCCACGTAAAGCCCGCTCCACCCCCGGACTCGACCCCACCCGTGCCGGGATACGTTATCGATAAGTCATACTTTGGATATCAGCCGCCACCCACCGCACCCCTCTAAACTCTAGAACCCCAGGCTTCCTTCATCGGGCATACTCACGATAACGCCCAAGATGGAAGCCTGCTGTACATGCGCGACACTACTATCATCAGCCCCGCGCTCGTCCGAGTCTGAGAAACCCCTCCCGCAGGACCGCCGGCTTGAATGCTGCGGCAGGGTCATCTGCGGGCAATGCATGCATGTGAGTTTCCCGCCCCCGGGCCGCTCTTCCACCAGTATTTATCTGTCCGCTCAAAGCAAGGGGCTGGCTGACTTTGCCCTGGGCGTGGCGGATAGAAAAACCCACGCTTCACGCGCTACTGCCCGTACTGCCAGATCTCCGACGGGCCCTCGGCGCTGCCGCAGGGCCTCAGGGAGCCCCCGTCCTACACCTCCGTGGCCACGGGCGCCGGCGCGACCGTTCTCTCGTGCGAGGACGCGCCGCCGCCGTACAGCGACCGCGATCGCGCGCCGAGCAGTTGCCCCCCGGATTACGCACAGCCGGCGCGACCGGCCGTGGACCCCGACGATGAAAAGGCGGCCCTCGAACAAGCCTCTTCTTCCGCCTCTAACATGGCCACCACGATGACAACGACAATGACGACACCAATGACAGCGACAACAACAACACACCCCTCCACCACCCTCCAACAACCCGCCCCCCAGTCCCCCGAGGACACCCTCCACATCCTCGACCACACCCACGACACAATCCCCTCCCTCTCGCTCCGCTACGGCATCCCGGCCCCCGCCCTCCGGCTCGCCAACCGCCTAACAAGCGACCACCTCCTCGCCGCGCGGCGCGCGATCCTGATCCCGGGCGGCGGACCGCACCAGCGCCACCACCACCACCAATCTCCTTCCTCCCTGGACCCAGCCGCCGCCGCCAGCGACGAGGCCCGCAAGGCGCGCATAAGGCGCTGGATGGTGGCGACCAAGGTCCCCGACTACGACGTCGCGGTGCTGTACCTCGAGCAGGCCGGGCACGACCTCGACGCCGCCGTGGACGCCTACTTCGCCGACGAGGCGTGGGAGAGGGAGAACCCCAACCCGGACCCGGTCGGGGGCCGGTCGCGGGGTCGGGGTCGGGGTGGGGTCTTGGGCGAGATAGGTTCGTGGTGGGCTGGTCAGGCGGGTTTTCTGCGGAGGAGTTGAGTGAGGCCAAAGCAATGCAAGCTTGTAATTATACCTGGCTCTCTTCTTATTTCAGTCACTTTTGGTATTCGTTCGCGGGTTGGTTACAAGAGCTAGTAGCTCATGAATTGTTTGGGATATCATATAGAGCCTGCTGTGCTGGACACGGCAGACAGGGAGGCTTTTGGGGTCTGGCTACTCAAACAAACGCCGCCCGTCATCTAATCTACATATACAAATACCACGCCATGCCACACACATCCATAAAATGACCTGACGCCTATTTTCGAGCCCTGGAGATGAAAACACAAATCCGATTCCGGCCGTGATCTACCATCAAAATGCGGATCGGGTTCGGACATCCTGATACGGTTGGTTAGCTTGGCAGGTCATGGTTAGGGAGCTCGGACAGCGGAATTTTCACTCACCGAGATCTTCCGCTCGATTTCCCTGACCGAGCGGTCTAGTTCGCCAGCAATCATTTGTTTCTTGTCATTCGGCAATAGGGTATACCTCTCGCAGAGATCTCCATCTATCACCCCCTTGACCGGGACGTAGTAGCCCCGGTACATGAGATGGTCTCGGCCGGCAAGCGGAGGGTCCTCGCTCCTCATGTGACTCTCCAGGGTCTGGAAGAAGTCGGCATCCTCACGGGTGACGAACGGGATGAGAGCACCGATAGTGCCCTGGATCCCGCTCCACAGGAGGACTTCTTGCCCGCCCACAACAAGGCTGGTTTTGCATATGCTAGTGGGGATATCCTGGGTGTAGAAATGAGACATGAGGCTGAGGCGGTTCGATGTGCCGTGAAGGTACTCCCGCGCATGGGTTAGGTGTACTTCGGAGCCCGGCTCGTCTGCTCCCACGCTGGTCTTCTCGGGACAACGGACAACCCAGATATTGCCGAATTTGTCTCCACCGGCAGTAGATTCGTAGTCGACCATAGCCGTACAAGTCGTCCACCGAGAAGTCGTGTCGTCGACGAACGGGAGGAGCCTGTTGATCTCGGGCTTATACACGACATAGCTGATGCCCTGCTGGACGTCCCCTACCACGATGCGGCTGCCCTGGGTCTGCAGGGACACGATGAGGTGCGGGGCGACATCGGCCTGGGCCTTGCGGAGCAGCTGTTTCAAGCCAAGATCGTAAAGTCTCAACGTCTTGCCAATTCCTGCCAACAAGCGCCCCTGGAAAGGCAGTAGAGCCATTGGCGGCTCCTCAACCTTGGTCTTATGAATGAACTCCAAGTCTTTGCCCCCTTCATGGAACCGATAGACGTGGATATAGCCCTCTGAGAACTGCCTTGGATTCAGAACCATGTCCTTGCCGGTCCCAACGATCAGGAAGCTCTCGCCTTCTTGACTCGCAAATGGAACCACGGCGGCGCTGACAGCTGCTTCGTTGTCTCCGATGTCGATCTTCTGAAGCACTTGGGGCTCTTCGCCTACGGGATCAACAATACTGATGCAAGATGCCCATCGGCCGCGGCCCCGGGGATGGCCAAACTCTTCTGGTGGAAGGACTTTGGCGTCGCCGTTGACCGCGCTTGGATCTGCGAGCAACTGTTGTTGGAGTTCCGGTGGGAGTGTGTTATTATCCGACTCAATGGTATAGAAATACGGCTGGTCAGGATGTCTGACAAGACGTCGTGGCGTGTAGGTGAGGGGTATCGACTTCTGGATCAGGTTGTCGCCCAGTTTCTCGATGGAGAAGATTCTATGCTCTCAAGTCAGCTTCATATACACGTCTTGGATAATTGCTGTTGGAAGCTGGACTGCGAGGAGATAGCATCAGAAGGAACAATTGACACATGCTTTGCATGTTTGTCAACCTCACGGCCAAAAGGCGTAGGAATCCCTTTTCTCATCATGTTGCTCCATATAACGGGGAGGGCAAAGGGTGGGTATAGAACTGACCTGAGGTAATTGTCGTGGATCCCGACCATACCCTCTTCGCACTGCTCGCTACTGAAATTCCAACCCCATTCCAGATCTTCGTAACTTAGGGGCGTCATCATGAAACCCTTGGTAATCGGGTCGGTATAGCCCATCCAAGGCCTTGAACTGAGAGCCAGGACGCAGGTTTGGTTCTGGACCGCGACTTGGAATAGCCTTGCAGCCTTGGGGCCTAAGAACTTGTGGCGAGTGTCAGTCAGCTCTCCGGTGATCTCGTCCAAAACAGTCCGTAGGTACACTCCTGAATGAAGGCCAATGTGTAGATACAGGGTTGAACCGCCGGATGACGAATCCTCCATGGTCATAATCAGCAAAGACGAAGGCGCCGCTGTCAAGGCTTGCACTGATTTGCTCTCGAGTGTGGATTCTGGATCCAAGCTCAGGATCCTGACAGTGCAGTCGTCGCAACCCACGGCTAGGAAAGAGCTTCTCAAGCGGCCTTCTGGCACTTGACCCAAGCTGAGGCACGTCACAGTACCGAACATTTCCTTCTTTTCGTCATATTCGGCAAGGGATCCATCGCTGTCCATCTCGAAATAGACTATCTCGCCGGAGCTCAGAGCAACAGCTACCTGGCGCTGATTCGTCGCAGCAGCCACGATAGATCGGTGCTGAGGAGCCGGCCACTCATTCACCCGCCCATTCCTAATGTGACGGATTCCCTTGGGATGAACTTGAATAAGCCCATCATCGCCGATCTGCTGTACTGCAAGTGTGGCGACAGTTGTGAGAAAGCCCGAATCGCTGACCTCCTCTACGGTTTCTCCAATGCTTAGGACTAAAGTGCCGTTTGTGAAGCTAAGGACAATGTAGGTGTCATACTCGTCGTCACTCTTGAGTTTCGTCGTCCAGACTGCTGAGGGAGTGCCAGGAAGCTGAGAAGCGACAATCTCGTTGACCTCCAAGCCGTGCTTGAGCATGCGGAAGGTGCTTCGAGCACCACTGCCGCATACTGAGTAGATCTGTGGAGCGTCTTCTCCCGTGAGGTTCGCCACTTTGCAATCCACCAGTGGGTTCATGGAATCGATGCTCTCAACTAAGGACAGATTCCCTGTGGTGTGAGGGTAGAAGTAGACAGGGGTGTAGGGAGCACGCGGATCTGTAGGGAAGTCGTCGCTGCTGAACTCGAGTTCTTCGTCGTCATCGCCAAGCTTCTCAAATTGGTAGAAGTGATGGTTACCAAACTCGCTCGCGGCAAACAGGAAGCCACTCTTGAGAATGCAGAGACTAGACGCCACAGGAATTGTGTCGAAATATTTGATCTTGAGCCGTTTGACCTCGCCAGTTGATTTGTCGTCATCCTCATGCATATCCAAAGTGACCTTGAACAAGTCCCCATCCTCTGACTGAAGGAGGAAGAAAAACGCGCCAGAATTTCCCTTCAGCTTGTGCATTACACCTGCAACAATGGTGCGCTTTCGCTGAGGATCCTCAGTAGCGCCTCGCCTTCTAGGAATGGGAACCCGGAAAGCCTCTTGGTTCGAGTGTCTGTAGGTGATGTTTTCCTCTCCGCATACGAGGACTCCACTAGGCCCATCACTCCCTCCAGGCACTTGGAAGAGCAAGGAGGACGTCGGATCCACAGGCTCTGACCATTTGCGGACGACATGGTTCAAGCCTAGATCTAGCTCATAATACACAAGCTGGGTCTCGACTTCTTGGTATGCTTCGCCTGATGGGTCTTGATCCGAGTCTGAGTAGTCTGTCTCCAGAGCTGCAAATACAGGGTTTGCATAGCCGACGTCAAGAGCTACTAAGGAGAAGACGAGGACACCATGCTTGTGAGCCTCAAGTGGTGAGGAGATGGTAAGCTCTGCCTGTGAATTGCGATTCAGGACATATACAAGCTTGTTTTTCTCGACCGAGGCGATGAGGCACGCACGACCTTTGGGATCTGCAGCGAGATACTGGCCAGGGACGATACGGCGCACACCGGATTTTCCAAATGTCTCCAAATGGATGCGAGAGAACCGATTCTGGGCCGGGAGATACTCGATGACAGCAATGCGGCCCGAGTCTGTAGCCAGGATGATGTAGTCTAGTCCAAATTCTTAGCATAATTCATCACCTTCAAGTCCCACGCTGAGATGAATGTCGTGGCTATGATCGCGTCGGTTGGGGGTCTGATGCCCAGGATCAAATCACTAAACATTCCGAAAGGTGGGCTATGCATTGTCACTTACCCTTGGTGCTTCCTGCAAGGCGGAAGGATGCGATGGACCGGATGATGCCAAAGATATCGTGTGAGAGAAGGGTTATGACTTTCCCCAGACTAGGATTGGGACGGAGAAGTGTCAGGCGAGAACCTGAAGCTGTGATGATTTGTTGCTCCTTGGTCCCTGAGAACTGCCCGAGTACTGCCTGTGTGACGGCAGAGGGAGGCTGGATTGTCAGGGAGTAGAGGAACATATTTGAGGTCGTCGCCATGATGAATATTTTGGGCGCAGTAGGCCTGCGCGGCTCTACAGACGACGACACACAACGCGATGTTTGGGGACTTTCGACTTTCGACTTTCGACGGTTGTTGACAAGAGCTCAGAGCTTCAGCTTGATGTGCAAATAAAATTCAGAAGCCGATGCCTTAGTGCCCCGCCAGTCAAGTGGGGCACAAATGTCAGATCTGGGACTCTGAGTGGCTTAAGCGGAAAATAGTTTTGCCGTGCAGCCAAGTCCATTGGTGGATTGGGAGCTAGGTAGGAATTAGGTATGGAAAGGTTCAGCAATCTCAGACCACCGCCAGCATTGCGAGTCGCGGGATCCGAGTACATAAGTCATTCAATGGCGTGGTTTAGGGAACCGGCGGTGCTGAGAGCACTGCCAGAAGTGTGCGTACGCTGCTCAGTCTCTCTGGGCGCTCGAAGAATACCGAAGCAAGCTCTCGTACGATCATCGAATGCTTCGAGGAAGCTGCATACCAGTCGAACTGGGAGGATCAGTCACGTAACGCCTTGCCTGGATGTCACACCGTATGGAAGGAGATGGTCGTCGGGTGTAGCTCATCAAGAGAACTTCACGCCCAGGAATACAGCCAACTCTGGCTCGAACGCGGAGAAGCCGGTCAAGCCAGCCCTCACTGCCGATAACCTCTTCCACTCATTCACAGACTCGCCAATCCCAGAAATCCGGCGTCGCGCGGCATTCATGAGACAGCATGCCTACTGCCCGCACCCCGATCATCGATCTACCCGAGTGTCGGAGAGCACGTCGGCACCCGAGCAGACTGGAGTGGGGAATCTTGCGCCAGCGCACGTCGACTTCGAGTGCCCGGACTGTGGCGTTCCAGTCTATTGCAGCAAGGAGCACTGGATGGCCGACTATGAAGCCCATCTGGAAATATGCGACACACTGAGGCAAATCAACGAAGACGACCATGACCTGAGGTCGGGAAGGTTCTTTCCCGAGTTCGATTATGCCGGCCCGCAGATGGAGGAGGCTCTTGTCAATATGACAAACTGGGACACGCTGCTGTACACGCGGCATTTCAAGGCCATCAACGATGACCGAAGCATGAGACAAGCAACCCGACTCTTGACATACCCCCTTACTATCGCCAGTATCCTCCACGACCTCAGTCCCTACCATATCCGGCCCGGCGGTCGACTTACCCCTGAGGGCCTCAAGAGTCTAAGCGGTATGTTTGGGCCCTGAATGGATGAGTATTGCAACCTGCTAAACTGCGAATAGCGCTCCGTTATACGCTCCACCCCCCCAAGACGGGTGGTGGCATTGATATCAAGGGTCTCCGGCTAGAAGCACCGCCGGTCAGGATATTCATACTGGGCGCAAGAGCTGAATCGTCTCTTCCCCGAGATGTGTGGACTCAGTTGGCCCATCTCTTCCCAAGCTCCCGGTTGCATCTGGTCTTCATTGGCCCGGAGAGCATGGCGAATCGAGACGACGAGTTCCCCTTACCGGCAAGGACCGCCTCCAACCCCTTCGGGGCAGTAGTCGAGGATCGTGTATGGCCCACGATGAAGATTAGTACCATTGTGGATTACTACCACACGATCCACAAGACCGGGCACTTTTACCCCTACGATCCGTACTTTGACTGCTTTGTCCTCTTCCACCCTGGTCTTGGCCACCCGGCGAGTTCTCACGAGTGGGAAGAGACCGTTCCCCTCCTATTGGAAACGAAAGCACCTGTCATTGTCACGGGCTACACCCAGTTCGACATGGAGCGGGATATCGAATGGGTCAATAAGACGGCCGCAGGAGAGTTCGACATCTTGATGGAGCCGGGCGAGAATATCTTCCGGAGCCTCAGGTGGGACTTGAACGACCTAGACCCACAGGATGTCAGTGCCGGAAACTGGGGAGTGTGGGCTTTCCGTGGAAAGAGGTGAGTTCAAGCGATGCTATGAATTTCTAGACGACGCGCTAACGAGATGATATCAGATACGAAACAACGCGCAAGGACTCGGAGTAGAGCTTTTGCAGGCGCATCGAGCTACCGAATGGGGGCCGCGCAACTACCTGCTTGTTTGCAGGCCTCCATGTCAATGTCGTGTACTATTCCCCTCTGCACTTTCATGTACAGCACCTTAGATGTGGTCAAGCGGGCCACCGAGCTCAGCCCTTGGGGTTTGCTCAGCTCAACGTAGCATTGCTGCACAAGACAAGTTTGTACAATACAAAGACACCTATCACTCCACGGTTGCAACACGGGCCAGTTCTGTTTTCGGCAAAGCTTGTACACATGTGACCTCGGGAGGCGGGACTCGTCGTGCCTAAGTGGGTCTACGGAGCAGCCGTGGTACGGGCCGCATCCGTGGCCACAGCAAAACTGCATGCAGGCAGGGATCCGGCAGTAGGCCCCGGAGCCAGCACGTTCGTTGAGCTCAACGGATGTGAACCCACGCTTGAGGTCGGTCACGCCGCCGTGGAATGGATTCCACGGTGTAATGAGCAGCGCCCCGAGCTGCTCGTGTTCCTCCGATTCGTTCCCGGTTGCAGCATTTGGCTCCGGTTCCAGTGCACTCGCACGAGCCGTGACATGGACTTGAAGAGGCAAATTCCGAAATTTGGTTGCTACCAAGAACCAAACAGGGCTACCCCTAAAACTACCCAAGACCCTGCTGCATCTTGGTGACTCGATCTCCCTGTACTCGTGCATGTAACTGTGGTGGTCTAGGTCAACAGAGTTGTCAGCACATCTGCATTTCTGGCTAGCAAATTTCAAGATACCTAGAAGGGCTTGCTCCCATTTTCGATGCTGTCCGTATTTTAGCACGTTCTTGCGAAATTCAACCCCGGATTCGCATTGTTCTGCTGTCCTTGAATGTTGGAGCCACGCCCAGGCGTGCTCATGACTAGGCTCTCACCGCCTGCCGTTTTGGTCAGCAAATGGCTTCACAAGCGGCTGAATAACGTCCTAGAAGGCAATTAAGGGCGACCTCCAACCCGAACACCATGCTCCGCTGGACAGAAGCACCAAAACTGCGCCCGGGTTGATTTATGCAAGACCATTTAGACTCATAATGCTACGATTTCAATACACAACCACATCATGACGACTGGTATGCCAGCACCGGCTCGAGCCCCGACACCGCGGCCTAAGGGGGCAGCAACATCCGGTGTAAATTCCGAGTCCGTTGTGGCAGTCAACCCTCGGCTGACGCCTTCACATCCAGCGTCCGGAACAGCAGCTCTACCGGAACCCGGGCCCCGCCGGGCCCCGCGTTCTGGGGTGTCAGATCCTCTCTCGGACCGCGCGACCGCATTTCTGATCCGCCGAACGCTATGTCCTCAGCAGCTCGACAAGGGCAGAAACACGCCTACGCCAACCATAGATCTGCTGCCGCCACTGACCAGCCGGAACGATGTCGACCTGCAACTATACGCCCTAATCGCCATCATCCTGCGGGAGTCCGTACAGAATTGGTACACCAAGATCACCTCGGATGAGACGTTTGTGGCCGAGATCGTCCAGATCATAGCTCATTGTACACGAGCGCTCGAGCAGAGGCTACGAAAGGTGGACTTGGAGAGCTTGCTTTTCGACGAGATCCCTGACCTCGTCGACAAGCATGTCAATAGTCTGTTACCACACCCCCCCCCCCCCCCCCTTTCCCCCGCGGGGTTCCGCTTCTCACTCGATCTAGAGTCGACCACTGACACGCCCACTAGCATATCGAGCGGCCCATGATTCTGTCGCGCAGCCCCCTCTACAAGCCAATCCGCATGAGATCTACCACTCCCTGTGTCCCCTCCCGGCCCTTTCTCCTATTCCCAGGCCGGAATCACCCAGCACTATCGACGAGCAGGCCCAGAACGAGGCGGCATACCGCCAGCTCTTAGTCCATGGCGTTCTTGCCATCCTACTCCCCACCGAAGACCTCGAAAACGACTGCCTCGTGGCGCTGGTTGGCCAGCTGTTTTCCGAGCTAATAATTGGCGATATCGTTGCCAATAGACTCTCGGAGCCATGGCTGATATGGGAAGGGCTAATAATCCTGACGAGGGTGATACGAGAACGGACCAATGCTGCGCCGAAGGGCCCACCGACACAGTCCAGTAGCGACGCCGCACCGCCAAGCGAGCGAAGGGGCCTTTCGGTACAGCGACTGTTTTGGTCCTTCATGCAATGGTGCTTCGTTGCAACGAGTTTCATCCGGCTGCTGGTCACCACTCTAGCATCGTCACGATCCCTCCCTCCTCGGACCCGGCACATGAGCAGTCACTCCGAGGATATGACTCGTCAGAAGGCGGAAGGAGAGGCAATAAAAGCTACAAACCCACTCGAGACATGCCCGGGGCTTATCAGGGTGCCCGTGCTCGCCTTCCGGATATTCCCTGCGGTATCGAATCTGATCGAGATGGGCGTACGGATGCCGTGGCTCTGTGGCGCGATGTCCATCCTCCACTGGATTGCCATGACGGGCCCGGGACGAATAGCGCATGTCAATGGCGCTCTGGACAGGTAGGAGGACCCCCTCCCCTTTCCTTGCCCTTTCCGGACTCGAGTGCAGAAGTAGTCGGTCGCACTACATGAGATGCAAGTCATTGGACCTGCTCTTTCTGCCATTCAGCGTTCGAGCCAGGCGGTTTCCGCAAGTGCAGCTAGAACCTATGGGTGGCGCTACCTGAGGGTGTACTGGTTGGGGCCAATGCTCTATGGCAGCGAGGCTACAGGCTAAATCAGCCTGCTGTGGAACGTTGCCTGGCCCATGTCTCTGCGGCCAAATCGGCGACCACATGCCCCCAATTCTCCGCCGCCATTGCTCTTTCAGAGCCCGCATCAAGTGTGTGTTGAAGGAAGTTCTCGGCCAATCGCCGCTTGGAGCAAGGCTTCTTGCGTCGGATTGCACAATGGGCTGCACAAGGGGCCCACCACCAGCAAGCCCCATTTACGCGCCGAGTCCAAAAGGATTTACAGGGATCGGCAACTCCTCGAGCCTCTCCTCCCCCTCCATCTCGTCAACCTCATTTTAACATTCGCCGCGGGTTCCACTCCTATTGCGGTGGTTTGCGGAGGAAAGCACCCCCCGCAGACCATTCCGAGCCTGCATCCTTATTACAGGTTGTCTTCGAGGCCAGAATCCCCGATGGCGGTGTCGAAATTGATAGATCATCGATTGCCGTCTCGTTGAGCCCATAGACCAGGGCTTCAGTTGAATCCGGAGCGAAGTCGCTGCCCATTAGGGATGGAGAGATAACCTGCGCAAGTGCCATCCTCATGCTTCGGATCGGGTGTGGACACCCTTGTTCCCCCGCAATGGATCGTGACGCTCTGGACCTTTTTTGCGGTTTGCAATCTGCTCCTCTCATCTCCAAGGTCCGGGGTCGTCATCGACGGGTCATTTCACGCTGTCATGCCATAACCCATCATGATCGTGACCAGTATCGTCGTCCTAACACCCCTCCCCCCAGTCCGGTGCACAGTACGCTCAGACTCGTCAAATCTCAAATGCTCTTGGCTGCTGTCTAAAATCCAAACCCCCCAATTCATGCCACACACCCCCCCAAAGATGTCACTTCAATTAGAAGGTAGATCTTTTTGGTCCCCCACTCCCCTATATCCCTCCTATATCGCACCGATCTTAACTTACACAACGTCCGATTTTCCCCCCACGCACGAATGGCACCAACTACTACCCTGCTAGCATATGTGTTTCCAATCTTCCTTCCCCTTCGCCCTGTTGCGGCTTTCATCACCAGTAGCGTCGACGATCATGCCCCAAGCTTGACCGACTTTATTCCCCTTTTCTTTTCTTTTTTCCCGTTTTTCTTTTCTTTTTCTCACCCCCCCCCCCTCTTTCAATACCCTTGTCAATAACCTAACCTAACCTAATGCCCTTACCCGTTTTTTTTCTAACCCCAAACTTTTTCGATACAGGATCCTCTCCCACTCCCTGATCCATGCCCGCATCCTGGACCCGGCCAACCTGCCCCCACTCCTGCGCGGCGCCCGCGCTGCCCTGTTCCCGAACAACATGCCAGGCAAGCCCTCGCTCACCGCCCCCTCGTCCGCGGCCGAGCTCGCAGCCCTCAGGAGGAGGTGCGCCACCGCCCTGTGGGGCCTCGTCCCGAAACCGCTGGGGAGGCTCTACTTTGGCAGTGGCAGTGGCAGTGGCGGCGGCGGCAGCAGCGCCTCGAGGAGCTCCTGGTGGGCGCCCTGGTCGGGCGGCAGCGGTGGTCATGGTGGAGTTGTTGGGCATGATGATAGGCAGGGTCAGGGTCAGGGTCAAGGTCATGGGTCTGGCCCTCGTCGGCCGCGGTCCGGTCCGGCCGACGACGACAACGACGCGCGCCGCCCTGCTAGTACGAGCAGTAGTAGTGCGGCCAGCTCGACCAACAGCGACGGCCGCCGCGAGGGCGGCCTAGCCGAGAAGGTCGGTAGCGCTGGCGCTAGCGCGGGCCGTGCGTCGTCCCCTAGGGGCACGTGGGCTGCTCCTGCTGCTGATCGGGGGGGTCTGGCAGGGTCGTCAGACGAGGGCGAGGAGGATGGGCGGATACTGTCGGAGATCGAGGCGGGCATCGTGGACGTGTTTGGCGACAAGTACTGCAACAAGCATCTCTTGTACGGCATCTTGGAGCTGGTGCTTGTGCGCCTGATGCCGGAGCTGGCTGAGAAGGGCATCGGCGAGCTCTGGGAGGAGAGGTTGAGCTGAAGTTACTTGCTAGATGGTGTTAGATTGTATAGTTTCGAAATAGAGATACCCTTTACTAATGCAAAGCGCGGTCACGGAAACACAAAGTCTTGAATATCTTGGTTGGATAGCAAGAGGCTCGCTTTCTTTGTTCCTCGAAAATGAAGATGGCCGCCCAGACAGTCTCTCTCTCTCTCCTTATCTGTCCTCTTCGTCGACTACCTATCCCCCGCCCTCTGCCTGCTGGAGAGAGATGGGAATGGGGGAAGCAATGCTGACAGCTCTCCAGTTGGCAAAGATGCTCCCTCCCATGTCCTCGAGTCTCCTTTCTTCTCTCTCAAATCAAAGAACGTGACCAGGGCAGACGCGAGAAGCGGCCCTTCGATGAGCGACCCAGTAAAACCTTTGGCCCAGACGTTTCGATTTGGCTCCTCCAGTTGACCCCTCCCCCCCAAAACCCCCCGACCAAACCTCCCAACAGCAGCGAGAAAGCCACTAAAGCCCCGATTATGTGTGTATTCCCAGACCAGACCAGTATTGCCGCGGTAGTAAACAGCAGAGGGATGAAGGTAAAAGCCAAAGGAAAATGAAAAGGAAAAAGAACCGACGCGACACCCAAATCCATCCTTTGCAGGTCTCTCTTTCTCTCTTCTCGGTTGCCCGCTGATAGATATCTCGCTCGCTCTCTTCCCCTGGTCGGAAAATTGCAAATAAAGGGGATTAGTCTTTCCATTATTTCGCCGTTCCTCCCCTTCCTCCTCCACCTCCTCCCCCTCTTCTCCCTAGGGTAGGGTAATCCAGATTCCGGTCCAGCCTGTTCCTATCCGATGATCCATCCATCCCGGTATGTGTGCCCGCCGATATTCCCCCCCCGAACCAAGTGATGCCAAGACAGAGCTAGAAAAAGGGTGGAAATAAAAATAAAATAAAAAGAAAGCATGTTCAAAGTTGTACAAGGCCTAGATACGGCTGAGAGATGAGTAAACGAGAGAAAAACTAGCAATAATAAGCAGGAAAAAGGAGGATGGAAAGAGGGAAAAGGCGGAGGTTTTGGTTCCTTGTTCGCGTGAGCGTGCAATTCTTCCTTTGGGTGGCAGATGTGTCGGCCGGCCTCCGGGGGACGTGGAAATTCAAAGGTTGATGAAACAGTTTAAAAAGTAGTGATGTACACATGCGGCCGCCGTGTGGGGTTGACGTATATGTATATATATCGTCGTCTCCGGTTCGGTGTGGTTCTCCTCCATCCTCTTGCTGTATATGTATGTATGTATGTATGTGTAGGGTCCCATGGTAAGTGAGCCCCGAGGTGTCGTGAGACTGGAAGAGGAGGAAGGTTGGCGGACGCATAAGACGAGAGTATCGGATCCCGGTTAGCCTGGAGGGAGAAAGGTTTGTCGCGAGACATGGAAATCGTTTACTCCGGTTCGTTTTCCTCCCACTGTTTGTTAAGGAGACTCGACGATTCGCAATCCAACGCCAGATCCTCGACGGGAAAGAGAGAAGAAAAAGGAAACAAGATAGCGCCCACAACTTCGGTTATCCGCCGTCTCCAGCGCCTGAACTCAGGCACCCAGAGGCGTAGGTTCCATCTTGGGCATCATCCCCGGCGACGCATTGGGCATCTCGCTATCCCCCTCGGGGATCCTCGACAGCCCACCCATGGTCGTCGTCGTCGTAGTCGTCGTCGGCATCTCCTCGCCGGCCGCCGCCGCCTTGCCGCCGGCCGCTATCTGGGACGACGACGACGACTGGTGGTGGAGGCGCAGCTTCTCCGTCAGCCGCACGACGGCCATGTACTCGCTCTGGTCGACGAAGCCAGCGCCGCCGGCGCCGCTGGCCGCCGCGTTCTGGATGAACGACAGCAGCGTGTCGGCCGCCCGCCGCGCGTCCTCCTGCGTCGGCGAGCTCGGCGACGTCGCCGAGATGGGCGTGGTCGCCTTGGACCGCGCCGCTGCAGCGGCCATGCTCCCGTTGCTGCTGCTGTGGCGGAGCTGCGGGGAGGCCATGCTGTGGTGGTGTTGGTGGTGGTGGTGGTGGTGGTGGTGGTCCAGGCTGCCGAAGTGCGGGGCGGGAATCTCGTGGCCGGCGGGCGAGTCGATGGCTGAGGAGGGGGCCGTCGCGGAGGAGACGTGGTGGTACCTGGGGGTCAGCGGCTCCGTCGTCTGCGGCTGGTTCATGCACTCCAGATCCAGGGTCGGGAATGTCTGGCTCCGCGGCCGGTGGAAGTTGGAACTCGCGTCTCCCGGCCCCAACTGCTTACTCGCCAGGAAGTCGCCCATGTTGGGGTCCGGGGAGAAGTTGAACGGCGTGGTGGGGCTCAGCGCGCTGCCCGGGAAGGAGGAGGCGGTGGCGTCCGTGAAGGCACTCGACAGGGACGTTGCTGTGCTCTGAGAGTTCGAGTGCTTGTACGCACCGTGGTCCGTGGTGAAGTCCATGAAGCTGCTCATTCCCTCCTTGTCGTCCTCGCTGCGGTTCGCCGACAGAGGCGACTGAGAGCGATGCCCGGACGGGGAAGCCGGGGAGATGGCGCTCGACGGTTGTGACGGGGTCAGCGACGGTGACGAACCTTGGATGCTGTCGGGGATGTTCGTCTCCGACGCCCTTCTCATCAGCCTCCCCTTCCCGATGCCGTTCTTCTGCTTGAACTTCTCCAACCAGCTCGAGCTGTTAGCCTTCAGGAGGCCGTCGGCTGAGTTGCCCATGGTGGCCGAGAACAGCCGCACCTTCTCCTTGATGTCCGAGTCCGACACCACGGCGCCCGACTTCTGCGCATTGCGGATATAGTTGGTCAGGGCCTTTTCGACATCCACGCCCTTGGCCTTGGTGCGCTTGATTGGAGAACTGCTCCGATCCTCTGGGAAGAGATACTTCTCCTTGTTACGCAGCACCTTGGACACGGTACTACCGACGATGTTAGAAACAAAAGACTCAAAGGCGTCCCGTCATGCCTACCTTCTCTCGACACCAAACATGGCACCAATCTCGGTCTGCTTGGTGTTGGGGTGGTCCTCGGCATACTGGCACATCCGGCGACGGTCGTCGTCGGTCAGGGTCTTCCTCGGTTGCGACGGCGCATGGATGGCAGGTAGCTTGGCCTGCTTCAGGGGCGCCGTGACAGGAGGGATGGCCACCGGCGGAGCAGAGTGCGATGCGTAGCTGTTGGGATTCGTCAACATGCTGGGCCAGGTCGCATGGGAAGGCATGATGAGCATTGGGAGCTGAGGATGCGTCGTCTGGGTCTGGGACATGTGCTGGGGAGGCGGGGGAGGCGGCATCCTGTGCAGAGACTCGGAAGGCAGCCCGTGTGTTATGGGCGGCATGTAGCTGAAGCCCGTCCCGTAGTCCGGCATGGTCGTCTGGTGATGGTAGGCGGTGCTCATGTCGACCCAGGGGTCATGCCCATATGTGTTATTGGCCTGGGCAATGCGGCTTTCCTGGTCCATGCCAGACGACCCGATGATCTGGTTGTGCATCTTATCTTATAGACCTCGTGTGGTCGAGACCTAGAAGGCTGAGTGGGAAGGAGGACACGGACGGACTGTATGCGAGGTTGTCCACAGGGGGTGGGATGCTTTCTGCGCCGCCAGCTTGTCTGATGCGACTGGAGTCTGGCGAGTGTGTGGGAATCAGCCCGGGGGGAGAAGTGGTGCGAGATAGTCTTCATGAACGGAGGAGGAGGGCATGCATGATAAGTGAGGGCAATTGGTTCCCGGGTGAGGCATGCAGGAGGGACTGCTGGTCGGGTTGTAGGTCGGAGAGACTTGGTTATGTTGGAGCTGCAGCAGCAGCGTTGGAGGGGGGGGGGGGTGTTTGGTAGTATGGAACGGCCCAGTCCGGCTTGACCCACGAAGGACAGGACCGAAGCTAGGAGGGCGCCTCTTGGCCCAACGCCAATGTAACTATATCAGATCGGCGGCGTTTTCCACTCTCTTCCCGAAAGGGAAGACCAAAAGCCAAGCCACAGGACGCTTTATCAAAGAGGTGAGGGTGACTTCTTCAGCCTAGGTCAGTCGTGTGTGTGTGTCGGCAGCGGCAACGTGCCCCGTTTAGTCAACTGTTTAGATAAGGGGGAGGGGGTTTTGCTCCGTATCTACAGATGTGCTCTCTCTCGGATCTGCACCTGTTTTCGGACAGGAGACCCAAAGCTCATAAGAGGGAAGGGGAGTCGTCTTCGTCGAGGCATGGACCGAGTGAGATGGATGATGGGGTAGCACCGACCGGTATACTGGCAAACAAGAGAGGTTCTGATGGTAAATGCCGAGTCTGCCCAGTGAGAGAGGACTTGTTGCTGCAAAGGCAGGCGCCGCAATGCAGTGCAAGCCTCTCTTGATAGAGTTGGCTAAGATGAATCAGATGCACGGGAGAACAGGCATGCAGTGTGGGCCACACCAGGGCGACATATGTACTATTATGTATGTACGGTATGTTTGCAGTTCCCGCAAGGGTCGAGAGAGCTGGGGTTGGGCAGGCAGAGTATAAGAACCGGGGGTGGGTATGACAAGAGAAAGGAAACAACAAGGGCAGGGAAGGGTACATCGGCCCTGGTACGTGCATGCGATATACTGGAGGGAAGCAGCGCGGGGATGAAATAAGGTAGACAGGCCATGCTCTGTTTCCAAGAGAGCTGGCTGCAAGGGGCTTGCTCGACCGGGGGGTAAAGGATGGATATTGTGCATTTGAAATAACTACCTTGACTGTCTACACACCCCTGACCGGTGTAGTGCGGAAGCTAGCAAATGCACACCCCCCCAAGAGCAACAACGACTGGGAGCAGATCCATGAGAGAAAAGATGAGATGCGACTAAAAAAAAAGAGACAGGAAGGGAGTACTTTTCTCGCCGTCTCTTCCGCACTTGGCGCAGCGACTCGATGAGCCCATCCGTATCCGTATAATTTTTTCATAAAAAGCCCTCATCGGCAATACGCTAGTTGTAGGACTATTCCGCTCGTTCGCCGGCAACGTGCGAATTATGTGCCTGGGACGAGATAGCTTGCCCGAGCCCTGGTCAGTCTCCAGAGGGACCTTCCGCCTGAGCAGGGGGGCTTGGTAAAGATCACTCGTCGGACGTAGCGGGGGTGGGCGCGTCTTTTTTCTCCCGGGGTCTGTGGTGGAAATGCCCACTGTTAAGTTAAAAGACACGACGAGCTGCCCGCTTATAGGACGGGACACTCACCAGTCCCGTCCATTTACCTTGATCCTTCAGAACACGGAACGCCGCGATGGACAAGGCAGTGTATGCGATATAGTTCAATTACATCCGAAGCGAAGACGGAGAGGCTCGACGACGCCGGTGACGGGGAGTGCGGGCGGTGATTATGTCTGAGCTTGCCGTCCGAAGGGTGGGATGGATGGCTTTTGTGTTGGTGTATATGGTTTCTGTTGGCCAACGCCGCAGACCGTAGGCTGACCGAGAGCGGCCGTTGCTCTCTCGTTCCATCTCCTAACCTCATGGGGACGAAACACGGCTGCGTCATTGTGGGAATGAAGATGGGCAGTCGGCAGACCATCTCTACACAGTACACTAGCTTCAGCCAGGGTCCACCCAAGGGCGGACGAGTTGGCCAAGGCTAACCCCCCCTCGGTTTTTCGCGATGGTGTACACGTGTAGGGAACGTAACTACCTACCCAGGTAGGTATGCATGTAGATGTAGGCTGTAAGTGCTGGGAGTATCTCCGTACGTACTGCGTACACTAAACATTTCGCCAGGGGTACCTCATATCTCTCCTTGATAGCGTCACTGCCCTTGAAATCCCGGCCAATGCTGACCGCCCCCCTGAGGTCTCCCGATATGAGGTACATGAGACGACGAGGAAGGATCGTTTTTATTGTCCGTGTGGATCAATGCTATGCTGACGGGTCCATGGGTTAGATCACTGGCGGGAGTTGGTGGCATCCATGCAACATAAATAAATAACATCAAACGAGTCAAGATCAGCCCTGCCTATCTCCTTTCTCTTTGTTCTGGGCTTTAGTGTACTCTGTACAGTACAAATTTCGAAAATGAGCTGGGCCCCTGCAACGCCCGCTGAACTTTGGAAGTACCCAGCGAAGCAGCACGGAGGAGGTGGTATTAGTTGAGAAAGCCTCAAAAGAGAGACCGGTGGGGGCCGATTGCCATGTCTGTGCCAGCACTGCCAGGTGAACAGGGTAAACCGCAGCGCTTTTTCGTCATGCGTCTCATGTCTCTCTGGGGGTTCGGCCTCGTCATTTGTGATACCTCCCACCAAAAGCCTGCCAGCAGACCAGCCTGGATTGACCTGGGAGATCTGATTTAAGGCTCGGCCCTCCCCTCCCTAGAGCCCCCTAGAGTCACTCACCGTTGACCGTTGCCCGTCACGGTGACGGACCTCTTCCCTTCGCTTTAGTGTGTACGGGTAGGTAGATAGTGTGAAATGCCCCCAATAACCGATCTTGGAAGGATTGACAGCTACGGCTAGTGTACTTCGTAAAGAAAACTGCCATCCTGACAGTGGGCAGAAACGTCCAGCCAATCCAGGGTGCTCTCTCTCAACCAACTGGATCTCAGGACGCTGTCGAAAATTAATGCGGAATTATGATTGGATGTAATTTCCACGTTGGGTTGGAGGCGGGAAAACACATTGGGCAAACCGCCTTATTTTCCGCAAGGAAGGGGGGGTCCAAGCGAGGTCCTAGTTCAATCCCGTGGCGCCGGCTGGCTTCCAAGTGGCCAGTCGCCGACCCACAATCCTGTCCCCCCGTTCTGACGGCTGGACGATATCCCCACATCCTTGTATGATGGCTGCCCTATGGGGATTAGCGCTGGAAGAGCTCCATAAATGGCAAGGATGGTGGGGAACTTCCAACATCTCGAATAAGGTAGGCAGCTTCGTAGAAAGGAGATGCGAGAGATGGGATCCTGATCGGGAGATACATACTGTGGTACTGTGGTAGAAGGCGCACACACCAGGATCGGTTGATTCCTCGTTATTTGGTCCACATGATGAAGTCATCAACAAGAGAATTGATCACTGGTGAACGCCTCCCAATATCATCACATTACATAGTACGAATAGGGGAAGAGAATGGCACATTTTCGCCAAACCAATAATGGCTTCCATCAAGAGGATGATACTGCTGTGTTTAGGATTGATAGCTCCGCTAGACAAACTTTCATGTAACTGTACCCTCCCTACCTATGCATAGGATGCGTGCTAGTGTAAATGAGGTGTGGGAATCTTCTTGTGGGAACGACAGCGGGATCAAACACAAGCCCCGTTTCTTTTCGTGAAGAAGCAAAGAAAAAAAAAAGAACTTGACATCCCCGTTGGATGGTTCGCGTCTTAGCCCCTGGCGGCAGCAGCGGGCGTCTGTGCTTCTTCACCCGGCCGATAACCTGCGGTGCACGTCCTTTTGATAGCCCTGCGAATCCAATAACTTGCACCCAGGTTTTCTCCGCCTCGTCGTCGATCGGAGCTGCCCATGGTTGCTATCTCATCTCATCCTACTCTGCTGCATACTATGTACCTACTGTAGTAGGTCAGCACAGTTTGCGGCCAGGCATACAACGTGATTGCGCGACTCGCATCTCGTGGATCTCGTGGGTTTCTGCGGGGGTGGCTGGCGGCAAGAGGAGCACTCTGAAAGGTCAAAACACCCAGGTCGAATTTCAGCACACAATCAGCTAAGTAGGTACCTCCCTGCCCTACCTATCTAATAATGCGGGACGCCCGGGAAGGCCCTAGTGGAGACGGATAATGAAGAAGGACTTGGAATAGGCAAATTGGTATTCTCGCGCCAGAGAATCGTTCGAAGAAGAGTCGAAAAAATGGAATGTTGCAGTTGTTCCTCCTGGACCTGAACCGTGCACTCTAGGCGCTGGCCGGATCATGACGATGATCCTACATAACCATCCCACGCCTCGCCTCTGCTGCACGCTTCTGCGGTTTACGGCCGCAGATGGCGAGGCCCGTTCGGTTATGCAGGCTTCTTTTTGGCAGAGACTCCTCCCACTCATCACCCCAGTCCACGCAGTGGGTAGCAAAAAAAGCATCAGATGGTGGGGAAGTGGGGCAGCCTAGATGGCTTCCACCCCGGCCTCGAGGTGAGATTCGCGACTCAAAAAGGTACACTAGGCTTTTGCTCCTTCTGTTGATTCGCAAAGCGTGAAATGGTCGGCAACAATGGGCACTCGTGGCCCTGACGCCAAGGCCTTTTTCTGCCACGAGGCCAATCGCATTTGCGTCTTGATACTAGGTACTGGTCACTATGTCAGAGAGCCCTCGTCAGGAAAAGCTGAGCAAATGTAGATCTGTGATCATCTTTCGCCTCGTCGGTCCTTGAATCAGCATGAACCCTTCCCCCCTCCTCACCGCTCCGCCCAATGCTCGGGCCTCGGCCTCGAGGGCTTGCTTGTCAAGCAACGCCTACTCTTACTAGCGCGACCGCCCCGCAACGAATGAATGCGCGTCCCTCCTCCTTTCGTGTTGTTGTCTCGCCTCTATTTCGGAGTATTCTCGTCTGCTAGCATCATCCTGTCCGAGGCGTCGGAGAAAAGGTGTCACGAGATCCCATTCAGGAAGATCGGATTTAAGAGGTATCGTCGGGGTCGGCCTTTTCAGGACCAGACATCCGCATTGGTGTTCCTTTTGTCAGGGGACTCGGGGACTCAGGGCCATGTGATGAGCATCCTTCTTGCGGCCCATCACCGCTTGACGATTGTGACTGGAGAAAGCAAACGGGAAATTAGCAACTGGGTCGGCATCGGCCCGCGCATTACAGGAACAACTACGTACCGATGTCCTCGTCGGCAAGTTCGTGGGAAAGGCCAACCCGTTGCGGCTGGTGCTTGACCGACTTGCCATAAACGATGGCCGTTTTGAACACTTCGAGGATGCTCCGGTGAATCGCGTTACACTAGCCGCGTTTCAATCAGTCAGCCTCAATACCAAGGTAGGGTGGTGGGAGAGCCGCCAGGCACACCGGAGCAGAGGGACAGCACCCAGCTGTCGGGGGTTACACTTACAAAGTCCTCAACCGTGCATTTTGTGGAACGCAACACAACAGGCGAGGAATAGTCGGGCATCCTCCCTTTGGGTTTCGTGTACACCCTGACTAGCTTCAGCTGGTCCCACCTGCAGCACACGTCAGTATTATCCAAGTCGGTAAGATGCAAGAATAATCTCGGTGTGCAGTCGAAACCCTGTGAGCTTACGCTCCGCTTTGCTGTTCTCATCAATCTTTGCCGCCTGGAAAGATTATGGCTTCCCAAGGTCCTCGAAGCGTGCCTCTGGGAATGAGGATGCTCCTTTCGAGGATGCACATCCACAGCCTCAGGGTCGGAGCGTTTGTGCAACCAAGACCAAGGTCACCTGCAACCGGGGAATTGCTTTGCAGCAAATGAAGGATATGAAAAAAAAAAAAAAAAAAAGGGTAGGGCTTACATCGCCTCCATCAGTTCGTCCAAGTTCCACCCGTGCTCCGAGCTGATCGGTACAGCGCTCGGGATCCGATACAGGAGATCGAGCTCCTCAATGCTGATGCTGTCGATCTTGTTCAGCACGTAAATCACGGGGATGTAACTCCTGCTCTTCGCCTCAAGGATATCAATCAGGTCGTCGATCGTGGCATCGCACCGGATTGCGATATCTGCCGAACTGATCTTATACTCGCCCATGACGGCGCGGATCTCGTCATGGTCGATGTGCGAGAGCGGTACCGTCGACGTGATATTCAGCCCGCCCTTGTCCTTCTTCTTGAACGTGATGTTAGGCGGTTGCTTGTTGATGCGTACACCAAACCCTTCCAATTCCGACTCTATGACCCTCTTGTCTGTGAGCGGCTTGTTGACATCTAGAACGATGAAGATCAGGTTACACGTCTTGGCCACAGCAATGACCTGTCGACCACGACCACGACCATCCTTTGCGCCCTCGATGATACCGGGCAGATCGATCATTTGGAGCGGGGCACCTAGATAAGGCGGAAAGCAACAAGTCAGTATATCTGCTGGTCAGACAGGGCCGGCGCCCGCAGCCGAATCCTTGGACGGCGCGGCGGTCCGCAGCCCCCCGTTTCCCCCCCTCCCAGCAGCCCACATAGAAACGCACCATTGTATATAACCTGACCCGGCACGGATGTCAGGGTCGTGAACTCGTAAGCAGCCGCCTCAGAGTGCTGCCCGGTGATCTTGCTCATGAGGGTACTCTTCCCGACGGACGGGAAACCGATGAAGCCGATACTCGCTACTCCGGTCCTGGCAACGTCGAAGCCTGCGCCGCCGCCGCCGCCACTGCCCGACGAGGGCATGAGGAGCTCGCGCTTGAGCTTCGCCAGCTTCGCCTTGAGTTGACCCAGGTGGAACGAAGTCGCCTTGTTCTTCTGGGTCCGAGCCATCTGCGAAGGAGGTTTAGTGATCCCAATCCCATCCCATGACCGGACATTGTCCGTCGTCTCGGGGGCTTGGGCGAACCTACTTCGGTCTCGATTTCCTTGATCTGATAGCCGTCATGGTTAGCGCCCCATCGTCTAGTCGAGTCTGGGGGGAGTCTGGTTAGTACATACCTTATCCACAGTAGTCGCCATCTTTTACGAGTCCTAATTGTTTGAAGGCTAAATTCGCAAAACTCTCGAGCGGTTGACGTGTGTCGTCGTCTGATGAATTATGGGTTTGGAATTTTGGGTGGTGGTGGGGTAAGTGAAAATCGTTTATCTTGGGAATACAAAAATGCCCAAAAATGCAGGGCATTGTACAGGCCCCCTACAACTGTAGTAGTGGGGCCGCCATCCGATCTCATGCGGCTTTCCAAGAGCCGCAGAAATAGTGCCACCCACATAGGCAGCCTTCCGCGACTTTGCCACCAGAATTCCCACTTTTTAGCATAGTAGGCAAGACAGGAAGAGAGCAGGCACACGTGAGAGTACCATAGTATGGAAGCTTCAATTCCTCATATAGGTATGTATGTACCGAGTACGCACTCGCAGCTATGTCCATTCAACCCACAGCCCGCCCTACCCCAAATCAAGCAAGCCGTAACTCCCCGCCTTCCAAGTCCATCACTCATAAAACAACTATAGCCCTAAACAACAATACCTTCGACAAACTCTCTAAGAACAAAGTTGGGTATCTCCCGAGTCCTTCGGAGAGTGATAGACACCATTCAAAGCAGCCAGATTCCTACCCACCAGACCTTTCCAGCCAAGCATAAGCAACCGAGTCGTAGATAAATGAAGGTGATCCATGCATCCCCCAAGTGCCCAGTTTATCTGTTTTTTTTTTGGTCTCCTTTTCCCTCCCTGTGTTTTTGTTTCCCCTTGGCAACTCGTCTCCGCGTCCCGGTTGACGAAGGAGAGAACAACCGTTAAGTGTAGTATTTTGCTGGAACTCGACAGGCCATGACATGTATTCGTACATTCGAGTTTAAGGCAGGCGGGACGTTCGTCATTTACTAGGTAGATGCCATTCCTCGTGGGCCAACACTGAAGAAAAAAATGGAGAAGAAAATATAAGAAAAGGAATGTTTTCGGTCTGCCCGTCAGAGCACCAAGTAGTACTACTCGCCAGCGCCACTGGCGGGCAAATGGGCGGCACCGTTAACAAGCGGCCTCGGCTGAGCCGCACCGGGGTCTGAGGACGGCGACATTGGGTGGTGCGCATTGCCGTTGCCGTTGACTATGGCTGTGGAATGGGCGGTAGACGGTCTGGCACCTCCGTCTAGGCCCTGATGAGGAAGATTCGACGCGGCACTCCTAGGGGATGAGTGGACTCCGTTGGGGAGCAGAGGAGAGTTGGCCTCGGTTACTAAATGCTCCAGACCCTGTTCTTTGCAGAGGCGAGCGTAGTCTGGATCGTCGGCAGAAACTGCGCGGAATCCCTTTCGTGGCACCCGCCTCTCGGGGAAAGGCGAGGTGCTAACGGTGCAGAGCCCCGGCTTCTCCTCGCGAACCAGCTCGCCGCCCACAAAGTATTTGTTCCTGGGGGCAAACCCGTAGAATCGGTTCGCATCCGGATCCCTCTTCCATTTCTGCAAAGGCGTCCATTTCCCGAACTGGGATTCGTGTTCCGGCAGCTCGCGGTAGGCCATTGTGAGCCTTAGAGTGCGGAGGTGTGATATCGTGGGAGCGATAAACATCAGCTCGGATGCCTGGAGATTGTAAGTCAGCTCTGCCTCCTTGGCCCACGGTTTCGCCCCGTCAGTCCTCACCTTGACAAAGAACATATCTAGTGCAGAGAACTTCTCCCACGCTTCGCCCCTGAGTCTCTCAACGACCTGATAGCTCATCCGTTCCGGGTCCTCGCCCCGGTAGTAGTCTGGAAGTTGGCGCCCAAGATCATAGAGATTAGGACTCGTTAGCGCGTACCGATCTGACTCGAGCCTCCAGATAGTTCGCTTCGCGATGTTGGAGGCGGGTATCCGCTCCCAGGCCGTGTCTACAACAGTCAGTATCAAATCCCGAAGGTAGAGGAGTCAAGCCGCCCTTACATCTCGAGAGCTCCAAGTCTTTTTCCCCAAGCAACAGGGCAACCTGTGTATTGAGGAGCCACTGCTCCCTACCGTCGGAAGTTCCGGTAGCGCCAGGACGGATGCAGTCGTATCGGACACCCTGCATCATGCTAAACTTCCCAGCAACTTCGACCGCCTTGGGATTCGGCGAGGCATCGAGCCAACGTAGAAGGGGAGGTAATTTGGCCAGGCGGATCTTCTCCTCTTGCTCGAGACGTAGACGGCGCTGTTCGGCTTCCTTTGCTGCGCGTTCAGCTTCTCGTGCAGCCCGTCTGCGCTCCATTTCTTCGCGGAGAGCCCGTTCCTTCCTTTCCTGCTCCTTGCGCTCCTCTTCTTTCTTACGACGAGCTTCTTCGGCAGCCTCCCGGTCCAGTTGCTCCCGTCGGAGGCGCTCCTCTTCTTCTCGTTTCTTCCGTTCCTCCTCCTCCTTTTGGCGCCTCTCTTCTTCTTCGCGCCTTCGTTTCGCCTCTTCCTCGCGTTTTCGCTTTGCCGCCTCCTCACGCTGCTTTCTCTCTTCTTCCTCCTTCTGCCTGCGCTCCTCTTCTTCCCGCTGTCGCTTTTCTTCTTCTGCGCGACGAAGAGACTCTTCCTCCTCCTTTTGACGCCGAGCCTTCTCCTTTTCTCGTTCCTCGTCCTCTTTATGCTTCCGCTCTTGCTCTTCTTCCTTCCTCTTTGCCTCTAGTACTTGGGCTTCGGCTTGAGCTTGAGCTTCGGCTTGAGCTTGAGCTTCGGCCTGAGCTTGAGCTTGAGCTTGAGCCTGAGCTTCGGCCCGGGCTTCGGCTTCGGCTTTAGCTTTACTTTCAGCCTTAGCTTGGGCTTGAGCTTGGGCTTGAGCTTGAGCTTGAGTTTGAGCTTCAACCTCAGCTTCAGCTTCGGCTTGGGCGTCAAGTTGGGCCTGCTGTTGCTTGTCTTCCTCCTTCTCTTTCTCCTGGGGCGCAGGCTGGGCTGCATCGGGCATCTCCACGTCGAGGTCTTCAGACTTGACGTGGATGCTCTTGTCCGGTGTCGGTTTCCCATATTCCTTTTTCCCATGCTCCAGGGCCGATTCCGCCTTTCTCGGCTTAGAGGTCGCCCTCCGCTCGTCATGGTCACGGTCTTTCTGTCCCAGTTTGGAACCCGAGGCCGAAATCGACGAGCCGACCGCATCGCGCGATGACGTCGACTTTTGTGGACGCGGATCGGGCGAGGAGCCTATCACCTTCTGCCGTTTCCCCCCAATATCCGTGCCTATGAGCCGCCTTCGCTTAAGAGGCGCCTCACTTCCGTCCTTATCGGATCCAAGTCGTGGGGGGGTCGCGCTCAACCGGGGTCTCTTGCCAGGATTCTCTCCAGAGACAGATAGTCTATCCCGGGAGTCGTCCCTCTTCAGAGCTTTTGTCCGGTCGTGATACTTCTCCAACCTCGGGTGTTTCTCAGGGGGTTCGTCATGCCTTGAATCACGAGGACTTGTTGGCTCCTTCATCGAAGAAGCGTTCGACGTCATGCTGGCCCGTCGATGCTTCTCCCTCTCGCCTTTCAACTCCCGGCCAGATACTAACTTCCGCCGAGGCTTCACTGCTTCCCCTTCAGATGACACGGCGATATCTGATTCCGTGCGCCTTGGCTTGCTGGGTTGTTTGGAAGCAGTAGCGGCGGGAGACGGCTCACGGTCGGAGATGGCTATGGTAGGGATGCGGTCCTCTTTTCTTGGCCTTCCCGGCCCACGCTTTGGCGAAGATTGATCATCCTGCTGGTTCGCAAAGGACCCCGACCGCCTGCCTTCTGTAGGGCTAGTAGTCGAAGCCTTCACCAACCCCGCCCTCTTGCTCTCCCTGGCCGCCGGACTCGAGGCCTTTCTCTTATGGGACTTGGCGAGCTCTTCTTTTGGCTCGGCACGGCTGCGACGAGCTTCCCGCTCCTGTTCTCGCCTATTGGGAGACTTATTTTTCGATGAATCCTTGTGGGTTCGTCTGTACTCATCATAAGCATCCTTCAACATCTGTTCCTCCTCCATCCAGTTGGGGCCTCGTCGTCGTCTCGCAATTTCATAGTAGGCCTCGCCTTTGAAGCGGCGGGTCGAGTCGAAGTCATTCTGATCTAACAGCAAGCGTACCACTTTGATGTTTTCTTGCCCGATGGCTGCGAGCATAGGGGTGGAGTATTCGTTCGAGGAGATGGGGCCCGGATCAGGATTTGCTCTGCCTAGGGCTAGTAAGAGTTGCATCACGATGTCGTGGCCACCTCTCGCAGCTGCTACCATCGACTCGGGATCGTCAAAGGTATCTCGGACTTGGAGAATGCGCGTAACAGTCTCCTCGTCGCCGCGTGCTGCTGCTGCGCGGAGGGTCTTGTCGTCCATTGGCATGTACAACAGATGATTGCTGGTTTTCGTAGAGCGAACCGTCCCACCTCTCCGGGAGTTCAAACCGGCGTGAGCTGACGCGGGCGCGCTGGGGGACCGCCTGGGACTTTCTGGGCCATGTGAGGAGGAAGCGTCGGCCTGGTCTTGGAGAGCATGATCCTCAGACGTCCGCCTCCGCTCACCCATCTTCGCCCTTGCTTCTTGAAGTGCTTTCCTCATCTCGGCCGCGTTTTCCTGGTCGTCCGACACACGATCGATAGGTTCCTGGCCATAGGCATTCGCCTTGCGCGGGTTCACTCCCGCTGCAAGGAGGAGCTTGATAACATCAAGGTGGCCGTTATCGACCGCGTCCAGCAATGGTGTGTCTTTATCATAATTGACACATTCAAGGCTGCAACCGGCTTCGATGAGGAGTTTGACGATGTCCTCGCATCCGTTGATGGAGGCGATTTGTAGGGGGGTGTTGCCAGCATAATCGGCAACGTTGATATCCTCGGGTCGCTCCTGTAACCTCTGCTTCGCAACCTCGTATTCCCCCCTAGCACAGGCCCTAGCTAGGAAGGTTTGGCCGTGCGCGTCCAAATGCTTCTTGTGCGGTGCAAGTTTGGCAGGAGAGACGGCCGAGTCGGCCGTCGCCGGGGTTGTGAGGCTACGCAATTTAGAGCCGCGCGGATGGGGACTACCGCTTGCGGAGGACTCGTCAGAATGATAATCGGTCGACTGGAGAGGTGCCGGAATTCGCTTCTTCTTGTGACTCAAGCCGTTGGACGAGTGTCCAGGAAGCTGGGTCGAGGCGCTGCGACGGTGTGTCCGAGGAGGGGGGGAGGCCGACTTGGCTCCTGGGCCTGCGTGGTGGGTATCATGGTGCGATTTGGAGATTGGCTTTGGGTCTTTGTGACTTCTGGAGGCATCGAGGCCCGAACCAGTACGCTGACGGCGAACTTTGCGACCGTCGCCCTCGTCGTCGGATTCGGCTCGTGCTACCTTCCTTTTGTGGGGAGCCAGCTTGTCGGTTCGGTGCTTCTCCCTGGCGGAAGATTTGGGCGACTTTGCATGGCCTGGTTCCGAGTCCGAGTCCGAAGGCCCATGAGGGGAATGCCGTCGAGGATGGGGAGGTGGCGACGTTGGAGCCGAGCTGAGGCCACTCGACCCGTCTTTACTCCGAGGCTTGTCGTGCGATTTCTTCCTCTGGCCTAGGAGAGCACTGGCGCCATCGCTGGGTCCGTTAGCTGACGGCAGGGAAGGCTTGTCAGTCTTATCGCCACGGTCCCCACGATCCCCTTTGTCGGTATCGCGAGCATGTTTGCTGTTTGACAGTCTGCGACTCGACGACGAGTCGGCATGGCCTGCACCATCACACTTGTCTTCGTTCTTTATTTTGCGAATCTTTGATGGCGAGTGTCCATCCTTCCCGGGTAGCACGATGGTCTCCGCATCCGAATTTCCATCCGCACCGGTATCATCATCATCGTGGGAGCCGGACGCTGATATGGTGGGCTTGGAATCCGTTATTGATGGCGGCGTTTTGGCGTTGTTGGGCGATTTTGTCACAATTGAAGACCGGGGCAGAACGGGCTCGCTGCCTGGCCGCTTAGGAGAAGCAGGCTTGGTGGAGATGGGCTCACCAGCATTCTGCGCATCCATGACATTTAATTCACAAACGGACTGCCGCTTTGCACCATCCTAGCCGCTTGCTGGCCGCGGTTAGCAAGATGGGATGGGGTGATGGCCGATTGCTTCGCGTCGATGGAATCGATGCGACCAAGAAGGCCTGGGGGGAGGCGACAACGAGTGGGACGGACTGCTCTCTCACTCAGCAGCCCAGTCCGTGCCGTGTCGGATACAAGTGGGAATCGTCAGCGCGAAACGGACAGAGGCCCAAACTGAGTGAGAGACTCGAATGCAGACGCGGGAATGGCGGGGGAAAGACTGTGCACGGAGTCGCGATGCGTTGTTGCTGTCGGAGATTGGCGTCAATTGGCGATGGAATTCGTCTGCACAGGCCTGGAGGACTCAGGAGGGTATTTTGCACCTTTCATTTGCCTGAACTTGCAGGATGGGTCTTGGAGATTCCCACCTCAAAAAATCTGACCGAGGGCCGCGTGATTCGCTCGGTTCGCTACGGTAGGCGACACCGGCCCCAATTGCAGCATCTTTTTGTCCTGCCACCCAGACTGTTGCCCCTGTCAGTGGGAACGTGACCAACTTCGAGCAAGCCCCTCCCGCCCTCGCCAGCCTGGCCTTCTTCTTTTGCCACCAATGACGCCGTCTCCTGACTGGGCCCAGACGCCAACCCTCCTTCCCCTCCCTCTGTGCAATTCTCAAACTCTTGCTCCGCCTTTGACCGGTCGATCATCTCTCTTTTTAAACAGCGCCAAGCACACCTGCTCTTCTCGAGAGAGAGGCAAACAAACGATGGGTCCGGCATCAACCGTTTCACTCCCCGAAAGCCTGGAACAAGCAAGGATACACTCTCTCCCACCTAGTGCCTACTACGTCTCAAACTTCATCGGCGAGGAAGAAGAGAGACACATCCTAGAAAAGGTTTGGCGACGCCGCGAAGCCAACTCTGCTACCCTTGACCTTCCCTGCTAAGACCAACTCGTCAAGATCGCCAATGCCCCCAGGCCAAGGTGGAAGCAGCTCACTCACCGCCGACTGCAAACGTGGCCATCCGACTTGGTCAAGGACGCACTCCTCGCCGAACCCCTACCGCAGTGGCTAGACCAGCCCATTGTCTCTCGACTCCTGTCTGTTCCGCTTTCGAATTCAAAATCAGAATCCGAACCACCCTTCCATATATTCGCGTCGAGTCCCCACGGCCGGCCCAACCATGTCCTCGTCAACGAGTATCCGCCAGGCGTCGGCATAATGCCTCACAAGGTTTGTTTGGCTGGCGGCAGGATCTGGGGGAAGCTTATTGAGATAAATAGGACGGCGCTGCGTATCATCCAGTGGTTTGCACCGTGAGCCTCGGAGCGAGTCTATGCCTGAACATCTACAAGGCGAAGGATGATGGGGGAATAGGCCCCGAGCCGGCTTGGAGGATCCTCCAAGAACCCCGGAGCCTGCTTATCACCACCTCAGACCTCTATACCGAGTACCTCCATGGAATCGCCGACATCGAGGAAGACGTGGGCTTGTCGTCGGAAACAGTCGCCAACTGGGATCTTCTTGGGTCGAAAGAAGATTTCCAAAGCGGCCGCAACCTGCGTAAAACTCGAACCAGCCTGACGTACCGTGATGTTCTGAAAGTGTCGAAGCTCGGAAACAAGCTGAGTACGCTCATGAAGCGCTGAGCATGGGATTTGAAGGTCCCTCAAAAAACGAAGGGTATCATGTTCCACTTGGCCGCAACCGATTCGGCCCCGAATTTGTCGATAGACCATTTCCGAGTCCCCCGCGCAGTAACCCCAAGATTAACCAGCACAAATACCAGTGCAGACAGCAGCGTCTTGTTGTACCAACTGCCCTCTGGGGCTGCGGCTACCATCAACGAGGTGTAGAGGAGGCATTCGCAGGTGTAATGCGGGCATATCAGGATGCTAAACATGCCACTCCCCGGCAATGAATATTTCTTCAGCCCGGCGAGATATTTGTGGCAGCGGTACTGGTTTGTCCAGGCGAACAGGTACACCAACACAGAGATGACGCTCTTGAGCGAGGCCAGCCGCATGTTTGTAGGATTCAACGGGCGGTTCAAGATCGGCTCTGGATATTGGTCAATTCGCCTAGATGCAGAACTGGTAGTCTCGGGCCTTACCTGAACCTTCAACCCATACGGATATGCTCATGCACAGGTAGAAGCAGATCCCCAGCGACCAATGGACGATCCACATCTTCGAAGCGGATGGCTTGATGAATACCAAGTGCTCGTATACGCGCCTGCTCGCTTGGAGAAACATGAGTGTCCACACTAGGACCACCTGTCCGAGGCTCATTGACGGGTCCGAGGTCCCGGCTTGTCGGGAGGCGACGAAGTCCAAGATGTTCCCCCTTGTCAAGTATTGGATGAGCCAGAATATTGAGCATGTAAGTGACGTCGTGTAAAACGCAATGAACCAGGAATGCGGCACCTGTCCACAGGAGGTGACCATGGCCACGAGCTTCACAAAGGGCCCGTCTCCTCGACTCGTCTTGTCTTTCCGGCCATTGCTACTGTCCTTGGCTGGGGTTCGGGCACCGTAATCTAGCAAATATCTTCTAGCGGCCTCGGGGGTGGCTGCAACTGCTAGAACACTAGAACTCGAGAGAATGAAGAAAGCTCGGCACCATTCTGCAGGAGAGATAGAGCAAAGAGTATCAAATATGAATTCCGGTAGAGCGGGATACGAGAATGGCATTTTCGTTTAATCGGTGTCAAGAACACTCGAGGTCCTCTCGATTCAAGAATCAAGTGAATCAGGTCTGGTGTGGTTCCATTTACGAGAGCAAATTTCCTCCTCTCGGATAGGTCCGGCCCCGGGTCCCTGGATGCTCCCGTCCCGTCCCAGCGACCCGACTCAGCGCAAGGGCGGCCCACCCCAGTAGTTACAAATGAGGCGCTCTTCCCTTGTAAAACCATAGCATGACTACAGTCTGCACATATACCTACATATTCGTTGCCTAGATTTAGGCAGACCCTGCTACGGAACCGCGGCTCAGTCAGTGAAAGAACCACGGAAAGAGCACTGATTCAAGGCTTGGGTTGCCTCTGGCGGCTTCGCTGAAATTCCGCGCTTAGTGAGTGGGGGCGGGGTGCCTAGCCTAAGGTAGGCAAGAGCGATATAATACATAGGTATTGAGGAAGGCCGCCCATCCACGCCGCGGTCGTTACGTGCTGGGATGGGCACCTATTTCTGCAAACTCTCTTAGACCGGGGATTTGAAATCGGACATTTATCGTCTATTTCTGTCGTCTACGCACCCATAATGGCGGTACGCTTTTCGGCATCGAGCCACGGCTTTTCTGGGCTAACATCAATCAACTACAGATCCCCTGGCCTCAAATCGTGTTGTTTGGTGATTCCCTCTTCCAAGGCGCCGCAGGTCTCCTAGGGGCCTTCTCCTTCCAGGCCGCCCTCCAGTCCCGTAGGTGGCTCATCCACGGCAGTCACCCTCCTCTCGGCTTTCAAGGCTGACACAGTCTCCGAATACATCAGTCTGTGTTCGTCGCCTTGATGTTATCAACCGAGGGCTATCGGGCTACAATACCTCAAATGCGCTGCAGCTCCTGCCCCAAATCATCGCCCCGCCTAGAGAAGGGGACCCCAAGATTGCGTACCTCGTAAGCTCCGCTCCAAGCGCTCTTTGTTGAGTCCTGGGAGTTGACTTACCATGTGCGCCCAGTTTATCCTCTTCGGAGCCAACGATGCCTGCTTGCAGTTGCCTGTGTGCAACCAGCATGTGCCTCTGGACAAGTTCAAGGAGAATCTCACCAATATCATCAGGCATCCCAACATCACAGCGCACAACCCCAAGATCTTCTTAGTGACGCCACCACCTCTTGATGAGATCCGTATCACTCAGATCGATCTTGCTTCTGGGCATTCGGCCGCCACGAGACGGGCCAAGATCAGCGCGTCTTATTCCGAAGCCGTTCGCCAGATTGCTGCCGAGCACCCGGGCGTGACCTTGATTGACCTCTGGAAGGCCCTGATGGACAGGGCCGTCGCCAAGACTCCCGGATTCGACCCCCAGAAAGGGCCCTGTCTTGGAGACCCTGAAAGCGGACAGCGAGGGTACTTAGAGCACCTCCTGCCCGATGGCCTGCACTTGAGCGGCGAGTCGTATCGGGTCTTCTTTGACCTGGTGAAACCTCACGTTGACTCGGAATGGGCTGGCTTCCCCGAGGCGGATAGAGTTGGTTACATATTACCCGATTGGAAGACGGCGCCGTGGCTTGACGATTAAACCAGGTTTGCACATCGGTACGAGCCAACATGTACAGATATTTTAGAAGGAGTCGCGGAGTTTCATCAGATGATTTTGGCTTGACTGAAGCTACGGCGTGTGTGCGAACCTCGCCTCGTGCCTGGGCAGATAACGCAGCTGAAGATGACATTGGAACAGGTTTGCCTCGCTGGCTTTTGCATGAAGGTAGCCCAGTAGAGTGACACTCGGGTTATTTATGGTGACCCCATAAGGTACCTATGTACCTAGGTTCTCCAATGGGACCGACTGGTTGGCTTAGTCATCTAGACCATCGTCCTGGACTTGGACGTTCGAGATGTAGGTAGTAAAAGTTACAGTTTCCTGCCTGTTCGGTGCACGTGGAGGACAGTACGAACATTAAACTTAGTACGTTCTTGTATGTATTGTATGTACTTTCCATCCCCAACGCTGCCTAGAGGTGCCCCGTCCTTCTAACCTTCCAATCTTGGTACTCTTGACCCAGCGCAACCTTGTCCTACCAACTTCAACGACCTGCTTATCTATCACGCAAGCTGCTTCCACTCCTCTGCTACGTGTCTAGCAGCGATCGACGACCTCCCATTCCGGTCTTCGAGGAATCAGCCCACGAATTGCCTGTCGCCGCACCCGTAAGCTCCAAACACCTCGAATTCGCCTCTACCACTTCAATCCTTTGAAGCTGAAGCAATAAACCATCCGCGACTGCTTCGAGCCTAGAAGACTGCTCGCGTTTTATAGCCCAGTTCTAGCCACCGTTGTCTCTGCCGCTCGTCATACTCGCCACAATCTCGCACCGTGATACCGGGCCTGCAATAGGGGAGGGACAGCGCCGCCGAAGGACCAGTTGGTCTTCGCGTGCGATGCGGGGTGGGCGGCCCTTGAGGTTCGAGAGCCCAAGGATCGAGGTCACAATAAGACCACAACACCTGCTTCGACTCGATACATAGCTACGAGAGTCGGGGGTATATGGGGGTGAAGATCTCGATAGTGCTCGTCAATAACACCGCTGGCTCCCTTGTGTGGTTGACCCTCGTCGGCCGCCGTCCCCTGGTATCCAACTCTCACAGTCGCTCCTTCACCTCCTTGGCATGGATCCGCGTTTTGTGGTCACTCGAGAAGAATTCCACCATGTCCAGGCGGACTTGAAGCAGGTCCAGTTCGTCCAGTCGAGCCACGCCGACAGGCTGTTACGGCTGGAGAAACGCCAGGCCGACGATGCCGCCCTGAAATCGGTCTGGAACTCGCCCTTCCCGAGCGTTTTGGGCGGCACACCTCAACACGGTTGGTACACTCCTGGCCGATCATTCGCCCGCATCGGCACTGACATCTCATGTAATAGGGCCGGTCCATATGCCTTCAAACGAGGTATTTGACGATCTGGATGGCGAAGGCCAGAACCTGCTCGGGTCGCTGCACCTCGAGGCAGATGATGAGCCTACCAGGCGAGGTGCCGCGTCAAGAGCCAACAGCGTCCGGTTCGACGAAAGCGCCCTTCAAAGCTCGAGCTGGGGAGGGCAGGGTGGTCGTCATTCTGGCGAGTTTGGCCCTGCACGTCCGGGCAGCGGATTAGGAAACCATGCGATGATGGAGCGTTCCTTTTCGCACAAGTCCGACGGTAGGCACAGCTCGGCAGGTCACTCTGTCCATTCTATGCATTCTGGCGTTTCCGGGCGCGCAAGCAGCCTCGGTCTCGACACGAATTTCGTTGTTGGGGGACGTGGCGAGGACTCTCCTTTGGACATCCCCGAGCCGCCCCCAGGGTTCTTCTTTTTGGGCCCTGTACCCTCGATAATTCGCTGTTGGCTCAATACCGATTTCTGTTCTAGCACCCTCCTCTACGCTGCCGTGTGCACCGGCGCCAAGACATCCACCGTGGATTTCTCGTTGGTCAAGGAACTAGACCTAGCCGATGACATCCACCGGGACACGGAGGGAATCCATCGAATAAGGCTCCCCGTATATCTGGCCGAGGCGAGAGTAACGCAGTCAAACTCCAGGTCCCCAAGTCCGGCCCCGCAGCTGCCCAGCATTCAGGCATCGTTCCAGGTCACCGGCATTGAGCACACTGACCCGGCCGAGATGAGCCGAAGAGTCCGCATTTTCATAGGTAGCGACACACTACGGCTGCACAGCGCGGATATACTCTTCTCCCAGAATATAATGACGCTATACGGCAATGACAGGGACAAGCTTTCCGTCCCTCTCGTACGACCAGAGGACGACGCCGTCTTCAAGCACCTCTCCACTGCCCACATTATGCCTGAAAAGCCAAAGCTTAACGCTAGCGCCCCTGAGTTTGTCTCCACCGACAATACTTCGAAATCTGATGTGCAGTCGACGGATCCTGCTTCATCGCAGCCGAAGAACAGTGAGATAGACTCGCAACGCCCCCTCTCGAGAACTGGACGACAATTAGGCCAGGCTGGCAAAGTCGCCCCTGCCAGTACCGCATCTGAAAGTGGTGCGGAGAGTGAGCGACAGGCTGCGGAGTCGACTGCTCCCGAAGTTCCCGGAAGGGATTCTGGCAAACACACTAGCAGCAGTCGCCGCGACTCCAGCACGGCTATTTGGGGTCCATGGCGTCAAGGCGCCTCGGGAAATGGCGGCGAAAACGGCCCGAGGGAGAACGGGCCCCTGAGCGGCTATCAGCCCGCCGCACGAGTGAGCCGTGGCATGAAGATCCTGAAGCCTTCCAAGTCCAGCGGGTCATCATCCACCAAGACGGGGGCTCCATACGAGCCAGCTCCTTCTCGACGCGGTAGCGGCGAGCATCGACGCAGAAGCCAGGCTAGCGCCTCCACTGCGGAGACCGGGACGGGGACCGGGACAGTCCGCTGGGACTCGAAACGGAGCATCAGCGGGGTTCTCGGTGGCAATGCCAGCAGTGGTGGGAGCAGCAAGCCGCCGGCCATTAGCCATGATACGGCCAAAGGGTCTTCGGCATCACGATCTGCGAGTAACCCGCTCGGCAACGCCTCGGCGTTCGCATCGTGGATGGGTCATGCAGGGAAACATAAGACGCCTACACCTGCAGCAGAATGAGGATGCTGCAGTTGGGATGCGAGGCATAGCCCTTCTGATGAAACATGCCATTAGGCTTATCGAAAGTTGATTTAATCACTTTAGGTTATTGTTTTTGGACGGCCCAGACCTTAGGTTAGGGCTATGACAGATACCTTTGGTACTGAAGATAATCAAAAAGACGAAAACAAGTCGAACCAGTCGGTGCCAGAGACTAGCAATTTGTTTGTTATGCATGCGCCTGTTTCTATTTATCAAGGATCCTGGATACATATAACTCCCGACCCAGCTTGATATGTACGGAGCGAAGTAATATTCACCAAAGTAAAAACAAAGGATGCTCCCTCACATCCCAACCGTCCTTTCCTCCCGTAGAGAACTCCTCCATCTATCCCTGTTGACAGTATGGGACCATGCATCTCTCTCTCTCCGTCCCCCCCACCCCCACCCCTTTCCACGCCTCTCACCAGCACCCGTCACATCTTGGAAGCCAGCAGCCCCTGCAGCGCGGCGCGCGTATCGGCAGCCGACTCCTTGACGAGGGCGACGGCGCCCCTGAACTCGGGGGCGGCGGCGTCGCCGAGGCGCTCGTAGAGCCATCCCTCGCTGGTGGCGACGACGGCGCCCTCGGCGCGCAGCCTCGCCAGGGCGACGGCGACCTCCTCGCGGTTGCAGCTGGACACGCCGTCGGCGAGCACGTAGACGCGGTGGCCGGCCGCCAGGCAGTCGAGCGCCGTCTGGGTGACGCAGATGTGCGACTCGATGCCGACGATGACGATGGTCGAGCAAGGGCCAGAGGGCCCCGGGCGCGGGAAGTGGCGCGATATCGCGGGCGTCCACATGCTGAAGAGGGTCTTGTCGACGTCCTCGCGGACGAGGGAGGTGGGCAGGTGCGCGCGTAGCTCCGGGATGGTGTCGCCTAGCCGGGCGCGGTTCTGCGTCGTCACGTAGATGGGGATGGAGAGGAGCTTGGCGGCCTTGAGGACCTTGGTCGCGGTGAGGACGCTGGTTTTGGGGCGCCGGTTTGTTAGCATGTGCAGAAGACGGTTGGGAAGGGGGGGTGGGAGATTTGGATTCCGACTTACACATTGTCGAATCCGTAGATGGCGTTACGGAACTTCTCTTGGATGTCGCAGACACTAAGTAAGGCGTGGATCATTTAGCCCAATAGCAGCGAGGATCTACAAGCCAAAAAGGGGAAACCAACAATATCGCAGTATTCTCTGGTGCATCTCGTGTCAGTTACGTGACGCCACGTGCCCAATGGCGGAGGGACTCACGCATTCGCCTGGCGGGGCCTCTCTCGGCGGCCATTGTGGTATACAGCACGCTCCTGGGTGTTGAGAAGGATGGGGAGATTCGCCGAGGAGTCAATTGGCCGATACAACCAAATCCGGGCCTCAGGGTTCGATAGATGGTCATGTCACAGGCGAGGAAATGGATGATGCAGTGTCAGGTAAACCCCCACGGGCCGACAGGTCTTCAATGCGGGGGAACGGGCGTGAAAGAAACCCCCCCTTGGCAATACCGCGGGGTGGCGTGGCAGTTGCCGGACAGATGCCGACCGGCCCAACCGCACGTGATCCCCTTCGGCACATACCTATGGACGGAGATTCTCAACAGATAGCAAGGGAATGCTGGCATTATGTGATAGAGCGATAGATCCGACTAATATTCGCCTGTCCGTCACACACGAGAGACCTTTGCCCGTTGCAGCCAGCTCAGGTCCCGATCAGCAGTTGCCTTCCGGATCCTGAGCAGCTCGTCTATGAAAGCGGGCACAAACGTCCCCGGCCCTTGGACATCCGCCCGGACGGCCGCCACCTCGGCGGCGATCTCGAGGTGTAGGATCCCCGCGATCACTGCGGCCAGTTTGTCCGTCGGGGCGATAGCCATCATCGCCGAGACCGTAGTCCCCAAGACGCAGCCCGTGCCCGTCACCATGCCCAGGTACTCGTGGCCGTTGTCGATTCTGAACACCCTCTCCCCGTCGCTGACAATGTCCGTCTTGCCCGTCATGATGACGATGTTCTTCTCCCTTGTAGCCAGTTTCCGGACGAGCTCGGCCTTCTGCGAGGTGTCCAGGGTGCAGGAGCTGTCAACGCCGCGCTGCTGCACGTTGTTCTGCCCAAACACCGTCTTGATCTCTCCCTCGTTGCCCTTGATTACATCGAGATAGCCATTGGCCATGATAGTCTTGACTGCCGCTCGCCTTATCGAGGTGGCACCGGCTCTAGGTCGCTGATATTAGGTTCTGCATGAAGTGAAACAAGTGATGCCGGGGGGCCCTTACCCGACGGGATCGAAGATCACAGGTCGGCCTGCTTGGTTGTATGCCCTCAGGGCTTTGAGGTAGTTCTCCAGGCCCTGCTCGGTGACCGTCCCCATGTTGATCACCAGGGCACCGCCAAGCCTGGCGAGATCAGGGGCCTCTTCTCCGTAGTTTGCCATTATAGGAGATGCTCCTACAGCCAAGGCTACGTTGGCCGCAAAGTTCTGGACAACCTGCGTATGTGTCAGTGATGAAATCTGTCTGTGCAAAGTGCAGATGGGCCGACTAACTAAATTGGTCATGTTGTGAGAGAGGGGAGTGGCATCGTGGACAGCTTTGATGACAGCTGGGACCAGAGCGATAATGTCGTGAGCTTCTACTAGTTTCTGACCCGCCCTGTCTTCACCGTCCTGCCGGAACAGCGGTGCCGCCCGTACAAGGCTGAGCAGTCTCCTGGCCTCGCCCTCCGGGTCCGGCGCAGCCATGAGAGCGCTGACGATAGCAACACCATTCAGATTTCTCAAGGGAGAGCTGCTCTGGAACATGACTCGCTCGAGGTTGGACCCATTGACGCCTCCGATGCAGACTGTCTGGGCGTCGTGGCCTCCAGCAGTAATAGCTTCCAGTATCTCCCGCACCCCAGCGGTTCCAATGATGCTTTTTGCGTTTGTTTTCCTGGCCTCGCGTTAGAATAGTGGATTAGATGGGGGGTCCGGGAGACTCCACGTTGGGGTTGCGTAGACAGTGCCAATGCCGAGATAGTCGGCGCCATTGTTGCACGCTTCAAGAGCTTGGTCTACGCTGCTCACGGTGACTCCGATGATAGCGTCGGGGCCCAAGAGCTTCCTCGCGAGACTTAGCTCTGCCTGGCATTAGCTTGCAGCTCCATTGCGATTGGGTCTTCCGGACTAACCCATATCGTCCTGCCCAATATGGACTCCCTCACAGCCAACTGCGAGGGCCACATCAATCCGGTCGTTGATGAGGAGTGGTACATTGTGTCGCTTGGTAATCTCGTGCAATTGACGGGCAATATCCACCAGAACTGCGGTATCACTGGTCTTGTCCCTGTACTGGACGCAAGTGACGCCGCCCTTCACAGCAGCTTCGACGACATGGCAAATGTTCTTGTCGCCAAGAATTGCTGGTGTCGAGTCAGTTACGAGGTACAGTGAATAGTTGACGTCTTCTTTCTTCATCGTGCTCGGTTTTCTTGTTTGTCAGGTTGGAGAAACTAGCAAGTTCGCCAAGCATCACGAAATAAATATCCCGCAGGTGCCAGCTTAACTTTGTAAGTCAAGCCACTCTTCCAGCAACGACGCTCTCTCTCGTCTAAGAGGAAGAGCACAGGGTTCACGTCCTCAATCTTGCGCCTGCATTGACTTGCGTACCAATTCTGCACCTATAGCAATATTGCTTTCTTATTGTTATTTACCTAGCTAAGGATGATTGCACCTATCTCGAGTCTTCCAACGCAAAGCTTACGTCATGTAGCATTTCCATGCTCCCGTCGCACTTTACACTACTTATATCTAGATGTCTCGACCAGCAATCGTTACTTCCTTGACGCATCGTCATTTCTCCCCCTCCCCCACTCCTAATTGCCTGGTGGATGATCGTGAGAGCGAGGCGACTGCGTTCTAACAGACTAGCCCCTCGTAAGCAAGGTCCCTTTGGCGGTGCCTTCGACCGTGGCCCAGCGTGTTATCATGGAAGCACTGGCTCACTAGCATAGAACTGGTGCGTTTTAAGTGTTTCGTGCCTGTATTAACAATACCGTAGATAGACAAGCGGGCTTCAATGCAATGGTCGCCTTGTGTGCGCAAAGACACTTGCCATGTATCCCTTAGTCGCAGATTCCCATATGAAAGTTTCTTGATCACGCCGGCCACAAGGTCGTAACTGCATCCCGTCGACAGTATGTGAAAAGCAGAGCGGCTTGCCCTACGTGACTGCGTAATGTAGCATCTCCCTAGCACTTGCAGCAAGATAGCAGCTCCTTCCTCCTATATTGTGTCGAGGGATTCCAGGCATGGGAAGCAATTGCGGTTTCGAAAAGAGAAGGAAGTTGCAGTCGAACACAGCCTAGAACCACTTAAGCCAGGCTTCCTCCCGTCCAGTCCTCTCTGCTCTTCGTCTTCAACTCATCCAGCCTTGAATGGTCGTCTTTGACAGTCCGCTCACGGCTCACCACCTACACGTACGTCACTGTTGACACTTGCCCCGGTGCGCCGCGAGGCTCCATGCGCCGTGACAGCACTCGGCTGCCCAGCCCATCGGATGCCCCCCTTTCTGTCTGCGCAGCTTCGACGCAGATGTGTTCCACGCCCCAACGGACCTCACCTCAGTATCGTCTTCGCCTGAAACATCCTGGGCCACTGCTGTGGCAAGGGTCATCTTGGGCGACGTTAGTGCTGTGGTATACCAAAGGTGGGCGGTCCATCCTGTGGTGATATTGTTCTGGCACTCTGAGCTTCGGCGATGAAGACAGGACACTTCTGAGAAGCCCACACTGAGCTTCGGCTAGCCCCCTAACGGGACATGGGATCTAGGGTTGAGCGCGGTGGTCCTGTGGCATACCAACAGGTGGGTGGTCTACCCTGTGATTAATGTTGCCTGGCACTCTGAACTCCGGCGATGAAGAACATGACTTTTCTGAGGAGCCTGCACTGAGCCTCGCCTGACCGTCCTCGCGAGTTTCAACTGCGCAGACGTCGCCCTTTCTAAAGGGCCCCTCCCCCCCGGACAGAGGAACATGTTAGCCCTAGGTTCCAGCGCAAATTGGTGATGTTCACTCAGGGCGAGTCAACTCCTTTGGCGCACCATCCAGAGGAGCCGGAGATGTCGACTTGTAATGGAAAGGAGGGAAGACTGGAGGGGCCGAGGAGAGGTTGGCTTTCAGGCAGCTCTCCGGCTTGTCGGGGTTTTGGGTTAAAGTTGGAGTCACTCGGTGGCAGGATACTGGAGGAGATGCTCTGCGGCTGCCAGTATACATCCCTTTTCGGACTAAGTTTGGGTTTGCGCAATGTTTTCTAGAAGGGCCTCGCCAGTACCCTCTCATCTGGCTATTGCACATGATTGGCCCAATCCAAGTTTGACTCGGGTGTGTGGGTGATACCTTGAGCAAAAGAAGGCAAAACAGCGTCACGGTTCCCGTAGATTAGAGAAGACGGCGGAGAATCCATTCAAACGTTGAAGATTACAGGGTGAGGACCAACCCCGCGCGTCGTAGAAACAATACTGGGGAAGTACCTAGTTTTCTCGAACAGCTTCAACGAATACACCATCCAGCCCAACAAGAAACCTGGCCTTTGCATTACAGGGATGCTGTCATGCCGAGGTCGGCCCGCAGCCCAATGGTGCAAGGGGTTGACCAATGCCGAATTAAGCCGCATCCGTCTGATGTACAGTACATAGGTACCTACAACGTAGGGCTTCATTCTTGATGCAATCCTTCCAAGGGCACTAACCAACCACATCATGTCAACCCTGAGATTAACCTTCCTGTATCCCCATTTGTTCCGCACGGCTCGTCTAGGCGAACCCGCCGCCCAGGCAGCAGCGAGGGGTTCCCGGCGCAGGCCTCGCCGTGCGACTCCGACGCTCCCCTGCCTGCACGCCTCGCCCTTCGCCAGCGCGACAACCGCGAGGCAGACCCCGGCCCTCAAGAGACATGGGAAAGCAGTAGAGCCGGCTCCGCTGCATATCGAACCCGACGCTCCTGCGGCTGGGGATGCGAAGGCGCGGCCCGAGCAAGGTGGTGGTGGTGGGAAGGCGGACAACGAGGCCGTGAGGACCGAAGGGAAGGGGGCGAAGGACACCGGCAAAGCAGCGGAGCCCACCAATGCGCAACCCGGACAGGCAGAAGAAGCCAAGGCGCAGCAGGCCCCCGGGAGCGACAGCCGTCTGGCGGCGGCAACGGACGACTCCCCACCGAGCACCAAGAGCGGACCGATGGACACGATCCTACACATGGGGCCGCCGGGGGGCTACGAGGAGGCGGCGCCGGGGCCGGGGCGGAGGACGGTGCCGCCGCCGCACATGGCCGCGTCGCCGTACGTGCACCACTTTGACAGCTACTCGCTGGTCAAGCAGCTCGAGGCGGGCGGGTGGACGGCGGTGCAGGCCATCACTGCGATGAAGGCGATCCGCGGCATCCTGGCGGCGAACCTGGACGTGGCGCAGGACGGCCTCGTCAGCAAGTCGGACGTCGAGAACGAGACGTACCTGTTCCGCGCCGCCTGCAGCGAGCTCAGCGCCGAGGTCCGCAACAACCGCCGCGTCGCCGACGGGCAGATGCGCCAGCAGCGCACCACCCTGCAGCACGAGGTCGACATCCTGACACAGGGAATGAGCCAGGAGGTCCTGACGCTGAATGATAACGTGCGCGGCATGTTCAACGACCGCAGGATGGCCGTCCGGGAGGAGCAGAAGGCGGCCGAGAGCGCGGTAAGTGGCAACCACCCCCCCCCCCCCTTTGGAGAGGTTCGGGGAAGAGAGGACTAACCGAGTTTCGTTCCTATCTAGATCCAGCAGATCAGCTATAAGATCAGCATATTGCTGAACAGCGACGCAAGGTCGGAGATCGAGGCCGTGCGCTGGGTCCTGATCCGGCGCTCCGTCCTGGGCATCCTCTTCATGGCGATCCTGACACTCGGCTCGCTGCGCTATGCGAGCTATCGCAGCCACGAGAAGGCGAGGGAGCAGGAGATGTTGCTGATGGAGGCGGGCGCCCTCAAGAAGGAGGCCGCTAGGCAAGACGCTGGGCCAGATGTAAGCGAGATGCTGGCGGCGAACTGACAGGTTGTAAATCCGGTGCAAGCATAGGAGAGAAAATTTGGGGGTAGAGGGCAACCGAGACTTAGATCTAGTCGTGTTGGGGATACCCACACGTATATATACTCCCAGCCGGGCCGTTTTCTATGTCGCAAGTTCTGGGAGGAAGCCTTGTCGTAGGAGGCACTACCATTCTTGAACCAGGGGTATTTCAATCAATCATCCAGTTACCCCTAGCCACCCGCTTAGCACGCGCACGAGTCTCTACGGGCTTCGAGTATGCATGTACTTTCCAAAGCAAGCAAGGTAATAACGAGTCCTTCGAAAAATTCAACTACTCTAGGTTATACGCTGCACAACCTCCCTATACAACAATATCATCTGCATCTGGCACCCCTTCCCAACTCATCAACGACCCCAATCAACCCCCAAAGTCCATCTTAAGCGCAATACTCGGCCTCACCTCCTCCTCACCCGCCTCCCCACCATCCCCGCCCGCCGCACCACCCGCCCTCCTCCCAGACCGAATGACCTCCTCCATAAATGTCCTCTGCCCCTCGCTCATCCCCGCCACGACCCCGCGGAACGCCGCCTGGTCCACCGACGCCAGCTCGAGCAGCCTCGCGCCCGTCTCGCGGAAGACGGGGGGCACGGCGCCAATGTCGTCCGCGTCGGCGGCCGCCGCCCGCGAGAGGAGCGCCGGCGCCACGAGGGCCATGGCGACGGCGACGCGGTTGCCACCGCCCTTGCTACCGCCCTTGCCCTTGCCGAGCGTCGCCACGTACTGGCAGAGCGTGTGCGCGACGAGCGCACGCGCGTTCTCCGGGTCCTCGCGTTCCGTGTCGGTGACGAAGGAGATGAGGCGCGGGAGCAGGTGGCGGGCCAGGGTTTGGTCCGCGGCCGTCGGCGAGGGCTGAAGGAGGAGGGAGCGGATGCAGTTGGCGGCGATCCTCGCGGTCTATGTAGCCGAGTCAGGAGCTGTTCTGTTGGGTTGGGTTGGGAAAGTGGAGGGGTCAGAGTATATACTCACCATGCGGTCCGTAAGACAATCAACCACCTCTTCAAGGAACCTCGAGACAAGTGGGTCAGTAGCTGGGAGGTGGTTCTTGCCACTGGTGAAGAGGATGGTGATCGCCATAAGACAGTTCTTGACGCACGGCAGCGAGGTGGCCACCTCGCGCTTCTGGGCGTGCAGGTAGATGGAGAGGAACCGCCTCAAGCAGCCCTGGAGCTGCACGTCCGTCTGGCCAGCCGCGGCACCAGAGGATTTCCTTGAACTTGTCATGCTTGTGATGAATCTCTTCAGCGTCGGGAGAGACTGCGGTACGACAACCTCCTGACAGGACGGCGTGGCCAGGATCGTAGCAAGGATGTGGATAATGCACGCGTGGAGATCAGTCTTGATGATGGATGGGAAGACTTCGGCAGCATCGACGAGAGCATTTAGGGACGTGCGGACTAGCAGGATGGCTTCCTCTGTCATTTGGTGGCGTACAGGCTGGTTGGTTTCTGAGAGGTTGGGAAGCAGACCCGACAGGACCAATACGATGATCCGCGTAAGCTCGAAGAGTTGTTCGATGTCCTCGGACAGCTCATCGTTGTCGGCTTGCTCGCGGTTTCTTGCTGCTGGGTGAGCAACGCAGAGAGCCCGCGCGATTTCCACAATTACCCCTTGGACATCTAGGGGTTCGGTGAGTACAAGCCGATCAAGGAGATCCATCGTCTCCGAGAAGATTGCGTCGCGATAGATTGCGTGACCAGACACGCTGGGATGTAGGATCTTCTTCAAGGCTCGCAGGATTTCTAGCGTTTGCTCTTGAGTGCCTAGCGAGTCTGCCTGCCCTGGTTTCGCGGCAAGTGCTTCGAAAGCAATGCCAAATAAGACGAAGAAGAAGGCGACCGGCTCGTCCCGATAGTTGATGTCGGCGCCCTTGGAGTGGCCATTTGTGACAGGGCCTTTGGATTCTTTGCCGTCCAGCGCGTCGAAGACGAACTCGCTGTCTTGCTCAATCAGGCTGGCGATGGCGTCCACAAGCTTGAGCCACGAGTCTTGGTAGAATTTGAGGAGTGTCTCTCGATTCAGGGCAGCATACACTGTGTCGAGGCTGCCGGAGAGAGACGGGGGTCCGAGGGTCATGGATATATCGGGCTCGAAGCGCAGGCGAGCGAACTCCCGAAGAGACTCGAGCCATAGTGGCGTCAGAGTTCCGATATGAGGCTTCAGGACTTCAAGCAGGTACTTCTGCTCGGAGCTGGCCACCTGCAGATCCGCCCAGGCGGCGAAAACCGACATCTTGACCATGACCTGGGCATTGGAGCTCAGCCCCTTGAGGTCGCCAATCCCGGCATTCTCGTGCTGGCTTGAGAAGTTTTCAAGAGCGCTCACGAGCGTCTTGAGAATCCTCCCCATCCTGTCTACGTCCGTTACAATGCCGGTTGCAATGAACGTGGCGCAAACGTTGACTGCCTCCGAGGCTAGTTCAGGTGACGAGTCGGCAGCAAAAGCTGGCGTCAAGGCCGAGCTGATTTGGGCCTGGTATTGCTCAAGCAGCATTGCCTCCTCAAAGTCTGGATCGGGCGTCTTCCCAAACGTCTTTAGCACTGCTCCGATGATCTTCAAGCCCCATACGCGCTGCTCCAGCACTCCGCCCGTCGAGGCGGAGAAGGCCATGCGGACCACGTCGGCAATCTTGTTTTGCAAGGCTGTCTGCGCCGGAGACTCGCCATTCGTCGCCACATCCTTAGTGGTGAGGACGAAGATGTCATTGAGCAGGCTCGTCGCAAATGCAGTGACCTGCCACCGAAGGGGCTCCACATCAGGGCCCGCTGCTGGCCCCTTCTCATCTTTGGCGTCGCCAGCTGCGGAAGCGAAGCCAGCCACTTCCTCGTCTCGGAGGTCTGGCATCGCCCTTCCCTTCTTTGCGCCAGCCGCAACTGTCACGATCGCCTTGGGACGAGTCATTTTCAACACGTGCTGCAGCCGCTGAAGCCACGGGGCGGTATCGGAAAGACAGGTCTGGCGCAACCAGTTCCAGATGATGTTGCGGATGCCGTCATGGTTCGGGGCGGAGTCGAGGGCAAGCCAAAGCTGGTCCTCAAATCCCTTGTCCGCGGCTTCAATCACATCGTAGGAATTTCTCTTCATCAGGTTATAGAGCCCGTCAACCGCAATGTCTCGGAGCGTGGGATGCCCCGAGTTGAGATGCTTCTGCAGTGTTTTGACGTAGTCGGTGAAGTTCATGTAAACGGGTGCGTAGAGCGTGAGATGTTCCAGGCAAGCCAGACTTGCTCTCTGAACCTCGAGGTCGTCTTCCTGCTGGAAATGCCCAACAAGCGTGAGGATCAACTCCCTCGATTTGGTCGCATCCTGGAGGTCCGGCCCAAGCACGTTGATAAGCGAGTTGACACACCGCGCTGCCGCGGCCGTTGAGGAGAGCTCAACTTCGAGGTTCATGGTGATGGCTGACGAGACCTCTGGGTTATGCGTGTCCGAAACATAGAGCTTCGCCAACATGCCCAGAGTGCTGGAGACGTACCCTGAGAATCCAAGGCCAGCAGCGTCCGACACGCGGGCTATCGCCTCCATGGCCCAGAAATGGACCGTGGGGTGGGGGTCGTTGCATAGCGACATGAGGATGTTGAGAATCGTCTTGAGATGATACCCCGCTGCCATGCTGCCGATCTTGGTTTGGATAGTCCCCAAGGCCATCGCACAGCCGGCCCTGGCACTCGGCTCTCTGTTGATGACGATTGTGTCGACAAGATATTTGATCTCCTGATTGGTGAACGCGTTCCCGCAAGTGTTGCAGAGCCTTGCCACTGCCTCATAGCCAATACTCCGGACGTACTGGTCTGGGTCCAGGACGACATCCCGGAGCATTTCCTGTAGGAGCTTCTCCACGGCAAAGTTGGTGACGTCGCCCGCAGGAGACTTGGTCTCTTTCACGGCTACTCTCAGGGTCGAGAGCAGAGCTACGGCAGTATTGACGTTGATCGCCGCTCTGCGTCCTGGATCTCGCTGCAACGAACCTGTTGCAACAAAGGTCGTGACCTGCTCCAGAATACTCTCCTGCACCTTAGATGGCGTGAGGGGGAAGACGAATGCAAACAGTTGGATCGCCATGTTGACCACCTCAGTCGCGGGAGGATCAGGGTGATCTCCGGATGCCTCCGGGTCTCCCATGTATAGCATGGAGGCATCGTGCTCCAAGGCACCACATACCGGCGATAGAAGGAGCATATTAACACGGTCTTCTGGACCGTCTTCGTCGCACAACAAAGACTCTCCCTGGTTTTCTTGCTGGCCTGGAAGGCTCTTGACCTTGAAGCCCCGAACGAGTCCGGTGACACCAAAGCCAGAGTTGTCCCCCACGTCCCATATGGTCTCGAAAGTTCCGGCGGCGTTTGCTATGGATGCGCTGAGGGAGTTGGGAGTGTAGTTTTCTGGATCGGCGAAGAGGGAGATAGTCAGGGTGAGGAGGTTGGACTGCAACAAGGCCTCTGTGCCACCCGCCGGGCTCACATTTACCAGCTTGGTATAGCATTGCAAGACGCGGCGTTGGACCATGACCTCCAGGTCCTGCAATTGGAGGGCGGGAGTCAGTCTCTCGGACATATCTTCTGTGGTCTTCTTGGACGGAAGCGTCTTTAGGAAGGCAGTGGTGCTTTGCAGCATCGTTGCTATCCGCTTCGAGACGTCGACTGTCAGGAGGCGACTGTTGAACTGGAGGAAAGCGAGGATCGAGCCGAGCGCGCACTCCCTGACGTGTGCGAGGAAGGCGGCGTTCAAGTAGTTCCTCTGCGCGGTATTGTCCTTGGCCAGAACCTTGGGCAGTGCGTTTTTCCAGAGAAGCAGCATCTGTGACAGGTGGATTTTGACGAAATTCGGTCCGAGAGACATCAGGCCTCCTATTAAAGTCCAGGCGACCTGGATCTTTGTGCTAGCGACACGTAGTTCTGAACTGCCACTAGACTTCAGCAGGTTCGTTGCCATGGTCAGGACGCGACTGTTGATGTCGACAGAGCCATAGAGTGGTCGCAGCGGACTCGTGCTCAGCGTTGCGGCCAAGCCGTGAGCGAATCCAATGCATCGCCGAGGCGAATTCCGGCCTGATCCAAGTAAGCCCAGTTCCCTGCTCAGGCTGTTCATGCAGACGGAAAGGCACGGAAGAAGCTGCTGAGGGCAGGCTAGGACGAATGTCTTCATGCAGGATGATGCGTAGACCTGGACAGAATAGCTCGGGTGCTGGAGGACCTGCAACAGGCCGTCCCGACACGACTCGGCGAAGTTGTTTGCTGCCGAGCCCATGCTGTTGATTAGACGCGCCAGGGCGCCCATGGACACGATCAAGGTCTGCTTGCTAGGCTCCGGTCGCTCTTTGAGGGCGCGCGGATAGTTCTTTAAGATATCGTTGATAATAATCTTGGCTGCTGTTGTCTGGCCAGATTCCCCAAGGATCTTCTGGCCGATCACATCCTGGACGATGGCATCAACCATACGTCTGGAGATGAGGAGGCGGTAGCGGCTGTTTGCTAGGTTTCCATGGCCGAGGAGGTCGACTGTCAGGTTCTCCAAGATTCTAAAGTAATTCGTCTCGACCGTCTTCTCTCCTAATCTCTGGAGAACGTTCCCGTAACAGATCGCGATGGCGGCCCTTGCTCGGTTTGTCGTCGACATCCGGACATACTGCGAAGACAAAGTCTTGAGGATATCAACCAACGACATCGCTAGATCGTGCGACCTTTTCCCAGGCGCGGGACTCTCTGATCGTGCCGGTATATCATCATCGTCCTGCAACGAACCAGGCGGGGCCGACTGCCGTTTTACCGCGCGGGATTTGGTCCTCCTGATCATCGCTAGGGGCGCTTCTCCAACTACAGACTCGGAGTAGCCCTTCACCAGAGCTTCTGCAAAGCAGTCGGCAGCAGCGTGGCGGACGTGGACGGAGGGGAAGTCGACCGTCTTGAAAATGGTTGACCGCAGGTTATCAAAGTCGCTCGAGTTCTTGAAATAATTCGTATGCCGAACGAGGGCTTTCATACACCGGCATGCGGAAATGACTACCAACGAGCCCTTGTCACTAGAAGCGTGGTTCCTGGCCTGCTTCCAGAAATCCCTCGCCAAGCTCTCGTCCAAGCTCTCCTCGATCATCTTGACTACCTTGCTAAACGCAGTAAAGACCGCGGCGCGGAGGCCAGCGTTGTTCTGGGAGGCCTTTAGAAGCTTTAACAGCGTCGTGCACGCCAGCTGGTGGAGGCCGATCGCACTATCACCGGCTGAACCGTACACATCTCCAAGACAGGCTACCGCTGCATGCTTGCTCCGGGTTTCGCCCTCGCTCTTGGATTTCCCGCTGGGAATGATGGCTATAAGGTCATTTATCGTCTCGAACAGGAGCTTCCTGTCCCCAATCGCAAATATGTGCGCGAGGCATCGTCCAAGGTTATTCCGGATTACTCGAGTCGGCGCGGGAGTGGCAAGGTTGAGGATCTTGAAGATCTCCTTCTTGAGGTAAAACTGCTGCGCCGTGCAGTCGTCGGCGGACAGGGATAGGACATGTTTGCTGAGGCTGGACACGAAGGTCAATAGGAACAGCTCCTGTTGCTCCGTTGGTAATCCTTGGAGCTTCGACAGGTCGAGCTCCGGGTTGGAGCCTGATGTTGAAGCTTTGCTGGGAACATATTCGCCATTTGTTTCGGAAGGGGGAGATGTCGAAGCCATTCGGGTGGCGTGGCGGCTAATACGTCTGGTCTGAAAGCTCGCTCGTCGTGTCTTCGACCCCTTTATCGTGTCAAGGTCAAGGTCGTGTGTTGTTTGGTGGTCATCTTATCGAGGTTCCCCTTATCGAGTCGGCGAGGCCAGCCATGGGTCCCCCATTATAAGCAATGTGGGTCTTCCAACTACCGTCACCGCACCAATAGAATACCCTGGACCCCCAATTTACGGCACCAGCCTCATCTGCAGGGCCGCCAAAATTTCCCGCGAGGCTGAGGTACTTTGGCCAGCTCCCTCGAATGGTATTTATTCGGCCTTTGTCGAGCAGCGTCCTCGACTAAATCTGGCTTTCAGTTCGAACCCGATTTTGTGTACATATTTTTCTTCTTCCTTAGCGCCTTTTTTTCGAACAACACCAATGGCTTGTATTAGCCGAGGACTTATCAATCCTCGGTTGCTATTGCCCAGAGCATCATGTCCACGATGCTATCGAACATTAACTTCAAGCTCGTCGCTGCTCAGTGGACACAACAAGTGGTCAAAGATAAAGCATGACAAAGCGGCCGCCGACGCCAAGAAAAACGCTGTGCGCAACCAGTTTACGAAATCCCTAGCGCTGTACTCGAGATGTTCGTCCGCCTAGGCTACTACTCTTCAGACGAGGACACGAGACTCATAACTTGGCAGTATACGGCGGAAACCCTGACAATAATCCCCAGCTCGCCTCGACTCTGGCCGCGGCGAGGAAGGCCGGGGTCCCAAAGGCGACTATAGAAGCAGCAATAGCGCGGGGACAAGGCCGCTCCTCCGGAGGCGCGGCGCTGGAGAGCGTTACCTTCGAAGCCATTGTTCCCCCGTCGGTGGCCCTGATAGTGGAAACCGAGACGGATAACAAACTGCGCGTTTTGCAGGATTTAAGCTTGATGGTGAAGAAAGGCAAGGGAATGCCGAGCGCTTCCAAGTACTTCTTCTCAAGGCTCGGCAGGGTGGTATTCGAGAAGAGCGAAAGCGGGATCGGAGTGGAACAAATCATGGACGAGGCATTGGAGGCCGGCGCAGAAGATCTCGAAGATGACGAGGAGGGTAACCTTGTCGTCTGGACACAGCCCAACCAGACCACACAGGTCTGTCGGTCTATTGAGAGCGCCTTTGGGCTGAGGGTTCTCAGCTCCGACATCATATGGTCTCCAAACGAGGATACCAAGGTGCAGCTGGACTCGTCGCCAGAGCTTGCGAACCTCGCCGACCTTATTGTGAAATTGCAGGATCACCCAGATGTTCAAGCGGTATACTCGAATGTCTCGCGGGGCACGATGAGCGATGACGAGTGGGCAACCCTCGAGGAAAACCTAGACGTATAGAGTCCCAGTACCTAGGTATCAATTGTACAACAACGGGAGCATGGCAATAGACCTCTGCCACACGGTTAACCGATCGTTTTGAGAGAGGAAATCGTAGTCGGAACCATGTGAAGGCGGTTGCCAAACCAATATGTCCATCCACTCCGTCTGTTTCCCAATCCCATCCCAACGCCTGTAATGTATGTACAACCGCTGCCTTGCCCAACCACAGCCCCAACCCTACGACTGGGATTCATCGTTCTGGCCTCGATTTTCTTGCCGCTCAGCAGCGAGCCTTCGATCCCTCAGGTACAGCCTCTTCGCCCTCAGCCTCTCAAGCTCGGCGTGTATCTCGTCTCGTTCCAGGGGGATCTTGTTGGCTTCCTCGGGTTTCGGCCAGAAATCGGGTACGGCGAACCGGTTGTCGAGGTTGGTTCCGAAATAGTACATGATGCCTATGGGAAACAGGACATACATGCCGAACTGTCCCAGGTCAGACCCTGAGCGGGTCAGTCGCGTTTGCGCGCGGAGCTCTTACCTTGTAGACTTCTAGATTTAAGCGTTGCATCTTGCTCAATTGGTGATATACTCTCCTGCGATACAAGAAGTGCAAGCGGAAGGTCGGCTTCCAAGAGATAGGTACGCAGAGATGGAGCTCTAGGCGATGGTATGATGCTTTCTGAGCCTGGGTCTAGAGCAAATCCCGAACGACTTGGCACCTGGTGCCAGCTGTGCATCCCGACTTGCACATCTGCCGGGTCATATATGCCCGTCATACCCTGAGGGCTCTACTGAATAGTAAAACGGGATTCACGGATTCGACTTCTTCATTGGTATTTCATAGACATTATTACTCCGGACCACACTGTATTATGGCTACCTTTTCCAGCCCGGACAGCTCTTTGTGACCCTCCAAGCAGCAAGACCTCTTCTTCCCACGACCCGTGCCAAGGTATTCCAAACCCCGTCTTCCGCAAAGTCGAGATCGTCTAAATTCAAGTGCTGTTTGTACCTCCAAACTTCTCGAAACCTGAGACCCTCTAGGCCTTTATTCGGTAGGTACGGATCCAGCCAGTCTGCCGAAAGCGGTGCAATGAGATAGGTCCCGTTATGCTCCTTAAGGTACTCGTTACTCCTCCTGTCCGCAGGTGTGTCGCAAGTGGCCAACTCCCACAGCTCCTCGAGAAGAGCCTCGCCCTTCATGCCCATCACATCCCGGGTTTTCAGGACCTCGTTCTTGCCGTTGAGCAGCCAGATCGGCGGCATGTACGTCTTCCACCAGATCGCCTGCGTTGCATCGGGCTGCTTGCTCATGAACACCTGTCCGGGCACGATTCCGCCCTGATGATAGACGCCCATCAGCAGGCCAAATGCGGAATTGAAGACGATCCACGATACCAGCCAGACCCGCAGTATCGCTTGCCGTTTGGGAAGCTGAACAGACGAGAGGATGAGAGGGATGGTGGGGAGTAAGAACCTGGCCTCTTGGTGCTGGACGATAGACAGCACAAAGAGGCCAGAGATCGCCGAATAGAGACGTAACGACAGGTGCGGCTGGGTGAAGAGAAGCACTGCCGCAGGCCCAATAAGCTGTGGAAGGTTGACCAGAAGGTGTTGATACCATGGATGAAGTCCATGCTGGGCAAGGTTGGCCGGGGACACGTTGTATAGAAGGTTGTTCAGAGGTGTTATCACCGGATGCCAAAGGAGGTCGGCGAAGGAGATAGAGTGGGGAGCATAAAACGCCGTATCCAGCGCTATCGCAAGCAAAGTGGTGAAGAGGCTGGATATCACCATCGTGGCAAGGGACAAAGGTCTGCTTGGCGTTAGCTTGGGACTTCTCCGGTCCAGTCCAGTCTTACGGCGGTTGCATACTTATTCCAATAGTAGGGTATCAATCTAATACCGGGAATCAACAAGAACGCCGGGAATGTTATCCGGTTGAACACGCCAAACACCACGACGATTCCAAGGATCGCCGAGGCCAGAAAGGAAGATTGTTGCTACGACACAAATGAGCTGCTGCTGTTTCACTGTGGTCCTCGAGAGACTTACAGGGCTTTCCGCGATACGCTGGATGAGCACTAAACTCCAAGCTACAACCAATGTCTCCACCGAATTCGAGAAGGTATGTGTTTGATATGTCCAAGTGACATATGAAGAAGCAACCAGAAGCACAGCGACGCGTCGATGGCGTGGTGACTGGATAAGTTCGTGTAATGCCCAGTCCTCCAAGACGAAGCTGATAATGAACATGAGCACCCTCAACGTCCAGAACACCGCTATCGGCGGTATGTCGCCATCTTTTCCGTTCCCTATCCACAACCACCTTAAGAGCAGCATGGGCAGCCCATAGACGGGCCAGAGAGGGAAGACGCTTCGGATGGGGTGCTCATTCGTGAATTCCCAGGTATGACGGACGGGATAGCTGAAGATCTGTCCTAAGAAGCACATCAACATTAGCACGCAGCTTTGCCAACGGTAGATTCCACCCCCCTGGAGGCTCCATCACCTGCATGCTGCAGAACATGCAGGGTCAAAGCTCCGAGGTGGCCATCTAGGCGAGCTTCTCCATGCGGCCAAGACCAGAGCGAGCGAAATATATGTCGCACATACCAGCGATGACCTCTGGGCCCTGGAAGTTCTCGTCGGGGTGGAGATAGCTGGGCGACAGAGCAAACCACAGTCGAACCAGAACCAAGAAAAGATAGGTCCGCCTCCACATGTTGGCTCAGGCTCGTCGAGCTACGGCAGTGGCTCGCAGCGAGTGCATCTGGGGTTAGCGAAGGGGAAAAAAGCTGGTTGCATCACCAACGGCAGCAGAGAGAGAATTATCAGGGAAACCGCATGATCAAGAAGCAGAATATCACGAAAGGGGAGTGATCAGGGGACTAATTTTAGGAGCGTGACAAGGCCACCTTACTCTCCTGTGTATGGTTCGACAGAGTGCTCAAAACACATGCTTGTCAAATTCAACCGCGAACAGAGCACGAGAAAAGTGGGCCTGACGGTCCTTATCCGTATGCATATATACAAGGATGCACTAGCCTAGACTTACCGGTAGGTTCCCATTAGCAACTCTAAAAAGGCCGGTTAACTCAGGCTGCTAAAAAGCTCAGTGATAGCGTTTTGGACACCTAGTTGGTGAGAGGTAAGGCTTTCCTAAACGGAGGTTATTCAGCAGTGAGTCACAACAACAATAGGTACGCAACATGAGCATGGGAAAAGAAGTATGTATTGCGGGGGAGTAACTATGGAATAGAAGAAGACAATATGTATATCCTTGTAGCACCAGATTCCAAAGATGGAACATCTGTTTTCGGAGGGTGCCACTCAACGAGGCTGGCCTGTCGCCACACTGTGACTGAAGGCTGCCATCACCAACAAGGTCATTTTCCCCACTCTTCCTGTACGCTGTAAGGCAACAACACCTAGTTCTCAACCTCCCGTTAGCCAAACTTTCACCATCGGTTTCCGCCTACGGCAGCTTCTTTCCTTGGTCAAGGTTTCTACGCATAATAAGTAGGTATTTAAATCCTGCCTATCCCCTCCCGCCCAAGGTTACTTACTTCACTCGATCACTCTCAAACCACCCCACTAACTGTTGAAAAATCGCCGTGCCATAGTCAAATCTCCTTCCTGTCCACAGATCAGGAAGCAGTTGTATCTATCTCGCCTTACATCGAATTCGCGACTCTCCCCGATTTCTTTTCTATCCGATCTCACAAACGTCACCATGTCCGACATTAAGCCTGCCCACCAGAAGGTCATGCTTCAGAGCAACGACAACGTCTTGCTCGAAGTCGGTAAGTGTCCCCGCCAATCCCCACCCACGTCACCCTGACCCCCCCCCCCCCCATTCTAACGAGGAATCCAGACCGCGTTGTCGCTGAGCGCTCGATGCTCATCCGTAACATGCTTGAGGATCTCGGCGACGGTGCGCTTGAGGACAACCCCATTCCCATTCCCAACGTCAACGAGGCCGTTTTGCGGAAGGTCATTGAGTGGTGTGAGCACCACCGCAACGACCCCCCCCAGACCGCCGATGATGAGAATGACAGCCGCAAGAAGACAACGGATATTGAGGAGTGGGATCAAAAGTTCATGCAGGTTGACCAAGAGATGCTCTTCGAGATCATTCTGGTTCGTCATCTCACATGCATTTTTTTAAACCCGAGTTGACGCTGACCTGTCACAGGCATCCAACTACCTCGATATCAAGCCACTCCTCGATGTTGGCTGCAAAACAGTTGCCAACATGATCAAGGGGAAGTCTCCCGATGAGATCCGCAAGACTTTCAACATCACAAACGACTTCACCCCCGAGGAGGAGGAGCAGATCCGCCGTGAGAATGAGTGGGCCGAGGACCGCTAAGTCTTGCCACGCCGGCAAGAAAGCATCTACCTGTTCGACCCGGTCCCTCTCCCTCCCGTGCACGCGAGTTTGCAAGTCTTCCCGCATCCTGGTTGGCGTTAAAGGATATCTCTTGGCCGATTTGTGTTTCTGTTTTCATTTCGGTTTCCCCTCAAGTTCATGATTTTGCTTCCGGTCTCGGGGACTTGCGGGATGGTCTACTTGCGAGCGTGTCGCGCAGCAGAGAGCGTCCGGTGTCACTTGGTGGCAGGGTGCCCTATTCTCTCACTACCTACGCAAAGGTGTGCCTGTGTTCCCATCGATTAGATGAAGGGAGCAGCGAAAGGACCCCAACTGCGCCAGACCATACGTCTTGATAAATGGCCATCAAAACAACCCCTGGACTACCGTGTTGTTCATACGAGCACGTTCGGCGGGACCGCCAGCTATCTTACCGCTAAGGCGATTATTCCAGTCTAAAATTTTTAGCTATCATGCTGCGATGCCCTTGCTTCGAGACCATGAGTCCTTCCTACGGGCCTACTTGACATCCCTTATAGTCAGAATACAATCGTGTGTATCGGCTCCCTGTGTCCGTATCCGCTCAACACCGTACACGACCTACGCAAGGCGGAAGGGAAAGTATTTGACAGACATTAGTATGGCGACGTACGACCTACCCCATGGGCCGATTCCCTGATGCTACGAAGCAATAGAGACGAGCAGCATATCACTTTGAAAACGTGCACATCCATGACACGACCCCTCAAGAGAGCGCGTCACTTTGTGAGTTTGTGAGCATCTCATTGCGTTTTCCCCGTGACCCTAGAATGCAATATAGACAGACTCCAGTCCAGAAACCAGCAAGCCATGCCGACCCTTAACCACGCGTGGGCGTCTCCTCGCCATTCCGGATCCTCAAATTCCTCTCTGGTTGGATAAGTCCCCGAGTCCTCGGACAACCGGTCTGTTGCCACATTCCGGCGCACATGATGGAGAGTTTGTTCGATGGGCATCGCGAGCTGAAAGGAAACCAAGATGGGGCAAGGAGGCATCTAGATGCCGAGACGGGTCTTGCGCCAATGCCTTCGCTTGGCATTATATCTGGAACCCTCCGAGTTAGTTTTCTGCCCATGCCAAAAATGATCTACCCGGCGCTTCCATGTGTCTAGGGTGCCGATGGCAAGCATCGGTCGCATCATGGAATGGAAGCGGCGGCTCGGTGATGATTCTCGTACCTGATGGTGTTGCCAGTTCGGAGTCGGATCCATTGAGGGATCGGGCGGTTCTGCTTCTGCGCCCTCGCAAGCTTCTGCTTGGTACGGAAAGTCTTGTGGCTCTGGGTGTGGGAAATGAATCGTCAGCCTGGTGTCCTGTATCATCCCCAAATGCCTTCAATCTTGCTTCGCCGCCAGGAACACACCCCGCCGCGCGAAAGGGCTTCCAGATCGTTCGTGATGGGAATCTAGGGGCTCTGGTATCATTTCAGAGTGGCGCGATTTACATACCGGCATTTTGACTGTTGTTGTCGAGATGCGAGCAAACTTGTTGATGTGGTCGTGGAAGTGGTTCAAGTCGAAGCGGGACTTTTCGAGAAATTCTGTGTGGGCTAGTGAAAAAGAAGCCCTCAGTTAGCCCGCTGGTAGGAGATGTGGCTGAATCACGTGTGTGGCTCCCTTTGCAGGCAGGTATGTGGCTAAATCGCAGGTGGGGCCGTTGAGACCGCTTTCCCCGAAATTCAGATTGGGCGGGCGTTCGCCAATCAATGCCGGCTGGCAGCTGGGTCCAAGACAGGGGCCCGAGGGCGGCCCTGTCTCTAATGAATAGAATCAGACCAAAGGTGCAATATCTGCGATCCTTTCTTCTCTTTCCCCTTCGTTAAACTGGAGCTTCAGTAGCAGCGAGATACGAACCACGATCATTCTGGGGAAAAGAGAAACGGGCGTTTGGATCCGGACTCCTTTTATTTCTTGAAACGGCGCTGCCAATCCCACTGGCGCATTTGTCACGCGCTCAAACCTTGCGCCCTCTCGACTCGGCTCCGCCAAGACAACGTTCTCTCATCACAGCAAAGTTTCTTCCCGCAAGTGGTTCGCGATGGGTCAGAGCGTGTCGTGGATCTCCAGCTTGCTCTGGGCCAAGAAAGAAATAAGAATTCTCATCTTGGGCCTGGTATGTCTGCGTCGCCCTTGAATGGACTGGGGGCTCCTTGATCTCGGCTGACCTGTCCTCTTTTTCACTTGCAGGACAACGCTGGAAAGACAACGCTGCTGTACAGACTGAAGGTGAGACGCACTTCCCCTTGATCGGGGCGCCCTAACCCAGCCGTTTCCCTCGGGACTTACCAGCAGAGCAGATCGGCGAGGTTGTGACGACAATACCAACGATAGGATTCAACGTCGAGTCGGTCACGTACAAGAACCTCAACTTCAACGTGTGGGACCTCGGCGGGCAGACGAGCATCCGGCCATACTGGCGCTGCTACTACGCGAACACGGCGGCCGTCATATTCGTCGTCGACTCGACCGACATTGAGCGGCTACAGACAGCCGCGGACGAGCTCGCCGCCATGCTGAACGAGGAGGAGCTCAAGGACGCGGCGCTGCTGGTCTTCGCCAACAAGCAGGATCAGCCGGGGGCCAAGGGGGCGGCTGATATCTCGCAGGCGTTACGGCTGGGGGAGCTGCGGGACAGGAACTGGAGCATCATGGCATGTTCGGCGGTGGACGGGAGCGGTGTGAGCGAGGGCATGGACTGGCTGGTGGTAAGTCATTCGTTGCTGGACGACGTTTTCGTGTTGAGTCGCACAGAGAAGCTAATTCGGCATCCTAGCAAACGGTATCGCAAGATTAATAAACCGGAGGGGGGATGGCCCTTGTATAACACCTACGCATGATCTGCATTCTACATTCGTTATTACATACTACTATGCCGAACCTTGGGTATGTTCAGGGATGGTACTGTATGGTCCAGCATCGGCGTTTTTTAGGGCGGGAAACGGTTGCCCTCGAGGTTGATTGACAGACAGCCTGCTCGCCTTCGAGGGCGGATCTTGCATCAGAGTTGGAATGGCCTTTTGCACACGTACGCAGGATTATAAGTTTTAATGGAAGCCTCGACATTACTTCAAGCTCGACTTTAGGGGATTCTGGTCCTTGCTTCGAAGGCAAGCAAACAGAGCAGACCAATCTCAGAATTACATGCGATGGGCCAGGGGGAGCCTACAGTATGTGCTGTACCTTGCCGATATCAAGTTGCCTGGACGCCCACCGACAGTGGGGAGAACTCTCCCGATACACAAGGCCCTGCCTCGCAAACTCCATCTTGAAGACGGGAGCTGTGGAGTGTTTGATGCCGAGGCGTTATCATCTGCTCCCAGGTACTGCCCTGGCATCCATGCAGAGTGCGGTGACGAAAGCATCCGGATAGGATGAATCCGGTCCCGTCGATTTCTTTTGAATATCAGACCACCCTCTCTGCTTATGCGCCTATGGCTGGGCTGGCCAACGACGCGTGAGCAAATTATTATTGTTGCTGCTTGGCAAGCTTCCATGGTTCCAAGTCCCACGCAATGCGGAAATGGGTTTGATGAGTCAAAAAAGGGACCACCTGATGCGGACGGAGTGGGACATGACGACGGAAGGGGCCCTCCAACGGTGCTGGTTGCTACCCAGATCAGCTATTTCCTATATGTAGAGCACAGTACCTTCGGAGCTCACCCATACTGCCGTTTATCGCCGACACGGCGATTACGAGAGCTACCTACCTACCTCACCTACCTACCTACCTGTACAACGTAGGTACAGGGAAGTCAATATCCCCATTCGGGGCAAGCTCGGAGGTCCAATTCAAACCCCGGGCTACCCCGCCAGGCGGCACTTCGGCCCCACCATCACCCGGCACTTCCCCGGCGAGAGCCGAGCCAGTCGAATCCATATTGAATCGACAATATCGTGGCAATAACCTCGCAGCCAGTCATGGTTTAGCATTGACAGCAGAAGCATCGAGTCAACAGCCATCCGAGTTCGGCCGGCTGGTTTTAATTTTGACCTAAGCAAAATCGACACTGGAATTTCTTCCTGGAGTCAGACTCAGTTGAGCACCTTGCGAACTGGATGGTGGGGGGCCGAGTTCCGGCGGCCTATCAGATCTTTGATATTTGTCGTTCTCACATCCCAACAGTTGTCCACGGAAATGTAGGTATTGCGACGCGTTCCGCCAACACTTTGTGGGACCACAGTTCCCAGAATCTCATCCGAGCTTCTCCTTCGAGCTGCACCATGTACGGCAGCCGATAGGGGACGCTATCACTAAACTTGTTTTCAATTTTTCATGCAGCCACAGAGTTTATATTCAATCAGCACGCTCCACACAACCCAAGGTGGCTTCTAATTAAGACGACTGTTAAAGCGCTCTAGAGAAACCGCGTACTTCAGAAACAGTACCATTAGAATGCTTCGATTAAGCCTGGACTGAGCCGTTGGGGGTGTTCAATTCCAGCTATTAGAACCGTTTAATTCAGGCCCGGCCTTGAGCCTTAGAAATTGGTCCATTCGGCTGTTAGAATCACTTATTCATTCGGGCCCAGTATGGATCCTTAGAATCGGTTCATTCCGGCCGTTGAAATTGTTCAATTCGGGCCCGGCCTAGGTCCTCAGAGAATCGGTCCATTCCGACTGTTGGAATTGCTCAACTCGGGCCCGGCCCGGATCTTTATAATCGGCCAATCCGGGCCCGGGTTGGGTCCTTGGAATTGGTCAATTCGGGCCCAACTTGGTTCCTTATAATTGTTGAAGCTGCACCTGAATGAAACGATCCTAACAACTAGAATGGAACAATTCCAACGGCTAGAATTGAACAGTTCTGAGGACTCGGGCCAGGCCGAAATTAAACGATGCTAAGAAACTAAGCCAGTTGTATCTAATGAAATCAGGGTCAGACTTTGCTGCATGAAAATACAAAATTAGTTTACATAGGTATAGTAGAGACAGTGTCCCTATCGGCTGCCGTAGCCACCCCTGCATCTTGGCTTTGTGGTGGCGTTATCTCTCCACAACTTCAAACCCCTGCTCCATGCCCGTTCTCCGTACGCAACTACCTCTACGCATAGTGCCCACGGCTAGCTTCCATCCATCTGACTGGCCTGACGCGATATCGGTCTAGTATAATGACGGCTAACAAGCAACTGGCCTCTCAACCCGTGCCAGAACTTTAGAAGTACAAAGAAAGGAATCATGCTCATAGCTCCAAGGCAACCTAACTTGGCGTGTTGGCGTGGCGTGCCAAGGACAGCATGATAGCATCGAATGGCAAGAGAAAGGCCTTGGCCCATACTCCAAATCCCTTTCCTGGTACATCATACAAAGGCCAACGCTCCATGTGGTCAGCTTGCATATATCTACCGTCTCATTGGTGACTAACCGGAGATTTGTGTCGATGCCCGCAGTAGCTCCCTTCCATACCTTGCCGGCTCGACCTTCCTCAGTGTCGTCCCATGAAGGATCCAGTGTGCCCATATCTATATATATGTGTCACATAGCTGCCGCCCTCTAGCTAGACTTTGGACTCTATTTCCTCCTTCTCTTCCTGTCTTCCACGGGTCCAACCCCACGTTCCTACATCAACTTATCCTACCAATATATCATAGCTACCTACCTATATTCTCTTTACACACCAAAGTAGAACTAACAAACCCCCGCCGTCAAAATGGTCGCCGACGGCAAGCCCGCCTCCACCTTTCGGTACAATGAATCACCGGTATACACCACATCCAATGGCTGCCCCGTTGAAAGCCAGCAGAAATACCAGCGTATCAGCAATGGACCTCTCCTCCTCCAGGACTTCCACTTGATTGATCTCCTCGCCCACTTCGATCGCGAGCGTATCCCCGAGCGTGTCGTTCATGCCAAAGGCGCTGGTGCATATGGCGAGGTAAGATTCCGAATTCGGCGGCCCGGCCTATTGTGACGAGCCCTGACTCTTGTGTAGTTCGAGGTCACCCACGACATCAGTGACATCACCTCGGCCGACATGCTCAATGGCGTCGGCAAGAAGACCCCCTTGATGATGCGATTCTCGACCGTCGGTGGCGAGAAGGGCTCGGCCGACTCTGCCCGAGACCCGCGAGGTGAGCATGACAAATTGAGCTTCCATGACCCTCTCGGGCTTTCCTGACTGACCGGTTCAGGCTTTTCCATCAAGTTCTACACCCAGGAGGGTAACTGGGACTGGGTGTTCAACAACACGCCAATCTTCTTCATCCGGGATCCCACCAACTTCCCCATCTTCATCCACACCCAGAAGCGGAACCCTCAGACAAACCTGAAGGATGCCACCATGTTCTGGGATTACCTCTCCACCCACCAGGAGAGCGTCCACCAGCTCATGCATCTCTTCTCTGACCGGGGCACTCCGTACTCGTACAGGCACATGAACGGCTACTCTGGTCACACCTACAAGTTCACCAAGCCCGACGGCTCCTATGTCTACGTCCAGATCCACCTGAAGACAGATCAGGGCAACAAGACGTTCAACAACGAGGAGGCCGGCAAGATGGCCTCTGAAAACCCTGACTGGCACACCCAGGATCTGTTCGAGGCGATTCAGAGGGGCGAGAACCCGAGCTGGTCGGTCTACGTCCAGGTGCTGACCCCCGAGCAGGCCGAGAAGTTCCGTTGGAACATCTTCGACCTCACCAAGGTCTGGCCTCAAGGGGAGGTTCCGCTCCGGCCGATCGGCAAGCTCACGCTCAACAAGAACGTCGAGAACTACTTTGCCGAGATCGAGCAGGCCGCCTTCTCGCCGTCGCACATGGTCCCCGGCGTCGAGCCCTCGGCCGACCCGGTCCTGCAGTCGCGCCTCTTCTCGTACCCCGACACGCAGCGCCACCGCCTCGGCGTCAACTACCAGCAGATCCCCGTCAACGCGCCGCTCAACGCGTTCAACCCGTTCCAGCGCGACGGCGCCATGGCCGTCAACGGCAACTACGGCGCCAACCCCGGCTACCCAAGCAGCTACCGGAGGCTGACGTACAAGCCCGTGGTCCCGACGGTCGCCCACGAGCAGTGGTCCGGCGTGGCGACCAACGCCCTGTTCGCCGAGGTCGGCGCCGACGACTACGTCCAGGCCAACGGCCTGTGGGAGGTCCTGGGCCGCACCCCGGGCCAGCAGGACAACTTTGTCCACAACGTCTCGGTGCACCTATGCGACGCCCACGCCGAGGTTCGCGAGCGCACGTACGGCATGTTCACTAAGGTGAATCCGACGCTCGGCGGTAGGATCAGGGATAAGACGGAGAAGCTTGCGAACAAGGGGGCAATAAAAGAGAGACTGTAATGATACCAAAGATTATTTATATATGTGCTAAGAAAAAGGATATTCGTTCATACACGTTCTAGAACTCTGGCCCAGAGAGAATGTATTTAGAAGAACCCTAAGTGACGGCCGACTTGCTCTTGCCATGTAGAGCCGGCGGAGAGGGGGAGGGGGAGGGGACACTACTATGAGTCTCGTAGTCGGAGGTTGAGTGTAGTGCGAGAGCCGCTTCTCCGCACAGCTCACACAGCCCCAGCCCACCGACCACATTGACATCATGAAAGATCCCGGTGGGGTAATAACGGGGTGGCTCAGCTCGCGGGGAAGCTGTACCCCATGATTAGCACCCAAGTGGCTCATCTATCTGTCCCCCGGGGTCATGGTGATACATTGTGATGGTTCCTGCATTAGCTATGTGGCGGAGACGTCACAATGGCGTAGAAGAGGGTGGTCGACAATGCGTAGAAGAACGCCAGAAGCAGCGTGGAAGGAAAACGGCTGTCGATCTACAAGGCCATACAAGAATCAGTTGCAGGGAGACGTCGGGCCAGGGAGACTACCCCCGTATAAGTGAGGCATAAAGGAAAAGGGGAGGCCTTCGGCTTTGAGACGCCTTTGAGGGGATACAATCTCTCACGACTCCCAAGCCCTTTACCATCCCCGGGCGAGTGACGTTGACCGTCACGGGGGCTCGTAGGACTTGGTTTCCTACATTGAGAGAGGGATTAATTTGATGCTTGCCAGTCAAGGTTGAGGTGCCCGGTGCTTTGGGGTGCTCTCATGGACCCGGGTATCGGCGGGGTCGAGTCCCGATCACCGAAGGTCAGGTCCACTCAGGGTCCAATGTTTCCTTTGTTTCCTGTGATCGGTTGGTCGGCACCAGGGCGGTGTTCTCTCACGGGTCAGGCTCGCTGGAGGTGCCCATCTCGAATGTTTCAATGCCTGCCCCTCATCTTGTTCCCTGTCTTATTCCCGAGCCTGAATTGCGGTCAATGATTGACGGATGGCATCTAGCCCAGGGCGATGCTGGGGGAAGGTCTTGGCTTAAGCGTTTCAACTGCGGCATTTAGCAGGTCACAGGGCTCAGGGCCATGGCGCCCGGAGAGAGTCGGACTAGCAAGAACAGGGGCTTGCATCCTACGAATCAACCACAATCTCGAAAAGACCTCCCAATTGGTTCCCGTGAAATCGTAATTCGCGATTCGAGCTTCGAGAACATTTGGCCATACGCTAGTAGAGAAGGTTGGTTGGTGGCGCCCAGGTAGCTTCCCGACTCCAAAGGGTAAATCCCCGACCTGTTGGTGGGCTGTGGCTGCCCGACCTTTGACCTTCTGAAGGGTTTAGAAGCCTCAAAATGGTCTCCCAATTGTCCATGCCCCAGTGCGGGCTTGCAGTATCGGATTTGCTGTCCGATTGCTCTTCTCGGTCTTCCATTCCTTCACCGACGATGGGCTTTGACCGCCCATCCTGCAGGGCCGCAACCGCGTAAGGCGGGCATCGACTGAAGGAGACTCGGTCATCTGGTGTGGTACGCGAAATGCAGCCCAAACCGGGCGTGCGGGCAGCTATTGGTGGCCCTATGAAGTCGGACCCCCGCTGTCACGCTCCTCTCTCCACAAAAGCGCCCCCAAAACAAGTTGCGGGGCTTGCAGCTTGCTTGAGCTCCGCGGAAATCCGTGTCCACCACGTATTCCCCTCAGGCTAATTAATTGGTCTCGGTATCCAGGATTACGAGAATACCACAGCGTCCCGGAGTGCGCCGTTTTCCCACTCAATGCTACTCTTCCATGGCAGACAGACAGCGCTCGGTGAGGCACAGCTCAGTTCCAGGAAGAGTGCAGGGAGAGACTCGTCCGTATTCTGCCGTGCCAATAATTAAGCTCTGTCCGGTACATAGCTATTATCGAGCTTGTCGAGCTTGCCGCTCCCGATCCCTTCCAAGCGAGTAACATCGTCCCTATTCTGGCTGCCTGATTTTCCATGCCAGAGACAAGTTCACAAATAGAAGCTACCTACGTAATTTAAGGCTACCAAAACTCGCTAATGGCCCAAGCTAATGGCCATCTTCGGCAGCTCCCATTGGCTCGGCACCAGGCCCAACAAGCTGATTGGGTCCAAACGTGACAGCTTCCAATACCGCCCTTGGTCACGAAGAGCGATTCCGATTCCCACATGCAGATCCGGTAGGACTCGTCTGGGGACGAGAGGCTGACATGCATGGCCAAGCAGCGGGTATAAGAAGCTGCCCAACGGCGCAGTAAAGCCAGTCTTCCCTTTGTTATACTCGCTCTCTCGCTCTCTCTCCTGATATTCCATCTTATCTTGCTACTGTCGTCCTCGACTCCCAACCCCGCCGTCTTTCCCTGTCTGTCTCTTGCTGCTGCACCAGGCGTGCGAGTCGCACCCCCGGGAGAGCAAGCGTTCATTGCAATTGCGTATATCTACAGCGCAGAATTGCACAGAACACACCTTGAAACATCCGACATCATTGTGATGCGTACTGCCATGATGTCTTCCTCATCGCGAGCCTCCGCGCCCTCGCCGCTCTGCCTCGGTGGCACAGCGACCAAGGCAGATCGAGTCGCGACCGCCCCCACATACACCTCGACCCCAAAGTCAACCGACACGGTAAGCTCATCTCGACCCCAACATACCAGCCCAGCGAACACTAGTTTTGTTAACTCTGGCTCTAGATTCGCCGGAGCCTCACTGGCGACTCGTCGCCATTCCATCTGCATAGCCCAAGGGACCACCACCTTTCCCGCACTGTGAATGCCAATTCCTACTGCGGTAGGCACTCGAACCAGTACCTATTCGGCGGGCGGAGAATCACCGACATCTTCAGGGCCATCGTCAAGAAGGACTAGGGGCCGGAAACGGCAATTTTGACCAAAGTGGCCAGAGAAGTGGGGCCATCCCGGGTCCCCGCGCGACAACTCGTGGCAACGTCTCGACAACCACCCACGTGAGGAAGGTCCGCAAGCAGTCCCCGTCTGATCTCTGCTATGGGGCATCCATTATTGCGTCCTGCATGTCGGAAAGTTGCGAGGATGTGTCAGACGTCAAGTTGGGCTAGGAGAGATGTGTGGAAGAAGCGGAAGATCTATTTCATTTTGACGAGTTTTATGCGTCATGAATAACGAACATGATATACCAAGTATTGTATTACTATTGGAAGGAAGAGGTGGAGAGGAAATAGCAAGAGCTAGAATTGCAGGACAGGGAGAGCAAGAGGAAGAGGAAGCGACGAGCATACCAGGTGGCGTTTGTGTCTCAGTATACCCCTGACATTTAACGCAGATTTCTTATGGACAATGAATGATACCCATAACTTCAGTGCGATCATGGTGTATGAGAGAAGAAATGTTGCTGGCCATCAAGGTAGCCCAAATCCAGGGGAGCAAGCAAGCTGCCCCTCATTAAATCGTGCCTTCCCACGCGGGCCGCGCCTTGCAGATGTCGTCAGGCTAGCACACTAGCACAGACCCCTATCCCTGCTGTGGTCGCAGCAGTGCAATTCCATGTGATAAAAAATCTTGGGCCAACAAATTGGAATTGTTGTGTTAGTGTTGGGCTGGCTTTTTTTTTTTTTCAAAACTCACCACCTCAACGCCCACTTCACAATCGATCCTCGATCTCCTCGACGTATCTTCTCGGAACTGGGAAAGAAGCAGCTCCGAAATCGTCAATCCCAGAAGCACGATGGCGTCCTCGAGCTCGGCCCTGAAGAAGGGCTACCTGATTGCCTACAATTCCGCCTCGGCGATAGCATGGACCACGATACTTGGGAGAGTCGTCGCAGTCCTGCTTCTCAAGGGGCCGCATATGGTGCCCCTCGCCGTCGACAACTTTGCTCGAATTACCCAGACGTTCGCAACACTGGAGATACTGCATTCCGTCCTCGGTTCGTCCTACTGTCTTGACCTCCCCTCCCCGTGCTATTACCTTGTCCTCCTTGTTTTCGTCCAAGCCGACACCATCGAAGTCGCAAGGCTAACCCGCAATCTCACCCGCAACCAGGCATCGTTCCCTCCCCCCTCTTCACCACCCTGATGCAAGTCGCCAGCCGCCTCTTCCTAATGTGGCTCGTGACCTACCCCTTCCCCTCGGTGACGACCAGCCCGGCCTACTCGTCGATGCTCTGCGCCTGGAGCCTGACCGAGCTGATCCGCTACGGCTACTTCACGGCCAAGCTGACCGGCGGCGACGCCAGCCCGCCCCCCTACTGGCTGCACTGGCTCCGCTACTCGGCCTTCATCGTCCTCTACCCCGTCGGCATCTCCAGCGAGCTGGTTGAGGTCTACCTCGCCGCTACGGGACCCGCGCGGGGCCTCGCCTGGTGGGCCCCGTACGCCCTGGCCGCCGCCGCCGCGGTGTACGCGCCGGGTGAGTTTCTCTGTGGAACCCCCGAAAGTCTCGGCTGGTTTTTTTTTTTTGCGCGTCGAAACTGACTTGGGATTTTCTCTACAGGCGCGCCAAAGCTCTATACCTACATGGTGAAGCAACGGCGGAAGCAGTTGGGTGGTTCGGTGGCCAAGAAGGAACAATAAGAGAGGACTGGAAGTCTGCGGATGGAGAGGGGCTCGGATGGGGAGAGCGCGGATGATACGGAGTTCCGGTTTGCAATTTTTGCATCACCAAGGGGTCAACAGCGTAAAGGTTCACTCCCGGTTCGCATCTTTGTAAGGAACCGGCGAAGGTAACAAAGGAGCAATCCCTCGGAGTACCAAAGGCGGGCGATATAGAGCACGATTGGTTCCAGTGTATAATTAATCATCTCGAAGAAGGGGTATCCCTGAATCCCAGTACTCCAGTGCCGTCACATTTGAGAATCACCCAGCGATCGCATCCTGAGAGCTGCTCTCGTACCAGTCATTCCGCACCCATTGCGTAATGAGCTGCGTGGCATCGCTGGCGAGCCTCGCATATCCCGGGTTATCCCTCGGTGTGAACATTGCTTGTCCCGCCGGTTAGCGTGACGCCCCCAATGCAAGATCCACGGGGACGGATCCAGACTTACACATATGCGCCAACGTCTCGTCAGTAGCAGCATCGTTGACGGCCACCCTCCACTCGCCGGCCTCGTCCTTCCTCGGCACGACGCAGAACGTCCTCTCGCTCCCCAGCACCGTGCCCACGACGCCGTTCGCGGTCCTGGAGCCGGCGGCCTTGCCCAGGCGCGTGTAGATGTTGCCGAACCCGACGCCGACGTCCCGGTTGAGGCGCACCATGTACGCGACGCGGCGCCGCAGCTCCTCCTTGCGGCCCAGGCACCCGACGAACTCGAGGTGCGACGACACCCACCCGAGCCCGGACGTGATCTGCTCGCGGTTCATGTACGCCGCCGCGCCCCCCGCCGCCACCGCCCCGACCGCCCCGGCCACCATGGCCACCTTGCCCCACCGCGCCCACGGGCTCGCGGGCCTGTCCTTGTCCTTGTCCCCGGCCGGTGCCGGGAGCGCGGCCCGCGCGGGTGGTGGCGTAGCGGCCTTGTTGGCGGCGCCCGCGGCGCCCCAGATCCCCGCGATGCCGCCCAGCTGGGAGATGGCCGAGGAGGCGGTGGCGTAGTGGCCCTCTGCGCCGTGGGCGACGACGCCCGGGGAGACGCCGAGGAAAGGGGTGTCGAAGGCGAGGACGCCGCGGACGTAGGGGAACATGAGGGAGTTCGGGGTGGGCGAGCGCGGGCGCGGCGGCGGGGCGGCGGCGGCGGCGGCGGCCTCGGGGAGATCGTCGTTGGCCGGGTCGGTGCTGCCGTGTACGGGACGGTCGGAGGTCAGCGCGATGACGGTCTCAGCCGCCACGATGCCGCCCATCGAGTGGCCTACTAGGACGGTGTGGACGGAGGGGTCGATGGTCGGCGAGGACGTGCCGGCGGCGACTTCTAGGTCGATGACTTTCTCCAGGAGCCTGGGGTTGGGATTTAGCGGAGGGGGATGGGATGGGGGTTTTTCAAGGGTTCAAAAACGAGCATGCGTACCAGTCTCGGAATCTCTCTACGCAATCTCCCAAGTCGCCGCGGGTCTCATACTTTGGATACACAAGCACTTTGACGTCGACTTTTGGTAGCTGCTTCGCGACGAGTTGTCGCAGGTGCTCGGTGAATGCATAGTTGTCTCCAAAGGTCGAGTCACCCCCCTTTGCACGGGTTAGCGCATATCTTCAGCAGCGGGCTGTCGCGATGGACTTGCCTTGAAACCGTGTATAAAACACAGCAGCAGTGTCTTCTTCATCCTTCGGCCCCATGGAGAAGTTGTTGCTAAGGCTGAGGTTCAAGCCGAGAGATTGATGGTCAGCACTGATTAAAGAGTGGGGGCGGGGTGGCAAGTGGGGTTCTCACTGCATCATTAGGCCACCGGCTAGATGCCCGTATCACTGTATCAACCTCCTACTGAATACCCCTGAGCTTCGGTAGCTGCAAGTTTGACCCCGTTGGGTTACGACTCTAGAAGAACGGACGTGAGAACACAATCCCCATTGCCATTAAACGCAACGACTCTACCTAGATATCTGTCTAGGAGGTCATATAGGTTGTATCCTCGAGTTCCCAACGCCATTTTTGTTCATCGAGTCTGCGCATAGATGGCATCAAAACCACACGAATGGAGTCTCAATAGCAGTGCCCAAGTTCCTCTGCAGCATCTCGCCGCCCGCAGGCCGAAAAGCTCGAAATAACAACCGGATAGCAAAAGGTAATGGGTTCTGGCATTCTAGCCGAATGCCCCCAAGAGATTTGTTTGCTGCTCCCCTTGGTAGGATTGGTTAGCTTGATGTTAATTGTTCTTGATACGACCTGGACTTACTCTTTTCATTGCCTCATCGTCTCCATTTTCGTCTTTCTCATGGCCTCTAAAGTGTCCAGCAAAGCGGCCTGCAGTGGCCTTCATGGTGGCCTATACACTGGCCTCCGTCGTGTGCCCCATCTTAGCCCTATTGGCTTCTTCTCATCTTTGGCTACATGAGCCTTGATTATTCATTTTGGGTTACCACCGAGTCGCCTGTCACTCGGTGCAACAATATCGCAAAAAGAGAAAGAAAGCTGCTGCGAGGACCCCCAGTAGAGCAATGAGTGGCTCTAGGCGCAGACTCTGCTCGTCTTTCTCGGCATGGTCCCTGATGTGCCGCCGCCGGCGCCCAGCCCTGTGCGTTTCGTCGCTGCTTTGATGGGGGGAAAGAAGAACAAGGAATGAGAGCAAAAAGCAAGTTGACTGAAAAGTTAGACCGCCAAGTTCATGTCATCCCGAGCAAGAACTAGGGGCTCGCCTCCGGGCATGGATAGCTCCAGGGTCCTCTGGGCCTCAATTGCGATGAACCCTTGGGGCTCTGCGCGTTCCACACCTACAGTCGCCCGGGTGATGTGTTTCGCATGGCTCACTATCCGTGGTGGCGGTGCTTCGAATTGTACCACTGCCCATGCTAGGCTCTCTGGACCAGCCGTACGTGATGTCGGATGGCACTGGCGATCCCAGATCAGACAAAAGCTGCTGCCGATTTGGGTGTCGCGGTGGAGAAAACCCCAGGCTCGGCAAGACTTGGAGGAGGGATCGATTATCTGGCGGCCCAGAATCTTCGGTCCCAGATGTATCTATTTGCGAGGTCGGCCGTGGCGCCCGTCGGCGGCAAGCTCTGCGTGCTGTTTCGAGCGATTGACGTGGCTCGGCATCCGAATTGTCGGTCTCATAATCTGAATAGATCCTGGACTGACGGTTCCTTCTAGAACGCGAACAGGCATTTCCACTGGCACTACGCTGGACGTTGCGTTGCCGTGACCGTCTAGAACGCTCTTGCAGGGAGACGGCCCGGTTCCTCGCAACCAGCAGGGCCCCCGTCCGCTCCGCCTCTTCGTTTGCCTCGTCCTGCTGCCTTCTCGTGCGCTCCTCCGCCCATCCAGTCTCGCTCGCATCGTTGTTATCCGGACGCTGTCGCCTGACACGCCGACGACGGGGGCGAGGACGCCTCGGCGAAGGAACCTCCGGGGGCGGCGAGTCGGAATCAGAAACAGTCGAACAATAGCCTGGTGACGGCACGCTGAAGACCCTCCTAATCCAGGATGCTCGTCGCCCTGGAGGATGCTGGTGATGGCCTTGATGCGAGGCCCTCCGCTGCCCTCGATCCTTATTATTGGCCATAGGCGGTACCTGGCTGGGAGTGGCGACATTGGGATGAGAATTTGAAGAAGGAAAGGAAGGCTGTGAGGGTTGAGGGCCTAGGGGAACGTTGGGCGGCATTGGTGGCTGCTGTGGAGGCATTGCGAAACCCATTGGATGCGGTCCATGCTGGAAAGACGCAGCGGTTGGCTGAGCCATGCCTGGCGCAGGAGGCATGAATATCTGGGGCGGAATGGCCATGCCAGGGTACATGCCCACTCCAGGGTACATTGTCACCCCAGGATGGATGCCTGCTCCCGGGTGCATGCCAGCTCCTGGAGGCATGCCCAATCCTGGAGGCATGCCACCCCCAGAAGGTAGGTGTGGGATGGAATGTGGAGGTGGTGGTGGAAGAAGTACCTGCTGCGGCCTCGTGATTGGTGATGGTGCTGGAGAGTCGGGCTCTTCGTAAATAATCCGGATATGAGCGACTCTCTGGGAATTTCTCCTGGCACGGCTTCTGCTTCTGCTGCGTGACTGACCGAATTGCCGGGACGGCTCTACTTCTGGCTCTGCTCGTCCCTCTTGCCAGGCCACTTCTCTAGACACCTCTGCCATGCTAGATCGCAAGGGTATCGTTATTCTGGATTCGACCAAGGTGGATCCAAAGATACCAGATGTGCCTCGCCATGCCTCCGCAGTTGTTTGGCCTCGATTGCTTTGTTTAACGTAGAGGTACCAATAAAGGAAGGATATCGTCAACACTGTAACCACAACGCTGAGGACGATGCCAAACTGCTGGGCCCCATTTAAGCATTTCCAACCAGAGCAGCCGGGAGGTGCCCGCTTAGTGAAGGGCACATGCCAGGCTGGCGATGTAGCCTCCAAGGAGATGGCCGCGATGGGTACTGCCAATGTAGAGTTGGCTTTTGCCAATTCTGGGAGATGAATCGGAGCCATCGGCAAGATTGTTTCAAGATAAGTGACCTGCAAGTTATGTGAGATGGGTGAATGAAACCACAAGCAGGAATCGGCGAATGAGATGTACCTTTCACGGATTGGCGATGCCGGGAGATGTATGGCGGCTGTGAAGGCCGTGAAGGCTGAGAAATATTCCGTGAAGTGATGGTCGAGGTGATGATTGAGAAATTCCTTGCGAAGTAAGGGTCGAGGAATATTCGTGTGATGTGATGACTACCTGTATCGAGAGTAGGAAGAAAAGGAGGCAGACTAGGTTGTGAAGGACAGGGTGAGGAGTACGACTTGCATGGGAGAGAGAAGTGAAAACAATAGGTACCTATCCCGGGTACCCAAGATATTGTTATTGTCCAAGCAGGTGGTACGCCCGGGATCAATAAAGGACCTGAGAGGCCGAGGCCCCATTCGATACCTTAAGAACTGTAAGTACCTCTCCTATCGATAAAAAACATGGGAAATAGGAGAATTCCTAGGAAATAGATGTATGTAGGCACCTTCGTATTTTGCTCATAACTCCCGTGTCCCCAGGCCGCAAAAATGGAGGGAAGGATACTGATCTAATGACCTGCCGCCATCGCATTCATAAAATCAACAAATATATAAGTGTAGACCTTGCCAGATACTACCTAATGCAAAAAAAAGTGGCCGAACTTGTTTACAGACTACTACATACCTAGTCATACAGCTTCTGTCAACACGACTTCAATCACTGCACAGATCGATCACATAGACTCCTAGGGGATGAACACTCTGCCAAGAGACATCGAGACATAAAGTAATAGAGTCATCACGCCCATGTTATTTTCTTTTCCCCTGTGTCAGTCATGTCTGCCAAGTTTCCAGGCTAAAACTGGCGACAGATGCTGGGTGTTTACCAACAAGAGCAAGACATGTGGTTGAAGTAGACCTACTGCTCCCCATATTGACAGGGGTTGTAGTGATAGTCTGTGCGTGTCTTGCGACCCTTGCAGCTAGAACCAGCGAATCATTCTCAGGCGGTTGAGCCGCATTAGTGACGTCGAGCACCGTTGCCCAATCATATGCATCTAAGCAAGTTCTTCCTACCGACCACCATGTCCCGAAGCACCGAGTCAAAACGTCTATTTGAACTCTCCACAACCAAGCCAACGACTTGCGCGGCTGTCAGCAGCAGCCCTTTATGTCGGCCAGTCTGAGTATAAGGACAGAATCTGTCCCTATTTAACGCATCGGCATGTTTCTCGCCATGAGAGACAGGGTTTCCAAGTCGCAGACTCCCAACTCCTGACCCGTTGGAATCTAAGCCACCTAAGAACCTCAAGGATACCGCTGAACGACTTGCCAAGACGGGTGCCACTCCTTCCGCCCCTGAGTCAGCATGCAAGCGCTACGCCAACAAAGTTGGATATGCTACTAATGAGGCTACCATAGTTTTTCAGGCAGTGCGGAAACTGCTGAAGGAGTACGTTACTGACGACGGCGCCGATGACGGTTACCAAAAGGTCTTCAACCAAGCATTCGCAGGCTTTCCAAAAGACCTTGGCTTTAACAATGGCCTATCTGCTCCCCAACCTGACTTTATCGAGGGCCTTCGGATGGAAAAGTACCGTCCGTTTCCAGTTGACGAGCATGTCAGCGGGGCTGTCCTCTACAAAGATGACCATCATTCCCTAACGTTGCCGCACATGGCTGGGGAGTGGAAGGGACGTGGGGAAGATATGGAAGAAACAAGGCTGCAGAGGGCCTATTACGGATGCGCCCTTGTTTATACAAGGAACCAGGCCCTGTCTTATATCAGGGAACCTGACCGAGCCAACCATGCAGAGATCATGACTTTCACCACAGATGGCACCAATATCAATTTCTTTGCGCATTATGCTATCCCATCAGAAGAAGAGGAGGGAAAGATGGAATATCACCAGTACCCAATCGCATCCATGAATCTGACCAACTCATACGAAGAGTTCAAAAAGGGTCGAAAGCAAATTCGGAACCTCCAAGACCATGGGAGGGGCAGTCGTATGCTTTGAGGGACCAGCTTAAAGATCACTAGAAGGCAAAGTGGGGCGCAGCGCCGTCTGTTCAACGGGCGGGCGACAACCATGATATCGATAGTATTCCAAAAGAGCCCTTACCCATTCCTCCGCAAGAGAATGGCTCTTATTCTTGGTGAGGGATATGCAGAGCCACTTCTGTCAGCTACGCTTATACGACACAAGCCCCAAGGTAGAAAGGTCCCACCCGCGGAAGTGCCCGGTGACGATGCCAGCTAAGAAATTATTGATGAGCCAACAACCTATGCGCCCACGTCTCCAAGTTCGCCAAAACAGCACGGCCATTAAACGAAAGACAAGCTGCAACTCCATACGACACCTTCCTCGACTTGATCTTCGGAGTCTCGCCCGCCGTCTTTGCATGATTCTGCAAGCACACCGCCAGGAAAACGCAAATTCTCATACCCTGGAAAGGCTAAGGTCAAAATCGGACAAGAATACTAGACTTGCGGAACAAATTAATGGGAAAGGTGTGCCGCAGAAAAGAGGTTTTTTCACGAGGACGCTGATAGAACCGTTACCTGGGCTGATGACTGGAAGTCAGTAAGAGCGGGGGACAGGCTTAGATCTCCCAATTTCGAAGTATTGCCCACCGCACCAGTCTACTCCTGACGGTCCATTGGTCTCCGACTAATACCTATTCGCGATGAGTCGAGCAGAACCAAGTCTTGATGGCCTAGACAGTGAGGTCATTGGTCCCTTGGTCGCCACGCTACTAGAGAGCCTTGTCTGCTCGCAACAATATCTGATCCAAGGTCTTCAAAACATCGACTTGGGCAGACAGCATCCATTGCTCGCTGCTTCGGCCGCGCCGAAAGACGATAAATAGCGCAACTGGATTCCAGCCCGGTCCATCTAGTATTCGGGCGCGAAGATGGTAGCATCAGCAGAGTACTGCGGACCACGTCGGAGCTGCGGAAGAATAAATATTGTCACTTGTCAAAAATGGCTACTTCTATTCGGTGACTAGAACGGTTTGTGGCCAATGATCCCGGCTTTAGTATCCAAAGCCAGTTTCCTGGAATAATCGCATCCAGGATGTTGGCCCGAATCCCATATCATGGATCTATATCCTGAATGCGGTATCATGGATTATGTACTATTGCGTGTGGGAGTGATGTTTGCTGGCCATGCATGAAGTTGATGGTATTTCATGATTCAAGCTGCCTCCTTTCTTCCAAGTGTTATCAAGAATCGTTTTTGGCCCAGGACGATGCCTTTGAAGATGATTATCAGCAAGTTGGTTATAGAGAGATAAGGCAAGCGGAAAGCTTGTGTTGTTTAAGAATCTATCACCAAGCCTCCTGTCTTGAAGCACTTGTCCTGCATACCTATTGACAGGGGTTATGACTATGGTCCGTGCGCAGTGTGTCTTGTGTGACAGGGGTCTGTCCAAAGTTCACTATCAGCCTCAACCAGATGATCGCACGCAGCCTTCCCGGTAAACCTTCAAAACTTGACGCGAACCAACAAATACCCGACGCGCACCCTACGCCTGTCTACCCAGTCCTTTCTTCCCCCCCCTCCTTGGTGGTTGCCATTATTTTCACCTAGGAACTGCACACAATGATAATTTAATAATTGTCTTGTGACGAGAGCCTCCTCTCTTTTTTTGCCTCCATCGAATACCTTGCCTCCTCTCTCAGACCCGCGCATCCTTGCATGACCGACTGCTAGCATCAAGTCTCCTCACCCCTTCATCCCACCTACTCGAGTTGCACCTCTGCTACTGCTGATAGCAAGCCAATGATATCAAGATGTCGACAATTCTGAAGAGTGCGCAGGTCAATGGTGGCGCCCCCGGCGTGCCAAACGGCCTTCCGAAGAGCAAACGGTTTTCCGACATTCCTTCTACAATCGATATCCCCGTACAAGACCAGGAAGATGAGGCTGTGGAAATCGGCCTCGAGGAGCTGGCCGATGATCCCACTGAGCTCTGCACCCTCTTCGAGATGGAGCGTGCTGCCCGCACATACTGGATGACTGTCGCCCTTGCCTATGCCAAACTGCATAAGGTCGACTTTGCTATCGAGATGCTCATTCGAGGCGCCAATGCGATGCAGGTCAGCAACCCCAGGGAAAAGCTGAGCATCGTCAGCTGCCTGTGTTGGATGTACCTCTGGAAGAGCAGAGAAGCGCCCCGAGTCGCCCCCGAGGGCTCACTGGTTTCCGAGGCGAAGACAAAGGAATACTATCTCCAACTGGCTACATCTACTCTCAACGAGGCTTCGCGAATCAACCCGGCGTTCCCCCCTCTTTTCCTCGCTCGAGGCGTTCTCTATCTTCTCAGAGCTTCGCTCCAGACACCATCAAAGGCGTCTAGTACGGCACCTGGTGCAATTGATTCAGAGAAGGCCGAGCTTCTGCGGTCGGCCCTCAAGTCATTCGATGACGCCATCCGGGTGTCCCAGGGCAAGAACATGCTGGCAGTGATGGGCAAGTCGCGTGCGCTGTTTTCTCTTGGCAAATACGCTGAGGCCTTGGCCGGATATCAAGATGTCCTCGCCAAGATGCCTGACCTTGTCGACCCAGACCCGAGAATCGGCATCGGTTGTTGCTTTTGGCAGCTTGGCTTTAAGGATGATGCCAAATTGGCTTGGGAACGGTGTCTTGAGATCAACCCAGAGTCCAAGATTGCCAACATTCTCCTGGGCCTCTACTACCTCGACGCCAGTGGGCATGTCCCAACAAACAGCCCCGACTTCATCCGGCTCTACAAGAAAGCTATGACAGAATACACCCAGAAGTCCTTCAAGCTTGACAAGGATTTGCCCCTTACCTGCGCGACCTTCGCCGGCTATTTCTTGTCCCGGAAATCGCTCGCAAACGTCGACTCCTTGGCGCACAAGGCCATCCAGTACACGGATGTCAATGCCATTGCCAGCGACGGTTGGTATCTGTTGGCCCGGAAGGAGCACTATGATGGCAATGCCGACCGTGCAAGCGACTACTACCGCCGAGCAGATGATGCTAGAGGCGGAACGGAACGAGGCTACTTGCCAGCTAAATTCGGCGCCGCCCAGCTATCCGTGCTCAAGAACGATCTGGGAGAGGCGAAGCTGCGGTTGGAGAAGATGATTCAGCAATCGAGGAATTACGAGGCCATGGTCCTGCTTGGGACTCTGTACGCCGAGGAGGTATTTACGAATCAGTATGCGGCCGTCAAAGAGGACAGGAGCGCCGAGGCCAAGAAGGCTATCGGTCTCCTTGAGAGTGTCCGGTCTGCATGGAAGGATACGAAGAAGAACCTATCGCCCGATCCAGCAGTCCTCCTGAACCTCGCTCGGCTGTACGAGACTGATCATCCCGAAAAGGCTCTCCAGTGCCTCCAGCAAGTAGAGCAGCTGGAGACCGACCAGATACCCGAGTCTGAATACCCTACGGACATCGAGGATGAGGCCGTCATTCGAGCCGCCCTCCGAAAGTTCCTGCCGCCTCAGTTACTTAATAACATGGGATGTTTCTACGCGCAGGCGGGGAGACACGAGGTTGCCAGCGAGATGTTCGAGGCCGCTCTCGGTGCCTGCATGAGAATCGGCGAAAGGGACGAGGATACGGATACCGATGCTCTTGTCACGACCATCAGCTTCAACCTCGGCCGGAGCTATGAATCGCGCAGCATGTCGGATCAGGCTGTCGAGGTCTACGAAGGTCTGCTGAAGCGTCACGACGACTACACGGATGCGAAGATCCGCCTAGCATACATCAAGCTGCGGAAGAACCCCAACAAGGAGGGTCCAGATACGGTTGCGAAGCTATACCAGGAGAACCCCGCCGACCTCGAGGTGCGCGCTTTATACGGCTGGTTCTTAGGAAAGGTCAACTCCCGGAAGAGGCCAGCGAACATTGCAGAAGACCCCGAGCTGCGCCACTACAAACATACCCTGCAGAACTACGACAAGCACGATCGCTACGCCCTCGTTGGAATGGGCAACATGTGGCTCGTAACGGCGCGAGAGATGCGCAGGGAAACGGATCAGGAGAAGCAGAAGAGAAGCGCCACCTACGGGCGTGCGGTAGAATTCTTCGAGAAGGCCCTGCAGCTCGATCCCATGAACGCCTACGCCGCGCAAGGCATCGCAATTGCTCTGGTGGAAGACAAGAAAGACTACAAGAATGCCCTGCCAATCTTTCTCAAAGTCCGCGACACCATTAAAGACCCACACGTCTTTGTCAACCTCGGACATATCTATGCCGAGCTCAGGCAGTTCTCGAAGGCCATTGAGAGCTACGAGATTGCCCTCTCCAAGGAGGGGAAGTCGAATGATGCTGGTATTCTGTCTTGCCTGGGCCGGGTATGGCTGAACAAGGGCCGTTCTGAGCGCACTATGAACGCTTACAAATTGGCGCTGGAGTGCGCCGAGAAGGTAGGAGCCCGTCAACCTGGACTAATTCACACGAGGCAGCGTGCTAACCGGGATGTTCTAGGCTCTTGCTGTTGCGCCTGAGCAAGTACACTTCAAGTTCAACGTTGCATTCGTTCAGATCCAGTTGGCCATGATGATCCACTCGCTCAACGAGACCCAGCGTAACTCGCTGCAGCTCCAGGATGCGGCGGATGGCCTTGAATCTGCCATCAAGGTACTCGACGAGATTGCCAGCTCGCCTCACACCCCTTACCCCAAGCACGATATTGAGCAACGTGCAAACATGGCCCGCAATACACAGCGCAAGCAGCTCGAGAGAGCACTCGCCAGCCAGAGAGAGTACGAGGAGAAAAACAAGGAGAAGCTGGCTGCAGCCATGGAGCAGCGGCAGGCGGAGTTGCGGCGCCGGGAAGAGGAGAAGCGCAAGGTGGAGGAGGCACTCCGCGAGCGCCAGGAAAAGATCCGGAAAGAGCGCGAAGAGATTGCCGCGCGGGACCGCTTGCTTGCCGAGCAGCGTGACGACGAAGAACGGACCAGACTCGAGTCATCCGTCGGCGAGGCCGGCGAGAAGGCGAAGAAGAGAGGGAAAGCGTCGTCCAGGGGCACTGGCGAGCCGCGACAGAAGGGTGGTCGTTCCCGCCGGAAGAAGGCCGACTCGGAGGGCGACGAGTCTGGTGAAGAGCGGCCCAAGAAGAAGCAGAGGCTCAGCCGTCGGGGACAGGCCGGAAATTACAAGTCGGCCGAGATTGTCGAGGACAGCAGCGAGGATGACGACGAATTGGAACGGGCCGAGAGGGCTTTGGCCAGAGAAGGCGCCGCTGGCTCAGACGCGGATGACGTTCCGAGGGACGACGTCTCTGATACAATGGAAGTGGACAACAGCAATGTTGCAGGTGAGGATGATGAGGGTGAGGAAGAGACCGTCTCGCGACGGCAGCAGGCGAAACGCTCTCGAAGGGGTAGAATCCTGGAAGAGAGCGACGAGGAAGAAGAGGGAAAGCCCGAGAAGGGCAGTGACAAGGGCAGTGACAACGATGATGTGGCGGATGAACCGGCCGGACCAATCGCTGAGGAGGACGAAGCAGCGCCTGCGGACACCAGCATGGCAGACCTGGACGAGGATGACGAGTGAAGGCACTGTCAATTTGACCATATTCATCCATCCCACAAGTGATGATTTAGACCGTCGTGCTGGGTGGACGGGCGACGTTCTATGTGAAGTTACGGTAATTGGCGATCAGGTTCTAGGTTCTAGGTTCTTGCTGCAAGGGTTGGTAACTGGCTTAGCAAGTCAGGATATGAGCGAAGACAAAACAAAACATATTATACCAGTTGAGATTGCCATGTTGAAAGTAAACATCTACTGAAGTGTCCCAATGTGCTAACTATCCCGCAAGTTGACCCTCCACAGGCCGGGCCAGCGTCTAATTACAAGTATCAACTATCCCTAATTTACGAAATCCCAGCGCCGGTAGTTCATGTTTCGGGAGTATGCCGGGATCGGGCTACCGAGGGACATTCGCTTATTTAGCCCGAGCCCCCGGCTGGAGAAAATTATGCAGGCCGCTTCCCCTGTGCGCCGGCGTTGCAAACTGTAGAAGTTGGCAGTTTAAGCGGGCCTTGATTGACAGTTAGGTCCCTGTCAAGCAGTCTGTACCTTCACTTTACCAATCACATGGTTGATTGACTGCGAGGTAGGTACGTACATGAGGTCCTAGTAATCCCTTATCAGCGACAGCTGGCTTTGCAGCATTGCGAAAAGCCGTGATTAGCTTGTCCAAGCTCAATCGTGATAGACGGTGGGGTGGCCAATCACAGTACCTCGTATGCAGATGACCGCAGGAGAAGTGAATTGCTGCCCTGCGAGGCGCTCCGATGTCGCCGAGTCGCCGGCATCGGAGTGGTGGGGGAAGGGAGGGGGGCAAAACATCTACGCCATCAAATCGGCATCGATATAAAGTCATCCTGAGGCGACTTCCACTGCCAACCAAAGAACTGAAGCTTTCTACGTTTTGTTCTGCGATACTACAGTGCTTTCGCCTGTAACCAACCATCCGACCCCCCTTTTATTTCTCTTGATTATCCGTCGAATCCTACACAATGCCTAGTGCCGTATTAGGGCCGCGAACTCTCTACGACAAGGTCCTGCAAGACCATATCGTCGACGAGAGGGACGATGGCACAATCTTGCTTTATATTGGCAAGTTTTGGACTCAATTTGCGCCTGTAATTCGCAGCTTAACTAACCTGCCTCCCAGATCGCCACCTTGTGCATGAAGTCACGTCTCCTGTAAGTCAAACGTCACAATTCTGATGACATCCATGTACCTGTGTCGTTCACATACTAACTGCTGCACAGCAAGCCTTCGAGGGCCTAAGAAATGCCGGCCGAAAAGTCAGACGACCAGATTGCACTCTCGCAACCACTGACCACGTAAGTGTCTGCCCTGCCAACCAAGAATCTAGCTATATAGCTAACCGTTGCTTGCAGAATGTTCCCACCAGCCCCCGCACCAACTTGAAGGACATCTCGAGTTTTATTAAAGATGCCGACTCTCGAACACAATGTGTCACTTTGGAGGAAAACGTCCGAGACTTCAAGCTCACATTCTTCGGACTGAACGACAAGAGGCAAGGGATCGTGCACATTATCGGTCCCGAGCAAGGCTTCACCCTTCCTGGTACCACCCTTGTCTGCGGTGACAGTCACACCTCGACCCATGGAGCATTTGGCGCTCTCGCTTTCGGTATCGGTACCAGCGAAGTCGAGCATGTCCTTGCCACCCAGACCCTTATCACGAAGCGCAGCAAGAATATGAAGATCCAAGTCGATGGCGAACTGGCCCCTGGTGTTAGCAGCAAAGACGTCATCCTCCACGTTATTGGCCTTATCGGCACCGCGGGAGGTACTGGCTGTGTTGTCGAGTTCTGCGGATCCTCCATCAGGAGTCTCAGTATGGAGGCAAGGATGTCCATCTGCAACATGGCCATCGAAGGTGGTGCAAGGGCCGGAATGATCGCCCCTGATCAGACAACCTATGATTATCTCAAGGGCCGCCCGCTTGCACCCAAGGCTGATAGCCCCGACTGGAAGCGCGCAGTACAGTACTGGTCTTCCCTCAGTACTGATGATGGTGCCAAGTTCGACAAGGAGGTCTATATCAACGCAAAAGATATCGCCCCAACCGTCACCTGGGGTACTTCGCCTCAGGATGTCATCCCGATCACCGGCGTTATCCCCGGCCCAGATGACTTCACTGACCCAAACAAAAAGGAGGCCTGCAAGCGCTCTCTGGAATATATGGGCCTGACCGCTGGTACACCCGTGCAGGACGTTGTCCTGGACAAGATCTTCATCGGCAGCTGCACAAACGCCCGCATTGAGGATCTACGCGCTGTAGCAAAGGTCGTCAACGGCAAGCATATTGCATCCAACATTAAGCGCGCAATGATCGTTCCAGGATCTGGTCTGGTCAAGAAGCAGGCCGAGGACGAAGGTCTCGACAAGATCTTTATCGATGCTGGCTTCGAATGGCGAGAGGCTGGTTGCTCAATGTGTCTTGGCATGTAAGTTGTTTCCTCTGGGCTGAAGAGCAAGACATAATTTTGAGAAAAACAAGAATGTACACTAACAAGACTTCTCTACCACAGGAACCCCGACATCCTCGCCCCTAAGGAGCGATGCGCGTCCACATCCAATCGCAACTTTGAGGGTCGCCAGGGAGCCGGTAGCCGGACTCACCTGATGTCACCAGTTATGGCTGCGGCATGCGCCCTTGTTGGCAAGCTTGCCGATGTCAGAACTGTCGCCAGTGCTGCCCATGTCTCCCCTGCCAAGGCGTCTCCCAAGATCACGATTGAGGACCCAACCTTGGACGACATTCTCACCGACGACGAAGACTTGGACCGCATCCTTGATCAACCCGAGGACGGGGCAAATGCCGGCGCTGAAACTGATGTCCCAACCCCATCCGGTGGCATGGCCAAGTTCACGCAGCTCAGGGGTATCGCAGCCCCCATGGAGCGAACCAACGTCGACACGGATGCTATCATCCCCAAACAGTTCTTGAAGACCATCAAGCGGTCAGGTCTCGGCTCCGCCCTCTTCTACCAATGGCGGTATGACAGCGAGACCGGCGAGGAAAACCCCGACTTCGTTCTGAACAAGGAGCCCTACCGCAACGCCAAGATCTTGGTTGTGACTGGCGCAAACTTTGGTTGCGGATCAAGCCGTGAGCATGCTCCGTGGGCATTGCTTGACTTTGGCATTCGCTGCATTATTGCTCCCTCTTTTGTAAGTCCACACTCGCAGCCCATAGTTACCCAACATTTTCCCCCTTTCTTTTCTTGGATGCTAACACGGAAGTGAAAGGCGGACATCCACGAAACAAATCTTTACAAGAACGGCATGCTTCCCCTCATAATGAAGCCAGAGGCACTCGAGAGGGTCGCTGTCGAGGCAAGGGCCGGCCGCGAGATCGAGGTCGATCTCCCCGCGCAAGTGGTCAAGACGGCGGATGGTAAGGAGCTGGGCACGTTCGAGATGGAGAGCTTCAGGAAACACTGCCTGGTCAACGGCCTCGACGACATCGGCCTCACCACGCAGATGGAGGACAAGATCCGCGATTTCGAGAGGCGGAGGACGCAGAACACCCCCTGGCTGGACGGTACCGGATACCTCAAGAGGAAGGGGCCCGTCATGGTGGAGGCCGCGCCGGTTCCCAAGACGAATCGGGGAGAGGTCAAGATGGAGCCGCTTGAGTGGTAAAAGTTGAGGAAAATGAAATGCTTCATGTCGACACGAACACATACACAAACACCACGTCCTCCTCTTGCAAATCTGTGACCTCGTTGTTCTTTGTGGTGTGTGTACCAAACGCTCATTGGTACGGATTGTGGCTGGCGGGCTCAGTGGGCTGAGATGTAGTTTGACATTTAAAAATGGGCGGAGTATTTGTTGTCTTGCAAAATGCTTAGGATTAAGGGGTCGTGACGGCGTGATGAGCCGAACGAGAACCGGATTAGTCGGCTTACAACCCCCCCTGGCAGCGTCGGCGGGCGGGTTTTGATGGCATAGTAAACACACTACGTTCAGGAGACGAGATATAAGGCCATGGCACAGACCCTGGCTGGATCTGGGAAATGCAGGTCGGGAGGGATTGGCGTGCAGTTTATTGCTCCAATGTAATCTGTATACGGCTTCGGCGCATCATCGTATTATGCCTGGTTATTCGCGTTAAAAAAGTTGGCGTTTTTAGCTACAATCTTGGGGAATTGCGTATATTCTTCAGAAAGGAATACAGCCTTTGAAAATAAAGGCCCGAGCAGCAGAACGAGACCCGATGGGATTGTAAATATTTGAGGTTTTGTTTGTGACCGTATTCCCAGATGCTCCAGGGACTAGTAACTGCTGATTATTAACTAACCCTCATCCGACAAACGCCGGTCATGAGGGTAAGGAGAATCCCGAACCAACATCCTATGCCCAACACAGCCTTGAGCTCTTTTCTTTCCCTCTCCTCCCTTATTTCCTGACCACTGAGCGACGCTCGGCAAATGAGGCGGAGCATCCCTGCGATCTTCGCGCGGGGCGGCACGTCCAACGGCCTGGTGATCCACCGGCGCGACCTGCCGGCGCGGGACCGGTGGCACGCCGTGCTCCCGGCGGCGATGGGGTCCCCCGACCCGCGGCACGGCAGGCAGCTGGACGGGATGGGGTCGGGCGCCTCGTCGACGTCCAAGGTGTGCGTTCTGTCGCCGACGGCGCGGCCGGGCGCCGACGTCGAGTTCACCTTCGTGCAGGTCGGCGTCGGCGACGGCCGCCTCGACACCGCGGGGAACTGCGGCAACATGTCGTCCGTCGTCGGGCCCGTCAGCCTGGACGAGGGCCTGGTCGGGGAGCCGCGGGTGGACCCCGGCGGGGAGACCGCGCTGGTGAGGATCTTCAACACGAACACGGCCAAGATCATCCACTCGCGCTTCCGCGTCGCCGGAGACCCGCCCCGGTACTGCCCCGACGGCGACTACGTCATGGATGGCGTGCCGGGCGCCGGGTCGCGGGTCACGCTCTCGTTCCTCGATCCGGCCGGCGCCAAGACGGGGCGCGCCCTGCCGACCGGCAACGCCGTCGACACCCTCCGCCTGCCGGACGGGTCCGCCGTCGAGGCGTCGCTCGTCGACGTGTCGAACCCGGGCGTCTTCGTGCGGGCTGCCGACGTCGTCGTCGCCGTCCCAGGCGCGGAGGAGGTGGAGGCCCAGGTGCAGGCCCTGGACCCGGCGGCCGTCGAGGCGGACCCGCTGCTCAAGACCCGCCTTGAGATGGTGCGCCGCGTGGGGGCGGCTCGCATGGGCCTCGACCCGGAGGTGCAGAGCGTGCCGAAGATCGTGCTTGTCTTGCCGCGGCGGGGTGGCGGGGGAGGGACGGCGACGGACGAGCCAGATATCAGGTGTCTTGCTCTGTCGATGGGGCAGGCACATAAGGCTGTCCCGCTAACGCTGGCTTTGTGCTTGGGCGCGGCTGCGGGAATTCCGGGGACGATACCGTTCCAGCTCAAGGCCCGGGAAGGGACCGGGGGGACGGTCGTTATTGGGCATCCGAGCGGGCGGGTGGAGATTGGGACGACGGTGAGAGATGGGAAGATACTGTCGGCGGAATTGCATAGGACGGCGAGGATCTTGATGAAGGGGGAAGTGTTTTACTAGATCTGGAGAGAGACAGTGGCCTCCCAACTCTTATTTCGGAGTGACATAGACGAGTTCGAAGGCTCCCAGGGGCACATTTGACTCGAAAGGCAAGAAGGAAGGGGCTCATTCCCGTCAGGTCGTCATTACTCGATGTTTGGGCCTAGGGAATGGACTCGCTCTGGCCACTGCTAGTGGATTACTATGTCCATTTGTTTGTCGTGTTTCCTTTTGATGTCTTTGCCCCCTAATACCGCTTAATATGCGATTGTCAGAGGGTGCTGGGCTTAGCCGCCTAGGACCAAGTCGGGCTCCGGCTTAGAGTCGACCCTCAATTTTTAATGGGCCGTGATTAAGGACGCCTACAGGAAAAGAAACCGTCACTTGAGGATGGAAGGCTATGCATTGCCAAACCTGATATTGTAGCTATAACCGTGGTATGGAGAGTCGTTGGCGCATAAACCCTTCCTTCCGTCCCAGGCCCAGAACCATAAAAGACCCGCGAAGCCCAAACCCCATAACTCCAAGCAGGTCCCCCCCGATGATAGTTCGAAGCCCGTTCATAATAATCCATGACTATGCCAACGCCACCCATGCCGCCAGAATATGCCCTCCCCTTTCTCTAAACCCAAAACTCACCAATGCGAACTCCTCTTCTTCTGCACCTTCCGCGGCGGGTCTTCCGACCTATTCAAGCCAAAGAATGTACTGACGCTCGCCGTAGGGTTCTGCAGGTTCAGCCCCCCTCCTCCGCTGCCATTTCTCCTCCAGCCCTGGCCAGGCGGTCCCCCCTGCGGCGGCGGAGGCGACGCCGCCGCCGGGCCGCCCCACCCATAACTCGGAGCCCCGTACCCGTTCGGCACGGGGCCGACGCTCACGGGTCTCGGCGGCGTGCCAACACCGGCCCACGACCGCGGGGGCAGGGGCGGGCTCGCCACGGTATTGGTCGAGGGCAGGTCCTGGCCCTCGGTGCCGTACTTCTTGCGCAGGCGCTCCGTCTCCTTGGCCACCTCGGCCTCGCGCCGCCGGCGCTCTTTGTCCTCCTCGTCGAGCATCTTCTTGATGCGCTTCTGCTCCGCCCGGTCGCGCTTCTCGCGCTCGCGCTCCTCGCGCTGCTCCCGCTCGACCATGGCCTGGAGGCGGCGCGTCTCGGCCTCGACGTCGGCCGCCTGCGCGCTCGTCGTCGCCGTCGTCGCCATGCCGCCGGGCGGGAGGTTGCCCAGCGCGCCGGACATGGTGGCCCCCACGGGCGACGGTGCCGTTCCCGGGCGGGAGCTCGTCCGCCGTCTTCCGTCCGTCACGGCGCCGGGGGCAGAGCCCGCCGTGTTGAACACATCGTGCCGCGGGGCGAGATACAGATCCCGTATGACCTCGGCTGCGAGCAGCAGCACGACCTCGAGACCTTTCATGTCCTCGACCTCGACCCGCTGCAGGTTCGGCTGGTATATCGTCATGGCGCTGTCCTTGCCCGCCTTGAACAGGGCGACGGTGATGTCCGGCTCTTTGCTCTTATTCCCGCCGAGGCTCTTGCCCGTCATGTAGCACGTCATGTCCTTGGTCAGCCTCCCGTCCTTCTTCCAGCGGAACATGATGCGGGGCACGAGGTCGACAGGCCCGCCGGTCTGCTGCTGACGGTCCAGCTCGCTCGCGGACGGCACCTTGAACGACTGCGTCGGCATCTCGAACTCCCAGCTGTCGCTCTTGTTCCACCCGCCGGGGACGAGCTTGAACGCGACGGCCTGGTCCGGGTTGTACAGGAGGACCGAGAAGGCGTCCGGCACGACGGGCACGGGCGGCGGCGGCGCGGCGCCGCTCTGGGCGCGGATCTCGGCCGCCGAGAGCGTCGGCTGCGTCCATTCGGGCGCGACGTCGACCTCGGCGTAGACGATGTCGGCGCCCACGGGCGAGCACAGCGCCACGGCGTACTTGTTGCGGCCGCCGGGCTGCGACGGGTCGGCTCGCCTGAGGACGTACTCGGGGGTGGGGTCGGAACCGTACTGGGTTAGGTAGACGATACTGGAGAGGGCACTGTCGGCCGAGGGCCTGAAGTGGAAGGTGGGGAGGTTCTCGTCGAGCATAATGGGCGGTTATCGGGAACGGAGGTGGGGGTTGCTACGACGCCTCGAGAGGATGTCTGGTTCTTGCCATCCGACAAGCGGATTTTGGGAAGCGAAAGTCTCGGGTGCTGCGGTGCGAACACTGAATTGGTCTTGTGACTGCACTTCTGAACTGATGGGGAATGATCCAAATGAATGCACTCCTGAGTGGAAGGAAGCTTCTTCGACGAGTGTTAAATGGCTATATGTACAAGATAATCCGATTACGCGGGCAGCTGACGTAGGAGGAATGATCGCGCTAAACAATGTGGACGAACGAATACAATCAGTCCTGAACCAGCCTCAGCATAAGTCTCGACCGAGGTGATGAGTCAAGCAAAATTCATGATTCTTGAAGACTGAGATTCCCACTTCTAGGAATGGCAACTTGGGCTGACAGGGCGGCAGCTGAGCTGGACAAGCTGCGGCGTGTCTCCGCTCCGCCACAGGGAAGAGTCGAGGCCGAGGGCCTTGTTCCCAAATTTCAAGGCACAGCCTCGGCGGACGCCATCCTGCCAAGGACCTTTGTGGGCGGCAGCCAATCAGGACACACAACCTCTCTGCAACGCGTGGCCACCTGAGCCACTCATTGTGCCTGTTAAGGGGCCGGCTTTTGAGAGCTCGCTGTTAATTGTCACGAGATGGGATACTGATCGCTGATACTTTTAGCCGCGCGATGCGCGCGACGTCACACCACTGACAGATCGAGGTCATTCCTCATTCACCATCGGCGTGGAAGGCCCCTATGCCTACGCCGATAATCTTGCTGCCGTCGGCATCAATGGCCCAGCTAGCAGCAAGGCCGCCGGCCATCTCCTGCTGGTGGCTGGGCGAGAAGTTGACTATCACGCCCTGCTGCTATGGAAGCGTAGATCATGCCGACAAAACATACGCAATGTGATCGCTGCCTTCATGACAGTCTAGCGGGAACGGGCATGTTTTACACGTTCGGTAGTCATGGGCGAGACGGTGCAGGTCTGCCGGAGAGTTGCCATCTTCGGCTTGCAACCGAGGTTTGCTCTTTGCTAGGGGAAGTTCGTGAGCTGTCTCCGTTGTATTTCTGGCTGTCAAGAGGCAGTATAAGCGACGAAGGAGCGAGCATGAAAGACGAAGGAGCTGCTGCATTGCTGATATGTAGTCGCCAAGCCCATTCTCTGGCAGCCTGAGGCTAACTAACTCCCTGCTGATGCCCTGGCATTCCTTCCTGTAATTTTCAAATCAATAAAGCCGCGAACGGGCTGTCGACAGTCTCTTCCAAGTTGGGAGTCGGAGTGGCTAAAAGCTTGTCCCAACGTTGGCAAGGGAAAGATAAGGGGGACCCCAAAGATAAGCGTTGGTTGGCTACCAGCGGAACGGTCCGCCCCACCTCTCCTAACTCGGTAGGTAGCGGCTTTAGCTGAAGTAGTATATCACGGGGCCGGACTGGCCTCCCTGCTCACGGCGTCTCAAGTCACTTGCTGCTGTGCTGGAAGGAAGAGCATTTAACTTATATTCTCTGGATCAGGCTGCCACTACCAGTGACAATTGACGTACAAATACAAAATAGCTATTGATACAAACACGAATGCCCTGAAAGGCTTTTCGCAAAACAAGAAACGCTATCCCAGATGTATCCTACCGTAGGTACCTATAAATTAGTCGAATCACCGCCCTTCGATGACCTATAAACTCCATTGCTTCTTTCCGAGCAATTTCATGACAGAGCTCTGAATACAGAGCTCTCAGCCGTTTCGTTCTCTCTATACGGTGAAACCAATCTTCTCTCGGTCGTCATCAATAACCCTGCCGTATCTATCAAGCCCATTAGACTAAGGTTGCCAAGATGGGGGAGTGCGCGGAGGGGAATACGTACTCTAGTAATAGGCGGAAGAACCAAACCTCCAAGTCCTCGTTCCTCAGCACCTTGTTTGCCCAGTCTCTGCCTTGCAGGGCAAGCCTCTCGGCCTCCCTCTTTCCCAGGTCCCCATCGCCAAAGAAACGAACAGCTTCTAGCCACTCGTCCCCCTGGAGGCTGAGAGGGATATAGTGGGCCCACGGCTTGAGCCACTCGAAGTGCCATTCGCGGAACACGGCAAACTTGTACACCAAGCTTTTGCTCTTCAGAAATGCGTAAAAGCGGCCAGAAAAGGCATTGCCGTCCATGTCGAGCAGATACTTGTACTTCCAAGCATCTTGCTGCTCGGCACGCTCCTTGATGTCGAAGAATTCCATCTGCGCCTTGCAGTCGGCTTCCTGACACTGGCCGACGTGGGAGAAATAGACATCCATGATGCCCTTGTAGTCGCCGCGTGGCACATCCTGGACTTGCCAATCCTGGCGGCTGTCGCTGCCACGGTTGACCAGGATCTTGGCCTGGTCGGCTGCGTTGAGCTTCTGCACGAACCGTTGTCGGTGCTGGCGTCTCCAGCCCCCATCGTGGCTGTAGCCGCCAGTTGTGGACCCTCGCCAATACAGTCGATCTTCCTTCTCGGCCCATTCCACGTCCTGCTTCTCATCGTACGCAACTTTCTCGTTCCAGTACCAAGGGGACGGGTAGATGATGTCGGCGTACGAAGAGACCTTGGACTGCGAGAAGATGGGGAAGAGGTCATGTACAATGTTATAAGCATTGGGCCGGTCGAAAAACCCGTATCTCTCGCTCAGAGAAGGGCTCAGACAGATGTCCGACAAGGCCGTCTCGTTGTATATGAAGCCCAGCTCTCCAGATGCGAACTTGCCGACATCGTCCACACGCTCGTCCTCGTCTAGGGTTCGAGCAGGGCTGTCAGGCGGGCAGGACATGCGCGAGTGCGTCCAGGTTGGCTGATGGGCAAAGACATTGAACCTCGTCGTTTTTGCATCTTCGAACCGAGACCCCTCGTTTAGACCCTCGGGCTTCTCGGTGAAAGAATTCCGTGGCGAAGACACCGAGTTTGCGGCCGCCATATTCACATTCTTGGCAATATCGACCAACCGGACCATGTCGTCGTGAGGTACTATGACCCGAGGCTCGTCGTGGATATTGAAGGCCAAGTCCATATTGGGAAGATGTTCAATGAATTGCTTCATCATGCCCTGTGTCGCATTCTGCTGCCAGTCCCTCGCACCTTCAATATTGGACACCTTCCCCTTCCTGATCTGCACTCCCATCAACTTATTATCGAAACCCAGAGCTTCCTTAGCTCGCGCTCGGATGGTCTTCGGCTTGAGGCCCCAGAAGGGGGTAATGAGGTCGGAAATCGTGTCGAACTCGTCGATGAGCTGGACGTTCTTGGCCTTGGCAAAGGCAAACCATTTATCGAAGTTAGGCGGCGGAGGTATGTTGTAGCGACGGCGGTATTCGGCAACCGCCTCCCCGAGAGTCTTTGATTGTTTTGCCTTCACTGCCTCCAGATCGCGCTCGGCACGATTGATGAGATGCCATATCGGGTGAGAGCCACGAGGCGCAGGCTTTGGTTTATGGTCGGGGGGCTTCGATTTCGCCTTGGTATTTGAGGGGCCGCTAGTTTTTGGTCCTTTCTGCGCTGGTTCCCATACTCGGCCCGGAGAGGATGTGCGGTAGAATGAGAATGTGCAAATTACCAAGAACACCACAACGGCAAGAACGATCATCTGCCGGGACCGCATCCTGCTGACGTAGCTCAGAGCCGCACCGAGCGACCTGCTTTGAGGTGGCCACTTAATCACCAAGATCTCCCTGGGAAATCAAGCCTGAATCTGGCGGAGAGACAGCACATGAGGCATTGGAACGTAATGGAAACCGTTGAAGATTCGTGATGTTTGCGTGTGAAATAAGTTGGTTTAGCTCGCATACCACAGTACATAGTGCTTACTGCTTACCAAGGTACCTACCTACCTAGGTACAGTACCTACGTGCCTTGAAGACAAGGATATGTGCAGCAGGACGTATTTCATTGGACACGCAGAAATGCCAAGATTTGCCAGGCAAGGGGCAAAGGGCCAGACCGTCCCTGATCACTTCCCTCTGTACCCGGGTTTTCGTCTTTTTCTAGCTTCTCCAGCCATGCCTGGCCTTGCCTTGCCCCATTTAGAGGCAGGATTGGGCATAGGCTTTTAATACACATTTACCTAAGCGTCGTGGTAAATTCTGGTGGGCATCACATACGGTGTAGGTACCTAGTATTTCAAGTCACGTGTCGTCAAGATATTCGCAACGCGGTAAAAAGGGTTCCTGTCACGACCCACAGAGTAGCAGGTTCACGAGGCAGGTCCTGTTCACCAGCACGGCAATCAAATGACCAAATCACTTTTCATATTGACTAGTGGATGACTGGTCACAGGTCTTATCTGGCGGCATTTGCAGCATTCTTATGAATGAATATGGATTTGTTATCCATTGGCTCCAAGTGGTATCGAGCTTTTGATTGTCCCACAACGCCGAGTATGCCATTCATTAACCGGATTCCGAACCTCACTTAGATGACTTCTAGTAGAAGAACCCGATGATCTTGCCAGAGACGTGCTTTCTCCTCGCCTCCTCGTGGTCCATAATACCGGCCGAGGTGGTCAGGATAACGTAGCCGAACTGACGGGCGGGCAGCAGCTTGACCACCCACTTCTCAAGATCGACCAGGCGGATGTTGTACCGGGGCGAGATGACGGCACACTTGTTCAGACTAGATCCTATAATCAGCACCGGGCGAAGGGAGCTGATCCAAAGCCGAGGGAAATACTAACCGGCCGTTCAACTGCACGACAATCTTGCCGGACCGGTGGTCATCGATCTCCTCGAAGGATCCGATATATCCTGTGGAACATGTGTCAGCGTATGTTGCGAAATATTAAACATTATACATCAGGGCAAGGCTCCGAAAACGTGTAAGTATTCCACAGAAAATTTTTATATATCGGCAACTTAAAAGACTGGAGTCGTTGGAGCATATGAGACCGTCGCCTAGTTATCATGCCGAATGGGGTATTTGTCGCAGTTTTTTCGTTTCGGAGATTGGAAAAGGGGAAAAGGGAAAACAGAGAAAAAAAGACTTCGGGCATACCGTGAGACTGCATCACTCGGAGGAACTTGGTGATGACCTTAGAGCTCGGGCGGATCATGACCTGGCGCTTGCCGGCCTTCTCGGCGTTGTTGATGTTCTTGAGAGCATCGTGGAGGACGGAGGTGCGGACCATCTTGAATGATTTGGCGGGAGATTCTCAAATCGCTAACGAAGAGTTGAGGTATCTGTCGGATGAGTCGAATGTCAGCCTTCCGAGGCTAATGAGCATGGAGAGTGCCCTCTTCGGGGGTTCGAAAGAGGGTTCTGCCCGCTCAATCCGATGGGGAGAAGCGTATCAAGAGTGCCACGTCCCGCCATGAAATCCCCCGTTTCGACGTCGGAGGGCGTGTACTGCCTGATTGCTCTCCCCAGCCATCGTGAAGGGCATTGCCTGGCATTCCTTCAAGTCATTGTTGCGCAGAAAATATACACATACCTCGAGCTGTTCAATGCCTTTGCGGTTGGCGTTGTGGTTTGGATTTTTTTCGATGGTGTTGCGTTACTTGTTTGGCAGTAGTCCACAAAACCAGAAGTGTGGTGGAAAATTGGAGGAAATTTGCCCTAAGCCCCACAATTGGCCTCGAAGGCCCAGCCAATAAGGATCTGCGATTGGATAAGCCAGTCCGTCCACGCACTTGTTAAGGCGGTCACTCAACCACCAAAATTCAACATCAAAGCATCCAACCAAGAAAATTCCACATTTTTTTACAGTATCTCACGGATCTTGGGAGACTCTTCGAGGATCGATACCGACAAGAACTTGACAATACAATCATCAAGATGGTAAGCGAAGGCTCCCTTTATTCCCCGTAGCCCGGCCTTTCGCCTTCAGCATTGCGAATTCTGCCGGGCCCCGGCACCCTTCCAACGTTCCCTGTCAACCTGTGCGGGACGACCATGCTAATCAGATTTCTGGTGCTCTAGTCGGACGTAGAAGAGAACAACGCTCCCGACGTTGCGGAGGAGGTCGAGGTCTCCGCCGATGCCGCCTCCTCTGGCCAGATGTCCGTTCTGGACGCGCTCAAGGGCGTCTTGAAGCTTGCTCTCATGCACGACGGTCTTGCCCGTGGCCTGCGCGAGGCCTCCAAGGCCCTGGACCGACGACAGGCACACATGTGTGTCCTGAACGAGACCTGCGAGGAGGAGGCCTACAAGAAGCTCGTCATCGCTCTCTGCTCCGAGCACAACATCCCCCTGATCAAGGTCCCCGACGGCAAGCAGCTCGGCGAGTGGGCTGGACTCTGTGAGTTGCCCCTGGTGTGCAATTGGATACCTACCAGATCTCTGTTACTAACCTACTTCTCAGGCGTACTCGACCGGGAGGGCAATGCGAGGAAGGTCGTCAACTGCTCCTGCGTGGTGGTGAAGGACTGGGGTGAGGAGTCTCAGGAACGGTCCATCATCCTCAACTATTTCCAGAAGGAGCAATAGAAGGTCTTGGGTCTTCCGGGCGGGTGCGGCGTTAGAGGGTACCTATAGAGATTGAGGCTATTCACAGTCACATCAAAGGCTCCTCGGGTGTACTCTAGCTGGCTTCATCACCTGGCATTTATGCATTTGGGGTCCGCTGATCGATCACCATTGCATATGACATAAGAGGGAAAAAAGGCATTGGGTTTCTCGTCAACGATCGATCCCTCAGTAGCCATTACATTACGTTCATGCTCCTCTTCTCGTGATACTCGTACTTATTTCCTCCCCTCGACCATGATGATATGATAGCCGAAGCCAGTCTTCGCCTCGCCTATCTTTGGGTTTCCAGTGGTGCTCGTCTCCAACGCATATGCTACCGCCTCGAATTGAGGATCCAGGCTTCCTTTCGCCTTCCAACCCAGAGAACCCCCTAAAGCAAAAGGAAGGTTAGAGGCGCTCAGAGATCGCATGGAGCCTGGACCATGGGTTCCGACTACTACTGCAGCTTGTCTCACCTTGGCGCGCCTTGTCTTCGGAGAAGTCTCGAGCGACTTCGTCAAACTTTGCGCCGTCTCTCAACTTGGCGAGAGCCTCTTCCTTCTTGGAGTGTTTCTCGCACTTTTTGGCGGAAATCATGTCATTAGGTACCCACCTGAAAAGGAGTTGTAGGCGGGGGGACGTACAAGAATGTGGCGCACATTGATGGATGAAGCTCCCTTGGGCTTGGTCTCCTTCTCTCTTCCCTTCCCGGCCTTGCCTCCGGGACCCTTGTCAGCCGCCTTACCGTCCGGTTTGCTTTTGGCCATTTCTTCGAATCTGCTTTTGCCCTTATATTCCCCACTGACAGGAAAAGTGGTCTCTCTGGCTTAGAAGTTAGACCTGCGTATTTGCACGCAGTAGGCGTCCAATCCGTGGATATTGTGGGCTTGGCATGCACGGACCGGCAGCTGTCATCCCATGGTGATTTTCTTGGTCCAATCATCATCTATACCAACAGGACCCGACTCGATTGAATATCGGACCGTTCCATTGTTTCTCTTCCGGCGCCTGTTAATTCCCGTCATCTTCTTTCTTGGGCCTTGTCCTCCCAGCCTCAAGCTCTACCAACTGATACTAATTGCCTCGTTTGAGGCGATTATTTGATCTCGTGGTTTTTTACCCTGACCTTCGGCTCCGCTAGACCCTCGTCGCCGGCTTCAAGGGCGTTGTTAGTGAAGCCAACTTCAACGCGTTGCTTGCCCCCGACCTCCCTAGACATCTTGTATTGTCGTATGCTATGGTGATCAAGAACTGACATCCTTTTCGTGAACTCGCATGATATTTTGCGCGCGGGAAGCTAGGTAGGCTAGCTACAGGGAGACTATCCGATTGCCGTGGGAAACCTTTTCCGGATTGCACTACTCCGCCAAATCGATGGGTAAGGAGTATAAGGACGGGCAGCTCACTGTAATTGGGTCAAGGAGGACACAATTCCTAATAATCGCTATCTTCATCCTTGAATACGAGATCAGTTGTCTGACCCATCTTGTTCAAAATGTCTCCTATCGTGGATGTAACCGCCATTCTGATCGCAAATCCGGGGAAGATAGAGAGGGTGGGTTGAGCTTCCCCCTACGGCATTGTATGTCTCACCTTGAAGAGAGTGGCTCATCGTGTCTAGGTTGTGGACGAGTTCCGTAAGATGGAAGTATATGTCAAGGCAAACGAGCCCCAGGTCCTCCGTTACGAGCTGCGCCGCGGCCTGCCCGAGAAGAATAACGGCGTCGAACTGGTAGTTATCAGAGAGATGTCGGTCAACCACAGTTCTCCGAGTCTTCTATATACTAACCAGGGCCTTAGATACGCCAATGAGGAAGTCCAACGGGCACACATTGCCACCCCACAATGCCAGGCTTTTATGAAGGCAATGGAGGAGGAAAAATTGTGCTCGGAAGTCAAGGTAGTTGTCACGAAGCCTGGCGGCCCCGGACTAGGTTTTGAAGCTCGTCTGTAATGCCGTTGGAACTTAGTAATGATTCCCAATTGTCTTACCTCGTTCCTCTTGCTTTGGGAGCCATGTGATTATTATGGTTGGCATTCGCGTCCAGGACCGTTTGTCTCAAGGGTACGTCAGTTGTCAAAGTAGGTAGGGACTAGTGACTATTCGGGCTCAGGAATCAAAAAATCCGGACCATCGAAACTGCGCGGACTAGGGACGGGGAATGGTCGAAACCACGGCACCTGAACCTGTAGATGCCAATAGTGGAAGGCAAGGTCAAGGGTCGAGGAAAGCCGGAGCAGGGAAGGGAAAGCGGTCACCCTTGGATTCGATGGGAGAGTTCAGAGGTGGTTCAGCTCACTCAGGATTAGGGAAGAGAGAACCGGCATAGGGAAGTCCGGCTGGTGCAACTTGGCAAGGGTGCCTACAAGGCTTCCGCAGTCCCTCGGCGCCTCGATATGAAGGTGAGCACGTCAAGCGACTCATCCCTGACATAGGTAGCCCATGATGATGTATGGCTGGCCAGCTGGTGAGATTCGCAGCCTAAAGCCCAGGAGATAAAGGGGAAGGGGAAGGGGAATTAAGAGACCATGGTCTAAGCTGGTCAATCCAAGTTAGTGCTACTATAAACTACAGGCCATAGCAAGTATTTTTTTGGCTGCAGCCTCCAGTCTTGCCTTTCACCGTGAACAATGGGTGCGGTTTGCTGTGTGGCTCGTGGCCTGCAGACGCAGTTTCTCAAAATTCGATATTTTGGATTGGATGTGGCTGGAGTTCAAAAATTTACGACGGCATGATGGGTACCTACTCGAACATAATCCCTGCAGGCGGTGAAAGAACCCCGCAATTCTGCCAGCCAAAACGACTTTATCTTGCATCTTCTGGCGGAAACCAATCCACAACACCACCAACCTATCTTCCCGCACTTGTCTGCGACACTTGATAAGTTGGAAGATATTCTTTGCACGGGTAGTGCGAGATCTGTATTTCATACAGCCTCTGTGCAAAGAGCATTATTTTCCTATTCTCGGCATTCAATTCATCCCTCACCTTGCACCTCACCTCGCACCCCAAAGCTATCTGCTCATCGTGTCCTGCATTTCCCAATGACCACTGTTGTCTGAGCATCAACAGCCAAGTTATTCAAGATGGCCTCTCACCACCACCAAGGCACCCATGTGCCTTCGGTCCGGGCGAATCTCGAGAAGCGGCTTGGGATTACAGAACGAAGCTCTCCGATAGATTTCTCTTGGACTGCCGATATCCGCAAGAGGTAAGTTCCATTGTCCTGTCATCACAGAGGTAGGACGTGTCTTGTGAATGCCTGAGATTAACCTGAAGCCAGATTTACCGACTTCCTTGTGTATGAAATTCGCAAAGATGGCACAGTTGTCCACTTGGATGATTACGAGGCCCCAGAAGCTCAGGTAAGAACAATAGCTCTCATGCGATTTATTCACGATTTTGTTCTAACGTGTGCCACTGCCCAGGTCCGCAAGCCCGAGGAGAAAGTCAAGCCTGTTCAGGACGAGAATGCCAAGCCCACGCCTGAGCAGAATGATCAGAAGACGGTGGTGGCACACCCTGTTTCTGACAGTGATCGCAAGATCCTTCAAGATATGATTGGCACTGCTGTGGCGGACCAGCTCATTGAACTGGACGAGTCGATCCAGGCCCGGAAGCCGAGTGGTACCACACCTGTCAAATTTCCCCAGATTACAGACCGACAGAAACGCGGAGCTATCCACCAGGTACGGGATACCCTCATTTGATCAAGGAAGCGCCAATTGCTGACCTTTTCTACAGGAGATTCGCCGCATCTTCTCATCGCGCCTTGATACCACAACCGACAAGCTCGGGGTCATTACCGCGGTCCCTACCCATGCATTGACCTCATCCTCCTACCGTGGAACCCATGGGGTTGGCCCACGGCGTGAAGGCAACCGATCCTCCCGTGATGGCCAGAAGTCGTTTGCCCAACTTGGCGGAGACTATCTCCATTGCATCCTTTACAAGGAGAACAAGGATACTATGGATGCTCTCAACCTGATTGCCCGGATGCTGAAGATCAAAGTCCAGAACTTTGGATTTTCTGGCACCAAAGACCGGCGAGCTGGAACGGTCCAGCGTATCAGTATCCATCGCCAGCGCGCCCAGAACCTGATCTGGCTGAATTCCCGCATGACCGGCGTCAAGGTTGGAGATTTCCGCCATTCGAAATACCCCATCCAACTCGGTCAGCATGCTGGAAACGAGTTCGTCATCACCTTGAAGAACTGCCAACATTATCGAGGAGCAAACTGCTCCCTCGAAGTGCGCATCAAGATGCTCCGAGAATCTGTGGAGATGGGCCTCTTGCATCTGTATAAACATGGCTTCATCAACTACTTTGGCCTGCAGCGGTTTGGCACCCATAGTATCGGCACTCACGAGCTGGGCATGAAGATTTTGAAGGGAGACTTTGAAGGTGTCATCGAGGACATCCTGCACGTCGACCCTCAAGCCATGAGCGAGATGCTCTCCTTCGACTACTCGCAGGGGCTCAACAACAACGCCGAAGCTATGAATCGCGATGATCACAACCGTGCCCGAGCCATTGCCTCGTGGAAGGCCACCGGTGATGCAGATATCGCGCTGGGCTATATGCCGAAGCGATTTGGTGCCGAGACCAGCATAATCCGCCATTTGGGTAGAGACGGCCAACGCCGTGACTACATGGGCGCTCTCCTAAGCGTCACCAGAGGTATGCGCCAGATGTATATTCACGCCTACCAGTCCTATGTCTGGAACTTTGTGGCCACTCGACGATGGTCCATGTACGGAACACGGGTCATCGAAGGGGATCTCATCCTCCTTGATACTCAGACGCCACAGGATATGAACATGGACGATGGCGAGTTCCGAGATCCTTCTGCCGACTGGGAGAACTTCTATGCCCAGGTCCGTCCATTGACGGCCCAAGACATCGCAGAGGGCAAGTATACCATCTTCGACATTGTGCTCCCAACTCCGGGATTCGACGTCATCTACCCGAACAACGACATTGGTGAGTACTACAAGACGTTCATGGAGCGTGAGGAGAACGGGACCCTGGACCCCTACAACATGCGCCGACGCCAGAAAGAGTTCAGTCTCAGTGGTAGCTATCGGCCTCTCGTTGGCCGATTCCTTCAGAAGCCCGAGTATATCATTCGCGCCTACTCGGACGACAATGACCAGATGCATCCCACGGATATCGACCTCATCATGCAGAAGAGGGCAAAGGCCCGGAACGAACGCAAGCGTCAACTTGGAGCAGACGCAGATGTCGTTTCCTCCTGGAAAGGATTCTCCCAGAACGCCGCTCAACACGATAAAGTTCTTGACGATGAATTCCGTCGCCGCCGCGCAGAAGCACCGCCGACTGTTGACTGCGGACGTATCAAGGAGACATGGATCGAGACTGGTTATGATGGCGGAGGTAAGCGCATTAAGGTTGCGCGCCACCGAGCCATCATTGAAGCCTCCGACCAGGCGAACGTGGCGGCGGGCGGGGCCATGGTCTCCATCGAGGCTGAGGGCGGAAACGCAAGCCCAGGAGCCCAGCCCCCTGCAACTACGACGTTTGGAGCGCCATATTCTATTGTTCCTCCTACCGGAGAGCCCGTGGGCAACCCGGCCCATGTCTCCTCAATTACAAGTGCATCTGACAAAGCCGGCAACGAGTTTCTCCTGTCACTCTTGAAGGACAGCGTCGAACAAGACGCTTTCCTTCGGCATCAAGAGCCCAGAGCCAGTGGGCCTGTTGAGTTGGCCGGTGCCGGTCTCATCGGTGCGTCTGGTACTGATGGAAACCCAGCTCCCACTCTGCTGGAGATCAAGCCTACTGGTTTCGTTGGGCGCTCTTCTGGACTGAGCAACCCAACGACTGCCGGCTTCCAGGGATCTCAAGCCGCTATAGGAAATAACTCCGCCTCCTCATCGTCAGGTGAACAAATTCGATGCAACCTCCCGATCCCGGACTTCCAGCAGATTTCGGACAACCCTATCTCCGTCTTTGCTCCCGGAAACCGTTTTGATAATACCGACTATGGCAATGGCAACAAAATTGCCGTCGTTCTGAAGTTCCAGCTTCGTTCCAGCAGCTATGCCACGATCGTACTTCGTGAGCTCATGGGGACGATCCAAGATAACAACCGCTCCTCTCGTGGTAACACTCCTGGAGCTCAAAACGGAGGTCACGGTCGTTGAGACACCACTTCATCTGCGCCATCGGCCGTCTTTTCGTCCCCTCCTGCGGTATTGTATTAGGACATTATTTCTGTCCTCGTCGTCGGCTGACTTTCCGCCACGTCATGCCCGCTGTTTGCGAATGTGGTTCTCAAGAAGACCCACTGCCTAGAGAGCTTTACAGCATATGTTTAGCACAGTCCTGCTCAGAGGTTTATCGATCTTGCCAGAGGAGAGCTTCGGCCGAGATCAGACCGGATTGAGTTCTTGAGGTTCTCGCCTGGGTTGTTCTGTGACCTGAAGCACCGGAGAGTTTTCATGTTTTCATGTACAAGTATAAAGCAAGAGCTTCATTTTCCCTTTCCGGACCGACATACCGTCATATCTGCCTCGATGGCTCATGAAGCCTCTCGGCGTTGAGAACATGTTGACTCGGTAGAATGTGGTATTTTGGCGTTGTGGTTTCCGGTCGCTTTTTTACTGCACTGCATTGGTCAGAAGGCATCATGATCATGATCATGATCACTGGCGTTAAGCTGGATGGATGAGGTAAGGGTCGTGTATCCCATGGGCAGATACCCCTTTCGTTAGGCTATGGCAATGCATTGATTGTTTCTTGACTGGAGGCCGTAAGTGAATCCCTTTGTGGATGTACCCGCCTCTAGCAGCCGATTCGGAGCTTCGACATTTTTAAATTTTTTAGGGCATCCGATCTCAATCATCTCATGAGACAGTATTTTGATTCTCAATTGTGGAGCGACCACTCACAAGCGGGAGGGCGGGACAGGTATTCATTCAATCCAATTTTGTTGATTGCGGGATCGGGGATTATTAGTCCGCCTCTGGATCACTGACGACGGGACCCGATGGGAGTTACTTTAGGTAGGTAGGTAGGTAGGTACCTAAGTACCGACGCACCTACCTACCCGGTGATTACGGGCGACGTCCTGGCTTTTTGATGATAGCGGCTGCGATCGCCCGAGGGCTACAGGTACCCCTCTCAACTGACGAACCTCAGCAGACGAGACCACATTCGAACTTTCTATGCTAGAGCGAGAGCATGTCGACTCTGGCTGGAGGCCCTCGGGGCCTCGATCCCCTTCTCCTCCATCAATCGTACCAAATGAATGGGGGACGACTTCAGGGCGGCCACGCCCTCTCAAATCACCACGCCGACTCTCCGGTTTCGACAAAAACCCTCTCCGATAGCAATCTCGGTCAAGCTGCGGAAGGAATGCAACTCCGGTCCTCGCGGAGGCGGCCAAGGGTCCCTGATTGGGATTCTTTCTACAAGAATGGGCAGCCCCGGGAGCAGGAGGTCATTGTGATCGAAGATTCTCCCGAGCCCGCCCGAGACCACGCCTTAAGCGATTACAGCAGCATCCCAAACGGCCTCACCGCCGTATCCTCCAGCAAGAAGCGGAAACTTGACGACACCGCGAGCCAATCAACCTACAGCAGCCGCCAAGTTGTCAATGGATCATCAAGTAAAGGCTCACCCACCGAGTCCTACCGGCCCGCCGACCGGGACCCCCACCCGACCGCGTCTCTCGCCCACATCTCGACGAACGATGCCAATTCACGCACAGGTCTGAAGAGAAAGAGGACCAGGCAGAATATAACGAATGGCGTCGAGCCTCGCAAACTGAGGGCCGACGGTTCCAGATCAGTATATGGTGAATACCGTGGCCTCGGGCGCAGGGCGACCAAGGCCTCCGACGTGGCCGTCCGGGTCGTACGCGACGTAAGTGGCATCCATATCTACAATATTTGGCCCTTCCCCCTAACTTCTATATAGGACGTACACAAGGACAAGAAAGTCAAGTTGGACGACGACGATGGTCATTACATTGTCATTCCAGACACAGACCTGGCAAATAAATGTAGGTCATCTTGCCTCCCCACTCCCGCCCAGCATCGGGTTACTCATCCTTCTTCTAGACCGGATCATGAAATTACTGGGCCAGGGGACTTTTGGAAAAGTCGTCCAAGCCGTTGACCGGGAGAGCAACCAATTGGTTGCTGTTAAGGTTATTCGCTCCGTGCAGAAATACCGCGACGCGGCCAAGATTGAGCTCCGGGCCCTGCAGACCCTGAGGCAAAATGACCCCGAGAATCAATACCGCTGCATCCATCTTCGGGATTGCTTCGATTTCCGGGACCATATCTGCATCGTTACGGATCTCCTTGATCTCAGCCTCTTCGACTTCCTCAAGGCCAACAGCTTCGTCCCTTTCCCGAATAGCCACATTCAGAGCTTTGCTCGGCAGCTCTTAACCAGTGTCGCCTGTGAGTTACGAGCCGTCTTATCATCTCGGGCGTCATAAGCCGGTTCTAATTTTTGTTTTCTCTCGCAGTCTTGCATGACCTGAACCTTATCCATACCGACCTCAAGCCGGAAAACATATTGCTGTGTGACGCCGGCTACCAGACGTTTACATACAATCGGAGGATCCCGTCATCGCAAGTATCAGCACAGCGACAGGCATCACAGAGGAAGGTTCTGCTCAGTCCCGAGATCAGGTTGATAGACTTTGGGTCTGCAACATTTCAGGATGAGTATCACTCCTCAGTCGTCTCAACGCGTCATTATAGGGCCCCGGAAATCATCCTCGGCTTGGGGTGGTCCTTCCCTTGTGACATCTGGAGTATCGGCTGCATTCTAGTCGAATTCTTCACCGGCGATGCCCTTTTCCAGACGCACGATAACCTCGAGCATCTGGCCATGATGGAAGCTGTGTGCGACGCTAGAATCACTCCTCACCTAATACAAAAGGTGAACAAGATGTCTGCCAAGAATGGGCCAAACAGTGCTGCAAAGTAGGTGGCCCTCGCTCTCTCCCAGGAGGGATTCTATACTAACTGTTGCCGACTCAGGTACTTCAAGAGACAGAAGCTCGACTATCCAACCACGGAGACGACCCGAGCCTCAAGGAGGTTTGTCAAGAACATGAAGAGGCTTGTTGTATGTCGACTGACCCATCTACCCGGCTTTCGAAACTCGACTAAACTGTATCATAGGACATCATCCCGCACAACGTCAGTCCCTTCATGAAGAACTTCTTGGATCTTCTAGAGAAAATATTCGTCTACGATCCTGCAGCTCGGATAACCGCGAAGGAAGCGTTACAGCACCCATGGTTCAAGGAGGTGGCACGCGATGACGGCACTGAGGCGGCACTGATCCAAGAGAAGAGGATTGCCGCAGGACGCAGCTCCGGGACTGCCTCAAGCGCCTGCCATGACTCTCAGCACGGCTGAGGAGGGGTGACTCTGGTTTCTCGTGTTGGGCCAGGCTACTTCTCGCTTGACGAGATCCCTGCCAACCAGCCGAGAAGCTTGAAGACACCACATTGGTCCTCGACGGTTGAATACCGCGGGACCCTGCACGGTCTCATCGCATCGGGACACCATCATGTGACAGCTGACGGTTGTTCGCAATTCTTGGTGAAAACCGACAACGTGCCCGCACCGGGGCGCATCATCTCGGTTAGAAGGCAGGAGCAAACCCCCCCTCTTCGACCTGCAGCATGTTAACTGACAGCCCATGTTTAGATTGCTCTTCCGAAGCTGAAGAGGTAGGGGTCGGCTCTCAGATGTTGGACATCTCCTCAGGTCAACTGCAGTTGGTTCCAACCCTATGTATGTTTGGACAGCCCAAAGCTGTTGCATCCCCCCATGGGCGACATGTGGGCGTTGATACCCGAGCCACGAGAGCTTTACATTGGGTGCTTGGCCCGCGTTCATGACTAGACTTGGAAGCTATGAACATAGAAGGAGGGGATACGTGGTGGATGGCTTAGCTGGATGGCGCCAACCTTGCCAGAAATATCCCCCAGCTTCAGATATCTCGAGGGAGAGATTTGCCGTGTTATAATCGACTTCAGAAATGTCCAATTCGCCAGTCCTCTATAAAAGAGGCTCGCACCGATACTTCTAAAGACTATAAACAGTTTTCTAGAAGCATTTGCAGTGTGTGTGTAGTGTTTCTTGCTATGGTCTGGTCATGCTTGCTATGCGCAGTACCTAGAGGTACCCAGGTCTCTCTGGCCTTCTTTGAATCCCGGGCAAACTGGTTGATGGATTGATGGTTCGGGTCACCATTCCCCCCTCCCAACAAAAAGGAAAACATGAAACGATAATATATAAACGTAGGCGCTGCATTCATGATCCCATCCACATACACCGAAATAGATGGATAGGTGAGCTGGTTAACACCCCTTCAGTCCCACAGGCCCTGCCTCGTCTGAAAAATAAGGAGCAAAACAAGAAAAGCAGAAGAGAAGAAGAAAATGGATATAAGTTGATGCGTATCATCAGGAAACAAGACCTTTTTCTTCCTTCCCGGGCGCCCTGAGATAAGTTGACAAGGAAGGCCTCTGGATCCGTCGGGCGACCTATGTCTGTAGATCAAATGTCTTTCACATATGTGTGTGTGTGTGTGTGTGTGTGTATCTCTGTTCCCTGAAACCTTGAATCACTCCTAGGCATGACATGGCCCCCGCTAGAATGGACATGCCTTGATTCCCCTCGCAAGCCGGTCGTTTCTATTCATGATATTCTCCAAGCTTCTTCTTATACCCAGAGCAGGGATTGGATATGTCTGCGTGTGCGTCGATAATATATACCCTACCCCCGGGGGAAAAAAGGGCGGGGATGGGAAAGCTTGGAAGGCGGTAGCTCGCAAAGCTCCAAGACGAGGCGCCTCCCGTTACGGAACCGTTGTTTCTACGCGATGCAACGCATAGATAGGTAGGATGGCCTCGCTGCCCAGGACTTAGGTCAGGGGCGAAAGAGACGAGGGGAGCCTCATGCGCTGGGTTCCTGCTGCACCTCCTGCTCTTCCCAGCCCCATACTTGGGACAGGTATCGGCCCATGTTCACGCGCTTCGACTTCATGTCCATCATCCACGGGTGCTCGAGCATCCGCCACGGACTTGCCCGGCGGTTGGGCTCCTTCTCGAGACTTGGGGGGAGGTTAGCTTTTGGGAGAGAGGTGCCGGGGGGGGGGGGTTTATGGAACTCACCAGCACTCGATGAAGTACTTGAAGTTATCGCTCCACAAGATATTCGCCTCGGGCTCGTCCTTCAACTTTGGAATGGGCTGCCTGACGATGTAGGTGAGAAGGTCGATCAGGCCGGCGCGGGGCTGCATCTCGGTGCCGTCTGCGGGGAAGGGGAACCTGTGCTGGGCGACCTCGAGGAGGGTGACGCCGGTGGACCAGACGTCGGAGGTGATGGTGTACGACTGGCCGGTGATGCGCTCGGGGGCCATGTAGTACGACGTGCCGATGAAGGTGTTGGCCTCACCCTTGGTGCCGAAGTCGCCTGACACGCCAAAGTCGCACAGCTTGACCTCGCCGTTGCGGCAGAGGAGGATGTTGGACGGCTTGATGTCGCGGTGGATGATCTTCTTGCTGTGCAGGTACGTCAGGCCGCGGAGCACGCCCTCGGCTATCTTTCCCAGTACCTTCTCCCCCGTCCGGCCGCCGAGCCGCTTTACTTCCTTGTAGATGCTGTCGAGCGAGCCGCCCTCGCAGAACTCCATGGCGATGGATATGGTGGCGGTCGCGGGATCAACGAAGGCGCCGTAGTACCTGCAAATGTGTTCTGATGCGCACTCCTTGTTGAAGCCGAGTTCCCTGACGATCTGTTTCTTGACGTCCGGGTCCGGATTGGTTGTGATAACCTGGTACCGGGCGTGTTAGTCGACATTCAGTAGCGTCCAGTGGTGGTCTTGGTGTTTTTTTTTTGTTACCTTCAGCGCGAAAACTGTGTTTCCGCCCTTGAGCTTGCATCTTGTCACAGCGCCGCCGGCGCCCTCTCCCAAGCTCCCCAGCTCAGTGATCCTTCCCTCCATGCTCGAGATTCGCCAGCCCTCGTCGTCCAGCTCCTCCACATCCTGCGTCCTTGCCTTCTCAAGTGTCAGCTTGTCGAATGCCTCCAGGCCGTGCAGGCTGCCCTCCCTTTCCATCCCCACCCCGCCACCTCCCTCGCTGGCGTTCGAGTACAAGGACCCGACAGCCGACACCGGATCTGGCGTGCCTTGGGGTCTTGTGGAGCCGATGCCGTACTGGCTCGCGAACGACAGCGCGCTGTACTGGGAACCGGCACTGGTGGGGTTGCTGGCGCGGCCGTCGAGGGGCCCGAAGCTCCCGCTACGGCTATGGGCTGCGCTGCTCTCGCTCCCGCCGCTAGCGCTATGGCCCTGCGTCGACGGCCGGCCGGCCGGCTGCTCGTGCGGCGCGACGGTGCTGCCCATGGGCGTGGCCAGGTGCAGGATCGGCAGCGGCGGGCGCGACGGCTGGCCGGCCGGGTTGCCGACGGGCTTGACATTGGGGGACGGCGGGATGGCGAGCCCCAGCCGCGGCGCCCGGCCGCCTGGCCGAGCGCCGGGGATGGCCGGTCGAAGGAGAGGTACCGGCGATGGTGCGGAGGAGATGGGGCCTGCGAGGGGTGTGTAGCCGGACGGGGCAGCGTCGGAGGAGGTGGTTGTGGCCTGCATAGTGGGGTGTGGCAAGTCGAGGTCAGTTTACATGTTCATGTTAAGAGGAATGGAGGGCTGTCTCTGCACAACAACAAACACGCAAGTCAAACGAGAAGGTGGAGGAGGAGGAGGATGAGGAGGGCGGCGATTATTGACGGCAGGGCATGAGAGAGAGCCGCTGAACAAAGGGGAGATTTCATACAGGGGCGCCAGTGGCTTCACTGCTCGAGTTCTCGTGATCGTGCATTGTGTAGGTAGTTGCAGTTAGTCTGCTGCAGGGCAGCGCCGAATAATAGGACCGATGCGGCTAGATAACAAGAGCGAAGACCGGTGCTAAAACTTGCGCAACGGCAACCCCTCAAAAAAGAGCTCGGCAGGCTGTGATGGAGAAATGGGCCGCCCTGTGGCCTGATGTATGGGCGTCGGCGAGGATGTTTTGGAATGCTTCCAATAAATGAATATGGCGTCAAGCTGCTTTCACGGCGAGGGATATACGTGTGTCTCAATCACGTCAGCCTGCTCCCTCCTCCGCTGAATCCTGCTGATGGGAAGGCACGGGCTGATCTTGGCGGGCTCGATGGGCTCACTGGATGGGCCGCTACTATGAAGGCGGAAAGGCGGGGGGCGGGCTCGATTGGAGCAACAAGCGAATCGACGCGAATCGATCGATGCACATCCACAAGGCTGGCAGCTCAAACAGCGACAGCCGAGACTCGAGGGAGCGAGCGATTTGAAGACAAGAGGGAAGGGTAGAGGAAGGGAATAAATTATAAAATATAAAATAAACGGCCTCTTCCTTCATTGAGTGTTTCTGGGCTTGGTGGTTTAAGATGATTGATCGATCAAGCCGGGGAGGGGGCGTGTGATCCCGTCACTGCACCGAGCCAGGGGCTTGATGCACATTGGACAGCTTTCCTGGTTTGGTGATATGGCCCGAATCCACAGCGACCCAGGTACCGCTGCAGCCACCAGGAGTCCAGGCCATCTTCCTCGACGTGGCAGAGCAATCACAAAGTAAGTACCACTGACCCCCAGTAATGTGAAAGCATTACGGCAGCATGGCTGACAGGTGTCGTGGCATAATCCGAGGGCGCAAGAAGCCTTCATCTCGTTGGACACTGCTGGGATCGCCTGAAGTGACCAGGTAATTAGTAACTCACATCACATCGCATTACAACGTAGAAGAGCTGTCCGCCCCCTTGCAGGTTGTGGCTCCATGAAACTCTCATCAGAGAGAGGAGCAAAGGCCATCATCCTTGCTCTCCGTCTTGAGCCCAATTTTCCAAGCGCGCGTCAAAAATGGGGTGCTGGACTTCTGGCTTCTGAATGGCTTCCACTGGCGGCATCTGTTTCAAATCATCTGCACCAGGGTCTGGTTGGCCGAGACCCATGCGGCCCTGCCCGCCAGGGCCCATAATTTCCTTGCGTGGTGGGTCTCTACGTATTTTTTTTATTTGGAAAATTTCATGTGCTCCAGCAGAACAATTCCCAAACTTCCAGCATGCTCAGAGGAATTAGTGGTCAGCGACAATTGGTGCGCATGTGAACAAAGACTGGCTAGCTACCAGCCTGTAATATCGACAATGCGGTCCTCAGACCCAAATCTCAAACACCTAGACGCCGAGGCGTCATCAGAAGATGATGGGTACCGCAGCACCGGGTCCGACTCTGGTTCCGATTCGGATTCCCTCGACAGCACTGGGCCGCGAAAGAAGCGTAGAACCTCGTTGCCGCCAGCTGAGGATTCCGATGATGGTGATGACTCTGGCGTCCCTTTCGCCCCGTCTAGGATCGTCTCCTCCTTCAGTGCCCCTTCACGCATTACACGTAACCCTTCCCAGAAGCTGGAAGGACCTCCCGTTGATCACTTGAAGCACCCACCGACTACGGTCCTAGCACCAACACTCCCAGATACCACCTTTGAGTCGCTTGGCGTAAGGCCATGGCTGGTGCAGTCCCTGGCCAATATGGCCATCAAGCGCCCTACCGGTATCCAAAAGGGGTGTATCCCGGAAATCCTCAAGGGCCGGGACTGCATCGGTGGTAGCAGGACCGGCTCCGGAAAAACAGTCGCCTTCGCCGTTCCCATTCTGCAGAAGTGGGCAGAAGACCCGTCTGCTATCTTCGCCGTCGTCTTGACTCCAACCCGGTAAGCTACTATATCCCTCCCTCCAGGCAGCACGCCACACTTGTTCTGACACACCATGACAGCGAGCTCGCGTTGCAAATCTACGAGCAGTTCAAGGCTGTTTCGTCGCCCCAATCCTTGAAAGCCGTATTGGTGACTGGCGGTTCCGATATGCGCGCGCAAGCCACTGCCCTGGCACAACGGCCTCACGTTGTTATTGCAACCCCTGGCCGGCTAGCAGATCATATTCGAACCTCGGGCGAGGACACAATTTGTGGCCTGCGGAGAGTCCGCTTTGTCGTACTTGACGAAGCAGATCGGCTTCTGGCTGCGTCCAGCACGGGCAGCATGCTTCCGGACGTGGAGGAATGCCTGGGGGTGCTTCCCCCAGCAACACAGCGACAGACCCTACTGTTTACCGCGACTATTACCCCTGAAGTGAGGGCTCTGAAGAACATGCCCGCCAAGCCAGGCCGCGAGCCCCTCTTCGTCTGCGAGGTAGATACACAGATGTTGGCCATACCCGCAACCCTCAGCCAGATGCACATGCAGGTACCAGTCACGCATCGAGAGCATTATCTCCACGTCTTCCTCCTTACCGAGGCCAACGTCGACAAGTCCGTTATCATCTTCTGCAACCGCACCTCAACCGCGGATTACCTACACCATCTCCTCCGTCTGCTCGACCATCGCGTGACGTCGCTGCACTCGAAACTACCCCAGTGCGATCGTATCGACAACCTCGGCCGGTTCCGGGCCTCTGCGGCGCGGATATTAGTCGCCACCGACGTTGCTGCGCGAGGTCTGGATATCCCCGAAGTGAGCCTAGTTGTTAATTACGATATTCCCCGGGACCCGGATGACTACATCCATCGCGTGGGCCGCACCGCCCGTGCAGGGCGCAAGGGAGACGCGGTCACGTTTGTGGGACAGCGCGATGTCCAGTTGGTGCTGGCGATCGAGGAGCGGGTGGGCCGGCCGCTGGAGGCCTGGAAGGAGGAGGGTGTCAACCTGGAGACACGGGTACTCCGAGATGCTCTGAAGCTTGTCGGAGAGAAGAAACGGGAAGCCCTACTCGAGGTAGAGGAGCACAGGGAGGTTGGCGGCAAGAGAAAAAGGGTGAAGCAGAAGCTTCGTGTGCAATAAGCCCCTTCATCGCATAGCTAGGTATATTAGATTAGAGCTCACCTGAGGTGAAAAATCACACAAGGAGCAGATTGCCGGGCACCATTTGACAGCACTGGATTGAGTGATTGCTCCAAAAGGAATCTGCAGCACTGCCTTTGCGAGCATGCCCGGGCTCTAACCTCCGCGTTGATCTTCCACTACCAAGCACAAACCCTTATTTGGCTCGTCCGTAAAGAGTACTGATGAGGAGTGCAAAAGGCTTGTGTGTAATTCTAACCTCACAAGTCAAAATGTCTGTTATGGCCTGGCAGTCGCAAGAGCTTCAAACGTGGCTTGCCATGTCCGATTGCTGCGCCACACTTCCACCCTATCACAAAATCTCCATCATCTTCCATCAGTGCCTGCCAAACATACAAAAAAAAAGACCACAAAACTTGAGCGCGGGTTGCAGCGTGAGGCTCTCCCCCCAAAACATATCCGACCCCCAATCCAGCGAGTCCCCAAGAAAGTCCCGCAAGCATGGCTCTGGACAGCGCCGAACTGGTGCAGTACGCCCGCGACAGCGCGTCGCGGGGCGATGACCTCTTCGCGCTGCTCGGCGTCGACGCCACGACGCCCAAGGACGACATCCACCGGGCGTGGCGGCGGGCGGGCCTCAAGTACCACCCGGACAAGGCGGGCGACAGCTACGACCCGGCCAAGTACGAGTCCTTCGAGCGGGCGCGCGACGTGCTGTGCGACCCGGCCGCCCGCGAGGCCTACGACGGGGGCCTGCGCGCCGCCCTGCAGAAGAAGCGCCGCGTCGAGGAGATGTCCACCGACAGGAGGCGGTTTGTCGAGGAACTGGAGCGCGCCGAGAGGGAGGCCAAGAGGCCGAAGACGTGGGAGACCGATGGGGGCTTGTCTCAGGCGGAGAGGAATAGAGTCGCCGAGGCTGGGAGGAGGCGGATGGAGGAGCGGGCGAGGCTGATGAGAGAGGCTGAGGAGAGGAGTAAACAACGGGAGAAAGAACGACGGGATGTTGCCAGTCCTGTTGCCAGTGCTGGTGCCGGTGCCAATGCCAGTGCTGCGGCTCCCACTGTTGGCACCGAACAAGTGTCGACCCCGACTCCGCCCTTGGGTGGCAAAGACCGTAGGCCTAGCCGAGAGGGCTCGCCGATGGCATCGAAACCAGCAAATGGGGATGAATACGACGATCGGATAGCGGACCTAGAGAGGCGGCTGAAAGAAAAGCAGGAGAGAAAGGCGGCGCGCAAGTCAGACAAGAGGGGAAGGAAGAGCGATATCTCGTCTCTCTCATCACGGCGGTCGCCACCAGCCGGCGCGGGATATACACCCACTAAACCCCCTCATGATGCGTCAGAGCCAAAAGCTGACCGAGAGAAGACCCCAGAGTCCCGATCCTTCTCGTTCAGGCCCTTCGCCGCTTCCGCGCCATCCTCCCCTGCAACCACGAAACTCGGCTCCAGCACCTTACCTCAGTTCGCATCCACCATGGCGAGGCTGAAAGCTGCCCAGGCCAAGAGGGAGGAAGAAAGGCGAAAGCGGGCTGAGGCAGCCGGCGAACAGGCAGCATAGACCGGTCGCTGCCTTGCCATGTTTACATTTTTCTCATATCAATGATACCATAGCATGAATAGAATTAAACTACGATACCAACTCAATCGGTCAAATCCCAGTTGTGCAGTTTCCTTCGCCTCGGTCTTTAGATTTATGTACTTCTAATTTCGTTTTATTATAGCACAGTGAGTTACAAAATCTACAGCAAGCCTCACGGATGAGGAGTTTGGTTCAACCCTTGCCTCAGCCACAACGGTACAAATGCCTTGATCTTGAAGGCCTGTCCAACCTGGTCGGCGTCAAGTCGTTCCTGGATGACGAACTCGTCCTCGGGGTTATATGTCGCCGAGGCCGTCTCCCCCGGCAGGACCACATCCGTCATGATCTCGAGCCGGCACAGCGCCAGCCCGACGTTCCCCACGCCCTTGAGCCACTTGCCCGCGCTCCTCCCCTTCTTCCCGACCCTCCCGATGCTCAGCCCGCTCGGCAGGTTCTCGGCCCCGGCCGGCCGGGGCTCCGACGCCAGCTCGATTCCCGGGTGGTACGCCAGCTCGGCCGGCATGGCCTGCTCGGGCGCGTACAGCACGCACGGCAGGACCCGCTTGCGGACGACGCCGCGGTGCTTGGTCCGGATCGTCAGCTCCTGCCCGACGTAGCAGCCCTTGCGGAAGTCGATGGCCCCGGCCGCGTCCATGTTGGCCTCGAGCGGGAGCGCCTGCTCGCGGAGGACCTCGTCCTGGCCCTCGGGCACGCCGTGCAGGTACCGCCGGATCTGGTACGCCGACTCGGGCGCCTGCGCCAGGTCCACCTGGGGCGGCGGGCCGTCGCGCGCCGCGAGGAGGCGGTATCCGAGGGCCGGCAGGCGGGGGTCGCGGAGGATGATTCCGTGCTGTTGCTGCTGCTGTTGTCCGGCGGGCGACGTTGCGTCCGCCATCGACGCTAGGCCGCCGGTGGAGGGGTCGCCGTCGTCCCAGGCCTGCCAAACAGACCACTCCCCCGGGTCCAGCAGGCGCACCGCGAACTTGGCCCGGAGCTTGTACCGCCGGATGTGCTTCTGCAGCCTCTCGGCCTCGTCGGCGTCGACCTCGATCAGGAAGCTCTCGCCGAGCTTCGCGTCGCCCGAGCCGCCAGAAGAAGCGACCCCAAGCGTGTCGGGGTAGACGAAGACGTCGTGCAGGACGCGGCCCGGCGCGCTCAAGAACGCCGCGTAGAAGCCGCTCCGCCGCGCCTCGCCCGCCGGGTCGGTGATGCTGGCGGTGATGACGCCCTGGAGGTACTTGGCGGCGTCCGGGCCGGAGACGGAGATCAGGCGGCGGGAGGAGAGGCGGGCAATTCCGGACGAGGGCGGGGGCGGCGGGCTCGCAGCAATGGCCGGGCCGGGCGGCGCGGTCGTCGCACTGGAGAATGGCCGTCGCCCGAGTCGGCAGCTTCGGCAGACGAAACTGCCCGTCGGGGTGAATGTCGTACCGACGGGACGGAAACTTGCTGGAGGCCGCATAACTGTGGGGACCGGAAAGGGCAATGGTAACGAGTTCCAAGTTCTAGGTTTTAGTTCTTACACCTCCATTGAACCTCTATAGCCGGTGTTGGTTACTGCAATAGATAGCGCAACAATGAAAGACCGGCGTGATACACGTGGAATGGAAGTGACGTATCCGTAGATCGTCGGAAAAGCTCTCCATCCGGCAGGCATGGCAGGCAAGGATCTTGGCACTGGGTCTAGGTGGTCTAGGTACTTAGGTACTCGGCCGACGTCGGTGTTCGGCTTCAAGCATTGGCCAGCGGGTGGCACTCGGCCCAAACTTAAACAGCGAGATGCTCGGATTGAAGAACCCGTTGGTTTCTGTGCGATGACACGTGGGAAGGATCTCAATAAATTCATTAAGCAGAAAGAGCTCGGAGGCTGGACCATCCCGTCTCCAATCATTATGATTCTTGATCCACGCTCACAATGGATGAGGCCATTTACCCCACCCCCAATCGCCATTGGAAGCCACCTACATCACTTGACTCATCATCATCTAAGGATTCTCAAACGCGCACCGACCAGCCCAGGCTTCCAGGCTCCCACCCACCTGGCATGATGAATTAAGATGTGGCAGCAAGCCTGCATGCCAGCCAAGTCATCGCCGCGCAGTTAATCAAATAGGCGACATCCGTCAATTGACCTACGTTGGGGCGCTCAGCTCGAGAGTCATACGCCTCACCGCAATTTGACCCTATCATATATTAGGCTGCTGCAGTGCTACAATGTAGGGGATTTTGTCATTCGGTGAGCAATCAAGGCCTGGAGCTTGTGTTGAACACGAAACAAGATACGTAGGCACTCTTATCGCAGCCCAAGCGAGCTCTCTATTTGTTGGTGGCTTCAAAGCTCGGCTCGCTTCCCATGCTCAGCAGTGGTCGAGTCATAAAGCTGATAGCTGTGCGCGTGGGCTAGAACAGTCTTGTCAAATAGTTCGGGACTCTGTTCAGCCCCGGCTCTCGCACCACCGTCCCGGGGTCAATGCCGGGAACTAGCGGTAAATCCAGCTTCCAAACACCCAACCATTGAATGTCGAACATGTCGAACCAACAAATCTAGTCTCGGTTCCTTCTTCGGGACCAGTAGAGCACATGTTACATGGGAGGTATAATGGGACAAAAGGGTCTCCAAAAGGTCTCTCGAGACCTGCGGAGACAGGACAAAGAAAGAATCCTCCTGAAAGACTCCACGGGCCCCGGAGACGTGTGGTTCAAGGATCCAAGAATTAGGTCAGGTACGCCGCTTCATCCGTTTCAATTGCAGTTTTTTGGTGCAAATTGGAAGCACCCCGTGCCGCCTCCTCTGTCTGCAAGGGGTCAGTCGACCGAGCAAACGAGCGGGCCAAGGAATGGAATCTTGGCACCACGGCTCTGGCCCATGGGAAAGGTTTTCGTTTGCGGAACAACCAATTCAGGATCAGACACAGCCACTAGGTTAGTTATTCTGCGCGTTCGTATTTCCGCGACTTCCCTCGTGTATGGGCCTGACACTTCCTCACCCTGCCCACGATTGAAATTAAAAGGCTGTCGTAACTCGTAAGACCATTTACCATGAGGGCGCAGCCTGGCCTCGAGGCCCCTGGCAGCCAGCCACGCAAGCCGATGCAATCCACTTGACGTGTGTTTCGTGGCGGGCCTGGGCCAGGCAGGATGCTGGGCTATCTCCAGGTTCCAAGAAGTAAGAATGCGACGTTACGATTAAGGATTAGGCGGTGTGTCCGAGATGCGTGTGTGGCACTTTGACAGCGCGCTGCGCAGAAAAAGTTGAGGAAAACGAGGGACAAGGGGTACTCAGCCCAACTCGCATTGGAACCAACGAGAATTCACCAGAATTGGCCCGGGCCCAGGGATCTGTAAGCTTGCTGATGAGTCATATGGCGCTTCAATTGGGAGAGCGAGGATCTGCAGCTAGCCGCGCCCTGTCGGAAACCCGGGTCCAGGTTTAGGCCGCGACCTTTCCCAACCTGTGCTAGTTTTAGCCACACACCCGGCGTGGTTGGGCCCAGAGTGCCGGGCGTGTGAATCATCCTCTACCGATCTCGGTTCTGTCTTCCGTGCTATGACCAAGCAGCGATGACAGCTTCTATACCGAAGAATGAGATCAGAGTCAATAACACCAAAAATTTGTTTACTTCACTGTTGATTCAAGCATATTCGGGGTCATTTTTGGGTTGGGGATTTGTAGTTCTCAATTCATTGTGCCTATCAGTCCAGACTTGCAAAGCCTGGAAGCTCCTCCTGTGAGGATGTGATGTCCCAATGAAGTCGTCCTTCTCACTCAACCTCGGGTACATATTCCGAATAGGTACCAGGGAGCGAGAGCCAAATGCTCGAACGTATTCCGTATCCCCAAATCCATGCCAAAAATTTCCCATTCCATTCCATATCTGAGTGGTGTTGATTGAGTGACCGTGAAGCCATGCCGCCAATTATCTAAATCCGTATTTTTTGTCCCGAATGCTAAGTGGTATAATCGAAACGCCGCCCATGCCCAAGTAAGCCAGAGAGAGTAGAGAGTCACAGTCGCTTAATAGACTGATATTGCCGAGACGAGCCTCGCGGGATTTCGCGGCGGCAAGTAGAACCCTTCTGCGTAGAAGGAGCCTTGTGCTTCTTGCCTCGGCTCGTAGTAGCTTGTCGTATCGTCTGACTTCTTCTGCTTCTGTGTGAACGTGGGTAGCAGGGCGGTTGGCGGTGAAGGTGGCATGGACTCGTCTTCTGATGAGTCCGAATCATGGTCGAGCTCAGGGGGTGATGCCGAGTGTGATGGAGATCGGGTCAGGGTAAGATGGGCAAAGTCCTCCTCCTCATCGTCATCCTCCTCCACTTCGTCGTCGTAGTCCGAATGCCTTAGGGTTGGAATCGGCTTGTTGTTCGAAGGTACCCGCCTCAGGGAGACAACATCGGCCATCTCGACGTCCTCGTCGTCGAAATCGCTGTCCGAATCCGATGATAGATCAGAGTCGGCGTCCTCAGCCTGCCAGTCTTCCTCGGGCTCCTCGACGGTGTCGGCCCACCGAATATGCCTGTCCTGGCTCTTCGTGGCTCCGCTGACGGATTGGTTGAACCAGGATTCCTGTTCCCGCTCGGCATCGGCAAGATCCAGCATCAGAGAGTCGAGGAGGTTGGCGTGGCCGACCAGTAGGCGCAGGTCGTGATCAGGCCGGGCAGCCTCATGAGAGAGCTTTGCCCGAGCCTTGTGGGCGAGGAAGTATGTTTGTGTGATCGACATGGTCTTTCTCTTCAAGGGTGAGGACGGAATTCCGGAAAATTGTGTCCTTGAAGGAGAAGTATTTGAGGAAGAGAGAGGAGAAGGAGAAGAGGTTGTCGGCGGTAATGTTGCCATTATGTCGAGGCGCCAAGGCAAGATTTTAGGACTTTTTGATGATATATGGTGCAATTGCTCGAGTGACTCAAGGCAGAAACTTGCCGATCACGGATGCCTGTGCACGGACTAAAACCGGGGGGGTGTGCCTGAAAAAATGGACAAATGTTCGTCTAGCCAGGCAGTCAGGACCCAAGGGGTGCGTGTAACAGAGTACCTTGTTGGATTTATGGGCTCCTTAACAAGGTTCAAATGTGATAAGATGAAGGGAGATCTTCAGATCATAGAGTTGAATAATTGGCAGCTGTTGAGGTCGAGTTGATGATATGCTCAGTAGGGCCGGAACGTCTGGGGAGGATGGGGAGACGAGTTGCTTTTAACTAAGCTGATGCTTGGCTGGCTGACCGTCTTTTTCCAAGTCTCGTGGAGATTATCGGCTTCATGGCTGGTCATCCGTGCAAGGTTGTGTGTCGTGGCCCGCAGCAGCTGACAAAAGCGAAAAATCCGAACTGAGTCCGCGGCACGGAGCCAAGAAGTACCTGCACCCCTGCTCCTCGGCTGTTCCAGACGCAAAGGTACTTGGCTGCTTCCGTAATCGTACTGAGTATTAGTCTCGGCCCCGCGTGTTGCTATGTCTCCGACACCAGACGGGAGCGGGTGGATTGCCTGTTAGGTACCTCGGCCTCTCGTCGCTTTCGCATCCCTCGCATAGCTCGCACCTCGCAACCGCTTTCGCGTTCATTGCTCATGGCGCAGCAAACGCATACGTACAACCTGTAATCCCAATTACATGGCATCTCCATTTGATTGCATAGAATAACGACTAATCCTGGACAATACGTTACCTAGCGACAGCGATACACGTCCCTGCGAACGAATTGCTACAGTACCTACATTTTGTCCCCCGTGGCTGAAGGTTAGGTTGGCTGGGCTCGGTTCTCCCGGAAGCCGGCGTTAACGTTATCCCTTTTATTCCCTATGAACAATGATCAAAGATAGAACAGCCCCGGCCTTAAGGTCGGGACCGGTATTACAGATTTCCTCTTGCGTGATTTGCTGATTAGTAGTCCCTACCAACGGGAGTCATCGTAGGGCGCGGCGCCACGTGAGGGGGGGTATCTCGTTTCAATGATGGTGCTTGATGTATCATGTTGATTCGTAAGCCTCTTTTCACCCACCATAACGCCGCTATCTTCATGTTGTGTCAGCCTTCACACCCTATTTCTGCTTCCATAATCACTACCATAGGTAAGCACTGTCCCATGTCCATCTAATCTCCGTCGATTAGACTACGTCAATGCCGCCAAAACCCAGTCATCAAACCTTAATCATTCCGAGGGACAACACTTTCGCCGTTACTGCAGGGTTAGCATACCATGTCGCAAGAGCCAAGGGCGGCGCGTTTCCCTCGTTAGGTCCCAAATCGAAGACTCTTCTCGACCTTCGAGTAATTTGTACGTACTGCGGACCAGGCGCCAAGATTCGTCAATACGTCAGCACCTTTTTGGGCAACGCACGCGAGCGAGACGCTGCAAAGCAAAGCCACGGGGCCAGGAATCCAATTGCGTGGCCTCGGCCTGAACCAAGGTTCCGGGTTTCCATGGGAGACGTGGATGCATGCACAGATCGTGTCTCTCGGGCGCCGTGGTTACCATCGTAAGTAATGCATGCCGGCGGGTGTCGGCGACATAGAATACCGATTCACGCCTAGCCCCGTCCCGATTTTTTTGCGATGGCGAAAACGATCAGGGATCTTAATAAGCTAGGTACCTAGGCTCGCATCTCAAATAAGAGGGGACCCTGTGGCGCGGCCAAAATTTAGAATACACCATAGGCTCGCCAGTCGGAGCGTTTTATGCACACCCAGCTGTGACATCCGAGCCGCTAGTGGAGATGCGTCTGGAAAGGGCTGCAGATGCCAAGGACGAGAGAAAATACTGAGTATATGTTAGCTAGATCTCTGCAGCCTGCAACTCCACCATTGTTTGTTCTACGCAGTAGATGTAATCAAATTTTGCAGAACATACTTATTTAGAGATAGTTTTGCTTGACAAAAGTGGTCGAAGCAATGCCGTGGAGGAGCTGCAGTATCGATACACTGTTTGGGACAACATTATAGTATGACACAAACAAGGGTTTAAAACATGATTTCAATAGGTTGGTTATCCACGGCTTGTTCGGCAGGCCAGACTTTATAGTATATCAAGCCAACGGGCAAAGATGTCGCAGTTGGGCTGGTGAGGCCGGCATCCTATGTACCTACAGTAGGTATCCTTTTATCTACCTCGTAGGTTCTGTCAGATTCCGTGAGTACCTGTAGCACAGGCTGGAAACACAGCCAACGAACACTGACTGAGCAGAGCCCTTCTTAATGTTTGGCTCGGCAGCGAATGTTTCAAGGTACCTCAATCTCCATACAAAATTAGTTGGTATCAAAGGTTCCAACAGAGTAGTTACTGACATGAACAAGCGGATCTGCGCAGGTGGAGGGGAAGGGTAGCTGCAGTTGCCAGAGCGAGAGATGGCATGCAGCTTCTAACTTCTGCAGACGTGGAAAGATGATGATACATCTTCCGACGTTACCCATGGGTGCCCACGCAGCACTTTCAACATTTGGAGAAGCTTGTTGCTCGTCTATAAGTCGGCGGCCTTCCTCAAGCTTTTACCATGCCCCATCTCCTCCAGTAATTACTCAAATTATACAGGTCCCCTTCAAACTTCCACTACCATGTCTGAATCCTTCCAGATTGAAGACGCTCACATGTGTCATCCTTATGATCCCCTTTCTTACCGTATCCTAACCGAGTCCTCTGCCATCAAATACCTCGTTGCTTCTTCGCCACCCCCGGGGCAAACTTTCCCGACATCTATGGTCATCACCTGGCCTTCAAGACCGTCGGCCTCGGAGACTGGACCGTTGGGCGGCTAGGCCTTGCCGACGATGGGCGCTTCGTCTTGCTCTCAACCGAAAACACCCGCCTTCTAGATGTCTGCAAGCCGTGGCACCCTTCCAAAATCGACTTCCTCGACCTGCCAACGTGCCTCCCCGGAACCAGTAGGGATGACGAGTTGCAGTTCTACGGCCAACTGGCAGCCATCGCCGTGCCCACGCCCAGCCAGCTCGGGGACTGCCGCACGGCTGTCTGTTTCTGGCTGTGGCACCCTCCCTTGTCTGTCGGCCTGGGCTTGGAGAGCAATATTTACGGCATCATTCATGGCCACGACATTGGGCCCAAGTTTCTAGCCCACATCACCGAGAATCACGACCGCATCATTGGTTTCATGGTGGAGAGGCTCCAGGCACGTATTGCCACTATCTCTGACCTTGGCAAATGCAAGGCCGTCGTGGCCAAGTTCCATAGTCTCGGCTTTGCTTATGGCAACCTGATGCGCCGGTCGTTCCTGGTAGTCGACAACTTAGACCGCGCCTATCTCCATAACTTTGCCACTTCATACCGGACAACGGACCAGGGCGTGTTGGAAGCCGAGCTTGCCAGCCTCGAGGACGTCTTGCAGCAGCCGACCGAGATCGACTGGATACCTCCTATTTATCCTCCGCATTTGTCTACGGAACAAGAGTGGCCCCCCCAGGGCGCCCCCCCCCCCCCAGGGGCTTTAGCACTAGTACCTGAGCAGCAAGTGTGGTTGGATCATGTCACCTTTCAGTCACTTGTACAGGTCGGATCGCACGAGGTGCCTTTCTTTCAGATTGACTTAATTGTAATAAGTCGTGGAGGGTAGCCCAGCAGCAACTCAGTATTACTCACAGTTCCAGCAGATATCCACTACCAGTTGAATCTCAGTAACCTTGTTTTCCCAGTGTTAATGTCGTGACACGCGCCGGCTTATATTTGCCAGGTGTGACGACACTTTGGCAGGGCTGCCAAAGCCCGTCGCCGTCGCCGTTGCCATCGCTGTTGCCATCGCCATAGCAATTCTCCTTTCCAACAAGCGATCCACCACCCTAATCCATCCAAGCCCAATGTCTACCTCTACCGTCCCTGTCTGGCTGACCTACCCTCGCCTCCCAGCGGAGGCAAAGGATGGCGCCAAGTCACACGGCAGAGCTACTCTGCAGTTCAACAACAACAACACTCCATCCGATACTGTTGACCAGAACGTTGTCAAGCCAACATGACAACTAGTTTCTCATACTGGGGGCCCACCGTGGGCAGGACAGAGGTAATGAAGAACCGCTGGCGGACCGGCGATGTTTGGCATCGCGGGGACAAGTTGCAACGCCTGCCAACGAGGTACATCGACCGATAGCAGCCGCATGCCCAGAGCACGTGCTTCCACACGCACATCTTGGCTGTAGATGGGAGGTGGAAGGCTGGATGGAAAACAATAGGCTCTCTAGCCGCTCCAGGGGCTCTCAGAAGTGGAAGGTCTCGAGGTGTGGTTGCTAAGTAGTAGAAGGAATATGGTGTCGTGGTTTCCAAGTTGGCAAGAATCTGGAGAACAATAGGGTTTTTATAGGCGGAGAAAGAACACTCCAGCGCTTCACTTCTAGCAAAACGTTTGCTTAAACAACATAACAACCAGTCAACTCCACTCCTTCCTTATACTCAAAGAATATCCCTCAAATAGGCCAGTCGGTCAAATGACTACCTAGTCAGATAACCTCTGTGAGTCGTTAGAGACATCAAGCAATCAAATTTGACCTTTTGATTTGGCCTAGTTGATTGTTGGGCAGCACAAGAGAACTGGCCTCGTTGGTTTGCTTGGGACAAACACAGTGAATATGAGTAGAGTATGCTAGAACTGGTGAGTGATTAGGAATAGCTAAATTAGTCGTAGTGACTCAGATAAGATAGCAAGTAGCAGCGTAAGTGACTTTGTTCCCAGTGCGAGTCAGGCTCCGTTTGAGCTGTTGACAGGTGACCCAGGCCTGTAGGGGACTCCATCAGAGCTCTAAAGTGAGTAATCGTGTTCCCAATCAGCTTACTGGCTTCATATATCACTGAATTACTGACATCAGGGGTTGTTTGATGAAGGCTACGGAAGGTTCAGCTAGCCTAGGCTTGTGGTGGCCAGCGGCAACATCGAATCCGACCCGAACACAGCTTACTAGCATATTGGGATCTGGAGAGTACTTAGAACACCAAATGATCAAAGCGAATACATTAAAATATTGACCTCGCAGCCATAGGATTAACTTTGATTATGGATCTTCGGTTAGGATAAGCGTATCTCTACTCTGTCGATGGAATCATGGAAGTAGTGCAAAACCCCCTACATCCGCACCACTAAGGGTTCGACAAGAGACGAGTTTGGATTTTCCTTCCAGTTAAATGTAGCGAATGATGGAACAACTCCACACTTGTTTTTAAATTGTTAAGGTACCAGGATGGACAGGCGCTGCAGTGGACTAAGACGCACGGAAACAGAATGTTTTTTCCTTTCTTTTTTCAACGTTGCGAATCTAGCGAACAGGTTTACGGGCGATAGATAGATTCAGTTGATCCGTAGAATCAGGTGTAGTAAATCTGGGGCAGTGACATGACACTCCAGTTGTTGTCTAACTCATTAACTACCTAATGGCTGCCGTAACCATGATATATTGCATGCTCTGAAATAATACACAGTCTCTTACGTGAGCTGCTGTCCAACTGTCCAAGCCAAGCTGACGGGGCCTCAATGATATGCTAAGAGCATGCTGAGTTGAGTTGTAAACACATTTCGATGTTATTCAATTTCCTACCTGGGCCTATTCTGGGAAGCATATCAAGGCATCCCCCGCAACATGACATGCTACTCCGTTATACTTCCCATTTCTGCCCCAAGGAGCAGCGCTGGCGTCTGTTTGTGGTGGGTACATCGGCGGCAGCGTCGAACGTTTCTGTGGCGAAGGAGGTGTTCTGGAGAAGAATATGGCTTCATCGAAAGGTCAACTACGGCTGAGCTCAACGCCGTCCCTCCACTGTCACGTTGGACAGGGGTAGGCCTCCACGACATTGGGATTGTGTAGGCCTGATGCTTATGCGTAAAGACATATCTATCGCATAGCTTCCTGCCATTCATTGCGTCGCTGCGCAATATCGACGTGGGTGGTCGCATCGTCAACTGTATCTACAGGTCGAAAATCATGAAGTGCTCCGCCTCTTCTGCAGGTGGCTCGCCTCTGTGGTGTCCAAACCGCTCGAGCGCAGAGTTCTCCTCAAGCGGCACCCCTTTGAATATCAAGAGCTCCACTCGGTGGACGCCCTTTTTGCACTCGGTGGACGCCCTTTTCGAATTTCAGCCACAAGGTCCCACATAAGGCCCCGCAATGCTTACCGCCTGCTAAATTTGGTGGTGACTTATATGCCAACTCCACGTCAAACATCACCACTATGGATACTTGTGCGTAAAAAGGGATGTCATATGCGCCCTGATGACCTAGTCTAGCCTGAACAAAAGGCGCGCTAAGTAGCTAGGGCAGGGTAGATGGTCTTGCTTAAGTGAGAGGTCTGGCTAAAGGCAAGAGGGTTTCCAACTTGCCTAGCTAGCAGGGCTGTAGCAAAAGGTTTCCAAGTTGCATGGCTAGGACAGGAATAAGTGTATAGTGACGCAGTCTGCTTATATTACTGCTGCTTATACTCTGCTATTAAACGTCTTTACCTTGGTTTTTATAAAGAGATACTGCCTACCTGCGTCAAGGACTTGGGTAACGGAGGAGAATTGGATTCTGCCACCTTCGCGGAGGGTATGGTTGTGGCTTGGAAATATTTAAGCCAATCAAACTACCGGATTATGGGCACGGTCCACGATAGGCGTCCACCGAGTGGAGCTCAATATCAAAGTCGCAACCATCATATCTCTGTTGAGTTTCGCCACGGAATTGTCCATCTGACAGCTCTTTACAGAAGTCGTTAGGGCATTGACTGGCGCAGAGCCATGGAAGTCTGAGATAAGAATCGCCGCCGGGAGCGAGCCGTTGCGAATAAGAACGGAATGAAACATTCTTTGAAGGTCGAAGAGGTCAGTCAAGATAGGTGGTGGTCTCCCAAAGTAGCTAGTGTAGATGCATCCACAAGCTCTAAATGTGCACGGGCCACATCGCGTGGCTCCGTCATTCAAGGTGGAAAGGCAATTTTTTTTTTCACTCCCGAGCGAGCTCTCGTCAAGGTTGGGCGAGCCAAGTGCAGAAACCAAGCCTATCGGGCGACATTTTGTTTTCGATCTTCCCGTATAATCTCCTGGATCTTTCCCAGACTACCGGCACCATGTCTATCTGGGATGCATTGACTGGACGGAAGTCCTCTTCCCAGTCGTCGTCTCCGAGTAGTGCGCCGCAGCCCCCTTCCACTTCAACCGAGCCGTATCATTCCACGCAGTTCGACCCGTCTTCAGCGCAAGGCGTGGATGCGTTCCTCGGCAGCTCAGCGTTTGCCGACCCGACAACTTTACACCCTCTCGCCGGCCTGAATAAGGAGGCCCTAGACTACATCACTTTAGAAGACTCGGCACTCTCAAACCTCCCCGGATCGCAATCCGTTCTCCCGTCACGAGGCTTCACCGACGACCTCTGTTATGGCACCGGAGTCACATACCTCTCGGCGCTGGCTATGGGAGGGGCCTGGGGAATGCAGGAGGGCCTGAGGAGATCAGCTGGCCAGCCGCCAAAGTTGCGGCTCAACTCGGTTCTCAATGCCGTCACCCGGCGAGGGCCGTTTCTCGGAAACTCGGCAGGCGTCATCGCTATTTGCTACAACAGCATCAACTCGTACATTGGGTACGTGAGGGGCAAGCATGATGCCGCCAACACAATCGCGGCGGGCGGCTTGAGTGGTATGCTCTTCAAGTGCACCAGGGGAGTGCGGCCAATGATGATCTCGGGAGCCCTGGTGGCATCGGTTGCCGGAGTATGGGCGGTACGTTTAACTCCCATGTTCACGACAAGCCGTTTAGAGAAATGCTGACAGCAGACCAGGTTGGGAGACGAACCTTCTTTCCCATCCCGGAACCGGCCCATCACCCAGAATGATATTGATCCCATCCCATCCCATCCCATCCTTTCTGATTCGATTTTCTGAACCGGCTCCAGCCAGCCACGAATATTTTATCTCGTTTTTACGACATCTAATCCTCAGTGGGAACCCGTCTTTCGGACTGCGGCTTCACTCAGCCTTGTTGCCGTAACTGGGCAGGGCGTGTATATACTTAAAACAGGTTCTGGCGGTCCGGCGGCAAGCATAGCGCAGGATGATCTCTCCTCCCTTGGAAATATTGTACAATAGAATGTGTACGGTCATAGAGCGCCACGATTGCGTCGCATCGGGGCGTGGCAGGCGTCAATTTAAACGGACTTGATTCACGAAATCACCGTAGGTATCTATCCCTATCTATCCTGTGCTGGAGTGGCGGAGTGGCCGGCTGTCAACCTGTTCCATGCCATTTCTTTTCTGGGCTCCATTGGGAGGGATGCTGTGGCGGCCTTTTGCTGTGTGGTAAGCCTCGTCCTGGTCCGAGTTCCGGATGCCCAACGAGTATCTGACCTGGATCTGCCATAGATATTAGGAGAAGGTGCCTTGAAGAATGCCCCAGAGGGAAAGAGAGGGCTGACACGCACAACCTACATACCTGCTCCTTAGCCTACGTGCCCCAGTACCGTTCGACGGGCGACATATTCGAGATTCGACATTCGACAGTGTGTGTAGTGAAGAGTGCAAGGAGTTTCAAGTGTACCTCAGTATCGAGGCACGATTCCTACCCACCTTCCCAGTTGCCTGTTACCTGACATAGGTAGGTACCTAGGCGCGTTCTTCTTCGTCGACTATCCCGCGTTTTGACAAGCTGGGCGGTAAACAAACAACCCTCCTCGTCCGGTTGAGCAGGACGAAATTTTCAGAGACTGATTCTTCATCCTTGCCAACTATCCGACAGCATCACAAAAGCCCAACGACATTCTTCGTCTCATCGCCCATGGCAACCCCCGAGCCAGAAGATCCAGCCCACCAGGGGGGGCCAATAAGCCCCGCCGTTGCGAGCCCTGAAGCTATCAAGGAAGAATTCATCACACAGCGCATGAGGACCTGGCTGACGAAGGAGCAATGCATACTGCCACACCACGATGGTCTAGCCAAATTCTATGCCATGCGTACGGATACTTCAAAGGCCACCCCAGAAGCCTTGGATGTCCTCGCCATCTCCTGCAAAAAAGGGTACAGATTCATTTCCTTGGATGACGGTCCGAATACCGACCCGCAGCTCAAAGAGCGAATCGAAACTCTTGGAAAATGGTGTGCCAATCCGGCGAACAAGCACATCTTGGTGGAAATAGAAGCACTTTTGGTTCAAGAGGTCCAGGACAAGGTTTGGTGGTTGCCTGAAGAGGAGGAGGATACCATCTTGAAGCTGGGCATCCTCGAGAGAGTGAGCACCCCCCCTACCCGAACCTTAGAAAAAGGCTCTACTAACTACCAACTTCAAAAAGGTCAAGCAATACGCCCGGCTGTGTGCCAAAACGAGATTGATGGACTTGGCGACAGTGGATACACCAGAGACAACCAAAAGCGCCCCCATTCATCAGTGCAAGTTCTGCATCTGCAGCGTAGACAAGCAGGGGGCTGTGTCGGTGGCATGGAAATATCTTCCCTGGTCCGCCTCGCTACGGGACTTCATTCACCGGGTCAATGACACCCCGTCCTTCGAGTTCGAAGATGCTCTCCCCCGACTGCTGAAGCGGCTCGATTTTCTCGACGGTCTCGAGAAAGTGGCCGACCAGGTTGAGACCATCAAGAAGTCCCTCGAGGTAGAGCCGAGTCCCGAGAGCAAGACAACCTGGGCCTGTTCGCTTTGCGACAAGGAGACACTCAACGTGGCGACACGTACCTGGACCCCGATTGCCTCGGAGGATGACTTTGCAAAGATCCTGGAGGTTGCCAAGAGAGATGAGAAATTGCTGCTCTTCATGCGGGTAAGTGGAACATCCCATGATCTGTTGCCCTGGATCGGTCGTTGACTAAAATCCTCATCAGCCGTGGCAGGACCGTCTGTACAGAATTTGCCGTGAAATCCAGCAACTCGAGAATGACCCCTTTCCCAGTTCCGACGATGAGTGGGATCCGTTTGTGTTGGATCAATATTGCGTGGCCGAAGACGAAGATTGAGCTCAGAAAAACTTCACTAACATGGAACCTAGCCTCTTTGGTGATGCGAGGGTATGGAAGGAGGCACCCTCTGTTTTTTTTGGACTCTTCTCGGTTTGCAGGACCATAGATAGGAACACTATTCTGCATAATGTAATAAGTCGGCCTCTTGCTGAAAGACGTGGGTCCTCCCGACAGATATCCCTTTGGTTGGCCAGGAAGCTTCTGGTGATGTTTATTGTGAATATATTCCTCCATCACTTCTGTCTGCTCTCTTCAACGTCTCCAACCCTCAATATCCTCTACCACCACCTTCCCCGTGGAACTTCGGTGTCAGTCGACAAGTCAGTGCGTTGAAACATCTCGAGATCCCCGAATAATCGACAGCATCATCAAGATGTGTTGTATTCCGTGTTTCCCCTTCACGGACGCCGAGCTCGAGGACGAGCCACGGCACAAACATCCGGCTTTCCACTACGCCTGGGATGGCCAGGCCTGGGTTCTGCGCCAAGTTGTGAGTATCGTCTTTGTTCATTCGTCTCTAGTGTGTTTTACCCTGCCAACACAGTTATAAACGGAGGACCTCCTTCGACTTTCTTCTCCCCCTTTGCAAGTTGCTGCAATTCCTTGTTTGGGGATGACGAGCGGTCAGTGGACGGTAATTATGCTGGGACTTTCAGGTGGGCACCTACCGTAGGTATCCTGCCCGGGTACCTGCCCAGGTGGGTGGGTGCCTGGGTGCCCGGAGCATGTACCTCAAGGACATACCCGAGCTCTTCACCTGGCCTTTCTCGCCCTAGAGTAGTAGTATCTCGAGGTCGAGGACATACCTCATTCACTTGCATCTGCCCTTGATCAAAGCATGCCGGGCTTGGATTTTTTCCATTTCACAAATCCTACCGATTTCCATCCCCACAACAACTGTCCATCATCAACCTGTTGAGGGAAGGAGCCAATCTCAGACGGATCCCCCAACATGTCGATGAACTCGAGGGCCTCCCCAAAGAGAAAGCGCGCCCATTTCAGCATCGTCGAGGACGAACTATCACCTTCGCCACCTCGTGGATGTCGAACCGTCTCTCCCCATCAACCTCGTCAAGGAATACTCCGGCCGAGTTCTGCCCAAAACAACAGGCCTGAGACGACTGGAGAGCACGCCGAGCGCCAGAAGGACACGTCCAAGTCTCCTAGCCAACCGCAAGAGAAACAGAATACATCCGCTATCCCACCATACAACGCGCCTACGCCCATCCCCACTGCTGGACAGCATCTGTTTGTCCATCACGCGGGTGCTCCGCCGTTTTACTCCGCCTCTGGTCCCATTGGCCAGGCACCCTACCCCGGCCAGCCCTACCTGTCACCTTCTGGCTATTTCTCGCCCGGCACCCAACCCCAAACATTCATCACTCCGAACAACACCTTCTTTTCTCCCACCACGCCAAACATGCCGTACGAAAATAGTGTGCCGCCCAGCTTGGGTGTGCACTTCCAGCCACCGGTCCCTGATACGACCAATGGTCCTTTCCTCCATCGTTATGTTCCCCGACATGATGGAGTTTATCTGCATCCCCCCTACCCGGTGGGTGCACCTCTTTTTGCTCCTCGTCAGCCGCCTGTCACTTTTCAGCCAGTCCTCGTCTATCAGAGCTATCCGGTCTACGCCGCGATTCCAGTTTGTGCAAGTGTACCTCACATTCTTCCAGTTCCTCGCCGCTAAATCTCAGGTGGCCAAGTGGCCTCACCTAGTCCTTCGCCAATATCATCAGATTTATCTTAGCCCTGTCGGGAGGTCTTAGCTAACACTACTAAAAGCCGCATGCTGGAGTTGGCGTTCCTGTCCAGGGCCCGGCGCCGTATGTCACCGCACAGTTCCACCCCATGATGATGCAGCCTATCCAGCAGCCTGTCATGATGCCCGGTGGTGGTGGCATGGTTCCCGGTACCCATATAGTCACCCAGCCTGTGACTGTTCAGGGCCCTCCAACTGTGGTAGCAGGTAACATCCCTCCCCAGCCTATGCCGGTGCATTGCGATCCTGTCCTGGGCGTCGGCCGTACCACGAGCGAGATTTCGGAGGAGCAGAGGCAGTTTGCTGAAGCCAACAACCTCTTCCAACCACAGGATTTTAAGCCGAGCGACGATGACCCCTCTCGATTCTACATGGTGCGCGAGGTTGACGGAACCTGGACTCAACGGAACCGACTCACTATCGATTCTCTCGGCTGCAGATGGTACCTCGCTGACGAGGGTTACTTCTACGCCGTCCGCCTCTCCGACTAAGTTGTGAAGGGGGAATCCATGGAGGAGGATGTTTCGTTAGTAATCGCACCCGCATTGCCTTGTTGAAACATATCTAACTGCCCACAGGTTCTTTCGCCAATCCCGCAACTGGCATCATCTTACCTTTCCGTTTTTCCTTTTTCTCCGCAACTGGCGGATTGTCACATGGAAAGGGTATCGCTTTGTTTTCGAGGGGATCCATGGTTCACAACGATCACAAGTCTTCTTTCTTTTCAACGTTTCGGGGGTGGTTCGCAAGGTCTGCGTATATGCGCTAGGGATCTCGAGGAAGCTTCTTCGGTCTTCGGAATTTCAACCGGTCTTTAGGTACTGGTGAATAAGAAGCTACGATCCCAGACGAGCCAGGTCAATTGACATTCCATGATCGTGATATGTTGTATGGACCACATCTGGAAAGATGTGGTCCAGGACTCGAGGTTGAGGCTGACATGCACGACATATGCAGCAGCCCTGAACCCTGTCCAGGCAGGGATACCCCGAAGTGATGAGCCAGCCACCACAGCAGTGACTCGGAACTTGTGGCGTTCAAATTTTTGAGTTGTCCAACACCGGAAACGAGAAGCGGCGGCTCAAGTTTAATACCGAAGGCTTCGGCTGTAAAATTGTTTGTCTTTTAACTTCCAAGCTGAACTTTCCAACAAATTTCCACCCCTGCCTCTTTGCCCTTGAAAGCTAGAAGAAGCCTACTTTGTGCTATTAGTGCATGGTCTGTGCATGGGCCATAGGTAATTACCTCATATAGCCAGGGGTTGCAGCATCATGCAAGCCAAGCTTAAGGTGTCAAGGAAACCTCGGCTATCAATCCGTAGATTGCGCCATCAGCCCACCTGGCGTCTCGATTGATGACATGATGTTATCGCTCTCCCCGAACATCACACTTACGGCCCTATTTTAAGAGTCAGCAAGAGCCCGCACACGCGCGCAAAGTACGTCTGCAAAAATGCTCATAATCGGCCTAACCGGCTCCATCGCGACGGGGAAGTCCACCGTGTCGGGCATCCTCTCGTCGCCGCCCTACTCGCTCCCCATCATCGACGCCGACCTCCTCGCCCGCCAGGTGGTCGAGCCCGGCACGGCGGGCTACAAGGCGATCGTCAGCCACTTTGGCCCGACGACGCCGGACCTGCTGGTGCCGCCGTCGTCGCCGTCGATGCCCGAGGCCGGCCCGGACGGCAAGGGGAGGCCGCTGAACCGGCCGGCGCTGGGCCGGCGCGTGTTCGGGTCGGGCGAGGAGCACCGCCGCGACCGCGCCGTGCTCAACGGCATCGTGCACCCGGCCGTGCGGAGGGCCATGTACGGGGCCGTGGTGCGGGCGTACGCGCGCGGCGGGCGCGCCGTCGTGCTTGATGTGCCGCTGCTGTTCGAGAGCGGCATCGACCGCATCTGCGGGGCCGTCGTCGTCGTCGCGGTCGGGGACCCCAAAGTGCAGATGGCGAGGCTGAGGGCGAGGGACCCGCACCTCAGCGCTACCGATGCGGAGAATAGGGTGCGCAGCCAGGGGGACGTCAGGGTCAAGGCTAGGAGGGCGGAGGCGAGGGGGGAGGGGTGGGGAGTGGTGGTGTGGAATGATGGGGATAGGGAGCAGTTGGGGAAGGAGGTCGAGCGCGCCATGGCGGAGATACAGAGAGCCAGTCCGGCGTGGTGGAGCTGGACGCTGCTGTTGTGCCCGCCGGCTGCTGTTGTGGTCGGCTTGTGGACGTACTGGCAGAACACGAGGATCAACAGGAGGTGGGCCGCGTTGGAGCTGGAGGAGAAGTCTAAGCTCTGAGGTCCCAGGTCTTTCTTCGTGACGGGTAGGCAAACAAGCTGGCCACCGCCGTCGTGCCTTCCCTTGAGTTGGAGATGGAGAAGTCTTAAGCTCCGAGTATCTTTGGTCTTGGGCGGCAGGCAGGCATAATTACAGGCTGGCCGCCGCCGTCGTGCCTTCTCCTTATGACAACCGACCCCTGAGGTTCAGTCGAACTCCGGCGACTTAAACCGAGCATCGCTTAGCCGACAATTGTTACATTGCAAACCATCATTCTTTTTTTGGACTTCTTCCAGTGTCTATTCAGTGGGTAGCCAGCAGGCAGGCACACCAGCCATCGGCATCGTCGTACCTTCCCCTTTTGACAGCCAACCCTCGAGGGTTCAGTCAGACTTCGGCGACCTATACCGAGTATCGCCTGGCCGACAATTGTTTCACCGCAAACCTGCAATTCTTCTTTACCTGGATTAAATCTCTTGTCCATTCAATGGAGCGTCCTATCTGCCTCAATTTCTATTCTTAACACGGCGATACATTCATTTCGTTGCTTGTCCCCAGACAGGCAACTGCGAAGCTCCAGTTCCTCCTTTGTCCTCTTTCTTCCATCTACCTATCAATATATCGCTCCTTTGCTGCCCGTTAATGTTACTCTTCTGGACCTTGGGTTCATTTCTTGGCTGCTCTTTCCGTTGAGGAGCGGTCGAACCGACGATGGCTCCCAATTCCGTACTAGAGTGGGCGGTAGGCCGCAATCTCACAATCCGGAAGAAACAGCGCAAGCAGCACGGCGTCTTGAAGGTCGAGCTCGTGACTGATGACGAGACTGATACCGACACCTTGTCCGTGACGTACCCACGCATCCGCCGCCTCACCGAAACGTCGGATGCCCGCAAGTCTAGGGCTAAGAAAGTTAGATTTGACGCTTCTCCCCGGAAATCGTCCTTGAAGAAGTCGACTTCCTCGGGCTCCGGCCCAGCTTCAGCAGAGGAGAGTTCGAGTGATGATAACGGAGGGTCCCATGAGGACTCTGACAGTCACACTGAACCTGACTCGAGCGATGGGGATGCAGACGAGCCTAGAGGGCCGAAGAGCGAGTTGAAGAAGGCTAAAAATGCGAACAAGTCGTCGAAGAAGTCGGCGACGAAAGCTAGCAAGGCGGAGGGCGGCAAAAAGGCGAAGGCCCAACAGTCTGAAGACAAAGGCGAAGAGTCGGAAGATAAGCCGGAGGATAAGCCCAAAGGGAAGAAGCAGGCCCCGAAGAAGAACCAGAAACAACAGACAGGGAAAAAAAGCAAGGCGAAGGATGATGAAGACAATACGGGAGGAGATGCGAGCGAGACGACGGAGCCGGACCAGACCGAGGACGACGAGGAAGACAAGGCCGAGGAAGAATCATCCTCAAAGAAACCAGAGAAGTCTGGAGCCAAAGCTGATAAAGATGCCGGCAAAACCAAAGCCAAGAAGAAGAAGGATGGTGACTCCAAGGCCAAAGGCACGGATAAGGATAGTGGCTCCAAGTCCGAGGCGAACAAATCACGTCAGTCTGATGCTGGTAAGTCATATGCAGAGAAACTGAACCTGGGGGAGGCTCGTCCAAGGCTAACCCGAAGAAACCAGGCAAGAATTCAGGGGCTCATCAAGCTCCTGAACTCGGGCGGCCAAATCTGATCAGGCCTGTTCGTTCTCAGCTCCTCCAAGTCGAGGAGGTGGTGGAAACGCCAGACGATCCTCGCCCGAATGCGTTTGTGGATAACGAACATGGCGTTTGCCGAATCTATCATGGCCCTGCGTATGGAAACCCCTATGGTTCACTGTACTCTCCTCGAGCCTGGTCTGGAGTACCCCTTCCAGCCGGTGTCCCACATCCCCTGGACAACCATTTCTACCACGGCTTTCACCAACAGGGCTTCCCTGAGAACAGCGGCCTGCCGCCTGCTGCATCTGGCTTTCACCATCATCCAGTGCCATCACTAGGCTTCACTGTACCGATGATGCAACACCCGGATGCACATAAGAAAGGAGACACTCCCTCACAAGCTGGTCTATCGGGCTTGCCACCGGTTCCGCTGTTAAGCCCACGTTCGGTCGCCGCTCGATTCAACGCCTTGGCACCAAGTCCGTTGTCTTCCAAGGGTAAGGGCAAGAGCAAGGATGAAGGTTGGCGCACAAACGTCGGTCCGAGATCTGCCTCGGCTGAGAACGGTTCGCAAGGGAGCCACGGCAATGGGAGGAACAACAATGAGGCGGGTAGCAGCCGCAATTCCAATAACCAGAACAACGGCAGCGGGTCCGGATCCGGATCGCGAGGCAACGGCGGTGGGAACGGCGGGAACGGCGGGTTTTCCACCCCTGCTCGAGATAACCGAGGAGCCAACGACGGTGAGAATGGTAGGTGGGAAGCCACGCCAGTCAGCCGCAGCAGCCAAGGCACTACGCACATATCGGCGAGGGACATCGGCGGCAACGGATGGGGAGGAGGCTGGGATACTGACAACAACAACAACAACGGCAATGGGGCCGACGACGGATGGGGAGGTGGCCAGGACACCACCAACGACAACAACAATGAGGAGCGGGGCGAAGGCCAGAATACTAACAACAACAATGGAGGAAATGGCGGTTGGGGAGGACCTAACAATACGTCCCCTCGCGGTGACGGCGGGTTAGGGGGAGGCTGGAGCATCAATAACAACCGTGACGATAGGGGAGGCGGCCAAGATACCAGTAAGAACAATGGGGGCGATGACGGCTGGGGAGGAGGCCAGCATGCCAACAGCAACTCTGGAGGCAATGGCGGCTGGGGCGTCGCCGCCGACAATAGCTCCCCTCAAGGTGATTTTGGCTGGGGTAGTGGGAGCCGAGGATAGGACCAGGGCCCTTCCCGTCCCAACCAGAGCTCGCCGCCCGGCGGCAGTCACAGCCGTGCGTCCAGCGCTCATCACGGAGATAGCCCGAACGGCGGGAACAATCAGACTAACAACGTGTCCGGGGCGCTGGACAACATTCCGAATAATAACGCTGGCCCGACCGGCTCGATCACCCCGAGTGACTCGGCTCGCTCGACTGGCTCCCGGCGGTTTGCTCAGAGGATGCCGGGGTCGTGGTTGTCCACCCCGGAAAGCAACGCTGGCCCGTCGACAGGCCAGAGGTCAAGCAATAATAGCAACCAGGACTGGAGCCCCAACAGCGGCAGCGGGAATGGCCGGGGCGATAGCAACAATGGCGAGAGCAGCCGCAGCAACAACCAAGGGCGATGGGACTGGGGCGCTTCGAACTCGGACCTTGGCCAGTCTGGTGGGGGAAATAGCTCCTCGCCGGCCAACCACTCTTGGGGAGGGCCGTCTACCAGCCAGACCACGCCTGTGGACACACGCTGGTAAGTGCGGTGCCTCCTGGCCTCTGGCTTCTTCTGTTGTTACATGGCCGCGGAATTGGCATTTCAGGGGGTTCTGAGAGCAGGATTGCTGGGCGGGTTCAAGACATTTTCGGGGCCTACCCATATCGTTTTGATTTTAGGGGGAGATGACGAGGCAACCCTTCTCTGATAGTAGGATTCCTCCGCTCGGGGGTAAAGGTATTTTCCAGGCCCAACCCCCTGATACCTGTCGAGCAGGCCCGTCTTAGTGGAATATCGCCGTAGAGGGAGGAGACCTAGATAGTCAGATCCTCTCAATAAACCCGATATTATGGAACTATAGGTGAAACCCGGTGGTGCTTCCAGGCTGCCAGTGGATCTACTGACGTTGAGATGCCCACCTGGCACACTTCCGTTCTCAATTACGAGGCAAGTGCTAGTTACTAGGAGTGGCAATCTTAATTTCTCGACCGAACTAATACCTAAAACAAACTACCATGTTGACGAGACAGCTGTCCAACAAGCCCAGTTTTGTGTAAGCCCTCCATTATTTTTAGCGGACGAGCGCCCGCCCAGCCTAGCAGAGATGCGAATTCCATTTTTTTTTGTTACAGCAAGCGCAAAAGAAGAATGCAAAGCCACCCCTGAATTGAGAGAGAAGCCTGCCGGCACCGGCGGGAGCAACAAGCGGTTGTTGACAAGACAGATCAAGGAGCAAACGCGTCGTTGAAAGGCTCACTCGTCGTCGGAATCCTCCTCCTCCTCGGCCTCGGCAAGCCAAGTGAGGAAGGGCTCTGCGGCCTTGCGGACCTTCCGGGAGGTGTTCACATCGACATACTTCTTGCTGGAGCGGGAGCCCCACTTGGTGACGACCTCCTCGGAGATGAGGTCGTGGTGGTAGTACAGCTGGAGGATCTTGACGACCTTGTCGAACATGTCAGGTTGGTCCTTTCCGAGGAGACCTACGAGACGCTCGGTGCCGCCGAGAAGAGCCTTCTCATGACGCTCCGAGGTGATGATCTGTGAAAACTAGTCAGTATTCAAGTTCGGCTAGCTCGAGTGAGTGCTATCAAGCTTACCTGCTTCAGCATGCTAGCGCGCTTGCCGATCTGAGACGTGATGTTCTCGTCAAAGACGGTCTGGACGAGGACGAGAACGGTGCGGTGCTTAGTCTCGATTCCCAGTTCCTTAGCCTTGAGATAGATTCCGATGTCGTCGACTTTGTTAATGCCACCCTTTTCCTTGGCCTGGTCCTGGATCCAGACGCCCAGTTGGTCGTAGATAGTAGGACCACCGCCCTCGCCTTCCTCATCGTCGTCGTCGGCGTTCAGAACCAGCTTTTGCTTGAACTCATCGGGGAGTGACTGCTGGCGAGCCCTGACGGCTTCGGCGCTCATGTCGACCGCCCAATCGTCGTCCTTCACTTCGATCTCGTCGTCATCCATGATACCCTGGGCCTCGGTCTTGATTTTGCGGGTCATGGCATCATCATCGCTTGCATAGCCGAGATTCTTGTCGTCGCCGTTGGGAGATGGCTGGTCCGAGTTTGAGTCGCCGCCGGAGCCGTTCTCCTTGTCGGGATTCTTGCCGTTCTGCTTGGCTCTGCGGGCAGCCTTGCGCTCAGCCTTGTCCTTCTTGCCCTTCTTCGGCGTGTTCTTCAGAATGAAGCCGCTGAGCTTCAGGCGCAGGTCGACATCGGTGCGCTGGCCACAGGCCTTGCAATCGAGCACGATGTGGTCGTCCTTGACATGGACGTCGGTCTCGGGGTTCTTGCACTTCTTGCAGAGAACGAACCTGCTGATGAAGCCGTCCAGGTATTCCTGCAGCTTTGGAGCATCATGGGCACCATTGATGATCCAGCGATCATCGGGTGGGTCGATGTTGGTCTGAGCGCCAAGTTCGAAGCCGAAGTACTTGATCAAGTAGGATCCGGGGCGAGCGAGAGATTGGGCCACGCTGCTGAGGTTCACAACCACTGTTTTGATGCCATTGCCCTTGCCTTCGATCTTGGTCTGGAGTCGCTCCATCTTGTAGCGATAGAAGGGGTCGGTGACATCGCGGCGAACGTTAACGAGAGCCATGATTGCGGTGTTTTTGGGTGCAAGCTGGGTAATGATATTGACGCGAGGTTAGGAGTGGTTGAGGTCGACGATCTGGTGAAGTACACTGGTCGAGGGTGTCATGAATGGAAATAGTGAGCGATGGGAAGGGCGAAACGAGCCAGGGAGGGGTCAGTTGAAGAGAGTTTGAGTTGACATAGGGTAGTCCTGATGTTGGAGCTCCAGGGTAGGCATTAACGTAGGGGACGACTTGGTCGACGATTCAACCGACGGATTTGATATCGGGACTACAAGGTTTCCGCAATATGCGAAACCGATGCAGCTTGATGGGTGGGGAGTGTCTGAAGACGGAGATCTGGTCGTGCTGATACATAAACAACTCTGTTGACTCGTATGACTTCTATGTGTGTGTTCCTGTTTCCCTTTGGAAGGGGAGGGATGACGGGAGAGACGATGATGATCCGATGCGAGGGAGTCCAGATGCGAATTTTGTTCCTTATAAGGCTGCACCGGATGGACGGAACAGACCCGTGGTGGGGGATGGGGGAGAAGATACTGTGTCAGTTGATGGGCGTAGGTAAATCTTCGTGGAAGACGGTCAAGTTCGCTTCTTGCTAAGCTGGCTCTGACAGAATCAGAGAACTGCGTTCAAGGACGAGGTTTGGGAGTCGGTCGGGTTTTGAAAGAGGAGGTGGGAAGGGTTGAAGATTTTAAGTCTGGATTGACAAAGAATGGTTCAAGGAATGGAGTGATGGGGCGGTGCCTTGGATGTGGGTCACGTGGCGTGTTCTACTAAGTACCTAATTGGGGCAAAGTGGAATTTTTGAAAAAATCGCGAAGGCCCCGCTTATTACAACGCCTATCGCCGTAAAGATCCGAGGTAGGTACCTTAGTTTAGGTAATCCGTACACTTGAGAACAGATGGTGAAGAACAAAGAGGAGGCGAAGGGATCGAAGTTTGTTTCTTCTCGTTTCCCTGGGTTTCTCAAGATAAACCTTCAATTTGGGCGAGAGTGCCACTTGGAAGATTCCAAGCACAGCTCTTCCCGCCCTCCTCGGTACCTACTTGGAGAGGTACCTAGATTGTCTTGGGCTGACGGGCACACTCAACAGTTCTGACAGATCTGGCCATGAGTAGGGCATGCGGCATGGGTCAACACGTGGACTATCTCTGTTTGCCATCTCGCCTGCTTGTACCGCACTGGAGGCGTCGGACGTTGCGACGGTTGGCGATTGGGTGTGCATATGCACATCTTTTTAGTGCCCGACTGCACTCGCTGCAGCCTTGCACCCCCCATCCAGGAGCCGCAGTCGATGTATTGGCTCGACTTCGGTAACACAGACTCTGGACCTTTTCAATGTCAGACCTGGCGTGCCTGGGCAGAAACCTGACACGGTCAGGAGGTGGGGAAGCAGGACCTTTGACGCCCAGCCAAGAGCTCAGATCACGAGCTCTCGCCATTTTACTTTTATTAGGGATTCAATTTAATAAGATGTAATCTATTTTTGGCATTCCTATTCGCTCGTCCCCGAGGTAGCCCGTTTAAACCCTCATCTCATTCGACAGGAGAGAACTTCAACAGACATTTCTCGCCTAGGGGCCGAGACGATATCAACTGGTCTGACATCTCCATCGACCTGGGCGTCATAGAGTGATCCGGCAGCGTACTAAAACTCGAATATACGTCTCGTAGCAATAACTTCATCTCAGCTAGAGCGAGGCTGCCGAGCCATTAGCAAAAGAGGTAGGGGGGAAATATGGGGTTTACATGACAACTCACTGTTTGCCCACGCAACCCCTGCCACCGCTGGCAAAAGCAAAGAATAGCCTCTTTCTCTCGGCGTCGCCTTCCTTCTCTAGCCATCGATCAGGGTTGAAGGTGTCTGGCTCAGGGAAGATATCCTGCTCGACTCTATGTACTGAGTACGCTTGGCAGCTGGCTATTGTTCCCTCGGGGAGATAGAAACCATCGATGGTGCGTCCCCCACACGGGACATAACGTGGAAGAGACATGGGAATCGGGGGGAAGCAGCGGAGCCCTTCCTTGACAACAGCATCGAGATACGTGAGCTCGTCGAACGGCGCGTCGGGATTATCGAGGAGCTCCTGCTGTAGCCTCCGCTGGATATGGAGCGACGACGGCTTCGATAGCTCCCACATGAGGAAGCACAGGCCGTCACCAGTGGTGTCGATTCCCGCGGCCATATGGTCGAGGCACTCGGCGGCAACATCCCAGCTGTCGAGCTCGCTGGACTTTTCGTGGAGACGGCTCAGCAGCGTGAAGGAGTCAGATCCTGATTTGGCGCTTGTATCCAGGACGAAATGGTCTGCTAACGGGGTCTCTCGAGGTTTCGCAAACAGGTACAAAACCCGAGCGATTAGGTTGTGTAGGAAGGGGCTATAGTACTGGACGAGGCGGTCTGATCCGTGTTAGGCGACGAGCCCAACTAGCCTTGCTGCGACAACTTACTCTGCAAACTACTATCAAATGCAAGTTCACGCATGATAGTCTCGTCCGACTTGTCCCGGAGCGAGTCAGTTCCATATGGATGGAATAGATGGTGTGTGACACAGTCGAAAGCATAAGAATGGAGGGCTAGGAGAGGTTACTTCAGGGCCAATATATGCCGAGTTGACAGTGTTTCTTACAAACCTACGACCGACCGTTTATCAGCATATGGGGTATTACGGCATAAGGACTGAGCTTACATATAGATCGAGACTGCCGCCTCTGGAGTCGGTACAGAGTTTGACAAAGTTGCTGGCTCTCTCGGCAATGCCAGCAAGAGAAGGCTGGCGGACGACGTTGCTGTTGGCATACCTATCGGCCAGGACTCTCCTTCTTCTAGCGTGCTGAGGGCGATGGATTATGAGACTAGCCATGCCACAGGGGGTCTGTAGATGTTGACTCCTTACCTGATCCTTGTTCAACATGGTGAACATGGTCCTGCGAGTAGCCACAGTTCAGGAGTGGTACACAATGTCCGAGAAGAGCAGCATGCCTACCTGCGTTGGTAAACCTTGAACAAGTCATAGAACTCGGTCTTGTCATAACCACTGCCTCCTGAACAGTAAATTTCCTTCACGGCCCGGCCAGAAGCGAAGGCGACTTCGCCTGGGGCGAGCCGGACGACCGGGCCGTATTTCAGGTGCAGGCCGTGGACGTATCTTGTCCTGTTGGCATGAAGTTCGTGCCATTTCAGGATCCAAGAGGAATACCTGGCGATCAACGGCCCCGGGACTTTGTTGAGGGGGGACCGAAGGCACCTCAGGAGATGGATGGTTAGGAACAGAGCTGAGCAAGATAAGAGAAAGAGGGGCGATAGGAGGATCATGGCTGAGTGTCGGATACTGAGGCCGGTTGCTTGAGATCAGATCTAGCCTATGGCAGTAACGCTGCAACTCTCTTGGTTCAACAGCTGGTGAGAGTTTGGGTTGATGTGATGGCTATCTCATACGTTTGGCTCATGTGTCCGTCAAAGCGGAGGAGGCAATTGGCCCACATCACTGCTGCGGGGGAACCCCGTCCTCTCTTCTCATCTGACCCCAAGATCTACTGCTCAAAAACATGGTCTGTACAATTGAGTCGCCGTCCATGAGAATCCCTGCACATATGTAGCATGAAGCACGGAAAGGACTAGATAGGCAATTTCCAACAGTCAAATACATGACGTATTTTACACCACTCCTGCTGGTTACTCTACATTCTCACAAGTCGTCCTTCCCACCGTCCTTCTTCTCAGCCCCGCCGCCGCCAACCAGGTTCTTGAGCCAGGACGGCGCAGAGACCCCGAACTTGGCGGCTGAAGGATACGACTTCCCGTCGATGGTGACTCGCGGCTCGCAGCTGCACCACTGGTCCTCGGGGACGCCAGCGAGGGCCGAGGGAATGTGGCTTCCGCACCCTCGCCAAGATTTCTTCGCTGAGCAATAGCATTTTCATGTTAGAGTCCATATCGTTGACAGCATATTTACTGGCAAGTCGCCAAGGAAGGGTAAGGAGCCAGGCACTCACAGCAAGTTGGGCAGGTGGCGCCGTAACACATGGTTCCTAATTGTCCAAGGGATTCTGATTCAGTTCTTTCCGAGGGTGGTGAAAAATGCTATTTGGCAATGTAATTGAAATTTCGAGGGTTTCTGAGATAATCGTGTTTTGTCCTGGTCCAAGCAAGTCCCGGTAGCTCCCCCGAGCCCGTACTTATATACATGTCATTTAGAGCGAGCAGAGATCCGGGTGGGAACGGTCGCCGAACTCGTCTCAGGTGTCGCCGACCTAGTATAGATTGCCGAGCAACTAACAGCTTCCCTCCCGCCCTTGCATTAATAATGACCGATCCCCGAGTTTTGGTGCTAGGGAACTGCCTATCTCCTCACGGTGTCCTATTAGTACTGGCTAGTATCGTTTATCTGCCTGCTTATGGATTTCCTTTCCTCTGCTTGATCGCTTTCTATTTTTCGTCACCATCTCACCCCCTTTCCGAAGTTTCTATTTCCCCCCTTCGAGACTGGCCAAGAACTTCACTACCCGGTCCGCCAGCCATTCCCGTCCTTCGGCCTGATCGACGGTGTGGTTTGCCCCCGGGATCAGACCAGACAGCTCGCTGGCAATTCCCGGGCGACAGAAACTCTTCCACCGAGCAACGAGTTTCCCGAAGTCGACGTATTCGGGAACGTGCTCGTCCTTCTCGGAGGGCACAATCAACACGGGGTTCTGTATCCGGCCCCAGAACTCGGCCACCTTCTCATCTGGTAGGTCCGAGGAGAAGTAGTCGTCATCACCCCTTTTCCGGATGGGGTCTCGTCAGCGAGAGACCATGAGGTCTAGCACCGGGGAAGGGGCGAACTCACCCTACAGCGGCAAGCGAATGCCACCGATATGCAGTAATTGGCGTGGTTAGCATTTCCGGCAGCCTGTCCTTGGGCATGATGTGATCTCCCTTCCCGTCGTTGATCAGCCGTGACGCGAAGTCCAGGCTCTCCTTCATCTTTGCGCGGTCCATGAGCGGAGCAAGGCCCTCGCGGTCCGATACCGACCCCTGGAGGATGAAGCCGTCGACGGGACTGTTGTTGTACTTTTCGTAGTTTGCATACTCCATGCAGTCCTGATGGAGAAAGTTAGCATCCTCAGCTCCGAGACTCCGAGACTCCGAAGCTCCCATCGCAACCGCCCGGGATCATGTAGTCGTCCGCTTCAACCTCCCCCCTTCCGCCCCCGAACGACACCACCAAGTCCTCCGCAAAGGGGCCCCCTCCAAAGTCCAAATTCCAAATAAAATTAAAATCAACCAACCTGACAACCCGTAGAATGCCCCATAAGCACAATCCTCCCCTTCCCCAGCGTCCCCCTGAGGTACCGCACCAGCGCACCCACCTCAGCCACGTCCCCCGCCAACCCCCCCGTCGCGTACCCGTACCCGTCGAACGAGCTCGACAGGCGCGCCTCGAAGACCGAGTAGGTACCCCCGACCCCGGCCCCGTCGCCTGCCAGGGCGCGGGCCACGGCGCGCACGTACGGCACCGTGTGCGGGCCGTCGCCCAGGCCGCCGATGAAGACGATGGCGTTGCGTGGCGGCGGCTGGGACGGGGAGGCGGCGGGGTGGGATAGCTCGTAGGCGTATGATTGTGGTAGGGGGGATGGGTAGGGGTGGACTATGACTGGGAAGGGGGATGGAGGCATTTTCGTGGGATTGGGCAGTGCCGGCGGTGGTGGGATATCCCCTTGGTTATGGGACTGTTTGGTTGGGCTGGAGTGGGTTTGAAGCTCTGGCTTTTGGTATATGGGAACTGGCACCTTAGTTAAGGGGGTGTGTTAAGGGTGTGTATTCTCTCGTGGTCGGGCTGTTGAAGGATGCGAGTTAGAAATACTTACGGAGTACTTACTTATTCATCACCGCTAGCCATGCAGGTTCTTGACCCGCCCCCACCTGGTAGCTAGGTACCTAGTCACAACACAGGAATAATCATTAATATTTCCCATCTGAGAGATGTGAGATGAGACGACAAGACACGGAAAGCTTCGTGCCTCCCAGCGGCCAACATAGCTAGTAGCGATAGCACCGGTCTCATCTGCACAATGTCACAGGTGGTGATATATTACCTCGCTGCGTCCTAGTGTTATCTAACCAAGACATCTATCTTGAGTATACGCATGCTTGAAATCGACTAGAGACATTTCAATGCCTACCCCTGACCACCCCCCCAAGCGGTCAAAATGCACAGAACACCGACCGGTAGTCTTTCTATACGCAGGGACGCCCAAGGACTGCCTCTATCTCCCTATCTTGGCCTCTGCCTCCGCACCCAGATCCCGCTCCACCATCTCGATCGACGTCAGGCTAGGGAACCGCTTCTGGAAGTCGCGGATGTAATCGTCCCGCTCCGCCGGAGACATCTCGATCGTCGGCTGCCCCGGCAGGTCCACGGCGACGAGATGCTCCCTCGGCGGGCCCGGCCCCCTGACCCTGGGCGCGTTTATGCCGCCGCCGCTGCTGCTCGGCGGCATCATTGGTTTCGGGGGCGAGCCGGCCCGGGCACCGGCGGGGAGGTTGCTAATAGGGGCTGGGTTTTTGTTCAGATGTGTGGGTTTGGGAGGCGCCATTGGTTTCGGAGCACCGCCTGCGGGGATTGGTCGTGCTAAGCCGGTAGGTTCTGCAGAGCCAGCACCCCCAATCGGGGGGCCTCGGCGAGCGCCAGCATCGCCCGAGTCCGGCCGTTGTCCGGCACCGAGTGGCTTGCGCGGGATGGCTGGTCGGCTATCAGACGTCGACGGCCGATTCGCAACTGGCGAGGAATCTATATAGTGACCATAACCCTGAGCCGTACGAGTCACACTGACCGTCGAGCGGCTACTCTCATCGAGCAGGCTCTGGACCTTGTTCTGTATGGAGACGGCGCGTGAGACGCCCCCGATGCTCTTCGGAAGAGGCGTGGGCCCCGTTGAGCCGCCCTGGACTCTTTGTCGGTACTCGGCACCCGCAGCCGCCACACGCGCCTCTTCCTGGGATAGGCGACGTCGCTCAAGTTCCCTACGCATCTCGGGCGTCATATCGTCTGTCTCTTCTAGTACGTGGCCGTCGTCGCTGCGCCCGTCGGTGGCCTCAGATCCAGCTATAGGGGTGAGGTCACGCCGCTCGAGATCCTTGAGTGGAGATGGTGTGCGTGGCGGAGGAGGTCCACTCCCCTCAAAGCGCTTAAAGGCGTCCCCAAACTTCCCAGCCAGTTTGTTCTTAGTTCCGGCCCCCAAAGAAGTCAGACTCGACCGTTTCCCGTGCTTGTGGTAGCCCTTGTCCTTCTTCTTCGGGTCTGAATCCTCCATCGAGCGTAGGAATTCCACATTTGAGGAAATATTCGTCTCGTCATCTGGCTCAGGCGGTGCCGGCAGATGCTTTTCCGCATACTTGGGCGAGGGGTGGGCAAGCGAACCTAGAGGCTTCGGTAATGCCTCCCTCTCACGCAAATAGTCGATGTTAGACTCCAGATGCGTACTAGCTGGTCGAGGCCGGGCTGATGTGGTGGATTTTGATTTGATCATTGGTTCAATCTGGTCCATATTAGGCCGGCCCCCCTCGAGTGACGGCCGGGAGGAGGATGGGTGGCGGGCGTGCCCAGGTTGGGGTTGGAAAGGAGGAACTCGTGGTATTGCCCCTGACAGAGATGCCTTCGGTGTATCTGCGCGAAGAAGGTCTGACGAGCTCGGGTCCTGTCGCCGCGGGAGACTGGAGGACCGCTGCTCATCTGCTTTGGGGAATCGGTACACCTGGTACGGGGCAGTTGTCGTTGGTCGCTCAGGGCTCGGCTCAGAAGTCATGGTCCCGGTAGAGACCATGACCGGCCTGCTTGGAGCAGGTTGATACGCGACCTTTAAGGGCTGCGATGTCTGTGATGATATTGCCTGGAGTTCGGGAGAATTTGAGATGATAGCTGACGCCCGACTCAGCTCTACAGGCTTTGGCGGAGCGGATGCAGACTTGGTGGGGCCCATAAGGGGGACCTCGGGTGGAATAGATGGGTGCATTTTTGGCCTGGATGTCTCGGAAGACTGTCTTCGGCTTGCAGGAGTAGGCGTAGGCTTGGGTTGCGTTGGAGCGAACGCGTCGTCCGCAAGCCTCTCCGTGACCCTCTGGGACAGGTCTTTTGGCTGCTGTGCGGCTGGTGGCGAAGCTGGGTCATCGAAGTCAAACTTGGTGCGCGACTCGAGGAGGATCGAGAACTGATCGAGCGTTGGAAACCTCGACGACAGCTCGTCTCCCGGCCCAGACGCGCTGGTCTTCGAGTCCAGAGCAGCAAACGGATCGCCATTCAAAACCTTTACCGGTGATCGACTCGGCTTCCCCGGTTGTCCTGCTGGCTGTGAGGTTGTGGGGGGCCGACCTCTCCTCATCCGCTCAACTTCGGGGATAACCTGCTGCTGTTGAGCTGGCCGGGCGAAGACAGCTCCAACGACCGGCGTCGAGCTGGTCTTCTGCTCCGGCACTGTCATCTTTCCGCTACCGCGAGGCTCCGACTGGGACCGACCAGAATAGATCTACGGATGCATGTTAGCGCAGAACTTGCGAGACCAGAAAGAAAGCCACCTTACATCTTTGATGGGAACTTCGCGCCCTTGCATGGAACAGGCCTCTCGAAGCACTTGGTAGATGTTCGGCCTAGTCTTCTGGTTTTCCCGGAGCATCGACGCTGCAAGAATAGGGTGAGCCGTCGTTCTGGACAAGGGCTGGCTACCTACCTATGAGTTTCTTTAGCCTGTCCGAGAATGCCGGATAACTGGGGAACTTGTAGCTTGCGTTGAGGATGGCAAGCTGGCCTTGTTCCTCAAACGGGGTTGTATAATAGCACAGTTTATATAGGAGGACTCCCAGCGCCCATATGTCCGACTTCTCGTCAATCGGTTGTTTCCGGTAGACATCGACCATCTCGGGGCTCCGGTACTGCATCGTCGTGTGTTTCTGCACGTCCTCGTCCATCAGGCGGCACTCGGCGACCGTGGTCGGGGCGGCGCGGGGTGAGGCCGCCGAGCCAAAGTCGCAGAGCTTGAACTTCTTAACCGAGCCAGTCGTCGTGATCAGGACGTTTTCGACCTTCAAGTCGCGGTGCAGCAGGGCCGGCTTCAGGTAGTGCATGCAGGCCACGCCCTCGGCCACGTCGGCGAAGATGCCGAGGATTTCGGGCTCGGTCAAGCGATGCTGCAGCCGGGTGTTCATGAAGTCGATCAGGCCGCCGCCGTTGCAGTATTCCATGAGCAGGAAGACCTCGTAGCCGCCGCCGCGCAGCTCCGAGGCGTGCGAGTCGATGTAGGTGACGATGGGCTTGTGGCCCTTCAGGCGCTTCATGGTCTCGACCTCGATGCGCATGCCGCGCAGGGAGTCCTTGTCGGGCACGGCGACGCGCTTGAGCACAGCCTGGTCCGTCCCGTCGACAGGCGAGTTCAGTTTGACCAGGTACACGTGCGCGAAACCACCCTCGGAAAGGTACTTTTGTATCACCACGCGGTGGCTGCCGACCTGGATCTTGGTGCCCGGCACAAATGTCCCGACTGGCGCCCCCGGAGGGCCGACGGGCATAGTGCCCCCGTAGGCTGCGCCGTGGCCAGGTCGGGGCCCAGCTGCGGGAACGGCTTGCCCATAAGAAGCCATGGTCCCGGCGTCTATCGGGCTTGTACGTGGAGGCTCTTCAGACTAGGCAGATTGGGCCTGGAAGAGCGTTCGGGAATTGGAAATTCGGAAGGGAAATGACTGATCCCCAGTTGGCGAGGGATGTTGGAAGTCAAGGCATCGAACGGCGGGCTGGAAATCGTGGGACTGGCGGTGACAAACTGCCAGGCTAGGTGTACATCGGTGGCATTCTCGGGCGTCTCGTTTTTAGGGGGTTAGGGATCGAACGAACTGGGTCACGATGTCGATAACTCGCGACGCTCTCGAAGGCGGTCTTGGTGGCCAGCAAGGAGCCCCGTGCTTCCAATATGATGTCTTGCCTTGGTGTTTCGCACTTCCAGGTCGGCTAAAATCCGGGCCAGGCAACCTAGAGCATGGGGTCCACCTGAACCAGCTAGTGTAGGCTGCCACATTTTCAGGGGATTCTCCAGGACTAGAAAAAGGCATGTGTCAAATTTAACCAACTTCAGGCTGCGATGCTCAGACTGAATCCCACCAAAGCCAAAGTAATATAGAGAACCCGGATTTCGTAGCACAGCCCTGTGGTCATTCCCCGAAGCGACCTGCCTCGTCATTGGCGCGCATAGAAAGCAGAGATATCACCCTCGGACTCTGTCTTCACTTAGTCTAGAGTCATTATATAGGACAACTCAGTTGGTGATATGCACTTTTACCCCCAGACCAGCCAGAAGCTGGTCCGACTGAGCGGCCTGGTACACAATCTACGGTTGCTACCGGTGACAGGTAGGTTGTCTTGTCCATCAGAAGTAGCCGATGCGGGAGAGGCACCAAACGAGTGGTAAAAAGCAGGGTGAATGAATCTATCTCCTGTTCCCCTGGCATCCTCAGTTGCCTCGGAGATACAAAGCGGGATACAAACAATTCGCCAGCCGTTACAGTACCGCAGTATTGGATGCTCGTTACTCTTCCACCGTCTACCAATAGCTCTAAGATACGGCTGTTCGTGATTGCTGGCTTTAGACATATTGAAAGTCCCGACTTTAGGTAGTTTACGTCCACATCGAGGCTATCCCTGTTTGCTCACCAGGCCTGTTTGCCCAATTGATTCTCTGGATAGAATAACCTGATGATGCTAGAGTAATGCCCTTGTGTCTCTGACACGAAGTCTGCAAGACCTGTGCATGACTGCATGTGATCACAGCAACACAGCCAACGACGGGCTTGGCGAAGGCTTGTCTTGTTGAGGAAACAATCGTCCCAGATACTGGTTAGGTAGATGGGAATCTCCAGATTATTATATACCTTCCCATATCGATAAGCCCTGCCACTCCAGTGTCCCAGAGACACTGCAGATATCCGGCAGAGACGCATGCGTCACGCCCTGAGTTGCCTCAGAGATAGCGAGCGGGAGGTACAAACACCGTATCACAGGCACTTCATAGCCAGCCAGCCTAACGAACCACTCCCACTCATTGGGATATACACACATCACCATCACACCACCTCGACCATCCGCGCAAACTCCACCCCTTCCAGCACCGGCGCCGGCCCCCGCGCGACGTGCCCGCGCTCATACAGCGCCAGCCATACCGCGTCCGCGTTGACGTCCTCCAGGGCCCGCCGGGCCTCCGCGTCCCTCTGCAGGGCATCTCCGGGGCCGCCCCCCAGCAGGTCCAGCACCTGGTCGAAGACGTCGTCGTCGATGCGCACGTGCGACACGATCGCCGTGAGGAGGCCCGCCACCGCCGCCCACACCTGCGCCGCCTGGGCGAACCTGCCCAGGCCCGTCGCCATCACTGCTGAGGCCGACTGGGAGGAGGCGGAGGAGGAGGAGGATGTCTGCACGAGCTTAATGTCCCCCGCTCCTCCGGTTAACGAGGGGTCAACCGGGCGCGAAGGGAGGACGATCTCGCCCCTGACAGCAGCCGCGCCACCACCGAGGCCCCCCGAAGCGCGGCCGCTGGGAAAGGTTCCCGCGGTTGCCCTCTTCTTCCCCTTCTGGTTGGCCGCCGGCCCTTTGCTGCCCGCCTCGTCGCGGACCCTGCCGCACCACCTCGCCAGCCAGCTGCCCCACTCCGTCTTGACCCTCGATACGAGGAAGTCTCCCGCCGAGGCGCACAGCGCGCCGAGGGCCCTGCATGCCGCGACGACGACGAAGGGCTCCGGGTCGTGCAGGCGGGCTACCACGACGGGCCAGAGGGCGTTGATTGTGGGGAGGAAGGAATCCTCGTCCGGCGCGAGGGCCGGGGAGACGGTGGTGACGAGGTCGAGGAGGGATTTGCGGAGGGTCGGGGTGGGAGACGTGAGGTAATGCTGGGTCAGGCTGGTGACTCGGGTGAGGAGAGCGTAGGTTGGCGTTGCTGGGGGCTTGGGCTTCTCGCCGCCGGACACCGGCGCGTCTTCGGCTACTTCTTCGGTTTCATCTGCCTCTTCTAGTGTCTCAATGAAGGATTTCGTCTTGGATTTCGGAGGGCCCCATGGTTCCTTGGGGTGACCCGTTAGTTGCCCGCCTGTTTCTTCGAGATCTGGAGCCTCCCGTTCTCTTCGATGGGCACGCTGTTCCAGGAGGTCGAGGATGCCTTCGATGCCTTCTGAGCTAGGTGGATTCTTCTTGTGATCTATTCTCTTGGAACGATCCTCTTCAATCAGTAGCGTATCAGATTTCACCCCCTGCCTCACAATTTCAGAGAGCACAGAGAAGAGGCTCTCGACAAAGAGCGGGTAGCCGTGATAGTTGTCAAGCGCCGCGAATATTGCAGCTACGGCATCGTCGAGAAACGGTATCAATCTCGGTCCCGTCAGGCGGATCATCATGCTCAAGACCCTTGTTGACGCCGGCGAGATGTCAAACGTGTTCAACCGCAAAGAGATCGAATTGACCATGTAGTCGGCATTGTCGATAATCAGCTCCGAAACGTTCCCATACCCGCATGACGCGGCAATCTTGTTGAGCGTTGTCATCGCATGCGTGCGGAGACGCGGGTGTTGCGAGCCCATGAACGTTGTAATGGGATAGAGGACATCGATAAGCTCTGGGCGGAAACCATCTTGCATTCTAGACGCTGCGAATGCCGTCACCTCCAAGGCAATTGCCTCCAGCCTCCAGTCCGTGTCTTCTGTGTCCGAATGCGACGTCACGACAGACACGGAGAAATCGTAGAGCTCTTGAAATACAGCATCCTGAGGTTCCCGGTCGTTGGCAAAGGTCAAGTCAAGGAAGGTGTCCAGATCCGAGGATTGTGAATGAGAAGATGCTTTGACGAATTCGAACGAGAGCCAAAAGGAGGCGATCTGGTCTTCTCCTCTCGAGTCTCGCAAATGTGTTAGCAACTCAGCCGCAAGCTTAGTTTTTTGTGACGATGAGCCGATGTTGTCTGTCAAAGAACGAATCTCATTTCTTGTGCTTTGTTGACTGTCCTCGGCAAGGAGGACTGGTCGGTACTCTTGGAGGGCCGAATCTGCCTTGGACAGCGCTGCATTTTTCCACGTATCCTCGTCCAGCTCGACATCAGCCACCATCTTTTGTGGCTTTGAGCCCAACAAGAGGGCCACCATGCTGTCCTTGAGGGAGTCTGCCAAAGAGTCGTCGAGAGTGGTTGAATCGAGTTTCAGCGAGGCGGCGAGCTTGTTCCCCTTAATAACGTTGCGGATGGCCTGCTGCTTGACTCGCCCATGGCTGGACTGCATGACACGGGGCAATCCGATGACCCAGTTATACAGAGTCCCCCGAATTGTGTCTCCGAGTTCGGGATAGATACTGGTCAAGTCCTCCAGACTGGTATGGTATATCGACTTCTCGGCGTCCCCGGTCTCAGTCATCATGGCGCTTTCGACAAGGATCGACTTGCATTCTGCTAATGAAGAGTGGCATTCGTCTAGAAGGCAAATGCAGAGCCTGCTGACTGCCAACTGTACCTCTTCAGATTCATGACTTCTAAGCTTGAGCACCGAGGACAATGCGATCTTGATTTGCGACGCTGTTGCATTCAGCCAGGCTGGTGTTAGAACTTTTCCGGCGCCGTTCTCTTCTGGCTTTGCGGGCGAGGTATCCTTGAGGATATTCCGTGTCCTGATATCTCCCAGAACGCCGGAGAGAATGGCGCCTAGCACTGCTAGTCCCCTCACGAGAACTCTCTTTTGCGCCTTCAGTGAGAGGGGAGGAGACAGGGCCCGGCTAAGTGAAGAGACTGTCCCCGGGAGAAAGGTGGCGAGCACGCTGTGGTCTTTTATGCTGCTATAGAATGCCTCGAGGCAGTCGAGTGCGGCAAGCTGTATGTCAGGGGCCGTTCCATTGATAACCCCATCTAGGACGACGGATATACTATGGCCTAGGGTGGGGATGATCTGGTCTTCCAACAATGCAGAGGCCGAGGCTGTTGATCCAGAAGCGGTGACTAGAGCCCCTAGAGCGCGGTAGCCTTCCGAAAGTGTCTCCTCGGGCACATGTCGCTTCTTCTCCTGGCCTGGAACGCCTCCGATGACGAAGGTCAGGAAGATTAGAAGCTGCTGGGAGAGCTCCTTCGATATCCTTCCCCTCCAGCCATTTCGGATGAGAACGCTCAGAAGCTTGATTGTGCCCTCAATCAAGCGTATGGGATACTGATCCTGGCTTCGAAGAACGTGGGACAGTGGAAAGAAGACATAGTCAGCCAACCTATCGTCGAGAACAGTTCGGTCCCGGCTCGCTTGATCCTCCCAGGCATTGGTTAGACTCTCAATCAGGCTCAGGATCTCCTTCGCGTCTGCAGTCTTGTCTGCTGAGCGGATTGCCAGCTGGCTCAGCGGGACGCAGATTGGCTTCAGCTGTTTCACTCTTCAGTAGCAATTCACTTTGATGCTTCACGGCGGGCCAAAAACAAACCTGTTTAAAGAACTCGGTTCTGGCCGCCGATGAACCTATTGTGGCCATTGTGCAAGTGGGTCGGACATGGCCCAGGGAAAGTCCCTATATTCTTCACGGATGATGGAGGTGTGCAGAAGAAGCCAGGGCGGTTTGTTTCCAAGGACATTAGTGATAGGTGAGTTGAACTTGGTTGGCAATATGAAGACACTGAGATAGCGATTACGATCACTGAAATGGAGTGCTACAGTGGCGTAGTCGCCTGTAGTCCAGCACCATAAATCCGCCCTGTCTTGCAACGCACGTGATATGGGAACAGAAGCAGAAGCCTAGGTATCGCTATAGCCGTAGTACTGTACTAACGAGCTTTCCCCGGCTTTAACGGAGCCGAACGTCTTGACTCCGTTGCCTCCAAAAGCGAATCAACAAAAGACTTGAGATTCTGACAGTTATAGCCTCAGTGGTTGGCAGTGTACTGCCTCCGAATACTCATTGTCTCTCTCGTCTTCCGAGTGGTAGCGGGTTATTATGGCTCGCGCGAGTGAGTCGGCACCAGCCATCGAAAACGAGTCCCCGGCACCGGCACCGGCACGGATTAGACGGAACACGGCTTGCGTTCGGTGCCGGGACGCCAAGGTGAGCACCGGTCTCGGTCTCCCCGGCCACGGCAACACGACGACTACCCCGGACCCTCCGAAGGGTCATATGCCGTCCAGTTACTGATAAGCACTTTACAGGTAAAATGCAACGCAAGTCTAAATCCAAACCAGACCTGTTCGCGGTGCTCCAAGTCAGGCCTGCCTTGTGTCTTCGACAGAAACCACAAGAGAGCAAGTGGAAGAAGGTTGGTAATCCCTCCCCACCTTCAGTGCCTTATGCCGTTCCCTGGTTATGTCTCCTCCTGCCCTGTACACCCTCAAAGTCCCTAAAAGGGCGAGTTCCCCCATAATAGCCGTCCCTAGAATGTTTCCATGTGATAATGAGACAGACCATCTAAGAGCCCCCCTGTAATCTCCTGGCTCTGATTGGAAGATGCTGACAATATATCTCCAAGCAAACTGGAGGAACTCGCAGCCGAAGTTCGAAACATCAAAGAAGCTGTGGGCCCAAGGGCACTCTCGGCTGCCATGGCAACACCTCCCGTTCGGCAAGAACTACCAAGCCTGCCCCTTGCTGACTCCCAACCATTCACAAACCATCTTATCCCGAGCTCCACTGTCTCCAATGTTACAGCCTCCTTTACGGCTCCAGGGCTTGGGGGCTTCCTCCAGGTTCAGACGCCTTCTCTAACAACATATACGACTCCATCACCGCCAAGCGGACTGCCGGCTGAACCAAGAGCCCTAGGGTCAAGGGTGCTTCCCAGTGAAGACATCGACTACTATTTCACCAAGTAAGGGGAAATAGACCCATTCAAACATGTCTCTCACTTACAGCCGGGCAGATACTTCGATCATTTCCATCCGCATCTTCCAGTAGTTCGGACTCGAGATCCCAATGCCTGCTACAAATCTGGACCCCTGCTTTTCTGGGCCATAATTGTCACTGCGTGCCGTAGGTACGCAAGAGACGAGGGCATCTTCCAGTTTCTCGTCGACTCGATATCATCAGAGGTCTGGGCTGCAGCAGCTCAACCTCCCCTCCGACCACCAACTATCAGTGCACTCCTCCTCTTGGTTACATGGCCTCTACCGACCATTCGGTTCATATCAGACCCATCGAATATATATGCGGGTATTGCTCTTAACTCGTGCCTTACAATTGGGTTACAAACCGGAAAGGGTTGTCGTCCCGAGTTCTGTGGCCCCCTATACCGGCTCGAGACGACCGACGAGGAGGCCACATACACCTGGGCGGCCTGTAATATCCTTTGTCAACGGTGGGTGTATTTCATGGTGCTCGAAAACCCCACGATATGGACAGCCACTAACCCTTGGACTAGCATTTCGTCATATATAGGTTACCCCTCAACGGCGTCTTTGTTTGGCAAGTCGATAGACAGGGTGCTAGACGGCACGATATCTTGGACTGTCCCACGCAGCTTTATCATCCAACTGGAGACGGCACGCTTCTCCAACAGGCTAAGCAAAACTGTAGCTGCTTGTCTGGAAGAGGCACCCGGAGTTTCCCATCATCTGGTTGCTCAGATGGAAGAAGAGTTTGCTAAGCTTCAGAAGTTCTCGTACCCCGATAATGCAGGTAAGGGAGTAATCTCTTTGGCTATCCTTCACAAAATAGGGGCCCTGTCTAACAAGGTGACCTAGATCAGGACAACTTTACCCTGCTGCTGACGCTCCTGGATCTGCAAATATACTACTTGATGCCCTTGCCAGGCTTCAGCGAGGAGATCTTGAAGCGCAACGTCTTGAGATGCTACAACACGGCACAAAGTCTCGTCAGATTGGCACTCAAGCTGCAGCGAGACACGGCTTTTCTCACACACGCGCCACACTTCGTCTTTAGGGCATTGCTTGCCGCGTCCTGCGTTTTTCTGACCTTTCAACTGTCTTCTTATGCCCTTGCCTTCGAGGGCGACTCGGGGGAGGCATTGATTGGCGATGCACTGGCTGCCATGAGGGCCTGCTCCGTTCAAGAGGGGGACCTGCCAGTGAGAGCATCAAACATGATGGAGAAGTATTGGAGCGTCCGACACCGCATCCCAAAATCCGATGATTGGAAATCCGGTCCCTCGTGCTTTGCGCACCGCCTGGGGGCGAGTATTGCATTCGATTGCCTTCGGAAGTGGAAAAAGGAACTCGAGCAGGTGCGCAGTAGTGCATCCAATCTCCCGGAGCAAGGACCAGGCCTGCCTGGTAAGTAATAAATCTGTCATGGTGTCTCATATCCCCTTCATATATTTTCCCCCCTACCGCAGTACGAGAAGCTGACGCAACGACCTTTGCAGAAGGGCCACAAGCAAGCCTGGGTACTGCTGAGGAGGGGTTGAACGATAACCTTCAGCAACTTGACTGGAATGCATTCATGGACGACTTCGACTGGAGTTTTACCTCCAACTACCTCAATGTTTCATGAGGGAACAATATTGTTCGACATGGTTTTTTTTTAATGAGAAACATTTTGGGGGAGGAAAGATAAAATAAGCCATAAAGGACCGAATGGAAGGGTATTGTGGACGAAACTCCCCAAAAACACACTTGAGGCATGATTACGCAAGAGCTCGGCCTATTTCCACTTTCTTTCACAGCTCCCAACCCACATTCCCCAACCGAGAACCTTGCCCTTGATCGCATCCGCAATCTGCTCCCTCGTCACGCTGGATTTCAGAAACTTTTTATCCAGGGGCTCGCTCAAGGCGACCACTTGGAAGAAATCTGAAGAATATCGTCAGGACACGCCCTACCTATCATCCCGCCTAGGATAGCAGGTGGATAGCATGTTAGAGGGCTCACATCTGTGGACGCCATGGTTCATGAGCGGGCGGGGCGGGATGTAGACCCTGCCGCGCATGTTTTTGCCATAATGAAAACCCCCTTTCAGCAGGGACTGGCTCTGGTCCTGGATTTCCAGGTCCTCGGGTCCAATCTGGGTCTTCTCCGGCGCGATTCCGGCGTATAGCCTTTCCCGTTTCCTCGTAATCAGCCTCTAACCAAAGTTATGAACTACGGGGATGGATGCCATCTAGTCGGCGTTGGAGACGGAGGGGGAAACGGCGCAAGACTCACCCGTGGCAGATCGGGGTCGGCAGGGGCGCGTCGGGATCCTCCGCGACCAGCAGCCACTCCTTGACGGACGCCGCGATGCCCTCGGGCTCCTTCCACTCCAGGATCGGGAACTTGCCGCTGCCGTCGGCGGTGTAGTCGACGGCCAGGGTCGCGGGACTCGCCCCGCAGTCCAGAGACATGATTTCTATGGTCGGCTCCTTGAAATCGGCGAAGGCTGGCGTCATGTAGAAGCTCTTGGCGTCCCGACCCTTTTGGTTCTTGAGGAAGTATGCGGCCGTGACTTCCAGAATGGCCGTCATTGCGACTTATAGAAATATGTGACTATCGTTATATATGAGCTGGTTATAAGCCGGGTAGGCAATGGGAGACAGTATGTGTGACGATTGGTTATATCTCTTTTCCTTCACAGGAAAACGGACCAAGATAGAACGGCATGAGCAGTACGTGGGATAAAGTACAAGAAAGGGCCGGGTTAGGGACGTCATTTCCATGAGATATATCGTCCGGATGTGAACGGTCTCGGTGCCGCATCGGCCGGCTCACGCCACTAGCCCGCTGGGCGGCTGGGCGGCCAGCTGTGCCAGCTGGCAGACGGCCTGGGCGTTGCCCAGCCAAAGCCGGAAATTGGTTGACAAAACAGAAAACAGCCGACGCCGACTCCCACCAGTGCGGCAACTCGGAGTCGCAGCCGGGATCGAGGGTGGAGTTCCGGGTATGAATATAGTCTGAGCATCATTGATTTATCAGGATGGAGGCTTATAGTGCGAATCACCCATACTACCCACAGGATGTGGAGATAGCGAAGTATTCGCCAAACGTGAGCCCTCTCGCTGTTCTGCTCGGGTGGTTTGGCAGCATCATCGCGATCATATTGGGCGCTAGCCTGGTCCTGGCAAGAAGGATACGCCCAAGGATACAGGTCTTCGAGCAATTGACACTCTGCTGGTTCGTTCTATGTCAGTTGTCCGAAGCCTTAGCCGCCAAGCCGTCCAGGAAGGACGAGGTTGCTGACTCGGTTCTCCAGGCGGATTCCTCCACTGCTTTTTTGAAGGGTATTTCGTCTTGAATCATGCAGAGTTGCCCGGGTCCCAAAGCCTCTTTGCCCAGCTCTGGAAGGAATATGCACTCTCCGACTCGAGGTACATCACCTCGGATCCCTTCATGCTCTGCATCGAGGGAATCACTGTGGTGAGCTAGCGCCTGGAGTTTTCGTTTCCACGACAGTATCAGCGGGCGCTGACCATGTCTTCTTGGGGTAGTTTATTTGGGGCCCTCTCTGCATAGCTATCGCGGTGTGTCTCGTTCGCGGAAACGACCTGAGATACCCGCTCCAGATCGTCATGTGCGTCGGTCACTTGTACGGAGTCGCCTTGTACTACGGGACCTGCTATTTCGAATATCACTATCATGGTAATTCACACAGCAGACCCGAGTTTCTCTACTACTGGGTCTACTACGCTAGCTTCAACTTCCCATGGGTCGTAGTCCCATCTTGTGAGCATAACTTGCCATACACACGGATATAGCAACGACGATCATGGTGCTGACAAACGTGGCAGTGTTGCTCGTCCAAGGAATCAGGACGACCTGGGACATTTTCAGGGCGTTCGAGGACGTACGTTCAGTGCTGCTGCGCCTCGGGGACCTCCATGGAACAGAGCCTAAGAAGGAGAGGTGATACGGAATTGGTGTTAGGATGGAGATAATATCTGGTAACCTACACTTATGAAATCGCCAGGTCAGATGGCCACAAGTTGCATTTCGTCTTTTGTTTTCCTCCCACATTGTCTGAGGCTCCCCTCAATGATCATGTCATTGATCAGGAGCAGGGGAATGGGATTATGTAATGCCTGGGAATGTGGCCTGTGCCCCACAGGCAGTCGTCATGCGTAGGTAAGCATAGTACGTAACTTGCCTAGCAACCCGCAGTTGAGCTTCCCATCGCACCTTGCCAGCCTCCCTTCTAAGGAGCCCTCTATTGAACGAAACCATTCAGCACCATTTCCTTTGTGACCACACGCCGGACGGCCATAGGTGCAATGAGATAAATTGCAGACCTCTCAGCATCCCTTATATCTTGTGCGCCGGCCCAAACAGCTGTGTCCGGACCCCACCCCACCAACCGCCTGCTCCGGATTACTGCTCGTCACTCAAGGGAACGGCTCTTAGTTTGGGACGCGGCTCACACTCCCTTCAAGTCTGCGCATCTGTCTGGAACCTTCCGTGTACTCCTATCCAGCTCCAGTTGCTTCAAGATGTGGAATGACGAGGATAACAACCCTTACGGCGACGGCTTTGATCGGCGGGACTCATTTACCTCTTCCTCGGCCAACCCTACCTCTCCAACCACGCGTGAGTGTGAGTTGCTCCGCAATACTGTTCACAATCCACAGCAAATTTATCATGATGGTCCCAATAGTGCTGGATGATTCTTCAGATGATGCTGATTCTGACTGGGAAACGCTAGACCCGCGCTATGACGCCCCTCAGACTCCATCCACCACGAGCGATGAGGCTCCCCCACGACCGAGTTTTGCTGGAGAATCGACTACTGCCGACAGCGACGAGGAGGCCGTAGCCGAAGCCGAGGCTGAGGCCCGTGGCGAGCTTGTACCCCGTAGGAAGGCTGGGGGGTATGACAGCCGAATCGAACAGATGCTGTACGAGAACCCGGAGCTTCCTATCTTGATCACAGAAGCCGGAAAGAGCTCGGAGAGTGGTGGCAGGTATATTGTCTATACGATCAAGACCGGCGTAAGGTCCCTCAAACTCCAGAGCTTGAGCTTCGCGCTGACTGCCACTATGCGAATAGGAACTCGTGGTTCGCCGACGGTATTCTGAATTTGCAACGCTTCGGGACGCCCTCACAAGACTCCATCCCACACTCATCGTTCCCCCGATACCTGAGAAGCATACCATGGCAGACTACGCGGCCAACCCGACCAACGCGAAGCAGGACCAGCAGATCATAGACCTCCGAAAGCGAATGCTGGCAGTCTTCTTGAACCGCTGTCGAAGAATGGAGCAGGTCAGGACAGACGGCGTGTGGTGGAGGTTCCTGGACCCCAACTCAAGCTGGGTGCGTTCTGGCTCCCCGAGGCTGAACAGCAGGCCGTGTGCTGATATTCCCACAGAACGAAGTCTTGCATTCCCATCCTATCGCATCAATACCAAAGTCTATCCTGAAGGCGCCTCCCCTGGATACGGCTAATCCAACTCCAGCCCATAACTATCTACCAGTTCCCTCCAACTCCGCCAGGCTCAAGATGGGAGTTGGCGCAGGGCCCAATACTAGCGTGGATTCCTCAGTCAGGGGTAGCGCACCAGGCATTGGCCGGTTTCCTCCCGAATCGAGCTCTCTGAGCGAGCAGGAGCTAGATCCATACTTTTTGTCGTTTGAAGCTTCGATAAAGGAGCTTGAAACCCTTCTCACAGGTCCGATGGAGAAGGTCAACAGAAGAACGCTGAGTCACCTATCGTCCTTGGCTTCTGACCTCTCAGAGCTGGGGGCCAAGTATAATGCCTTTGCGTTGTCCGAACAGGCGCCATCTCTCGCGCCAGCGATCGAGCGCATCGGCCAAGCCGCGGACTCCTCGTACATTGCGACAGAGGAGCTGTCAGCGTCATTGGGCGCTAGCTTCGCGGAACCGATGCGGGAAAATGCCCAGTTCGCGGGGGTTGTACGCAGCGTACTTCGATATAGAGTATTGAAGCGTGTCCAGCAAGATATGACGTCGGACGAGCTAAACAAGAAGAGGGCACTCTTGGATCAGCTGGAGCGGAGCGAGGCGGAGGCGAGACGGATCGATCAGTATCTGACCAGCAGCCAACAATTACCGCCACCGAGGAGATCCGCAAGCACGAAGGAACCGCAAAACCAGCATCGGAAGGATGGCAGCCAGGAAGATACAGCATCTATCGACTCCGATTTTCCTCCCACGCATGGTGACTTCTCCTCGGCACCTTCTGCCAATATCGGGTCACCCGAGCGATCAAGCGCCAGCCCTAGCCACAAGAAGGCACCTAGTGGCAATTCTATAACTAACAAGATCTTTGGGCCCATTCGGCATGCTGTCCAAGGCGTGGTCGACGTCGACCCCGAGAGGACGAGGCGAGATACGATTGGGAAGACTCGGGAATCCATTGGACAGCTCGAGCTAGCACAGGTTGCGTCTGCGCAGGATGTCAAAGACGCAAGCGCAAGCGTCCTGAAGGATCTAAAGAGGTTCCAGAGAGAGAAGGAAGATGACCTTAGGCGCTACATGGTGAGTCGTTATTCCTCCATGATTGTTTCAAACTTGCCCCTGACGCCAAATTCTCCCTCTCCAGCTTGCCTATGCGAAAAGCCAGATCGAGTGGGCAAAGAAGAACAAGGAAACATGGGAGGAGGCTCGAGCCGAAGTCGACAAAATCGACGAATCCTAGTCTGTCGCGGGGTTGTCGCGGGGTCGGGCCGGAAGAAAGGTCGTTGAAGGACGTTATCAGTCTAGACGATCAGGAGAGGAGGGCGATGATGCTCTGTGAGACCCAGTGACAATGTAACTGTACGGCTGGATGAAACCACTAAAACATATCCTCCGGCATTTGATTACCGTTAGGGTTATGCTCATGAAATTCTGCGTCCAACTCCGTCCGACCTCCGACTCAGGGGGACAAAATAAGTACAGTGCATACTATGTCGCGAATGACGATTTTGCACGGTACTAGGTTGATAAGATACCTAAACTTAACCGGGATTGGTTTAAGCTCCCGTCCCTTGATAACGGAAGCAACGCTCAAGCTCGATCCACGGCGGTTCCTGACTTCTTTCTTCGAACAAGGAAAGGCCCAGAACCTTCGTCCTCACTCCTTCTTTGCGCACGTCATGGCGAGATAACATACTCGGCACCCCCCCGATAACTTGATGTTCTACAGATAACAAACCAGGCTTTGCTCTGCGAATCGCAATGGATGAGCAATCTGGCCCCATTCGCTCGATCTCCGAACCAGGGATCAAGGCGGCGCCTCCAGTCGCGCAAACGCTGCGCAGAGAGGTCGCTGCTCTTTTGAACAGGTCGCACCTCGGCTTTCCCGGCGCGCAACCCGTCAGCTTTGCCCGGAGGCACCTTGACGAGCTACGGCAACAAGAGTAAGTTTGCCAGACCCATCTTTGTCCGCTGGCGACGAGGTAGATTGATTCCAAGGAAGATAGATCATCTGCTGACCTTTTGCGCAGTTACTATGTCTGCGAGAAGTCCGACGGCATCCGCTACCTCCTGTACCTGACCGTGGACGAGGAACGGCGCGAGACACACTACCTCATCGACCGCAAGAACGAGTACTGGTGGATACAGCATCACAACCTACACTTCCCGCTGAAGGACAACGACGTAGAGTTCCACACAAACACTATTATAGATGGGGAGCTAGTGATGGACGATCTGGGCGACGGGCGCAAGGAGCCGCGTTTCCTGGTCTTCGACTGCCTCGTGCTGGATGGGCGCAGGGATCTTCTCACCAAGTCGCTCGACAAACGTCTTGGCTACTTCAGAGAGCACATCATGGGCCCTTACAAGGACCTCTTTTCCCGGTACCCAGAAGAGCTGCGGTACCAGGCCTTCAAGGTGGAGATGAAGGAAATGCAGGTGGCCTACGGCATCGAGATGATGTTCCGGGAGGTGTTGCCCAATCTGAAGCATGGCAACGATGGCTTGATCTTCACGTGCAGGAATAACGAGTATCGTCACGGGACTGATCAGAACACCCTCAAGTGGAAACCGGCCCTGGAGAATACCATCGACTTCCGCCTCCGACTGCGGTTCCCCACCGTCGAGCTAGACGAGAGCGACCGTGCCGAGGGCATTACAGAGCCGTATGTCGATTACGACGGACTCCCGATCGCCGAACTGTGGGCGTATGCTGGCGACAGCCGCGACAACCCGTACATGTTCTTCAAGAACCTGTACCTAACAGAGGAGGAATGGGAGACGCTGAAGGGCCTCGGCGATCCCCTCGTCGACCGCATCGTCGAGTGCGGCATGGATGAACGGGGCCGTTGGAGGCTGCACCGCTTCCGGGATGACAAGGGCGAAGCCAACCACACTAGTACTGTGACTAGCGTGATGCAGAGTATCCAGGACAGTGTCAGCGAGTCGGAGCTGCTGGAGGCTGCAAAGAGCATCAAAGACAGCTGGAAGGCCCGGGCCTCGAAGCAAAGATAGGAGACTCTAGCTGTGAAGGGTTCCGTGGCTCCTCTAATTCACACCAGAGGGCGATATTGGTTAAGATATTCAGAAAAAGGTTTCAGGAGGCTTCCGAGAAGGGCGTGGGGGTTGGGAAAGGCGTTACTGGCGTTGGGGAAGCTCCTGTGCTTCGGCTGGCGTGCGCTTTCCCCGTTTTGCAAACGGGATTCAGCCTGTCCAACGGATTGGCTATACAGTATTGAATTTATCGAGTTATACGGTGCCACTGCCTGTTTGGAAGGAGGAATTCAGGACGGTAGCATACAGTGCATCGCGAACAAAAATTTCTCTTACACTGTACAGTCCATATTCAAGCAACCACAATACTTGAACTCCTGAAGGAGGTATTCATTGAGAGGCTCCTTCCTCCTTCGATGATTTAACAACAGCCAGAATGTCCTTTGGTTGTCATTTCAGCCAACCCGGCCCCTTGTATTGAGAGAACTGTCTGCTCAAATCCAGTAGTCAATCACCCGTTCACTGCTGACAGCTGATTGAGACTTCATCCTTCCAACCAAAATGGAGGGAGTGAGCCAAGGAGTGAGCCAAGGAGCTGCTATAGTGCCTGGGATCGATTCCGACATCTTCACTAATGCCAGCACGATCACTTCCTGGTTACAGGAGCAGCCAGAAGATGTAAAAGTTCAGTGAGCGAGCCCTTCCAGCCTCCCAGCCCTTCTCAACCCATCTTCGCTCCGCTAGGTTACGGTCTAACTAACGGGCGATATCAGGCTCGCAAGGGGGATATTCAGCGAACTGATTCGTGATGTTGTACATCCCCGGCTGTCCTCTACCAAGGCCTGCGTAAAGCTCTGTGGCTTTGTGCAGCTTTGTACAAAATCCACCAACGACTACTTGCGCCAGTGGGCTTTCGCCGAGGACACCTCGATGAGACTCTTTACTCTCTATATCGAGTTGAACGAAAGCCACCAACACAGTCCCATGAAACTCGTCCTCGACGTGCTAATTACCACTTTCACCCACAACCCAGACCCTGAAGTTGGGACAGCGATCAAGACAGGCGTCTTAGACTCCCTTGCTGCTGTCGTCTCACGACAATCCAGCAGGTCGTTGGTAAAGTCCTCGATAAACTCGCTGGTCCATTTTCTAAGCAAGCATGCCATCAACCTGGATGACATCGGCAGTGCGTATCGGAAGATTAAGCCCTCGCCCTCGGAGCTCCCTGACCTCGAGTTGTGGAGGTCCTTTGTCGGAGATGTCTTCTCGTGGATGAACCTGCGCCATGTCTGCCCAATTGCTGGTAAATTCCTTGTGCAGCTCTTCCAGTATCTTCAGGAACTAGCATCGGGGCCTTCCCACCCGAACCTCTCAGGTTTCGGCATCGGAGTCTGGCTAGAATGGGTCCAACACGGGTTGGCTGCCAACCCAGACATATTGGAGACCATCAAAAACTATGTCTTCGCTCCGCTATTTAAGACAGACGGTTCCTCATCTTTGCAGTTGCTGGAGATTCTCTGTCGTCAGAAACCAATCGACGGTATGGGCGGAGAGCTTGACAGCGGGGCTCGCCTCCAGCTGGCTGGCTTAGAAGTTGGCCGGAAATGCGGACTCGTCGGCGAGCCAGGTACGCCCCTTTTAACCCCCCTGGGCTTATTCGTATTCTAATCTTGGGCACGTGAAGGTTCAAGCAATTCCACTGCGCCCGGGACAGGTGCGATCGTCATCCAAGCGGAGGTCTTGGAGCATTTTCTTATTCACCCGTCCCACATTGTTCGTTCCAGCGCCCTTTCTCTTCTGATATCCTCCCCCCTTACCACCAGCCCGATGTCTCAGGAGACGTTCGACTTGCTCCAGAGGCACCTCGCGACGTGCCATTCCGACTATGACACTAAGTTCCGGTGCGAGATGCTCGGTTACTCAGGGGAGTTGGTCAACCGGGTGCAGAATGTGATTGCGGTTGCGAAAAGGAGCCTTTCCAAGTCGGGAGTGAAAACGAAGACACCAGCTTCTGTCAATGGCCACGTGGCAACTACCCCTAAAAAGGCGAAGACGAACCCAGAAGACCTGCTAGGCGACGAGAAGGAGACTAGGGAGGTCCTGGAGCGGCATGAATCGTTTCTAAGCTGGTACATGGCCTTTCTCAAAGGCGAACTTATACCGACGGCGTCTTACCAACGTCACATCACTGCACTGAGAGTGCTCCTTATGTTCCTCAAGACCAAGAAACGAACTCTAGCCCCGGAGGAACCCTTCGACGTGAATCCAATAGCCACACTTTGCACCGACCCTACCTGGGATCGGCTTATCCTGGACTTGATCATGGATCCTTTTGACGATGTCCGAGAAGCAGCGGCCACGATTCTGCAAAATCTGCCACAGAGTATCATCTCAACGCATGTCGATTTTGGCGCCAACAGCTCAACTCTTCTCGCCTCGTTACGAGAGTTTTGTGCAAGGGTCACGAGCCTGGCAGGGAGAACTGGACGCGCCGACCATGGAAATGGCGCCGCCCGTTCCCAGGGGCTCCTTTGCAGTTGGCTAAGCACTCAAGACATGCGCGTGGCTCATATCCTGGATACTTTGGATCGGCTAGAGGGCAAGCTGTCTCGGGCGGAACAAGATCTCGGCCACGCTGCCACCGAAGACTCTGTACACGTGGACTTTGCCGCACTGGGGTAAAATCTATTCTTGACTATGGTGTTTGGAATCAACAGGGCTAACACGATCCAGTTACATTTGGCAAGTTTTGGTGAGTGGCGACAAATATTCTGACTCAGAACGGCAGTCTCTTCAACAAGTTCAGCGCCGCATGTTCCAGAGTTGTGAGCATGTGTGGAAGATCGTCCGGCCTGTACTGTGCATCGACACCCCGGAAGGGCATCTTCCCGAAGAGTTGGAAGAGGTAGAGGGTCTGGACACAAAGGACCTCCTGAGCTATAGTTTCAGGGCAGTCCACGAGTCAAGGTACAGTGTCTGCCCAAACCACATCACAGCTAATTGCTAACAGTCGGCAGTAATCTCATGCGTATAATCGTCAGTGGGCTCAGGAACTGTAACACTGCCACAGCGCTGTACCCTCCTCTCGATGTCTTCAACGGAATCGGCTCCTTGACATTTGATCAGCTGTCTAAACTGAGGCATCGTGGCGCCTTCGCCACAGTGACTTCCACGTTTAGCACCTGCTGCCAGTTGACGCAGAAGTTGACAGACGCGTTCCCTGACATGCCCAAGTCACTGGACCATCTCCGCGCCTGGTACGAGGTAGGGTATTGTCACCAGTATTCCCGAGGGGTAAATATTGACATCCTGGCAGGGAGCAATAGCATGCATAATGAATCAAGCATCAACAACCCGGCGCTCGGCCGGCATCCCCGCATTGGTGATTGGGATTTTGACAGCCAACGCAGAGTCACCATCGTTTAAGGAGGTGATGCTTACTCTTGTTCGCATAGCGGAGAAGATCGCACGAACTTCCGAAACGGACGGCTCAAACTTGCCGCAGGTGCATGCTCTGAATTGCCTCAAGGACATATTCAGGGGTTCCCTTTTGAGCAAGCGAGCCGAGACTTACCTGCCCACAACTCTTCAACTAGCGGCTAGCAGTTTGAGATCCGAGGTGTAGGTCTTCGTGCGGTTATGCCTAGGGCCCTGGCCGTCGCTAATTTTGAATCAGGTGGGCCATCCGAAACTGCGGTCTGCTCCTCCTAAGGAGCTTGATCGACTGCTTGTTCGGGACTGGCGAGAGCAAGTCAAGCCTGGAGTCGGGCTGGGATGGCCACACAGTCCGTATCTCTTACATCAAATATCCCACCCTGCCAGGGGTCCTCTTGGGCCTCTTGAAACCCGGAGAGAAGTCTTTGGAGTTGAGTGCTCAGTCCGGCGCGGCAGCAGAAGCAGTATTTCCGGCGTTGGACATCATTCGCCGAGCTGGTCCTCCAGAAGAGCACCGAGATGAGCTTTACGGCTATGTCGAGGGATACCTCGGCAGTCATCTATGGCATGTCCGGGAAATGGCAGCGCGCACCCTTTGTTCGTTCCTACTTCGTGCAGACTGGGTCGGCGCGGTCAAGGAACTCCTCTCTCGGTCCCGGAGTGACGCGAATCGCCTCCATGGAACCCTGCTTACTATCAAATTCGTCCTTGAGCGAAGGATGGAGACAGGCGCCGACGCAGCAAAAGGTAAGAGAGATCCAGTCATGAGCCACAAGCCTACATTGCTGATTCAGAATACAGAGGACCTGCCGCAAATGATATCAACCATGGGTGAACTTCTCCAGGAATGCAGATTACTACAGGCAAGCCCAGAGGTCCGCGCTGCTCTTTTGGAGATCTTAAACCTCATATCGAGACTCAACCTCGTAGCGATTCTCGAAGAGACCCCCGCGGCATCCATACTCGGCAATGCGTCCGAGCAAGGCCAGGCTACAATTGCCTCGGCCTCTTCGGCGTTGTTGCGGATGCAATTGGGCATACAGATTGTACACGAGAGTGCCAGGCATGCCGACGTTGGCAGATTACAGCTGGGTCTGAAAAGGGCGCTCGAAATCGATGCCGACACGGCCTGTAATATGCTTACGACCATACCGGAGACATGGCAAGCCCGCGGCGCTCCTGGAGTCTGCTCGCAGTTCTGTGAGCTTTACTTAGACGTGCCCAAGCACTCGGATCGCCCTGAGCCTCGGACACTAGCCTTGCTGAATCTCAGGGACCTGATGGACAGCATCCTGCACGATGGCGAGCTGGACCAGCTGCCAAGTGAAGAAAGGCTCCAGCAACTATGGGCGGAAATCCAAATGGGAGATATTAATCCCACCCTGTCTCAGGCAATTCTCGCAGTTAGCGGCACCCTGGTAGCAACAAGGGTAGTCCGAGGCTCGGTCGGGCCCCAGACAGTCGAGCATCAAGTACGGGCCTGGGGCGCCATGGTAGCTGATGCCCTCGACATAGACAACGTAAGTGAACCCCCTAGCTGCAAAACCGGGACTTATCATCCGCTGACCACGTCCTCAAAGACCTTCGACACGCGTTTTGCCGCCACCGAGGCTATCCGATCCTTCACCTCGGCCACCGGTCCTCGTACGGGCTCGCAGTATCTCCCCTGTATTCTGGCGCTGTACGATGCTCTGAATGACGACGACGAAGAGGTCCGCGACGTTGCCGCGGCCGCGGCTGCCTCGATCGTCGGGAGGAGAGTTGCGTCCCTCGAGGCAGCTGATCTCCTGCTCGACTGGTTGGGAAGGCACTTTAGTCACGACGAGGCATTCCGATCTGCCGTGGCCGGTAGGCTGGTCGGGCAGCAGACGGATCCGTGCTCGACGACAGATCCGGCGTGGGCATCCGCGGAGGACTTGCTTGACGAGGCGCTAGAGTTTGACGACTCCCTGTTCGCTGTTGAAGAGCAGAACCTCTTCATCGACGAGGTCAGGGAGTCGAAAAGGTGGCTGCGTGTCTTTGGGGGATTCGCCTCTAGGCCTGAAGGAGAGTCGCACCGGCGCTTGAGGGACTGGACTACGGCTGGCTTACGAGCCTTGATCGGGCTTGCTCGGAGGGATGATAGACCTCTTGGTTGGGCCTCTCAACAACAGGTCTTCGCACTCTGCTCTAGGGTCCTACTGTGTGCTGGGACTCTCAATACCATGGGCAACAGCGCTGAACTGGGAGATCTTTTGCGCGAGTTTTCAGTCGCTGGGAGGGCGTCTGGGGTCCATGGATCACTGCTGCAATATGCAGGCGGCCAACCTGAATGACCAAGAGTCGTCCTAGTGACGCAAGCATAGATAGATAGACAATTGAGGTCGCAAGATGTTAGAAATATCTCGTCTTTTTACGAAGAACCCCGTTACATACTAGTTCCGCCTGAACCTCTTCTGCCCATACTTCTAGAAAGATTATCTCCTGAACTCTCAGGGGCATGAGAGGGCAATATCGGACCGGAGATATATTTATCCCTTTCCTGCCCCACCAGAAAAAGTGGGCTGACCTAGCCAAAATCAGCCCGCCGAGCGCACAATCGACCAAGGTGAAATTCAACTGGAATCTTCCCACTCCACAACTTCCATCGAATTCCGCCATCGCAAATCCCGTACCGGACAGCAAAAATCATCATCCATCATGGGAAAAGTTCACGGCAGTCTTGCCCGCGCTGGTCAGTACATACCATTTTCCGAGGAAGAAGAAGACGATCGTGAGAATTTCTTTGGATCGGCTCGCTGACGTGTGTGTGTGACGACAGGCAAGGTCAAGTCCCAGACCCCGAAAGTCGAGCCCCAGGAGAAGAGCAAGAAGCCCAAGGGCCGCGCATACAAGCGTCTCCAATACACACGGCGGTTCGTTAATGTTACCATGACTGGTGGCAAGCGGAAGGTTAGCACACACCCGGCGCTCCTCCTCCTGGAGGATCCATCATCCCGTTTGCGATACTCAAGGATGGAGGAGAACTATGGGCTGACAAGATGTGTTATTTTAGATGAACCCGAACCCGACTGCATGAGCTGGAGGTTGAAAGTGGGTGGATGGGACACGCGACGAGGGAGGAGTTTGTTCTTGCTCGACCCGAATGGGCATTTGAAAATGGGGCCTGGTTTTCTTCCGAGCTTAGAAAGCCCGGGAGGGCTGGCCAACCTGGTTGGAGTTTGGGGCGGATAACGGCAAATTCTGGTCGTGGGGAAACAGCATCACGCAAAACCCCCCCCCTTACCGCTGCTATGAGGGAGACGATTTATAGCGATCCTGAACAAGGACAATCAGACCTTTTTAAGGTAGAGCAAAGATGCCACCCTCTCTCGTTGCACTACTAGGGAGATTCCTGGGCCGAGTGATTTTGATGATGTCGTGGAGTCTGGACGGTGCCTTGCCAGGCTTCCGTGGCTGAATATGTTGAAAATGGGAGACATGACAAGGGAATCTCCATGGGCCGATAGTTTCCTCGTCGAAGCCGGCATCTGACGGCTTTTCCAAAAGCAGCAGTCTCGCGGCCTAAATTTGGATTCCTGTTCAATGTCGGTTGGCGTGGTCTCCAAGTTTGGAATACCTGAATTGGTTCCATGGTTGGTCGGTTGGCTGTCATCCCAGAGACCACAGCCCACAGTCGTCTTGTCTTCATAACCAGGCCGCATTTTGTTGAGTGAAGCCGAGATTGGTGGAGGATCTATGGAGCTATACGAAATAAGATAGGCTGTTCCTTCTTCCCAGTCCTTACCCGTCTTCTCCGTGAAGGCGTAGTGGATAGCCCCGACTGGTCGCAAGTTGGCGAATGTAATCCTCCCGCGCCAACGCCCGAAGGCTGCCTCCCATCCCCTGCTGCGAGTCTCGTCGCCAAGTAAACCTCAGCCCACCGCCCTCGTTTGTAACATGCTAAAACAGCTCGACTGAAGCACGTCGTCAATGCCTTCAATGCATGCATACAAGTATTGAAGGCGAATGACGGATAGGTTAGTTACTATCAGCAAACCTGCTTTTTGGTTATCAAGTTGGTTACTTCGGGTCAACTGTGGCGAAAATCGTGGCGAAAATCGGTGGAGACGAAAATCGTGGCTTGCCGAACACAGCCACTTCAGACAACGAACATACAATACTTCACCTCTGTAGTATACAGATTATTCATTCGCGTCCTATCCTTCAGCTTCACAGGGGCCATGAGCCAAACTACCTTAATAACTATGCAATACATTTGACCGAATGTCGGGCTTGCATCATCCATACCGAGTATTTCCAAATTGCCTGCAGGATTGGCGCAATAGTATCCGATACTAAAGGTCGGGATACGCACGGCGATGCGAACACGAGGCGAATGGGCGTGCCAGACCTCGAGTCGGCCGCGGCCGTCCCAAACCGCGAGTTGGACGCGTAGGCCGGTGGCGATAAAAGGGGAAGTGATACGCTTCCCATCACCGCTTGATAAGAGGTTTTGGGGAGGTCGACCCAATGACACGTGCAGGAGGAAAGTGGGCTCTGTTGAGTCGAATCTTCAATCAATGTCTGGTCGGATGCCTAGTACTACGCCGGTTAGTATGGCTGATCCCTTTGCTTCGCAACCTGGCCGCCCTTTCTTCTCCTCGACGTCTGACTGGACGCCGCGGCTGTTTCGCACGGCATTGCCCGTTTGGCGCGAGAATGGGGGGACAATACCAACGGCTGCGGCGGATACCCAGTTGAACCCGTCGTCGCATCAGCGGGGGCTGCGTGGGCGAGTTCGCGCTTCAATTGGCTTGCATGTGACCATGGTGTGGTGCCGTCAGGTGCAATCTCCCTTCCCGCGCTGTCAAGTGACCACCCGTCATGACCTCTTATATCGACGACAACCGGGAATTGGTGTCTCCATCCAGGTTTTGTCCACGTACCAGATCGCCTGCTCCGGGCGTCAGTGCGGCAAACGGCGGATAGCGGGAGCCTGGAGTCCGCGTGCGTACCCTGGTCGGGAAGCCAAAGGAGGCAACCAGGACCAAAAATAGCAGCCACAGTTGGTGAGGCCCGTGAGGCGATGGGGCTGGAGCTGGGTTCCGTTAAGGGTATAGCCGGCAATCGGCCATGCTTGTCTCTCCAGGTACCTGCCAGACCAGGGTAGGAGGGGACCGGAAGGAAAAAAAGAAGCTAGACGACTCCCGTGCTTGTCTCCAACCTCGCCCCTCGCCCCTCATGCCTTGCCTTGCAGATTCCCAGATTTCCACTCTTACCAGCCAGGCATTTTTCATGGCTAAACGGCCCAGCGATGTCGGGCTGTCACCTGTCTGTCATTGAACCAGTGATATGCCCAGGCCTCCGTGCGTCCCGCCAGGCCAGAAATGTCCGCGTAAAGCTGCCATACGTACGAGTCCTTCTGAGTCACGCTTTGTGGACGACCATGATGATCCAAGTTGTTAGTGCATCTTGGAGCCATTTCACCCGGCTCGGGGCGGCGCGCTGATTAGAGTCAGCTGGGTTACGAAACGTCTCTCCTGTGGGACACCTCGCCGAGATTGGCTGTCTTGTCGAATCAAGCCAGATTACAAACATCTCTGATGGCTCGAGAGAGGAGAGACGGGTGGAGAAATGGGTTCCAAGGCTGTGTGGGCCTCTGATGGTTGGTGAGATATTCCAAAAGGAAACGAGTCGGCATGGAAAGCTTCATGCTTCATATCGTTAACCCTGCCATCCTTTGAGTCGAGACCCATCGTGCCCGTGTCTCGACTTGCCCATTATGGACACCCGTTCCTCCTCTTCACTCGCTCCCGCTCGCTATCCAGGACAATGCTCTCGGGGAAGCTTTGGCGCCGCCAACCATTTGCTGGATTTCGGTTTTATTTTTATTTTTGGACCAATGAGCATTTTGTTTTCGGTCTTTCTCTCAAAAATGGAGGCCGGACGGCGCCCAGCTCGTTAGCCAATGAGGCTGCAGAAGTGACATTTTCGACCGACACACCTTCTCTCACCGTCTGCCACTAGCATGGGTGTCATGCTGATACAAAGCCATCTACAGGCTCTCATCGCTTTCGACATCTGCCTCTCCCTGTCTCCCCTAATAACTGATCGCTTCCAGATTTGCTGGGCGTGGCTCATGCTTTCCCCAGACACATGCAGAAACCCATATTCGGAAAGCGGATTTCGACCACTCCAACTCGACACCACGGCTCTTGAGCCAGCCTCTGTCTGATCATCCACCCCGTTACTAACTAGACCCTATTAGGAGACGAGCCCGCCCTTGAGAGGTTGGAAAGGGCCTGCGATAGGTCCCTTCCGGACAATCTGTTGGACCCAGAGCTTTGGAATCGAGAATCCTCTGCTCGGCACAGCCTTCAGAGAGCAGAAGCGATCCAACTGACTCCTGACTCCTGCCAGTCAGCCAGCCACTGAGATGCCGAGATGCCACCTAGCAGCGCGCTTGTTTCGTTTCAAATTGCGCCCTTGAGGAGCATCGGCCTCGCGCCAATGAAGGCAAAAGATCGGATGTCCTCTTTGTCCTTCTACCTCGGAGACCTGGATTACTTTCCCGTCTCTGCCGTCATATATCACCTGTCGTTTCATGTGCAGGGAGAGTAGCTTGCAGTGGTGGCCCAAGGTACCGCCATTCCAAGCTTCCTGGGAGGCTTGACACAATTTCGTGATGACGAATTGGCGTCGGTGATTCATAGACAAGTGAAGCATCGCGTGGAGCCGAAAACCAACCGGTAGCGCGCAATCTTGCTTCGCCTGCATAAACGCAAGATTGAGTCTCTTGGGATCATATCTCACTTTGACTCGTCTATATGCACCATGCAGGACACAGGGCCAGAAGGTCGCTCGGCACCGGAAAGGACAGTCCAACTTCCAATAAGCTTGTCTGGCCGGACTGGACTGGCCCTTCAACACGAGAGACAGGTTTACAAACCCATGAGGGAATTAATATACACCACAAGCACATATAGATAGACATACACACACTCATTATGTGCAATACCGGGATCGTATCCTGTGCATCCTGTGCATCCTGTGCATCCTGTGCAACCCTAAATAATGGAAATCTTGGCTGGGGAAGACCTACATATAATTCTCGGCCATTCTTTCCGCGACGAATGGCGGCTCGAGTCCGTGCTTTCCGCCACAAGGGTGGCTTCTAGCCATGCACGATCACGGAGAGAATAGACGATGCATGTTACCTTTTGCTGGGTAGGTAGGTTTATCTACATGGTAGTGTTCGTCCGCAAATTCCTGAACTCTGGATTGAGTTTAGGTGGTTGACCGCCGGCCTGCGGCGGGGTTCTAGGGAAGTACCTCGAGGATCCTCATGCTGGGGGGCAGGGCGGGTACGGAGGTACTTCTGAGGTACGTACTCAAATCGGGCTCGGGTGGCGCTGCACAGGCCACACATGCAGCTTTCAGCTGCGGTCGTCGGCCGGCAGAACCTCTCGATTCGTCTGCTTGCCTGGGGTTGTGTCATTCAGCATATGCAGGTTCCAGCACCGCCCAAGCCGAACGTACAGTAGGTCGCCCTGCCGCGCATGACCAGGCTGGTCTCTTCGTCCGAGTGGATAAGATGCTAGAGTGCGTATGTACCACTTTCCTGACCAAGGTACGAGCTGCTGGAATGAACGAGAGTACATCCGCACCTTGGCAATTGCCCCCCCCCTCCCGCCTCCCCGTTACCCTCACGGCCGATCCGTCTGCACGTCCAGCATGCGCAAGCGACCGACCAGGCGACCGGGGGCGCCAAAGGACGCACAGAAAATAGCACCATTTTGTGGCCATCTCCACTGAGGGCAACATAGCTACCTAGCCTGGCTATTTTGCCAGCCGAGAGGGGTTGGCCTGCCCGTACCATAGGCTGGCCACCTTACCTTACCTACCTTCCAGGTTATTGCCATATGGCCCTATGCCTGGCTGGGGCAGTGGCCGCCCTACTATAACACCCCACCCTCCCTCTCGCCTGCTTTACGAGTTCTTACCCTCCTTCTTCTTCCTCACGAGTACCTCGTCCTCCGTTCTCTTCTTCTCATTTGCGGTAGCAGGCTCAAGCTAGTTCCCCTGTCTTGGGACCGCCCAGCTCCGTCACCTTCCTCACCTTATTTCTTATTACTATTCGCTTTCCGTCCCGAATCCTAGTTTCCCCAAGCGCTCCACACCGCGGTTTTCACTTCCTTGTCGTCCCACCTTGACCTCTTCTTGCTAACCCTGTTTCCTTCCTTGCCTTTGGGAAGACATGCCTCCGCAACTGTTACCAGCCTCTGCTGCCGCCTTTGCTCCCAGAGCGTCGTCTGTAAACGTCGTGCTGGGATCAAAGGTCGAGCCTTGGCTGACCCAGACACTGAAGCGCATCAACCGGGTTAAGCGACCCCTCAACAGTGTGCAGCAGCACCAGAAATGCCTGACCGAGACTCTGTCCTCCCCAAACGCCATCTGGTGTCTGGCGTCGTTGATGTTGTCCAAGGCTCCGGAAGCTGAACTGAGGAAGGATTCCAACCCCCTCGTAGAAGCTCTATTCAATTACCAGCTTGTTCACATCGAGGCCTACATCGTCCACGTGGATATGGTGCTGAGGAATGAGGTCGCTTACAAACTCACTCCGGACACGATCGAGTCGCTCATCGAGCACCACAAGGACATCTACTGCGTCGACTCCAAGGCCAACACCTACGACTGGTCTGGGAAGGACCAGCAATGCAAGAAGCTGCACGAGGACTTCATCCAGGCCATCAACAAGTTCGTCTTCCGGACCCATGTTTCCGCGCTCGAGGGACTCGAAGAGGATGGTGCGGGCGAGCTACTGGGTGGGAAGGGTGACGATGTCAAGACGAGCATCATGGGACTCCTGAAGCCGCTGCTACCGCCTCCGCCACGGATCGTGGACGTCATTCGACAGCCGCCTCTGCTGCCCAGCTCTCCTGCAAATGTCATATGGTCCCAGCCCACGCCTCCCACAAGCCTTCCTGCTCCTGTGGAATCATGGAGGGTCTTGCCGTCGAGCCCGAGCGTGACTTCGGCATCAACAGACTCCAACAATACGACCCTCTGGGCAACCATAGGGATGAGCGAGGTGCAGTTGCCCTCGCCGACGCCGCCTTTCAGCCAGCCATACTCTTCTGCCGGACTTTACTACGACTCCCCCATGGTGACGGCCCCAATCCCACATCTACCTCTCCCAAGCATGTTCGCACCGCAATGCGGCGTCAGTGTGGGATACGGCTCGTTCGGCTGGGATCGGTACCAGGAGTATGCGACGACCATATGACAACAACCGCCCGTTAGTGGGACCCGTTATCCAACGGTTACCACCTCCTCCTGATACTGTCCATACATGCGAACATCCCAGCCCACCAGTGGTTTGAGGCGGAATGTGGAGAGACGGCATATCCAAGGATGGCATCCTCGGCGTTTTGCATCGAGACGGAGCGACATTCGACACCTGCATACTCCCTTCACGCATAATATATCTTCACGATTTCTTTTGTCGATGGTTACCAAGCGAGCGCCCGGTGTTTGGATCTTGCTTTTTTTTTTTTAGGGGGATATATCACCACAACCGCGAGCTCGGTCATACAGCGTTCTATTTTCCCTTTTCTTTTCCATCCTCACCATGGCTGGGACCTCGGGGCGGGCATATTGATTGCATTTACGGCAGGGCAGGTCGAATACAGGCGGCTCCTTTTCCTATTTTTTTGTCACAAGAGGGAACGCAGCAATGCACCACCGCTCGGCAAGAAGACCGAAGCAAAACCCCTGCAATCTCGTATTCCCTGTTTTCGTCATTTTCTCCTTTTGCAAAAGCCGGATGAAGACCTGGCTGTCTTACCAAGATACCCCGTTTGCGACACTGGCGCCGCAAGGCCACACAACGCACTCGCTTCAAGGACTTTCGTCATTTCCCTTTAATCTCGGTTTCTTTTTCTGTCTTACGGATGATGTTACGACCCTTTACGACGAATATACCCCAACGAGCCGGTACGACGACTTTCCTCGACGATGATACGTTCTCGACTCGATGTCGAGCGATATTATTATTCGAACAAAGCGATCGAGCTGTTTGCGGACTTATTCGAGTCTTGAAGATGTGTGTGCCAGGACTGGTCTCCGGGCGCGCATTTTCACGAGAGGTCGATTCACACAACACATCACGTAGCCGAGACCCGTATCTGGAATATGGCGGTCGAGGCAGACACTGGTTGTCGACAGAGCCGCGGTTTCGCTCCACGCAAGCGCCCAACACAGTCGCTACGACGGTTTTGAGCTGCCAGGGGCAGAGGGACTTGAAGCGGATCGGGAGTAATCAGACAAGAACAACAACAAAGCTGGGCAGCGGTTGCCGGCTTGCCCAACCCGCCCTCCAACATCCTTCTCAACATTCGCCATGGTGTTTTCTCCGGATACGGACGGGATTACTGCTGCGAGTGCAGTCTCTCTAATGCGATCTTCCCTGCTAGTCGGAGTCGGTCCTACGGATTGGCAACTGCGCAGGTCAGGTCAAGGATTCGTCGATGGGGCACAACACCACTACGGGGTGGATGAGCGGAAGGATGTGGCAAACACGGGGCAACGGGGTGGTTCATCTCACCACCTGTCATCACCTCTTGCAGGGAAGGCTTAACACCCTTGACTCTGCGAAGGCGTGGGACGAAGCCGTTGACGTGAATTCGGCACCGCTGCTGAGCAGCTGTGCCAGATACTCACTGTCTCTTTAGGCATGAGGTGCTGGTTTCTCGGTGCTATATCGGACTCGTCCTGGCGGCGATTCGGTACATGGATGTCCCTACTCTCGCTGTTGGTTTATTGTCTCGTCAGCTTAGTAGTTAATTTGAAAAATCAGAAATTCCCCTGTTCGTTTATTGCCGAACCCCTGATTAATTGAATTTTAGAAACCATCAGGCGACAATGGAGCGCTGTTGGACGCAACCTGGAAAGGAGCTTCTCATATTGATTATTACGTATGACAGACAGCCCTGCCGAACGACCTTGTATCTATCGATGTTCGCCCCCCACGGTTAACATGCCGCTCTCGCTCTGCGGTTATATTCTGAATATTTCCGACCCCGGGAGCCGCGCACAGGCTTGACTGATTGATTCGGCAATCTTGTTAAGGTTGCAAAGCCATATATATTTTACATTACCCGGGTACAAGCTGACATGAGAAGCTGGGCTGGCGTTACCCCAAGTCCGACCTTCTAGAAAGTTCTTGGCCCGGGTGACGAAACAACTTGCTTTTTGTCCCGCGTTCTAAAATGTCCAATTTCCGGAGCGGAAACGGCTGATGCCCCTTGTTCGCGGGCCGGGGTAAAAGGTACGTATCTGGCAAGGAGGCCGAATGTTGGACCGAGACTCGGCTGCAGTGTGGGACGATCTCTTGCCCTCTCCAAGCTAAGCCACCTTCCGGTCTTGGGGGGTCGGCTGCTGGTTTAACGTTACTACAGCGCAGGCTGGATAATTCAATGTCGTACACTAGAGGTCACAGGTGGCCGCCTTCGGACTGTTTACTTTCCTTTTTTCTTTTCCGTCAGAGCGTGGCGTCTACTCACATATTACCATCCGGCGGCAATTGGTTCAATTACGAACCCCAATCCGCGGGCGAGAGTGTTGGTAATTCTCTCGTCTGCCTGCAATATATTTCAACCCCTTTTTCTCATCGACCGTTAGAAACACCCTCATTGGGCCAAACTTCCAATGGAGCTTTCCCAGCTCTCTGGTAAGCTTTGCTCCAACAACTGAGATCCTGCAGGCTCAGCCAGATGCGATTTGGAAAGGAGGGCTGGTGATAGGATGGGCACTCACACCTCTACGGTGTAGAGATCGGCTGCTGTGGTCAGCTTACCTTGACACCTAAGCGAATTTGCGCGTCGAACCACTCACTGCACAGCGCACACCCCCCTTTTCACTTGCCCCTTCCCCCCTTCGCAATCCTTCCCCAGTCAAGCACATTGCTCGCAAAGGCTCCGGGAAAGCTGACTTGCAGGCTGGCTGTAGGAAGGTTTTCTGTGTTGCGTCTCTCAGCCCTTCAACTTGTATCATGGGCCACGGCAAGCAGGGCCCTAAGTACCGGCCCCGACTAAGGCGGCCCTGCCCGCCCCAATGGCCTCGAATAAAATCAAAAGAAGGGCGGCCATATTTCCGGCCCCCCCCCCTTCTCCGGATCGTTTCTCAGCCAGGCTAGGCCGCGCGGCAACCTGTCTGGGGACCCGTTTCATCCCGGGCCCGAGTCGCTGCGACCCGAACTCATGCCTCGGCCGCACTGGCGCTTCCAGAGCAGACGTCACTCGTAGCACATGTCGCGGCGACTATCCGTCAATGCCGGGATGGTGGCTCGCCCTCTCATCCTTGTTTTTTTACTGTTTCGTAGGGGCGCGGAGGGTGATCTTCTTCGTTCGGTGGTGACTGCGCTGGAGCCTGGGACCTGGGCGGCATCGCTATGGCTGTGTTGCGAGTTCCTGCTTCAAACGACTGCATCCGTAGGGGGTCGAGGGACGCGTGGGCGAGATATGGAGGAGGGAGAGGAGCAGCTGTCCTCGCACGGCCTCGTTTACCACTCGGATCTTTTGGTATGGGCTATGGTCAAGGCCTAGTCCTGTTGGGAACGTTGTGTCATTGATCATGGTTGAGGATATATAACGGGCTGCATCGCTATTCCTAGCGTCGGCGTCAACAATGCTAACGTCCGCTCGTCTTCTCGTCACATGCGGTTGCTGAATGTGGTCTGGCCAGTCGCTTCACTTATTCCACTTCAGGTTCGGGCCGGCTGCTGGGTGGAGAGGGTACATGGCCTGCCTGGTTGTTTAACTCCGCCTGGTCGGCGGCTAGGTGAGAAGACCTTCGCAGCAGAGATAAGGGGAGTCTTCGTGCGGCCCCTGACTCGGGGCTACTGCTCGTTTCGATGCTGGGTCATCCAAGCCAGCCTCTATCTGCGGAGCGCCTCGGATTTCTGTCAAGTTATTCGATGAGGCTGGCTAGTCTGGTCTCTAGAATGGGCAAACGTCGGAGGATCTGGGGACTGACAAGCTTCTGCTCCCCCTGTCCTCGCTGCCGGTCTGCAATGCTTCTCAGGGTACTGTTGATGCCGTAATTTCCAAAGACACCGTGCAGGTAGCGGAGTTGAGAGAGTGGACAATATGTCCTTGGTTAAATAAACTTTGACTGAAGCCTCTCTCATAAGTGATTCAAGCTACACAGCCCGGATGGAATCGCAATACAGAAAGAAAGCCACCACAACTAAAGCTCATCACGTCCAGCAACCCTGATCTTGATATTGACCCCGGAACGTCCGCCCCCACCACCGCCGGCGCCGCCCCCGCGCGCCCCCGCGGCCTCCTCCCCCGGCGCCCCCGCCCTCCAGGGCGTAACCCGGCCCTGGATGACATCCAACCCCCACCTCTGGAGCTCGCTAGGGGTGACGGCCCTCCCCCTGGGGTACGGGTAGACGCGGTCCGTGGACAGCTGGTGCACGGCCCCGGCCGGGTAGGGCCCGCCGTCGCCGTCGCCGCGCCGCCCGAGGCCCATCGCCTCCTGCAGGTCCGGGAAGTCGAGCGGGTCGACCGTCACCGCCGTCAGCGACTCGCGGTTGCCCTTGGCTAGCCTGTGGAGGGTCCTCCGGAGGTCGGCTCGGTCCGGCTCGGAGGGCGAGAAGAGGTAGATCATGGGGCGGCCGCGCTGTGGGTGGCGAGTCAGACTTGGGGGCGGGGTGGGGGGAAAGCCCACGGGCATGGGGAAAGGGGAAAGGCACGTAACTCACGTCAAGGAGTCTCTGCTGGTTCAGGATGGTCAGTTCCCCGATAGCGGGTCGGGAAGCCTCCTTTACCCAGTCTTCAAGGTCATCGGCGGCCGATTCGAACGACGACAAGGTGGCCGTGTCGTCGTCCATGGCCCTGTAGCAGACCACCGCGGGTCTGGCAACGCCATCTGGTGGGTCGACCCCAGATGCCAGCCCAAAGGTAAACTCTCCCCGGTAACGCTCGGCGACCCTCGCGAACGCCTCCCGGGACGACTCGTCGCCGGCGTCGATGTACGCAAGGAACGTGACCTCGTCCGCGGTCTTGAAGCCCGCCGACGTCTCGGCCGTGACTTGGGAGACGACCGGGCGCCTGTGCCGGCCCGCAAAGTGCAGGATCCTGGGATTGCGGTCATTGCCTGGTCATTGCTATTTATTCCCCTTCCTGGGGTGTCAATAACCTACGTCGTCGCCCTTCGGGGGCCGTGGTAGCGGTTTACCGGCTCGCTGCCTCGGAAGAGGTGGATTTCCGGTATGGACTGTACGCCGGCCTCGGCGCATACATCCGTGTCGACGGTGCAGTCGATGCTGACTAGGTTTTCTGTGCTTGTCGAGACGGCAGATTGCCATTCCGACTCGAGAATACTACTCCTTTCTCTGTGGGACGGGGTTGGAAAGTCTACGATTAGTACTCGAGACTATGGAAGGCAAGGGACAGCGGCTGATCCGCCCGAATGGGCCCGGGGGGGGGAGGGGGTTGTTTACTCCCGGGGCTGATAAGACGGTAATTTCTCGTGTAAGCTGTCTGCCGAGCAAAGTAAAGAGGGAAGCCACAGCAGAGGAACGCATGAGCATACCGAAATGACTAGTTTTTAGTTAGCCAGTCGGCAATACAGCAATCTGGCAGGTTAGCGAGGGCATAACATGTCTCTCTACCTACAAGCTACCAGAGTAAAGTCATTGACAGCGAGCGTCTTCCCCAGCTCGCCTTTGGCCAGGTGCTGCCAGGCATAAGAGATGCCAACGCTCCATTGAAGCCAGAATAGGGCAAAGCGCATCATATTCTTTTCGAAAATGACGGCGTAGAATAGATGTGGGAGCAAAAGGAGATCCGATAGAGAACGAAAGAAGGCGGGGGATGTTGACGTTACATCTCCGTCTAGCAGGCATCGAGGAGAGTGGTTTATAGAGACGTAAAAGCCGAAGTGTCGAGTTCATGCGTTGCGGAAGTAGTTACCTTACCCAGAGGGAGAGCGATGCCGTCAATGGCATGTTAATGGGACATCACACAGATAAGGAAGAGTGCCGAAACACCTGAAATCCGGTTTGAAATCTAACCAAATCCCACCCAACCTCAACCTTCGTCTATGCACTCACCCTCCCTACTCCCTGCTTGTCAAATCCCATGTGACGGCCAATTGCATGCAGGGTTTTGCATATCCTTCTCTAACCCCTGGATACAAGCATACGCAACGCTAGATTTTTTATATCTTTGGTGTAAATGCCCACCCATCTACCACCGCCTTCATCAACTGGTTGGCGATGGCAGTTTGTGGCGGTAGACGAAGTGAGCCCTCTCTGTATCCCTCCGGGGCTGGTTCCCCGAGGTTCGAAGAACCCTTTGCAAGGGCTTCCTCGAGCTCAGCCACGGAGAACTGTGCGAGAGAAACGAGGTTAGCTCCAGGTCAGTTCCGGACAAAGTCCTTGCAAGGGAGGCGGGGGATTCGCATACCCATCTCGCATCCTCGAGCTCGGGGTCGTGGCCCAGATGTATCTTCTCCCCGTCGCCGGGCAGCGCCTGCCCTATCGCGCCGATCATCAGGCTGGCCGGGAACGGCCAGGGCTGGGAGCTGTGGATGACGACGCGGCCGACGCGGACGCCGCTCTCCTCCCACACCTCGCGGCGGACGGCCTCCTCGATCGACTCGCCCGGCTCGAGGAAGCCGGCCAGCGCGCTGTACATGTTCTGAGGGAAGCGCCGGTTCCGCCCCAGCAGGGACCTGGTCCCGTCCGAGCTGACCACCGCCATGATCACCGTCGGGTCGGTCCTCGGGAAGCTGATGTTCGAGATGGTGCCGCGCGTCGCGCACGGGAGCCGGTCGCGCTTCTCGCCCCCGGCTAGGTCGGTCGGCGGGCATACCCGCTTCGTCCCCGCGTTGAGCGACAGGGTCCGCTGGCCGCATTGGGCGCAGAAGGGGTTTCGCGCATTCCAGTCGAGGAGGCTGCGTGCCTGGGCGTATATCGCAGCTGTAGGAGACGAGTTGAGCAACCTGCAATCGTGGGGCGTGTACGAAAAAGCCAAGCTAACAGGACGGTATGGGATTACCTTCATTTGCGGCAAGTCCCATATGCCGGGGCGACGAGTCGTGAAACGAGAGGCCCCTTTCCTTCAACGCCGTTATGACCCGGTTCGCAGTGTCTGTCAAGCTACCTCGCGGTGTCACGTCGACGGCGAAGTATGGGCGACCCCTGTATTCCTTGTACTGGAACGGGTCCGTGGTACCGCTCTCGGAGGGACATTGGTCCTTCTCGGCGACCCCGAGAAACAGGATCAAAGGCTGTGTCTCCTCTGAATTGTAATCCCTGATCGCCTCCTCCTCTTTCTTCCCGAACGGACTCGGGCCTGTAAAAGGAGTGATATCGTGGCCGGACACGAAAGCCAGGCGCGAGTCATCCTTTACCAGCGGGTTGAGTTGGTTCATCGCCAGAAACGCCGCTGACGAGTGCGAGAAAGCCGCCTGGAGGAAGTCATGGTTAGTGCGGAGGAAAGAGAGCCGGTTGAGCGGGCTTCCGGTGAAGTAATTCGCTATTTCCTTGCCGAACTTCAAGGAGAGCATTGAGTCCTCGGGAGGCAGTAGCGGGAGATCCGGAATCGGCATTGCGCACTTGAACGGGAATATTTATAGTCCTGAGTTATTTAGACTTGGGGCGAACAAAGAGTGTCTGGACGCAGCTTCAACAACTCCAGAAGGTAGTGCTTGAGGTGTCCGGATCTCGGAGAATACTGTCCCCTTGCGCATTGGAGATAAGTTGGAGCTGGTGGTTGCTACCTAGGTAACTAGTTAAGTACCGCGGCCACCACGGCGGGGGCGGGGGCGGGGTTGTAAAACTCGATTATAAATGCGGCCCACGGTCGGGCAGTACGGACATTCGTCGCGAATTGCGCCTTTTCCTTCCCGGCTAGGCATCGCTTATTCGACCATCGTTTGTAATTGGGAGGGTGTAAACCGTAAGTCGTAGGCACCAAATATGTTGAACCCGCTGTTGTGTACCTTGGTCTCGAACAGGAAAAGGGTTATTCGGTCCACATAATCCTCCGTAGCCTCTCCTTCTCCTCCTCGTCACCGAAGATGACGTCTATTCCTTTCCTTGCCAATGCGCATATTTCTGGCCGACTGAGACCAAAGTGTTTTGCAACAAGAGCGTACTCGTTCGACAGGGGACTGCCGAATACCCCGACATCATCCGTCTGACAAGATGTTAGCCCCGTCCACAAGAAGGCGAATATCTCTCCCACTCACGCAGAGCACGACGACACACTCCTCGACGCGCCGCCACTCGCCAAAGTGATGCCCCTCGAATCCGCCGGTGATCATGCCGGCATAGACGTTGCAACTCAGGCACAGCTCCAGCCCCATCCCTCCCATCCCGCAGATCTGTCGCCTCACCTCGTCGCCGACGTGGATGACATGGCCGATCCGGTCCGGCTTCCAGGACAGCAACATCCGCAGCTCCTCGTCCGTTCCCGAGGCCTCCGCCTCGGCGAAATGCAGCGTGATGCCTAGCCCGGCAACCGCGTGCGCCCTCCCGAAGGCGGGCGCCAGGGCGCCGATGCCGCCGCGCAGGGGGTCGCCGCACAAGTCGACGCCGACGACGCCCCGGGTTTGGAACTGCTCCGCCAGAGCCACAACTTCGAGTGCCTCGGGAAGCGAGTTGCGGCGGTCGACGGACAGAATGAGGCGGGTGCGGAGCCGGTGGGCCGGCGTCCCAGTCCCGGTACCGATCCCGTTCCCAGACTCTGTCCCGGAGCCGCCCTGGAAGGCCTCAATGGCGGATAGGATGGTCTCTACGTACTGCGCCTTGCTAATGCCGGCCTTGGGAATGGCGCGGGGAGTGGTCCGCAGCTCGAGATAGACGACGCCATCGGCCGCGAAATCGCGAAGGACCGAGGTGGTGGTGAGAGTCAGGGCCCAGGAGGAGTCGACGAGGTGGTAGATGTACGAGGAGAAGAGGGGGAAAAACCTAGACAGGGCATGATCCGGATGAGTACTCCGTGGTTGGTGCGGAGTTGGTTGTTGGCGAAGGGATCACGCCGCTTGACGGCAGAGCCCCAACTTACGTCGTAAGATCATAGTCATGCTTCCCAACGGGCATCTCCACAAGAGGGTCGGCCAGACTGGTCTCGCCGGAGTTTTTTTTACGCTGCCATATCTCATGCAGACATTGGCGGCTGATGCTACCGCTGAGGTGCGCGTGAAGCTGTTTGGAGATGGAGTGTCAGCCAGCTAGCTCCTGGAGCATCATGAGCAGGCAGCGATTCCCATGACTTTATCTCAACCACCACTCCTTGGTAGGTGTAGGTAGTACCTCTAACTTCGGCAGCGCCTTGAAATCCAGATTTTGGCGAGCTGGGGACGTCATGTCATGCCATATATTCCCCAGTCGAACAGCTCGGGCTTGGCTAACTATGTCCCAACGCGTGCCGCCGTTGGCTAAAATTGCAAGTTATGATTACTCATTAAGCCCCGTTCCGTGCTGGAATTTGTTACTCATGACACCTGTAAAGCGGAATAAGGGTCACAGCAACACCTCAGCCAGCTAAATAAATGTGTATTGCTTCTCTACTGAACACGGGCTTCTAATAGTACTCCGAAATGATTCTGAAGGGTTCAAAGTGTAAGTTTATCCATTTTCTCGGCCGCTTCAACACCAATGACGGCCGCAGCAGCTTGCGCACCTTCCCTGGCCTTGCTTTCCTTCCCTTTGGCCGCCTTTTTGGCCGCTTTTTTCTCCGCGTCAAGTTGCTTCGGCCTCTTGGTCTCCTAGCCGCCGAACTGCTCCCTCCACTCGTGCTCCTCCGCATTATCGATCCGGCCAACAGATAAGACGGTCTACCAATCCTGTGGCCGGGCAGGATGATCATGTTGGTCTCCCACTCGTCGGGAATGTGTGGTACAGGCTCGACGCCAAGCTGTTGGAAGATGCCAAAAGTCGACTCGCCTTTGGTGTCAACGCCACCGCGGGCTGTGGCAGGCATGTATGGTTCGATGACGTTGGCGAGAAGGTAGATGTGGTTAAGAGCTAAGCCTACCACGGCTGCGCAGCGCTCAGGCTCCTCGATGAACCATTTGTTGTCAAGTTTGTTGTCCTGGAGAAGCTTCTTGTCAAGCGCCGAAAGATGGAGCACACTTTGGAGACCTGCGCGCAACTTGACGCTGTCCATCTGGCTGATGTATGTCTGAAGGAGCCCAGAAACATTCTTCTTATAGCCTTCAGGGTAGTCATCGGAATAGCTGGTCCAGTCGGGTCTAAGACGGAGCCCCATTCGCCATCCTTGATGACTTAGCGGGTGCTGAATGTCAGATAGTGATAAAGATACAAATCTTCGCGTTTGCTCAGCCGGTTGGTCGCACTAGATCCTTCGCTTTTGTGGGAGCGATTTGTCGGATGTTGCCCACAAGCGCTTCGAATTGGGCATGGCACTCTCGTGGCATGCTTTTGCATGCTAGCATATCATCACGACGGAACTTTTTGATGGCCGCTTGAACAGAAGCGTTTAACCTCTCGATCTCGCCGTCGAGACCAAATGTCCAGGCTGACTCGACGATGCGCAGTTGCTACCGCGTAGATTAGTCGCTAGTTACCTATTTAAAGACAGGGTCTGGGTTTATTCTCTCACCAGGATCGAACCTCTATTGACGCTAGACGCAGTCAAACTCCGTACCGTGTTCTTCTGGTCGGGGTGAAATGTGTGGTTTTCTTCGTTGTATGACATCGGCTCGTCGTATTCCTCTAGATCGCCATCGTGTTCAATAGAGCCTTCCAATGCCCGGAGGTCTTTAGCTTCATCGCCGATTACCTCCTCCGCAAAGCCACTCCCATGTCTAGAATGAGATCCGTACAGAGAATTGGAGGATGTGACCGCACAAGTCGGCCAGAGATCCATCTCTCGGTTTCCAAATCGTCGCTCCGCGAGAAACCAACGTAGATTAGGTGGAACCACATATCACAATCGTCACATTGAACGTAGAGACGATCATCTTCTGAGTTTGACAAGTACAGAGTAGCTTGGCAGAAAGGCTCCATTTGCGCTTGCCCCACAAACCTCTAAACCTCTAATGTGGCTAGATGCTTGCCCTTGAATGGCTGGATACTTGTTTCTGGAACAGCTTCCATTTTGATTGACTAATAAAAGACTGCGTACGAGAACGCAGAGAGAATAGAAGAGGAGACTATGTAGGGGAAGAAGAGTTGGAAGCAGGTAGGAGACTACCTATTTATCCAATTGACATTCAGACTTGAGTACGGACCGTATGTGGAGGAATCAGAAATCGGCCCCCATGACGTCCACACACGTTCACTCTTGTTACGACAATCACCCGAGGGGCATTTACGAATACCGCAGTAATAGCAAACGTATTATAACCACCACCTCCAACGGCTAACTGGTAGGTTACCTAGGTAGGTAGGTGGTAAGGTAGCTAGCAGCTTTGGCGTTGTACACATTCCCGATCCTCCCGCTCACACCCCCGTTTCCCCTTTTTTGTCCCCAGCGTCCCCAATTTGCGCCCTTTTGGTTTCTTCTTTTCTATTTCTTTTTTTTTTTCTTTTTCGCTCTCATGTACTGATTCGTCCTAGGTTGTGTTGGTTCTCGTGGTAACATTGGTCCCTTCGGTTGGTCACCATTTTGTGTAGCACTGTACGGAGTACCCACATGATTGTTGCAGGGCTGGCTGGTAAGGTTTCCTCCAGGTGCTCCGTGCTCCAGCTCTCTCCCTAGCCAATTTATTGCCCACCCCTTTCCCCCCTCGATCCATTCCCAATTGAGCTCAGTAATAATATTTCGCAATTCGCCCAGGACCTAGCTCGACGACGGTCTGGATTGCACAACATAATACCTTTTTGCCATCCTAGGAAGTTAGACACGGAGAGACAGAGACCAACAGACAGACAGAGAGAGAGAGGGAGACATAGACTTCGCTCTCGATTGTAGGTTTGCTTGGTACTCACCCACCCTTGTCGTCGCTTCTTGTCTCGTCTTTTGCCCGCTTCACCTCGGCCCGGACCTCAAATCTCCCCTGATTCGACCAAGTTCGACCTCCCCACATCTGCTCAGTGGATAAATCATTTCCTTCAGTATCGGGCCCTGCCTAGCTGTTTTACTGGCCCGTAATAGTGGTCAATCCCATCCCTCCCCCAGAGCAAGACCCAGACACTCAGACACCTGAACCCACACCCACCCAGAAAGCGTCCTCCTAATCAACCACAATTTGACTTCCTGCATCACCATCAACGACACCTCCACCTTCATCCGCCAACTCGACTGCCCACTGACGACACGCATTTTTCGTGATGGACTCGCAAAGAGGGCCGAGCGAAGTATCGCCAGAGGCGATGCAAGCCCGAATTCAACAGGCGCGTCGCGAGGCTGAAACACTCAAGGACAGAATCAAGAGGAAGAAGGATGAGCTCGCCGACACTACGCGTACGTCGCCGCCATTTCCGCACCATCACCCATGTAGCCCTCCAGGACCATGCCATTGATCTCGTCGCTCGCTTCCGTCTGTTGCTAACTATTCTCCTAGTCCGCGCAGTTGCCCAGCAGGCCCACGAGCCGATCCCCAAGAACCAGTTGATGAAGACGAAGAGGACATTGAAGGGCCACCTCGCCAAAATCTATGCCATGCATTGGTCCACCGACCGGAGGCATCTCGTCTCGGCGTCGCAAGATGGCAAACTCATCATCTGGGATGCCTACACGACCAACAAGGTCCATGCAATTCCCCTGCGGTCATCATGGGTCATGACTTGCGCCTATGCTCCCAGCGGAAATTACGTTGCATGCGGTGGCCTCGATAATATTTGCTCCATCTACAACCTCAACCAAAACCGCGATGGCCCAACCCGGGTCGCCCGAGAGCTCTCTGGCCACGCTGGATACCTCTCCTGCTGCCGATTTATCAACGATCGGAGTATCTTGACCTCGTCCGGTGATATGACCTGTATGAAATGGGATATCGAGACGGGAACCAAGGTCATGGAGTTCGCCGATCACCTCGGAGACGTCATGAGCATCAGCTTGAACCCCACGAACCAGAACACCTTCATCTCTGGTGCCTGCGACGCCTTTGCGAAGCTGTGGGATATCCGAGCCGGCAAGGCCGTCCAGACTTTTGCTGGCCACGAATCAGACATCAATGCGATCCAATTCTTCCCAGATGGCCACTCGTTTGTCACTGGCTCCGATGATGCCACCTGCCGGTTATTTGACATCCGCGCCGACCGGGAGCTGAACGTCTACGGTGTACGCTGCCATCCCTCCCCCATCCGTTTGCTCTTAAAAATTGACCCCCCATACCCCCTAGTCCGAATCCATCCTTTGCGGCATTACATCCGTAGCCACATCAGTCTCTGGGCGCCTTCTTTTCGCCGGCTACGACGATTTTGAATGCAAGGCAAGTTAAATATATACGCCCACCTTGCACCTTCGGATTGACTAACTGAATGGCAGGTCTGGGATGTCACTAGAGGTGAGAAGGTCGGCTCTCTAGTCGGCCACGAGAACCGTGTGAGCTGTCTGGGCGTGTCGAATGATGGAATCAGTTTGTGCACAGGATCTTGGGACTCTCTGGTAAGAATTACATCCTCCGGCGCTGCATGCATTATGCCGTTCGTTTCTAACATACCCGTTCAGCTCAAGGTCTGGGCTTACTAGAATGGCCTGGTGACGATGAAACGACCGTCCCCCCCTCCTCCAGGATACCCGAATCCAGTAGGCATCTCGAAGCCGTTCTCGAGTGTTTACTTTTCTGCTATAAACCCCGCCCAGCCCGGGCAACGCCTCTTCATCTTCGCGGCCTGGCGTAGACAGGACGACGTCACGACTTCATCTTATTTCAATACCTCATCCTCCGCATCGCCATCCGTCGCCCTGATTATCCGGCGGCCCACAACCTTGTTTATTTTTTGAAGCCGTCTACGACGACTCTGCGATTCCCTGCATATTATTCCTTCCTGGTATTCTCTGGTCCACGGGCGATTGTATTATTTCAACTTTCCACCACCTACTGCACATTCCGCGACACGAGGCTCAGACTCGACAGCCATATCCAGCCCACTAAGGCTTTTCTTTTTTTTTTTTTTTTCGGCAAGCGAAGGACAGTTCGGATCAAGGGGCTTGAGCTTAGACGAAGTACCTGTGACGACTTCAAGTATTCCGAATCTTAATAACCTGCTCATCATTTGCCTGGACTCTGAATCTGCTGCACACCACATGATGGAATTGGCTACGCCTTGCAAGGAGTTCTGAGCCCCGGAAGTGTCCCCTTTCACGGCCTCCGTTTGTGCTCCGTTCAGTTCCGCAACTTTCCGCCACCTTTTTGTTGTCCTATTCCAGCCTAGCCAGGCATGGTTTGTTGAAGGATTACTGGTATTTCCTTCCATATGTCGGTAAAGAAAACAAAAAACGAAACCAAAACCGGGAATGCAAATGGGTAATCTGTCTGTTCGAATGGGGTGGCCAAAAAAGTGACAGGGCCAAGCGTTGTGATCTGGGCTTAGGTCTTGACAGATGGCTTGTCGGTGGCCCGCTCTTGGATCCCCTTCCCTCGCCTTTTTAACACCCCAGGGTGCAGTGTCTGGTTGAGCGTTCGGTGGTGAGGGGGGAGAGGGGAGGGAGAGGGTTGAACGGAAAATGAAGAGGACAAAGTGCTTCTAGATCCTCGCGACCTGGGCTATTTATTACCTGTACTATAGTGGTCCCATATGCTCTCTTCACCCATCCATGGCGGGTTTCTTCTACTGCTAGGATTCGTGAGCGAGTTATTGTTTCGGTTACCCGGATCGCAGTCTAGCATAGGTAGTAGTAGCAAGTCTTAACGGCGGATAACTATATGTGTCTTTGATCATCCCGATTACAGCCCTTAACACCCATATTTTGCAATACCTGCTCATGTGTACTTATTTGCCCTTACCGTTCATTGTAATGCCCATGGTCAAACTATGACCGCCTAAGTTGATTGTACCGTGCTTGATATATCATCGAAATCGGGCATGGCTTGACTGGACGGGCGGACACAACCATCACGATATCTGAAGGTCACCAAAGTGCCTAGCCAAGCAAAACTGATATCATAGGTGGGCCAGTTAGCTTGCATACTGATGATTTGGTTTAAGGAACGGGGATCAACAAATGGAAATCGCCCCTGCTTTCCGTCATCCTCTACTCATTTTCTCTGTTTTTTATAGGTTTCTTCCGCCGACGCCTCTAGTCCCTTGTTCCTCCCCCATTATTCCACCCTGCGTATCTTGATCATATGTTAATTAATCTTCCTCGGCAAGGTTGGTTCTCATGTAAATTGCCAAGGCTCTGAAAGACTGCCAAGGCTAGCCGTTGTGAACCGTGAATCATGTTGGGTCTACTCTACATTAGGGACGCAAGCAAGCTTCTGGAAGTATTCTAAACGGGTGTGGATCCATGCATTCTTTCCGGCTGGCCAATAGTGGGATCAGGGATGAAAGATGAAACAAACGTGTGAAACATCACTGCAGGTACGCCTGCACACACGTAGTGTATGGGTAGTGTCTGTATGCGCTACGATTCCCAGAGTCCCAAACCCCTTTTACTTGGCCGGTGCATGTGTGAGCATGGCTCTGCATTTAACCCCATTGACGCACGCTCACCGGTGATGCCTCGATGCAAAAAACAGGCTTATCAGCGTGGAGTAGCTTCGAGTGCTGCCTATTTTTGTTCCTCCCGGCGCTGCAATGCGTTGATGTGATAATCATACCCTGAGGTCATCTTCTCTTTCTTTCGGCCCTGGCGAAGGTGGGTGGTATGGAGTTGCCAAGTGCCAACATGGTGTGCAAACTATGGTAGGAGTCATACTGGTCCATTTGGGCTCCAGAAGTGGACAGTGATCGCCGTTTTTTCTTGGGCCTATGCGTAATAACCAAATAATCGGTTCACACTGCTATCACGCGCTTGTTGATCACATCAGTTGATTCGTTTCGTTTTGCTCTGACCCCTCCTCAGCAAGCTCCGTCAGATGCTTCCCATTTCAGCTGCAGAGCAAGTCATCTCTATATACTGCCCAAAACAGGTAAGAATAATTAGAAATCCTCGAGCTCGAATCGGCAAGAAAGATTAACAACCGCGAATACAAAAGAAAAATGGAAATAGTAGGGGGGAAAAAGCAGAAAGGAGAAGCAGAAAGGGCTGTGCTAGCGTGCCTCGGACAGGTCCAAGGATCCGGACCCAAGATGGCAAGACCCCTGTCACATCTGTTCTTATCGAGTATGGTTTTACCTAATCCCAGTCAACCACGCGACGGCGTGGCCGGATGCATGCCCCATTGCCCCTCCCAAGTCCCAAGTCCCAGGTCCCTAATCCTAAATTCAATTCCCAAGTCCCACTTCCGCTCGCTCATTCATCTGCCTGCCTCTTCCTGTGAGGCTCTTGAAGTTGCGTCGTCTCTCCTTTAAAACCCTCTTTCCCCTCCGCGGTTGCTGTCCTGACGGCATTGCCCATTGCTACCTTCACGTCCCCCTTCCCAGGGTCTCAGATGACCGCATTGCCTCGACTCCCCGCCCAGACCGTCTCCCATTCTGAAACAATCTGACGCAACCCAGGGGCGCTTCGCTGTTCCTGCTGAAGATCTGCCAGCCCTTCGTTCGCTGGTCCCCTGCTCCCTGTCTTCTATTTTCGTATTTTTCCATTCCAAGATTATCCCGCAACCACTTCCGGTCTATCAACCGGACAAACAGGCCACGGCTCTACTCACCGCAACCCACAATCGTTCCAGACCAGCAGGCCCACGACACGCGATAACTGCACACCCTTGGCCGACCCCAGTTCCATTCGCTCGGAGTGACCGCCATCAACTGCCCCGCACTACCTATCATTACCGGCGCTAGCCCACCAAGTACCGTTCGCACCACCTATAATAACCACGCGGACACCCTCTCTATAGAGCGCCTCCTTCCTGCTTTCATCATGACAAACCCGACTCCTGCCCAGGAAGAATTCGCCGACTTCCTCGCTAAGAACACCTCAGACGACGACAGCAAAGTCCACCCGGAAGACCGAGACTCTACAACGAGACGAGCCAGCCGCTCCAGCGAGGACGAAGAAGATCGCTACCACGCAAAGCAGATCGACGCCGCGATGCGGATACCCACGTTAGACAGAGGCGCCATGGGGGGAGAGATCAAGCTACCACCGGCGTCCTTCGACGCCGGTCGAACCACAGGTGTGAAGGGTGTTATTGCCGACGCCCGCTCCTACGAGAACGCCCGGCGGAGCAAGTGGAAGGATAGGGTACGCGCCGCGCGCCGCACCGTCTTCGGAGCAGATGGGATGCATTCAAACAACCACAACGAACGGGGCAGCGGGGTAGATAGCGAAGGGAGTGCCGCCGAGGACCAGGACGAAGAGCGCTTCCTGGAGCAGTGGAGAGAAAGCCGGCGGCGGGAACTCGAGGCCGAGACCCGCAATGGGTCGATTCGAAACCGGAGAACCAGCCCCAGCATGAGGGTGTATGGCCGCCTGGATGAAGTTGATGCCCTGGGATATCTGGACGCGATCGAGAAGGTTGGAAGGGAGACGGTCGTCGTGGTCTTTGTCTATGACAACGAGGTGAGTGATGGATGCCCCCTCCCTTCTTCTGTGGATGCGCCGAGAGATATACTGACGGGTGTACTGCCAATAGTGCCCAGTCTCTACTGCAGTCGAGTCGGCCCTCGTGCCTCTAGTTGGAACCTATCCTACTGTACACTTTGTCAAGGTACACTACGAAGAAATCGAGTTCGACAACGCTGGGGTCCCCGCAGTCTTGGCCTACCGAAACCAAGGCGACCTTTTCGCCAACCTGACAGGAGTGATGGAGATGATCCCTGATAGTGGGGACTTCGACAGTGATGCACTCAAGCGGCTCTTCCTGAAGCACCACATCCTCTAACGCCATACCCATCTCTCTCTTTCGAGCTGCGCTCGCTCTCCCTACAAACATTGTCGTCGGCATCTCACTTGTCCGCACGTCGACACCCCCATCTACCATGGGCCTCCGTATAGATTGCCATGGAGTAAAGGCCATGGCAAATACCGTTTGTCTCCATGTCGGCAAGCATATTCTTGCCCGCAAAACTACTGTCATTATGTCTTCTCTAGTTATGGCCCGGTGTGGCCTGGTCTGGTCCGGTTTGGTTTTTGATCTGGCCTCGTCTCGTCTCGTCTCCGCTTCCCTTGGTTTCTCCTGATTCTCGGGGGTTTGGAGTGGGGGCGGCAGGTTCACATGACACGTCATGATAGTGCTGAGTTGTTTATGATACCAATGGTTTTCGGGGATAGTGTGGAGGTTTCATTCATGTGACTTGACGTGGAGAGCAGGTAATAGGTTTTATGGATGTATTTATATCTGCGGAGACGGGAGTAAAATGACATATCGTTTCTTCCTCGCCGGACCTGATTCTTACCACTGCTTTACGGTGTCAAACTATACGTACACATACCTATACTTCCTGCTGTGTCGGACTCTTGATGTCGAGCGCTCCTAACAGAACAGGGTAGACCAAGGCAGGATTTGAGTGAGTCAAAGAGGAGACCCCCCTGTCAAAACGGGACCTACTTACCCCGCTGCCCTATCATGAGGATGTATCCCCGCGCTGTCAATTATGCCAAGAGCTACATCATCGAGTTACCCCTCCATCTTTGATAAGCTCAGGGTACCTCCTACCTGGCCACCTTTGTAAGGTATCGAGGTAGCCATTAGGCTTAGGCTGCAGCTCTCCCTTATCCTCTCAGTTCAAGTCATTGCATGGAAATATATCTCATCCCCTTTATAAGTCTTCCATCCTGGAGCATCTCGGACAAAACCCCATCTAACTGATCCCTACCTTGACCGCGCTTCCCATTGTGAATACTTGTCTCTGATACACTTTCCCGAGCCCGAATCACCTCCCACCTGACACGTCTAAATGGACTGAGCCGTGCTCCTTCCCCACCCCGCCGCCCATGTAAGGCAGCATCCGGTTGAGCGAAAGGTAGGCAGAAACCCGGAGGACCAAACCATCGCACCTGGAAAAAGGTTATTGGGAAACAGGCTCAGCTAAGTTCGTCGGCCACACTTCCTCCTTCTTCGATGTAAAACCTACTTTCCCATGCTTTTCCTCGACTCTCGTCGCCACCGTCTCCCTCCTTTCTCTCTCTTCGTACAACTTTCCCGCGCTGCCGAACCACATCAACCACAATCTCCCCCACCCATCCAGAACCTAGCATCGCTGAGTGAATAGTCGAGACATGCCCTGGCTCTTGTGAAGCTGACAGCTTTCCCCGTAATGGAACAGCCACACGAATACGCCCCTTCAGCCTCACCCACACTCGGATTGCCGTTGGCAAACCCTACGAACTCAAGCCCGACAGTAGCGGCGTCTACCCCATCTCTCTGCTTTCCTAAGCCTCAAGGTAACCGGCGTCTCGCCAACTGGGTATCCAGGAGCTCGCCCGACATCATGAGCTCTCCAAGCATGTCAGACGAAAACAGCTTGGCCGAGTCGGCTTACGAGCTCATCAACAGCACCGATGGGGAGAGCCAGGATGGCCGGTTGGCTGAGTCCGTCAGCTCACTCGACTATCCCCGCACTGATGACGTCCAGAGCCTCAACGGCTCCTCGGTCGGCTATCAGAGCGATACAGATGATGAGGCAGAGCAACAGTCGTCTAGTTCCTCTATCAGATACGCCAACGAGGCTCTCCAGAACCCTTCAACCCCACCTCCCACGATTGGCCTCCAGTATCCACCACCGGCCCAACAGGCGAAACTACCACAATCTATCGAGTTCTTCGAGGGGGACGAGGAGAAAGATGGGCCCCTCTTCCTCGGGAAGATATCGGTGAAGCATACGATCCGAGAGTTCACTGAGGAGGAAACGGCGACTATTGCGGAAGTCATGAATATGTCTGAGGCCCCAAAACGTCTGGTCGCAACTATTCGGCAGACCATGTCACTTGACTTCCTCTCCACTCGAGAGCCACTCCGAGTCGTGTATACTGGCAGCCAGATGGCACGAATGGATATCATCTACAAGATATCCTCGGCTATCTGCGCATCAGTGGCCGATGGCGGCAGCGACAAAGCTATCAACCAAAGCACCGAAGGAGTATTTAACATATTCCCCATCTCCGACTTTGGTTCAAACAAGCTGCCTGATGTCCACCTACTAGAGAGCTCTGGACGCCAGATCAGGGTCGAGGATTGCACTTCCGCCAAGGAAATCATCATCGAGGGAGGATCATTCCCCGGAGATACCGTGTACTCCCTCACCGTCGACGGGGACAAGACGTACAGGTCCCTGTTCTCCCCCAGCGGTTCCACCATTCAACCGAGGTGGACCACTCTACCTCACATCGCCATATTTTTCTGCACAGAGAACGATGACAAGCATGCTCAGAATACGAGGGACGTGGCATGGAAGTTCATGAACCGACACGGCATTCCATCGATCTTCATCTCCAATGATCAGCCCTTCACGAGAGCCCCCGCGGAACAGTGGAGGGACATTGTGGACCAGCATGCTGTCCACTTGTGCCTCGAGTCACGAAACCCAGAGCGGCCTGACCTTTCCCAGCGGCTTCCCATCGATCTGCCGTCGTTCCTCAACATTGACGCACGTCAGATGAATCGTAACTTGACATATTTGACTGGCCTCATCGAGCATCCGGACCTAACTCGTTCCGAAGAGACAGTCACCTCGCTAGTCCTGCCAGGAGAAAGGTCCTACGCAGATGTACTCGTGCCTGAGCCTTTGACCTTCCTCTGCACAGCCCGACGAGTCGTCAGAGAGTATATTGAGAAGAACCCCCAGCTCATTCCCCTGGCTACCATAATCCTCGGAAGTATAATCGCCATGCTTCTCGCGGTCCTGGCATCCGCTATACATTTCTCTCCTCTGCAAGGTACCACGATATCGACAGTTTCGCCCGGCTTTGTGCCCACTGTCACCTCCGTGGTGGCAACGAGAGCTCCTTCAACGGCGACAACCACCGTGGTGATCAACATCACATCGACGAAGACGGTCAAAATATTCAAACCGGAGGCCTCAGCTAGTACCTTGGCCTCGGTGTTATCTTTTGCCGGGTTTCTCTCCGACAAAGCATCAAGCAGCGTTACCGATGCTGAGACCAAGATGCCCGTCTGCTCGGCCGAACGATATAGCAACACCGAGATTCTGGTCAAAGTTCCACCTGGAAGCAAAACGTCGTGGGTCGCAAGGGGAGCAATCGATATTGACGTGTATCGAGGGGAGGATGCTGTCAAGACCAAGATCTCGTCCACCGATGAGGGAATCCTCGTCGAGATTAACAAGAAGGATGCCTATGGAGTCCTGAATCTCTCCGTCGTCACCACCAAGAAGCCCAAGATTAACGAGACGTTCGAAATCAACTTTGGCAAACCAAGCGTCGTGGAGGCTTTCGGGGCAAGCGTGCGTATCTTGCATGACATTGCTAGTGAGGTCGCCAACGCTGCCGATGAGGCGGGCCATTACCTGTCTAGCCTTGCGGAAGCGGCCGACATCACGGGAGCTGCTAAAGCTGCGCAGGGCTATTCACAGAAGCTGGGAGAGTCACTCAACCTCGACAACGCAGCCCGGCTTCTAAAGGATGCCCAGAAGCAATTATTTGGACAGCTTGTGTCACCAGACAATTTTCGCGAGGACATCGACTTCAGCATCCTGAAGGCACAGGTTGCGTCGAAACTGTGGTGGCTCAAGGTTCAAGGCAAGACGGAGGAGCGCGCCGAATACGAGCGCAACGCGGCGCAATATCTCCGATCGAGACACCGGGAGATGATCCAAAACCGGAAGGCCAGATCTCGGGACTCGTCTCGGGAGGAGAGCCATCAGTGCAAGTCCCGGAAAGGGAAAGGATGCGACTCATCCCGAGACAGGTCCAAGGACGGTATTTGGAAGAGGATGGTTGTCGGCTGAGAGCAGTGTTTTTATTATCTTTTTTTCTTCTTTTCTTTCCTTTTTTTTCTGACAATTTCCTGCCCCCTTTTTATGGGTGGACGGACGGGAGGCGACAACGGCCAAGGCGGTTTGATAACAGGAATATCACTCTAGGAACAAGGGTGCTGGGGATCTGGACCGGAGTTGAGTGGCTTGCTTGCTTTGTGAGGGGACGGATTACATGTCATATCCTCATTCCCGAGATAATCCTCCACTATCTCTATTCTATGCATTTCTCGCATTGCGTTAAGGACAACTACCTTAGGTACTCATATGCACCGCATCCAACAGGTGAAGGGTTGAATTGCCACAACTAAGGGGCCAGTGCCGTACGTAGACGGAGGATATCCTGAGGGAGATGATAATTGCAGTGTTGACATGTCTAGTGAGTTTGCAGCTCTTCCACTTTCTGTGCCTATGTTAAGGGCTCTACTACAAATTCCATTGGGACGAAGGAGAAAAGTGGAAGAGAAAAAAAGTGCTCTTGAGGAAGAAAGGAGAGGACGGAGTAGGCATATACTACTCTCAGTGACAACAGTTGATTGGCTAAGCCCCTTTTCTGCTTGTATGGAAAAGGGGATAGGAAAACTGTGACCCCACAATTTCCCCATTGATAAAACGTAGGCCCGATGGTGACCCGATGTAATTCACCACCCAATTATTGCAGTGGGGTACTTTCCGATGCCCAAGCTGGGGCGTGCTCTGTTGATTTTCAAAGAGGGGCATTCTCTTTCCCACCACCCACCATTCTCGAACCTCAGACTCAACTGCAACTACATCAACCTAAATTCGCAGTCAAGGCGGCAGAAGCGACACATCTCCGGTACTTCTGCTCATCTAGAGAACCACTGTCTATTATTCCGGCTACGGGTATGTTCCTACGCATTCCTTGCTTCTGAGATTCTTGTCACTGCGCATTTCACTCTGCCCCACATGCGCTCTTCGCGCGTTTGTTGCGAAGTGAGGTGGTGATCGCAACCCCCATACGAGAGCTCTGCTGACCTGTTCTCTCCCGTGTGTAGACCCACTCTGTGCAAAGATAACATCACAGGCATCTCACTTCAACGCTCTAGCGAAGATGTCGTCCACTGAGAACACCGACAAGCCGGTCGAGGAGGTCAAGGCTGAGGAGGTCAAGGCCGAGGAACCTGCCCAGGCGGTGAGTCTCCTACAATACAATCACAACCTTTCACCAAAGTCCCGTAAGGGAGACGGAGGATGTCATGATGCCGTTTGTGCTGCCCGTTCAGCACGGAGCTACGCGATTCCAAACGAACCCCCTACGTGGCATCCTGCTTACTCCACGGCCTCCTCCACTCATAGAACATATCATGAGAAGAATGCTGGCTAACTTGGCTCTCGAGGCGCAGGCTACTGGCACGACTGACAAGCCAACCTCTTCTTCCGTCTTCTCCATGTTCGGCGGTGGCGCTAAGAAGGAAAAGAAGGACGAGGAGGAAGGACGAGGCGACGTCTCTGGCAGCGCCAAGGCCCAGCGCGAGGCGGCTGCAGCTGCCAAGGAGGGCGAAGAAGTGAGTATTTGTTTCAGTCGCTGGTTTGCGCATAGTGCTGGCTGCGCATTGTCTAGCCTCATTTGTCTTCTGGACTTCTACTGACGTTTGGGGTTCTCCGTTTCCTAGGACGAGCAAGCTCCCGAATCCGAGGATATCCATTTCGAGCCCGTCATCCACCTGACAGAGAAGATTGATGTCAAGACCAACGAGGAATCCGAGGAGCAACTCTTCAAGATGCGAGCGAAGCTGTTTAAGTTCGTCCGCGAAACTAGCGAGTGGAAGGAGCGTGGCACTGGTGATGTGCGCCTGCTCAAGCACCTGGAGAATGGCAAGACCCGCCTAGTCATGCGCCGGGACAAGACTCTCAAGGTTTGCGCAAACCACTATAGTAAGCAAGACCCAAACCATTCGTTCGGAGAAACCGAGCCGCTAACTGTATTCTAGTCGTCCCCGAGATGAAGCTTTCTCCCAATGTTGGCTCCGATCGAAGCTGGGTCTGGAACGCGGCCGCCGATGTCAGCGAGGGAGAGCCCGAGGCTGTTACCATGGCGATCCGCTTTGCCAACTCAGACAGTAAGTCCCATATACACCGATGACGAGAGCTTACCTAACCGGTCGCTAGATGCCAACCAGTTCAAGGATGCCTTTATCAAGGCACAGAAGGAGAACGAGGCCCTTTTCAACAAGACTGAGGAGGGTGCGTCAACTGAGGAAGCCAAGGAGGAGGAGGAGAAGAAGGAGGAGGCTTCGTAAGCTCTGCCTGGCATCCTTCAGGACATGCAAACTCCGAGCCCCTCAAAGAAAAAAAAAGAAAAACCTCTGGCTTTATACTGCACATTCCCATATAAGCAACCATTACACCAAGGAAAGGGCCCCTAAAGACGTCTCAAGCAGGTTACCATCATGCTCGGGTTGGAGTGTTTGGAGACCGAATTCATCAAGTGATGATATTGAATTGCAAAAGGAAAATGAAGAAGGAGTTGACTGAGGTTTCCCCCCCCCCCCCTCCAATGTGAATTGGACACTGAACCGTGCAGAAGAAGGCAAGAGTAGCATGGCCAGCAACACTGAACCAGTGATAGAGTGCCTCTGTTAGATGGAGGACCTGTTACTCGTCCATAGTAGATAGACCGACCAAAATAAAGAAGTTCCCCCCCCCCCCCCCCCATGCGGTGATCTCACAGGAAGGACCAGTATCATGCATCCTCTATTTGTTAACCAGCACACACTTTGTCTGCTTGCAGGGTTGCAGGGGCTGATAGAGTCGAAGCCCAGCAGCGGCTACCCGGTGAAGGGTGGACTCTCGGGGTCGTGCAGGTCGCACTTGCGATCACACTTACGATCTGTGCACCTTACTCGGGATTCCTAGCCAGTTGGTTCTCTTTCTTTTTCTTCCAAAATCTCTGTTTCCCTTTGCTTTCGAAAACCTCACCTACATCCGATTTCATGGTGGTTCAACGTTTGCGCTTGCGCGTGTAGCTTCACCCTTTGCGGATTTCGGTTGGTATTCTAAGCTTCTTACCCCACTACGCCACAATCCATATACTGTGCTAATGAATAAGGTACTAACGGAGCTTCGACGTTCAAGGGTTCGCTTATTTGGCCAACCAGAGGCCTCAGATTTCTCTCAGGCTCTCCCACCAACATGGCTACCGTCAATAACGGGGCTCTTGAGCCTCATAAAGGTACGTACCGGGGCGGCCCACTTTCACGTTCGCGTCGCGGCAAGCATCCATCTTGCCTTTTTGCTCTAAACACCACTATAGGATCACATTATTCTTGCTGCGCTTCTTAATTCTTCTATCTAGGTTGTCAATCTTGACGCATACTCTGTCCAACTCTGTCGAGTTCCACCCTGTCGTCTTCCTCCGGAACGCTGCTACCTACTCAGGACCGAAAACTGACAACTATCTACCTTGAACAGGCCGCCGTTCAGTTGGGCCTGTCGATCGGAACCGAGCACCGAAATCGCGAAACCGCAGGTCTGATCGCTTCACTCCCATTACCAAACCCAAAATGATTGTCGAGGTACGTCTTAGCTGTATCTTTGGCTAGGCCTCCGCCGCCCTGCGCAATCGCTTCGTGTCGGGAGGCATCTGTGTTCATGCGATGGGCTGCCCGCTAACCCCACTTCAACAGCGCCGGGTCAAGGTAGTAACGGAGCAACATAACATGTATGTCAAGGCCCGACCCTCCCGCGACCCTTTTCTTCGCCGCGCGCTCTGGCGATGCCGTCGGACACCTGGATTCGGCGCATTATAGGATCGCAGGACTTGGATATGGGACTGACAGGGACTTGCAGCGACAAGCCAACGGTAGTGGAAGGATGTCCTATGAAGGAATGGAGCATCGAGGTCTACGTCCTTGACCAGGATGGCAAAGAGCATCCTGCCAAGTGCTTTACCAAGGTCGTCTACCATCTTCACCCTTCGTTCGACAACCCCGACCAGAGTAAGTCTCCGAACCTTCGCTATGTTTCTTACCTCGAGACTTGTTAACACGGGCAGCCTTCAATGAACCCCCCTTCAAGTGCACAAACGAGGGATGGGGAGAGTTTGAGATGACACTTGACCTGTTCACGACCGAGAAGGGGGGAAAGAGCACCATCACCCACGACTTAAACTTTGCTTCCCCAACCTACGAGCTGATCTACCCAGTTCAATTTAAGAACCCATCGCAAGCGTTGCAACAGATCCTCCGAGAAACGGGACCTCTCCCGTCCGACGAGGAACGCAAAATCAAGAAGGCGGATGGAGGGAAGAAGAAGAAGGCGTTCGATGTGGAGAAGATGGCGGAAGGTCTCATCAAACTTAGCGAGGATGACCTTCTTCAGGTGATCCAACTTATCCACGATGGGAAGGATGACTCTACATATGTCCAGAACAACGTCGACGGTGCGTAGCTGCATTGCAAGTTGAGACACCAATCGGAATAAGCTGACCGTCTTTTACAGCTGGGGAGTTCTCCGTGGACCTCTACACTCTACCGGATGACTTGATGAAGAAGCTGTGGGATTACTTGGTCGGCCTTTACCTCTCTCACACAGTCCAGAAACCTTCATGCTAACAGCTTAATGCAGAATCGAGCCAACGTCATTGCTTAGCTGACAGGGACGGAGGCACGGACACCTTAGTCCAAATCATGCATAACACCGGCGTATTGGCGTCCCGCTGGCTATCATCCACCTGCAATCTTCTGAGACCTTGCAGGGAGGATGAGGGCATCACCAAGCAGTATGGCTTGGTTTATCGGTTACACAGAGCTCGTCCACTTGGAGAGATCCGCGGTTTCTAGGACGGATAGATTTCTCTGTCGACGGGCCCTGGCAGAAAATGCTCATGCGTTTTTAATACGGGCAAACAAAAAGGTGGGGGGGAGGGGGGGGATATTCACGCGTTAGCTCAAATGTACTGAAATGCCTTCTCCTGACTTTCTCTTGGGCCAAAACATTACTAAGGGGAGACCGACCGGTTGCGTGGTCCATGACGGATGGTTTGGGATACTGCCTGCTTTCAGTGGTCCGGTTATATGTGACGACCTTCGTTGAAAGAGGTCCTGGCGCGAGGCTCTCTTCCGGATATTGAATACTAATAGTATCAAACCCAGATTGTAACTGCATTACACCGAAACCTTGCCGAGAAGTGACGTGTTCTATACAAGGTTTACTAAAGTTCTGAGCAGGAATATCCTATGAATACAGGGGACGGCAAGAGAAGACCTGTCTTGGCCTAGGTAGGTACCTTGGTAGGCAGGTACCTATCGACGTTGGAGGTGGTACCGAGAGAGGTCACGTTCGCCCTTTCATCACGGGACCAAGTTTGGCGGTAAGAGTCCCAGACTTCATTGCGGCTGAAAACCATTCTCAAGAGTGAAGTTCAGTCTGAACTGAGCCTCTGCTAAGCCCCTCTAGGGACCAGTGGTCCTATCAATATCACACCGACGTCCCCGAAGCCGAAGCTGAAGCGGTGCAAATAATCAATTAACCCGTATACCCGCGGTTCGCAGCGAGGCAAACACTAGGAGCCACACGCTAGATCTCGAGACACAATTCGTCGAAGAATCTCGACTTCGCTACATATGTAGACAATCAATTCTATTCAATTTTAGGTAGCTCTTGCAGGTAAAGCTAACAACCTAGACCGACTCCATCCGTGTCTATCCACCTGAAGCGGCGAACAAGACAGGCCCCTTTCCTCTTTGTCCTGATAGGCCGCCTCTCGCAAGCAGCCCTTAGCCAAGCACGACCCCGCAAAGCCCCAAGGACCGTTATTTCCCACTGCCCAGACCGTTTTTCCCGACCCGAACTCAGCTCCACCATTTACAACCACCGCAAACCGCTTCAAACCGACCAAAAGGATTCCACTCATACAGCTCTGCGAAGGGCGCTCAGCGTCGCATTGATCCGAAAGCTCCTATCAAGGAACCGGACGGGCTTGCCACCATGGCGCAATACGCTGCGTCGCCCGGCGAGGTCCCGACTGCTCAACACCAATCGACACCCGCCCCACCCCCTCCAGCGGGCTCGACCAGGAGCGAGACGCCCTCTCAGCAGTCCGGACTGGCCCAGCATAAGCGCGTCTACCAGGCCTGCATACCATGTCGGCGCCGGAAGGTGCGCTGTGACCTCGGGTCCGTCGACAACCCCCACGACCCTCCCTGCGTGCGCTGCCGCCGCGAGTCCAAGGAATGCTACTTCAGCGCGACGCGGCGGAAGCGGAAGACCGACGACGACGGCGCGATCCAGTCGCTTGAGAACGTAGAGCATGACGACTACATCATCAGGAACGGTCGCAAGCGCCTCAACACGACCGCCTCGTCCCCGTCTTCGGCCGCCGCTCCGGCCCCGGTCTCGGTGATCGACCGGAGGCTGTACAGCGATGTGCCGCTCACCCCCGGCGGTTCACACGGGAGGGCGCATCCTGTGAGGCGGCCTGGTGATGGAAGAAGCGAATCGTTGTCAGCAAGTGGTGGAGTCAATGGCGAGAGACGGAGTACCAGCGAGTTTGGCAACGTCGAACCGAACCAACCCCTCGAGAACCTCGAGGCTAGGCAGGTCATGCGAAAGGGAGTATACGGGCCGCATGATGCTTTAGACCTGCTCTACAAGGCCGCTACCGATAAGTTAGTATCCGGTCATGGATTCATTCCTCACTCGAGACTCGGAGCTGACATGCCATGTCCCAGCAGCCCGTCGCACAGGCACGACGAACCCCGTTCTCCGATGCGCAGCAATCCCCAGCCGAACTCTCGCCATGCCGGTGAAGACCCGGCTTCTCGCAAGCAGCCGCAGAGCCAGGGCAACGCATACCACGTTGGGCAGGAGTCCCGCCAGGGCGCCAGTCTCGACCAGCCCATTGATCCTGCGCTCATCAAGCTGGAGCCTTCCACGGGGCCGGGTTACGCCGAGGCGCTGCAGGCTTGGGCGAGGTTCCGCTTTGTACGAGCCGGATGGTTTACCGCCAGCGAGGCGATCGAATACATTGATTAGTTCGTCAAGATTTTATGTACCCCTTGTCGCTCTGTAACAATGCTAACAGATTCCCCCCCCCAGCTACTATGAATACCTATCGCCCTTGACACCGATTTCGCCGCCTACATTCCGCAATCCTGCGTCCCATCTGACTCTCCTGACGGAAGAGCCGATCCTCACGGTGACCCTCTTGACCATCGCGTCGAGGTACAGGCGCATGGGTGGCACGGGGGGCCATTGTCGTTCGCATGCCATTCATGAGCAGCTCTGGACTTACCTCCGCGGCATGATAGAGCGAGTTGTGTGGGGTCAGGAAGCCTTCGGTGGCGGGTTCTGTGGTTCTGGGGTGGATGAGGCCCAGAGCTCCAGCACTGCCCCGTGGAGGGGACTCCGCCGGGGCAGCTTGAGAACCCTCGGCACAATAGAGTCGTTGATGATTCTTACCGAGTGGCACCCGCGGGCTCTCCACTTCCCACCCAGCGAGGCAATTGATGAGCTTCTGCTACCCGCGTCCTATACCAGTTCCGACAACAACGTTGACGAGGATGGGAACCAGCGGCCCGCCTTTGGAGGGAAGAGGATCGAGAGCTGGCTCGAACCTGCTTGGAGGAGCGATCGCATGTGCTGGATGCTTCTCAGTACCGGCATGGGCCTCGCATACGAGCTTGGCGTATTTGACGACATCGATGAAATGCTCACCGCGGGAGCAATCACGAGGCCGGAATATGAGGAGGAAACCTATCGCCTACGGGCATATCGCATCAAGAGATTACTTTTGATCTATCTGACCCAGCTCGCTGGAAGGCTTGGCTGGACTAGCATGGTTCCCGAGAGTCTTCGCAGGTCTGACCCCGTCGTATCACGGAGGCGTCCGGCCTCGGGTGAAGGCGCTACGCCGGGGACAAATGTCTCCTCGCTGTCTAATACTTTCAACTACATTCCCGACCTAGAGCTTGATGACCAGATCATCCACTGTTGGGCCGGTATCAGCAACGCTATGCACGTTGGGAACGAAAAGCTCTTCAGATCCAGGCAGCACACGACGGACATTATCCAAAACGGGAAATATACTGTCCTCCTCAAGGAATTCCAGCCGATGCTGCAGGATTGGTTCAAAGAATTCGAACGTTTCAGGCTGCCTCCGCACATTCGCCACATCCTCACAATCGAATACGAATACGTGAGAATATACGTCAACTCCCTCTCGCTGCAAGCCGTCGTGGAGCGGTGTACCAGCAACGCGGGTGGTGCCGCAGCCCCCGGGGGGGTTGTGTCAGGGCAATCCGCACTGCAGCTTTCGCCTCAGACGCAGAACTACTACGGCAAGCTTCCGCTGGGCCAGCTTGGCGGCTTCACCGCCCAAGACCAGGAGTACGTCAAAGAGGTTGTTAACGGCAGCCGGAACCTGCTGCGGACCGTGGTTGAGGGGCTGCTTCCGGGCGACTATCTCAAGCATGCCCCCGTCCGGACGTATTTCCGGATCATTAGCGGCGCCATGTTCCTGCTGAAGACATTTGCTCTTGGTGCTCCAAGGTCGGACGTCGAGATCAGCATCCAACTGATGGATCGGACCGTCGACGCCCTACGGAACTGCGTCGCGGACGACGTCCATCTGGGGATCCGTTTCGCCGACCTGCTTGAATCTCTCACCAGCCGTCTCCGCAACCGCTTTATTCACGCGCCGCCGCCGCCAGTCTCTGCTGCGGATGTTCGAAGCCCGGGCCCGAATCAGGCCGAGTCTGGAAATGGGGCCGGCATGAACGGACTGGGACAGGCAGGCCATCAAGCAGGCGGATCGGAATCGTGGTCAAGACCTCGGGAAGGAATGCCCGGTAAGTTTGGATACTATCCCACCCTTGTACGGGACAGCTGCTAAAACCATCCACAGAGCGATCCAGCACGCCGGCCAACATCTCGGCCACACCCTTCGACCTGGCATCGGGCACCTTCCCGTACCCGCCGGGTCCGGCGTCCGTGCTCGGACCGACGACACCGGCCGGCATGACCGGCGGCCTGGGCGATAACGGCGGCGGCGGCTTGACTCAGGCCGCCGGCGGCGGCGTCAACAACAACCATGACCACGGGCTCATGGACGGCTCCGACTGGAACGACCCCAGTAACGAGATGTGGTACCTGCCGCCCGGACCGGCCTTCTTCCAGAACATGGACAATACCAGCGTCGCGATGACGGCGGAGGGTATCCACGTCGGCGGGCTTGACCTGCTCGAGTACATGGCCATGGACCCAATGGATGGCCAGTTTGGCGGGATGATGGATGGGAATGGGTTCTGATAGGGTGTTACTTGACGAGAGACGAAGGTTGGGGGGGCACTATATGGTGTTTACGGTATGTGTTGAAGGGAAGGTAAGATGAACGTCACTAAAAGGTGGGGGGTTCAGGAGAAAAGGAAAGGACGAGAAAAAAAAGGGCGGGTTTGGAATGCGGCGCGACCGGAATGTTCTTCGACTAAGGTATGATGAGACTTGCTGTCTTTCCATTTTTGCGATCTCGAAAACTACCGGAAGACAAAAGCGTGTACGAGGTACTTGCTGGGAACTTCTAGCCTTCCCCCCCACCACTAATTGATGACGGGGTGGGAGGGTGGATGTATGTATGGATGGATGGATGTGTCGTCCTCCTGTTGTGGGCCTGAGCTGGAACTGACTGACTTCGGTGGTATTTTTGACTGGGAGATGATACCCCCCATGGGCGACTGCTGTATTTATATCCTTTGAGACCTAGTTTATGATAAGCCTGGGGTTACATGCCTGCTTTGGATTCTTGTCCCGGGTGCTTGCCCTCCTAAAGGGGTTGTCGCTGCTGCCCGAGCCGGTCCCGATGTTGATGAACCCCTTTTCGGGAGGGTTTTCAGCTGGTATGAAGTGCCAATTTCTGGACGATGCATTCATTTGCAACTAATAGGATTAAGAGGTGTCTTTTTTTTGTCTTTCTCTACGGAAGCTAGTAGACCAAATTCCATATGTACGTGCCAAGTCGCAACGAGGTGAAAGACGAGGGTGTTGCGTCTAAGCTGTGAAGATCCCAACCTTCCACCCTGCTAGTGTACTTGCTGCTCTTTTTAGGCAACCTTCCCCGGATTATGTACCCACATCCTCCTCGGCTTGCTCCTTGTTCAACCTCCTCAAGTCGTGCTAATGAGCAGGGGAGACACTCGCATTGCTGCAACACATAAAACGTTTCATTGATGAGAAGGGGGGTTTTCCACAATCTCCAGCGGTTCCCGACAACCATAACGCCTCCCCTTCGCGCCCGAAAAAGAAGAAGAAAACGCAAATCAGTGCACAGAATCAGTCTAATCCTCCAACCCCATCCTCCATACCGGGCGGATGGGCATCCAGATCAACACCGTTGACCAGGCCCCTCTGGTGGCCGCTTTCGCGGACGAGGTTTCCAAAGTACTTGAGGGCGTCGCTGCTCTCGGCGCGCACCTTCAGCGTCTCGTCGCGGCGGCTGCCGAGCTGCTCGACGGAGCGCTGGAGGCCGACCCGGAGGGAGTCGGCCGGGAAGCGGAGGACCTTGCGCACGGAGCCGGCGATCCGGGCCGAGTTGGCGTGTACGTAGTCGATGGTGGCCAGCTGGGAGGAGATCTTGGCGCTTAGGCGCTGTGGGAGGGACTGCGGGATTTGGTTGAGGACGTAGTAGGCGGCTGCCATTGCTGTGGGGGGTGGGAGTGTCAGCGAAGTCGGGTCGGAGAGAAAGAAAGGGGAGATGGGGAGTGTGAAAGTGAAGACTGTTTGTCTTCTCGAACTTACCAGCTACGACGATGCCGGGAATGATCATTCGGCGAAGGTTGTTGTCTCCAACAATTCGTGCGGCGCTCAGCGCGTGGTCCATCCATCCGTACCCGCCAATTAGTTGCGTGCCAACAGCAGTCGCGACTGTCAACGCCATTCCAGTCCCGGCCACCTTCTCCTGGCGTTGAATGAGGGTTGGCCAGTCGACAAAGTCCCATAGCTCGGTGGGGATGTCGACCTGCCTTGCCAGTGCGTCTCGCCGGCGGCGGAACATAACGTCGGGCCGAAAGTTGAGGTCGGTGTATTCATCTCCAAGGTGCAGGATGCCGAGCTGCTTGATGGCATTCACACCGCTGACAGTCTCAGTGCGGGCCTGTTCTTCGCAGTGGGTAACTGATGCCGCTATTTGCGATAACATGGCCTCCTTGAGATCCTCGGCATATTGCATTGCGTTGAACAGACCAGGGTACGGAACGCCGAGGGCATTGTCACCAGCGTGTTCAATGGCAGAGTTGAGGGTTCTTCTGGTGCTATCGTAGATGTTCTTGCAGGTATCCTCGATTGTTTTGTCGATCTTGTCGCTGATTTCTGCCTTCGCCTTCTGACTCGACTCCAGCAAGGGCTCGATCTCTTGCAATTCCTTCGTTACTCGATGCAGCTCGGACTCGGCTACCTCTGCGTTGACACTTGCTAGTGTGTTGATGTCGTTAAGGATATTCAACAAGTAGGTCTTTGCTGGGGCTAGCTTGGATCGAGCCCGCTTCTCCAGCACAAACCGGCGGAGGGATTGCTCCAGATTTGAGAAATCCCGCATCTTCTCTTTGTCCTTGCCCTTGCCGCTGGCATCGTCATCGCCAGGATCGTCGCCCCCACCGCCTCCGCTCGAACTTCCGCTCCCACCTGGCCCTCCGGGCGGGAATGGAGCAGTGGGAACCGCATTACTCGATACAAAGTGGACAAGCTCAGAAGACTCCTTGAAAGTCCTCGGACTCAATCCATCAACTTGCTCCAGAATCATCTTTTGGCACCGGTCCTTGTCCTTGATGGTATCGAAGCCGTTCACGACAATGAACAAGTAGGCCTTCTCGGCAGCAGCAGCCCAGATAAACTCCCTGGCCGTCATTGTGAAGTGATTGGCTGCAGAGACCACAAACACGACAACATCAATCTCCTCCTGCCGCGCAAAGATGGCTGTGGTTTTCGTGGTATCCATATTCAGGCCAGGGGCATCGATAAGGGCAATGTCAACCACGCCATTATTAAGGAGGGACTCGTCGATTGTTCGAACATCGCAGAGATACACCTTGCATTGCATGTAGGTGGCGTTGTCTGTAACGATCTTCTCCAGTTCGGGGAGCGTAAACACGTCGTAGGTTGCTTCGTCGTGGCGGTCGTAGACAGCGTCCTTATGTATTGCATGGACCTCCTCGATACCACTGTTTTCCCTCGCGTCCAAGACCTCGCAGAAGATGCTTGTGCAAGGTTGCTGGTCCTCAGGCAATACCTTCCGCCGCAGCAGGGCGTTGCAGAACGTCGACTTGCCAGCATTGAGGTCCCCCGTGATCAAAACCTTGCTCGACGTGTCCTCAATGCGATCTCGCAGCGATAGAAGGTGCTTGATGCTTGAGCTTATCCTCCCATCCAACAGCGACGCAATGGAGCCCTTTTCTAACGAGTGTACAAGCTCGGTTTGGTGGAGCGAGCCGAGCTTCAGGTCGAGCTTGAGAACGGAAAACTCCTGTGCGATTTGTGGTGTAACGAGTCGTGGCTCGGGAGCCGGACGGTTCTCTGCGGCTTTGCTCGACTCGGCTTCGGCTTGGTCTTCAAGAGAAGTCATGGACCGCTTTAGAAAAGGTGGTGGCGTAGATGATGACGATGGTCCGAAATTGCCAGAGATGGACGAAGCATGCTGGAAGTTTGGTCGCGAGGAGGACCGCGTGAGGCCATTGGTCTCTGCTCGCTGGATGGAGGGATAATGCGCCGGCCACCTGGCGTTCATGTGTTGTAGCCCCTTTAGTAACTCGACCACTTGGCTGATGGATCGGCCCAACGTCACGCGATGTTGGTTGTACCATAGTTGGTGGACCGTTCCAGCTTGGGCTCGGCGGTGTGCGTCGGTAGGCGGATGAGATCTCTGCACAGGCATGGGTCTATCTTCTTGGATTGCAGAATCCCAGGCCGCAGAAGCGCGTGGGTTTGAGGCGGAACTGCTTACTCCGTCGCCTGCGATGCTTCCCCCATAGCCCGAGTCTGGGTCCAGCATAGTCTGCAGGCGCGCTGCGTGTTGCGACGTTGAACCTGTGCCGACCGTCATGTACGCTGGTCTGTCGACGATCGTTGAAGACCCGGCTGGAGACTTGCCGGGGTGTTCCGTATCGCCATCGGTATCGCGGTCTCCGTCGATCTCCTGCGCAAAGGGAGACTTTCCTTTGGGTGAGAAGTATTCCTGGCTCATTGTCGAGTGTGAAGACCCATCTGATCCGTTGCGAGTTAGCACTGAGAGAGCGCGTGGCGCAAGATCTGGAGGATCATGGGAAGTCGTTAACAGGTGATACGTAAATTCTTGCTCGCGTTTAATGGGAGACGTTCCTACGACCGGAGCGGCAAATTTCCTTAGAGCATCAGAAGCTTTCTGATGATTGGACAGAATTTCTCGCCCCGCTAGTAGGCCGTTAGCGACGTAATCACCAATCTAGCCACAAACCACATCAGCCACAGCAGGGATCGGGCGGCAACCCAAAGGCTGAAGCCAAGCATTGTGAGGTCAGCTCGACCCCGTTTGAACCAGCTGGAATCCTTTGGAGTTGGCTCTGCTTCTAAACACACAACCGTCTCTTTTACAACCGTCTCAACACTATTAGAGACCTCCACAATGAACGTGAGCAGCTTCCCTCTGACGAAGACATATTTCCGGCCGCGGCTGACGCAGCTCTTCTAGATCCTGGAGTGGGCTTTTGGTAAGCGCATGACGCCCGCAGAGCGCCTGCGCAAGAACCAGCGACTTCTCGACAAAGCAATTCGCGAGTTAGACCAGCAACGAGTGAAGCTGGAGAAGCAGGAGAAGTCTCTCATTGCCCAAATTAGGCAGAGCGCCCAGAAGAACCAGCTAGGCGCTTGCAAGATCCAGGCCAAAGACCTAGTCCGCACTCGGAGGTTCGTCATACGCCCCCCAGGAACTGATTATCGACGGGCGGATGTGAACTAACCGCCTCTTTATAGATATGTGGACAAGTTCTATTCAATGCGTTCAACACTGCAACAGATCTCTCTTCGACTACAGGTCCGCAAAGATTGACATCCCTCTCATTTATAGCGCGCTAACACGCCCTCTGTACAGACCTACCGGACGAATGAGCAAATGATGCAAGCGATGAAAGGCGCAACCATGGCGTTGGGCAGCATGAACCGGACGATGAACCTCCCCTCCCTCCAACGGATTGCGATGGAGTTCGAGAGAGAAAACGACATTATGGATCAGAGGCAAGAGATGATGGACGACGCCGTTGATGACGCCATGGATGTTGGAGTAGAGGAAGAAGGGGACGAGGTGGTCGAACAGGTCCTGGAAGAGATTGGGGTTGATCTGAGCCAATCTGTGCGTATATCCCATCCTCGCGCTTTGGCTGCATTTATTTCTAACGTGCAACTTAGCTCGGCGAAACTCCTTCTGGACTGCAAGCGAACACTGCTCCAGAAGCGAAAGTTGCTCAAGCTGTGGGCGGCGGAGGAGGTGACCCTGGTGTTGACGATTTGCAAGCGCGGCTGGATAGTCTCCGTAGATGACACGCAAATATGATCTCAGCGGGGCCTACGATGTGTTTGTTGCAGCGTTTAGGAGCAGGTTTCGACGGACATGGCTTTGTCTTGTGTGTTTGAGGATAAAGTTGTAGTGGCTGGCACTGGCTTTGCGCTTTGGGGGGGGGGGGCGGTGATTTACGGGTCATCCATATCATGTTAGGTCAGGAGTTATAGGTTGAACATAGAAGATAATGGACATTGCATTGCCGAAATGGGGCATGGAAAGATATTTAGAAACCGGCCGTCTCAAGTCTTCTTGAAACCATTGTGTGTGAAGGCAGGCATTATCGAGGAGGTAGTCGGCGAGAATCTGCCTCAGGATATCTTTGCTGAGTTTGAGGAGGAGGCTGCCGAAGCGAGGTTGACAAGGTACAAGGGAAGATCCTTTAAGGACCACATGGCTACTACTGGGAAGCTGCCTACTGCTTCGATCGCCCAAAAACCTATCGCTACAACCCTCAGCAGGAAGAAGACAAGGATGAGGAGGATAACGAGGCGATAATGGACCAGATACGATACAGACTGGAAGCCTTAAGGAGCTAGGCTATTTGCTGGCCTTTTTTTGTCGTCTATTTTCCTCTTTTACTTTCGTTTATCTCTTTCCTTAGCACTGTTATAAAGTAATGAAGTGGTGGTTTTACAGTCTTAGCTTGCTATTGGTTTTCTAGAATCTCCTGTAATATCAATCTGATCTCCTTACGAAAGGATCCCCTATCCTGCAACACCACTAGTACACAATCCACCTGTGCGCAGAATCCTCATCTGGCCCAGCTCCTTAATGGCCTCAACCCGCCGCCGATCCCACAACGCGAACCCGGCGGCCCTCCACAGCTTCAAGGAAATAAAGCGCGCCTCGGACGCCTCCTTCCCGTTCACCATAAGCGTCCCAGGACTGCAATGAAGCCCCTCTCCAAACCAGTTCAGGTAGCGCCTGTCTAGCGCGTCTACCCAGCCGAAGGGAGGCAGGTCCACCGCATCCCCAACATAATCGACAGTTGCGCTGCTGCTGCCTTCCTCTTGCTGCTGCCTTCCTCTTGCTGCTGCCTTCCTCTTGCTGCTGCGTGCTTTTGTCCCTTGCCGGGTCTGGGAACATGTCAAACCGGTAGGCCTGCCAGGCAAAGCAAAGACAAGGCAGTAGATACCGCTGTACAAAGTGGCAGTATGCTGGCGCATCGAGGACCTCTCGGTGCCTTAGCCGCGGCAGCGACGGCAGAGCGTGGATTGCGGCATCTGCAAGGCTTGGGTGCTCCCGCATGTATTGCACTAGGTGGTCCACGTGCGAGAAGATATCGCCAAACTCGGCCTCGCCAATCGGCCGCACCATCACCAGGCTGGGCGGGCCTGCGGACGCCACCAGAGCCGCCGTGGCCTCCTCCTCTCCGGCAAGGCAGAGCGCTGCGCATAGCCGCGTGACAAAGTAGTCGGCATGGTCAACCTGCTGTAGCTCCCAGGGCTCAAAGGCGGCAAAGAGGCCAAGGCGCACACCCTGGTGGTTGCTGATGTTGCTAATGGCAGCTGCGTCCTGGTTCATCCACTGGGGTTCGCGAGTTGTTGGAGCCCAGGCGTTGCAGACGATCTGGCGCCGGTAAAAGGCCCGCAGCACCCGCAGACGCTCTGCGCGTGAAGGTGGCGCAGTACCTGCCTCCTCGCTGCCAAATAAGCGCTGCTGCGCTGCGATGTAAGTGCTGGCGAGGAAATTCATCTTGTAGAATGTGCGGCAGAGTTTGGTCAGCTCTGCAACGCTTGGGACAGCATTATCTCCCTCATAGCGGCTGCTGTTTAACATGTCCTTGTAGATGCCAGCCGCGGTATGGATCCTGTCCCAATACCCCATCCGGTCTTCCGGGGGGCCAGGGTCTGCGTAAGGAAATACGCGCAGGAACTGTCAAGACTGGGCCAAGCTCATTCTGCAGGACGCGGAAAATGACAGGCCCTTTTCGCCTCTCAAAGAGCCGATAGATGTAGCGGAAGGTGGTGATGAAGTCAAGGTCGCGTATCGAGTGCAACTCGGAAAAAACATTGTCAACAAGCTCAGGCGCAAGAGCGCCTAGGTAGCAAGGTTTGTCGTGAGGCATCTGAGGATATCTCGCTGGTGGCATAACTTGCCCAGGCACCCCTGTGGAATATCGGGCTCCAAAGCTGCCGGAGATAGATGCCCGAAGCCGCCGATGCGGGCGTGAATCCTCCAAAAACGTGTAGGTACCTAACCCCAGCGCTAAATCCAGCGTGACCTCTTAACCCCATTCCCCAAACATCCGGTGCGTCACCCCTCGCTCTCTGCCAAGTTCACATCTCTTGTGATACTCTGAATAACTGACAACACACACAAAGTCCCGTCCAAGACCCGTCCCTTTCTTTACTGCCATTTTAGAGCCCGTGTGCCCTTTCAAGGATCGATGCCCCCGACAGTTTGACAGTTTGCCAGGTACGTACGTGGGGGCCTTCCTCCCGTTGTCGTCCCCAGTTGCCCCAAGCCAAGGCTACACTTGCCCGCCGGCGCCATCGTCATTGGCCAAGCCCAACCTGCCCACCCGGAGCCTCACTCTCTGGTCGACATTGTCCCGTTTCAGCATACCAGCAGCGGCTCTTGTTTGCTTGCACCGTCATTGTGGCTTCAGGCACTGCCATTGTATCCTCTGTCTGCCTCTGCTGCCCCTCCCCAGCTCTCCCGAAACCCTAGTATTACATCATTCTAATCAATCACAAGACCCCTCGTCACCTAGACCCGCCATCCCGACCTACTAGCTGCTTCCCCATCCTGACTTGCCTCCACACTTGCTGTTCCTCAAGCGCATGCACTTCTGCTCTGCAACCACCTGATAAATACCACGCGGGATCTGCTTGCCGACTAGCGATAGAAACGCAATCATCGAGCCAGACCGACGAAGCGATAGATACCCCTACCCCTTCCTCCGCCCACAGCCACCGACGAATATCCCCACAACCTTCCTAACCCGTCGTACCCCTCACGAAACTTTATCAACCTCCCCACTTACCTCCATCCCACATTCACCAACCTGGCAGGCCACAAGCGTCGCAGTCTCTCCTCGCAAGGAGGCCTATTGAATAGGATGTTTGGTGGCGGCTCGAGCTCTTCGGTTTCAAAGCCCGAGAACTCTTCGTCCTCCGACGCCAGCACTAGCCAGAAAGAAAAGGTTGGCAGTAAGTCGCCGTCGCCTGATGCTAACGCCGCATCCAGCTCCGGCGGAGCTTCTCCGACGCCCGTAAAGACTACCAACCAAGCTGGCAGCGGGGAGAAACGCAGTGGCAATGGCAGCCCGCCGAGCTCGGGAACCTTGGCGGAACAGAAGAAGCGCCGGAGCAGTGGGGTGAGCGGCAGAGCCAGCAGCCTGATAGCCCAAGCTAAGAATACGCTCTTTACGCAGGTTGGGAATCGTACCAACAACACTGAACCGGCCTCCGAGTCCAAGACGGCGAACCCGAGTCCTCTGCAAAAGCTCGGCAAGCAGGATCAGGCACTCGCAGTACCCCAAGGGCAACACAACAATGCCGCTGGGGAGTCTCTCCCCGGTCCCAGATCGACGTTCCGTGTCGGTGTTTGGGAAGATCGGAATAAGAAGTGCAGGCGGACTATGGAAGATACTCACGCCTTCCTCTACAATTTCCTTCACACCCCTGCTCCGGCGCTAGGTGCTGAGACCGGAAACCAGAAGTCTCAAAAGTCTGCCAACGATCCCAGCAAGCCTCCTCAGAGTGGCGGTGTTCCTAAGAGTGGCGGTGTTCCTACCCCGGACATGGTAGAGACGGACAATGGCTACTTTGCTATCTTCGATGGACACGCTGGGACATTTGCTGCAGATTGGTGTGGGAAGAAACTGCACATAGTCTTGGAGGAGATCATCAGGAAAAACCCGAACCTGCCCATTCCTGAGCTACTCGATCAGACCTTCACATCAGTCGACACACAGTTGGAGAAGCTGCCGCTCAAGAATAGCGGCTGCACAGCTGCCATTGCTGTCCTGCGCTGGGAGGATCGGGTTCCAAGCAATTTCTCGGCGACTGGCTCTCAGGCCATCGCGCCAGCTATTGCAAAGGCCGCGGAGGAGGCTTCCAGATCGAAAGACATCGAGGCCCCCGACGCCTCAAATTCTGCTGCCAATCCAGAGGTAACTCACTCGAGATTAAGAACCGCCGCAACGAGACAGCGCGTCCTCTACACGGCGAACGTTGGCGATGCCCGCATCATTCTCTGCCGCTCGGGGAAGGCCCTTCGTTTGTCATACGACCATAAGGGGAGCGACGAGAATGAGGGCAAGCGCATAACTAATGCGGGCGGCTTGATCTTGAACAACCGCGTCAATGGTGTACTCGCCGTAACGAGAGCTCTGGGGGATTCGTACATGAAGGATCTCGTCACTGGACACCCGTACACGACAGAGACTGTCATTCAGCCTGAGCTGGATGAGTTCATCATCATTGCTTGTGACGGCGTACGTGCCCCCAACCAAAGCCCCACTCCCCACTCTCCCGGGGCGTCTAGACTGCCTTGAAGCTAACCGTTCAATAGCTATGGGATGTTTGCTCTGACCAGGAGGCCGTCGACCTCGTCCGAAACATCCAGGACCCCAGTCCGGCCGCCAAATTGCTCGTTGACCACGCGCTAGCTCGCTTCAGCACTGACAACCTGTCGTGCATGATTGTGCGATTTGATAAGCAGGCCCTGCTTGAGAACCAGAACAACAGAGACAACCCAATCGGCGTGGAAGGCGACTCAGCAGCTAGATCGGGTCATGTGAGCGAGGCGGACAAGATCGTCATCTCGACAAAGCAGAAGATTGCGGAAGGCGGAGCGCCGGCTGTCGGCATCTCGGCTACCAACAGCGGTCGTGGCCATGACTCTGTCCCCACCGAGGGCGGGGATGCGTCTTTCGTCCCGACCATGATTGAGGGATCTGTGGAAGAAGAACCAAGTTCGATCGACGATTCTCCGGAAGTGACACCCGGCGTCGCCGTCCCCGAGGTGACCATGGGCTCCCCGAAGTAGCTGGCCCAATTCAGGATAGCCAGAACCTTTTGCAGCTGTACCGTTGTCAGCTTTGCTACGTGGTGTGTCCGGGGATCAGCGGAGGACAAAAATTCCAGCCGTGTGACTCGATATGTTCCACGACCAATCCTCGGAGTTTCTGAGGAAATTGAAGGCGGGGAAGGGGGGAATCGTTTTTTACTAGTCTTAAGAATTCAGCAATGGTATAGTCGGAGATCGAAGTGGTGTTACTCCGACCAGACTAGTTATCCAGAGAAGCAAGCGTCGATGTTGGCTAAGGCATCATGCCTTGCAGACCGGGTGGGTGGCCGGCCTGGTGGTGGACGGCGCAATGACTGGAGCCGGAGCCGGAGCTGGAATGAAATACAAATATGTAGCGGTTATTGTTCGTCATGGTATTGGGTGATTTGGAAGTCCAGGGGCTCCCTGGGTTGTTGTTGTTGTTGTTGTTGTTGTTGTTGTATTGGCCGTCAACCTGTAAGATAGGACTCATTGTGATATTGAGGCAATGCCGCGGACGGAGCATAGGTATGGAATAGACAGCTGGTGGAAACTCGCTGCTATCAAACAAGTCTGGGAGGCAGAATACGAAGCGACTTTTTTTCTTTCTTTTCTCATCGTTGTTGAACCAAAGCATATTCTCCTGGGATGACTACCTACATATTCTACCCAAATATCCTACCCAATTCCCCCTACGTGCATCGTCGATCTCGACCGTGATAGTTGCCGAAGGGGTCCGCGGGGGACGTTGCGCTAATGCCAATTCTTGGCGATTCGGCCACGGGCCACGGGCTCGTCAAAGGACGCGATGTGGGGCCAGTGAGAAGGGGTGGGCAGCTCGCAAGAAGAGGTGTGGTTACACGGACGGGTGAGTCGAAGGCTCTGATGACATGCCTAAAGCCCTACACATGGGCAACTACCACGAACCCAGGCAGTTTCTGTGGTACTGCAGCTGCACGATGCAGAGCAATGGCCTTCGATTCCAGCAAGCAACAAGAAAATACGTACTACTCTGCACCGAGGACGAATGGCGGATCGAGAAGGTGCGCTAGTGTATGGGTCAAAGCGGCCAGATCGAACTGAGTATCAGAGTATCTGCTGCACAGCACCTCGTGGCGATTCTGCCGGGACGCTTTGGCCCCAGCTAGGAATGTGCATGCAGAGGAAAAGGAAAAGAGTAGAGTAGAGAGAGCACAAGAGAAGAAAAAGGCGGCGGCGGCGGCGGATCGGGTCGACACGAGCGAGGCGCCTTCCCGACATATGTTTTAATGATCTGTCTACTGCGTAGACCTCGTTTCCCCGAGGTGCCCGTTGCCGCCAATGAGGAGTGTGTTCGCGTGAGACGTTTCACGAAACCTTATATAAAGTTGGAGCTCGAACGCCGCCCCCCTCCCCCCCCCCCCCTCCATCCAACCGGGAAGAACGGTAACTGGCAGCGAATTCCAGTCCCGAATTTGGGGACACCAGTCCCTCTTCGTTTCTGAGGCAGGTTTCGGGGGAATTGAGGCGGCCCAGGCAAGGGGTGACCGACCGACAGAACAATTTGGAGCCAGCTGCCAAAGTTTGAAGGTGCCGCCTCAACCCCTGCCGGTCCCCCTTGCCCTCCTTTGCTCCCCTTGCACACTAATATCCACCATGCAATCAGTCCTCCCCCCCTGCTGGCGCTGTGTCATTGGTAGGGGGACGTTGAATGGAGTGAATGGGGGGAATGGGGTTTCCAGAAGATCGTTCAGGGATTAATAAAATAACTCCCGTTCTTCTGCAACGCCTCGGCGCTCCCTCCTCCCTTCTTGAACCAGATAATGCTTTCCTTCGTTTGATCCCGCTGTAGTGTCTCTTCGGTTTCCGATTCACCTTCAGTCTATTTCCCCGCCATCCTTGTCTCATCTCATTTTCATTTGTTTTAGCTGATTTTGCCTTCTTTCTGCAGTGGGAAGCCCGAAACCCGGGTTCCTGCACAGGTTCAGTGGCCGACCGTACCTCCCGAGCCTCGAGCCTTCCGAACCAGCAGCCCAGGTACCCGCCGTGCCCAGAGGTCCTTCCGAAGCTGCTCTTGCCTATGCCATTGCTCGACATATTGCAGCACAACACCAGTCTCTACGTGCTTGGGTGGTGACGCTGGAATAAACCCTTCTCATTCGCTCCAGCTTTGCACGGGTTATATCCATGTTATCGCCTTGCCCGACCTACTCGTCTCTGCCGCCGGCCGATTCGATCGGTACATCTGACCTTCTTCGGCCTTGGCCCCTGAAATTGGCCATCGCGGGCGTGTTCTAGCTGGCCTCAACATTTACCCACCACAATCTCCCATTTCAACCCGTGGTCGCAAAAGTAGAGACCAAAACGGAAAGGGGGACCTGCGGAGATGTCGCTGAATGGCTTGGACGATCCAAAGGTCAAGGAAGCGCACGAGACCGCTGTCGCGGAACCTGGAGGATGGTATGCCCTTTTTGCTCTTTTTGATCTCGGTACCGCGCCGCGCCGTGCATATTTCCGGCCTACCCTCAACCAGGCTCTCAGCCCATCAACGCATCTTATCTTTCCTCAATTGAACTTTCTCTGTCCCGTGTTCCGTGTCGATCTCAAACACCTGGCTGATGTTCCGTTTCTTGAAACAGGTTCCTCCTCAAGTACTCCAGTCGCGATGAGGTGGAGCTTCTCGGGCGCGGGAATGGTGGCATCGTCGAAATTCGCAATAGCATCGCTCAATATGACGAGTCCTCGCCACTATATGGGTTCCTGAGATACAGGAGGAGAAATGTTGTCATCAAATACCTACCAGAGGACTGTTCTAGGCTCATCCAAGGTATGTCTTAACGGCCCTCGTCCTTGGCTTCGCTCCCTTTTAGCTCCGGCGAGCCTGCCTTGTTTCTGAACAATAGGGACATGGATCAATGCTGACTCGTCCACGACTCTAGCACGAGTGGCTGTTCACTTCAACTCTGTCTGTGACAGGTTCTCGCCCCACGATACCACCTTCGCCATTTCTACCTCCAAGGAGCTCAAAGATACCAAGCTCTCCGCGGCTTGCTCCTTGCACACAGCTTCTGGCTCAACATCATCCTCGACAAGTTCCCTCCGTCGGAGGCGTTTGATGGAAATTACAGAAGAGGAAGAAGAGGAGCAGAGAGAAAAGAAAAGGCAATCTACCGTGAAAGAAGAAGAGCGCCCAAAAACCCCGGGCCCCGACACCACCTCGCCTCCTGCCGGCTCGCCGTCCTCGCCGCCTCCTGTCACCCTCAATTCAGATTTTGCGACCACTCTTGCAGCTTCTAACTTCGCTACCACCACTGAGCCCCACACCTTTACGGGTGTTCCTCGCCCGAGCTCGCCAGCCAAATCCTTCGATGACGCTACGCGGCGACAGTCTTATTATCCGGCTCGACCTGACCTATACAGCTACTCGTCCTATACATACGGCAAGCCGAAAGTAAAGCTCGGCCCTCGGCCTTCACTAGACGTGGGCGGGAGACCACGGACTTCGGCCGGGACCGACAACTTTAGGCCCGTTGCGACTATGCCAACCGGGCTGAAGCTGTCAAAGGGCTCAAGAAAGGGAAGGTCTCAGGATAAGACCCTTGACGAGGCGGAGTCGCCTCCAATCAAAGAGGAGACGACAGACACGCTGGAAATCGCCTTTCTGTCTTCATCCATTCCCGAGAACCGTTCACTCGGGTCTGGTTTTGAGCTCACTAGGCCGCACACAAGTGGCGGGGGAGTGCCATCGCTCAGCTCGTCTGCAGCGATGAAGTCAAATATGCCGAGCCTTCCCAGTCTATCAACGAAGCTGAACACCATGAGCCCCGAAAAGGCACGCCTGATGAAAGCCAAGAAATTGAGGGAGATGAAGAAGATGAATTTGCCACAGTCAGGCAGCCCTGCCGCCGAGGGCCCTGCTGAGCCTAGCATACCAGGGCTACCGGTGGACGGAAAGACTGAGGCTGCAACTGCAGACACTATGGCCGACCAGGAGGAACTTGTGGCGAAGAACGACGGCGACGCGGATAGCCGACTGTCAATGTCGAATGCTGATTCAGGTGTTGCCATTGATGCGCCGAATGACCATGGTTCGGTAGATACCCGGATGGATTCACATCCAACTTCCCCGATTGCATCGTCGTCGGACATTGGCGATTCGACCAAGGCATCTTCGTTGTCCGAAACTACCGACGAGACACTTCAGGTCGACCACGAGCAGAAGGACTCCTACACCGACATTGATGGCAATGAGGATCGCGAGACCGAGATTGCCTCGGCCGACCAGACTTCCAATGAACCTGAGGACGACGGTGCCGACCAGCGGCTACCGACGGAGAACCAGGTGGATGAAACAGAGGCCTCGGTGTGTGAAGACAAGACCATGCAGGCCGACGAGGAAGTCGAGGACGAAGAAGTTGAGGTGAAGAAGGGGGAACCGGCGACCCAGAGCGCTGCCATACCTATTTCCAAATTCGCCTCAGTGTCGTCTTCCCAAGTTGCTGAGACCGAAGTGATTGAGGATGTGGGCTCGACCGAACCGCCAACAAAGGTGGACTGCACCTCTACGTCGGGAGACGGAATTGTCAACGGAGAATCACTAGACTCATCTAACTCTCCGCGATTCGCAATTCCGCTTTCGAGGTTTTCGACTCAAGAAACCAGGCCTCCAAGTGGGACAACCCCCAGCCCTGTACCAGCCATTATCACCCCGTTGCCAGAGGCCGAGCAAGAGGGTCCGGCCCAGGAGAGCAAATGGGCCAAAGAAAAGGGGACTAGCGAGGCTGATGAGACGGCGTCTATCGAGACCAGGCGTTCCAAGCGAAAGGTCCTTGTCGACCCTATTCGCACCGACCTTCCGGAGAGAACCCACTCCGAGGCCAACCTGTCCGATGACGACGACTTGATGGACGAGCTGCAGTCAGCGACTTTGCAACAGGCACAGCCAATGACTGTCTCGAAGTCTCCCATCACATCAGTCTTCCCCGGTCCGTCGCCTCAGCAACCTACCGCCGACCTTGATAGCATTACAGTCGCTTCACAACCGCTGAGAGCGGTATCGAACCCGCTCCGAACCCCCCTACTGACGCCGCCGGATTTGTCCAGCAGTTCAGCCCGGGCCGTCTCATCAGGCGCGGCATTCTTGCACAAGATCACCCAGCAGTCCTCATCCAACGATCTGCGACCGAAGACGCCCAAGATTGGCTCGAGCATCTCTCAGCGAATCAAGGCGTTGGAGATGCTGTCTGGGAGCGCGGCGTCAGGTGATTCGGCCAGTAAGGATCGGACATCGTCGTCATTCTTCTCGGTCCGCAAAACCAGCATTCGCGAGCCGTCGAGATCACCGTCTGTTGTTGAGCGAGCTAGCTCTATGAAACGGGGGACAACCCCTTCACCCCCGCACTCGCAAGAATCCTCCCCCGATACAGCAAGGCCAACACGTTGTGACCGGTCTGGCTCCATGGCCAGTCGACTGTCCATATTCGAGGGCGGCAGCGTGCCCCGCGGCCGGCCCGAGTCGATTCAGGTCACCGCTCGGATAGTTCGCGATCCCTCGCAGCCGTTCCCGAAAGTCCCCGAGCTCAAGGCTGACGCCACTGCGTTTGGCTACCTCGAGCTGAGGCAGTCACCTCTGGTCGTGGACCATCAAAGGGCAGACCACGCTGCTTTCCCGACACAGCGTGAAGGGGGGGTTCAGGCTGAGGGTAGGCAATCCCTGCTCGAACGACGGTTGTCTAAAGATCGTCGGTCACAATCTCAAGACCGAGTTGCTGAGAGTACGAAGAACGATCTCCAGGACGAGACAGAACCAATCAACCGCCCACGGAGACGGTCGTCTCTGACGATAGTTAAGGACTTCATCAAGGATCGCCGCGACTCTCTGCTTGGTGCAAGGTCTCCTTCCACTGATAACCTCCACCTCAACCTCCACCAGCCTTCGGGAAACCTTGCGTCCCCAGCAGTCCTCACGCCTTCGCGCTCTCCCTCGCGGCCCCCATCTGTCCATCAGAACTCGATATTTCCTCGCCGGCTCAGCATCAGCAGTCGGCGATCCTCCGTCGACCAAAAAAGCCCCGCTCTCCCCACGGCCGGTCTCTCCACTGGCCCCCTCTCCCCGTCCTTGATGACAGAAGCAAGCGGCGAGTCAGACGGTGATGACAACAGGAGATTCGGATCCGGGTCGTCGACGGGCGCTACAAGCCCCAACCCGGGGGCCAAGGGAAACCGTGCCTCTCGGTTCATGCGTCGTCTGTCGAACTCTCTAAGCTCGAGCCGTAAAAACGTAACGCCATCCATCTCCCCCACCGTCACGGAGGAGGACGATGCCGAGGTTGCAGCACAGAGCGGAGAAATGGTCCCTCCGTCCAGGGGCAGCCTGGCCACGGGATACCTGCCGCCTTCTATCGTGTCATACTTGGGTGACGTCAACGTGCAGTTCCCCGACAACTTGCTCTGGAAGCGCCGGACCATGTGTCTTGACAGCCAGGGATTCCTTATTCTGAGCACCGTGCAAGGAGTGTCACCTACCGTATCAGCGGCAGCCGCTGGGGCGGGAAGGGATAGGCACCTTCAGGCCGGTGCCATAAAGAGATATCACCTCAGCGATTTCCGGGCGCCCTATACGCCCGAGATGGAAGTCCAGGAACTGCCCAATAGTGTCGTCTTGGATTTCGTCGATGGGAGCGGCCTGCAGATCGCCTGTGAGGATCGTGCGGGACAATTAAATGTGCTGCATAGTGAGTTCTGCACCTATTTTCTCTGTTCCTCATCCTTGACATTCTCGACAATACGCTAACGTACCCAACAGTCCTCCAAGACGCTCACCAGAACCATGACTCGTTTGGACTGTAAAGGAGGCTCCTTGTTCGTCTTGACTCGTACATACGTCTCTTATCGCCCAGCTTCTTCGATTCCTCAACCCCTCTCCCGGGGCCCCCACGAGTCTTGAACCAATTATTGCGTTCGGGATTTGGAACAAACAACCCCTGACAGATGTCTCCTTGCAAATTACCTGTTTTTTTTAATCCCAGTACCGGCTTACCAGGAACGTTGACAACAACGATGCCCATATGCCGCGACACCCAACCCTATCAGATTCCCATCAAGTCGGTCCCTCCTTTTTTTTTTGGTTTCCTTTCATCAAGTCTCCCCGGAAGAAACGGAGAGGGAAACGGAGAAGAAAAAGCTGCACTGTTTTACGGCCGACACCAGCCAATTTATGTGATACCACCCCTATTTCTGCGGGATTTCCTTTTCCCCCTTGTTTCTTTTACTCTTTTTCTTCTTATTTTGCTTTCCTTGGTTTGCAATTATGCTCTTGCATTCTTCATCATACCCCAAGGATGGAGAGGGGGGTTGAGAAGACGAGGCCTCGCAAGGCGAAATGGCCCAGTTGAGGGAGGAACGGGGAGAGAGGAGCAGAGCAGGAGGAAAGAAAGGGCGAACCTCCCGAATAGCAGGGGTTGGACGGACGAGGTCAATCTTGCGCGGCGCGGAGTGAGATCAGCTGTACAAACAGACCCACCGTCGCACCGTGCCATTTCTGTACATATTTCCACCCACGATGAGAGCGAGTAGTCTGGCGAAGCATGGCCGTTCTGCCCGTTTGTGGAAGTGGTTCGAGAATTCAAAATTTTCACCTTCGAAGGAAGTGCCAACGGTCGATGACGATCAATGCGAACGAGTAAATGCCCTCTCCCCCTTTCCCTATGTGGTCTCAACTATAATGGCGAAGGACGATTCACAGCGGTTTGGCAAGGGACGTCATGATTTGTTATTTGTTCATTGATGCAATTGTAAGCCTCTCTCAGCCCCGAGACTGCCGGCCGATAAACCTCGAAAACGTAAACTAATGTACATACAAAGACAGACGGAACCTGTGCGCTCGCGGTTCCGTGTCGTGAGATGAGATAATGCCAGCCAGTCCGGCCCTTGCCAGCTTCTGCGCCCTAGTATACTCTAACAAGAAGAATTATGTGCCAAAGGTGGCGGGTGGGCAATGCCAATCCAGAATCTCCCCTTCCCGCTGGGAGGTCTGAAAGCAGAAGGATGGGGTTTCCGAGGTGGTGGAAGGCTCCAGAGGCGGGCTATTAAGAACCGCCTCGGAGATGCGGGAAGATACCGATACAGGATGTTGCCGTATTGTACAATCGATGGGGGGAATTGTGAGAAGATGGGGTTGGTATGGCGTGAAGGCGTGTAGGTCAGCGTTAGCAACCTAGGTTGTGAGAAGCGTCGTGGAAACAGCGAGAGCCGAAGGTGCCGGGAAAGCTCCCCCCCCAAGCCCTTCTTCGATATGACTTCTTCCCCGTCACTTCCTCAGACCCGTCCAATCCGGACGCAGCGCCAATCAAGCTTCCGTCTAGCCAGCAGGCAGCCGCCTCAGAGCGCCGGCTTGGCCTCGCGCCCGAGCGCGGCGCCGACCCTCTCGGCGGTGCTCGCGTCCGCCTCGCCGTCGGCGCCGGCGGTGAGGAGCTCGCCGCCCATCTCGCGCATGCGCTGCTCCTGCTCCATGGCGATCATGTTCTGCTCCTCGGCGTAGGCGAGGGCGAAGGGGACGCCGATCAGCAGGGCCGAGACCGACACGGTCCAGGCGGCGCGGCCGCAGAAGACCAGCGTCGTCTTGACCACGTGCGTGGCCGCCTGGAACTTGTGCCACACCCAGCCGCGCGTCGTCGGGGGGATCATGTCGCGGAGAGCGTACAGGCGGTCGCTGAGCGTCTCCTGGCCGGGGTCGAAGTGGCTGTCCGTGGAGATCTCGGAATCTGGGAAGCGACGCTGGTTAGTCCCGCAGAGTAATGATTCCTGAATGCATTGGTAGATCACTCACCGGTATCGGTGAAGTCTTCATCTTCCTCCTCCTCGCCCACATGGCGGTTCTGGAAGTGCTCATCCTCTACCTCGACAAGTTGAACCATGGCTGCGTCTCGGAGCTGTCGAAGTCGCGGATGCTGGATGGGGTCGAACTCGTCGTATCTGCCCAGCTTCGAAAATGAGAAGATGGGATATGGCCGGTGCCAAGGAGGAAAATCGAGGACGAGCTGGGCTGCAATGGGAGAGCTGCAAATAAGTGCTTCCTAGATGACGCGGAGTGCAACTCTGGGAAGGTGTTCTTCAAACTTCTCTAGTCTTTGACCAAACTCGTCTCTCACTAACAGGTCGGGCCGCTCCCTGAGGAAATTTTCCATTGTGGCTAGGACTGGAGATGGCTTGTTCGGATGATGGTATTTTCCGTTTCCGAGGTTTCTCCGCGCGAACGAGTGCGGTGGGGATTTCAAAAAGGCCTATGCAGTATACCCCCACTTTGGAGCACAGACCATTCCCGAGCACTGCACTTCACAAGCAATTCAAGCTTCCAAAGCTTCATTGCTGGAACAGCTAGATTGCGCGCCTGCTTATTATACCCATAGATATCGACAAGGAAATATCTAAGCCTTGTAAAGCACTCACGTCATCCCGTCTGTTGTAGAGAATACTTCCTGTACCTTGAGTAAGACAAGCAAGCTCTTCAGCTTTTGTGAATGACTGAGAGGCCAACCTACTCCTACTTGACTGACGACTCTCAGAGCTCTACTGCGACAAGCAAGACAGACCTATTACTCAAGATGGAGGCGTTTTAAATCGAGGCGAAACTCGCGGGAGATACGACGGGTATCGTCAATCTTCTTTTAGTGGCTCTCTTTCCAGACAAGCTGGCAGGAGCACTTGGCCAAGACTTGCTTTGACTTGAAATACCATTACTCTCAAATATGAGTGTGAATTGCTATCAATGCTTGCTAATGTGAGAAACAATGAATGCCTCAAACTCTAATGACGCCCCCGACCTCTCCCGGCCATGTGTCGCTGCTACAACTCGCTCTTTCGCAAAGGGGTTGACAACCAACCATCCGCTCAGCGTTTGCTTCTATCCGGGGCATCAGCAAACCGAATGCCACGCTTAGCCCGCGGAACCCTCGGGGTATCATCATCCTCGCTATCCTCATCTTCGTCCGCGCCTGTCGACGACATTCCGAGTGCAGCCTCTCTCCGACGCCTCTCGGCTGGTGTCTCTGCCATCTCATCCTGGTCATCCCCGACACTCTTTAACACGGCGAGGCGGCGCCTCCGTTCCACAGCGGTTTCATCATCGTCTTTCCTAGGCGCAGGTGATCCGGTAGGAGACGGCGAGGTAGACAGTGAACGGCGGCGGCCACCCTTACTGCTTGAAGAGTCGGTTTCCGACGGCTTGGTCCGTTCTGAGGTATTGGCGGGCCTTCCGGCGACAGCCTTGCCTCGAGACGACGACTGGTCCAAGGACTCGGTTGGCTGGATATCCTGATTTGCTAGAGTCTTGATAACACCGGAGGCGTCCGAGTGCTCCACGATTTCGCGACGCGTGCTCTTATCAAACTTCTGCATCTCCCGGATGAAGTCCGCCTTGGTCATCCGCTGGCCCACTCCTCCAATGGTGAAGCGGATGTGCCGGTCGTCTTCTTCTTCAGCCTCTTCCGCCACACTCTTCTTCCTGGCTCTCTGCGCAGACGGTTCCCCGCCACCGCCAGTTGATAGGCCGAATGCTCCGGCCCAGCTGACCTTGCTAGACGTTCCCGGTTTGCCGGCTCCTTTGGAAGCGGCCGCGGAGTCGTCCTCTCCCGCTGCGCCGGCAGTGGGCTGTGACCTTTCGCCTGCTCTAACCAGGCCGCCCATACCCATGTACTTCAAGCTTTGACTCACGAGGTCACCGCCTTCTTTATCTGGCTTCTGAGACGGAAGTTCGTATTTCTTGAGGACCTCACCATCTTCGTCCTCGACGATAATCTAGATAGGGTCAGCTAAAATATCCCTTCAAGGGCATAGGTCTCGCTTACTGTGCTGCCGAATTGGTAAGCTCGTGCGGGTTCGTGCTTTCTCGCCTTAGTCTGCTTCTCCTTTCGCTTTTGGATCTCTTCGTCGCGCCAATTGCCGATTTTCTTGACTAGATTCTCGTAAGTCCATCCAGAAGGACCCGGCTGTCCTTGTAATTCCGATTTCAGAGCCGTGATAGGTGCGCTAGATCCTTCTTCATCCTCGATGGGGGGCTTCACGGCTAGGACATCGCCTTGCTGGTTCTCTATGATTATATGGTCGCCCTCATCATAAACCTCGACCTGATTAGTATCCTGCTGATGGGGAGTTGGACTTTCCGCAGGGGAGATCTCCATCTCCTCGTCATCTTTCTCAGGATCCCGTTCACCACGTTCCTTGGGCCTCCCCCGTCTGGAAGACACTGTAGGAGAGGCGACGTTCGATGCCTGGCTTTCTTGCTGTGATTGGCTTGAAGTCTCGCCATGAAGCGTTGCCAGTGCCTGCTCGCTTTGGGTGCGGCGCTGTGGGAAGATGGCAGATTGGCTGATGGGCCCGCCTGGGCCAATACCGTCATCCCACTTCTTTCTTTTCCGCCGTCCCGACACAGACGAGGTTCTGCTGCCTTGCCGGCTAGGATTATCCTCATCCTTGACACGGCGTAAGAAATTGCCAGGCATACCAACGGGTGGTAGAGTGCCAGGGGGGAACTCCGGGAGTTTCAACTCATCAGCCTCAGTATCTGACATTGTTCTCGCCTGAGATCTCGACTGCGAAGAGATGCGAGGGAGACGGTTCATCCACGACGGTCCTTCCTCGGGTGCTGTCGTGTAGGACATGGTGATGGTCAGGGTGTTGATGTGTTTTCCTAGAGTAAACACGGCGATCGTAGATCCATGGACTAGGATGGAGGCAACGACTATGAATGTTACGATTGGCCACACCAGGGCTATTAGGGTATAATTCGGGGAACCGGGAGGCGGTAGTTCGGAGAGAGGGACCGGATGATCGGATTCCAGCTCAGCCCGAGCCAGAATTGCCACGAAGATAGCCCCGACGCCTATAGGCCCGAAGTGGCCGGCGAAGAGGGCCTCGCGCCAAGTTTTGATATCGGGTATGAACGGCTTCAGGACCATCATTATCGGGATCCGGCGGAAGAAGATGACGAATATCGCGATGATGACCAGCTTCCAGGCTTGCAAGCCCAGCTCAGGGCTGTTAAACTGCTCCCAAGGGATGATGGTTCCGAAGTAGACGAAATAGGTGAGGTTGAGAAGGAGGTCGATGACGTTGGAGACATGGGACTCCTCGGTCTTCTGGGTGAACCAGCCGTCGTTCGAGAAGCCTACTCCGCAGGAGAATCCGACGAGAAGATCATCAACTCCCAGAATGCTACCAGATCCTGCACAAAACAGGGCTAAGACGAAGTAGAAGACGAGGAAGCTCTCTCTGTCGATCAGGTCGTGCTTTTCGGCATATTTAATGCCGTGTCGAGCGAGGTATCCTAGGATGAACCCGTAGATTGCGCCGAAAATGCACTCGTAGAGGACGGTAAAGACGATCCAGTGGTACGTCACCTCTTTCGCACTCAAACGGTCTTGGATCAGGTAGAGTGACAGGTATACAAATGGGAACGCCATACCATCGTTACAACCAGACTCGGCGGAGAGCAGATCTCGCAAGTGCTTTGGCACCCGCTTTGCAAATTTACCCTTGCCCACAACAGACGAGGCAAGGACAGGATCAGTGGCAGTGACACAGGCTGCAACAACCAAACTGTCCAACCAGTTCAACGGCGGAACCATCCACCAGACGACCAGGCTGGTGATGAGCCATCCGTATGTCATGACGGGGAGAAGCAGGAATACGACAGACTTCCAGTGCTTTTCCATGTAGAACTTGGGCAGCTCGACCCCAACAGCAAAACATTGCACGACGAGAACGATGCGCGAGAACTCGATCGTGACAATGTCAACACTGCCCCATGACAAGGGATTGATCAGATTAGCTGCGTGCGGGCCGAAGATGAGGCCGCAGAGAGTCGCCACCGTGGCTTCACCAATATACATGCGCTCCTTGATAACGGTGGAGCATAGCATGAAGAGGGAGGTAAAGCCCCCTAGAATGATGTAGACCAAGTGCGAGTTGGTGACCGACAGGTGATCCCACGCCATGGCTCACAGCTGAAGGGCCCAGTTCGGGCAGGGCCAAGGACGAAACTTGGCAATGGATGGTTGATGTTGTAGCTGCGGACACACAAGAAGCCTGGGACGAGAAAGGCCCAGTGGCAGCTTGGCGACGCAGGCTCCCCAATCGATCGAATCCGTCCTGACGAAAGGCCCGGGGCTCGATGCATGCAGAAATGGAGCAGTTGTGCGGAGCCGGCCAATGCTATGGATGGCGATCCTTCACCTTAAATGTAACGTCTGCGATGACGGAACACAGCCGCGCAGACCCACGGGAGAAGAGTCAGGAGTGGGAAAGAAGGAGAGTAAAATAATGACGATGGGTGAACAACAAAGGCAAGGCGCCAGAGTTGAAAAGTAAATAGGTACAATTCATGAGCTGCGTCGCAGCAGTCAGGATGTTGACTACATAAAGAAGTTCCCGACAGGAAAAAAAAAAAAGGGCTAAGGAGTACAGGTTCGATGATTCAGGGTAGGTACCTCCCTAGCTCCTAGGTAATTAAAAGGCGTTAGGGTCTATGGAAGTTACTTTACAAGGGGCGTAAAGATGAAGGCACCACCCCCCACGTGCAGAATGTTGTGGGGCGAGGTCGGCCACGGCATGTGGCGGCTGCATCCCACACATCCCGGAAGTTTCCACTTCTACCAGTATCAGTTGTTCCTTTCACGTATATACAATAGGTACCTATCCAGCCCGATCAACTATAAAACCCCGGGCGACTACTGCTTAGATTCGGTTGAGAGAAGCTGAGGTGGAAGTAGATAGATCCCCTAGAATGATTAAATAGCAAAGTCGCTCACTACCAGCACGGAATTGTAGCCCCATTGACCTACCAGGTAACTGCGATGAGTACTGGGTGGCGTGGAAACTTCCATTGAAGAAACCAACGAGAAGTTTTGACTTGGGTATTCAGAGAAAGCATTCGTTGTATGCCCAGCTGTTCCCAAGGGTTCGTTATCTAGGGCAATACTAGTCCAATGCCTGCGTGCCTCTTTGCATTCTACCGCAAGCCGTCGTTGTTATTCTGTCGATATCCCTCGTCCGGAACCCTACGTTACACAGCCACAACGTCTAATGGGCGAAGTAACCTAAAGGTACCTAGTAATAAGCAATTTCCTGGAGTGGAATTGGTGTTGAGAAGGGTTGAACTTAAGGTCAACCCGGAAGTTGATATGAATCGATCTGTGCCTACATACATACCTAATCTAGGTAGGTACCTACATCATAGAGGTACTTGTGTGATACCTTTAGACTAGACCAGCAATCTCGACGCAGCAACGCGCCAAGCCCGAGCTATCCCTAAGACGCCCAGCTTCCTGCCCAAGTGCAGATGGAGCATGGTCAATTCCCAATATCACCCGAAAACATCTGCGAACGATAGTCAAAATGTGCGGCTGACTTCGCTGAGGTCACGCGGCAATAACACCGCCGCGGGCAAAGGGACATGATTGCCCGATCGAGGCGCTTGTGCATTGGGAACCTCATTTCATTGGCTGATCTGATCTCTTCCCCCCATTCTCCCACCACGGGTTGACCGGGTTCTTGATAGCTGTCCGTGGTCAGAGCCATTGAGGAATTTTGAGGTAATAAACCAAGTAACTCGGAATCTACAACGCATGAAAAGATCAGGTCTTTCGGCCTAGGTCTTATCAGGGGCTAGGTACTTGATAAGACTCCTATTCGTCGTAGCAGCACTTACACCATCCCGTGGGTTGTGGATGACTAAGCCTATAACCTAGCCAGGGTTATGTAATCCAACTACCCCAACGTATGTACTATACCTAGGTACCTTCCAGACGCGACCTAAATGTCGCGGAAATGGGTACGTGACTTCCTATTTTCTTGAACCCGATAAATACCTAAACACCGAGATCGTGGAATCGCGAACCAATTCGACGCTGTATGTCAGCTGGCGTTTCCAGCTCTCGGTCCCTTCGATCCAGAGCCTTGCGGTGGACCATTGTGCGTTTCCTAGGCCGCCCGGCCCATGTGCACAACATGGCATTCAACCCTCATCGCCCAGCCCCGATGCTGGTTCGAGCAAACCGGGACTTCGAGGCCAAACAGGCCGCCCTGCTACCCGTAGGGAGAACTCCATTGAAGGCGGAGCTAGCAAAACAACTGTTCCCATCCAGCAGCCCGAGCATGACCCAAAATGGGAATATCGAGAACCTCCTGAAAAATCCCCGGAAGCCGTCATCCTCAACACCCCTTACCAAGACCGCAATGTCTGCAACGGACCCTCTGAAACAACGCTCGACGAATATTCCCTGCTCAGGACCTGGTACCACCTCATTCGCATCCCTATACAACCAATCAAACTCGTTCCAGGACGAAGTTATCAATCTCGTCGACGAGGATAGCCAAGACTTACCTGGAAAAACCGTAGCTGGTGTATATTTCGGGGCCAGCGACTTTGATTCCGACGAGGATCTGGATCTGAGTTACGAGGCACCCTCTGCCTTACCACCGCTGCCCCAGAACCACACTCCGAAAGTCCGATTCAAAGACCCCCTCCCGGCAACGAACACAAGCGCTCTTTCCTGGTCGCAGTCATCTCCGTCCCACTACTTGCCTCCACAGAGTCTAGTCGAGTCTTCGCACAAACCGGCCAAGCGGGAATCTCTAGACGATGCATCAACTCCAATTCCCGTTGCGAAGAAGCGGATATTGCCCAAAGATTGGCATAAGCGAGAGGAGGAAGAACTTGACGAGTCCGACCCGCTTCTTGCTGCCACTCCTATCTCCAAACAGGCGCCTTGGGATGCCACAGCTAGTGCAGTCAAGGCCCAGAAGAAGCAGCTGAAGAACCAACAGAAGAAACCCGCCAGAGATTCGGAGCAGATCGGCATGGATGAGATTCAGGAAGTTGTCAATTCGCATCATGCTGCTGCTAAGACGTCAGCCATCTCTCTCAGCAATGAACAACGGCACGTCAAGAGCTTGGTGGTCGAGAAGAATCAAAGTGTGTTCTTCACCGGCCCTGCGGGTACAGGAAAATCGGTCTTGATGCGTTCCATCATCCAGGATCTCAAGAAAAAGTACGTGAGGGACCCCGAGAGAGTTGCTGTTACGGCATCTACTGGGTTGGCGGCATGCAATATTGGCGGCATGACCCTACACAGCTTTGCTGGTATTGGTTTGGGCAAGGAAGATGCCCAGGCTCTCGTCAAGAAGATCCGCCGCAATCCCAAGGCCAAAAATCGCTGGCTTCGGACCAAGGCTCTCATCATTGATGAGATATCCATGGTTGATGGTGACCTTTTTGATAAGCTATCCCAGATCGGTAGAATCATCCGCAACAATGGCCGGCCATGGGGTGGAATTCAACTAGTCATTACCGGTGATTTCTTCCAGCTTCCCCCTGTCCCAGACGCCAGCAAGCAGAGGGAGACCAAATTTGCCTTTGAGGCTGCAACCTGGAATACGTCCATCGACCACACCATTGGCTTGACCGAAGTCTTCCGCCAACGTGACCCTGGTAAGCTCGGAGCAAGATCTGCCGGTTGTCAGAGCTAACAAAATCTCCAGTCTTTGCCGAGATGCTCAACGAGATGCGCCTTGGAAGGATCAGCGATCAGACATTGCAGAATTTCAGAGCTCTAAGCAGGCCCCTGCATTTTGATGATGGTCTGGAAGTAACTGAACTGTGGGTGCATCATCCCTTTTCCCGTGTGCAAAAACTCACCCTTGCCAGGTTCCCGACGAGAAACGAGGTGGAGAGCTCCAATGAGCGTCGATTAAGGGCTCTCCCTGGAGCGTCGTTCCGATACAATTCGCTCGACACTGGAGATCCAAACGTCCGTGAAAAGCTCCTCCAGAATATGATGGCACCGAAGGCTCTTGAATTGAAGAAAGGTGCCCAGGTGATGCTGATCAAGAATATGGATGATACCCTTGTCAATGGATCCCTTGGGACCGTGACTGGATTCATGAGCGAGGGTACTTTCGAGCTCATGGGAGATGGCGAGGATATAGGCAGTGGCGTGGACAGCGAAGCCAATTCTAAAGTCAAGCAGCGGATCAAGGCCTTCAGCATGGACTTGGAAGGAAGTACAGGAACCGATAACAGGGAATATCCTTTGGTGAGATTCCATGCCGTGGATGGCTCGGAGAGGATGCTTCTGTGCATTCCTGAGGACTGGAAAGTGGAATTGCCGACTGGGGAAGTGCAGGCATCGCGCAAGCAACTCCCCCTCATCTTGGCCTGGGCCTTGTCAATCCACAAGGCTCAGGGTCAGACTCTGGAGCGCGTCAAGGTTGACCTGGGCAGGGTGTTTGAGAAAGGGCAGGCATACGTCGCGCTCAGCCGAGCGACTACCCAGGAGGGCCTCCAAGTGCTTCGTTTCCAGAAGGACAAGGTCATGGCACACCCTCGTGTCATTGGCTTTTACAACAAGCTGTACAGTGCCGAATCCGCGGTGAAGAAGAAGAAGGTTACAGCTTCAATCACCAATTTCGCCTACAAGCAGGCATCTGGTTCAGACACATTTTAGAGGCATGGTACGGAGTTTCCCAATCTGGACGATGACGAGGAAACAATGGAAACAAATGGAAGCGTTTAGAGACGGTGGGAGCCATGGCGAAAATAAGGTGTTTTGGGAGAGTCCTCAGGACATGCATTTTCGAACAAAGCAGAGGGAAGAAGGGAGCAGAAGGGAGCAGACTTGGTCTGGTGAGAGGATATGCATCCTCACTCAGGAGCACGCTGCAACACACTGTCAGAGTCATTGTAGTCTTGGTGGAAGGAATGAACATAAATTCTTACCCTTCAAGCTGGCTTAATGATACCAGGTAAACGCTCTTTTACTTGAGTACCTGATAGAGAGAGGTAGGTATGTCCCTCCTTATTCCAGACCTAATCGACCTATTCAGGAATCACTACTCCAAGGTACTGTACATGTACTGTACCTACTAGAGATGGCTTGCATGCAAGGCAAGTAAGATCTATCAAAGTTGAGAGGAACATGTTCACTACATCTGCCTCCCTGCATTTAGGTTTGGAGAACTTTGCCTTTTCATGTTTGCCTCTCCTTAACGAAGCTTGGATAGGGGTTGTTAAAGTCTACCAAAATACGGATCCGTAATCCGTAGAGTCACAGAAATTACAAGGATACCCCGCACACAGTATGAACTTAGCAGTCCACCTAGTTTATATACTGTGAACGTTATCGATAAGCAAAAAGTACCTTCCCCCAAGCTCAGGTTTCCCGACGGCGGCGCTACGGCGTAGACGAATTTCTTGCAATATCACCGTCGCCGAGCCGCCTTCGACTTGTTCCAAGACAACAACAAATTGGCAACCCCGCCGACAAATCCCGCCAATAAATCCTCACCAATAAAACCTCCACCAGCGAACCTACCATTTCGATCTGCGGGTTACTGAGTCTTACATGGTCAGGATTTTTGGGTGTGTTTGGCAACCATGGCGGACCAATTTATTGGCCTCCAGATGCTGGTCACAGTCTGTGATCCACCTGCAAGGCTTCGGGGAATCGTGAGCGAAGTTGAAGCTGGCCTGAGTTTGACCCTCAGTAATGGTATGTCTTAATATTCGCATACGTTGTCGCAAGATTCGGCGCTCTAACATATATCTTACCTTGTAGTGTGGCTACTGGATGCCAATCGTTGGGAGCCACGCGTCACGATCCAGGCAAAAGATATCGTTGACCTTAGCGAAATTCCTCCCGCTCCTCCTCAGAATCCTCCTATTATTCCACCTACAGCTCCAGCGCATCAAGGTCTCACCAACCCAATTACATCAGCCCATCCACAACAGCCAGCCAGCCAAGCTTTCACAGACCCGGCGATATTGGCAGTGGGGAGCCGACCCGGAGCCGCTAGTTCTAATACCAATAGCTCTCCCGACAAGGTTGAGACGAGGCGTCCAGAGTCCATCATAATCCCATGTGTTCAGGTTGGAAGTACCTCTCAGGATGCCACACCAACCGCGGCCGCGGTCGAGTCTCTGAAAGGCTTGAATATCAGTAACCCCCCAGCAATTACGCCAGCGGTGGCTGCGGATGGACCGCTTCCCGCAGGAATTCCGGCGCAGGAGGGTCAGGGCACTGCTCAACGGAAGAAGAGGCGACAGAGAAAGTCAGGCAACACCCGTAACGGCGCGCAGGAGGATGGCGACGTGCTGCCTCAAGCAAACCAGGTGAAGCAAACAGGCAAGGGTAAAGGTTGGAGGGAGACACCGATCCTGCAAAGCGCAGCATCTTTCCAGCCATTCAACTCGCTAAAGAACGTTGGCAAGGGAAAAGCAGCCAACGACAACGACTGGGCTTCCGAAGATGTCACGGATGTCCAGGAGATGGGAGAGTTCGACTTTGAAGGTGGCCTGGCAAAGTTCGACAAGCGCAATCTGTTTGAACAGATGAGGAAGGATGATCAGGTCGAGGAGTCGGACCGTCTGGTTTCACACAACCGCCAGTCCCGCCCGAAACCCGGTACAGCTGGCGGCAAAAACCTACATCACTCGGAGAATGTCCTCGAAAAACCGCCCACGATCCTGAAACCTACAAAGGATAAAGCCGCAAAGGAAACGTCCAACGACTTCTGGAACAGCGAGGCCGACGATAGAATCCTCAATGGTGGTGAACGGCTGAGTGGCAGAGAATTTGGCAGTAGACAGAGCTCGCGACGGGGCGAAAGCAAGATATCTACGAGCCGAAGGTCCCAGTCGCGCAAAGCCAGCGCTGTCATCGCTGGACAAGGATCGACCAGGGTCAGTTCTGGTGTAAGCAACCACCAAATGCGCTCTGCTAGAAGCAGCCAGCCGGGCAGCTGGTCGTCACAGTCATTTATTAACAAGAAGAAGCAGCTCGCCGGCAACACGAGCGCGAAGGGCTTCCACCTCCTCCCATCCAATCGGTTGGTCGAGACTGTGTCTGCGCTCCAGATGCTGAACCTCGAAAACATCGCGCATACCGAGCTTGGGCTGAGTGAGGATATGATGACGGAAAATTCAGGCCGTGGAATTGCTGAAGTGACGCTAATCGCGCTGACTGATCCAGCCATCAAGGTACGACATGCAGCATCCGTGGATCCTACCACTGGGAACAGCCCGCCCCCGACCGTTGTGATTATGGCCGGAAATAATAAGTCGGGCATCCGTGCTGTCGCAGCCGGTCGGCACCTGCGCAACAAGGGCGTCAACGTGCTGGTGTGTGTGGTCGGGATCGAGCGGGGCGAGCGCGAGCTCCTCGAGGACATGCGCCTGCAAGTACGCTTATTCCGCAACTTCGGCGGCCGAGTCTTCTCCAAGATAGACCTCTTCGACCACCTTCGGAAGGCGAGCATCCCGATGCTGACAATCGACACCCCACGAACCTCACTGGCCAGCCTTGCCAAGCCCGCGACGGTGACGCTTATCATTGACGCTCTCCTGGGGCTGGCGATTTCATTCGAGGAGCTCCGGACCGGCGACCAGGCAACCGTCTACGAACTCATCGAGTGGGCCAACCGCAACGAAGCCTTCGTCCTGGCAGTCGATGTGCCGAGCGGTATTGACGCGTCGTCGGGCAAGGCCAGCATCGTCGACGGCAACCAACTCTACGTCAGGCCGCGATACGTGGTGTCGATGGGTGCGCCCAAGCGAGGTCTTCTCGAGGCAATGGCTGCCGGGGATGATGGCCCGGGGGGGGCGGGACCTGGTAACGCCGCGCTCCCCGACGATAGCATCACAGAGTGGAAGCTGTTCGTCACTGACATCGGCCTCGGCGCATCCGTGTGGAAGAAAGCCGGCACTAAGATACGCCGGGGAATCGACTTTGACGACAAGTGGGTTCTCGAGATGAGATACCAGGGCACTCCAATGGGGGAGGACGAGCTTGTCTAGGCGGTGAGACCCAGAACCCGATAACGATGGCGGATAGAACGGTGCGGCGAGCGCTCGGAGTAAATTACTGTATACCCCTAGCTTAGGTTCATTCAAGACCGCACGGCATTGGCGGTCATGGGCGTTTTTATTTTTTCCTATGGAGCGGCCTTCGGAAGGCAGAAACCTGAACAGCGGTTTCGCAATCCTCCGCGGATCAACAACATACAAGGAAGTTTAGTGGTTTCCCGAGGAGCTCTGTTCGAGCCTGGGGGTATCATAGAACAATAGTTCCTTCCATACAAGTATTGTACAGTACAATTGTTACTCCACCCAACTCACCTCGGCCAGCAGTAAGGTGAGGACTCGAGTGATCCTCCAGGGTCATCAAGGAGATTCTAGGTCAGATTTGAAAGTCCCACGGCCTCAGTTCCGCTGGTGAGAAGACTCGATGAGGTCACAGAAACGATTGATTATTGTCGCCCACCCCCATTCAGCTCCAGAGAAAATAATGTCTTATGAAGTAAAATCGGCAGTTTCAAGGGACTTGGTAGGTTATGCCTACCAAGCTGCAGAAAGGCTTCAGTCAGAATGAGCACACTGTAGGGTATACCCCATTCTCCTCTGTTCATAAGTCTGTTCTTTATCGACTTAACAGTAGAGCCAGGTCTTTTGCCTGCTTTCCTTCCGTCATGTTTCGGTTACAGGTATTTGGAAAAGTACTCCGAGACCTGATTATAACCCCTCTCATATTCCGCGAGGTTAGTCTCGTCGCTTAGGTTCGCCCGCGCCCCCATCCACCCATGGAACATCTTGTCATAGGTCTCGACATGGCCCGTCTTGCCGGGCCGCGAGAGGATCTCCTTGTACTGCGCCACGACATCTGCCGGCTCCCCGGGAGAAGCAAGGCAGATGTGCGGCGCCGTGAGGGCCTCGGCGTCCTTGGCTTCGAGACGGCTGGGTCGCGGCGCAGATGTGTGAGATCCAGCGTCACCACAGAGAAAGCAAATTCAAAAAAAGGGGGGGGGGGGGGGCGCTTACGCAGGATGCGCCGTCCCGCTGACCGCGAATCTTCGGCCGCGTCCCTCGTTGCCTTCCCCGGTTGCCAGGACGGCAACCTTACCTTTAGCCCAAACGCCTGGTCAGTAGCCGCCCACAATGCTACCCATCACCAAAAGAGGGTGGAGGGGAGGGGGGGGAAATCCAGCACCCACCTCCAAAACACAGCCCAAACACCCCGACGCGGTCCTCGACGCCCGGCCACCTGGCGCCCAGCTCCCCGCGCAGGGCGACGAGCCTCTCGACGGCGGCGCCGACGTCGGCCCTCTCGCGCAGGAACCCGTTCCGCGCGGCCTCCTTCTCGGGCGTGTCGGCGGGGAACCAGTCCGGGCTGGCGGCGTCGCCGTCGAAGAAGTCGGGCACCAGCACGAGCGCCGACGCCAGCGCTGACAGCCGGTCGGCCCCCTGCAGCGTCTGCGGCGCGAGGCCGAAGACGTCGTACACGTCGACGATGGCGCGGGTCGGGTTGGTGGGGCCGATGATGTCTATTTTTTTTTTTCCCGTCAGAGGAAGGGGAAGGGGGATTCGGGGAAAGAACCCAGTGGGGCATTTGTCGAGGGGCGAACTTACACGTTTTGAGGCCGGCGATGGTCTCGTACCTGCCCTTCGGGGTGTAGTCCGCCGAGACGGGCGGGAGCTGAGCGCACGCGTCAGTCGCCATTTCGAGGGGGGAAATCGTAGGGTTGGATTGGTATTGATATTGATCAGTTATTGACTCGACTAGATCACGCCCCGAAGAATGTCTAGCCTATTTATATCTCTTGGCTACCCTGCTCGAGATGGCTTCACTGAAACACGGGACATGGAAATAGGGGATAGTCTCCACTTTATGTCCGTTGTGTCCCTACCTGTGTTCTGCCGTTTCGGTACCGGAGCACGTCATTTGCGGGGCTCCTGCAGCGGCAGAGTGGGGTTCGTAACATCCGGGACGGTGCCGTGATCCGAAAGCTGTGAAGTGGTATATTTTTTTGGTTATTACCCAGTCCACGCCACGCCCTTGCTCCATCTATGTATAATACAAGTGTAATCTACAGGACAATTAATTGCGTTGACCTACCGGAACAAGTGCCAATGCGCCAAATCAGACTATATAAGTGCCTGCCCCATGAACATGCTCTCCTTCACTTCGGCAACGATATCCCTTCGGTCGTCTTTGCCAACAAGGACAATGCCCCTTCCTCGACGGCCCATGCGGCCGGCACGACCGAGCCGGTGGATGAAATCTATAGTGGTGTGTGGCACATCGTAGAGGACGACGTGGCGAACCGCCAGCGTATCAATGCCTCGAGACGCAAGATCTGTAGCCACGATGACCTTAGTGTTGGGCAAGGTCCGTTTGCCCTTGGGTGCATCAGCGTGGGTATTATCAACGGTTGACCTCATCGGTTCGTTCGACGTGAACGACGCCAGCATCTCTGATTGCCTCTGCTCCGGCGTGTCTCGATGAAGCGCCACCGCATCAATGCCCTTCGAATTGAGGTATTCGGCGACTTCTTGCGTCGTTTCGCGCTCGTTGACAAACACCATGATGCGCTTGATGTCAACTTCTCCCTGGACGGGACCTTCGTGACGGGCAGCGTCTTTACCGATCGACCAGATGGCGTCGGCGCAGGCCAGGTTCTTGTTGTTCCGATAAGGGTCCTTGGACACGTCGATAACGCCTAGCTGCACGCGCCTGGGTATTGCGTGCAGGTTTGGCGTCGTAATCCGCACCATGTCTGGAAATTGAGTGGTAAGGTAGTTGTCAAGGTGTCGAGGGATCGTTGCAGAGCAAAGAATCAACTGCTTCAAGGAAGGCATAGCCCGGTCGACGATCTTGCCAGTCTCGGAAGAGAAGCTGCGGTCAAATAGGGAATCTGCCTCGTCAATTACCAAGTGGCTGACCCGGGACAGGATGTTCGGGTCGGACCTGGCAATCGAAGCAAGGAGGTGAGGGGTGGAGACGAGCATGTCTACGCCCATGGGGCTGTAGAGGTTCCGCTGTATCTTGTGCGCATCATAATTCGCAGATATAGGGCGCGCCTTGATCTTCACAACGTGGGAGATAGCCTTTGCTACTTTTGTGACCTGGTCCACCAGCTCAGCGGTCGGCACCAATACAACAATCCGAGGTCTTGCAGTATTTGGGTGCGGCTCAAATGTCTCGATCCAGCTGGACATGGGCACGTCTCCGCGTCTCTCTTTCTCCTCCTCTAGGCGCTTGTTATACGCCTGAACGTCAGCGTCGTCGGCTTCCGCTGCCTTCAACGCATTAATTGAAGGGAGGAGATATGCCAGGGTCTTCCCCGAACCCGTCTCCGCAGCCAGCAGGAACTCCTGTCTTCCCGGCGTCGTCTTTTTGCGAGATTTTGAACCGACTTGCTGCCCTAGAAGCATCGGTATGGCCAGCCTCTGTACCGGTGTAGGCTTGATGTCCACCATGTCTTTCAGGAGCTCCGACGTTACCGCTTCCTTCACGGGTGGTACGAGATCGAACTGGTCGAAAGACTCGATCTCCTGCATCCGCGACTTGATGTTCGTTCTCTGTCCGTATCCAATGGTCACCAGCGCCCGCTGCATCTTCAGCGCTTTGAAACCCTTCCTTCCCTTCCCTCCCTTCCCGTCCCTGGGACGCTTCTCGTCTCTGGTACCATCCTCTCGAGAGCTGGATGCTGGGGGTGTGCGACTCGTGGGGTCAATGTTGGCAACCGACCGGTTCATGGCAGCGAAGGGACCCTCGGGCCGCCTTCGCGGCCTCTTTGTGGCATCGTCTCTTGCCACCCGTGGTCGTGCGACGTGATCCGACAGGACCATCCGCGACGGTGCCTTGCGCTCTCGGTGGGTGGCATAGGATCGTTGGTTAAGGTAGGGTCGGGAGGATTGGCGTAGTGCTGCCCGGTGCGAAGGAACAGAAAGTCGTTGCAACGGGCATGGAAAATTAATTACCGCCTTCCACATGACTCTACAGTTGGCAGTCGGGCCAATTCCATCTACGACCAAGGTAGGAGGAGGTGGTTGTAAATTCAAAAGTGTTGCGCCACTGAATGACACTTGACCGAGTTGCCAAATTTTTGGAGTTATCGGGCTCCTTATCAGTGATATCAGACATGTACGAACAAGGTACTCAGCCCCAAATTTAATTACCTGCAGAATGCGGACGTGCCAGCGTGCGTAGTCATACTGAGCGAATGAACAAGTACCAAAATGTACCGATCGAAGCTTAGCGTAAAGTCCCACCTTCTGTGTACCGTCCCAAAAATCTGACCCCTGATTTCGTCCACGGATAGAATACATGCTGTGGTGGCACCTAGACATCACCATCGTCAAAATATCCACACTCTTTCAGACTGAAAATCGATTTGGCCTTCTTATGTCTTGCGGTTCTCTAAGCCCGAATCCGAAAGCACTCCTATTGCGCGGCTCGATGAGACCGAGGTTGAATCTGATGGCGAACGGGATGCAAGATGGACGTCAACCGATGGAAGCCCTCGCCCTGTTCCATATCCGGCTTATGAAACCGCCAATCCAGTCCACGAACAGCATCCTGAAGAAGATCCGGAACCAATTACCGTCCCCATCAGCCTGGAGCCGGACAGAATTGATCGAAGTCGGCGTGCCGACGCGCTCTGGTGCTGTCACACGGTTCTTAGGTCGTCGTGCTGAGCTGTTGGCGCGAACAGCAGTGGATTTCCCAGTGTCGATGGTATTAACCTCTCTTTGGGGGTTTCTGAAGATGTCGCTTTCTGGGGTCGTAGCCTTGGGTATCTCCAGTGCGCTACTTTCTGTCGTCGCCGCAAGCGCTCGACTAGGCTGAGAAATAGCGCTCGCGGTCTCCCCCGTCCTTTCAGTCGAAGTTTTTGAAGAGGGCCCAACAGGAGGAGCGACTGTACCTGGATTTAGAGACCCCGGCTCTTCATGATCAGTTCTTCCCGAAGTCTTCGTGGCAGGGCTCTTCATGACGACACCCTCGGAATCATCGCTTGCGGGCGATATCACCCCCTCATTCCTGGACTCCTTCGCAGCTGCCTGCTTGAAAACCAAAGGGGACGAATCATTTCCCTCGGCAACACCAGCCTCATGCACCTCAGGTATGGAATGAAGCGACAATGCCGATGATCGATCCGAGCCCACCGAGCCAGGAGGAGACCTGGGCACTCCAAGGTGTCTCGACTTGCGCGATGCAACTGGGCTCACCGCAACAGGAGACACCGCTAGATCGCCAGCCGGGTCGCAACTGAACCGTCTGGAAGCGCTAATAGCGGGTGATAGAGGTATGCCACCGGCTGTCGCATGGTCCTCGTTTAGCCCTCCTTCTAACTTCCGTACAGTGTCGACAATCTCTTCCCAGTTCGATGGGAACCTCTCCAATGTTGGATCATTAAGATCAGTACCGTCTGCATCAATATGATCGCCACGGCCGTGCTTGCCAGGGCCATGCGAGTCCTGCGGTCCCGTATCGTTATCGCTTTCGTACATGCCAATGCACTCATGTGCAAACAGAGGGGTTCCGCTCTCGTTCGGAATTGGGTCCCCAGACCCAAACGGTTCCAAGTCATCATACTCGGCTGGACGCAGTTCCAGCCCGTGGATAGCCTAGGTGAGTCAGATATGGAAGGCCAAGAGTCGGTTCAACGTGGAGCAATTTGTTCTTACCTCCTCACAATCGGCATCGAGCGCCTTCGCGCTGTCGGCTACTTCCGCCGCAGTTCTTGAAACTTCTGCAATCGGGGTTGATGACATACGGCGAACGCCTGCTCTGCCAGCTTCCCTGTCCGAGATTTCCGGCTCAGACTCCTCTTTGTCGAGGGTCGCGGCCGAGTCCGCAACCTCGGCTGCAGTTCTCACGAAGTTGGGAGTGCTGGCCCCTGACTGAGGCGTAGAGCGGTTCAAGATCTCGACAGCGACATTGCGAAAAGGTCTCGGAACACCATCCCCTGCCCCCGGACCTTTTAGGTCGGTTGTGGCAGCTGCAGTGTTTTCCACGGCAGTCGGCTGCTCGTGAACTGATATCCTTCTTGCCTTCTCAGCGACGGCAGGGGGCGCAGATGGCCTAATTCGGTCAATACTATAACAACCAAACGGACATAGGGGCCCCTTACTCTGCCACTGGAGGTACATGCATGACGTTATTCCGGTTTCCTGCTTTGTCGGCCGCAGTGGGCGCTTTCTCGTCAAGCACCCACCAGTCTCCGGTACCTAGACGGAACTTGTATTGGAATGAGGAGCCGGCTTCGGCAAAGACCTTGACCTTGAACGTGTGGTCGCCATTATTCTCTCCGGTATATTCCATTTCCTGCGGTTGCCATTCAGGTTCCGAAAACCCGCCGGCAACGAATATGGGAGGCCGAGCGTTGGGATGGCGGTATGTGATGGTAACAGGGATCTTGGGAATCGCCATCTCGAGAGGTAAGAACGCAAGTAGTCTATTCGACGAGATTCAAAAATTATCGGAGCATTGGCTCGGGCGACTCAAGTCGTTACTGCGATGTTGCTGTCGAGGGTCCTACAGCAGCAGGCAGAAATCGAGAAGAGAATAAAGATGATATAAAATCGAGAGCCTGCGGAGCAACTGTCAATGGCTAGTCGTCAGGAATGGCAATGGCATTGCAGCTGCGCCACTTTGAAGAATCAAGATCCCTTGCAAGTGCCTGGCAAGTGCCTGGGAAGTGCCTGGGAGAGGTCATTAAAATGGATTCGACTGGCCATCATCACGCCACCTAACAATATGGAAGAGGTAGGTTGGTACAGTACATCCCGTATTGCAAACTATTTGCAATCGGTCAATAAAAAGAGAAACTCACCTACGAGACCAAAGATTCTTGGATGAGAGGATCGAGAGAGACCATCTGGCTTGCTGGGAAAGGCGAGGAAATGGGTGTTGATGATGTGGCTGGGAGGGGTTCGAAGGTCCAAGGTTGAACAATGATGCCATGAGGAGCTACCATGTAAATCGCACACAGTGGGGTGAATCTGCATAGCAAGATAAGACGGTACTCGTTGATTTTACCATCAAGACCAGGCGACATGCAGCATGCAGTGGTCAATTGGTTGACCATCAGCTCCGTGTGGCAAGCCGCAGTACCTTTTCCCGCAATAAACCCTGCACATGTACACGGATATGCATACCTGCCTTCTGGATTCACCTATAGTATAGCGACTACTGCGTCCGTACTGTACGGGTTACTACACAAGCGCTTTCCCCGCATTCTGCTAGGGCGATAGTTCAGGACGATCCCATAGGAAACAGATCGGGCTCAGACCAAGTCCTTGCCTCCTTCAGCCACTTGCGGATTGCCTCGTGGACCTCCTGGGCCTGTTGGTTGCTAGCAACCTTGCCAGTGTCGATGGCCCAGATAGGCTCGTAGGTGACAACAGCGCTCTTCCAGGCCTCAGGCCTGGCCAGAGAGGAGTGGAGGGCCTCAAGCTGCTTGGTAATGACGTCAAGCGTCTTGCCAGCCATGCGCTCCTCAAGCAACTCGCCGCAGCACCGGATAATGCCAATGCCACTATCAGGGGCCAACTTAGTCTTGGAGGGCAATGACGCTGTCAGACTTGCCTAGTATAGTGCGCTGCTATCCAGTTAATCTTGAGATCCTTGAGCTGCAAGATGCTGATCTTGCCTTATGAAGGCGCTGTTGCGCTTGTTGAAGACGTTCAAGGCGGCTACCTTGATCGAGCAGGTAGAGCGATGGGGGGCGATCACAACTTCGACGTTGGGGTCTAATTGGGCCTCGTTCAGGTCCTTCACAATCCCCTTCATGGACTCGGGTGTGTTAGATTCAAACACGAAGCGGTGAATAGCGGCGGAATCATTTCGCCAGTGAAGACCGCTTTTTGTCATTCTCAGATAAGCTAAATCAGAGCTTTGTGGGTCGATTTGGGAATACCTTGACTTGGGTGCCAAATGATCCACAGGTTGTATGAGTGAGGTGGACTGCCTTTTGCATCGACCTCATTGCAAACCTATATAACATCACGCTCTCCATCTGAAATTCTTCGTCCCGCCATCATGTCGCTGCCCCCTGAAACCATCCAGGTCAAGCGCAAGATTGACCATGAGAATGGACCTGTTCACTTCCTTCGTCCGTGAACCGCAGCCCGTCTCCTTCCGAGTCGAAAGTGTCTTCTAACCATTACGAATAGGTGTCGACGAACCCAAGCGACAGCGGAGTGGGACATGGCTTTACGAGCGCAAACAACCGAACCTAGGAAGCCCCAGCGTCGTTCAACCATGGCGTCAGGATGATATCCGACCGGTTATTCACACATCACGAACTGGCAACAATAATATCCCCCCCAATTCTGTCATAGCCGCTGTAGCCACCGCAAGCTCCGAGTCATCTGAAAATGGCATTCGTCCGGGACCTTCAATGCCGCCATCTACGCCGCTACCAGCAAGTACGGATATTAGACCTCGTCGCTTCCACATGACCAGGCCCCCTTCAAAATTGGCATCAGCCAATTCCTCGAACAGCCGTGTTGCCAACAAGGCGCGCTATACGTCGGCTGTCTTTGTAGAGCGAGGCGCCAAGCGAAGGAGGGCGGCTGCTGTCGCTGCAGAGGGGCTCAGACTGCAAGATACAGTATCTACGCCGAGTCAAGATGCTTCTCCCTCAGCTTCCGCCCCTGCAAGGGATAGAGACGATAGAATGGAAGATGCGGCGCCGCTGCGCTTCAAGCGGCCGGGATTACGCAGAAAGGCGAATGAGAAGGAACAGGGTTCCTCTGGTGGTGGGCACAAGGCGAGACCTCCGCTGCCACCGTCGCTTCTACATCGGCAGCACGACGGAAACATGGAACAACTTGCCCGGGATATGGATGCTTACACACTGGAGCATATTGGCCTTAATCTCGCCAAAATGGATGAGGACGATGAGGACGACCGGTCCCTAGGGTCACCCGCCAAATCGGCTTCGGTGACGCCCAGAAAATATCGGCCAAAGGCACCGGCGAAGAGATATGCGGAGCGTCACCCGGAAGCAGCTCCTCTTGCAAAGCCTGAAGACGACGTCGATATGCAGGAGAGCGACACCGAGGATGACGATTACGTGATAGAAACCTACGTCCGCGTGCCTGCGAGTACACTGGCAGCCTCAATCCCTGCTGAGCAAGTGGGCGTCTTGGTCTTCGATAATGAACCTGATATCGAGTTCTTCTACGGAGCTGAAAGCGACAGTGAGGAAGAACATCAGGACGATGACGACGATTCGAATGGTAATGTCCCATCTCAACGCATCATTGACGAGCTGGGTCTAGTCTAACTTGCTCTAGCTGAGGATTACTACACGGCTGACTATCCTGAAGACGAAGTCGAGTCTGATGACGAATACGACCGGGACCCATATCACTACCGCAACGGTAATGCGTCCGATCTTGAAGAGTTTGACGAGGACCACGCCGTTAACAGCGATGTGGAGTCGACAACGAATGCGGGTGGCATTGAAGCTTTACGATCCCGTGTATTTGGCGTGCAGCGATCCCGCGATTAGGATACTGAGGCTCACTAGCTGAAAGTTTATTTTTAAAACCCTGCTACCTCATCCCACAACATGTTCCCGATGCGTCTCAAATAATGTAAGATTGTGTCAATACGGGCCATGTGCTTTTACCATTACGAGGGATAGATACATTTACAGAAGTTACAGGAGTGAGCCACCCTAAGACTTGGAAGCCTTATTCGTGTCCACCGATTCCCTCGGACGCCAAATACAGACTTTTGCCAGCCTTTTCCGAAACCCCTGGCACCGGATACGTAAGAGATTGGATTAGGAACAGGAACAAAAGGGATAAATCAACGAACGGAACGTTATATAGTGAAGGAGGGTGAAACGTGGCCAAGCCATATACGGTGATGGTACAACTCGATCTCATGATACGAGGAACGGAAATATAGTGACAAAAAGAGAAAAACGGAGAAGGAAGGGGGCCGGGGGGGGGGGGGGGGTGGATGCAAAAGGCCGACTTAAGTTCTTTCCCATCATTCATTACTTTCCCGGACATTGGACGATGGACGACGATATTATTCAAAAAAGAAAACATAAAAACGCGTTATTCGTAACGGGGAGTAACGGGCCGGATCAAGAGCAGTCCATCAATTGGGTAAGCCTGGCTTTCTTTCGGCGCTCATACGCTTCCCTATAGGGGCGTCGACGCTCAGCTAGATACCGGAAAAGGTCAGCAAAGCAGTCCCGGTTTCGATGGGAGAAAAGGGGTGGGGGAGAGGAAAGCTTACCCAACTGGCGAGCCTTGACCATGTCCTGCGGCAGGATCCAAGAGAAGCCTGCCTCGACGACCTCGGAGGCATACCGGTCGATGAGGGAGATCTTGCCGTGGCCGCGGACCTTTGCCTTGTGGGTCTTGACGTCCCACTTGTTGAAGCTGTCGCCCTCGCCGTACTCGAGCAGGCCGTCCTCGTCGATGACGGGGCACTCCTCGTTCCAGCGGTAGTAGGTCGACTGGAGCCCGCCGTCGGTGCGCTTGACCTTGATGCCAAAGTAGCACCCAAACTCATCCTCCACCTCCTTCCACGGCTTCTTAAGGTCCACGTGGTTGTAGATGATCCACAGGTTCTGCTCAAGCGTGTACTCTTTGTTGATGTGCGGCGTCTTAGGCGACCTCTTGCAGACGGCCCCGCGGTCCCCGCTGCGCCGGAGCGCCTCCTCAGAGAGGCTGTGGTGGCGGCTCCGGTACGCCTGCTGCTGCTGCTGCTGCTGGTGGTGGTGGTGGTGCTGAGGCGACGGCGCGCGGGCCAGCTGCGGGGAGTATCTCGGGTGGCGGAAGGGCGTCGCCTGGGAGGACTGCCACGGTGGTGACGTCTTCCCGGCCAGCGCAGAGTGGCGCCGATTCCGGGTGTCGAAGCCGTTCGCCTGGGCTAGGAGGTACTCGGACGCCGAGCTCAGCTGGAACTTTGCGCCGTACTGGGGCAGGGGCACGGGCAGCTGCTGCTGGGGCATGTGGAACGCGAACTGGCCGTCAAGGGGAGACCTAGGCGAGGAGACGGGCGAGGATATGCTGCTCAGCGTGCCGGTCAGGGACGGCGCCGAGCAGGTGGACTCGCAACTGCTCCTCCTCTGCAACGACCGCTGATCCCGGGACCATTCAGGCTCGGCCGGCGCGATTCCGGCTGCTAGCTCTGAGAAGGAGGGGAGCCGGAAGGTTGTCTTGGGTGAGGAAGGGAGGCACGTCCGTTCACAGTCTTCATTTTTAAAAGTCAGCACACTTTTTTTGTTCACTCCTGCATTCCATTGCATTCTGGGGAGGTGCCATCTCTACCTTTTGGGCTACTAAGAGGTGGACAGAAGTTGAATGCCGGATTTGTGAAGATGCTGCTAGAGCAGTCACTGCCCACGCCTTTTTCTCCATTACTCCGACGCAAACTGACGCCGCCCCTAACAGTGATATTGAGTTGGGGCTGCCCACGCGTCGAGGTTGCTCGTTGTCTGGCTGCCTCTCTGGTCTCCAAGATGCCCAGGTCGCTGAGGCTCGGCAACAGGTCTGAAGAGGCCGACCTGTCCAGCGTCGGCGGCACAGGCGGATTCCCAACCAAGACCATTGTGAGAAGGGATGTCAAAGTGATCAAGCTAGGAAGAGTGTATGATTATAGAGTGGAGAAGGACGATCGACGGGAAGGAAGTATACAAGGGATTACGGCTAGGGTGTGAGATATGGAATGGAACACTTGTCCCTGGAAGGAGGGCCTGCGGAGTGTTTAATATACGTGTCAGGCAAGCGAGACTCTTCAAGTGTTGGGATGATCTACGAAGCTTGGCTGGGGCTTAATGGCGTCTCGATCTGGTGGCGTCACCAACCCATGATCCTTGCTCGCACGTAGTATGCTTGCATGTTGAGGCTTGCGGGATGGCTTGAACTGTTTTGGGATAAGTCGTGATTTTAGTCTGGAGTACTGGAGCGTGTGGACGGCGACCTCTTCCTGACAGGCTGATAGGCTCACTGGCTCACACTGGCTTGGATACTTGGTGCGACAAGATTCAGTCCTGATGGAGCCCTTTGAGTTTGTAACTTGTTGGTGCCCCCCCGGAACCAACAGCAACTAGCGGCCTCTGCCCATGTCGATAGACAGCAAGCAAGGGGGGGAGAGGAGGTCCCAAATCTAAGTGACATCCATAAAAGGGCAGTGTCAGACCCCACAATAGCCCAAACGGGACGTCTTCCAAGACATTGAAAAGACACTGGGGCTCTGTGATCTGCAAGCTTTGGCCGGAAGTCTCAAAGCCCCGTTGCCCCGGGCCGAGTACGTTATCAGTTGTCAAGGTAATACGCAGAGTAGATGAGATGGCTAGATGGGTCCGTTTTTGCTTTTCAGATCGGATGCCTTGTTCGGCGGCTGGGTTGCAGGAGGGAACCTAGCTTGTGCAACCCACCCTACAGCTCCGGCCGAGGTCGCGAGGAGACTTGGCCGTGAAAGCCTCTCGGCAGGTCCCCGACATTGAGTGGCTTTGATCTCAGTAATCTCAGTCTGGATCTCAAATATCATACCTCTCCGGCCATCCACCCACTAGAATTGTTATCTAAGCCTCATCTATCACCGTTGTTGGGTGGCTTGAAGCCAGGAATCGAGGACGCCCTTGACGGACAAGTGACCGACCAGTGCCGGTCACGGGGTGTCTGTAAGTGGGTGTGCGCCAGTACTGGTCCGGGGAAGAGCGATCCTTGAGCCGCTGCAATACCTCCACTAATGCGTACGTGGTAGGGGAGTTAAAAGGTGACTGAGGGTTACGCAGAGGCTTTTGACGACTGGATGGCGTCAACTCTAAATAATTAGCTTAAGGAAATAAGTGGGCTCTTACAGGTTCAGCCAGGGAGGTATGCCGAGGATTTGCGAAGGGATGCGCCTCGTTGAAGAAACGAGCCCAAACCGGGTGGCGCCCCGGCAAGCCTCCCAAACTCAATTCTGCGGTACAGGTACTTGCATACAGACTTGGCTACCTGCCCTCGTGTACAACGCGTAGTTTTAAAACCCATGGAATGCCGTTGTTGCGAGAGAGATTCGGGTACGATCGTAGAAATGGAACAAACAAAGCTTACAATGCCTGGGCTGGATTTCTTGCTCCCCATTGAGACTTTGTGGGTGTGCGTGGTGTGCCCTCCACGACCTCGTCCTGATGTGCAGTGCGAAGCAATTTACACGCAAAAAGCAAAGGTTCCCTGGATGCAGGTCTCATCGGCAAGATGCACGGTGGAAAATAGGGAAATAATCTCATCGTTAGGAGAACTTTTCCAACATGTTCATTTCGCGAAAGATTTTAGTTTCTTTTTTTCCCTGTTTTCTATACCTTATCTCCTCTTTTCCTTTCACTTTTTCTTTCTTTTTTTTTCTTATGCCCCTTTCTGTCTTTTTACACTTCATCCGCCACCCTCCTCTTCTCCCCCTTTTTATGTATTTTTTTTTGGTTTCTTTTTATTCCTCCCCCTTACCCCTGCTGTTTAGCAAATCTCTGACGGGAACTGCACACCAGCTGTTGTGTCCCTCATGTTCAGTAACGGCGGAACACTGGTCCGTCTGAGCTGGTCCCAATAGTAGCATCATGGTGCCCAGGATCCTTCGCTATCACCTGATCTCAGGCCCCAACAACCAAACTCTGCAGGGTGATGTCCGCGCAGTACTACCTACCTATGCGTACCTAGGTATGTAATATGCAACGGCTTCATCTGCCGGGAGAGCTGGCGACCTCATGATTGGTTGTGCATGCTTCGCAGCGCCAAGCTATTCGGATCGATAGGGAGTGAACCATGGTCTTGTCCTGCATCGTTTGAGCCACACACCAACCCTGGTTTGCCATGGCGGGGAAGACGTCTTGGCTTGCGCTAAAATGATGCTAAGCAAGGATCAGTAGATCTGACCTTTCCCCTTTTGTCAGCGCCGGCTTTGGTGGCTCGAAGCCAGGCAGACCGTTGGCTCCTCAATCCAGTCTAATCAGAGCCTGGGCCACTCCTCCAAATACCGTGTGAATTCGTTTAGCGTGCACAACACGAGAGCTGGATGCTAATGCAAGGGATGCACATCACCAACAACCTGGAACTAGTGTAGGTACATCACAATGTAGTGGAGATACTATGGACATAACTCCGGAGACGTCCGTTGGCGAATCGCCGCTCTGTGTGGTTGAGTAGAATGCGTTTTGCGTGAGCCCATGGTATCGTCAGCAAAGTCATTCTTGGCATCAAGCCTGAGTCCTGGAAATCTACGCTACCACGGCGGAAGGTGCAGGATCTCGTGTGACCCACCTGTCAAGCCTGCTCAGTTCTCACAATTCATATTGTGAGCTTTCGGGCATGCCCTCCTCTCGTGCACTGCGGCTGATGATGGCTGCCATATCGTGTGCGCCGTGTACCGTGGTTGCGAGCTTGACGTGCTTGCAAGCTAGCTAAGGTAGGGCTATCCCAGTTGCATGTACATTACACGTGTACGACGTACTACGTACATGGAGGTGGCAACAAATGGTAGCTGCTGTCGACTATACGTATCTACCTAGGTAGTGTAGTCTCTTATCACACCACGAAGCAAAGGAGTCCAGGCTCACAGTCGAGGTTTGCTTGCGCGTTCCCGGCCAGTTTGTCCGGCTTTACCCTCCATCACAATATCCAATCCCAAACCTGCGTCGACTCCTAGTTGGCCATTGCCGGCAAATGCTTCATCGCCCGAGAAACGCCTGTGTCATCAATATTAGTGCTGCGTTGCAATAGTCTGATTTCGTTGGGGGGAAAAAGCAACGTGGGTGAGACGGGGTTTTACGCGCAAAAGACGTACCATCCTCGCTCCTCACCCCCTTTGAGGAAGCTGCATTCGCTATTGACTAGGCACTTCCAGCCTCCTGCAACCCCGGCGCCTCCTCTCCAGGCGGTAACCCGTTGATGGGCAGGATCGACGCGGGTGCAGATCCGATCTGCGTGGCTTGTTTGTTCGTCGTCGGATGAGTGTTTCTTGTCTCTACCGCTCAGTAGTGGTAGGATCCGTGCCGTCTCGTGGCCCCGCCGTTTAATTTCCGCCATCCTCCCGGCATTTCCACTCTCGTCTAGATCGACGGACTGCTCCCCTAGGCTATCTTTGGGAATACGACCATCGCCTCCCTGGCCACCACCGCCGAGCGTTGTTATCTTTCTCTGAAAGACGCTAAGACCGCATGTGAAAGCACCAAAGTCCTCCACCTCCACGTCATCAGGCATGGCCCCTGTCAGGACCCGACCCAGTGCAATGATCACAGCGGCGTGGGAGCAGATCAATATTGCCCTTGTCCCTTCCCGATCGCATTGCGCAATAATGCCTTCCATTGTGGCGGCGACACGGTCGTGGAGTTCAGAGAGGGTCTCCCCCATCCTTGTCGGCCGGGCAATTGGCCGATAATCCAAGTCAAAGGCGGGGAATAGTGTCTTCAGGACTTCTGGGTCTGCTGAAGTGGGATGCTCGAAAGGGGCCGACCCGTACCATTCCCCGAGTCCTGTCTCAGCGCGAATACTGAACTTGGCTTCCCCATCTGTCTCGCGACCACCTTGGTCGGCCTGCCCTGACGATCTCTGTCCCCAAGAAACAAAGGGCTCGACCGTCTGCAGGCAGCGGTAATACGGACTTGAGTAGACCTGCTCTATCGGCGGGCTCAGTGTCCGTAGATGGGCAGCCAGCTCCCTTGCCTGGTCGACGCCGTGGGCTGTCAATGCAGGATCCGCGGCGATCCCTGTAGGAGAGCTTATCAAGGCTGAATACTCGCCAGTTGATGGGTCGACGAGCCAGTTTGAACGGAACTGGCTTGCGTTAGCTCACAAAACGCACAAGTACGACAAAACCGCCTAGCGGTCCTTTTCGTGTGATGTCGCGATACATTTCGCAGCAGACCCCGTGGCATCATCAGTCTCTCGGGTTCTAGATTCTGCAGAGGACCTAAAAGGTCGGGGCCACGTTCACCTGCCCAGTAATATCGCAGTATGATGAATCGTGCTGAAAACGTGGGAACTCTAAAAAAGAAAATAGGTCGAGGCTTACCCCGTGGCGCGTGACATAGATAGCTTCCAACACCATTGTTGCGATTTGGTCTAGAGCCTACAACGTAGAGCATGTGTTCTGGGAACTTCCGTCGAGGGCATAAGAAATTCTGCGGGGAGAGTTTGATTCTGGTTCTCCTTAGGAGGAAAAAGATACTGCGTCCAAAGACTCCGATTTAATTCGGGGCCCTAGTCGATCCCTCCCCGGTCGATCATGAGCCTCCAGAATTTACATTGGAACCTCGGATTAGACGGATTTTGCCGTGTTGGGCTTTGCTTTTGTATGTTTGACCTATGTCGCCCAGGTCGGGGTTAGGGTTACCACAAAGGCTGAGGGTCGACGCAAGCCACTTCCCTGCACGAGTTGGCTTCTAGACCTCTACAGAGTAAATGGCAGTCCAATTAAAGGCTCCCTAATCATATCCAGACCCAACGATATCTATCGGCCATTCGAGCCACCTCCGCCGTCGACGACATACCAGACATGGTGGCCACCACACGGTGCTTTCTATTCCTTCTTGCGCGACATAACTGCCTTAGTGCATCGTCTCCCACTGGCTGTCATCGAGGTAGTGTCTTAGACACGTTAGGTAGGCAATGCCGATCGGTTCGACACCACGGCCTGGTGTGAATGAACCCGGACGAACTCCGCCCTGGGTTCAGCTCAACGACAGGACCTTCCCGCCGACGTTGATCTCTCCCTTGCCTCCGGCGTGCTCTGTCGTCACTCAATTTGCCTGGCAGCAGTCTCGGAACTGAAGGCAAACTCGACGGCCATTTGGGAAATGCGAATTCCGTGACTTGTTAACTGCGTAAAGGGGAATAACTCATCTGTCATCAGGAGGTCCCCGACAGGTCCAGGGGGGGCTCCACAAGTCCCGGCGTTGCCAACCCAACGCTCGACTCGGCTGTCAGAATGCAGTTAGCAGAATGGTCGGTAAAGGTTTAGTGTTGTCCAGTATGCGGTCTGTCCCAGGCGCTATGTGGCCTGGGCTATGATTTGATGGGACTCAACCTTGCTGCGTAGAGGGACGCTCCCCTTCGGACTACATCGCCAATGGAACGGACCGACTCGAATGAGCGGTGATGTGGTGGTGTGGTGGTGTGATGGTTCAGGGTCTCCGTAGGCCCAAGGAAAAAGAGGGCACCTGAGGTGCAGAGGATGTCAATGTTCGGAGACGGTGAGAGCCTTGTATTGCAATACACTTCTGTCAATACGTTATCACCTTGCTCCCTTTCACTTTGGTAACCGGCCAGGCAAGCTGAGCTCAGAGAGAAAGCCAAGTTAGCAGTCAGAAAAAGTGTATAGAGGGTCTAACAATATAACAACAGCAACGCGAATTCATTCCTCGTCGAACGGTCCCGTCGTAAAGATATACCGAGCTGCACCAACCTGGCAGCTCGAGCAGAGTAAGGTTACCAATGCCTCCAATACGCCACGGCGAAACATCCCATTATCCCATCCGTGGTTGTATCTCTGTGCCCTAGTCTCGCCTCAAGCCAATGACCGGTATTTGATATTTCAGCCCATTCACATCCGAACGCCTCTCGCATTAACTTCACCCTTCTCTCCGATGTTGAGCAAGACGCGGCACTCGCGGCAATACCACTTCGTGGTGCGTGCAGGGACATCGGCTAGGCCCACACACTCGAGGTGGAACCACTCCTGTTTACAATTCTGGATCATGTTAACTTACTTAAGGCTTGACTGAGATTATGCTTTTGGGGGAGAAGGTGGGGGGAAGAGGGTGGGGGGGAGAGGGGGGGAGAGGGGGAGGGCAGCCACACTGGCCCCAAGTGCTGCTACTCACATCAACATTGTCGCACTGAATCATAGTTCCGAAGCTGACACGGTTGCAGTGACAGTACTTTGGCTCGTCGGCATCGATGACATTCCCCTCGTCATCCACCTCCACCTCGAGGACATCGCCGGCGCCCCCGCCGGCGGCCTTCTTGGACGGCCCCCTGGCGCTCTTCTTCCTCGGGGCCGCCTTGCGCTTGCCTACCGCGCTGCTCCCCCCGGAGTTTGTCCTACTAATCACTCCGGGTGCGGGCCGCTTGGCACGCCTGCTGGCCGGCCGCGAGGTGGGCTCCTGCTGCCGCTCGGGTGCTGGGGTGTTCCGCGCGGTACTAGTGCGACGGGGACGGTCCGCAGCAAGAGACGGCTGAGGTTCCTGACTCGCGGCCTTTCCACGGGAAGCTGGCCGCCGTGTCGTTGTGGGTGCAACCGATTGTGCCTCGAGGTCGGGCATCGGCGTCCGTGGAGCAGGTGTCACGGGCCGGGACGATGGGGCGGGTTCATCGTTCTGTTGTTGCTGTTGTTCCTGCCTGCGTACGGCGAGAGTTTTCCTAGTCTCCCGTACGGGAGGGAGGATCGGGGTGGCGGATTTTTTGCGAGATAGCACAGGGCGTGGGGTAGAGCCTTCCGCGGCAGGCTTCACGGGGACGGTCATTGTGGCGGCATTAGGTGCGGTGGCGTCGCCTGGACTTGGGACTGGTGGGGTTGCCGACCTTTGGTCCTGGCCAGGAACAGGCAAGGGAATGGGGGTCGTAGAATGCGGGGCCACGGCAGTACCCCCGGGAGTGAGCTGTGGCTGCGGAACGGGAGTCTCTTGGGCGGCGGTGGTGCTGGGTGTCAGACGAGGGGGAGGTACGGGAGTCTCAGTCTTGGTTCGCTTGGACGGTGGCCTTTGAGAGGACGGCTCGATCATCTCGGGCTTCTCAGCCTCGGCCTCTGTGACCGAGTCTCTCTTCCGCTTCCTCGACTTGGCTTTAGGCGTCAACCTTGCGGCTTGGTCTTGCATAGGGGGGTGGGAAGCCGGGTAGATTGTCCGAGCAAGGTCGGCCATCTTCCTAGCCGATTCCTCAGCCTCCTCAGCGGCAAGTTTCGCAAGCTGGTCTCGTTCCGAGTCCTTCGGCTCCTTTGGCTTCTTAACCCTTCGGTTTTTGGGCTTCTTTTCTTCAGCATTTATGGTCTCCATGCTGAGAGCGCCGGGTGGCATGCGCTCGACTCCCGTTTCAGCATCCAGGACTGGAGTAGGGATGCCGTCCTCGAAATCGTTCCCTTCCTCCTTTGCTGTCTGCTTGGCTGCCTTGTATGCTTCGACACCGCGACCCAGAGTCTTCAGCTCCCGGGCGATCATGGTGTCACTAGGAGCCCAGGCAGCGTTCTTCTTCATGCGCTTCCTCAGCTTCGCTAATTCATACACGGTAAGTTGCAACCACGGCGCGTCCGGACTTCCAAGGACTGCATCTTCCGGAGGTGGTTGCAACTGTGCCAGCGCAGTAGTGCTCGAAATCCCTGGACCAGGCATATTGGGATAAGGGACAGAGGTTCCGCTCTTGGGTGTCTTGAAAACCTTGGGCGTTTTAGGGGTCTTGACGAGTTTGATGCGTGGCTGGGTAGCCATATATGGGCGTGAGGGATGCGGGGTCCCGTCTTCTTCCTCTTCCCCGGAGCTAGTTTCGCTTTCACTGCCCAAGGTTTCGTAATTAAGGTCATACGGTGCCAGAACCTCTCCCGGAACCGTAATCCTCGGCACTCGTGGCCGCCGAACCTTCTGGTTTTCCAGTCGAAGGGTGATCTTGGGTGCACGAGCCACCTGGGGCGACTTGTTGGCAGCCACAGGGCTCCTCTGCTCCTCCGGTGGGGGGTAATTCTCCAGCATCGTCTGGAGCTTCGCAAGGATGGTTTTTGCACGGTTGTAGTGGCGGTTGACATTTTCAGCCATGCGCACAGCCTCAGCATGTGCATAGATTCGAGAGCCCACAGCCTGGCTCAAGTTCTCGGATATCTCAGAACGCAGCTGGGCTGGGGTTGGCCTCTCCTCGGGGGGGATGCTTGGCAGTTGGCCCCATTTGGAAGTCAGGGCGTGGACATTAGCAGAGGAGTCGCTGTATGTCTGGTTGAGTTTTCCGACTAAGGTGAGGGAGCGTATCATATCGGACGGGAGGTATTCGGTGAAGTCGAGGAAGTCGGTGACTGTTGCTTGCGCGTCGGGGTCTGCGCGCAAGTCGAGTGACCCAAGCGAGTTATTTGGTTCTGCGCCATCAGTGACCGGCTGTATCGCGGTTTCCGCCGCGGAGGCCGTCTGCCGAGGAGACAACTGCTCATCGAAGTCGGCCCTCGCAGGCGCTGCCGAGCCCATCTTGTGAGACCTTTGTGTCGCTAAGGCCTGTGAATGTGAATTAAGGCAGTGAAGGCCTTATTGTGTGCTCGCATCGGTAGATTCAATCAGATGGCGATGCCATTTTCTACTTCATGTGGTGTTGAGCTGTGATTGCTGACCCAAACATGAGTCGAAGTTGCGCGCAAGGCTGCTTGCGTCGCGTTCAACATGGACGCTCGGACCAACTCTAGCTTGATCGCCGCCGCCACTCCGCCAGATAAGGTACTTAGGTATTTTCTTGGCATTTGACTTCGTCTCTGCATCAACCTTACTCACATGGGTACTTACCCCTTCACACAATGCTGGCTACCTGCCAAGTGAGTCGATGGAAACTGCATCTATCGTGCTCTAAACTACTGATATCGATGTGTATGTCTTAAAGAGAGGAGAGGAAAATAAAAGTGACGAAAAAGACCTTGAACAGTCGCCGAAATCTAAAAGGAAAACCAGAAACCCAACCAGCCGGACAAAGATCCTGAAGCCTCCATCGCAAGGACGCGGTCCTCGATCCATCCATTGTATCATCCAGCAGCCATTAGAAAGGAAAAGTCCCCATGCAATGAATACCTCCCACTAACTCCCATAATTCCCAGCGCTCGGATTGTCAGCCAGGCCTTCGAGTTGGCCATCAAAGGAATGTCGAAGACACAGCGGCGTCCTAACCCTCAAAGCCGTCCCTTTGTATTAACTTGGCTCCCCAGACCGTCTCATCATCTTCGACCTCATACCATGACTGGTCCCCAACGGTGGTGAGAGATCCGTACGCGGTCAAGGATTTGCATTTCCTTTGCTCAGTCAGCACGAGGTCTTCTGCAGATGCTGCTCTATCTCCCCAGGGGGTTATAGGAAGAGAATCAGGGGGGGGGGGGGGGGGGAACCGACATGTATCCGTCGATGGTAACAGCACCCCACACCTCGATGGCGCCCTGTGCCTCAAACGTGCCCGTTATATTCAACTTCCCGAAGATCTTGACCTTGTCCCTGCGTTCTTGGGTCAGCACCTTTCTCTCATTTTCTTTGTTTGTTTGTTTGTTTGTTTGGGGGGGGGGGGGGAGTTATGGTGTGAGGGATCTGCGTATCCAAGACATACCTGCAAACTCCGCTGCCGTTTATCTTGACGTTTCCAAAGGACTTCATCTTGCTACTGCGAGAGTCGTTAGCACGGTCTGGCAACGTCACCTCCCCCGTCGGCAGTCACCGAGACGTACTTGCAGGTCAGGTTCCCGTGGACGTCGATGTTGCCGTACGCCTCGATCCTGTCTCTGACGGCGAAGTCGCCCGAGAAGGCGACGCCTCCCATGGACTTGATGGAGCCGTCGACCTCCATGGGCCCCTTGAGCTCGATCGAGGTTTCGGACTTGATGCTCTTCTTCCTCTTGACACGGGCCTGGCGCGAGGTCGACGAGGATCCCGACGGGCCCGCAGCGGAGGCCGAGCCAGATGTGTTGTGCGAGGACATGTTATCGTCCAAGGCCATGACGTCTTCGTACCCGGAAGCCATGGGGGGTTCTTCGGTCGACGGGGCCGGCGTGGAGGCAGTTGGGGAGGGTGTTGTCCCGATGGGAACCGCTGGCTGCTTGCCCTTTTTCATAGTCGCGACTCTGGTTGCTCAGATATGGCTGAAGAGACCTGAAGAAGGGCTCCCATCGTGCTAATGGCGCTAGGCGTAGGGCTGAGGTCGATAGTTCCGGCGGGCGTTTCTGGAAGCTATATAGAAAAAGGGGACACAGGCAGCGCGGCAACGGCCATCCACGGTTTCATGGAATATGGCCAACGGTCCTGTCACCATCACCGCAGATCGACAAGTCATTCCGACGAGGTTCTTGGTTTCTGCCTACAAGCACTGGCTGGGAGCATTCCCGAGCTTTCTGTCTTGCCCTTGTCGCGATTGCAGTCCGTCGTATAACCGGAGCAGTAAGTGATGTGGAGTGACAGACTGAACGGGTAGCATATCCCATAGTAGCGCACCTTTACAGCCTTCTCATGGCATGGCAGGTAAAACATGCATCAAACGTGCCTCAACCCCCGGCGCCCAGATCCAGGCACGGATGCGATCCGCTTTCCTCTATTTCCAGAAACATGTCGGCAAATGGGATGAAAATGACCAGTCTAAGAGCATGCACTTGTGATTGGACAACTAGTTCATTTGAAAATGTAAGGCTACTTCAATAGTGCTAGAGAGGTAATCAAACTCTTGAGTGTAACCATCTAACTTCCGAGAGGCGGCCTTGGGGGAGGCCGCCTAGCTCCAGCCGTTCGGCACGAACCCACGGAAGGTGAGAAAAAACGCCTAACGACGTCCGTGGCCGTGGCCGCGATGCGACACTAGCTACCCCCACATGCAGAAACAGCCACTAAGAATCAATCAGCCGCAGCAGGGCTGAAGATCGCGATACATGCTTCTTTTCCCCTCATTTTTCTCTGTTTGTGACACAGTCTTTATTAGACCCCTGCGGTCTCGCACTGCGAGTCTCTTTTCCATCTCCCCATGCCCCAATCTGGCTCAAGGTGGGCGTCTGGGGCGTCTAACCTAGGGGAACTATTCAGTTAGGGTCAGCATTGCCCGTCATGGCTGGCAAATGAGCTTCCTGTTGTTGCCTTGGGCAAGCAGGTACAGTACATACATCGTTCAGCTGATCTTGGCGGTGCGGAGCCCCTTTCCTCCGTCGGTGACCAACTCCCGTCCACCTTTCTCGCAGGCTTGTGTGGAACATCCACTGGTCGAGCAAGGCCTGCCCTAAGCATCCAACACTACTACCCGAACACTAGTCAAAGCCACCCTTCTCATCACGCCGGCCAGTAGAAGAACGTGGAAAACCTGGGTGGCTGGGGTTCATCACGACTAGTAACTGTAAGACCCGGATAGTTTTGAACTTAGTGGAATTGCCTGTTTATGAGCTTGATACAAGCCAAGGGAAGCAGAAAATGAATGCCTGACCTCTCTGGCGTCTGATGGACCAACCCCCTACTCCCTGGGGATGTGAACAGCCTATATTGACAAGCCTAATGGGACTCAACGACTCGGCCACCCCATTTGGGGTGTAATCGGGTCGATCGTCACACGTCTCCCACAACCTCGAGCCCCAGTCCTGTCAACATTGCAGCTAGAGCCCATGAAGATGCATAAACGGCAGCGCCGTATGATTCCACGCCCTTGATCGTCATGGCGCACTGCAAATACGTGCTGACCCACGTCACAAACATCACCGCCGCAGTCCTAACGATGGCAACCTTTGTCCGCGTGGTGTATCCCCACACGTTCCACCAAAGCGTCTCGCCCAGCGTCGCACTGATGGGGTCGAACTCGGCAATCTTCGCGTCAGCCCTGGTCCGGCCGGTCGTGGCGAAGGGGGCAAAGATGAAGCCTTGGGCGGCCAGCCCAAAGAGAAGCATGAGCACGCCGGCAAGCAGGCTGCCGAACTTGGTGTGGACGGCTGGCTCGACACGGGCGATCCCCTCAAAGTAGAGCACGAAGATGGTCGGTAGGTAGGTTTTAAACGCGGCGAATAGCGTGGTGCCGTATATCAGCCCCGAGAGGACAGCCGTGGATGTCTGGATCCCTCGGTCCAGTATTATTTCCCTGTTAGGTACTGGTGGGGAGGAAGAGGAGGCAGAGTGCGCGCCCGAGGTTGGTCGCAAGAGCAGGAAAGGCACCGATCCTGACAGGGTGTCGAGAGCCAGGCATGCGCCTCCGGTCCACAGGTCGATGTCATAGAAGGCAACCTGGAGGAAGAGCTGCAAATGCGGATTAGCGCGACTTCGCATCCCATCCGTGTGGAGAAGCAGCGGAAGAGTTGCCCGAGAGCTCGGCTCGAGAACAAGAGGGAGAGGAGGGTGTGAAAAGAGAGCTGACTCACAGAAGGCCCATGTGATAGTAGGTTCAACGCTGCCAAGTCATAGCTATCAAAGTCACCATACCAGCCAAGGGCGAGCTCGAATCTTTCATGAGTAGGCGGTTAGCTCGGCTCCCAGCTGAAGGGTAGGGCGGCTGATGATCAGCCCCGACTGGGGGGGGAGGGGGAGGGGCGTTTGAGGGCTGAGACCTACATTCTCCAGGCGGTAAGGAGGGCCAGTTCTGAGTTCATCTCGGATTGTCTCGCAATGCTGGCTATCCCTGCACGAGACCATGCGTTGAGAAGTGAATAGCCCAAAGACGACAGGGAGAGGCTGAGAACGACGACCAAGGGGAACTGGACGGCGGGTGGCAGTCGCGAAGCTCGCCGCTTTGGAGTGGGAGCTGAAGCCTGAGCTGGAGCCTCAAGCGCCGTTGCTTCGGCTCCATCGCCCGCGCCTGATGCACCCGATTCTACCTGCTTGCCCCGCCCCATTTGGCGCCTCGCAAATAGGTTGCCTGGAATGTAGGTGTAGTGGTACCGGGTGGCTTCAGATGCGTCTAGACTCTAGTGTTGTGACGTTATATGAGTTCAGAATCTCGAAAGATGTGGCCAGAACGGGAGTAGGAGGAGAACAGAGGTCGGTGAGATGGTGGATGTGGCGGGAGAGCTTGGAGAGCTTGGGTTGCGGCCTCGATAAGGACCATGCGGGGTTCAGTGACGTCTGACGTCTTCCGATAATCTCTGTAACAACACAACCCCCCACATCTCAACCCGGCTTAAGCAGCAACGTAATACATAAAACGAAGCAATTACAAAAACCTACCTACACATTCAAACAGCTCGAGCAACTTGGATCTCTCATGGGGCCTCCAGGCTGGCACTGTCACACATCGCCCACTGCAGGGCGAAACGGTAAGCACTTCACATTCATCATGTCCCGAATGAGCATTCTCGGCGTGTCTTCGTCTCGTTTGCATTTCGCATTTAGACGGCATGCCAAGAAAGAAGACAAGTGTTCATGGGCCGATAAAACAGCACAGTATTCTGTTCATGTTCCATGAGATATCCATCTGGCTGCTAATACTTGAGGGCGTTCGCTCAACGCTCGCACACAACCCTCACTTTAACCTCGTGAGGTTGACCGTTTTCTCACATGCCGAGCGAGACAAACTGGTACTCCCCACTCTTCGGTGCTAAGGGTTGTCGGCGGAGCGAACCCCTTTATATGGGTTGCTTTCTCGTCGTGTTTGAGTATAAGTGTTACAAAAGGAAAACTAGTCCGGAGCGTCCGTATCATCAAATCCTGTTTCTCATCGCATCTCGAGGTGAGCTCGGCCGAGTCGAGCTCGGCCGTGCCAATGGAAGCTTATTCTTCCATTCGCCCAAAGACTCCATCGTCGTCCTCGTCGCTTCGAGCCCGGGACTGCATATCGTCGTCGTCGTCATCCATGACGCTTTCGCCGCTTTCTTCTATCTTGACGTCGTCCCGGCGCAGCTCGCCACGAGTGAAGCTCTCTGGAGCCTTGTTTGGGAAGCTATTAATGAAGCTTGTCCCCGTTAGGACGGACTGGTCGAGGTACTGCGCAGGAAGGGGCGGCACTGGTGGGGCGTCTGGTGGGAGGTGCACCGCCCGGGAGCCGCCGTTGCTATTGAAGCTGCAGCTGAGCAGTTCTACCGCCGCAGCCAGATCGCGGTCATCCTGGCCTGTCGCATTCCTCCCTGATGACGGTGGGCGTTGGTCATGGCTGTGTTGGCGGAAATGGCCAAAGCCAGACCCTATCGGCACGCTGCCTGCGACGGAGCTCGTCGACAGTGCTGACTGGTACGACCGACCGAAACCGCTGCCGCTGCTATGTCTCTTTGACGATGCCCGATAGGACATGCCGTAGCCGGCGTTGAGCGACTCTGGCTGCGGCGGCGGGGTTGTGTCCGCAGAGCTGCGATCCTGGGGCTCAGAGTCGGCAGACGCGGCGGGGGAGGCAGAGTCCCGGTCGCTGTTGAAATCTCTCGCCGAATCCGGAGGGGTGGCTGAGTCCTTCGCGGTGCCGTTCATTGCCACCAGAACCGAAGCAGCCTCGAGCAACTGGACTTGTTGGTGCTTCGAGATGAGAAGTTTGGATGTGAGGGACCACTCCGGAGTATGCTCCCACCTGATGATCCAACAAGTCAACACAATGACCAAAGCATCAATAAGGCGACAGTACCGATGGGGGGAGGAAGCCACGTCAACTCGGTATGGCAGGCATGTGTTGTGCAGAGGGACGGAAGTGGAAAATGGGCACAAACAAATGCTTGGTCAAGCAACTGCTATGCTTGTATCCCTTGCCACACTTCTCACAATGAAGTTCGGGGCGGTTCTTCCTTCCTTCCTTGACAAGAGGCTGACCATCGCTTGCTCTCCTAATGCGGGCCTTCTGGAAAGTGCTATCTCCCTCGTCGGCAGACATGTCGTTGGGGTCGTCATCAATAGCGCTGTCTTGCATGTGGACGACTCCATCTCCTGTCACAAATCTGTGGATGTGCAGGCTCCCCGGCGGCGAGGGGAGGCTGCCGGTGATGGCGGAGCGGCCGGAGCCGTGTTTGGACATTGTGTTCCGGCGAGATCCGAGGGCGATGGGCAGGGGCATAGCTCTATCACCGGCTTCATTGAGTGCGGCCGCAACTGCTGCCACGTTGGTGACGGTGCTGTTCATGCTCTTGCGGCGAGTGACGCGGTGGTTGGCGTTAAGTGAGCTGGACAGCACAGAGTGGGAATTGGTCCGAGAATGGGATTGTCGGGTAGCATTCAGGCCACCGGATATCGAATTGGTGGATACCGAGGGGCGGTGGGTGAGCGGCCGCGAAGTTTGTTGCATTTCCTGGGGCCAGACGATGTGATCAGCATGGCAGACTCACAGGGTAGAGCGAACTAGCAGGCATGGTCCGAGTAGCCTAGATATACCTTTGATGAGGCCATTTTCAGAGTCCAGCAGAGATGAGGTCCCTGCAAGGCCCTGGCTCAATATCCTGTCGCGCCGTGGGGGGAATTGGAGTGTGAGGCAAATAGCAAAAGCTCGTTGTGGTCGTCGAGATGGTGTCTTGTCGAAGCGTCGTGGCGGTGGTGTGCGGATGCCACTTTCTGATTCCCTTTTTAAAAAAAGAAGCCACGTGACTAGCCCCTCCCATCCAACCAAGCCCCTGCTAGGCTTCTTAATAGATCAGATGAGTACCAGGTACATTCCTCTACGAAGCATGTGTCACCTGTTCTTTGTTAGTACATAGGGTGTGTTTGCTGTTTTGCCTTTTTATTTCTGTAAATGCATATACTGCCTAATGGCAAAGCTGCTGCTGTAATCCGTATACCACCCAACTTCAAACGCCTTGACTTTTGCCCTATCAAGATTCTAAATACGTATGCTATATTCACCATCACCAAACTCTACAACTGAAATGCTCGCTTTCTGTTTCCTCAAGTATTGCTCAGTTCATTGAATACCTTGTCTACTATGTATAGTCGACGCCTACACTCAAGGATTTGTTGTCAAAGGAGCTGTGAAGTAACCATAGCACCTGAGTTGGCAGGGCCGCTTCAGACCCAGCTCCCGCCCCTGTGTACAAGAACTAGCACGCAAGCTTCGAAGTGACAAGGTTGATAGAACCCATCTTTCGAGTACATATATTATTCGGTCCTATAGTGAATACTTTGAGGTTTGGATGTTTGCTGGAGGTGAAGTTGGCAGGTAGGTAGCTTGGGATAGAGACAGTGGGGCGGATAGTTTTTATTGAGGGGCTTGACTCACAGCCCGACACCGGCACCTTGAGCTGGCCGAGTTGGCAGGTATATATATTTATTTCGACCACCTACATGACAGGAATCGCCATTGCCAACAGCCGACGGGAGAAGAACTAAGCAAAGAGATCGGGATCCGCCGGTTTTCTCTTGCTCTGTTGAAGATGTCGTCTGAAATCAAGTATTCCGGCCCCCCGGATCCGACAATCGACCTCCATTGGGGCGATTATGGTGGAGGTATGATATGACGATGCATCCTTTATTGAGCAAGTTCTCACCTCTCTGCTGCAGCCATCCATGAGATATTCGCAGCCAATGCCAAGAGGTTCCCAGACAGAGAATGTGTCATTGAAACCAAGAGCCCACGAACTGCTCAGCGAACTTTCACATATCGCCAGATCAATGAGAGTTCCAACCAGTTGGCAAACCACTTTGTGCTACATGGGTGTGAAGTGGGAGATGTTGTCATGATATATGCCTTTCGAGGGTCTGTTCTTTCTCTGCTCGTCTGCTTCTTCTTGTCACTGAGTGACATGGGTGTAGGGTTGACCTTGTGGTTGCTTATATGGGCGCCCTCAAGGCTGGAGCAACTGTCAGTGTGCTTGATCCACAGTACCCTCCAGAGCGCCAGAAGGTACTGTTGGACGTCGCGAACCCTAGATTCCTGGTCTATATCCAGAGGGCCAATGAGGAATCCGGCAAGCCTTCTGACCTTGTTATGGACTTCGTCGCTAGCAACCTCAGCATCAAGTCTACTATTCCAGCCCTAGAGCTTTCCGATAATGGGGAACTTAAGGGGGGCAATGTCGACGGCAAAGATTGTCTTGAGCCCTACCTCTCTAGCAGAGAGGAACTTCCCAATGTCTCAGTTGGCCCAGATTCGATACCAACTCTGAGTTTTACGAGCGGATCAGAGGGCAGGCCGAAGGGCGTCCAAGGCCGCCATTTCTCATTGACCCATTACTTCCCCTGGATGGCAGAGAGATTTGGCCTTTCGGAAGGCGACAGGTTCACCATGCTGTCCGGCATTGCTCATGATCCAATCCAAGTAAGCTACCTCTATCCGAATATCCCTATTACTATCGTCTGTAATACGGAATGTCTAACGAGTGCATACAAAGAGAGATATCTTCACCCCGCTCTTCCTAGGTGCCAAAATAGTCATCCCTCCCGCTGATGTGATTACCTACGAGCTGCTCGCGGAATGGATGAACGAGCACAACGTCACGGTAACCCACCTGACTCCCGCCATGGGCCAGATCCTTGTGGGCGGCGCCACAACCCAGTTCCCCTCGCTTCGGAACGCCTTCTTCGTGGGTGATCTCCTGACCAAGAAGGATTGCAGGAAGCTGCGCGACCTTGCACCAGATGCTACGGTGATAAACCTCTATGGCTCGACCGAAACGCAGCGTGCCGTGTCGTTTTTCGAGGTTCCAAGCAAGTCTAAGGACCCTGCATTTCTGGATCAGTTGCCGGATGTTATTCCGGTTGGCCAAGGCATGCTGAATGCCCAACTCTTAGTTGTCGATCGCGAGGACAGGACCAAGCTCTGTGGCGTAGGCGAGCAAGGAGAACTGTTCCTTCGAGCAGGGGGCCTCGCAGAGGGGTACCTTGGAGACGACGACAAGACGGCGGAACTCAACCGGTCCAAGTTTCTTCTTAACTGGTTTGTCGATCCTGCTAAGTGGGTGCAGCAGTATGACCAGCACATTGCTTCGGGGACCCCTGCTTGGAAGGGACCACGAGATCGCATTTATAGAACCGGCGATCTCGGCCGAACCCGTGATGATGGAAGTGTCGAATGTACAGGCCGTATTGACTCGCAGGTCAAGATCCGTGGCTTCCGGATCGAGCTGGGCGAGATCGATATATACCTATCAGAGTACCAGTTCATACGCGAAAACGTCACCATTGTTCGAAGAGACAAGGACGAGGAGCCAACCCTCGTCACGTACTTCGTCCCAGAGACAAACCGTTGGTTCCAGCACCTTCAGCAGGAGGAAGATGGGAGGTTTGTCGAGCACGACTTACAGGACGAGTCGATGGCTGGAATGCTTAGGCGATTCAAGTCGCTGTCAGAAGACTGCAAGAAGTTCCTTGCGACCAAGGTTCCTAAATACGCCATTCCAAGCATATTCATTCCTCTGGCTCGGATGCCCTTGAGTATGTTTCCCTTGATGAAGAAGATACCACTTTCTAGGCTAACACATAACCCCAAGATCCAAACGGCAAGATAGACAAACCACAGCTCCCCTTCCCCGACGCGGCAGATCTTGCTGCCCTCGCCAAGAGGAGGGCTTCGTCCACGGTTGCCAATATGACCGACACCCAGACTCGACTAGCTACGATATGGGCATCGATCCTCCCTAACCGCTCTGCACGGATGTTTGTGCCAGAGTCCAACTTTTTCGATGAAGGCGGCCACTCCATCCTCGCACAGCAGATGTTTTTCCGTCTAAAGAACGAATGGAAGGATATCGACGTGCCAGTGAGTGCGATATTCCAGTCTCAGACCCTCGAGGCCTTGGCGGCAGAGATCGATCGCGCCCAAGACCCTATTGGGCTGCGCCTAGATGCGATGCCTCTCCCCGGAGACGGAAATGTCAAGGACGAGGCGTACGCAGCGGATGCAAGGGATCTCGTGCGTCAACTTCCCGCGTCTATCCGGAGCGCAGAGATAGACTCGGACTACGCAAACACTCCTCCTACCGTGATGCTCACCGGTGCTACGGGCTTCCTTGGCTCATACATCCTCCGCGAGCTCCTTGAGGGCCCCTCCAAGGCTCATGTTATTGCGCACGTGCGAGCCAAGGACGCAGCGGCAGGTCTAGCTCGACTCGAGAACATAACCAAGACGTACGGCCTGTGGTCCCCATCTTGGACATCCACATCCAGGCTTGAGGTCGTGGTAGGGGATATTTCCAAGGGACAGCTCGGTCTATCCCAAAGCACCTGGAACCGCCTCGTCGAAGAGGTTGACGTCGTCATCCATAACGGCGCCCAGGTCAACTGGATGCTGCCGTACTCCAGCCTCCGGGCGGCCAATGTGCTTAGCACACTGACTTGCCTCCGGCTCTGCGTCACCGGAAAGCCCAAGCGATTGGCATTTATCAGCTCAACCTCGACGCTGGATAACGGCTACTACGTCGAACTCTCGCGGAAGGCCGGAGCCTCTGTGCTGGAGACTGACGACCTTGAAGGCAGTCGCAAGGGTCTTGGCACGGGATATGGGCAGTCCAAGTGGGCGAGCGAGTTCATCGTGCGCGAGGCTGGACGGCGGGGCCTAGTGGGCGCCATTATCCGCCCGGGATACATCACGGGTGACCCAGGATCCGGCATCTCGGTTACGGACGACTTCCTGGTCCGGCTGTGGAAGGGGTGTCTGCAGGCGGGAGCGCGTCCCGACATTGCGAACACGGTCAACGCGGTCCCCGTCACGCAGGTCAGCCGCATCGTCGTCGCTGCCGCGTTCCATCTCCCTGCTGTTATCGGGCAGTCCCTGGGCGTGGCTCAGGTCACCAGCCGTCCGCGCCTGACGTTGAATGAATGGATTGGCGCTCTAGAGGTGTATGGGTATCGCGCGCCGATGGTGTCGTACCGGGAGTGGTGCGCGAAGATCAAGGAATACGTCAGCGATGACACCAAGGAGGAGGAGCATGCCCTCCTCCCCTTATTCCACTTCGTTGTGGGGGACCTGCCTACAGACACTGTTGCTCCAGAGCTGGATGATTCCAATGCGGCAGCAGCGCTGGGCCAATATGATAAAGAGACGGGGAACCAAGGGGGCCCTATAGCTGCAAACGCCTTAACCGTGCAGACTGTAGGCACATACTTGGCGTACCTAGTTGCCGCTGGCTTCCTACCTGCGCCGACTCAGAAAGGCGTGAGCGAATTACCCAAGCTCGATGGGGCTAGGTTGCAAGCTTTGGCTGCTGGTCGCCTTGGTGGCAGGTCTGCAAGGCCGTGATAGGTAGCCATAGAGCCCGAAGGGGCATTTAACAATGGCATCAAGTGCTATGCCCTGAGAAAGAGGCTAAGACCAATATGTGTCAATGCCTCTGTGTATAGCGATGGTCCCAACCTGCTCTGGTACTTTCCTTGCTTACAAGTCCCCGTAAAGTTTATTAACGTCCATACTTCAAGCAAGGAGCCCCTATCAGAAATCCACAAAATCTGCAATTTGACATCTAGAGGAGTGTGTTTGAATTGTAAACGAATTAGAAAGCATATCCTTGTAGCCGTGGTTATATGCTAACGAATTTTCTGGGGTTGGTAGCTGGTACCCCTACAATTTCCAGCATACAATGGGTACGGTGTACGCGGGGGTTCTGTTCCTGGACTTCCACTTGCTGCAGCTCGTCGCGCTTCCCCCATCCCGTTAGGTCGCTCGCGCACTTCCTTGATCTTATAGTGTCCTTCACTGAAGACAGATCCCTTATCTTCTTGTACTTACTTACCGTCAACATATCCGTGCCTGTTACCCCTCCTTTTTATTTTATTTTTAACTATCACCTTCCCTTAAGGGCTTTGCATCAGGATATGGAGGCAGTTCAGAGATTTTTTATCAGCCAAGGCGTACGGATCCGTCAATGTCGTAGGTACCGAGGGAAATTTAAAAGCTGATGCTGGTCAAAAGCCGAGTGATTCGCCACCTCCCTTTCATTGAGCCAATATTGGGCAAACTTAAAGTATCAGTACTTGGACGACATGTACATACATCCGGAATATTAAACTAACTCTATGCGTAGATCACAGTGGAAAGGCGGGAGGCGCTAAGGAACAGCACCTTATCCCTGTTCATGCAGCTCATCGCAGGTACAACATACTCAACGTCTGGATTGGGAAAAGATCAGCGGTCGAAGTTCTGCTGGGGAGGGTGTACTCCTCGCAACAGTACATGCGTACTCCGTACACTGGAGGAATAGCGAAACACAGCACTAGGAAGACGTAATTCGCCCGCAAAACTTGTCAAACGCAAAAATTTCCATTTTCAAGAGCTAAGAGCTCCGTGCCTGGCGATCGCATGGCCTCTCAGCGTGCAGGCTGATTCCCTTCCGCACGAATGGGGTGGATGGAGATGTCACAACCCCTCCTTAAATTAGCATCTTGCCTTTGCTTATGGCACTTGGACCAATCGACATGGTCACAGGGCACATCGAGGGGGCTTGTTGGTTGCCCTCGCGCTAGGTAGATGCCAGGCCGGGGACCCCTCACAGACTTACCGTCAATGGTAAAATGGCACGGAGACTTGAAAACGGTGGCCCGACATTTGTATCAATTGTCCTGTCTGGTGACTCCAATTTACGCCCGTCGCCACCTTTCGCATCAGTCACCATCCTATACAAGACCTAAGCAACGAAACGCGAGGCTAGAGACTTAATGCCGTTCGATGCCACCGCATTGTGACCTTTTTTCTAGAGCTGTCAACTTATTTTGACCGAAGGCTAGCTGTCATCCATGCCCTGGTGAGTGGGGCAGCTCTGCATACATGTATACATAGAATGTTGAAGAAGAGGATGACGTTAGAGAACAAGCACCTGACCAGTAATAGACCCGTCAAAAGCTCCGATCTACAGCAGCAGAGCACCTAGGTACCTCTTCAAGTGGTACCGCCCTGCCGACTTTACCAATCTACCCTCGCTGGCAGGATAAGCTCTCGCCAATGGTCGATATTCCACAATACGTATACGTGTAGATGGATGTATTCAAGATCATCGCAACTAATCGGGCTACACGATTGCCGCTTCCGAAGCAACCGGATTTGCACTCTTAGCCCTGATTATTCAGTGTATCCACTGAGCGGGCGCTACTCTTCCTTCCATTGTTGAATGTTGGAATAGGGAGAATGGTTAACTCATTAACACAACCCCTGTCGTTGCCGCTCAGGTACGAGTCCATGACGCCTCCTGGAGCCACTGTATGAATACCAAGCCCGTGCCAGCGCAGAACGGAAATGGCTATTCGATTACAGCCAGTGCCGTCAACCAAGATCAAGACGTGGGAATGTTGGATGCAGGACCAATGACTCTCAGGGCGCGTACCTGCGCAAGACTTGTACCCCTAATTTGAAGGCACGAATTTATAAATCCCAGGTCATGTAGGAATCTACTTCTGATATCATCTCCATTTGCTTCCAATAGCGACCATACCTTAGGTAGGTATGGAAGTTTAGAAAGCACACAATTTTCAAACCTACCTAGATATAGTGTTTCACAATACGTCCCTTATCCAATTCAGCCCCGAGTCACTTATCTCATCCAGTGAGGTAAAATGCCACTCACGGAGTGGAAGATAAGGACATACATGAAAACATGTACCCTACTTTGTAGAACGTCCGGCCAAAGAACCTTAAATTAGATTGGAACGAAAAGACAAATTTGCAGGCATTATTTCTCTCCGTTCTGTACAGGCCTTCATTAAGCGGAAGCCATGGGAGCCAAGCCATATGTAGGTCATGAATCTCGACCCTAGAGCCCTTTGCCGGGACACCGTCCGCCCCAGATGGCAGTTAGTTTGCTAACCCGCTCTACACAACACAACTGTAGGACCTAGAAGCTCAGCAAGCCAACAAAGACGCCCCGGGAGGATCCACCGTCACATACATGCGGTCCGGGCGCGGCGGAGCAGGCAACTTCGTCCAGCCCTCCACGCGGGAAGAGAGTCAACCGGCGGATGACGGCGACGATACCCAGCGCACCAAGGTCACCGCCACCGCCGCCGCCGCCGCGAGCGGAGCTGGCCCAAAAGCAGGGCTCACCGGGCGCGGCGGCGCGGGCAACTGGGCCAGCACGGGGCAGACGGCGGGGCCGGACCAGATGGCGAGGCCGAAGACGGGGCCCACGGGGCGCGGCGGAGCGGGCAACTGGGCCGCCAGCGCGGGGCAGGCCGCGCAGGCAGAGCTGATGGAGAAGAAGACCAAGGAGGACCTGGAGGCGAGGGTCTTGCAGGACGTCGAGGGGGGCCTGGCCATGCCGCCGCCCACGTATCGCCAGCGTGGTCGGAAGGAGGTTGAGTGAGGTGGCACACAGGGCCTACTCTTACCAGGGCCCCAGCACCACGTTCACGTTCGAGAACGGAGCTGTCTTCACGCTGGAAAACAAGGGCACTCTGTGTGATGAACCGGGAAGCCATTATTGGAATGATGCGTTTCTCTCAACACTATACCCAAGTATGAATCTGTGGGATTTCTTCCGTTAGCCGTAGCAATGATTCAATTTACCATGAATATCGATTCTATCAGGGCATCTCTCCAATGGGACAAGCCTCCCTAACGCTGATGAGCTTGAACTGACGAGACCGAGCATCGGAATCCGTCCCACTGGAACGGTGGGGCGCCCCAAGCTATGATAGGAGGCCCGTGCGCCTCAAATTGCCGGCCCATTCCGGCCGAGGCGTCAAAAGATATTTTTCTCTATCTCGCCATCGACATCGTCCATCGCCAGACAATCCCACCGAGATCCACACCGAGAAGCATCATGGCGTCGGCAATTGCTATTGGCAGTGGCATCGCGGTCGCCGCGTTCTTGGTAGGTCCTATTTCACCTCCATCCACTCCTCCCCAAAAGATGCTCACATGTTTTTGATGCAGGGCCGAGCCGGACTGGTCGCATTCAGGAGATCCCGGGGCGGCGTCGGGGCCCTGGGCAAGGCGTTCTACAAAGGAGGCTTCGAACAGCGGATGAACAAGAAGGAGGCCACCCTGATTCTTTCTCTGAAGTAGGCAAAACACCAATCCCCCTCCCCCGTCTTCTTCTTTCCCATCGCCCGAGCTAACGAACGGCACCATCCCCAACAGCGAGAGGAGCCTCAGCAAGGACAAGATCCGGAAGGCGCACCGGACCCTAATGCTTCTAAATCACCCGGACCGTGGCGGCAGCCCCTACCTAGCCACGAAAGTCAACGAGGCGAAGGAGTTCCTGGAGAAGAACGGATAACGACCGGTCGCGACATCCTCCACGAGGATGCGAGCGCATCCGCCACCCTTCGTCGGTCTTCGCTTCGAAGTGTGAAGTGGTCGACTGTCGATCGAGGCCCCGGCTCCCGATAAGCCGTCTCCCTGTCTGGGTTGAACCAGTCCTCCCCATCCTTGACAGAGTCCTGTACTCTTGTACCATATAGATCAAACATAGCAACGGCGTTTGGGAGTCAAGGGTCGAAAGCATCTTGGTGTTTCTATGGTAGAGGGCTATTTGAGGTAGAGCCATTCCAACTACCTACAACCAGACCAAGTTTTTCAATACAAGGCTACATGGCCGTATCATTCTCTGCTCAATTTTATTCTCCCTTCCCTTAAACCCGAACCTCACTCTCATGTACCGGGCGGGATGCAAGTTCCTACCCCGGATTCAGCTGCAAATGCTCATGCACCTAGCTTTTCCATGTGAAGTTCGGCCCAATCATCCCATTCACCACCAACCAGTCTTCTCCGGGGCTTTGTGCGAAGCTGTCAGTCAGTAAAGGGACGTCAGGGATTTGGAATGGGGCATTGCTCACCACTCTGGCTAGTGCCATGGTCGGCATACGGGTTGATCGGCTTGACAGGATCCCCCCCATCTGACTGCTCACCACCGCTGCTCCAGCCTTCGTCCTCTCCAGGCTCGGGCTCGGGCGGGGTTGGTACCCTGTGGTTAGAGAAGTCAGCGCAAGCTAAAGGAGAACTTTGCGAAATGAATGTCTCACCAGATCTCGTTACCCATCACGTCCACACTGGGGTATCTGGCGGTGCTTTCAACCTGCTGGGGAGCTTTCTCTCGAGTTCGCGCATTGGTCAGACTCGCTTGGCGCTTCTTGATGGTCAATCCGATCATGGCTTGCATGGTATATACCGCATCATTTCCTGCATTGTGTAGGAATCGGTATCGAAGATCAAGGCTCTCAAGAATCGTCGCCAGTTTGGTCGAATTCTGGGCGCGTTTGATGTACTGGCACATATCGCGAGTATCCGCAAACTCAACGATGTTCTCGGTCTTATAGATGTCGAAGCCCAGTGCTTTGAGATATTTCACATCTTGACTGGAGTCGTGGAACACGAGAACAATGGGCCGTTTCTTGACCACCGACACTCCCGGGGCGGCGAAGGATTTGGTTGATGAAGCCGCCTCCATAATTCTCGCGATGAACGTCGCGACATCTTTGCACTTAACAAATTCGCTTGTCCTGCCGCGTGTTAGCTATGGTACTTTGTTTATCCACGACCCAAGGAGAAGGCATTTCACCCAAAGTCGAAGTTCGCCGGGCAACCCTGGACATGTCGTCTGTTGCGGGCCCAAGCATTTTCCTTGATGCGAATATGGCGAGCATCGATGAGCGGGATCCAGTTTCTCCCTCCCTTCCCTGGCGGCGTCTTCCGGATCTTCAGAGTGTCGAAGATGGCTAAACCAACCTCGGTGATGATGTCCTGGTTGAACTCGTACGCCTCGATGTCAACGGCGATGAAGACCACCGAGCCTTCAGGCTCTGATGTGGTGGGGCAATCTAGATTCAGGCTGTTCCCGGGTCCTGGAACGTTGCCCTCGCGAGTCGTCGCTTTCTGTCGAAGGCCTAGGTAGCGCTGCACACGCTTGATAGATCGACCCCAAGCCTTGTGGCTCGCTACCCGATCGGAGCGGTTCCTTTGGGAGTTCTTCTTCCTGTTCATAGCTGTGTGGATCATTTTCAGCTGTTCCAGGAAATCGTCCTTTGCTGCCACCGGTACTTGATCCAATTTATCTGTCGGATCAAGTGGGGGGATGTCGGCCTCCAAGGCCTTGAAGGTTTCGCCATCTGTGGACCGTCCCAAAAAACGAGGTCGCGGAGTATGCCCGAGGCGGCCGAAACTCACGCTGAATTTGCCGATGTTCTTGCCCCCGGGAACCTTAAGGTCTGTATCTAGTCTCGCGTTGACGAACTCCAAGAGTTGCTGAAACTGATATGTAGGGACAAATAGGATGGGGCTGGGATTCGTTTGGCTGAGATTGTGGATATAAAAGAAATCCCAAACGCGGTTCTCGTGGAGAGCAGTAGTCGAAAAAAATGGCGCCGCCCGCTCACCGTTCCGCTTGCCGACGAACATGTAGGGATAGCCTTTTACGAGCTTCCAGGGACAGAAAGCTGCGCCTTGGGGAGACACCTGACCTTTTTCAAGCCCACAGTCCGGCCAGTCGACTCTCTGCTGGATACCCGGGGTGCTATGGCCGTTGGCCTGCATCTTCTCCTGGTACTTCTGGGACGGTGCAGTTCCCACAGATCGTTCGGCGATGGCCAAATTAGTTGCCTTATATGAACCCGCTTCGGTCGCCGAAGAACGTATATGCGTCGACGTAGGATGTGTACTGGGCGCCTTTCCCCCCATCTGGGGACTGTCTGGGTTGGATCGTCCTGGGAAACCTTCCTCGCTTGCGGGATTGTAGTCCTCCCAGATGCCCTTTTCGCCCGTGAGCATCTCCAGACGCTTACGGTATTCGCCCATCTGAGCCATGGTTGGACGGGATATCGGTAGGGGCAACGTTGGAAATGCGGAAGGTAGGAACGGCAAATTCGGAAGGAAGGATCAGCGCAATAGCTCATCTATTGCGACCAAACAACTAGAAGAGAAAGTGAATCGGATAAAATTGAGGACGCGAGGAGTTGTGTGTGCTCGATGTGAGTGAAGGGAAGCGGGTCCTGCTCCTCGATGTACGGTATGCTGCTTCACTTGGTCGAAGTCTGGAAGACCGGCTTTCATGGGAAGTGCCTCGAGAAAAACTCGGCCACAGCAATGGAAGATACCTAGGTAGGTAGGTTGGGTCCTGCTTGTGAGACCAGACTGAGGTAGGTGTGCCTAAGGTACCTAGGTATTTGACAAAGTGAGGACGACTGATCTAAGAACCTAAATCGCAAGACCAGGTATGACCGACTGGGTGCGTGGGTGCTGGAGTTCCTACCAATTGCCCTGTAGCGTCGCAAGACAATGGCCGTCGAAGCTGACAGTCACGGAATCTAAACACGAAACAAACAGAATGAATGACAGCCAGGCCGGCTTCAATAACTACCAAGTATCGCGCAAACGCAAACGGGCAGAGATCTGGTGTAACATGGAGGTTGACAGGCCCGCCTGCAAGACTGAGGCTGACGGCTGGCTGCACTGGTACAGCAAGTGGAAAGGGCAAGCCCACCATCCCAGTGTATTACATGGAGGAGCATTGCCGCATGTCACCTAGCCCTGCAACGGTGCGGAGCACCACAGGGCTGCGCTTGCCATTTTGGATTGCATTTGGTGACCTGGACGAGATATCTCCCGCCTCTTCCTTCGGGACCGTGATGTCCTACTGACTGGTCAGACCTTTACTCATCTACTCTACTAGTCGGCTGGAACATGTAATCTTGTAACTGAGTAGTCTCTGGCGGATTCTCAAGTTACTTCTGTCAGGCCCGTCGCGGTAATAGAGTCTTTTTTGACACTCGTCCGATTAGGTACAAGCCAGGTGAAGGCGAGATAGTCTGGTATAGCCAAAGCACAGCCTATATCATACCCTTAATCCCAGCCATAAATTAACAGCCAAGCTCGTACGCCTTTGTCAATACTGCCTAGGTCTTGCCTCCTCCAGCTGCCCGTGCAAATACTGGCGTTTCCGTTCAACCACAATGGACTGCAACTAGGTTGTCACTTCTCAAACTATGGCCTTTGTCAACATAGAGTCTCTAATGAAAGAAATAGGGCAGCTTACCTCCTTAGCTTCCGCTTCGGTCACGTCAGACACTTCGGTCTCTCGCTCCGTTATGAGAGTTAAGCGGCCGGCAACGATCTTCTCCTGCCACATCTCACGCCTGTCACCGTTTAGATCCCCACCATCTATTTTCTTCTTGAGGTCTCTCAGGAAGGAGTTGTAGAGCCCGGGCTCCTCTAGGCTGATGAGTTCCTCCCGCATTACTCTCAGGTTCTCCGCTGCTCGATCGTAGTTGATGTCGGCGAAGCTATCACGTATGAGCCTGGAAACAATCTCGCCCATCTGCTTCGTAGCGTCCTCGATAGTCGAGACTTCGTCGGCCGCGGCGAGCATCTGCTTGAACTCGGGAATTGCGTTTTCTGGCGCAATCTTTGTCCCCTTCTTCTTCTGACCCAGCAGGGCGTCGACATCAAGGCCAGAAATCGGCTTGACAGTCTCGCGCTTCCGCTTGCCTTTCGCTTTCGGGGGCACTTTGAATTCGTAAGCACTAACCAACCCGCGTAATTTGCACGTCTGGGTCCATTCCTACCTTTTTTGACATCGGCACTTTCGACAAGAGAATCGATATGTGGCTTGGCACGCTCAACAAGACCTTCAGGGGGCCCTGAAAACCGGAGGAGAATACCAGCTGCCGCCTCGAGAGGTTCGTCCGGATGCACGGCACGCTGGCGGATTGCTTGGTTGATACGGTGGATGACCGGGTTGTAAGACTCGTCAACTGCTGCATATTCCTTCGGGTTGCTTTGCAGAAGTTCAGCGACAGCCGGCGTGGTATACGGCTCGTGAAGGGAGCAGCACTTACCCGTCGTCGTCTGTGTCAAAGGTGGAAAGATCCATCGCGTCAACATAGTCGCTCATTGCCTTATTGAGCTCATCATCCGGAAGTAGCCGATGTTTCGTCAGGACCGTGCCGTTCACTGTGACAACTTTGTCTAACGGAGGGAACTGATAAACTCGAACATCTTCCGCAAATGGGAGAGGGACATCGTAGAGGCACTCGGCATCCCCTTCCAGTTTTGGACTCGGGATCAGAAGTACGAGGACGGGGCTGGCGCCATCCTTCGCTACGTATCTTGCCACCCCGTAAGACTCCAACTCGTACAGTGAGTTGATCAGCGAGGAGAGCGCCAACTCGGCCTTCTCGTTGAACTTATTTGCGACAATGACACCGGCTTCTCCCATATTTAAGAAAGGTTCGTACTTAGATACCATCGTCAGCTTTCAGACCTGAAAAGTCGACTGTCTTACTCACACTGCTGGAAGGGATAAAGCCGAGGATCGAGAAGCTCTTCTTCGTCTCGAGTTTGGTGACGTTCCAATCGGACTCGGCGATGTGCACAACTGTCCGACCGTACTCGTAGCCTTTCGCTAGGGAGTCGAACTCGACGTCTCTCTTTCCGCCTGGTGCATCTGGGTCGCTGACCTTGTACGTTCGTACCTGCCTCACGCTAGCGAAGCCGATGCCCGACATCTCGACGTCTTCTGCCTCGCCCTTATCCTGAGACGGGCCTCCCGCAGGCTCGGATTTCATGATTACAGTGCTTGCTGATAATGGGTGCGCCAACTTTGTCCTGAAGTATCGCTCGACGGGGATGCTTATCGCGCTTGGGTATTGTTCAGGGTCCCCGAGGGTAAGGGGCCCATCATAGCTCTTGAAGGGCCGGACTGGCTTGATCCTCGGCATAGAGAGCTCTTCGACAGCCTCGGCCATCGTGCCATAGACGCCATTTTTGCATTGCCCGACTAGTGTCTGCAATATCTTCTCATTCTTTGCCTAGACAGGAGTGAGCAAGCCGGAGATAGCTTCACACGTCTCTAAGACAGATTTACCTTCAATTTGGGCTTGTCTTCCTCCTTGAATCCGTATTCGGCATCATCGAAGTCAACGCCACTGCAAACAGTCAGCCCTGATGAGAAAATGAGAAACCAAAGTTGGGCGCAGCTCACATAACCACGAGCTCGATATTTGAGTCGTTAATCTTCTCGGATACTTCTTCAAGAGACTCGCTGTCCATTGGGCCTTTGGCGTCCGTTACTAGGAATATCTTCCTGTTGTACTTGAGCTTCTTCGTGAACTCTCCGATCATGGTAACAGCAGTTACGATTGCAGAGATTGCATCTCCTTCGGTAGTGCTTGAAGGTTGGATCTTGCCCCGAAGCTCCTTCAGAGATGTCATACTCATCGGTCCAATCCCCTGGAGCACGGAGATGTTCTCGTAACCCTCGAGGCCTGCTTTGTCCTGGGGATTGTCGGTTTCGTCGGTACGCAGTCCGATGGCCCCGACAGTCCATGTCTTGCGCGATGCCGCAACCGTGGTTGAGATCTTGTCCCAGACATAGCGCATGCTCCAATCCAGATCGGATTCGGTTCGTTCCCCGTTGCTCTTGGCCATGGACTGGCCGACATCAATGATGTAAACGGAGGCCTCCTTGTCGGCCATTGTCGCAGGCGGGAAGTCAAACCCCAGAGAGGAGCACCAAGTGAATTATGCGCATATGTTACGGGGCAGAATTGGTTTGGGAACCAGAACTCAACCAAGAGCTGACTGTTGCCTACGGCAGCTTGGACATGGATGACGCGACGTGTATATCTCTAAATCGGGGTGCGATACAAGGATTCAGTTTTAGCCACGAGATCACGTGATACCGTGTTATGCCTGCCGTGGGCTATTAGCATGGAACTTAGGTCTACCGGTTAAATGGATCCATGAGAGTGCATTGAGTAGAAGACGTAAGCTTCATCAAAATTCAGATGTCGCCATCTGTTACGTCTCAGCTTTGGAGTCTTTATTATAATCAAACACCATCACCCTTTCTCTAAGTTTTCTCACTGCTTCTTTCAGGCCTGTCTACCTTCACGGAGTTTCTATCATGGCTCCTTCGCTTTTGTTCTCCCCGGCGCCATATCACATCTTAGCGTTCGTCTCTAAACTGTTAGACAAAACTTGGGAAGGTGCTAATCGACAACAGATACGGCACATTCCTTGGCACAACCTTCTTTCATGTGAGCAGGATACCTACCCATGCCTCTCCTCCCAGCTGTGTGCCATCGGCCGTCTAACCGACCTCTCAAGTCATTCATCAATGGCATCGTCGCCATCCAGACACTGCCGCGCGCGCAGTTTGCGCTGCTCCAGTCAAGGCTCTTCCCTATCTACTTCTCAATGCAGACGGCCATCCCCATTGTCCTGACCTTGACATATCCCCTCGACAAGACTACGATCGGTGGCCGCTCTGGCGTTGCTGGAGTGCTGGCCCCAGCTAATCGCTGGGCTGTTCTTGCCCCAATTGCTCTTATGTTCCTCGCCGGCCTGGCCAATCTCGTGGTGGTAGGACCAGCAACCGCGAGGTGCATGCGTGATAGAAAATCCCAAGGTGAGTCGTCCCGGCAGCCGTTGGATTTCGTCTACTCAACTCGAAGCAGAGAGGAAGGATGGGAAGAGGAGCTTCGATCCCCCGCCACATTCGCAGGAGATGGTAGCGCTGCACAAGAAATTCGGCATGCTTCATGGCATTTCGTCTCTACTCAATCTCAGCGCTTTCATTGGGTCTGTCATATACGGCATCACCCTGTCGGCTCGAATCCAGTGATCTCGATCAGCTTGCGCCGAGCAGTATTCATAATACGTCATGGGGTTGCGGGCATCATTGTAGTGCCTGATGTTTGGCACAATTTCGGCAATAACAATATGTACAGATATCATACCCCATGGAACGCCAAATTGCAGGCACCTTTGCGCCCGCTTAAACTCCTTGTGTTAAATGACTAGTCCGTCGCTTTCCACTGCCGCTCTTACGGTCATGAAGTGTGCGAGCGGATTATGCATCCCAGTACGCACACAACTGGGTGGTATCTCAAAAGCCAAAACCCCAACATTGAAATGTCAATTTCCAGCCTGGCCGGCCGTTCCCAGGCGGTCTCGTCGCCTACCGTCCTCCAGCCGCGAGTTGCTTCAGTTGTTCCTTGGCCGCGAGAAGCTCCCTCTTGGCTTCTGCAAAGTCTTTCCCTTGTTGCTCCTTGTCTAAGACCGGTGTCCTTGCCTCGCGCGCGTTTTTCACGTAGTGGCCAAGTGACCATTTCTGCGGCGGTCGGGCAAGCATCTCCTCGACGCTGACCTCGCGTATCGGTGCTGGGTACTGGCGGGACAGGGCATCGATGGGGGTGATCCTTGACTGTGACGAGGTGGAGGTGGTGGAGGAGGTGGTTGTGGCCCGGCTGGGCTGCGGAGGACGGAGGCTGAAATCGGACACCGCGAGTGACGAGGTTGAAGAGGCCAAGCTCTGCGGAGAGTTTGGAAAGTAGCTGGTGTCGTTGGTTTTGGTAGAGTCAGAGCTGTGGAGGTCAAAGGGTGCCGATGCCTCAACTCCTGGTGCCATTATGGTGATTTTCTGAAGCAGACCTGGCGAGATGGACGGGAAGGCGGGAGGTGGAAGGTGGAAGTGAAGGTGTCTTTTCGTGGAAAAGACATGGTGGGCGAAAGTCATTTAAATTATATTTTCTCCCCTTGGTGGCCTACTTCGTGAAGGGTCTTTTTTCAAGGTACTAATTTTGGTGGGGGCGGAACCCGTCACCCCGGTGTGCCCCTTGGACCAAGCTGCCTGGTGGAGGTGTGGAGTCGAAAAGTGGGTGGGATATACGCCGGACCACCCGAGGATTGGGAGGCGAATGACTCGGCCGACTGTTGCGGGCGATGCCGATCACGACTCGTGGAGGGCAACACCCGTGAGCCCCCAAGAGGCCTCGGATATTGGGCGCCTCAGCGTACAATCCCTTGGCAACCATGGTCCGGGAACCGATTTAGATCCATCTCCAGGCAAGGGTGGTGCAGGTGGCGAATCTGCATTTTGTATCCGTTGCCTGTGGGAAAGCTTGAAGGTCACGATGCTCCTGTGGATTGCACTTTGAGCTATGGGTCAAAAACGTCTGCCAAGTACCCCCACGCTCGTCTATGCTCGTCTCTAAGTGGCTTTTTCCCTTGATCTGCTTTCCACTCCACCTTCTTAATCCGTATTATTACGTGAGAAGGAGCCGTTCGGTGATCCACCGTGACGGCGTCGCGGGTTCGGCTTGAAGAGGAATCCACACCGCCCGTGTGGCCTGTGCGAGCCGGCATAAATTGACGTCACATGCCACATGCCCACGGGCCACATGCCGTCTTTTTCAGGGGACCAATCCGTAACTCCACCTGATTGGGCTTTGGAATTCTGACTGAATCATGACAGTCGAAGTTTTCTATGGAGGGTTGTCTGATGGTGAACGATTTTTTTGTCGGAAGAACTCTGTTTAATGAGTCAAGGGAACCTTACCGACCTAAGTCGTCTGGCTCCGGTTTGTACAAATTAATACGTAAGCTATCCGTGGGGCACTGCCTCTCCATCATCAACCTTCTACATGCCACTCTGCTATGTAGAACCAACGCCCAATCAGAGCCACCCGGAACTCGGAAATCCATGCCCTTCTTGCTCCAGATGGGCATCTGTGCGCCCAGTTGCCGATTGTGAGTGCACGCTTCTAGTGATCGCTTCTAGGGATCGCCCTTATTTTTGCTTCTGCTTTTGGGTCTTAGCGAGCTCACTGGTCCGAATGATCTTGGGTTGGGCATCCGGCATCCGGTAAGCCGAGAAACTTATCGGGACAAACATGCCGACTTGACGCTGGTAGTCGTTGTATTCAGGATACTTGCCAGAGCTGATGAGCTCTGTGAGCCATGTCGAACCTTGGAAGAGGAGGACCAAGAATGTTGGCCCGGCCGCTGTCCAGTTATATAGCACTTTGGTCGAATAGCAGCTCCACTGGTAGACGATGAACCAGATTGATTGTTCGGCTGCGAAATTCGGATGTCTGCTGTATGCCCACACACCAGACGTGATGAAACCACGATCCAAGTCGGCCTGCTTGTAGCCTCGGGGAACCTTGGCCGATTTCTGATACTGTCTCTTCGCATTTTGGTAATCTAACTCTGGTCAGCATATTCTCTTCAACGGATCTCCAAGCCGGAGCTTACCCCACTGTTGTTGATCCGCAAACACCTCGATAACAACCATGCCCAACTCAATCACTATGTAGGCTAGATCGGAGCTCATGACTTCTGGTTCGAACTGAGTCGATAGCAAAACGACGTATACTGGCGCCGCGAGGGCGAACAGCAAGATACTCTGGATGAAGGAGATGAACGTCCAATTAAAGATGTGGAAGACCCAGGCCGGGACTTGGTTGCGGATGATTTCCCTGTCAGAGGATTAGATATGAGGCTCCCACCCGTCGCATATTGGTTCATTATTACCATCTGTAATCTTCGGATCCGACACTGTACCCTCCCTTTCTCCAATAGTTGAAAGTCAGGCGCGCCTAAACAATGCAACCGTCAGCTACCAACTCTAGTTTTCTGGCTGCGATTCAGCCACTCACGCTCCATATAACGCTGAAGAGCAAGATAGCATCGATCCTCTGACTCGATAACCCGGATAGACGTGTCCAAAGGTCGAAATGTGCTATGTAGAATGTCGGCAGCAAGCTCCAGAAGCGGTCCACTTGCGAGTAATTTCTGTTGACCTCCGAGGCCACCAAGAACACGGCTCCGAGGAAGACGGAAATAGCAAAGCCCGAGATTAATGGATTTGTATCGAGGTAGAGATCGAGGAAGCCTTCCCGCCTAGAGATGGTCTCCAGCAGCTTTTGCGGAAGCTCGTATAGCTGTGGGATGAACGGTTCGACCGTCTTGGAGAAGTCGGAGCACTCTTCAAGCGCGCGGAGTGATGGTAGAGCCATTGTTGAGGAATGGGCTTCGGGCGTCGTCGTCAGGAATAGTTATCGTCCTTTCCCCTATAATCTCCAGATCTTCGTCGAGAAGTGCGCGCGTAATGCGCGTCATATCAACGGAAGGACCCGCGCGGCAGATCATCACCAGCCACATTTGTAGTGCAAAACCCCGCTATCCAGGTAAGAGACATCATGCTTCTGTCGAGGGTTTAATTGTACTGACATGAGGATTAAGGTATCCCTCCTCCAAGCAAGAGCTAAGAGCAGTTTCTCGAGTCGTTGGTTCGAAGGATCAAGACTGAAATGGCATGTTGTCATCATCAATCTCTCTGACTTGCAACTTCCAGCTCGTCCCTCCTTTCCCAAGAGCGTAACTTTACCCACCGTCATGCCTTGAGGGCGCGTCTCAACGGTGAAGAAGGCTGATGAATGCAATTTTGTCCGTCACCATTCGACCATTTCACATTGGTTCTTTTCTTCTTCTCTCTCCCCCTCAGATTCTCTTGCCATTCATGTCGCTGTTTGGCAGAACTCGACATTTTTGTACGATTGAAAAATGACCAGAATTCTTTGTGTGGCCGAGAAGCCATCCATCTCCCGGGCAGTCACAAACCACCTCTCAGGGGGGAGCTTTCAAACAGTACGCAAGGCTAGCGGCTCATGTCCCGGCCCATAATGCTGACACTGGCTTAGCACAACACTCGACTCAATTTCATCAAGAATTACTCCTTTGACTTCGACTTTGGGCCTCCCTGGGGTAGCTGTTCTGTGACAATGACTTGCGTTGCTGGCCATCTTACGAATCTTGAGTTCCCTGGAGAATTCAGGAAGTGGGAGTACCCTCCGCCTGATCGTCTATTTGATGCTCCTGTTCAAGTCACAGTTCCAGATGTATGCTCGACTCCCGATATTTCCAATCTCCATGATGTTGATTAGCCTCGCAGGATAAGAAGTTGATTGCCAAGAACATCGAGGATCAGGCGAAATATGCGCGTGCTCTGGTCATCTGGACTGATTGCGATCTCGAGGGCGAGCACATTGGGAGTGAGATCCGAGAGGCAGCAAGAAAAGGCAACAATCGAATCGAGACTAAGCGGGCAAGGTTTAGCCATACTGAGCGAGCGTGAGTCCTACACAGCTTTAGAAACGCTGATAGTGCTAACCTAGCACACAGCCATATCCTCACTGCGGCCAGAAGACTGACGACCCTCGACGATAAGCAGGTGGACGCGGTCTCCGCCCGCATAGAACTCGACTTGAGGATCGGCTACGCGTTCTCGCGTTTTCTAACCCTAAATCTCCGTCCATTGGGTGGGCCCATGTCAGAACTGGTCCTGACCTATGGTACGTATCTCGCCGGGAACATCCAGGGGAACTTTCAAAGCTGAGAAAACAAACTCGATTAGGATCTTGTCAATTCCCGACCCTTGGCTTTGTGGTGGACCGATACTTTCGAGTCAAAAATTTTGTCCCCGAGCCTTTCTGGGGGATCAAGGTGATGCATACCAGGGACGGCGTGAATGTCAACTTCAACTGGTCCAGGGTTCATCTCTTCGACCGTGCCTCGGTCATCATCCTATACGAGAAGTGCCTATCTGCTCGCACAGCCAAGGTCTTGAAGGTCCAGGAAAAGCCGACCAAGAAATGGAGACCGCTTCCGCTCACCACCGTTGAGCTCCAGAAGATGGCCACGCGGTTTCTTCAGATGACGGGTCAACAAGCTATGAAGGCCGCCGAGACACTGTACGAGAAGGGGTTCATCAGCTACCCCAGGACAGAGACTGACCGATTCGATCGAGCAATGGACCTGAGGACATTGGTCCGCAAGCAAACACAAGATAATAGGTGGGGGCCGTTTGCACAGAACTTGGTTGACGGTGCCTTTCAACAGCCTCGTCAGGGTCGTCATGACGATAAAGCGCATCCGCCCATCCATCCGATTACTTACGCAACAACCGCCGTGCTCAATAATGACCAGCGTCGAGTCTATGAGCTTGTTGTCCGCAGATTCCTGGCCTGTTGCTCAGAAGACGCCAAGGGTATGGCTACAGAGATCGAAATTGCCTACGGGGAGGAGACATTCAATGCCCGGGGTGTCGTGGTGCTGGAGCGAAATTATCTAGACGTTTATCCGTACGAGAACTGGACTGGCACTTCCGAATTACCCAAGTTTACTGTCGGTGAAACCTTTGAGCCCACTGAGGCTATGATCATGGAAGGGAAGACGACCGCGCCGGGTTATCTAACCGAGGCGGATCTCATTTCTCTGATGGACGCGAACGGGATTGGCACGGATGCAACAATGGCCGAACACATTGCGAAGATCCAAGAGCGGGAGTATGCCCGGGCCGTTGATGGTCAAGGAAGGGCCGGGGATACAGGCGGCCAGGAGGACGACGAGGACTCTGGCGATGATCGGCCGGCCGCAGGCGGGCGGGGCGGACGGGGGGCTCGCGGTAACCGCGGGGGACGCGGGGGACGAGGTGGGAGAGGGGCTAGAGGTGGGGGTGGAGGAGCAGGTCGCTCAAGAGGTGTGAGGCAGTTTATCCCAACCAGCCTCGGAGTTGCCCTCATTCTAGGATTCGACAGGATGAACTTCGAGACTAGCCTTGGCAAGCCCTTTCTCCGCAAGGAAATGGAGCTGAAGATGAAAGCAATCTGCGAGGGGCAGACGACGAAGCAGGTAGTCCTGCATGAGAGCCTGACTAAATATCGGCAGGTGTTCGACCAGTCGCAGGAGCAGCTCAACGTCCTGAAAGCCGTAAGTATTCTCATCCAATCTTCGATTCGCTCCCATCTAACTTGGAATCGGACCATAGTCTTGCAGGGAATTCGTCTTCCAGAACTGAGGGGTAAGGATGCCACATAATGCCAGCCACTTGCAGAATTCTGCACTCTGTGATACGACCAACCCCCTCGTGTCGATTTTCCAGTTGATGATTACCTACGAGTACCGGAGATGCCGAGCAATGCCTGCCAATTATGCAGACTGCAGACTGAGGAACCTTCATTCGATTCCATGCTACCGAGACGACCCGAGACTTCAAACACTAAACAGCAAACATAAGGTGTGTCTTAACTCTTCTTCAAAAAAAAATTGCTAGGTCCAAGAATTGCACCCAGTACCACCTCGAAGGCTTCTCGGCAAAGCCATCTAGTGAAGCTCGGGAAAGTCCGCGAACTCTACCTGCCACCGGAAGGTCTAACCCCCTGTGGGTCTTCTAGAATCAAGGTCAATTGTGCCTGATGCAGTGGAGACAAGGGGTTTATCGGGAGCGATCTCGTCGCTCCGTTCTCCAACGTGGGGGAAGTAGAGTGGACGATGGGAAATCCGGTGCGCCAAATGAGGAGGCCAAGGCAGGCGATTCTCAAGCAAGTTGCAGCACTGGTTAACAGGTTGGGCGACGCTATGATCAAGGCGTACACGGAGCAAAAAAATAGGGCGTACGCCCAACAGAGCCCGATGAATTTGGAAGAGGTCGCCATTCTGTTTTCAGAAATAGATGCCGTCAGCTGGCACCAGGTTCGCCTGGCGGCCAATCACAGCCTGGCGTGTGTCCAACGTGGTGTTGGTGGGTGGCTTTGCACCACCACTACGCAGTAGAACAGAGCTTACGACGACTGTTTGCATGATATCCAGATTGTACAGTAGAGTACCTACCTACGTTATAGATTACGGGTGCCATAACCGGGGCCTCATGCTTGAACCTCGAAAAGTGCCTGTGGGTCACGTGAGGGCCGAGAAATCGGAAGCGGCGTGAAAAGATAAAGTGAGACATAGGATACAGGTATTGAAATGGGGATGAATTCCAGGCTGGGTCTAGCTATTCATATCTGTACTCTCCTTTTAACTTCTGGTCTAATCTTCACATGTTGCGCTGGAAACCTGGCCGATAAACAAGATCTTGTCCGGGCCCTTTGTGGGTAAATCCAGGACGGGACATATGTGCCTTTGTCTGGCAATGATGGAGGTACAGCGTAGGTAGGCTCCCCCGAAGGATAAATCCACCTCCATCATCGCTGCAGGATGGATTGGATCGGGGCATCGAGGTGAGATCTGTTGGCACTTAGATACCTATACACCTAGATGAAAAGGTGCGTCCTTCGGCGCGCAAAGATATCGCCAGATGATGAAGACGGAGAGATAAGGTAATAACCGTGCTAAGATTCAGTAGAATGATTGGAAGTTGCAGCATGGGCTAGGCAGTTACAGCCTGGAACCTCCCTACCATCCATGTCGCCCCGTGGAGGTGCGCAGTAAAAAGGTACCACTGTATGTACCCCAAGAGTCACCAGAAGCAATCTCTACGTCCACCCCCCTAGTCCTGGTTCGCATCGTTTTATTAGATGACCTGAACCTGGCGCCCTCCCCTTCTCCTCTCTTCTTGATTCCCCAAAGCACAACACAACAACGGAATTATAACCATCGACTTTTAAATCGAGAGTCATTTCCTGTCACAGTACGGTAATCGCATCAGCTCTGCCACATCGCCAAACCTGCCTTTGTCCGCCATCAGATCGAGACAAAGCTGCCACAGCATCACAGCTTCGGACACACGTAAGTGACTCAGCCGGTTTCTTCCTCGGGCCATCGCGACCTGCGTCATCAGCAACACCAACACCAACGCCAACACCAAAACCTGTCGCACTCCCCCATCAGTGGATTCCACTTGCTAACTTACTGTTGTTCCACTCCAAAGACACGTCTCGAAGCAATCCATCCTCCGAAATTGTTCAATATGGCAACCATGGCACCTGTTTTCCGCGATATTCCGACCTCCAGCCGAGACAACTTAACTGCTGTAGCGGCTCGGAGTGTCCCTGTGACACGATCTCACCCCGTTCCTCTTCCGACTCCCCCAAACTCTATATCTCCCGCCCTCCCTCCTCATGGCCTCAAGGCCCAGCTGCAGAAGGCGAAACTCGAGCCTATCGACTCAGACCTTGACCTGCAGGACAGGCAGGATGGACTCGAGGCGAGCCATCCGTCTCCCGGGTCGTCGCCACGAGACTCGGCCGGCGCCATCAACCCGGATATGCTGGCCAAGTTCCATCTGCCAGAGATTCTTCTGAGCCATGGTCCCCTTGCTATTCGGCACATCATGGGCTATCTCACAACCTCTGTTCCTGGCTTCGCCGGAATACCTCCAGCGAAGGCGAGAAGGGTAGTCGTGAGCGCCCTGGAGGGCCGAGGAGGTGGAGGCGATGGTGGGCTGGACGGTGACGTCGAGTTCGAAAAGGTGGGCTGGGGACGATGGGATGCGAGGCGACGGGGTCAGCCTCCGCGGGACATCAACGCCTGTCGGACATCACCGACTAGCGCCCCGTACCCGGGAGGTATTCCTATCACGAAGGTCCCCTCCGGCTGGGACGCGGGCCGGTCCAGGCTGACTGCGCCTGGATCCAGCCCCGGAGACGGCGACTCGGCGGCATTTTCGCACGACGACGACGGCATCACCATGCTGGAGAATGAGGCCGATAAGATGTCCATGGACGGGTCGGCCTCGGCTTCTTGCTCCGAGGCACCGGACGACGACGTGGTCATGAACGATGACCCAGAAGACGTTACCGACGACGAGGACTGGGCTGCGGTGGGTGCTGCAGCTCTCCGCGCGGCTTCCCACACCAACTCTGCTCAGGGCCTCTCCGATCGAGACTTCTTTTCCCGACATGTATATACGTCCGGCGGCTGTCTGCGGTCCTTCTCGGCTAATGCTGGGATGGCGCGGCCACCACAACTTGACAACTTTGGTTTTTCGACATCCGCCTTGGGATCTGCCTCTGACGCACAGGAGCGCGAGGCCGTCGAGGCCCTTCTTCGACTTGGATCTGTATAATATCACCCCTGCATTGGTCTCGGCGTTCAACTAGGACGAAAGCGGTTTCAGCTCTCGGAGCTGACGATGGATTATTTCTTTTCTGGTTCGGCCCGGACTCTTCGGAATCGGTTTTGGCCGCCGGTTTTTGCGAGACACGCACATATTGATCGAGGCGGCGCCCTCTTGATCAGCATCTTGACTACCCCTGACATGCATATTCTGGTCCGGCATGAGGCGTCTTGGTTTATTTTATTTGCGGGCAAGGAGGCCCAACGGTCCACGCAACCCCTTCTCAGGATTTTTCCTACTCGATTTGGGCTCCCCTGTGGGGCATATCAGCTAAGGGACGCTTGTCACTCCTTAAGCGTCCCCCATAGCTTTTATCTGTTATTTCGCGGCATCGTCATAGTGGGCTGCTAGTTTGGTGGAATCACCAGGCCTTGCTCCACTCACCTGCGCGCTCTTGTTACCCTGGAGGAAAGATGAGCTGCTTTCTTCATGTATACCCCTTGCACGTGTTTTTTGTTATTACAGGAGGAGGGAAAAGGAACAAACACTTCAACACTCCCGACTGGAGGGACACGAGGAGCCTGGGAGGGCAAAGTGGATACTTTGGCCTGACATACGTGTTGGGTCCGTCCCTATGGTGATCCATCATCGCCGCCCGTTTTTTTTTTTTTTTTTCGCAGGCATAATCATTTTTAATCGCCCGGAGGGTTTTGTGGATGAGGCATGGTGGATGAACAGGGACACATTCGGTATGGAAACGAATGGCGAGCTTGTCGCCGACTTTGCTGCCAGGCTAGGAGTGGAGCGTGGCATGCCAGCATCTCAGCTGGCCTTCTTCAACACCTCAGGAATGGAGATGATGCGACGTTTCGGCTTGGAGCACAACATGCAAACTTTGAGCATCTGCCGTTCAGAAGTGCTCGGGAACAATAAAATAAAAGAAAAAAGAACAGTGGAAGAAGCTGCCAACCTCTTTTCTTCCGTTTTTGGTGATGGTTGTATTACCTAGCTCCCTGTATTTGGGTTATTTAGCTCAAAGAATGGAAAAGCACATCATCCCAGATGCCTGAGTTTGTGCCAATCTTCGTCGTCCAGTCTCTTAATACAGATGGCTCCAGAGTAGAGAAGGAGGGGTGCAATGGTCGGAGTTACTCCCTCTGGACAAGACTGAGAAGCTGGATGGCGATGGATGAGCCCTGCTCTCTAGCTCGCTACTTTTTTGTTACTCGCCCTTGGATTGCCCTACTATTACTTCTCTCGCTCCTTCACAGCTCCCTTTGTTCCCAGTTTATTACATCCCCAATCGGCTCTGGGGAGTGTTAAAACCCAAGAGTTGATGATGTCTTCGTTACCGATTCGCTTGGCACAGAGACGTGTCCTCAGATGGTTTGAACTTTCAGGTCTCGTAATGTCACTCTCAACACCTATTCTGAGTACGCGCTGTGTTTAACCTGGCGAATTACTATACCGGGCTTGTTGGTATATATGTATATATAGATAATCAGGGGAACACCTTGTGGTTTAGAGTGAACAGGGGTCTATTCACGAGGCAATTAGGGGCTCATGAACAGGTCTCTGCCGCAACAAGGAGACGGCCAAGTCAATATCACAATATGGATCTACAGGGCCGTGGCAGGGGGCGCCAAGAGTTCCGCTCTTGGAAAAGTCTTGGATAGACGGCGGACAACTGAAGAGGGCCTAGGGGAGAAGCTGTGGGGACTGGGGAATGCGCTATGAATTGCTTGTGAAGCCAAGAAGACGGATCTCGCCATCATCTGATTACAGTGCACGTGTTTTAGTATCTGGATTTCTAGAGGTGCCGATTCACTGGGAGGCACTAAGTTCGGACTATGGCAGGATGAACGAGTCGAATTGGAAGAGCGCAACCGTTTGGAACGCCTCTGCATCCATGGCCACATCCACTCCGGCATTTTTATTCTTTGGTGTACAGTACACATGAGGTGGCGACTTGCAATTGTCGAAGGAAAGGATGACAAAGATGACGCGCCCTGGTGTGCTGCCCTCTTGGCATTACACCAATAATCCGCCCTCCTGACCACCGTTTGATAATTATCGAAGGTGGCTGTGCTGGCCCATTTTGCAGAGTAGTGTACAAATATCGGGATTCATCTACCGGCAAAGATACTTGGGGAAGTTGCCAAGCAACTTGGCGACCGGAGAAGCATAGCGGAAGCTTGGCCCAATATCTGAGCGGCGAGTCTCGACCCAAGCCATTCCATCCTTGGCACGTTGCTTGGTAGATACCAAGACTTGCGATCAACTACATCCGTACTTGCGCCGCATTTGAAGCACAATCCCCTGGCTCGATGGTTGGCTTTTGTTCAATTATAGATGCACTGGGAAGTGGTAAGTCTAAGAGGGACTCATGAGCAGACACCACGTGCCTAGATCGGCGAGAAGTGGCAATCAGCGAAAAGACTTGAAAGGGAGCGACGGAGAGCGCCAAGACTGACCTCGCAATGCCAAGCCTTGGCATTGACTTGGCGAGTCTTGGCGTTCAAGGTCGTTTTGTTAAGAGATCCCGAAATTTAACGCCAAAACTACACTGACAATTCAGTACCTCTGATCAGCTAGGACTTGTCTCGGACCATCGCCCCCAGAGTCAGCCAATAGGGATGCCCTTGGATCCGCAGGCCCCGACAGCCAAGAGAATTTGCCAAGACTTTCCGCCAGGCATGGCCAGCATTGTCAGGCGAAAAAGGTGTAATAAAGACATGTCTCGCTCCTGAAGATGAGAGCACTTTGAGTTTCTCCTTCAACGACTTTGAACCTTGTACGCAAACTTCATCTTTTAGATTTCCATCTACCTCTCGGTTTCGCAAAGCATATATGCCTTATCCTGGCAAACTTTCGAAGTGTCACCAGATAGAGGTGTTTCCTGATAAGTCTTCCCCAAATAGTCACGTGGCTTGATTGGCCAAGACCCCACCTTCCTCCCAAGACCGAGCATCAAAGCTTGGTTTGAAATCGAATCCGTCCCATCCAGGCCCAGCACCTATTCTCGGAATCCGGTTCAATAAATCTCCGAAGCATTCTCGACACCCCACCTTTGGACCAGCAACACTGCACGCCATGTCAGCCAACCAAGACCCCAGTGTGCAGTCTACGAGCTCCAACTCGAATGACAACACACCTGCGCCCTCGACTACTGCGACCAACAACTCGAACTCGACATCAGCGACATCAAGTTCATCCAGCGCTGGTCAAGATGATGGCCTCGTTTGCCGTTGGAATCAGTGCAACGAGCGCTTCAATTCGGCCGAGACCCTCTACGTAAGTGACCCCGCAGAGATCATGTGAAGATGAAGTGAGAATAGTCAGCTAACGTATGGCACGTAGGATCATATCTGCGAGCGACATGTGGGCAGAAAGAGCACCAACAACCTGAATCTGACCTGCCAGTGGAACTCGTGCCGCACCACAACTGTCAAGCGCGACCACATCACGTCGCATATTCGCGTCCATGTTCCGCTGAAGCCTCACAAGTGCGACTTCTGTGGCAAATCCTTCAAGCGCCCCCAGGACTTGAAGAAGCACGTCAAGACGCATGCCGATGACTCTGTGCTTGTCGGGCGGTCGCCCCAGGATCAGAATGGCGGTATGAATCCGGCCTACCGAGGGCATAGTGGAAAAGGTACGTCATTATTCGGCTCGATCCCATGAGCAGCTGGTGCTACCCCCAGCTCAAAAACCTTCAATTTGAGGCTAATCCCGCCTCTAGCTCCCTCTAGCTACTATGATCACAATGGCCATGTCCGTACTAACTCGGCCGCCTTCGGTCAGCCGCAGCAGAACGGGCATGCTAGCTACTACACCCATCATCAGCCACAGCCACAGCCATACCAGCCCCTGTACTACCAACAGCCAATGGGGCCCCGAGGCGACTTCATGGGCCACCAGGCGGCCCCCTTTGACGCCCGCAGCAAGCGCGGGTATGATGATCTCAACGAGTTCTTTGGCAGCGCCAAGCGCCGTCAGGTCGATCCAAACTCGTACACCCAGGTTGGCCGGTCTCTCTTGCCGCTACACACCTCTCTAGGCCTCCACACCGGGGGCTTGTCCACCGAGTACATGACTGCCGCTCCTCCCGCCCTGTCTGTCGGTGGCGGGGCCTCTCACGGACCCCTGACCCAGCACTATTATCTGCCTCCCATGACCAACCTGCGAACCAAGGATGACCTCCAGCAAATCGACCACATTCTCGAGCAGATGCAGGCCACGGTATACGAGAACACTGGCTCTCCACAGAGTGCTCATTACCCTCATCATGGGGTCGATATGCGCCACCACTCCCCTGCTTATGCTACGCGGCCGGGTGTAGACCACTATGCTGCTGTCTCGGGGCCCCAAGTCGCCTCTCCGCTTGTGGCGTCGACTCCCTCGACCGGCACTCCAGCCGTCACGCCGCCCTCGGGCACCATGTCGTACACCTCTGGCCACTCGCCTAGTGCATCATCGGCCGGCATGTCACCAGCTTCACGCCATAGCACTGCCGCCTCGGTTGCGTACCCGACATTGCCCGCCGTCACGTACCAGGGCCAGTCGACGACCTCGACTCTGGGATCAAGCTTCAACCCGGTTGAGCGCCGCTTGTCGGGCGGTATGCTTCAGACTTCCAATGGCGGTCGACGAGCTGGTCGCGACATGGACAGAGCTGCGACTCCAAAGGCAAGCGAGTCCAACTCGGTCAGCTCTCCCTCGGATGAGTCTGAGACCAGCACCGAGGCAGAGACGTACGATGAGTGGGTCCAGCACATGCGCGTCATCGAGTTCTTGCGCAAGTATGTTCGCGACAGACTTCACCGTCAAGACTACGACGAGGCGATGAGGGAGGGGATGATGGAGGGGAGGGACCACCGAGACAACAGGGACAATCGGGACAACCGTATTGACTCCAAGGGTTTCGCCTCGGAGAAGGGAGTCCCAGAGAGGCCTCTTTACCCTTCCCTCCCTCGCATCATGTGAATGCGTCTTTCATCACGGTTCTTGGGTCTGCGGCTGAATGATAATGTCTGTTTGCCCAACTGGGTCTCAAAACGTGGAATACTGGGTTTTGCTAAGGTCCATCGACTTTAACTTTTCAGTTCCTTTCCGATACCTCTATTTCGTACATCCTTTTCAAGTTTCGTCCTTACCTCTCCTTTTTTCCCTAATTTATGTTGCTCATGCGGACGTGGGGAAAGGTGTCTCAGGATTCGTTGGGGGATGGCTGGTTCATGGTTTGATGTCCATGGTTCATATGATAAGGCGTTATTCCGAATACTCTGCAAACGAAACCCGTCTGTAGTTTACCTATGTACAGACGTATAGAAAATGCACAATTTCTACTCTTTGACTCGTCGTACACCATTCTCGCAAGCTGTGACTCCCGACTATTCTTACCCATGAACTCGGCGAACTCGGCGACCCCTCAACGTGTAAACACAAGCTATGATGCTCAGTCTCTACACGTCCTCTCAGCATTATAAGCAGAGCAGGCTCGGCAAACTAGCCCAAAACTAGAACATATGCGCGAGAGAATGGTCAATTGAGTATTCATATCGTTCATTAGGTACCTCAGACAAGAATTCGTACATATTTCGTAGGGGGGTGTGGTAGGTCGGTGATTCAAATCACTCTCCAGATCGCACCTACACTCGGGACATCCTGTGTCACCCCTTCGTCCCTAGTCATGCTCCGTATCCATTCATTCTCTTGCTCTATCGCATCTCTCTCGATCTGCTGCATGAGCTCCAGCTCGGCGAGCATGTCCCGCACCAGACTCCTGCACGCCCCGAGAATCCTCTCCAAGCTCGAAGCGGTCCGCCTTCCGCCAGGTCCAGGTCCTCCCGCCCCGTGATCCCCATCGTCACCGTCGTCGCCGCGGGGCACGTCTCCGAGCTCCGCCAGCAGGCGCGCCCACTCGTCCAGCTTCCTCACCAGCCCCGCACACTCGGCCTTCCAGCCGGCGTCCAGGTCGCTCACGAAGACGAGCCCCTCCCCGGACGGCGGCAGCAGCAGGACCGAACCGCCGCCGCCGCCGTCGCCGTTCCTCCTCGCCGCGACGACCTCCGCCACACCCTCCACCCACTTCTCGAACCGCCTCGCCATACGCGCGTACCTCCCCCCCGGCTCGCCCAGCCCCCACACGCTCGACAGCACCGCGTCCAGCATCTGGACCCTCTCCTCGAGCCGCGCGCCGCCGCCGCCGCCGCCAGCCCCAGCCCAGGCCCTCAGCGCCCGGACGTTGAGCCTCTCGACGGCGCCGGCCTCGAGGCGCGCCACCTCGGCGCCCCCGCGGGCGGCGGCGCGGAAGCGCTCGCCGAGCCGGGCCCGCGCGCTGTCGCGCCAGGCGGCGTCGGCCGCGGGCGCGGCGCGGTGCACGAGGTGCAGCTGCAGGAGCTCCGTCTGCAGGCGGGCCGTCTCGGCCGAGGCGGCCACGTTGGCGGGCAGCTTGGATGGCGAGGGCGGCGCGAGGAAGGTGGCGGTCAGGGCCTTGGGGGCCAGGGATTTTGCGGGGGAGTAGTGCTGCTGGAGGGTGGTGAAGGCGGGGCGGAGGCGGGGGTGCTGTTGTTGCTGTTGCTGCTGTTGCGGTTGCGGTTGTTGCTGTGGCTGCTGGGTAGGGGCAGGTTGGCTGGTTACGGAGGAGGAGGATGAGGACGGTGCCTGTCTGAACGTCGTTGCGGCTACGCTTTCGGAGGGCGCTCGGGCATGCCTCCTCGCGGCGGCGGTCGACGATGCAGATATTTTGTTGGACGAGGATTGTCGTTGGTGAGCAGAGCTAGAGCCAGGCGGGTCACGAGCTCTCTCGCCCATGGCAGATGTCTGGGATGGCGGACGAAGGATTGTAGCCCCCGTGAGCGCCGTGACAGATGATTTCGTGCGGGCATGTCCAGCTCCCGCCTTGCGTGTTGTTGCTGAAGAGGGCACACCTGAAGAAGTGGTCGGGCGAGAAAGCGTCGTCGGAGCTGACCCCGAAGAGGACGTGGGCCGTGCAATGGGCCTGCTCCTCGACGTTATCGGTGGTCGGGAGGTGGTTGTCGAGGATGCAGCAGCATTGCTCTGAGGCTGCCTAACGGAAGCAGATCGTCCAAGGATGCCGGATGTAGGTCTGCTCTTCGCAGAAATGCCCGTAGGATTACTGCCATTGCCGGCACCTGTCGTGTTGGCACCTCCCGGGGCAACCCTCGAGCTCGAGAGGCCCTTTACGGGGAGTCGGCTTGGAGAGGCGGTTCGCAGGTTGTCGCGGGTCAAATCGGCGTCATTGTCTTTTGATTCATTGTTTCCAGGCTTGCGGAATGATCTTGTTCGACCAAGAGAGGTCGAGGACGACATGGTGGTCGGGAGTTGATTGCAGGATACCTTACTCAGGTGTTTTTGTTGTTTACTACATCCCTGGTTGTTTTGTCCGAGTCTTGGTCAACCGTGCACTTCAATGTCACCTAGCCCGGCGAGATTGGCCGCACTGACACCCCTTACCATACTCCGTATCTTCTTCTTTTAGTGGATGTAACACTTACTAGTTAGTGGATATTGCCCGATATAAGGCTGCATTGGCAACTGGTCAGATCGTGTCTGGCATGGTTGCACCCACGCGATAAGCTGGGGCCAAGGCCTGCGGACTGTATACATCATAGCAAGTCCATTAATTACCCCGGTATTACATGCCTACAAGATCACATCCTCAAAGCTTGCACTTCCATCACCGCTAACCAAGTCGTTAGCCTTAACAAAGAGCCGAGAAGTCAAGAATGTTTACAGTGGCCGGAGCCACCATCAGTCTAGAATACATTTATTATCCCTGCCTTTCGAGCTCAGTAGTAGAAAGCCCGAACATCCATGGTATATGCCACCCTTTAAACGCCACCACCTCTGTATTCCCACCCAGGCCCATATCTCTTACAATCATGACCCAGCTCCGATCCTGGGTGTCTTCTAGCTAAGTAAATATAATGTACACCAAAAATAACAAGGCAAGCATATCGTCGTTTACCCGGCGATCTGGCCTGCACGCCCTGCTGAAATCCGGCCCACAGGCCCCTCAATTTTGTCCTCATCCTGGGCTTCTTCGACGTGCTCCACGAGGACGGCCTCATTGTGCTTCATCAAGGCCTGGAGATCGTTGTTGAACCTGTATAGGTTGTTCCGGCAGGTCATGCAGGTGCGGAGCCAGCAGGTCCCGCACGTAAACCGAATCGACGTATCCTTCACATGGCAAGCTTGGCACGCCAAAGGATAAAAGGTGTTCCTGCTCTGTACCATGAATCGGTGATTGGCCAGGCATCTAAAGTTCCTCTCGATTATGGGGGGGGCGTCAAAAATGATGCCCTCAGGAATCGGTTCCCCCCAGCCAATGGGGAAGGAGTCGCTTGTCGGGGTTGAGACGCTTTCTGTCTTCGGATCTTCACTCGCAAGACTCTCGGGCCGAGCCAAATCCGCATTGTCGCGACTATCAGCCTTTGTCGACGGCGTCACGGTTTCGGATACTGCCGCTGAAGCTGATTGCGTTTGCGGTGGCCCAACAGACCTAGCGTTTCCAGCTTCAGCTTGAACCTGGAACTCCACAGCACGGGATTCTGCACGATCGACTGCTGGCTCCCGCTCACTAACCACTGCAGATGGCCCCTGGTCCTCGGCTGGTTTTGACGAGGTTCGTGCAGGAAACCGGCTCTGGTTAAGGGTCAAGCCGCGGCTGGGTGCAGGCGACGAGGGGAGCCCAATGGGCGATCGTACTGTGAGGCCTGCAGGCGACGACGGCTTTGCCTTCAGAGTCAGGCCGTTCGTGTCTAGTCCCAGGATTGGCATGCTCTTCACCGGTCGAATCTCCTTAGCAACCGAGAGGTGGATGGGGCGGACGTCCTTGGGCGTAGTAATGAGTTTCGTCTCGTCCAAAGGCTCTGGTGAGGAGGTTGGCGACACTGGTGAGATGACCGTCTCCATGATAGGACTTCTGACATCGTCATGACGATACTCGGGGGTGGGTAGCCGGGTAACATGCGGGGGTCTCTTGACATCTGGGGCAGACTGTTTCCGGTTCGGGATTCCTGGGAAGCTCAGCACTGTCATCTCGCTTCCATCTTTGGTCGGACTCGCATTTTCATCGACAAGCTGCAGATTTGACGCCTCCTGATCCATGCTCTCGGGCGTTTGTGGAGACATCCGTTGCCGGGAAGCCACAGGGCGAATATTCCTGCCAGGAAATGCGGCATTGGGACTTGGGCGCGGCTGGACTCGGGTCGTCGCAGCGGGTTCCGACTGTTCGAGGTGAAAATGCTCTCGGCGAGGGTCTGAATCCGATGTGCTTGCAGGCGAGTGGGAGGGCGGCAACGTCGACAAGGCGGTTGAGCCGTGGCTCGAGACAAGTTTGAGTTCGGATACGACAAGATCTTTATCGACCTTTGGTGATCTCCGCCTCCAGATCTGAGGTTTGGATGGGGGCGTTTGTGCCAACGACGGAGCAGCGTGCATTGACTGTCCCGGCACATCCGGGGGTGTCTGCGGTCTTTGGTCGTGGGCGCTAGAGTTTTTCAGGGGAGGAGGTGGCGGCGGTTGCCCACGATCCTTCCACAGTCCGGTTGGTTCTGGGCTATGGACATAGTTGTCCATTACTAAGGGTGATATGGGCGGAAGAAACAGCTCGTCATAACTCGCCTTGCCATCTCCGTTGCCTTGCTTTGGAGAGGCATGTAAGAATGAGTTGTGGGCACTCATGGTGGTACCATCTGTTGACGACCCCACGGTCGAATCTGAAGAGCGGTTGGAGTAGGCCGAAAGCACACTGGAAAGGGGCGCCGAGTCAGACGGAGATGGCAGGCTGCCTCCGGCTACGGGTCGCCTTGTGATCAAGGTTGTTGTAGGTTCTGACCTGAGAGGAACTGGAGGAAGAGGAGAGTTCAAGGGCTTCGTCATCGGGGCTTCCTTTGCAGAAGGAAGCGGAGGGCCGGCCGAAGGCAAAGGTTTCCTCGCTAGTGAAAGCTTCGGCGGCTGCTGCTGCTGCTGCTGCTGCTGCCCGTATTGTCGATAATGCGGCTCCATCGCAGGAGGAGGGGCCGGGAGAGCTTTTGAGAAACGTGAGTTCTGCATCGCGGTTCCCATTGTCCTAATAATCTCGTTGCTTCCCGGCTGAATCAAGCGAGGGTGATACTATCTCGTGCTGCTATGACTGGTACGGGCCAACACGAGGTAATCTTTTTTAAAAAGAGAGAAAAGCTTCTAGAGGGCAGCAGAGGACCCGCATCTGGTGTTGCAAATAGAGTCTTGTGGAAGGAATATGCCGGCAAACACCTTGGGTACCTTGGCTACCAGCAACGGGGCAGCAGGATGGGAAGGTAATAAGGGAGGGGCTGTAGTTGGGAGGACATGATGCGATGCGACGCGACCGAGGAGAGATCCCAAGGGTACATGTAGTATCAGTCGGCACGACTCGTAACCTAATCCGCACTTGCTTGCACCGCTTGCACCTAACGATTGGAGGGTGGGGGGACCCTCGGGGGGAAAGGAAGCATCGGAACAGGGGACCACTTGGCCCCTGCCGCCAGCCAGGGCTTGCCGATGATGCGGGAGGCGCACTTCAAATTTAAGATGACCTCCATCCTTGTCCCCCCCTGGTTCCTTGTACGGCTGAAACGGCCACTGGTTAAAAAGGCGGCGCCAAGTCCAGGTTTTTAATGACGTCCACAACAAGCAGGAGCCACTCTCTGCCGAGGGATAGAAAGACTGAATGGAGGTACCTACTATGGAAGGTTCGGCTTGGAAGATCGAAGGGGAGGCAGCAGTCGGGTTTAGGTAGGTTGTCATGGCCGGGTTAAACCTACAGTCAAGCAAAATACAGGCTTATTTGAAAGTTTATGCTGTGCAATCCGTGGCCGTGGCGTACATTGTGTGGCCTTTTCGGTCGTTTTCCTCACTGGATCCCTTCCGAGTTTCCGACAGTTGTCACCCGAATTCTCTACTTTATTTGCAATAATGGCATGAACCATTTTCAATATTTGTATCATTGTATGTCCGCTCACCCGGCACGGGCACGAAAAGTCAGCCACGAGGATCAGAAGAGTGGTCCGTGGTGTATTTGCACGCCAAAATCGTGGCATGTGGAGCATGTCATCAAGAAGACTCGGGTCTTGTCTCGCCTTGGAGAGGAATGTATCGTAAGATCGTCACAGGGGGCTATTTCACGCTATTGCATGGGTTCAGCTGTCCTGGTACTAAACTAGCGATTAGCGACAGGAGTTCGGATTCTCGAGAAATCCCTGCAGTTCACGAACTCCAGGGGCTTCAGGAAGCTTTGGTTGGAGCCAGCAAAGGTCTCAAACCTGGAAATTCTGATGTCCGACCCAACCAACCAGCTGGGGTGGGCTCTCCTTAAAACATACGTCGCCACCTTGCAAGCCACGATCGTTTAGCCATTTCGAGAATCAGACTGCCTCCGCAGTGGCTACCAAGGCCGCCTGATAATCCTAAGAAATAATCGATCGCACATCTTAAATAGTAGGGTCTGATATGTTCTCAAAAATAGGGTTATTAGGCTAATCATTTCGCATAAAGTATTATACGAATGAGGGCGATCATAACTTGGATGCCTGTGTTAAGTACAGAGTAGGTATGTATGTATAGTTTTCTTGCTGCACCTACTCGTATCTTGTTGGTGATTGTGGACGTCACAACAATGGCCAGCAAAGGATTTCTTGAAAATTCAAGTTTTGTATGGATCTGTACTGTGTGTGGTACCATGTTGTAAGAGGCTGTGCTGTGGGGCTATGCTAGGCTTGGCGACACTTTTCAGTGGACAGTGGAGAGCCTTTCTATGCAGTAACGGCGCATTGGTCTATGAGGCACAGATTGCACACAATTTCTACCAACAGGCAAGATGGCCGAGCGGTCCAAGGCGCCACGTTAAGGTCTACAAAACCTTGAACATCAATTCCGTGGTCTCGAAAGGGGCGTGAGTTCGAATCTCACTCTTGTCACATATTTTTGCATTTTTGTACTTCCTCCAGGTCTACTCTGGTGCTCTAGTGTGGGACGCAATTATCTTCCTATCACTCTGTCCTTTCCTTTTTTTTATGTTCTACGTCCTATGTGACCCACTAGTCACATACTGTCCGATCCTATTGGAATATTGGTGCTAGCATTGTGCTGGCTTGGTTCATCTCGGGTTCTCTGATGTCCAAATGCAAATCCTGTGTATGCGTGGAACCTGCCATCCCTGCCTGCTTGACGGCAACTTAAATTACACGCTGTCTAACTGGACCATCTCTTAACTTCTATTGACATCGAAGCTGCTGACACTTGTTCCTGGGCAGTGCTTTTGCCTTTCCAAGGGTTGAACGTTGGATCGATCTGGCCCAAGTACGGTGTAGCAATAGGTAGCCATACGGCACTATGATGGGCGGGCTGCTACCGCAAAGTTGACGCTCTGTAGATTTTAGTATACCCAGCGTGTCTAGGAGAGGTCGGGTACTCTCAAGTTTCAAGTGCCGTCTGCCACGCTATGTTACCGCCGTAAGCCGGGAAGATGCACAGACGCTCGGAGTCGACCGGCCAGAGGATACCAGACGGGGCTCCACTACATAGGTACTGCTAGGCCCGATCCCGGATCCAAACCGGGCAGGTGCCATTCGGCAACACGGTAGCAACACCTGTGATTACCGACTTGGTGAACAGTATTAAGGTACACACATCTCTAGCCGGGCAAATAGTGTCACATGCGATACCACAGCCACCCATTCTCCTTGAGCAGCACATTTGTCCTACACCCAGCATTGGCCCCATGGAAGACGCGCCTGCCAATGATGACCCAACTGGTACCACAGAGACCAGCCCGCTCCTAGCCACCGGCCTGATTTCCGAGCCATCGGTGCAGAAAAGGAGTAATGGAACGTTTGCAGATCCGGAAGGGCCCGCCAGTGAAGGAGATGGCGAGATCCTAGCACACCCGGACGGGCCCGTTGGCCGGGAGGGGCTTCCGGCGGTCGCCGCCAAGCTGCCGATTCTCATTCCTGCCATCGGCATCGGCGTTGGTCCGCCCCTCAAGCGTCCCTCTCAACCCATGGTCTGTGCCTCTAATGCTGACATCGGGTTCAGGTTTTCCTCTGTGCTCTTGACCAGCTCCTCGCTGTCGCAACCTACGCCAAGATAGGCAGCGACCTCAATGCCCTGAACAGCACTAGCTGGATTGCCACTGCGTACTTCCTCACCCTGACCAGTTGCCAACCGCTGTACGGCAAGTTGAGTGATATCTTCGGCCGGAAGGAATGCCTCCTCTTCGCCTACGCCGTCTTTGGCGTCGGTTGTCTGGGGTGCGGTCTCGCGCAGGACATGACGCAGCTGGTGGTAGCGCGCGCCGTGGCCGGTGTCGGCGGCGGGGGCATGAACTCGGTCGTCAGCATCCTCCTGACCGACATCGTCCCGCTCGCCGACCGCGGCATCTGGCAGGGCTACATTAACATCATCTTCGCGGCCGGCACCTCCACGGGGGCCCCGCTGGGCGGCCTGCTCGCCGACTCGGTCGGCTGGCGCTGGTCCTTCATCGGCCAGGTCCCGCTCTGCCTGGCCGCCTTCGTCGCCGTCCACCTGGTGCTCTACCTGCCCGACCGCGACCACTCGCACTGGCGGGAGAAGCTGGCGCGCGTCGACTTCCTCGGCGCCTGCGTCCTCGTCTCCGCCGTCCTGTGCCTGCTCCTCGGCCTCGACAGCGGCAGCAACCGGGGCTGGGACCACGTCTCGACCGCCGCGCCCCTGGCCGCCGGCGCCGTTCTCTCGGCCGCCTTCGTCCTCGTCGAAGTCAGGGTCGCCTCCCACCCGTTCGCCCCGGGCCACGTCATCTTCGACCGCTCCCTGTTCGCCGCCTTCGCGTGCAACTTCTTCGGCATGGCCGGCCAGATGCCCATCATCTTCACCCTGCCCCTCCTGTACCAGGCCGCCGACGGCGTCTCCGCCGCCCACGCCGGAACGCTGCTGATCCCGGGCTCCATCTTCGGCGTCGCCGCCTCCCTCGGCGCGGGGGCCGCAATGAAGAGGACGGGCCGCTACTACTGGCTGACCGTCGCCAGCACGGGGGTCCTCCTGCTCAGCGTCCTCCCCATGTCCCTGTTCGCCGGCGGGCTGGGCGGCGACGGCGACGGGACCAACGCGGCCGGCACGACTGCCGGGCTGGCCCTGGCGGCCACGGGGGCTGGGTCCCTCGTCACGACGACGCTGATCGCGCTCATCTCCAACGCGGCGCCGGCCGACGCGGCCGTCGTCATCGCCTGCTCGTACCTCTTCCGCTCGCTCGGCTCGTCCGTCGGCATCAGCGCCGGCTCCGCCGTCCTGCAGCAGGTCCTGCGGGCGCGGCTCGCCGCCGGCCTCGGCGGCGGCGACGACGCCGCGCGGCGGGTCGAGGAGCGCGTCCGCGAGAGCCTCGACTGCATTGGCGAGCTCGAGCCCGCGGTCGCGCGTGTCGTGCGGCGCTGCTACCAGGATGCTGTTGTCGCTGTGTTTGTGGCCTGTTCCGCCTTCTTGATCCCGGCGTTTGTCTCGGCTTTCTTCGTGAGGGAGAGGGGTTTGCAAAGGAGGAGGGGTTAGAGGGAGAGTGGTTAGACGAGATGTAACATTCAGGGTGCATGTAACGGGAGTTGGTTAGTGCCAGTGTCATTTTGGAGGACACAGGTTAGAGCTTGGAATTTTATACCATCTATCAAGTTATCTCATGTGTTGCTCGTGCCGACTAACCTTGGTTTTCTACCGAGAGTCTTTGTTGTGTAAATTCCAATTGAGAAGACTATATCTACTGTGAAGCCTCCAGCGGGGGCCGAAAGGCAAACCCGGTTTCTTCATGAAGTCATGTCTTGAATAATCGGACGGGATATCAGAAAACAACGAAACCACCAGGTAACCTCTCTGGTCCACCGCGCTAGAGCTATGTAAGCTTCCACGGTGCGACAGCCATGCAGAGAAGGATCTTGAGCATGATCCCGGCGAAGTGAAGAAACAAACGAGAGCTAAAAAAGAACTGGGCAGTCAAGATGGTCCTGCGATGATGCTTCGCCACCGAGGGGAAGAACGTGCTGCGTGCCGAGGGATGTTGACACCCCATGGCATTGATGGACGGTCGAAGTGTCGGCAAGGCCCAGGGGGCGAAAAGATATTAGGTCGCATAGTGCCATATCTCGAGCTCGAGGAAAGCATATCCATCATACCCATCCCTACCATCAAGATCGTTTAACATATCCTCCCCCCTAGACCATCTTTGACGTCTTCAAGGCCGAATGCTACCTTAGAGACGATCGTCAAAGACCCCTGCGTCCGGGTACAACCACATCAGTGGTTGCCAACCCCTTCCGCAAACAATGCCTGAAGCCGCTCGTGGTCCTACAGGCTGAATGGTCTCCTGGGGTAGCCGACTCCCTCGACCGAAGGATTATCGACGAACCAGCTGCAGCGGTCACCAGTAGCCTCGTTGACCAGGGCACACGGTAGACCGTTGCCCCCCTCGAAGATCTCCTTCATGATATCCTTCTTGCCGGCCCCTGTCGCCACAAAGGCGATGCGCACCGCGTGCGTGACGACGGGCAGCGTCAGGGTAATACGCCTCGGTGGGGGCTTGGGGCTGTCCTCGATCGGGGCCACCCAGGCGCTTGTCTCGCGGAGCAATTCATGGCCCGGGAAGAGCGAGCAGGTGTGGCCGTCGGGGCCAGAGCCGAGGAGGAGCAAATCGAAAATGGGTAGCTTCACGCTGTCACGGCTGGCAAAGGACTTCACCAGGGCCTGCTCGTACGCATCGGCTAGCTCCTGGGTGTCGTCAAGGTGCTTCGCGTCGATGGTATGGACAATGGGCTTGGGCTGGTCGGCAGGGATCTTGTCGATCAGCTCCTCCTTGACAAGCCTATAGTTGGAGTCCTCGTGATCCAACGGGACAGCTCGTTCGTCGGCGAAGAAAATCTCCCATTTATCCCACTTGACTGTATCGTTCTCGCCCGACGGCTGCGACAACAGCGCTTTGGCCAAGGTTTTCGGCAGTGAGCCGCCAGACACGGCGACCTTGAACATACCGTGGCGTGCCAGGCCAGCCTCCTGGCATGATATGACATAGGACCGGAGGGCGGTGGCGAGGCTGTCGATGCCCGGGAAGGCGTAAAGGTTCGTTTGCTTCCCCATGGTGGATGATAGTAAAGTGGGGATAGGATGAAGGCGAATAGATGTAGGCACCTGTGCCTCGAGAGAACCGGAACTGGAGTTTTGTGCGTGGGATGGCAAGGCTGGATGGTGGGCAAGGGGCAGAATGCTAAGTAAGCTAGCTACCTCTTGGGGCGGGTGATTGGGCCGGCTCTTTTTGAGAATAGAGGGGGTAGGAAATGATTGCTTGTCGAAGGCCGAAAAGTCCTGGAACGATCAAAAGAAACTGATGGAATCGTGAGAAAGCTTGCGGTCAGGGACTAGTGGAGTTGACGGGAGGTTGTGACGTTCCCACTTCGTTGCTGGGATCACCTTGCGCGGGGTTTGTGGCATAAATTTGTTATCGATAACGGCGGGGTGTTTGCATGGGCGATTATGGCGCATTCTGTGGCCCAATAAGATTGGCCTAATAAATGCTGGCTCATCGGCTGCTACCCACCCTGCGCTCATACCGTACACTTGGATTCTGCAACCTCGAGATCCCGTACTGTAAGAACTTCTCACAGCAGAACACGTCTTGTATTTCTGTCTACTATCTTTTGATCATCTGTTTCCATCGCCTGTGTACAGCTGAAGATGCCGCAGCTCCTACATACCTAGGTGGTCTTGGCAGCTAATTGTGCGCCAAGAGTGACGGAACAATGACGGTAAATTTGTCGTTGACGTACAGTGTTTGCGAGGTGTGTAGGCTGTATGCTAGAGATCCACAGGAGACCCTTAGATGATCGCATCCTGTCTAGGTACCAAACCTTCACACGATGAAACTGGCTGTACTACCGTAGTAAACGAAGAAGTCGGCAGAATTGAAGCCATCACGAATGCCCATTCTAAAGGTGGTGGAAAAGCCGCTGCAGTAGTATTTTATCTATAGTGTTGTCTGCCAGAATGGCCGCCCTGGCTTCCAGATTGACTTTCCAAGCTTCAATTAAACGGCTCCTGTGTAGACCGTGGCTACGGATTGTCGAAAAAGTCGCTTTCCACCTACGAACACCTCATTAATTACATATTCAATCCACAAATTCATCAGTAGTAGCGATAATAGTGACTATTAAGCCTAAATTGTTCCAAGTCTAGGAGGCCGCTCGCTAAGCTGTAGTGTGGTGACGCTAATTTTTAGTGTATGTTTAGCTAAATTCGAATATACGATTGAATAGCTTTAATGAATAAACCTTTGTTAATTCAATATGTAAATAATGAGGTGTTAGTAGGTGGAAAGCGACTTTGACTTCGACATCTGTACGCGTGGCTGCACGTGCAATAGCCACGCGTATGAGCTGCCGGAGCATCGCCGAGTAAGGTGATGAGGTCGTCGCAGGATTTTTTCTGGTCACTGCTGAGTTGGTTTGTGCTAGAGATAACGTGGCTAAGCCCAGAGTGATGCTGGGACGAAGGTGGTACGGAAGATGCGTTATCTGCAGATATTTCGAGGTTTGGGGGGGACGGAACAATGGTCTAGATAGATGGGGTGAAGATGATGGTATCAGTGAAGATGATGATATCTACCTGTTGCTGTGGCAGGATATTTTTGAGGTGATATTTTTGAGTTGTGGGGGAGAGGTGTGGGGGAGAGGTATGGTGGTAGTAGGATAGAGCAGTGGTTAAGGGACGGAAGGCGAATGTTATGGAAGGTATTCAGATCATAGGTATTCAGATCCTATTCAGCAGTGTACAATAGGTAGGAACATTGATATGGAAACAATAGCATTGTCCTAATTAGGAAAGCCCCAGGACTCTCCCGAGGAGGCTATTCGGGCAGGGGTTTCGGGCATGAAAACAGCTGCCAGCCACGGAACAAGCCACTGTGACGGCAATGGCGATGGGAACAGCAACAGAGACGGCGACAGCTTTAGCAATAGCGACAGCCTAACAGTTAAATCCCCTTGCCTGAATAGATGAATACCCACCTAGGTAGGTTTGCCACGCCGTAAGTCACGTGTATTTGTGGTGTGGGGATTTCACCGTCTAAGTTGTTTCTCAGCCTAAGCAAACAGAACAGATACATCATCGGCCTTATCGAAAAAGGTGTCAGCGACCCTGATCTGCCCAGATTTTGCTGTGCCCGTAGATCTATCTGTTAGCACTAGCAGTTGATAAAAGTGCATCATTGTTACACCACGTTTCTCTCATAGTTTCCAGCTAACTCCAGCCAATAGTCTCTGGACATGGCTCAAGCGCCCAAATATCTGACTGGGGATCCGTCCGCCATCAATGCCTTCGTTGATCAATTCGATGTGCGTTCGTTTAATTCAGGCCCCCATGTCCTTGTGCCTTGCGCCTTGGCTCTTCAGGGCACGGGGCTGACCGTTGCTCTCCTATAGGTGTTTTTGATTGATTGTGACGGTGCGATCAACCGTGCTGGGAGCGTTTTCTCCTTGACCTATTGTTGACTTTGTGTGTTGGAGCAGGAGTCCTCTGGTCAGGAGATCACCTCTTCGACGGAGTCGCAGAGACGTTGGGGCTGTTGAGGTCTAAAGGTTGGACTGCCCGAGTCCCGCACCAATAGCCAGCTAACCGCTCACCAACCGCGTCAGGAAAGCGGACGGTCTTTGTGACCAACAACTCTACCAAGTCCCGGCCCGAGTATCTGAAGAAGTTCGCCAAACTCGGGATTCCGGCTGATGTCGAGGATATATTTGGCTCCGCTTACTCGGCAGCCATCTACATCTCGCGGATCCTGAAGCTGCCACCCTCGAAGAACAAGGTGTTCGTTCTTGGCGAGGCTGGCATCGAGAATGAGCTCAGGACCGAGAACATTCCCTTTATCGGGGGCACCGATTCCAACTATCGGAGGGACATGACTCCGGAGGACTGGCAGGGCATTGCAGACGGCTCATTGCTGGACCCCGACGTGGGCTGCGTACTGGCCGGCCTGGACTTCCACGTTAACTACTTGAAGCTCTCGCACGCACACCAGTATCTGCGACGCGGGGCCGTCTTTCTGGCCACCAACCTCGACCCGACCTTCCCCATGAACCACAATTTCTTCCCCGGCGCCGGGTCCATTGTCATCCCTCTGAGCAATATGGCAGGGGAGAAGCCGCTGGCGCTCGGAAAGCCGAGCCAGGCCATGATGGATGCCATAGAGGGGAAGTTCAAGCTCAACCGAGCAAGGACTTGCATGATTGGTGACAGACTGGATACCGACATCAAGTTCGGCATCGAGGGACAGCTCGGTGGGACGCTGGCTGTTCTTAGCGGAGTTAGCAAGAAGGCGGATTGGGAGGCCGAGGGCGCTGCGGCGGTGCCTGCGTTCTATGTCGACCAGCTGGGGGATCTCCGTGGCGGCGGCACCGGCGCTTAGTTGGGCTGCAGTGCCCTGGTACTGCGTAAACCGAACCCTTCGGCGAAGAAGATTCTAGTGTAGGTAACCACGAAAGAATCCAAGGATGTGTGTTAGTGCCTACCAAACACTGAACATGATGCGCATACTACATAGTGTAGTGAGTGAGCGTACAATGCGTGTTTACGGTTGGATGACGTATTGCTCCCGTGAGTCTGTGATCTGTGATTTGTCTGTAGGCTCGTGAATTTCCTGCAGGTCGTAGAATCTAATGGACAATCCTGGCCATTAGAAGAACCTACCTAGCCAGGAATCCTGGCCGATGGTGGAGTGGACCCTGTCTTTTTTCTAGGGTCCCTAGGGCTCCCGAGAGATTGTGCATGATACCTTGCAGCCTCTGACTCTTTCCTGACGGTTGTTTCTTCCAAAAACAAGCCCCGCAGAGCGGTCACCAGGGTTGCCAAAGGACCGTTCGAAGGTCCAAGGTTCATTCCCTGCCCTGAAATGGGTTGGTGCATATCTGATGCTTAGGGTTGCGAGGCAGGTAGTTGCCAAGAAAAAGATCCCATCCATCCATGTTTTGGATGGTTGGCTGCCGGGAGGAAAATTCCGGGTCTCGCTTCTGCTGGGCCGGGCCAGGTGCGAGTTCCCACCCATAGTCCGCACTACTTTTCACATCCAACACTGCTTTTTCCTGCACCTTCACTCTTCACTCGCAGTTTGTTCCCCGGCACACGAGCAAGACGGGCAGACCAGCCCAAAGAGCATATGAGCCCAGTTTCCGTGCCTTGCCCAGCCCAGTTTCCATGCCCTGCTTCCGTACCCAGCAGCCTGACCATCCGCCCAGCTCACTCATATATAAGGCCCTGCCGACGCCGTCTAGCTTCCAAATATTCGGACTCTTCTAGTGTAGACTGGTCTGCTTCCCAACCCGCAATGCTTCACATCCGGGACCAGATTCCACAGTTCTCCGTGTTCCACTTACCCGACTCTGCATCGACCCTGTCATGGAAGAGACACAAGCCTCCGACGAGGCCGACCCCCGCACCACGCGCTTGCTCGACCGTCGGAAGCAGTTGACCGATGCCCTTGCCGCCTCCCCATACGACCCCATTCTCTACCTCCAACGCGCTGCCGTCTATTCGCACCTGGCCTACCCGGATCTTGCTGCTGGGGATGCCTACCGGGCGCTTCTCCTGACGGACGAGGCGCAGAATGAGAGCTTCGAGTACCACGAACAGGCTCGAGAATCCCTCGAGGAGTACTCGGTCACGTTGGTTCCAGATGTGCTTCGGCACGGCGCCCTCGTAGAGGACGCCGACGCCGCCATTGCGGATCGCCACGGAGCCCAACACGGACTAGAGCCGTATTCTGTGCTCGCCACCCTAGCCTCTGCCCGCTGCCTCCAAGTCCTGTCCCTCAGCCTCCTCCTTTGCGGCAGCCTGAAAAGCGCCTACACTTTCTGCGAGCGCGGTCTAGCCGTTGTCCCGGGGAACCAGGACCTGCTGGAGACCAAGGGATATATCGAGACCGTGGCTCGGCAGAGGCTCTCTCTGGGGCCCGCCGAGGACATCAATGTCAATCATCTCCCCGACCGCGGCGTAGTGCGCCGCGAAGTCTACCCCTGGAACACCCATGAACCTGACCGCTTCTGTGAGGAGACCCTCTCCTTCCTAAACAAAAATCTCGAAGCTGTTGCACCAAAGTGCTCTGTGCGAGTGTCTACACTTCCTGTTCTTCTGGAGGGGGAAAGCGTCACTGATAGTTATGAGATAATCCCAACGTGTCGTCAGCTCGGACTGTTTGCCAAGGAAGATATTGGTCCTGGCGAGATAGTCCTCCAGGAGTACACGCTCCTCACCGCCAACAACCGGCTTAAGGAGTCGACGTGCGATGCCTGCGGGTCGGCACTGCCGCCGCTGGAGGCCGACTCGCAGGCAGTTAGCTGTCCCGACTGCTACGACACCGTCTTCTGCGACGCGTTCTGCTTCACGCAAGCGCAGGAAAAGTACCATCCGGCAGTCTGCGAGACTGACGTCGATTCCATTGCCAAGGACCCAGACGCCCGGGACATCGACCAGTCCCTCTATCTCCTCCTCCTCTCTCGCCTCCTTGCCATGTCGGTGCATCAGGACATCCACCCGTTAGATTTCAAGGAGATCAAATACATCTGGGGCGACTTCGTGCCGACGAAGACGAACGACATCGACCTCTCGCCCAACGCCGGGCCCCCGCCCGAGTGGACTCTCCCCTTCTCCTTCAAGTACAACATCGAGCTCCCGCTCCACGTCATGGAGAAGATGGACATCGACATCTTCGCGACCCTCCCAGAGCACGACGTCTGGGTGTTCAACACGGCGTACGCAAAGTTCCGGGGCACGGCTTCTGCGCGCCAGAACCCGCGAGACGGCCGCCCTGACCTCGCGGCCGTGCACCCGTACTGGTGCCTGGCGAACCACGACTGCAACCCCAACGTCTCCTGGGAGTGGGGCGGCAAGATGGAGCTGCGCGCGAGGGAGAAGCGGGTGCTCGGGGGTGTCGCTGACGGAATCAAGGCCGGCGACGAGATCCTGAACCACTACTGCGATGTGGAGCTGTCCGTCCAGCAACGGCGGGAGTGGGCTCAGGGTAGCCTGGGTGGTTGGTGCATGTGCAAGAGATGCCGCGATGAGTCTGGGGAATCTACGAAGCACGAGATCAACAGGACGACGAAGCGAGTCGTGTCTGAAGAGGACTAGAGGCCGGCCGGCCAACTATAGATCTCCTCGCGTCTTCGAGATATTGTCTATTTGAAGGACATTCAAGGAGCCTGTCCTGTCATGTCGAACCCGGAGGCTTGCAATATCGCCAGGAATATTGTCGGCCTGTCTGGTTATTCAGTATTTGGAGACCCGTCACCAGATTTCCTTGGAAGACCAGGATAAGTCAACATCAGTACCCAGCCTATCAGTGGTGGATTCTGTGGCAATGCCAGTGATGGCCATAATCTTCCACAGCTCAACGGGCAGACGTCGACAGACCTCGTTCCGCTTTCAGACTGGGAACAGCATTTGTAAATACACGTGAGAGGGGGCATCTTGTAAACGCATCTGATGCCTTGGGGAAGCAAGCAGCGGCGCTAGCATTCAGCCCTGGATTCCGTGAGATGGGATGATCCAATCTCGGGAATATAATAGACACAGGTCGAGTGTCATAGAGCCCTACTACAGCATGGCTGCCTAGATTATTTCGAACCAATCAGTATACGATGGATTCGCCGTTGAATACAACAACATATTAAGGACTGAAATCAGCATCTTCCTTTTCCCCGAGCGATTCACCCTCAACACCTTCTCCCCTCAGCTTCAGTTGCGGAGTCTCACTTACACAGGTAAAGAACGCCTCGAGAGGAAGTACCGTGTTCCCCTTTTCCTTTCTTTGCGGAGCCATCCACCCTGGCTTCCTTCCTTTCAGAGACCTCGTCTCCTCCTTTTTCCTTTTTTTTTCTCCCTTTTCGCCGTGAAACACACCAACGACCCGACTCGTAGGATGAACATCCACCCTCTAAACCCATCCCCTCCGTCTCGGGGGAAGTCTACACCCCCCAGCTAATCCCCATCACGCCCTCCCCCTTCCCCTCCTCCTCCTCCCCCCAACCATTTCCGTATCCCCACTCCTCGTCGCGTTCGCCGCGTCCCCAGGCTCATGCACGCACCCCATGACGTCGCCGGGACACACCCGGTCGACGGTCGAGTTGCACGGGACCGAGAACTCGAGCGAGCAGTGCACGGGCGACATGTAGCAGCGCTGGCACCACTTGACGGCGTGGCTCGATCCCCCCTCCCCCTCCTTGCAGGCGCCGCAGGTCAGGGTTGGAGGGGGCACGAGCTGGGCGGTGGCGGCGGCCGCCGCGAGGATGGCTGTCGCGCAGAGGAGCAGGCTGATGGGGTGGTGCATCTCTGGGCGGGGGGTTGGGACGGTGCGGTCGGGCAGAGCTGGTATGGTGGGGAGGGATGGCTGCGGTTGGGGGTTGGCTTTAGTTGTGGAGAGGGTGGTATAGGGAGAGATCTAGAGGGGATATGGAGATAGGTAAGTAATAAATAAATATCTGAAGTCCCCTTTTGTCTAGAGTGACAGAGGGTTGATGCTGCCTGTCCCGGTAATACTCCTACCTATAGGTGCTCAACCCTTGTTCGTACCCAATCCTGCCGTTCGCCTTTATAGATTGTTTGTCCTGACTGCTGGCCTGCTTTTTGCCTAAAGAGCCGAGAGCATAGGATTGCGGGTGTTGGTAAAAGGGGGGAAGACGTTGCCAATGGGAACTATGCAATCTCCAAAGCTCCGTGTCAAATATTATTTAATCCTTGGTTCCGATATTAATACAAGATAATTAGACAACAAACTGATGCCTGCTTTCTTCATAGCCACCGCAGCTGCATCTCCCTACCCTGTTTCTCCCTTGCTCTCAATAAAATACAGACCAAGCCCTAGGTGTGTGTAATATCCACGTCGTGTTGCCTAGGAACCTGGCCTTCAATGTGGCTAGAGCATCGTAGGTGCCAGCTACCCATCCATCATCATCGGGCAGTATATGTCATCGCAGAGTCCATCCACGGACGCGAACCCTTGGCACCGAACCCGCGCTTCGGCGGGACAGACGACCGACGGCGCCTCCGGGGACAGGGCCGACGTGGAGCGGGCCCACCCCGCGCAGCAGCAGCAGTCGAAGGGCTGTAGGGGCGTGAAGGTGGTCGGCGACGGCGACGTGGGGTCTGTCGGCGTCGGGCTGGGGGTCGGTGGGGGGGTGAGAGTGGTTGTGTCGGGCTGCGCCGTCGCTAGCGCGGCGATGCTGCCGCCCAGTAGTATGATACTGTCGAGTCTCATGGTAGGTGGCGGTTCCTTCCGGTCGTTGACGGAGACGAGGTGGTGTGGGTAGAGTCTGAAGGGCAGCGGAGGTAGGGGAGGTGATGGTTGCGGCATGCTTTATAGGGCATACTGCTGGGCCTGAGACCATGAAATCCGAGGTGCCGATGATCATTATGCGTACCTCTATTGAGTTGGGAGTTGGGGAACACAGCGGCGGGCCTCTTCTGGGTATTGTCGACCTGTGCAACCTGGCGTTGGATCCAGGCATACTTACCTAGTGTCATTAATTTGCCAAATAAATTATCACGCCACGATCTTCATCGAGAATGACAATCCATAGCTATATCCGCACGGTTGGTTATAGGTTGTAGTCGGCGCGGTCACTCGCCGTCTTGCTGTGGCGGTAACCGCAGCCAGGAAACAAAGTAGATTCCTGGTTTTCGAAACGCTGCTTGGTCATGTACGTCTATGAATGTACGTACATACACGTCCTGCTCTAGGCTTTCTTGCAAACTGTTCGCTAATTTGGAGATAATCTCCTTCATCCCCAGATGACCCCCTTTCTCACAGAGCAGTTGGCAGAGACCGAATCGTTCAGCTGCCAACGACAATTGGCCCGCAGACCAACGACCATGCCCACAAAGAAGTCGACAAAGCCGTCCCAAATGCTGCTTCTCAGCCTGTCCAACCGACCATCCTCGGGTTCCCGCCGCGGAGTGCTGCGATATCCCCGAACGCCGGGGGTATACATATATAAATATAGATAATTCTCAGCGCATTTTGATTCCCTCATATCGTACAGTCTTCGAGCCCCTTCATCTGACGCGCGTATAGTGTCCCTTCCCCTGCTCCTGCCTCAAGCTCTCCTCCTGGCTGGGGAGAGGGGCGCGTCTCCTACCCGCCCCCCCCTGTTGGTCCATATCGTGACCGGGCAGAGGAACAGGCAGCGGGGGAAATCCAGGAGGGAGGGAAAAGTTGGGTGGTGGTATCAGCCCAGGCGGCAGCACACCCGGTGGCAGAGTACCCGGGAGAGGAGGTGGGGGCAGGCCGGCCTTCTTCATCATTTCTGCAATGGTCGCAAGGTCTGGTGGGTTGTTCGGATCCATACCCGGCAGGGGCGGTGGCGCGCCATTGAAGCCAGGCAAATGGAACGGAAGTGGCGGCGGAGGAGCGCCCCCGACACCTGGAATAATAGGTGGAGGAGGTATGGCGCCTGTAGAGCTGCGAGTGCCCTGTTGGAGAGGAAGGCCGGGAATACCTGGGAAGGATGAGGCAGGCTGTTTGAGGGGCATCTTTTGATCCACCAAGCCATCCATCTCATCCTCCATCTCCTGCTCCTCCTCTTCCTGCCGCTGCCTGCGCCCACCCCTTCGATCCCAGGTGCCCTGGGCCTCGGCAGCCGCTTCGCCGATATGGTACCGATCATTAAATGAGTCGGCCTCTCCAGGCCTTGCCCGAGACCAGAATCGCGTGATGCGATCGTTGGATCCTGACGCTAATATGTGTCCCAGGGGGTGCCAGTCTAACGACCAGATAGCGAAATCATGGGCGTGCGGCACCTTATGGGCGGGGTATATCACTTGCGCCGGGGTGCTAGATGGATCCGAGCTGTCGTATGGCGCAATGGTCATCGAATGGCCGGGCGGAGTATTGGGTTCGTCGAGGAGGTAGTGAAATAAGGAGCCTTCAGAACCCCCCGTGCTGAGGAGGTTAGAGTGAACCGGATGCCACGACACGGTGGATATGTCCTTTTCGTGGCCCCTGAGCAAGCAGATATCGCGCATCATTCGCAGGTCAAAGACTCGAGCTGTTTGGTCCCTGGCAGATGTCGCCAGACACATGCCCCGGACTCGTTCGAAGAGTGTCTTGGTGATCGTGTTCTTATGGCCATGGAGGGTGGTTAGGCACCGCCCTGTCCTTGGATCCCACAGTTTAACGAGATGGTCCTTTGAGCCGGATACGATGAGGCCCTTGGTTGGATGCCAATCACAGCTCTTCGCGTCCCAGCCATGTCCCGTCAGGGTTGATTCGGCAACGCCGCCTGCAAAGTCGAAGATCCTCAATGTTGAATCATCAGAAGCCGTGACGAACTTGGCATCCGTCGGGCTGAACGCAAGGTCGCGGATCGGGTCATGGTGTCCTCGGATGCTCTCGACGTTGTTGAAATTTGGCTGCCAGTACTTGATGATTCCGTCATGGTCCGCCGATACCAGCCAGTCATCGCTGTGCGAGTAGGCTAGTGCACGTATGGCTGAGTCGTGTGCCTGCATTATAGTCTCAAAATTGAAGCCTGTGCCATTCCAGAGCGTGAACTCGCCACTGCTGGAGGCGGTGAGCAGCCTCCGCCCCTCCGGCGTCCAGCGGACAACATTAATAGGGTGCTTGATCTTGTTTAGTGATGAGTGAAGATGCCGAGTGGGCACGGAATCAGCTGGGTTGGTAACTCTTGCCAGCGGTGGGAGCATCTACGGGCTGGGTTAGCTCCTCTTCACGTTGCCTGTTCTGGTAGACTGACATCAACTATATAGCTTGGACTGGGCCGTTCGAGCTCTCCCTTGAAGGACCCCTTATATCTTGGCTCCCGATGCCTCATCCAGTGAACAATGGTGGAGCCATAGTCAGTAACAGGGCCTGGTTGGAAGCGTGTCAGTCTTCCTTCGTTTGACGGAAACAGAGGCATGAGATGGCAAAGATTCGGAGGCTTGGGCTAGATAGATATGTAGCGGTAAAAGAAGCAGCGTGGACGTGCTCAGTCGGGGTTGGAAGGATGAGCCTCATCAAAGTTGATTTTGGGCAAGAGCTTGACTTTCGACACAATCTGATGGCCGAGATGATGAGGCGAGGAAGCATCAACCAAACTAAGGTGCAAGGGAATCAGAATGAGCAAGACTTACGTCGGCCTCGTGCTCGAGGCGGGCCACCATCGTATCCGCCGCCCCCTCCAAAGCCTTTGTCGTGATCTCCACGAGAATCGTACGCCATGGCAGCTATGGGGTCATTGAAAATTGACTGCGGTGCCCGAATCAAGCACAGAGTTACTCAATGGTTCTTGTTCGCTGCTTGATTCCCGTTGACCAGTGTGCCTGTGAACAAATTCAATCGTGATTTAGGACTCCTGATCTTCACCTTTGTTTGGACTGTGATGAGATCTGGGCAGAAGCTGAGTAATCTGCGTACACACTTCATACCCGATCGAGTAGGTACCTAGGACTTGTACTGTACCTAGAGGAGCTTGGACCGGAATCGCGGCCTCGATAACCCGGTTCGGTGGGTCCATAGGTCCCAATGTCAGAATCGAGCGGACGCTTACTAGCGGGCTGTCTCTGGCGGCCGATGATAGCGGGGCTTTCACGAGGGATCTGGAGCTTCAGGAGGGTTCAAGAAATGGTTCAATTGACTTGGAAACAACATCTTTGACTGCTCAGACAGCTCCTGAACATCTTATATTCGATTCCTTATAACCTTTGCAATCCTTGGAGTCCCTTCTGGAATTCTTGAGATAATAATACCAAAAGAAAATCTTGAATTCCTCGGCCAAATCTCGAGGCGTGGCCGGCTCGGCGTAGGAGCAGGCATTTGCCACCAGATCAATCAAAACATATATAAAGCTTGCCGTCGAACATTCTGACCCTAGAAAATCCAAAGGGTCCTTCACTCCATCATATCATTTCTGTTTTTCGTCATCTTGATTCATAATTGCAGCCTGATGCTGCGAAGATGAACACGGCGACGGTCACAGGGATTGAGACCGCGGCTGAGCTCGTGGCTCGAAGGCCGAAAGCTTCTGGGACCAAGGCCAATGGCAAGGCCGACGCGACTGGTCAATTGAGAAAGTCCTTGCAGAGGAAGTATCGTCATGTCGCTGCTGTCCACTCTGAATCAAGGCCTTCATGTCTCAGCCATGACGCCGTCGCAACTCCCAGTTTCCTCGGCTTTCGAAATCTCATGGTTATCGTGCTGAGTGAGTGCTCAGGACTCGACACCTCCGCCCCGCTCTAGCTCACATGCTTCTAGTTGTTGGAAACCTGCGCCTCGTCATTGAGAACATCCAAAAGGTAGGTCCTCGGGCAACTCATCAGTTCCACATTCATTGAGAGGACTCAGCCAGTGAGCTGACATGGTTATCAGTACGGCGTATTGATATGTATCCGGTGCCATGATTTCCGGAAGCACGACGTCTTACTCGGGCTGGGCCTCTATTTCCTGATTCCATGCCATCTCTTGGCTGCGTACCTCATCGAGCTTGCCGCCGCGCAGCAAGCCATGTCCTCTCGCCGGAGGGGCGAGAAGCGCGATGGCACGACAAGCCCGACAGAGGAGGATAGTCGACAGTTCCACTCCAGCTGGACACTCATCAGGGCGGCCCACGCCGTGAACATTACGCTCGCCCTGGTCCTCACCACATACGTCGTCTACTTCCACATTCACCATCCCCTAATCGGAACCCTGGCCGAAGTCCATTCTCTTGTCGTGTGGCTCAAGACAGCTTCATACGCGTTTACTAATCGCGACCTGCGCCACGCATATCTCCACCCTGTCAAGGGAGAGCTCGACTCGATACCCGAGATCTACTCGAAGTGCCCTTACCCGAAAAATATCACCATGGGCAACCTGGTCTACTTCTGGTGGGCTCCCACATTGGTGTACCAGCCCGTCTATCCCCGAACGGACACGATCCGATGGACCTTTGTCTTCAAGCGTCTGGGAGAGGTGGTCTGCCTCAGCGCCTTCATCTGGTTCGCAAGCGCGCAGTACGCTGCCCCAGTCCTCCGCAACTCGCTCGACAAGATGGCCTCGCTTGATTTCGTTTCCATCCTCGAGCGTCTGCTGAAGCTCTCGACGATCTCGCTCATCATCTGGTTGGCCGGTTTCTTCGCGCTGTTCCAGTCCTTCCTCAACGCCCTAGCCGAGGTGACGCGTTTTGCCGACCGGTCCTTCTACGACGACTGGTGGAACAGCGAGAGCCTGGGGACTTACTGGCGGACCTGGAACCGGCCGGTTTATCAGTTCTTCAGGAGACATGTCTACTCCCCGATGGTTGGCCGGGGGTGGAGTCCTGGTGTTGCCGGATTTGTGGTCTTTTTCATGTCTGCTGTGTTGCACGAGGTGTTAGTAGGTGTTCCTACTCACAACATCATTGGTAAGTCACATTCCGCCGACACGAGACAGAGAGATCGTACTAACCTCAATCCAGGTGTGGCCTTTTTCGGCATGTTCTTGCAGTTTCCGCTCATTGTACTCACTAGGCCTCTCGAGAAGATGCAGAGTCCCACGGGCAGGCTGATCGGAAACACCATCTTCTGGGTGTCCTTCACGATCCTTGGGCAGCCCTTTGCGGCTCTGATGTACTTCTATGCCTGGCAGGGCAAATACGGGAGCGTGAGCAAGCAGTTGCCGCTGAGTCCCCCGGGCGTGTGCCCAAAACCATAGATAGTTAGATAGGGTGGCAATCTCGGGAGTTTTGGGTTACTGGTCCTTAGGTGGATACTTGGATATGGATCTGGGGATATAACGAGGGTGATCGGTATCGAATAGACATGGGGAATCGCAAGTGGTGCGGGATGGGATAACGATATCTTCTCATTTAATAACCCTCGTCGCTAGTAATCAAGGGGCTTATCCTATTGGGATAAACCACCGAGAACTACGGTATCTGGCATATAGGCCTCCAAAAGCAAGGGCAAAACCCCTTACCTCCTCCTCGCATATCGTACATTCCGCTTCGGGGTCCAGGAATGTCGCCCATGACCCCTGAAACAATATTGCTATATTTCGGAGCGCCACCATTTCTCTATCTCCATGTTTCCGGTCTGAGAAGAAGCCTAGGGCACAAACGGGATCTTGGTCCCGACCTTATTCTTGTAATCGACGTACTCGTCCCCGAAGAAGCCCACGAGCAGCTCCTCCTCGACGCGGACCCTTGTGCTGAAGAAGCGCCACAGGGCGGCAGCGTAGGCGCAGAAGCACACGACGTTGCCCAGGACCAGCTGCGTGCCCAGCGCCCACCAGAAGAAGCCAAAGTAGCTCGGGTGCCTCAGGGTCGCGTATATGCCCGTCGTGACCAGGACGTGGCCTCGCCCGCGCTCGCGCTGCACGATGTGGTTGAAGCTGGGGCCCGCCTGCACCATGGCCGCGGAGCGCACGACCTGGCCGCCCGCGACGCACGCCAGGCCCACCAGCAGGAGAAGCGGGCCGGTGCCCAGGAGGGCCCAGTCGCGGCGGGGGAACAGCGCGTTGGTGACGAGGCACTCGAGCGACGCGGCGGCGTGCGCGATGGCGTAGGCGGGCCAGTTGGCCGTGAGCAGGAACGAGCCCACGTTGGCCGCCGGGGTGTTGTAGGCGGCCGTGGTCCAGAACTCGAGGAAGTGGAAGGTCGAGAGGGCGGCGAGGAAGAACGGCAGGCGCCACAGGGTACTGTTGGTGAAGAGGAGGATCGAGAGCGTCGAGGCTAGGCCGACGGCGAGCGCGATGCCGAGGCAGAATGACCGCAGCGCGATGCCGGCGAGGGACTTTGGCTGGTGCGGGAGGTAGGGCCGGTCCGGGCTCGCGGCGGCGGCGGCGGACGGCGCGGTTGGGCTGAGCAGTGGGAGGGTTGGGTCAGCGCCTGCGGCATCGATGATGGCTGAGGGGGGAATGGATGCGGCGCCCGAGAGAGACGCGACCGGTCGCTGGATGTTGGTCAAGGTCGGGTGGATGCGCGAGCGCTTCCCAGACCGTGAAACTGAGCTTTCACGGCCGGTGGCCCAGGTAACCTCTCCTGCATTGTCATCGCCATCAAGACCGACGAGTCCGGGTAGAGGGTTGGTGGAGTAAGGCGGGGAGGGAGATGGGGCTGGCATCTCGCAGGTCTGAGCAAGGCTGCAAGCCTTTACAACTATCTCAAGCTGAGAGGGGAGCGGGGATAAGGCACAGAGAGGGAGTAGGGGGAGCAGAATGGGAAGTAAAAGAGGAATCAGTCAGATATCGGGTCAGAGTGGTAGCACAGCCATAATATTACCTTTCATGCTGCATGTTGTTGGTGCTTGCTATTCATTGTCTGTGGCAATGTGGAGCCGTCAAAGTGAAGGAGGAATGAGGTTGTTCAGTAGGTGCGATTCCTCCCAACAAACACACATTGCCAGGCCGTGGGGGTTGATATTGTTCCCTCAGGGTTAGTATTGTTCCCCATCTCAAGCCATCTGGCTTTTCCAAGTGAGCAGCAGCCCGAGTCTGAATGAAGTTAATTCAAGTCCTGTTGGTAGTTTCCCAAAGGTCATCAAACACAACCTAGGTACCAGGGTTCCAAGCAGGATGGGATGGGCGACGCTAGGGGCTAAACGGCAAGTGCATGTATTATGTATATGCACTAACCTGTATCTTCAGCATGACTGTTACATTGTGAATCACCCCCTAGACTTCACAATCGCAATTACAGTAAACATTCATTTGTGTCTATTCTAGCTTCTCTCTCGGTATTTTTATTCTACAGTTGCAGAAAATGAATCTCAGGGCGGTCGACCAAACCGAAAACCGACGTCGTATGGAGAAGGGTGAGCTCTACTCCGCCTTCACGCCTGAGCTTATAGCCGATCGGAAACGGTGTAAATCGGCTTGTGACCGGTTCAACGCCGCAGGAGACGTCTCCCGGAGAGAGTTGGTGGAGCTGTGGAAAGAGTAAGAGCCGCCACCGATTTCGCCGTTGCGGATGGGAGAGAACGCAATTTCTAAGACCCTCGGCAGTGTTGTCAACGATGCTTCTCCAATGCCACCTGAGGCGCCAAGTCTAGAAGCGGACGAAGACCTCTTTGACAAGCATCCTTGGGTAGATGCGCCAATCGCAAAGATCGACTATGGATATAACATCAAGTGCTGGTTCCCGCCCCCTCCCCATGTTAGTGTCATATTGCTCATCCGCGAAGGCTAGGAGAGGGAGTCTATGTCAACTCCAACAGCACCTGGATAGACACATGCACCATTGAGATTGGGGCGCGTACCCTCATTGGGCCAGGCTGCTCTTTCTATAGCGGAACACATCCTTTGGATCCCTTCCTCCGAAACGGAACCAGGGGACCGGAGGCTGGGAAGCCTATCAGGATCGGCCAAGATTGCTGGTTTGGCGGAAACGTGATTGTACTCCCTGGAGTCACGATCGGAAGGGGCGTCACGGTCGGCGCGGGGAGTGTGGTGACAAAAAACGTTCCGGACTTCGTCGTCGTAGCGGGGAACCCCGCGAAGGTGTTGAAGAAGATTGAGGTGTCCGAAGCCAAGGATGGGGTTGAAGGGTGACCCGGCGCCAAAGTTATCGTTGGCCGGCGAAGCCCGTCGGGTTTTATAGACCGCCCTGGATCGTGAATGATGATATTATCAAGACCAACACGTTGATCCAACCCCAGAAAAAGGGTATCCAAGTCGACATGGGATAGTGTCCGGAGAGGTAGATGGCGCCAACGCTGTTTGAGGGTTGAAAGGTCAGCATCTGACCCGGTGTCATTGTCTTGTAACACTTACATAAGCCCCACGATACTGCCGGCGAAAAGAGCCTCAAGGCCTGCCACGACAAGGTAGAAGATTGGGACCATCCAGAGAAACTTCCAGTTCGACCTCCTTTTGCCCACCTGCATGGCGAGGGCAATACCGGCAGCCCCGAGATGGAAGAGGGCATAAATTATCATGGTCCACAGAAGGATAAAGCGCCACATGTCTCCCAGGTTGTGGAGCGTCCATGTGAGGCCGATTGGGGGCCAATGTAGAGATGGAAAAGGAGGCGTGGCGTCGACTGCCCGGCGCGCCTCGCGCCTATCAAGCCTGCGCCCGGGTCAGCCATTATCCAGTTTTCACCACAACGACGGTGAGGGAATGCAGCTCACGGGAAGGAATCCATAAAGGCGTGGGGTGCGGCCATGCAAGACCGCGCTGTTTAGTCAAGATCGGTGGTCTCGTGGGAGTGGGAGGCAATCAATTCCAACTGCATGCGCGCAAGCTCTCTTATCTCTGATAACGAACGCGACACTTTAGGAGCTTGGTTCTTGCATATGACGGTTTGATGCATTACCTCGGCAACACGACAGTCGGCTGTCTCAACCGCAACCCCAATTCTTATTAACCATTGCGCCTGCTCCCTGTCTACCATGTAGATAAACCGACCGTTGACATTACGTCCTCTATTAGGAGCCAGCCCGATGTCTGTCGACCGAACACTGACAACGGTCCTTGGACTCTACCAGGATGTCCACGACGATGCCAAGACAGAGCAAATCTACGCGACGACGACGTCTCTGCTTACCCATCTCTCAAACCCGTTGAACCTCTCCCTTCTCACCTCGCAACTACTGAATTCGCCGGCGATATGGCGCCGTCCAAACCGTATGCGGACTTGCTACCGCATCATCAGCATCTTCAACACAGCCGCCATTCACGTGCGGAGGAATGAGGTCGATAACTCCCGCCACCGGGGACCCCGAGTAGGGGGAGGTTTGAGCAGTGAGGCATGGACTCGAGCCATTGTCAAGGGGGCCGACGACCGATCACCCAGATGGAAGCACCTCCTAGTCCTCACCGGTATATTGATGGGAATGGAAGGCAATGGGAGACAGTCATTACCCTCCAGCCTGCGGAACACCCTCGAGCATGCTGTCATGACAGCCACGAATCTCGCGTTAGGGCCGGATGCCGAGGAAGGGTTAGCGGGTACGGGAGCCGTGGTTCTTGCGCTCAATTACGCATTTCCCCTCCTGTCGGATTTGTCGCAAGCTTCGTTGGATCACGATCTGCTGCTCCCCTGCGCAAGCCGGGCCTTGCTGGGAGAAGATGGCCTCAACAGCGGGCTCTTACTAAATGCGGTCAATAATGATGTGGTGCAATATGGGCATATATTCGATTGGCCGACAGCATCCCCTTCGTTCCTTCAGCTCCAGCATCTCGATCAACAGCCATTGATTTCCGGCATGGGCCCGCTGTCAAGGCTGCTGGCGTATGGCATCGAACATGCCAGGGATTCGCGCGTCGTTCTCCAAATCCAGGACGACCTGGTGGTTTTCACCAAGAACCTGTTCGAGCAGTGGCAAGCCAACAAACTGGGTGGGCTAGAAGTATCCGAGGAGGCGGCCTTCCTCACCCCGGAAACTCGAGACACTACATGGCCTGCGCTTTGGCAGTTCCTGAAGAAGGTCATGTATGCGGTGGTCGCCGTGTTGCACCGCATTGTTTCCCGAAGTCTTCTCGACCACCGACTCAGAAGCGATGCTGTAGCTCCCTCAATAGCTACAAAGTCCCTCCACGTGCTTCGAAATCTCTGTTTTGTATCTTCATACCATGGAAACAACGCCTTTCAGGTATACACATTCACTTACCTGGCCTCGATTGACATCCTCACACAGTACCCAGAGGCTTGCAATGCCCTTCTCCAGGAGATCAAACCCCCAAGTCCAGGAGTTATTCCTGCCCATCCGTTGCTCCGGAGCCTCGACCTCTTTTACCTCAACCTTGCCGAGCATCTCCCGCTGAGCTTACCTTCTTGGGAAGCATGTGACGCTCTGATTGTGCAGCCGGCAACGACATATCTTAGCCATTCGGCACCCCTGTCGGCTCGCATGGTCGAGCTCTTTGAGTCGGCCCATAGTGCCGTACTATCGGCTCTTTCCTGCCCAGATAACGCGCCTCTCACGGTGCAGTTGGCGCCATTCTATGCAGACACACTATTGAAGTCGTTTCCCTCACACATATCCCCCCGCCAATTTCGCCTCGCCTTCAAAACGATGATGCAGATCCTGTCCCCCCCATTCCCGATCTCGGCAACGCACCCCGGGCTTGCAGAGACGTTTCTGGAGATGGTTCGCTTCCGAATAGGCAGCGCGAACCCTGCGCCCCTCCCTCCGAGGCCGGACGCGCAAGGGCAGTCGGATATGTCTAGCCCAAGTTCGGAACAGAGCACCCTGGTTATGACCCTGATCGACTCCCTCCCCTTCCTTCATCTGAGCATATTTGAGGAGTGGATGATGCTCGCGGCCGAGGCGGTGCACGAGATTCCGGACCCGGCGATGAGAGAAGCAGCTAAGAGGAGGTTCTGGGATATCCTTGTCAACGGGGAAATGGACGTTGAGAGGTCCGCCATTGGGGTGGCCTGGTGGGGCACGAAAGGAGGTCGGGAGCTGGTGCTCTCTGGCAGATCGGGCGGATCGGGCGAATCAGGTCCAGACTCTGAGCATCGGTTCTTGATGAGCGGGGCGATCCTAGAGGGGGCCACGGGGAGCAAGCTGTGATCTCATACGCTCTACATAGGTACCCTGCAAGGCCCTGCAAGGCTGGCGTGATCGGGTTAAGCAACATGCTGCCATTGCACTAGATATGTACGGAATATTGAACCCTACGAATGGGAGTTTGTCCGGATAGGGGGAAGCTAGGGTGGGTCATCCTTGCTCAGCTGGAAGACAGGGGTAGGGGTGGGAGCTGGCTGGCTGGTTATCGTATCCCTCAAGCGGAGCGCCTTGATGATCGCCGAATCGCAATCGAATCGATTGCGGCAGCATGACGCCATTTAGCGCGCCAGAATACCTACTGTGTACATCCTACCCAGCTTGTACAGTACAACCCCTTTGCAACAAAGTGAAGAGAACCTTGGCACCACCATGGTGAACATAGCCCCGTCTGATGAGGGCCACCTCTCCAGAATCAACATGGATGTAGCCGGCAGCAAGCCCGTGATACAGAACGAAGCTGCCGTTAAGCTGGTCTCCACACAGCCATTTCTGCTGAGGGCCTCCCATTGCAGTGAGGCTTTTTTTACGGGACATGGACCTCCCCAATGAGAAATTCCAGGCTGAAGTGCAAGGGGGAGCTCGTGTACTTAAAGACCAATGTCCTGTCAGTCCTTTCACTCCCTCATTCATGCTAGTTCTGTTAGCATCGAAAGCTCGAGGAGCCTTCACATATCGATCGGCCCCAGACATTCAACGTAAAGTATTCGACACACACAATGTCGTACCAGGATAACAACGACGACGTACGTTCCCTATCCTTCGGTTCCGCAAGGAAGCTAACAAGTCCGCTCTAGTCCTACGGCGGAGGCGATAGCTATGTAAGATCCCATCCAACGGCGATATCGACGGCTGATCTTCTGACCTTATCGAATAGGGCTCCTCTGGCAACACTCGACAGGATAACTCCCAAACCTATGGCGAGACCGGCTCTAACAGGCGTGACGATGCCTATGGCAACTCGGGATCCAACACCGGCTCCTACGGCGGTGGAGGCGACGATGACTCCCGTGGGAACTATTCATCTGGCTCCTATGGCGGTGGAGGCAATGATGACTCCCGCGAGAACCGGTCCTCCGGCACTGGCAACAATGATTCCGAGGGCAGGTCCTATGGAGGAAACTCATTCGGCTCGGACGGTCTAAACCAGGGCAACGATGATGACGGTGGATCGTATGGTGGTAACCAACGTCAGACCAAGCAGTACACTGATCAGACGTCATCGGACACGTTCGGAAGCTCCGACACAAAGGGCTCATATGGGTCTTCGGACAACAACACATACGGCTCCGAGCAGAAGTCCTCCGATTACGGAGGGGCCGGTGGCGGCAGGGGCAACCAGGGGTCTGGTCTGGATGAGCGCCGTCGCGGCGGCGGCGGCGACGACGACGACTCTTACGGCTCGGGAACGGGGGGCTTGGGCCGCTCCGGAGGCGACGACTCTTACGGCTCGGGAACCGGGGGCTTGGGCCGTTCCGGAGGCGACGACTCTTACGGTTCGGGAACCAGGGGCTCGGGCCGCTCTGGAGGCGACGACACTTATGGCAGCTCCAACACCACGTCCTATGGCACGAGGGGCAACGACGATAACGACGGCAGCTACTGATCGCGGGGACTCGGGGGTCCCGCGCTCATGGCCGGCGTCCGTCGAATGATTGAACTGGGAGTGAGCACACGAATAGTATACCGCAGCGGTAGTTTGCAGCGGTGGTCCCTACACAAATATGTAGCCCGCTCCAACGAATGGAAATTGCATTGATTGAACTCATGGTCGAAGCTCACTGTAGTTATTCTCCCCCGTCTACTCCTCCTCCCTCATATGCTTCAAAGGCCCTTGCTCAATGTATGGATTGCCCCCACCCCCCTCCCCCGGGATGAGTTGGACATCCTTCTGAACCTCTACATACTGCGCCAGGATAGAAGCGCCCATGCAAATGTAGACAAGGTCGTTAAGACTCATTTCTGCTTGCATATCGGTCAACACGCATTTTTCTTGAACCGGAACCTCTGCATATGGTCTGCCGATGGGGACAGGTCTGGCTCTGGAGCCAAACCCTTGTCTTATAACGCGGGGATGACAACAAATAGGTATCATCTTGGATAGGGCAGAAATCGCTACTAAGGCGTAGTTGTCTCGGACTGGGGTTCCAAGCTCATGAGTCTTGCGAGGTTTGAAGAAAACCGCCGCACTCTATTGAATAAACGACTGCATAACTTCGGTATCTGCATATCTGAGGCAAACGTCATCTCAAAGAGTGGGATCCTTATCGATAAGGATATCACTTCGAGCTATTGCGATAGGATTTCCCATGGTCTGTTTTGAGCAATCAAAAACGACTACTTCCCACGCCGTAACAGACACAATGAGCAAGCCGGTCCTATCGTTCGGCCTGAAATCCAAAAAGGCATCGTCGTCAAAGTCGAAACCCGCTCCGTCAAAACGGAAACCCACCTTCGGAGACGACGATGGCTTCTCCGACGACGACGAGACTAAAAAGGCTGGCAGTTCGGGCGGGAAAGTCGAGGTGATCACCGAGCTCGACGGCTTCGAGATAGAAACACCGCCCGCAGTCCCCGAGCCGGCCAGCAAGAAGGATAGGTTGAAGAATAGGAATGGCGGACCCCCTCCGCCATTGTCCGCGACGAAGGGCTCGAAGGCCTCCCTGAGCACCGAGTTCGGCGACCTCTCCCAGAACCTGGCGGCGCGCAAGCACGCCGAGGCGGCCGAGGCGCTGGACCCGTCCATATACGACTACGACGCCGTGTACGACTCGCTCAAGCCGCAGAAGAAGGAGACCAAGGAGGACGTGGAGCGGCGGCCCAAGTACATGAGCAGCCTGGCGGCGGCGGCGGCGGTGCGGGAGCGCGACCGGCTTATCGCGGAGGAGAAGCGGCTGGCGCGCGAGCGGGAAGCGGAGGGGGACGAGTTCGCCGACAAGGAGAAGTTCGTGACCGAGGCATACAAGAAGCACCAGGAGGAGAACCGCCGGATCGAGGAGGAGGAGAGGCGCAGGGAGGAGGAGGAGGCGAAGAAGAACAAGAATAAGGGCATGACGGCCTTCTACAAGGACATGCTCGAGCGCGAGGACCGGGCGCATGCAGAGGTCATAAAAGCTGCAGAGGAGGCCAAGAAGGCCGGGCCACAGGTGCGGGAGAGCGCCGAGGAGGAGGAGAAGACCGAAGGCGAGATTGCGCAAGAGATTATCGGCAAGGGAGGGAAGATCACCATCAACGAGGACGGCCAAGTCGTCGACAAGAGACAACTGCTGCAGGGCGGTCTCAACGTGGGCGCAAAGAAAAAGGCCGAAGTGCAACAGCAGAAATCCCGACACGCGGCCGGCGAAGGCGGCAACACGGACCAAGGTCGAGGAGTGTACAACGCCGGGGGAAAGCAGGGGATGAGGGAGAGGCAGTCCCGCATGCTCGAATCGCAGCTGGAGGAGAGCTTGAAACGAGCACGGGAAGAAGAGGAAGAGGAGAAGAAGAAGATCGAGCTTGCTTCCAAGAGCCGCAAGACAGATGCCGATATCTCCAGCGCCAAGGAGAGATATCTAGCGCGAAAGAAAGCCGCAGAGGAAGCGAAAAAGATAGAGGCAGGGGAGAAGCCGTGATAGACGGCAAATAAGGCATAAGACATAGATAGCCGAAGGCTCTGCGAAGAGTGGGAGGTGAACTCGCCTCGAGCATTCTATCCACCATATATATGGCAAGACTCCATATTCGTACAACCGCCAGATTTGCGGAATCTGGCCGTACCTAATCTACAGAAGTACAGAATGTTCCCTCAATATCAGATCGTCTATCCTGTTCCCGCTGCCGTCATTGTCGAATGCCTCAAGCCGCCTGGTGATTGGTATGGTAATACAGAGGAGTCGGGGTGCTTGTGGAAAGCCTGCCGGGGTTTATGTGAAGGAGTTGTTGCCAACCTCCTGTTGTATCCTCCGCAAATAGGCCGAGTTGACTTGGTTCCATGCTGCCATGTATTTCTCCATGCACTGGGTAACACAAGAGCTCTCGCTGCTTGAGATGGAGGAGCCAGGCTTCGGTACACACTTTGTAAAGCAGTTCTCGTTGATTTTCTAGAGACACCTATTAGGATACTCGTGCGGCATGGGCACAGGAGATAAAGGTCTTATCTACATACCTCGATGAGCTGCCTTGCATTGGCCGTGTTGGACTCGACCAGAACCTGCTTGACTATAGCCGTCTTTACCGAATCCGAATCCATTGTTGCGAGGGTTTTGGTAGGGGGCGAATTGGGTTTGTGATGTCCTGTGGCTATGGTTGATATACGGCGTATGGGATGGAGTTTCTTGAAATTTTGGTAACCAGGCTGGCTGCTAAGGACGAGATAGCTTCATGTGGAGTGAGGCTTGACCAATGATGGCAATCTGGATGGAGGCACCCGACAGCTCCATAAAAGGTACGTACCTTCCCAAGCCTCCTCCACATACGCAGGGATAAGGTTGGGTTAGCTCGAGTGAAACAGCTCCCCAGCCAGCGAATGAGAGCAACGCACAGGCCTTGCTACATCCAGACTCCGTGGGCGAAAAGGCCAGCTAGACGCTTCCCTCTGTTGTCGGCGGCGACCTTGGAAGTGCACCTGTCCTCCAACTTTTGTGCTTGGTTCTCGTACTCTTTCTTTTCTTTCCCCTTCAATTCTTTGCGTCTCTCCAAATCCCGTTCTTTTTATTGTCAAGGAGAACCATGTGGCTGAGGTCGACGCTGTCGGCCTTGTGGCTGGCCACGTTTGCTTGGGGGGCCGTTTCCACGGATGAGGATGGTACCGTCAGGAGCATAGGAGTGCGTCGCAGAGCCAACACCCATTCCCGCCAGCTGTTGATTGATCGCTAATATGGTGGATAGCTGAGGACACATACACTCGTCCAGGTTCGCGCTATACCTCACCCCCGCCCCCCTTCGCAGCTGTTTATCGAGCCATTGGGCGACTGACCAGATAACCTTTCCCAGCCTTACCTCGACTCGGACATGCAAAGCCGGTGGTATGATTTTGGCGGCGACACGATTATCCGCACAGATCAGTACGTACCTTGTGTGACTGTTCCTGCTTATGGTGGCACTGGTTATCTGACAAGCGACCTCCCAGATACATACGGTTAACGTCAGACCGCCCGTCACAGACTGGACACCTGTGGTCAAGGGTTCCTCTCACCGCCACAAACTGGGAGATTGAGGTGGAATTCAAGATCCATGGCAAGAACCAGCTATACGGTGACGGCTTCGCCATGTGGATCACCAAGGACCGCACAAAGACAGGGCCTGTGTTTGGCAGTGCTGACAACTTTGAGGGCCTGGGTGTTTTCTTCGACACGTATAAGAACCACCGCCCGGGTGTTGTCTTTCCATTTGTCATGGCCATGGTCGGTGATGGCAAGTCATCATACGACAAGGACACGGATGGCAAGAGCACCGAGTTTGCGGCCTGCTCCGCAAGGGGCATCCGCCATGCGACGGTGCCTACCAAGTTCCGCCTGACCTACTTCCAGGACAAGTATCTGAAACTGGAGCTGCAGTATAAGTCTGAGGGCGAGTGGACTCTTTGCTTTGAGACGAACGAGCCTCCCGCGATCCCCCAGGTGGCCTACCTTGGCTTCAGCGCTGAGACAGGCGAGCTGAGCGACAACCACGACATCATCTCAGTCAACGCGAAGAACTTGTATACTTCGCAGCCTAGCACACAGGCGGCCACCCCTGGAAGCGGGAGGGGCAAGAAGGCTCAGACCAAGAGTCAGAGCCAGGACAAAGCAAAGAGTGGTGGCAGCTGGACCTGGTTCTTTACGAAGATTATCCTCTTCTTCATGGTTATCGGTGGTGGTTATGTTGGATACACTGCATGGAGAACCAGCAAGAGGCATCACCGATATTAGGACAGGATAGGGGGATGTTGAGGAGTCACAGGTGTGTTTTTTGGTGGCACCGTCTAAAAGGAAAGCCCAAGCAAAGGATGTATATACCGACAGACACGCGTGGCACGGGCTGGTAGGCTGGCAGGCAAGTGGGCTGACGACTCCAGCAGGTCTCACCGTGACCTGCCTTTCGACTTTTAAGGCGAACTGAAATTGTTGGTGTACGATTATAACCATACCTTATCCTATCCCGAGGTTTTCCTCGGCGCCTGCACCTCAATACTAAGTCCTCATATGGTGTCTTCCCATTCTACTCTAGGCGTCTGCCGAAGCTCTCTGTTCATGAACTTGGGGTTAACCCAAATGAGCTCGGCGTCGTTTAAGAGGCATCGGCCACGGAGGGGTCGGAGAGCCCCTAGTCTGAAGGTCCCCGCTTGCCGGGATCGCGGCCCAGGTCAAGGGTACGTAATAGAGGTCACTAGCGGAAAGAAGAGGGGAGCTTCCAGGTTGCTATCTATTTTGGATTTCGTCATAGCTATAAGTCCTGCATGCAAAGTCGCAACAGTGGTCCATCACGTTTCAGAGCCATAGCAGCTGGGCTGGCTTGCATTTTGAGATCAAAAAGGAATATGTGGGAGGTTTGTGCAACCCGGCAAGCTCCATAATCCTTTTTCTTTCAGCTGGCGAGAGCGCGAAGCCCCTCCTTGGCTGTCCGTACGAGTTTGGGCACCCCCTGCCAGTTAAAAGAACCCCACCTCTAACACCCCACCAAGCACCAACATCCATCCATCCCAACCCGCCCCGCCCACCTTCTGCACTCTCTCCAACCTGTCCAATTGACCTCACCAGTTGCAATTGAGCCTGCTGAAAGCACGTCGCCGGGCTCGTCTTCATACAGCCCCGTTCCGTCTCCGTTTCCGGCCTGGATGCACCACCCAGAAGCGCCTCTGCAATGGATTGAGCCCTGCCAGCCCCCTTCAACTTGACCAACCTTCAGCGCCAAGTTGCTCTTCCTCAGCAGCTTCGTCATCAACCCGACCTCCGAAGCTTCTTATCGGCGGCGCATCCCGTCGCTATGAAGGCTACTTGGGCTTAGAGCAGCGATTACATTATCGCGCCGACAGATATATCGGAATCATCGATCGATCGTCTTCCACCTGCAAGCCCACCCGGACCCGATAAAAAAAAGCAAAGAAAAAGGGAGAAAGCCAAGGCAATTGGACCTCCAAGGGAGAGAATATGTGCGCTTAGGTGTTGCTTCAACCAACGCCCGCTGCCCGACCGTTTTTTACGTTCCTGGGAAGCAAGCACAAAGCGTCTTCTCTTTGTACCCCCGACGTCTCCGGCCAGAGGAATCCGCATTCCCAAAGAGCATATCCCCAGCATCCAGCCACAACCTGTCAGTTGCTGCGGGCTGCCTAGGTGTTTCTGGGTCCCTGCATCTGTGGAAGACTTGGTGATAGCTTGGCCCCTCTAGACATTGGCAGTCTTCCTAGACCTGTCTTTGTCCTCGGTTCTACAGATCACCTCTGCACTTCTACATCCATCCGCAATCGCAAACCGCAACCGCAACCGCAACGCAACTTGATCCGCATTCGCTGACTAGTTGGCAATTGGCTACCATCTCTGCTCCTTCCGATCAGACGAGCCGCTCCTCCGTTTCCGACTTCTTTGTCCTCCGCACTGCCACGGCTCTCTCGCCCCTCCATCCTCTTTACATCCTTCTTGATGCCTACTCTCGGCTTCTTGAAGAAGAAGCGGACAAGGGAGGGCAACTCAGACCCTTCGTCCACCAGCCAGCCAACGAGCCCGGTCACTCCTACGTCTAACAAGAGCTTCAATCCGACTATCTCATCACAGCAGTCCGCCGCGTCGCAAGCGACTTCCCAGCCAAGCACGACAAACACACAAGACAGTCGAGCCGAGACAGCAGAGAAACAACCAATGAATAACCTCCCAGTCCAACAGCCAGTTGTGCCGCCGCAACAGACCCCCTCCCCGGGATCTGAGCCGCAAAACCTCCCCAGCATATTGAACCTCATCAACCAGCCCCAGCATGGGGCTGCCCCCCAGTCCCATCAGCAACAAGAAACCGCGAGGTTCCCACTACCGCCGACAAACGGCGGAGGGGCGGGCAATCCATTCCAGTCATCTAACATGACTCAACCAGAGCAGCAGCAACGGCAGCAACCACATCAGCAACCGCAGCAGCAGCAGCAGCAGTATCAACAACAACACCATCAGCAACAGCCGCAGCAGCAGCAACTGCACCCGCAACAGCACCCGCAGCAACACCATCAGCACCAGCTCCAGCTACACCAGCAACAACCACACCAGCAACAACCACACCAGCAGCAGGTGCAGCTGTCTGCCCAGGATCAAGCCCGAGTGACTAAGGGGAAATACTCGCTGGGTGATTTTGAGATACAAAGGACCCTCGGAACAGGGAGTTTTGGCCGAGTCCACCTGGTGCAGTCGCGGCATAACCAGCGATTCTATGCCATAAAGGTGCTTAAGAAGGCGCAGGTAGTCAAGATGAAGCAGGTCGAACACACCAACGACGAGAGGAAGATGCTTGGCGAGGTCAAGCACCCATTCCTGATCACCCTGTGGGGCACCTTCCAAGATTCGAGAAACCTATACATGGTTATGGACTTTGTCGAGGGTGGCGAGCTCTTTTCGCTGCTTAGGAAGTCTGGCGTAAGCTACCTTACCTCTCGCCTCTCCCAGTTTTCGTTGTACTGTTCGGCCCCAAGTTGACAACTTCCGCTAGCGCTTTCCCAACCCTGTTGCCAAGTTCTACGCCGCCGAAGTCACATTGGCGCTGGAATATCTTCACTCGAGGAATATCATATATCGGGACCTGAAACCCGAGAACCTACTCCTTGACCGGCACGGCCACTTGAAGATAACCGACTTTGGATTCGCAAAGCGTGTACCGGATAAAACGTGGACGCTCTGTGGCACGCCCGACTATCTTGCGCCTGAGGTCGTCTCCAACAAGGGATATAACAAGTCTGTAGATTGGTAGGCGTCCCATTTTCCGTCAAGCATCCTGCACTCCGGGCTGACCTCTTTGCGCCAGGTGGTCACTAGGCATCTTGATATACGAAATGCTATGTGGCTATACTCCGTTCTGGGATAGCGGATCCCCAATGAAGATCTATGAGAACATCCTCAAGGGCAGGGTGAAATACCCGCCATATATCAACCCGGACGCTCAAGATCTGTTGGAGCGGCTGATCACGCACGACCTCACCACCCGTCTTGGGAACTTGTATGGCGGCTCACAAGATGTTAAGAACCACCCATGGTTTTCCGAGGTCACTTGGGATCGACTTGCAAGGAAAGACATTGATGCACCTTACACGCCGCCTGTAAAAGCGGGTGCGGGAGATGCTAGCCAGTTCGACAGGTATCCCGAGGAAACTGAGCAATACGGGCATGCAGGAAGCGACGAGTAAGTTTCTAGGCCATCCTCTGTTCCCTCCGAGACCATCATCCTAACTGGCTGTAGGTTTGCCAAGCTTTTCGCCGAGTTCTAAACGCGGCCCTACCCGTTTGCGGGGAATAAACGGGATGGTAGTCGGCTCTACTACTGTTTGTTGGCAGGTACTATATACCCATTGCGGTGGCTCCTGTCTGGAGCCATTGACTACCTGAGCCGCATCTGTAGGGGTCAAGTTCGTGTTCATTCCACACACACAAAAGCTGTTTCTTGGTCTCTTCCGTCGCTACCGAGGGGCGCATATATTCATTCACAGGCGCGTTTAGGCATTCATTACCAGGTTGGATAGGAGGAGCGGCTCGCGATTTGGTCTGGACCATCGGATTGGATATGGCAGGGCTGGTCTCCGGGTTCGCATCAAAATATTTATTTATACGAGCAGCATCTCTCACGAATAATAGCGTTTCGAGGGTTCCAAAACGGTTCTACTATAGTAGACGAATATTTCATGTTTCCTTATCGGCATGACGACTGACCAAACATGGGAACCTTTCGGGCACCCAAAGCTTAAAGGACGGTTATTAATTGGGATTTATCTTGGGCCTCGGGAAGCTACAGCGGACCGCAGGTGACCTCAATGCACCAGATTCACGTAGGACTTGGCTTCCCCACTTTAGGAAGGCGGTCCCTCCCGCCTAGGCCCGCTCGCGATCCGACCACTCATGTTGATCCCTGGCCCTGCACTCCTCGTTGGCTCGTTGAACTGGGCGCATCCGTAGGCTCCCCATTTACCGGTTACCTCTGTAGGTTGTAGTTCTATTTCTCTCTCATCTTGACTGCGCTCGAATATGTTCTGTCGATAGGGCTGTCGATTGAGCCACTTGCGCGTGGGCCGATATGGACGATTATCTTTTCCAAACCCATGTCAGAAGCTGCAAAAATGTCGTCGAGGCTACCTCTTACCTCGAGATTCTGACTTACTCGGTACGGCGCGATTTCTATTATTAAAAACCACTAAAAATCACATAATAGCCCTCCAGCCGTGTAATGAGGCTCTGCCGGGTCAGAAGGCTAACGTTGGAGTCTCGTCCCAGGATCCGTCGTATAATTCCGTCGAGGAGCACCCATTAACCCCGGATGAGTTCGAAAACTTCCTCAATCGCCGAGTAAGTGTTTCCTCGCTCATGGCACCTGGCCGCTCCCCAGTGACTCGGCCTCCGCTAATACGGATACCCCTCCGCAGGGCGCGTTTGAACCGCCCAAGCTAAAGGAGGGTGTAAGGCAGCTCGGTGGCATCCGGATGGTGTAAGTGACCTGTTTGCAAAGTATTGATCAGTATCAAGGGCCTACCTGACTATAGCCTCCCTTACAGACTCCAGCAGAAAGCACAGCACCCGGAGACCTTCACTCCTCACTACATATCGCTCACCGCAGAGGCGTACGAGTCTATGGTGAGGACTTTTCGCCTGCCTTTCCGAGCCATTGAGGGAACCAGCGTTGTTGGGCCATTTTTCTGGTCGGCCTACGACCAAGACGACGACGATCCTCACCTGCGTAAGGAGCCCGGACAGGCTCGAGAAGCTGTCCTTCTTCCCCATTGGTTGTTGGATTTCAGTTAACTTTTTCACAGAGATCATATTCCGCAAGTCCGATGTCCGTAAGAGGGGCAAGACTCGTGGCTGGGAGCTGATGCTGTCGCACTCGCTCCGCTCGGGCGTCACCACGGGCTATGCGAAGGGGACCGAATCCTCCGACATGGTCGAGAGCGTCAAGCATCTATGTTTCTGCGCCTCGCAAGTCATGCACCCGCTCCTGCTCCCCATCATCATCCTGTCGCACGACCTGTCTGCCAAGACGGACCAGAAGCAGCGCGATGCTCGCGACTGGCTGCGCCGCCTAGAACACGCCGTGTCGATGCGCAACGAAATCGCCGAGGACGAGGGCTACGTCAGGGAGGATGTCATGGACCTCGACCAGATCAACCGCGACCTTGTGGAATGCCATTCGCAGGTGTTGTGGAAGCGACCTCAGGCCTACCAAGAAATCATCTGCGGCATCGAGGTTGCCATGCAGCGGTTCTGGGACGCGGCCAAGCTCGAGGCGAAGTACGGCGGGGATGGCGGCGAGATCCACAAGCTGCACCGCAGCTTGATCGCCAGGCTCGACTTCTACAGGGCCAAGCTGAAGGGCGTTGAGAATTACGCGCACACGACGCTTGAGCGGCTTAATATCCAGCGGGCTGCGGTAAGTAGCCCTCAAATTTTCACACTCCATGCCTGACCCTATGCGCGCGAGAGAAAGAGAGAGCTAACCACCGGCATCCTTCGCGGGAACATGTAGCTGTACAACATCATCGCCCAGAAAGAATCCAAGCTCAACCTGGAAATGGCCGGCCAGCAACGGCGCCTGGCGAATTGCAGCAAGCGCGACAGCGCCGCGATGAAGTCGCTGTCCCTGCTCGGGGCCATCTTCCTGCCGGCGTCGTACCTGGCGTCCGTGTTCGGCATGGACTTTTTCAACTTTGATGGCAACGGCGACCCGCCGCCCGTCATCTCGCCCCTGATCTGGGTCTACTTCGTCATCACCGTGCCCATAACTCTGGTCATCCTCGTGATATGGCGCCGTTGGGACAAGAGGCGCGAGGCCAAGAACGCGGCCGAGGACGTCGACCTCGAGGCCGGCATCGAGACCATGGAGGAGCAGATCATGACCAATATGCGGAGGAAGACGATGAAGAAGTTTAGGACGTGGGATCTGGGCAAGGCGGAGTGAAACTTGGTTATCTCTGCCATGAGGCTGGGCGGAGACCGGCAGAGGGTGCAGGGGATGTGTCTGGTGCTTGGAATGTATTGGTTATAGCAGGTGCTGCTTTTTCATTTCTTCATTTCTTCTTTTTTGGATATGACACTCATGATGTTACGACTCACGAATTCAGGAATACATAGATCTAGGGAGTAATATTCCGCGGTAGTCGCCTAGATTTGCCATTCGTGTCGCATTATCAAGGAATTTCCGATTCTGGTCTACGTATAAGATGGCGTGAGAAACCGACTTCCCACAACACTACGCCACCGCCCCCTTGGACACCCTGATCAGCACCAGTCCCTCCGTCTCCACCCCGCCGGCGTCGAGCAGGTGCACGAACCGGTACCCCGCCCCCAGCCGGTCGAGCCGGACGCACGCCCACGCCGCCAGCTCGTCGTGCCCGATCTCGTCGTCGCGGATGGTGAAGCGCACAAACGACAGCTCCTCCTCCGGATCCAACTCCGCGGCGGCGGCGGCCAGAGGACCCGCGGGGAGGACGACGCCGCGGAAGGATAGCGCCGCGGATAGCCCGAAGTCTGGGTCCCGACCCTTGCCTGTCGGCGTCCGGGCTTTGTGCCTGCCGCTGCCGCTGCCGCTTCCCTCCTTGGTGTCGCTGGCTTCATCGGCTGGTGTGAAGGCGCTGCTGGTTGCGCGGTACAGCCTCGCTGCGTGGCGGCGCCGGCGCCGGCGCTGGCGGTCTGGGTCCTCGGTGTGGAGCTCGGCTTTGATGTAAGGGCGGAAGGAGTCTGCTTTGGTATCGCCTTTGGGGAGGGGGAGGGACTGCGCGGCGAGGACGGTGATTGTTAGGTCGAGGGGTTTGGCGTGGGGTGGTACTGTGGCCTTGGTTGTGGTGGCGGTGGCGGTGGCAGTGATAGTGGATGAGGAATGGCTGGGACGGTGGGTGGAACGGTAGCCTGGTGGTGTGGTGAGTGAGCGGTGTTGTGATTCAGCGTGACAAGTGGGAAAGAAAAGAGACAAACGAAAAAGAGATGTGACCGGAAAATAGGGATACGGATAGAGCATATACTGACCCTCTGGTTTCAAGACGTAACCCCCAGTACCGGCAAACATGCCTTCGTTTAGCATCATACCCTCGTCCCATTTCTGCCAGTTCAACGCCACAATCTGGACTCCCTTGCTCCAGAAGTCCACCGGGTCCAGGTTCGACGACCGTATCCTCAGGCCAGACGGATACGTCCTCATAAGGAAATCGCGGTTGTGGTCGAACAACGCACCAGCGTACTTCTCGTGGGTGTCCATGACTCTATTCTCGGACAAGGAGAAGATGTGCGTCGGCATCGTGGCTTCGGGCTGGGTCAAGCCCTTGAACGAGACTCCCCGCGTGTAGATGCCTAGCTGGCTCAGAGCCTGGATGATCTTTGCCGGCTTCTTCTTCGCTTTCGGTGCTGCTCCCGTAGGCAGACTCTCTTCGTCGGAATCCCCGGTCCCGGTCTCGGGTGTGGTACCGCCGGCCGCTTGGCTCGGAGGAGCATATTTGACCTTGACAAGTATCTTGTGCCGCAAGTCCGCCGGGGCGGGCAGCATCTGGGCTTCGTCCTTGGGCTCCGGCAACAGAAATTCCTTCCAAGTCTCCTGCATGATCTTGACCATCACTTCCTGCTGCGCGGCTCTGCAGTGGACCTCCAGACTGACTATCAGCGGGAGATCCGACGCCGTGAAGGCGTCGTCCCTGATGGCAACGCACACATCCCTGAACGACACCTCCCTGGTCAGGGTGTAGCCATGCAAAACCCGGGGCTCGACGATGTCCCCTGGCGCATTCGGAGCGTTCGCCTGCACTTTGGGGTCTGCGGCGGCCTCGGGTTTCTTGACCGCGGGCGCTGGCGCCGACGCGGGATTCGGCGCCTTCCTGTCAACGTACTGCTCGAGCCTCCTTCCGAGCGACGTCTTCTCGAGACGGCTGACAAGAGAGACGGGGATTTTGCCCTTCACCCTCTCCAATTTGGCCTTCCTCTTCTGGTGCGCCTTTGGATGTGCCTCATCGCTGTTGGAGGTGGAGGTGCCAGACTCGCTATCGGAATCGAGGTCTTCCCCGTCCCAGACATCAATCTCGATGCATCGACACCCGCGCAGGAGGACATTTTTATAGGCATCTGTGCTCGATTCGCTGTAAAGCTGGTTCCCGGTCAGGTAGGTGTTGTGGCTAGAGCTGATGAAGTAGCTCGACAGCGGCCAAGACAGGTCCTGGGTTTTGGGATCGGGAGGAGCAATGACATTGGTGGACGGAGAGGTCATGTAACGGAGAAAGTCATTGAAATCCCAGTCTTTCTGGTTCAGCGACTGCTTGGATATCTCGTCCTCGTCGATTCCCTGGACGTGCCTGAGAAAGGTGGCAACCTGCCCTTTATCCCACGCCTTGTCGCCTTTGCCGGCATGGGAATCATACACCCTCTTCAGATGCGCGAGTATCGGGCCATTTATAGTCTTGACTGCTCGCGCCTGACCGCTAACACCGCCTCCGGCTTGGTGGGCCGCAACCTGAGGTGACGGCAGTGTCTCAGCTGTAATCTCCGCCATTCTCATTCATAGTTAGATCGTAGAGACTTGAGAACTCCCGAGAGCCGTTCAACTATCCGAAAACAGCCAGACCGACAAGGGTTTAGGACTTAAGTGGTTCAGGATGTTGGAGGAAATGTAGGTTCTTAGGTAGTTAGTAGGACTAATTGAGAAATGGAGAGCACTGAGTCCTAAGACCAGATGGAGACTTTTGGAGGCTGAGTACCCTAGATGGAGTCAGGCGCGGGCTTTCCAAGCCCAACAGCTGATATCAGGCCTGCCCCTTGGCTGCTCTGCTCCTCTTGTTGGCTCTATTAGATCGTCAGTCCTTCCAACTTAGCACTGGCCTGGCCAATAAATAGTGCACGCCTGGTACCCCGCCAAGGCGCCCTATCAGCCCCCGGGACGAAGCGAAAGCATATTTATTCAGCTGGTTCCTCAAGTCCTACCATGTCGACAGCATATTGCAAGGGGGGCCAGCTTGGCAGATAGAGAGGGTCTGATGGATTCCCAATACTTAAAGGAGGCTTCCCTTTACCAGTAAATGTGTAGTAAGTGTGTGTGTATCTTGGCACGCTTGGATAGACAACTACAGACGTGATGGCCACTATACAGATAGTTAGTGATCTTCACCTCGAGGCCACCAACGCCTACAACACCATTGAGATCCCCCCAAAGGCACCCTATCTGGCCCTGCTCGGCGACATCGGCAACACAGAACAGGCGGAACCATTCACGTCTTTCCTCGACCGCCAGCTCAGGCAGTTCCAAGTCGTGCTCCTCGTCCCCGGAAACCACGAACCGTACCGGTCCACCTGGGAGGAATCGAAGGCCTTCTTCCGGCGGTACGAGGACGACGTCCGTCAGAGGCGCGCCGTGGGGGAGGCCATCGGCTCCTTCGTCCTCCTGGACCGGACGCGCCACGACATCCCCGGCACGACGGTCACCATCCTGGGTTGCACCCTCTTCTCCAGCGTGCCGGCCGCCAAGGCCCCCGCCGTCCAGACCCTGCTCAACGACTTCAAGTACATCCGGGACTGGGCCGTGGAGGACCACGACCGCGCGCACCAGGCGGACCTGGACTGGCTCAACGCCCAAGTCGAATCCCTCGCCGACGGCGCCGAGCCGGGCCAGCCGGGGCGGACCATCGCCGTCCTGACGCACCACAGCCCCACGGCGGACAAGCGTGCCAGTAACCCGCGGCACGAGAACACGCCCATCCACCCGGCCTTCGTGACGGACCTGGCCCGGCAGCCGTGCTGGACCGCCCGCGCCGTAGTCCTGTGGGCCTTCGGCCACACGCACTTCAACTGCGACTTTCGGGATTGGCGGACCGGGAAGAGGGTCTACGCGAACCAGCGCGGGTACTTCGCCGACGTGCCGGGCTGGGATGTCGGGCGGGTCGTCGAGATTCCCGGCCAGGTACCTCGCTGCGCGGGCCGCCTGCTTGGTTTGACGGACGGCTGCGTTGTGAACTGATGGCGGGGGGGGAAGGCCGATCTTTTTTTTACTTTGTCTTATTGAAGTTACAGACCCGGACGTTGTAGGAAAACTTGATAACCCCCTTTTCGTATCCCATAAATTAAATCTAACATGCATAAAGTTCTGATACTGATCGATTTATGTGTTCCCATCTGAACGCCAACGGAAGCATTGAACCACCCCTCCCCCCAAGACATGGCATAATCCACCCCCAACTCCAAACCGACCCTATCCTACCGATGTCCCCCAAAGCAACCCCGGTTCGATGGGCTCAATACTGCCACAAAGCCTTGTGGTAGATGGCCCGCGAGCCGAGCCTCTCGAACTCGTGGCCCGTGATCCACGAGTCGTTGGTGGGCAGCTTGGCGAACACGCTCGCGCCCTTCCACACCACCACCTGCTCGTCCATGTCGCGGGCGCTGCGACTGACGAGGATGCGGTCGAACAGGTCGGGGCGGCGCGCCTTGAGCTTCTCCTCGAGGAAGGGGGCGAAGTGCCGCAGCTTGGCCCCTCCACCGATCACCATGATGCTCCCCAGCAGGTCCCGCACCTTCTTCTCCTCGCCCTTGGCCGCGTTCTGGATGCTCGTCAGGATGGCAATGTCCAGCGGCGCCACGGGCAGCACCGCGTCGCGCTCGATGGCGATCGACTTCGCCGAGCGCTGGTAGCTATCGACGAACATGCCCGGCGGCGGCGGCTGTGAGGACGGCTGCCCGTTGGGACCGCCGCCATTGGCTACGGGACCGTTGGGGGGTGCTGGAGTCCCGCCGTTTCGCCCACTCGGGGCCGGACTCCCGCCGTTCGTCATGTCCTTCCCACCGAAAAGATAGGGGGCCGGAACAGGCGTGTTGGCACCCTCGGGCGCCGGAGACGCGGCGTTCGATGTCGTCGGCGTGCCGTTGATGTCACCGCGAGACAGCATGTTAAACGGCTGCGGTCTCTCCTTGCTCGGTGTCGAGACTTCATTGGGAGGAGGACCGCTAGACGCGATCGACCCAACCGAGGGTTGGATGAGCGCCAATATGCCAGTCTGAGCTGAGGAGGTGGGATCATCCGGGACATCGACATCGTAGGCGTTGTATGAGCGGTCGATCAGCTTCCGCCGTCCCCGCAACTTGGTGCTGTTGTCGAAAATCGCCGGGTCATAAAAGCCCATAGGCGCAAGTATGACTTCATCGTAGGTCTTGAACTGATACTTGCGGGTGGGCTGATTCGGCGCTCGTAGGTGGAATTGGTACAGCTGGACAGAGATATCCGCCTGCGAGAGAGTGCAGTGCTTAGCTTTCAGCTCCTCGGCCAGGAGGAAATCATATCGGCGCCGCAGGTTGATGTCTTGGTAAGGAAAGTTGTCGTATAGCATCATCTTCATGAAGGCTTCCGTCACGTCGTAGCCGCCATACTTCAGGTTGATGCGCGAATCCTCCACGCAGAGGCCGTCCTCTACGCACGTAATCGACGTCTTCTGGGCACCGACGTCGACGACGCAGGCTTGCGTGTAACCAGCACCGAATGTCGCAGCCATGCTCTCCTGGATGAAGCATATCCTATTGAACTCAAACCAGGTCATGCAGGACTTCAGCACCTGTTCAACATATTTCTTGTCGTACAGGTCAGGGATGACAAAGACGCAACTGTATTGCTTCCACTGGCTGTTGCGGGTCAGGCCAAGCTCTTGGCGAATGGCCTTGTCCAGAAGCGTCTCGAAATCGTCATAGAGATGTTCTGTCGTGGCGTAGTCGTCCTCGTTCAGCCAACCTTGTTGTATCGGCCACCAGAGCTTGAATTTTGGGTCCGAGTCGTCGGGGACGCGCTGTGCCTGCTGGCCAATGAAGCAAGACGCCGCAGAATCCGGATCCTCTAGAGTCTCGATGTCCGTCCACTCAATCTGGAGCGGATCATTGTGCTGAGGAATGACCTCGGGCTCGGTACGGCGGTTGTAGTTGACGACCAACTCTTTGGAATTGGGGAGGACTTTCCGCTTATTGGCGCGCATGTCGATCTTCAGCTCGTTGCACATCTTCTGGTACTTTTTTGACCACTCCTCGCCATATTCCTGATCAACAGTCTTGGCTTCGAACTGCCGCCTCGGTAATGCTTCATACATCTCGGCTTCGGTCTGGGAAAACTTGGTGGCCAGTGCCATGGGTATCGTCTTAGGAAGCGCATCACTCGCAAACCCAATCCGCAAGTTCTGGCTCCCCGGATGTATTACTATTATTTTGGATGGATCGGCGAAGGTTGAAGGGGCAGCGCCATCTTCTACCTGGTCTTCCACAATAGGAAGGGGGACCTCCCCATTGGTGGTGTTGAGTGCTCGGTCGCGGTCTTTTGCTGTCTGAACAAGCCGGTCACGATTCGCCTCTCCTTGCAGTCGCAGAGATAAGATCTGATCATCGCGCTTCATATAATCACTGCCACAGCCGAATTAGTATGTGGAAACAGGGGCGGCAAAGGACCGTATCAGCCTCGTACGTATAGTAGTTCTTCTGATTAATGGGAGCGACATCGGGCCAATTTGTCTGTTTCATGCCATTATCGGTTCGCTCGAGTCCTGGAGCCGCAAGTCAATCGCGTCAGCATCAGCATCGTGATAGTGTAGAGCTAGGAATTGAATCAGGAATAAGTCGGCACCCACCTTCCCGAAGGAGGACGCGCTCGCTGACCTTCCCGACCATCTCGAAGAACAAAAGAACGAAGACTAAAATCCGTGGTGTGGTGCAACTAGTGAGTTTGGTTGTATAAAACCAAGTTGCTGGGAGGCGAAGTTGCAGAGCAACATTTGCAACCTTAAGCCAACAGTTCGTCTTTTTGGAATCACTCAACGACCGCCGCAGTTCTGGATCTATCCACAATGAATGAATGGACTAGTGCAACTCGCGGCTATAATCCCTGCACCCCACAGCCACACTAGCCAAGAGGGGTTAAGGCGTCTTCTTTTGAACGGACCAGGATGATTTTAAATCCGGTACACGTGACTCCAAATCAGGGGCCAGCATCATAGGTTTCAACGCCGTTCAGACTGACCGAGCTCCAACATCTGTGAAGCAACGCTTTTTAATTCAGATGAAATGCGGATTCGATCTATTTAGCGAATTTAGTCTTTTCTGGGTTGGGAGTGCCAACAGTTACGTTCCTTGGCCCTCTTAATGCGGTCTTTTGGAAACACAAGGACGAGGTAGTTGGCCGATTGTTGAAGTCAGGTGATAGTATGACGTAGGCACAGGCGGCAAGGTGTTACCTATCGTACAGCACACCTAGCAGAAGGAACATCCAAGAATATCATAAAAGCCTACCTACCTCTACCTACCTCCAGCACTGTCAACTCTAGCCCTAGTTTGCCTTAAGACCTACCTACTGAGGGTAATCGACCTTGGCTGTTAGATCCAGACCCAACTTTGATCCCTTATTGTTACTCCCACAACATGCCCCCAATTCCAATCTACACTCAAAGCCCTATAAATGCTGCAAAGGCTTCCGGCGTGACGCCGCAGACTGCAGCCCAAGCAAACAACCCCCCGAATGCTAGACAGCCAGCAGCGGCTACCACGCCATCCAAAACTCAGCAAGGGTACCCAGCGGCGCGACCCGGAGCAGCACCATCCCTACCAGCACCGACTGGGACTGCCCAAGTTGGGCAGTATGTCTCCAAACAGCCTACACCAACCACCAAAGCTGAGATCCGTGGCCCGGCGCCCCCGCAACCGGGGGCTGTACCAATTCCTCCGGGATCCCAGAGCGGAGTACCTCCTCCTCCAAGAGCGACTGGAAACCCCAGTCTGCCCAGCAACCCTCTAGGATCATATGCCTCGACCCTTCCAACACCTCCACAAATGTCCATCCCGACACCCACTATACCTTTCTCGCAGCGAGGCACCTCGACAGATTACCCCTCTGGCCCTAGCTACTCGGCTAGGGGCTTCGAGCAAGCTGGAGCGCAACCCCATCTCGGAAACCCTTCTGGCCCTAGCTACTCAGCTGGGGGCTTCGAACAATCTGGAGCCCAATCTCATCGCGCCAACAGTCTTGCAAACCCTCCTGGGTACCAACAATATGTCAGTGCCTCAGAGGTCAATGGTGATCAGAGGGCAGGATATGATTCTCTTGGCTTCTCCGGTAGAGGTAGTACTGGTCCTGATGAAGATGAGGAAGGGGTGTGGGACTCGGCCAAAAAATGGGCTCAAACAGCAGGAGGGAAGCTCTCAGCAGCCGAGAACGAGGTATGGCGGAGGATCAACAAGGGCTAGGAGAGCTGGAAGGGAACACCAGGACTACCCCCCAGGTAAGTCCAGCCGTGGGCTTTCCTGCGGATGGGTTTCTCCGGAACCAGATGCGATGACCCCCATAGGTGTGTTATTCGACGGGTGGAAAGTTGTGGAAAGCTGCGGGAAGTTGGTCCTCGCCTTCGGAAGGGTCACGAGGCAGCGTGGCCACGTTCAATATCAAACAACGGATGGGTCTGATAAGATGCCCAGCGATCCCATATAATTAAAAAAGTTGTTAGCTCGTATCGCTCGCTTATCGACACGGAATTCGTCAGCCTTGAGCCTGCGAGGTCCGGAACCAGGCCGCGTGCCTCACCAACGATGAGGGTTGGCAAACCGCCCTTTGAGTCCCCAGAGTGCTCCGCCAGGTGGCAGTGGTGGGGAAGGATCGCGTCATCATTGGTTTAGTGATCTTCATAAGAGCCGAAATATTGACCGCGGTGACGGCTAAAAACGAGATAATTTCCCAAAAGAGCGGACGTTGTCATGCGTAGGAACTAGGCAGACCCATGCTACGGGTTCCCCGAAAGGGCCCCACAGAACAACTCATCGAAACCGTGGAAGCAAATCTATCTCGCGCCCAAGCAGGGAATGAATGGATAGGTATCCCCTTTGATCGCACCTGGCCCACAGCGTGGAATTATGGCGGTGTCATCTGGAACTCATCAAAGTCTCAGAGGCTGTCTGTCTACGAAGGACATCCGGGCACCTAGTCGACGCAGAACGAGGCTTGAACGAACGTTGCTTCACCGGCGGCAGGCTGACAATCCCCCAGTTTCTGTCATGGCACACAAAAACCGCGGGTGAGATGCAGCTGCAGGTACGGCCACATCACCGCGGAGCGGGGAGACTTAGGCGGGTCACACGACGAAGAGCCAAATTTATTGCCACACTTGGCCCTTAGGACACGGCATTATCATACTACGGCCAGACTAAGAGGCTATATCTTTGTCGAGATATGGCGAGGAAGCGCCACACTCATCGTAGAGACACACCAGAGTGAGCAATGAGAACCAGCGATGTGGCAAGCATACATGGTAAACTACTTGCTGACGGCCGGTCGAGCGGGTGACACGTCCGGCGGAATGGGTTTCTCAACCGCTCGTTTCTCGGCTACAGGGGAAATCCAGAGACTTGATGAGGTGTGGCAGTTAGCGGATCGCGTATTTGGGGCATGGAGTAGGGAGGATACGCCTGCAAAAACACCAAGAACCGAGTGCAGCAGGAGAAACAATATTTCACTGTGTTTTCTGCCTGTGCAGGCGCGTTAAACCACCGAGCTGTCGAGAGCGCAAACTTTGCCAAGAAATAATGGGCAGAGAAAGGTCCTGTCAGGAGCTAGACATGGTTCGATATCCGACTGGATCACCAACACATCGTATCACGTCTCTTACAAAACCAGATGCTTGTGGGCGCTGGAAGTGGCCCAGCGGTGCCAGCAAACGATGAGGATCCAGAGAGTTTGGAGACTTGCAGTTGGGTGGGCAACCCGAGGGGCTGAGGGAGGGGTTGAAGCGAGACGAGAGTGGGGTGCTCTGCGACAGATCTGACACAGACGAACCCCTGTCGAGCCCCTCCTAAACCTTGCAGAGGTCCATCTAAATCCCTGTCCCTCTCATCACTTTGGGGGCCCCGGCGAATCCCAACGCTCCCCGCGCCCGCAGCGGACCCGCAGCCGCCCTGCAGCCGCTTACCTCATCGTCAAATCAAAGCGCGCTGTCCGACAACCTAAAAGTCAACCTCAAACGACCTGCCCCGTGCTGAGCACAACTTCTTCAACGACACCTGTTTCTCGTGGTGCTAATTTCAGCTATACCCGCAGCCTTTCCATATTCCCTACCTCTCAAGGCCACGATCCTTCTTCTGGCTCTTGTATCTACTCACCTGTTTGCAGCTGACATGTACTTGCAGCTAGAGAAGGTCTCGCTTGTCCTCGCTTGTCTTTGGTCCCCTCTCTTGGCATCCAGAGGAGCAGCAGGAGGAGCATCGTACATAACATACCCTTCATCTCGGTACCTACTGCTCGGCTGCTCCGAGAGGCAGCGTATCGTATCGTTGGCCTAGCTTCTCCTAGCTACCCTACTATTATCCACCCAGAGCATTCGTTCAGAGGACAATCCTCAGCAACGACCGGTTAAATCCCCTCCTCGCCGCCACGCCACGGGAGTATGTAGTAGGTTTCCTAAATCGCAGACCCTAGGCAAACTACGGGCTGTGCGTTGCCAACGTGTGGGGAACCAAGGCCCTCGGGAAAGACAGCAAGCATTCTTGGCCGAAAATCCCACCGGTGCGCGGTCCCTGATCTCAAAACAGAACCCGACGTAAGATGTTCTTGCCAAACATGCTCGACCATGGTCTTCGCCGCAGGGCTTTGATTGGTCGTGGATAACTCTCAAGTTTACACCGTCGACAGCAGGTCCGGATGCGACTCAAAATAACCTACTGACAGATTTACGGTGCAGGTGGTTGTGCCAGGTTTGCCTCTGGGATTGACACTCCAGACACATATGTGTCATACCGTATACACGAAACTGAGGGTTTGTCTGTGGACCCCGGGTGTGTTTAACCCAGGTCTCTGTTTTGTTCTGGCCAGATTGGTTTCTATCTGCTCTACTGCCTCATCTTCTCCCTCAGCTTGCCCAGCCTGCCTCAGCCTACCAATCGTCGACCTTGGACTTGAGACAAACCTCCTCCTCGGTATCTCTTCCTCACGGCCCAGTCCAGGCCAACCCCAACAAGTGTTGCCTTTCGTCTGTGCGCTACATATTCGTAGTAAGCCATTTGCTAACTTTCCCACGTTGGCCTGGATTCCTCTTGTCTCACCCCCCTCCTCCCCGGTCCCCAGTTTTTTTCCACGAAGCGGACATGTAATCGACGGCGGAAACTGTTTTACCCTTGCTAGTTTATTTCCAAAAACAGATGCTCCCTGGGGGGCAGTCCCAGGCCCTTCGGCATCTCGCACCAACCCTCCCCCCCCCTTCCTCCTCCGGGCCATATCGCCGACGAACAGCTGCAACGCTGAGTACCCTGTCGTCTGCACCCTTGCATGTCCCTAGCAGGCCAAGCATATTCTCGCACACCCTCCCTTCCCAAGCCCACAGACACAGGTTAGGTTTGTATCAAGGAATCCGGCTTAGCTCCTACCGATGTTCCCGATCCCGGTCGTTCTGAACTATTAGCCCCTCCATGGATGTTGCCTCTTGTCAACATGTTCTCTTATACCTCCAGGGTCCGGCTACACCCCTCTTTCTGGCCTTCTTTTATTCCTCTTTTGCGTCGTCCCACTCTCGAGTCCACACTGATTGCGCAGCCCGTTGTTCCATTGCCAGTCACTCCTTTACCGGCCGGATCCTAATCCTGATACCGTTTTTTCCTTCCTTTTCCCAGATATAGACCTCTGGTCTATAATATACCAAACCTAGAGCTGGCTCTCTTGCCGTCCCGGACGCCAGTATTAGCAGCGATATCGTCCTAACGAGCTGCCCTGCGCAACTCCACACGTTCCTTTTCCAACTCCCGAAACTGACCGACGTTCATCGCCGTCGCCTCACACTAATAATACCCTTCCACATTCCTCGAACACACCTAGGCTTATCCCGCCGTTTCACACAAAGACCAGCGGGATTTCGACGACGAAGATCCCCCGACGCTCCTTTTTCCAACTACTTACGCAATAAGGCCCACAGCGCCTGTTCACTTGACCTTTGACCGGAGATATCCGCCCCCTTGACCTGGGCCTGGCCATTGCGCATGTTGTAATTCCACGTAAGTTGCAAGATCGCCGGAGCGCCTACGATGATACACGCATCGATACGAGTGGAGCCGCCACTCGGGCACTTTACCACACTGGCTCGTTTCCGTCCGTCGATTAATGCTAACCCTCAGCTTCTGGTTGACATAATAGATTAACCACACACTCCCTTGCAAATCGTCTGGTGGCCATGGACTCGAGCCAGGCACAGCTGTATGCCTCCCCCAGCCCTTGACATCCGTCGAACCAGGAACACACGACTTACACTGATATTATAGACGGCACCAAATACAGACACCTTCCTTTACCTTCAACCCTAACAACAAATTCAGAAGAGACGCCCCACCGCCTCAACCACCTCCCATGTCCGCCATGAATGGGGACGAGATGCCAGTCAAGACGGAGTCAATGGCGGGTCCTCAAGGAGTCTGGACGACGCCGGCCTCTCAAGGCTTGAGGCCACGGCCGGCAACCATCCACGAAGGCTTCTCATACTGCGTCGGCGAGGGATACGAGGGGTTGCCGTCGTGGGACTCTTCCACCTTATCCGTGCACCACCAAGCGCCAAATGACTCCATGTCGAGGCCCATATCCGTCCATCAGGACTTCTACCCGGCGACCACGATGGAGAGCAGCCAGCCGTCGGTTACAATGGGGGTCGACTCTAGGCTAACTGCCTTGGCAGATAACTGGCCACAGAAACCCTGCGATGAGAACCTGGACATGCACGCCCTTGATGCGGAGATGAACATTGGACAGGCATACACCACGGACGAGGCAATCCCCATCCTAGACTTGCGGTACCCCGGGGCTCCTATGGATGGCGACTCGCTTAACTTTGATGGCGGCCTCAACCCGCGCAGGATGTCAGGCTCCTCGTTCACCATGTCGACGTCTGGCGGTCTTTCTGACATGCCATCATACGAGGATTTTTCGGCTGCCCTTTCAGACGCCCCGTCTTTCAGCTCGGAATATCCGCCGCCGTCCAATCGTAATTCTATGATGTCTTCCACCCAGCTATCTCCAGTTGCGTCGCCACGCATGACTCCCCAGAGCAGATCTGAGCTCGTCAGAACCCAGAGCAGGGGGCGGGCCTCACCGTCTCCACGACCCGGGATGCGTGCTGCGCCGTACAGTGTTGAGGGCGCCAGGAACAAGAGGTGGTCCACGGGCTCCTATGGAACGACCCCGAACCGCCGGCCCTCGCCGTTCATCTACCATCACCCGCACGAGAGTTTCAACCCGCATGCCCGCATGTCATCTCGTCATTCGTCGCCTACCATCGCGCATAATCAGCTGCCCTTGAACTTTGGCAACCTACAAGCCGCACAGCAGCACCCGTACCTCCTCGGCAATGCTCCATCTCTCCACCGGAACAGCATGCTGATGCCGTCTCAATTACCGTCTCATGCCCTTCATCTCGAGGCTCATCAATTCGACGCGCCACCTCCGCTGCTCTCTCACGGTCTCTTCCGCATGCTCCAAAGCAACGCAGATCCTCACTCTTTGCACAGCCACTATACGGATCTCTCCGATCCCCCTGACTTGTATGCGTCCCTGCATGAGGAGCAGATCCCGCCGCCACCTGAGGACATGAACCCATCCGACCCAGACCTTGTACCTCACGAGCAGGAACTCAGATTCGATGGTGACCTCTACACTCCCAGGTGGGTGCGTGGCCACGGCAACAAGCGAGAGGGCTGGTGTGGCATTTGCAAGCCCGGCAGGTGGCTCGTCTTGAAAAACTCGGCTTTCTGGTATGACAAGAGCTTCACCCATGGCATTAGCGCTGCCACCGGCAATCCGTTCCAGGAGCCGCAGGAGACGAGGCGCATGGACGGCAATCCTGACGTCTGGGAGGGGCTATGCGGAAGTTGTAACGAATGGATCGCGCTCGTGAGCAGTAAGAAGAAGGGCACGACTTGGTTCAGGCATGCATACAAGGTGAGCCAGTCTCGTCTCGACGATATTATGCTTTTTTCTTTTTTTTACTTCTTCTTTTTTTGGGAAACCTATGCTGACGAGAACCACCACCTAGTGCCACACGCACCCAAAGATCAAGGATGCGCCAAAACGCCGACGAGAGAGCAGCCATACGCGGGCCTTGGCTGCATCGACTGTCGCAAAGCCAAAGACTGAACCGCAGGCGCCCCTGACCCCGCAGATGACTCCAGCTAGCATGTCGGCGGCAACCACCCCCACACCACAACAGCAACCGGTGCAGCCTCAACAGCAGCAGATGCAGCCTCAACAGCAGCAGATGCAGCCTCAACAGCAGCAGATGCAGCCTCAACAGCAGCAGATGCAGCCTCAACAGCAGCAGATGCAGCCTCAGCAACAACATATGCAGCCTCAGCAACAACATATGCAGCCTCAGCAACAACATATGCAGCCTCAGCAACAACAGCAGCAGATGCAGCAGCAGCACCAGCAGCAGCAGCAGCACCAGCAGCAGTTGCAGCAGCACCAGCAGATGCATCAGCAGCAGCAGCAGCAGCAGCATCAGCAGCAGCAGATGCATCAGCAGCAACAGCAGATGCAGCCTCAACAACTGCAGCAGCATCAGCAGCACCAGCAAGTGCAGCAGGTGCACCAGGCGCACCAGCACCAAAACCAGCACCAGATGCAGAACCAGCACCAGCAAATGCAGCAGCACCAGCAGCACCAGCAGATGCAACAGGTGCAACAGGTGCAGCACGTTCAACAGGAGCAACAGATGCAGCACATGCAGCACGTGCAACCGCCACCAATGCAACATCATCATCAGCAGCACGAGCAATCTCAACATCTACAGCCGCACATCCACATCCAAGTCCAATAGCCACCATAGCAACCTCAACCGAGAAAGACAATCAGCTCACTAGAAGACTTTTCGAACATGATTTGAGGTACCTCGGGTTTTAGGACTATGGTTCTCGGTCGCATGACGATGAAATTCCCATCCTATTTTCTTTATCTATAACCCCTTGGGGATCTGAGATGCATTACGAAATTTCCACACGGCCGACCAACGTGCGATGAAACCGGCGTTATTGGGGGGACGCGTTAGAAGGACGGGACATCTGAAGCTCAGAAAGTCAAAAGGGGGACGGGGGCATACCACGACCATCGGATTCTTTGGCACAAAATCTCAAAAATTTTACTTGCTGTACGGGAATCTCCTTTCCTCGCATGAATGAACCTCAGAAAAGTCACGAGCCTCCCCTTCATCTTCGTTGGAAGTCACGTCCATTTCTCTCTTTCCGTCCCTTCGTTTCTATGGCTGATAACAAGAATGTAATGAACCATCAAGGAGCCGGGCCAGTTTATGGGAAATGGCCGACCTTCTTGCTTTTATTTCCCTTTATATCCCTCTCCCATTGACTTCTTTTCGTCCGTACTTCCTTTCCTTTCTTTGCCCTTCTGCCTTTCTCCCGCCCATTCGTTTCTGCTCACTCTCTTCTCTCTATATGCGAACGTCACAAGCATTTCCCCTAATTTCAGATAGTTTATTGTTGGACCCGTTGATATACCCTTGGCGGAACGGAGGAAGGAAAGCCAGGAGGAGGCAATACTCCCGAAGGAAAATACAATTGCATAGCATGGCTTTGAGTTCCCTGGCGATGCGTGAATGAACGAATGAATCCCCACCCCCCTTTTTTGGGTGCCATTGCTCCCAGGCCGTTTCACGGTTCCCCATGTATGCTGTACGGTCAGGGAGTGGGTCGGCAAGCCACAGTCCAGACTTGCGCAGTCCGTGACCTACCGAGGTTACGGACAATTACCTACCAAGCCCTCAGCACTCTAAGCATGGGGAATATAGAGTAGAGAGTCTTGGGATTGTGGCAGACAGTACAGAGGTTAGCCGACCGTCTCGATCGCCATTCAGGGGTTGTGGTTGGGGTGGCTGTGCCGGCAGCACCGTGACGTAGATAATTCAGGGGCTGCGCAGATAGAAGACAGGGGAGTGGAGTGGAGCAGTGGCCCAACAGGCCCAAAGCCAGGATCTCTTCGTCTTGGCCGTTTACCAAAATCACGATCATCGTCCTAACTAGTGTAAGGCCTGGCTGGCTGGGAGCGGGGTTAGAGCTCTTCGCAATCGACTTCCCCTCCTTATCATCCCGATTTACGACAGATCTCCAGCCGGCATACAGGATGCAGTACATACATTGATGATTGACGTTATATCTGGCGAGCAAAACAGGTGGTCAACGGGGTTGATGGAAACAGGTCCATTTCAGGGGAAATGCGAACTACGTAGTCTTCGGGCTATTTTTGGCGCGATAGATATGTTTTATATCGACAGTCATGCTCAAGGATGCAGTTGAAGGAGTGGTGGGGGAAATAAACCGGGAAACGAGCTCCGGTTCCTCTCATTGGCAGCCATTATCGACGTGGGATGTGTAGTGTGTCCCAAAAACCGGGACTATCAAGTAACTATCGATGGGGGGGAGAGCAGATGGTGGCATCTCGCCATTTCCCCCCTTGCCTGCTTGCGGCTCAGAGCCGGATTCCAGGCGATGACGAGATCTTTGCGATATCAGGGAATGGGAGTGAGGACAGGGGTCTAAAGTGGTCGCAGATCAGTTCTTGATGGTGGAATTAATGCTCTCTCCTCGTTCATCCGCAGGTTAGCTTCGCAAGGTCTTCTCTCGACCGCAGCACTTTCGCCTTAAGAGGCAACGGGGGGTTTGAAGGAAGGGTGCTTATTTCGGTTGATCAGTTCGTGGATAGCGGATATGCAGGAGAGGGCATCGGAGGTGACGAATTGGGGAAGACGGCAATGCAGTGAGCAACTGGTGGGGATTGTTCCTAAATTTACTACTGTGGTAATCCCTGAGCGTTAAGGTATGTGCTCTGTACGGGGGATCCCGTAGGGGGGATTCCAGCCCCAAAGAGACAGCCAAACTGTTGGCCGACAATCCAAGGAGGAATGCCCAACCATCATACGTTTACATCCGTAACGCAGGAGGAGATAGATAAGGGTCAAGAATGGAGAATGTGAAGGGAGGGCAAGTTTGATGTTTTAGGGCAGCTGTTTCGCCAGGTCTCGTAGCGCTGTCAGCCAATCACGTCAGCAGGATCACACGTGCTGATCTGCAAGCCACCGCACATTTTCAGGCTGAGGTACAGGGGGGAGAGCCTCTCCGCCAGTCGTTGGACGGCGGCGAGGCAAGTGTCGAACGCTCTCTCTTGACGGAGGTAAGCTGCCAAGTCGGGAGGAAGGGAGCAGTGGAGATGACCTCCGCTGTCTGTGTCTGTGCCTTCTTACCTTACGTGCATAATACCTGGGTTGCTGATTGCGGGTCAGGGACCTTCGGAAGCAGACTGAGGAAGTCAGTCCCGGAAATTACTTTCCCAAACGAACCCTTCTGATGGTTCAACTTCTCCTTCAAAATTCCAACCTCGCATCCCTTCCATCCAGTGGGGAGTGGAGCCAATAGAATGGCCGCCAACAGGCTCTGTGGATACGAAGCTGGAGTTCGGATGGCAGCTTCATACCTGTGAAGTGGACGGCTTGAGCAAAAGTTCAACAAGCGGCTCCGCTTGACGCAGAACAAAAAGAGTCGGTAATCGGGAATTGATGGACGGACCCAAGCACATGGCCAAGGCTTTTGCCTCCGCCGCTACTGTATTCTAGGAACGGAGCTCCCGCATCCCATGCTGAACCTGCTCGTGTGCCCAGGGGTCTACATATAGGGATTCAAAGTTGGTCAGGACGGCGTCGGAACGATCGTTTTCGAGGGATGATGATGAGATTGGGCTAGACAAAATCCCGAGCTCAGCAGATCGTCTTCGCACCTTGACCGAGACATGCGCGTTGGCTGGGGAGAACAGGGAATCCTGGCGGTGGAAAGTTGCAAACCATTTGCAAACCATTGTGGGTTTGGATTGCAATGTACGTAATCTAGGTACAAGGTATCTCCAAGCGACTCGGGAGACTACCGCGGTATGGATGGGTCTCGGAAGGGAAAAGGAAGACATCGACATCAAAAACATAAATTGATCGGGACGAATTGCACAAGGGAGAACTTGAGACGATCGGCAAGTTCCCCAAGCTTTTTCCAAGAGGATGGCTGTGCGTGTAACAAGAGCCGCCTGCCTGGACGCCTGTACGCAGTAATGGGATGTCGGCCAACCACCGGGAGCTACCCACGGGAAGCGGAGGAGCCAGGCCTCGGGTTGGAGAGGGGCCGAAGGTAGTTTTTACGTTGTACAGACGTACTGTACGGATTACCGTATGTACATACATACATGCAAATGCACCGCAGGCAAGGCAGGCACTCCACTGCAGGATTTTGACTCATACTCTGCAGTAGCTTCGCCCACTGGCGAGAGCAGTCCTGCATATCCGTCTTTCGCGCCCACAACAGGACCAATGATCTCACCAGCCTTGGTTGCTCTGACAGCTTGACTTCCTCGCACCTCGACTTGAGATGAGAGCTTGGATGGCTGGCTGGCCGGTTGGACGCCTGGGATGGCTGGGTCCAATTTCCAATGCAGCGAGGTTCTGTGACACGCAGAAGCAGGTACAGCAGTAGTAGGTAAGTAATCATTAGCTAATTAGGTAGGCCCGTTGGCTACAAGATATAACCAATATCCGGGATCCAAGCTGGAGCCCGTCTCCAGCAAACTAGGCTGCCGGTCCATACCACAGCTCCGAATAGGTACTTTCGTGCGACCCTGAGCTTCTCCCTCTCCTGATGTTTCTTTCCAACAAAGCCTTGGAGAACTTCTCTGTGGTACAGCATCATCGGCAACACAGCTCAGACAGAAAACCGTCAATCCGCCCTCTTACCGAGTTGCCGTTCGTCGTCAAGCTGGCGGTTCCATGGTCCCCGCTGTCTAGCGAGCAGCTTTGCACAGACCCCTCTTGACTCGGACCAAAAAAATTACAAGCACCAGAAAGCTGTTGGCCTTCCTGCCCCAGGGATTGGCTGGCTTCCTGGCTCAGATATATTCCCCGTCCTCCCTCTCTTAATCCCCTTGTTGGGAACGGATATTGTCACGACTTGACGAGTTCCCTTTGCGTTTACCTCTTTTTGCCCCTCTTTCGGTTTGCTGTTTCTGTACGGTACCTGGTTTAGCTTCGTCCCCAACCCTTGTTCACCTACATGGACTAACATCTTGCCTGCTCTCTCCGCCGCCAGACTTTTGATGATTGCCTATATTTTTGCTGTCTGCGACCCTCGACGAAGCTTGTGTAATGAGCAATGATAACACGAGCCCCAAACTGCTTCGACTTGCGACATTGACGACGACTCCTGCTGCATCCTTTGTCTGACTGTCTTGACGGTATTCCTACTGGTATTTCGCCGCCAACTCTTGCCCTCTTCCTTAGGCGCCCCGACATCATTCCGATAATCTGTCGCTCTTCTTTCCTGCGAATGCCATGCTCCGGCTTGTTGATTGTGTCTCGTGAATTTGCACTGCTATGAGCGGCGATCAACTGGCTTCCAGGCAAGCCCAACTTACCCTAGTTCCTCGTCTTGTTTCGTCTATTTGCTGACCGTTCCGCTTGCCAGCTTTGGTGATCCAAACGCTCAGCCGCCCACGCCTAAACAGACCCCAACTTCTGCCATCTTCCCAAGCCCCGTATTTGAAACACCCAAGAACAACCGGTGCCACTTGGACGAGTCGAGCGGCTGGACTCCCCGTTTTGCCGAGGAATATTCCGTCTTCAACTCAACGCCGGGGAACCTGAGGGGCGAACGTGAACCGTCTGCTGAGTTTGGTTCATTGACGCCTTACCCACCGCCGTCCGCGGGCCAGAAGCGCCTGCTTTCCGCTGACGATATTGCTGCCGATATCGCAACCCATGGTGGTCACTTCTCGCCGAAACCCAATATCTCCTCCCTGTCCCCGGTTGATCCTCACCGGAGGCTGCCGTCCTCGGCCAACCCCTTAGCCGGCGGCTTCGAGGAGTGTGTAGCCAACGACGAGCGGCCGAGTCCTCAGGAACGGACGTCCAAGAAAGTTCGGCGTGGTACCATTGCGAAGCAGGGCCAAGGGCAAACCGCGACCCCTCCTCCCTCGACTCGGAAAGGGTCACGGAAGCTTGCTCCCAAGCTCGACATTAACACAATGCAGCATGCCCAGGGCTTCAGCCAGCCCGACTTCACCGACGCCGCCCAGCAGCCCAACATGGACACGTTCGTGACCACCCCTGGCGACATGTTCGGTTACCCGTTATCCGCCACCGCACCGGCATTCGCAGATCAACGCCCCTTCTGGGATCAAGATCCTGGCATAGCGGGAATGGACATGGACTTCGGTCCTGCGAGCGCGGACGTCTTCCAACCCCCAACTCCAGGAGGTCATGGACCGATGGGCTCCATCGATTGGAGCAGAGCGAACCAGATTTTCCCGGAACCCGGTGTCGTCCCACAGCACAATCAAGAGAATGCACATCCCGCTAGGAGAGAGCGCCTCATTGCGGCCAAGGCCTCGATGCGTCTCGACACCTCGTCTGCTGATCAGTCAATGTTCGTTGGCACTTACCCTACCCCCATAGATGACCCCTTTGGGATTGTTGGCAACAGCGGAGGCGTCGATCCCGGCCTTCTATTTAGTCGTCCGCCGTCCTCCAGTATGGACAACCCATTCAATCCTGTGGAGTTGCCTCCCTCCTCGTCCGCGCCACCAGCGCCGCAGTCGACGCAGCCGTCCCAGCCTGCGCCTGCGCCGGCTAGGATAAAAACACCCGCCGCTATTCGCCGGTCGATGAGCGTCAAGGAGCTAGGGTCAGGCAAAAGGACAGATCGGACAATTGTTAGCTCTCCCACGAGATCAACTAGCCGACCAGGGGGCTTATCTCGTAGCTTCAGCGAGACCCGGGGTAAAAAGCCAGTTGGACGAGCTTCATTGCCTACTCTTGCACCCGCCGCTCCACGCCCACAGGCCCAACTGTCGAGCAGTGCCGGCGTCGGCGCTAGTCGACCGGTAGTATCGCAACATAGCCGCGCTGGTGGAAGAAGCTCCCCGTTGAAGAGCCATCACCACCATCGTCTATCAAGTTTGTCGTCAATCCCGGAGACCCTTGGGGCCCGTGCAAGAACGCAAGCCAAGTTCACGATCGATGCCAACGGGAGGGCCCGTGTAGAGACAACGGTAATGGTGGATGAAGTGGCACCGCCAACGATAAGAACCAGACACAGTGCTCAACCACTGCTCCGCCATCCGCAGTGGAACTCGTCCGAAGATGACGACTCATCCTCGGAGGACGACGACCCAATCATCATCCCATCCAGGAACACCTCCTTCGCCCTCCCGGAACCACCGAAACCATCGAACACGCATCCATTTCACAGTTCGCAGCGTAGTATTAGTGATCTCAGCACAGCGTCGTATGGCAGTCTCCTCGGAGGATCGCCGGATGACGGCGAGAGCGAGGCAGAGACGGTTATGAATGAGGCAACACCAACAGGAAAGCCGGGCGATGCAGCCAGCGAGCTACGTAAGCTGCGAGAGAGCCGGCAAAAAATGGCCTGGTCGGCCAAGCAGAGACAGTTTGCCTCGTCCGGTCTTTCAACCGCTGCCTTTGTGGGCAGTTACTCGGAGCAGGATATCGTCTCCCCCACGACACTCACAAACTCGAGCCTCCCGACCCCGTCAACTGATTCGAGAAGCCATGGATTGAGGTGCGTTTGCAACAGGCTGGAAGTCGACCGTGATGGCAACGGCTTCATGGTGCAATGGTACGGAGTCCCCCACTGCCCCCCCCCCCCCCCTTCTCCCCCTATTGAACATTCACCTCGGTCTGAGTCGGTATCGGCAATACCTCACCCCGCAGACCCAAACAGCCCCCCGAAACACCTTCCAAGCTGACATGTGATTGTAGTGAATCGTGTGAGATGTGGCTTCATGGGAGATGTGTTAACATCACCAAGAGGACCCAGCCTTCGGTCTATATATGCGCGTTTTGCGCAAACACGCCGAACATGCGGGGCGGTCGAATTCGAGACAACGGGCGCGCGTTCGGAACAATGGGCCCTTCCGGGTCGGCGACGTCGCCGCTGGCGCACAAGTCGTTCAAATTCCGATGACGCTGCTGGGGTGACGGTCGACCGGGGCATCGAAGGTTTTGAATAGACAGGGGCGGCATACTTCTATACATGGCTCTGTACATCGACAATTTTGTCAGCAAGGGGGTTAGTCGCTGGAGTGCATCGCATGGACTCGTTTAGGGTGGGAAGACCGAAGAAGCCTTCCCGATAGATCATGTTCAACAGGGCACCAGCTATCTCCTCAGGGAGATAGTGAGAGCATAAATGATACCCTAATGTCAATTAATGGTATTTGAGAAAGATGTGAGCAATGAAGACATGCAATGAAGAATATGGTAGCTCGGGCTGCTTCCAACTGGGTTCGCCAGGCGCCAATGCATTCGAACGCAGACGCACAAACGATGTGTTGCACTGCTACAGGTCCAGCTTGACGGCCCCCTCGCGTCTGGGCTGGGACTATTACCCATCGAATTGTTCAGTCAACGACCAATCTCGGCCTATCGTGCCTTCCCTTCTCACACGATCAAGGACTAGAGGAGTAGACAGACTGGCATTGCCTTGGCATCTAGGAAGTGATCGTGCCTAAGGACGGGAGCTAACTCCTGATGAGGGTAAGGTGCCAGCAATACCTCTTCTTATAGACCTCAGGTGGCTGAGGCTGAGGCTGATATCTTGGTAAATACTGTGCCGACTTCGGAAGGTGGGGTAGGTCTGGAGATGCGGGGCAGATCACAACCTTTGATCAGCTTACTTTTACGCCCGTTCCATCTTCAAAGAGGGTGTAATTAAGCAATTGACCTGTTTCCTCGCTCCTTCCCAAGTTTCCCATTCTATTGAAGCAATGGCCACTCACAACATTGTCGTTTTTAGCGGTGACCACTGCGGGCCGGAGGTGAGTGCAGCTGAACCCCGAACTGATCTGCTCGACAGCAAGACGGACTTCTGATGTGCTCCTAGGTTGTGGTCTTCGGCGGCGACTCGATTCGCCCGCAAATACCCGCTATATGTGTTCCATGATGAATTGGACAACCGTCTCTAACAATTGAATCCAGGTCCTCAAGACAATTGAGGCAGCTCGGCCATCCGTGGGCAAGTTTAACCTGCAGGAACATCTGTTGGGTGGTGTAAGTCGAGACTTCCACTCCAGTTTAGAGAGCCTTCCCGGCCAAGCTTGGCAATGCCGGTGCAGGACCTCGCACAAACCACACATATTAACTCACTCTCCAGGCATCTATCGATGTGCACAATAGCGCCCTGACAGACGAGGCGCTCTCGGCCGCCAAGGCCGCCGACGCCGTCCTGCTCGGCGCCATCGGCGGGCCGGAATGGGGTCCCGACTCACCGGTGCGGCCGAACAGGGGATCCTGAAGCTGCGCAAGGAGCTCGGCACGTACAGCAACCTGCGGGCCGTGCAACTTCGCGAGCGACTGGCTGGTGGACAGCTCGCCGCTCAAGGTCGAGATCTGCCGCGGCACCGACTTCGTCGTCGTGCGCGAGCTGACGGGCGGCATCTCCTTTGGCGAGAGCAAGCGACGGGAGCGGGTTCGCCTACGACACGGAGCCGTACAGCCGGCCCGAGATTGAGCGCATCGCGCGCCTGGCCGGCTTCCTGGCCCTCGCCCGCGACCCGCCGGCCAAGGTGTGGAGCCTGGACAAGGCGAACTTGCTCGCCACCAGCCGGCTCTGGCGCAAGGTCGTCAACGAGGTCTTCCAGAACGAGTTCCCGCAGCTCGAGGTCGCGCACCAGCTCATCGACAGCGCCGCCATGATCATGATCAAGAACCCGACGGCGCTGAACGGCGTCGTCGTCACCAGCAACCTCTTCGGCGACATCATCAGCGACGAGGCGTCCGTCATCCCGGGGAGCATCGGCCTGCTTCCCAGCGCGAGTCTGGGGGGGGATCCCGGATGGGAAAAGCAAGTGCTGCAATGGCATCTACGAGCCGATCCACGGTGGGTTTTGTGGCTGTCCATTTCTTGCCCCTTATTGGAAGGGGGTTGTTGTTGTGCGGTTTGCTAATGGTACCAGGTTCTGCTCCCGACATCTCAGGAAAGGGAATTGCAAACCCCATTGGCACCATCCTTTCGGTCGCCATGATGCTCCGGTCTGAATCTGCCCAAGGAGGCCGCAGCGGTCGAGGCGGCCGTCAAGAGCGCCATCGATAATGGCGCCCGGACCAAGGACATGGGAGGGAACGTCAGCACTACGGCTATGGGCGAGGCCGTTGTGGCGGAACTGCAGAAGATTCTGAAGGCTTCTTCGTAGTGTAGAAACAATCCACCACGTTGTGCCGTGCAGGCAGTGGCATGCTCGACTGGCTGCCATGTGGATAGTTGATTTCACGTTGGCTACCGTGGGGAGTTTGTTTGGGTTAGGATGTGAGCTAGAGAAAAGTTCTTGATCCAACTTATATTTGAACTCTCGAGAAGCGACCTGTGTCCACCGTTTGCAAGAAATAGCCGGTGGGATATCGCCCTGAACCACTGGTCGTACCTTTCGTTGAAACCCTCTTCCCCTTTGAAGAACATCCATCCGTCTTGGTTCGGGCACATTGGGGACAGCACTCTTGTCTTGCCTAGATAAAACCTGCTTCCGATACTCCTGTGACGATTACTATTACACCCATTATACGACTAGAATTACCTCTAGGGAAATAAACGAGTTCCAGGCATCTAACAAGTATCAGTCATACTCACTTACTCTGCTGTACTGTACCTTCGCACATAAAAACCGGCCGCACATTAGAGTTGGCCAACTACCGGAGTAGGAGCCGGGGGGAGCAGATGGCAAGTGAACGGCCACGCCTCCACAACAATCCTGTCCTCGGCAGGCAGCCCCCACGCGCCCGTAGGCCGCGATTGCCCGAACGTTCCTCCTTCCTCACCCAAGCCTAGACCGGGGCGAATTTCGGCCCCGGCCGCGGCCCCAAAAAGGAACACGTCAAGCCGCTGGATCTCCTCGTCATCCCGGCCCTCCTGGACGACGCGGTCCAGCCTGCCGTCGGCGAACGCGATGCCGTGCCAGAGAAGGATGCCCAGCACGCGCGCCCGCGCCACCGCGTCGCCGGCCAGCAGCGGCAGCTCGGGGATCCCCGCCCGCAGCTCCTCCCAGAGGACGCTCCGCAGCTCCGCCGCACACGGGTAGTAGGCGAAGCGGCTGCTCGGCGGCGGGTACGGACCGTCAGCCCCCACCCCCGCCCCCGCCGCCAGCAACGCCTCGCCGAGGAGCTCCTCCGCGCCTGCGAGGCCCACCCCGAAGGGGAGGAATTCCGCCTCGGCCCAATCCAGCAGGCCGCACAGCGAGCCCGGCCGGCGGCGTCTGCTGGCGGCGGCGGTATCCCTTTCCTCGCCTTCCTCGTCCGCCGGCCCCTCCACCATAATGTTCCCCGGCACGACGTCGCCGTGCGTCAGCACCCACGGCAGGGCCTCGACCGCGTCCAGGCCGCTGAGCACGTCCTCCACGGCGGGCCGGAACCGCGCCGGCAGGCCGTCGCGCATCATCTCCAGGCGCCGGCGCAGCGAGCCGCCCACGCGGCCCCTGGCGGCGGCAGCGGAGGCCGGCGGGTGCGAGTCCAGGGAGGACCTCCAGCCCGCGCAGAGGAAGCGCGCAAAGCCCCGCACGAGGTTCTCCTGCCAGCGGTGCCGCTGCCGCTGCCGCTGGCGGCGGTGGGGGGAGGGGGAGGAAGAGGACCGGCCGGTTGGTGGGTCCGCGGCTGCGGCGGCGGCGCGGAACTCGGCGAGGGAGACGCCGGGGATGCGGGCCATGGAGTAGGCGTAGAGGGGGCAACGGCGGTCTCCGGGGACGACACCGAGGAACCGCGTGGCGGGCGCCAGGGCGCCATAGATGCGGCGGGCGGCGGCCGCGAGCTCGATGTCGAGCTGGTGGGCGGCCGGGCGGAACTGCACGATGGCGTCTTCATCGTCGTCGTCGTCGCCGTCGCACAGCAGCGTGTACGAGCAGTAGCCCTGCGTCGTGGCCTCGCGGATGTCCCGGGCGCCGCCGAGGTGTGCACGCGCGAAGGCGTGGCACTGGGCGCGGGCGGAGGGGGTGAGGCCGTGGCGGTGGAAGAAGGCGTCGATGGGGTCGGGGTTGTTGCCGGTGTCCATCTCAGGCCGGAGTCCCGTAGTGCCGGATCAGGGCTGGTGTGGGGTGCGGGGTCGGTTTATGAACGGAGCGGGCTGCCCAGCTGAACAGGTGAGATGCTGGTTTCAGATTTGGGTGATGGGATCTAGTGATGAAATGCCGTTCCTAGGGTTCGAGAGACACCCTCGCCGACGAGAGGAGTAGTCCATTTGTGGTTCTTCATCCCCCGTCTGTAAATCCCGCGCAGACGGCAGCTACAAAGCGTGGGGGCGGGGGAATTTGCTAACACCCCGCCAACGAGTTGGGGACAAAAATAGCCGTGACCCTCGGTGCTGGCTGTGATCTTTGCTAAACATGGATTCCGAGGGAGACAATTGTTCGCTGGTATCCGAATAAGATGCGGCAACTTTGTTAGACGGTTACACCCGACTTCTCGCGCCCACCGTAAAACCCTGATCCACCGCTTACATCATGGCCAACAGATATTGACTGATACAACCTAATTTAGGTTTGGTGCCGATACACTGAAGTGCGTTGTGGACGCCGAGGGAATGTTGACCAAGTATACGTTACATCGTCACCGTCCAAATCTGATCTCAACCTGGGAAGAGCATCGTGGTAGCTATCGGATGGCGAACAGCCTCTTTAGGATTGTCGAGGACAAGAGATCGTGAGAGACAACTAACACGGGAGAAAAGAGTTCGATATCTTGAATCATACTGCAAAGGACATTGCTGTTGACCATGCCTCACATTGATATCTACTTAGCCATAGCATTATCGAAGAGTCCATGGATTTGGTGGGGATGCGTTCGAACCGCCATAAGCCAGGCAGGCGATACGCCCAAAGACAACTCGAGGAAAACTGTATCAGCACCGAGGTAAAAGCCACAGGAACTTTCATGATTCCAAATAATCCTCTCGACCAGGAATAACTCTCGCCGAACTTGAGCCGCAGCCGGCGTTCCGGAGGTAAGGATGCCAAGTCTTACATAAGGAGAGCTTCCCTGGTAGCGCAGACTCTGGTTGGCGTTCTCCTGATGAAACACTGGTTCACCGCTAGGTTCACCGGTGGGGAGTGAAGGTGAGGCACTTAGGACCTATGCCCTACTAGTAAAGAACTGACTCGTAGGTTGCCGTAACAGGACGATGGCACTATCTGGCTATCCGCCTGTGAGTAAGCACGAGTCCAGAAAAGGCATCAACTGGCGAACGCGGGGTGAAGTTGGCAGGACATTATCTCCTACTATGCAGTAGTACTTTGTGAAAGCTGATCGCGGCCAAGACGAAAGACTAGCACATTTAGTTACTCGCGGCCATTCGAAGAACCCAATTCGTAACCAGATTTAGAGAGGACAGCCGAAAGTATCCTTTACGCAGTGCCCTGAGTACCTGGTTCCTGCTACCGTCGTAACTGGGCCGAGATGGGATATCTAGGGAGAAACGGAACGGAACTTTCCACTTTTCCCGGCCCTCCTGTTGCTTGGTAGACAGGATTTAGCTCCCCGAATCTGTAGCCCACGCCTCAACAGGATTGAAAATCGAAGTAAATGCAAGGTACCCTCGTGAATGTGCAGTGCGAAAAGCAGTAAGGGGGAACAAACAAAAGGAAAATGGAGAAACAAAAGTTGGCGGTGGGGTATCAACATGTGATGTTGCCTCACCATGACGGAAGAAGGAGGCTTAACTTGGCGGGACAAATGCCGTAAGCGTAACGCTAGTGCGATATCACCGGCGCTAAGATTTCTTAGTGGCCCAAGAAAACGAATAAGGTTGAAACAGGTTTCTTACCCCTGGCTTGCTTGTCTTGGCCAGCCCAGATCTCCTCCACGTCTTCCGCGATGCGAGTTGCACGCAGGTACTGCGAAGACGTGCAACGAGGCGCTACTGTGGCTGCAGCAATCCTGCATATTTGACTCTAGCTATGCTACAGGATTGGAGTAAACTCGAGCATCAATTTCCCAAGGGGACTTTATGGGACAGCACATCGGTGCGACTAGCTACACACGTAGCATTTACCTACCTATTATCATCACCAAGTGGCGTCAGCTCAGCCAGACAGGGGAAAACCCGCTGAGGTCAGTCGGGCATCTACACTCTAACGATTCCAACTCAGGTAATGCTGCTTTGCAACGTACGCACAACTAGCAGTTGGACCGATTCAGGGATCGGCCAACGCCGTCATCAGGTTGAGCTGGCTGACATCGGCCGTATTGGATGATCGGCCGTGAGCCAATCCGCTCGTATCCGGGCACTCTCGATGGTTGGCTGGACACCGACATGGTTCGACCGGCAGATCATGGCAGTTAGTCTTCCTGGGTGCACGAAGTTCTGGCGGAGAATTTCGATTCAGACCAGTCCACCAGTGGCTCCGCTCCCGCATCCGATGATCATTCATCCAGGCCGTCGTCCTGCCGGGGAGTTGCTTAGGTTACCTTCGATAATCCCGCGCCACCAAAGTCGACTAATATATGTAGTTGGGCCGAGGAAAAAAGGAAAAAGGAAAAGAAACAACTCACTTCCATTCCCCTGGCTAGTTCACAGTGTTCCCTGGAGCCAAAATACCGTGGCTTTTGTTCTGGCTTTGGAAAACAATGTCATGAAATGGAACAGCTGTCAACGCCCAAACGATGATGATGAGTCGGCAAAGTCGGATGATGGAGACTTGAAGAAACCTGGAAGGAATAGATATGCCCCCCAACATCCACATGAAGGAGGAGTCTACTTGGACGGCCGCCAAGAGCCAGCTGTGGCTACATCATCGCGCATGGGTTGTTGTTGCGCAGACTCGGGACAGCAAGCAAGTCCGGTGCCATTTCCCGGTTCTGATTCGCCGCCACTCTGGATCCATGCCAACCCGGCCACCGATTTACATCGGATTTGGCCCAGACCACGACAACATGGCCTGAGACATAGAGCAAAGCGAGACAAAACTTTTCCCGTATTAATCAAACAGTACATGATGCGGTCGTTCAGTGGTCCAGTTGCTTGGCCGATATGGGATACACCTTCGCTCCTGTACCTCACACTTTCGTCGAACAACAAGTTTCCTAAGTTGTTGCCCAACCACCCATGCTGAACCTCCAGCCTCCAAGCTATCCCCACCCACCCCGATCTGCCCAACGCTGGCCCCGATGCTCATGGTTCGCTTGACCACCACCATCTTTTAGCAATTGACTAGGTGCCTAGTCCCATGCAACCCAAGTGGGATTTGTGTCTCTCCACCCTCTTGTGTGTTTGTTGGACGGGCAGGCAAGGTGCGATATGACATCGGATCTCCACCTGCTCTCTGCCAACCGGCCTGTTTGTTGCCTTCCCAGACTCCCACCCACGGTACTAGTATAAACACTCCTCTCCCATTCCCCTCCCCCGATCCCCCCTCCCGCCCTCCTGCCATCTCAGTTCTATTGTCTCCCAGCCAACTTCTCCCCTAGCCTCCCCCTATACCGAGTAACTCCTTCGTTAAGGTTACTTTAAGAACCTCGATCAAACCCTTCGCTCTGTGGTTGAAGAACATCAAGCCCCTTTCGTTCAGGTCGCCAACATGAAGGCAGCTATCTCGCTTCTTGCCCTCGCCGCCTCGGCTGTGGCTCTCAATGTTCCCCGAGGGCACCCCCATGGAGGGAAGGAGACGACCACCCTGACCACCTATGAGACAGTGACCACATGCCCCGTCACAACCACCAAGACTAGCAATGGGTCGTGAGTACATATTGGTTACCCACTGGTTCCTGCTAGTGACTGAAGGGGTATCCTTACTGATCGGTCTTGTAGCACGTATGAGGTCACCCAGTTGACGACGTCCACCATCACCATCACCACTTGCTACGGCTGCGGTGGGGGACCAGCGACTGTTACTGTCCCGGGACCAACAAGCGTCGTGGGAACCACAACCGAGGTTGATGTGACCTATACCACCGTTTGCCCCGTTACGGAAACCGTCACTGGTGCTGGCAAGACGTATACGACCGAGTACACAACCACAAGCGTCGTATACACAAAGGTTCTGACGACTCTGTACGAGACCGTTCCAGGACCTGCGGTGACGCAGACTGAGGGAACTGTCGAGTACAGCACCATCACATCTCTCTGCCCAGTGACGGAAACCAAGACGGAGGGTGGTTCGACCATCTACGTTACCTGGACCTCGACGTCGTTGATCACCGTCGTGGTCCCCACCACCGTCGACGTCACCCAAGTTGGCCCTCCGGTGACGGAGACCGAAGGAGCTGTCGAGACATACACCACCACCTCTCTCTGCCCTGTGACGGAGACCAAGACGGTTGCGGGCTCGACGATCCACGTCACCTGGACCTCAACACAGGTGATCACCACCGTGAAGCCCGTCACCATCGATGTTACTGTCGGGTCGGGCGCTACCGTGACCGAGTATCCGACCGTCGTTGTGACCGAGAACGGGACTGTCGTTCAAACCCACACTGCCCCGCCAGGCACGGTTGTCGCCCCAACAACCGTCTCTGCCACTCCTGTGCCTTCAGTCGTTACTTCTGCTTCATCCTCTGCTCCTGTGCAGGTCACCAACGCCGCAAACCCCAACAAGGCTCCTGCCGCGGCCTTGCTTGCCGGTATCTTTGGTGTTCTTGCCCTTGTCTGAAGCACCCAAGGTCGATGTTCCTCCAACTGAGGATTACATATGACGACTGGGCCCCGGTGATGATGGGGTGTCAAGACTTCCAGGTCACCGGCGACGAACGATAACCAACTTGATGACGCTCATTGATGATACAAATGCGGATATACATAGATGGTCATATAGGGGGGAGCTAGGGTTAAACACGGGGGGGCTTTTCAGGATGGGTTTCATTTTCCGACATCTCATTCTCTAATTTATGCTGGCAACAGAAAAGGGGTTCTTAAAAAAAAACAAAAAGCCGGCGGTATAGGATGGCAAAGGAATGGGGAACGCATCAGGCTCACTCAATAGGAGAAGCCAAATCGTAGTAGCTAATCTTCGTGTACATAGTATTCTATCATGGAAACGGAATCTAGTTAATACAGTTTTTGGAACAGGGCTTAGGGCTTGAACCATGGGGATCGAAGGTGCAATTAACCAAGCAGCCCGGACGCCTGCCACAGGTAAATCCTGATCTAGGCACGACTAGAGTAACCCCGGAGCCGATGAGGGGATCCAACTGTGACTGAGAGGGGCCAGTATCGCCAAGTCGATATACGAGATCGGGATCAAGAAATGCGGACATTCTTCTCCGGGTGACACCCTGGGTTGAGTTGAAGGGTATGATGGCATCACAGCTCTGTCTAGGTGTATCCGTAGGTACCCACGCTATATACGTTAATTACGCAAGAAGGCACTACCCATACCGTCGCCCTATTTTCCAGCTGTAGCAAAAATGCACGCTCTCTGCTGTAGATGATCCATGCCTCGGCGCAAGACAACCGATGGGAACAGAAAACCAAAAACTGATGCAAGTTGCAAGAACCAACCGAAAAAAGTCAAAAACGCACCGTGCCACCTATGCAGTCGAAGTTGAGTATGCGCTCTGTCTAACAACCCTGCCCTAGCCCTTCTATATCCCGCCATGCATATAAGCCGTGTCTATTTGGGGGGGTGTTTGGGTATCAAATGCGTTTCTGCATGGTGTATAAAACTCCCAAAACAGTCGCTCGCCCGAACGTCTGTACCCTCCACACCGTCGGTTTGCCGCTACCGGTGGGCCCCTTTACCTCCTCGTTCCTCAACCCCGGTGCAGTGCAGCTCTTGGCTGCACAACGTGCTGGGGAGCAACTGACTCCCTCCATCTCTGAATTTATCGTCGCGACGGCTGCATGTGCTCCGCAAGTATTCAGCCTTGTCATGAGGCAGCCTTGATCTCTACCCCGCTCGCTTTCGCAGTGCCGTTTTCCGTGTCAGTCGGCAGCGGAATCGGGGAGCCTCGTGCTTGTGCGGTTAGGGCGAAGAGCTCCTTGAGCATGAGGTCCCGTGTCGTTCGCGTAAGCTCGTCGACGTCGGCAGCCGTGAGACCGGTCGTCGGAATGGGATCGAGCACTGGGGAAGCCGAGGTTAGCATACAGGTTGGGAAGAAAAACCAACACCTGACTGAGGTTGGATGTCTGCCACTGACCTTTAACAGGTATACTGCCCGACCCGAAGTGCAGATCCCGGACATACAGTACGTGGCTGTAGTTTGCAACGACGCATGGCACGATTGGAACCTGGGCCTGGACGGCAAGGTGAAATGCGCCCTTCTTAAAGGGGAGCAGCATCGGCTCCTTCGCGTAGCTCCTGGTGCCCTCGGGGAACATGTACACGCTCTGCTTCCGCGCAATGATCTCGTCGGCGGCGCCCTTCATGGCCTCCCTGGCATCCTTGGTGTTCTTGCGGTCGATGAAGATGCTCCCGCTCAGGGTCATGAACCAGCCGAGAAAAGGCGTCTTCTTCAGCGACGACTTGGCGGTCACGCTGCAGTACTTTGGGAACATGCAGCCCAGCATGAGCACGTCGAGCTCGGTCTGGTGGTTGCCGATGAAGACGGCGGGGCGGACGGTGTCGAGGTGGCCCTTGGGGTCGATCACGTCGAAGGTCACGCCGGTGGTCGTCGCCATGAGGTACTTGAAGCTGCGCCCCGTCGCCCACTGGGCGATCTGGACGTTGCCCGAGAGTCGGAGTACGATGGACGCCAGGACGCCGTAGAGGGCGGATATGATCAGCGAGATATACGACGCCAGCAGGCGAGCCACAAAGGCCGCCTTGGGCACGATGATGGAGACCATGTAGAATGCGACCGTCAGGGCGGTGTAGCCAGCCAGGAAGTAGACCAGGTAGTAGAGGAAGGCGGACATGCTGGCAATCCGTATCTGTGCCTTTGAACAATCTTGGATGGGTCAATAGGCAGCCAGACTCAGGATGGGTTGTCCTTGGAGCCTCTTTTGTAAACCATGCACCTCCAGCTTGTGAACAACGTTTAAGCCGTAGGGTCGTGTGGGGAGGTGGGTGACCTCGCCCGCCACTTTTTATTCGACGGCACTTGTCGTGGTGGGCCACGGCCGAAACTGGTGGGACCACGTGCCTACCGAAGTACCCATGTACACTACGATCAACGACGGGTATGCCGGTGCACGACCTCAACACATTTACACAGGGGGAAAGAATTCCTCTCGGTGGAAAGGTTATGGTGAACAGGCTCAAGGCTTATTAGGTAGGCAGTCAGTGGCTAGATGTCGAGTCAGGACTTAGCCTCCCTGAATGGGTACCTACACGGTAAGCTTCAGGAATCAGAGAAAGGGATTTCGCTCTGTGGAGCTAGGCTGGTATAGTAGGTACTCTGTAAGCCGTTTCTGATTCGCAGGTGCTGGTACTGGAAACCAGGTTAACCACCGGTATTATGGAGTTGTAGCTATCTTTGGACATTCAGCCTTTCGGGTGCAAATTGCAAGAAACCGAATTCCCGTTCGTTGCTATATCGCATTGACCTTGAAGCAATCCTGCAAGAGTTGTCGATTTGCAGCGTGGAGCTTCGGGGGCGCTGCCCATCACGTGTAACTCCTGCCCCGGTTTTGGCAGAGCCCTTGTCTGCTCTTTAGCCGCAGCTTGTATCTTGGATGCGACGAATCAAGGACATAAGACATTCCAAGCCAAGGGCATCTTCATGATAATCACCAACTTGGAGCTATCTGCTGGCGCCCCGGAGCTGGACATGGTTGTCAGCTGCCATACGTGTATGATGATCTAACCTCGATAATTGATTCCTCTTGTCCAGCAATGGCAGCCTCACGCCGCGGTCAGCCACCCCTTTCCGTCCGGCTTCCCCCGCAGCCTACCAGCCCGGCCCTGCTCCCTGACATGCCCCCCATCTCGGCGCTCTTTTTGATCGATTTCGATGTCAAGGCAGGCTATACTATCACCTGGAAGGAGGCCGTTCCCGGTGTTGAGCTGGAAGGGGTTGTCGAGTACAAGAGCCTTCCGTCTGGCTTACACACCGTCCCCGACGACCTCATCTACTTCGTCCACGAGGATGGCTATGCTGGACTGAGCGCATTCGTCAACACAAGGACAGAGGAAGAGGCAACTCGCCATGCGCGCATGATTGCTGTTGGCGTCTTGGTGCCACTCAGCTATGGCCGCCTTGGGAGAGCCTGGCGGCACTCGCAGGGTTTGAAGGATATGGCCAGGTAAGAACGCGTGTTCGGCGACGGCCATCAGGGAATGGAGCTAATATATATGTGCCTACGTATCTAGTAAGCTCGCGCTTGATGGCAAACAGACCCAGATACTTGAGCAGTATTGGGAGAAGAATGGCGCGCACGGCACCGTCTCGCCGCAGCCCTTGGATGACACCTCCTTACGCTCACCCTCTATCAGTTTCAAACCAACCCATCCTGGACTGGGAAAGAAACACTCCAGAAACCGGTCCGCTTCTGACGGAGCGGCTTTGATCCCCGCAGGTCACGGATTATCACCCTTCCATCCAGCTTGGAGTTTGACGAATTTGCTCGAAACGTTCGGCCCCTTGATCTTTCCTATATACCGAGCTGCGTTGTTGCGGAAGCGTATCTTGATATCCACCCATGCACCAGTGCATGAGGTCTGTAATTTTGGTACGTAAATTGTCTCCCGAGTCCAGCGTGACACCCGGCTGACCGCCTCGCGCAGTGTACGATATCTCAGTTCTGTCCAATATCCCCCTCCACGTGCTCGATATCCTCGACCCATCTGCGCCTGTCCAACGACTGAAGCCTCTTTTCACCATCGGAGTCCATGATATACCGTCTCTGCTTGAATATCAGTCCTCGTTGAGGAACTCTACTCCGAGCGAGGATGACGACGCAACCGCCGTAGAAGACGCCGGGGCAGGCTATATAGCCTGCACAACTGACAGCATTCTTGCCATAAAAGAAGATCTGTGGGACATGCTCATCGTTATGCCGCCGGAATACTCGTCGAATGCAAGGGACAAGGTCTGGCCGACCGTAGAATGCCCAAAGGGCGTTCCCGTCCGGGCCACACAGCGCGATCTCCGCAGGTTCCGGTCGCTTCAAGCAGGATTATCGCGGCTGGAGCCGCCCCCTTCCGCGGCTGGTGTCACCACAAGTCCTCGACCGGAAGTCCCTACCCAAACCTCGACAGAACTGAGGCGCTCAGCACTGTCACGACCGGCGGCAGAAACTAGCGAGAGTCTTGCTCCAGTCGGCGACGACGATGCGGACAAGATCGTCGAACCCTCGACCTGGGCAGCCCTGGCTTATAGCGGGTTCATGTGGTGGGCCAGCGCAGGTGAACAGCGCCTTGCCGAAGAGGCAGAGGAGGTCGCCCAAGACTCGGCCCTCCTGGCAGAACTCGGGCCGCGGAGGCCGTCAATGCAAGGGACGCCGAGCTTTGGGTCCGTCCTTGGGTCGGCCGGGATGTCCGACTCGGTGTCGTCGCTGACGGCGAGGCGGGTGGCCGGGGGCGGCGAAGGAGAGGACGAAGGCCACCCGCCGGCAGCTACCGAGCTGGCCATAATCGCGTACTTCCATAGGCTGACGACGCAGATGCTGTCGGTGCTCGCCGACGTCGTCGAGAGCTCGGACGAGGACGACATGCTGGGCGTTGATATCGCGGACGAGGAAGACGGAGGCGAGGAGATGGGGCTCCTCCTGGGCCGGGCCGGGCCCGATGATGACGACGCGCGCGGCCGCGTACGCGTCGGAAGTGATGTGCTTGCGCACATGGGCCTGGACGTGTGGAGCAACGCGGAAGCCGACTTCGTCCGGGACCTCACCGCGAGGTACTTTGCCCGGCGGGCCCACGTCCAGTGCAAGGGTGTCGAAGTCTGCGGCATGAGGGTTTGCTAAACGCTGCCCACCCCTGTCTATTGGGTTGGTGACATATGCGGATGAGGGCTGGGCTGCTTCTGCATACATACATTCTTGTTTGTGTGTCTGGGTTCATGTTGGCCGGCGTTACGGGAATGGGTCACACTGGCTATCAAATGGGGGCTTGCATCACTGTCGGGAATTCAAATTCATACTGGTTGTCGAATGCCAGCCTTGTGTCGGGGCTGGCATAACCATATATCTTTATATATATTTATGCTCGGACTTATTCACGCAACACGTTGGCGATTCTCTTTCCCTACCTGTTCTGGGAAGCGATTACTTTTCCCAGTGCTATGTACGAGTCAATTTGAACAACCAGTTGTTCTTGGGTTGTCCCGGGACTCACAACCTATATCGATACTAGCATGACATGAGTGGACGGCGAAGGATGTCAAGGAAATGATCAAGACCTTCGAAGGGAATCTCCTAGTCGATGCTATTGCTTTTCAACCTCACAGACACAAAACAGAGCCTGTGGTTGTCTAACCAATCCTCTCTTTGAACAACTGGAACCAGCCAGGGACCAGGGATCCATAACTGAAGAGGGTAATCACAAAGCATAGTGTCAGTTGGAGCAGAAGACCGGCGCCTCGAGCCGCAGAGCGCGACTACATTCAGTTTTCTGTATCAACCAAGGAAGCGAGGCGTGTTTGTCTGATGATGCAGGCGTAATGGCGCGTTGAATTCTTCGTTCATCTCCTACTACCGCGTGAATCGGCATGTGTACGCCAAGCTCTTCCTGCGGCAAAGAAGAGTATCACGGTTTTACGCCAGGACTTCCAGCTGCCGATCAGTTCGTATCACGCCGCCTGACAACAGCCAGCCCCTCTGTAAGTTAGGCAGTGACGTTGAGCTAGTACTGCCAGATCCCCAATGGAACCCTGGAAATGACGTAGAATTACGGATCTGTACGCGGCACGGGATCCTTCATCAGCTGTCATTTCCGCCCTGCCATATCAACCATCAAGAAGACCCTTTGTTGCCCAGCCAGTGAGGACTATGCCCATGGGATGACGTTGCAATAGTGAGGAGTCGGAGTAATCCTCGGGTCTTGGCTTGGGACGATATAGGTAAAGGATGTTGGTACAAAGGAGGTCGGTTTCTAAGTTGGTTGCTCATAGGTATTGTATTCTACTCCCTATAAAACAGTGGGATCACTCTCCTGGAAGGGCCAAGAGAACTAGGAAACTCAGTTTCTTGAAATTTGAACGAATTATCCACCGTTGGCAAAGACTCGTACCACATCACCCGCAATGAAGTGCCTTACTCTCGTCGTCGCTCTCGCCTTGGCCTGCATGTCGATGGCAACGCCCGTCGAGAAACGTGAAGTTGGCGGCGTAAGTAACCTTGATGACTCGGCCAATCCATGCCAAGCAGCCAGACTGACAACGGCGCCAGATTCTCATCTGCAACGGCCCCGAAGCCACCGGCAATTGCACGTACAGTGTCTACGAAATGGACAGGTGCTACAACATGACAGACCAGTTTTACCAGGACGCCGCCACGTTTGCCCCGGATGGAGAAGCGTTCTACTGTTACCCCTACATGTGAGTTGGATTGGGGTCGAGGACCCTTGCAATATTGCCTGGTAGTTCTAGACTGTAATGCTGACCCCACAACCAACGAACAGCATGCCATGCGGTGGTATCTGTACCTCCCCGACCGGATGCACGTTTGGAGCTGTGAGCTTCGACTACGTGAACAAGTATAACCTCAGTGAGATCGGCTGGGATCACTACATCGCGTCATTTGAGTGCCATCTCAACACGACTGACAGCGGCGTTGTTAATGGTTAAGGAGAAGTCGTGGGGCTTTTATTCAATTATTGCATGTTTGGAGGATGGAGCTCGGAGTTTTCTAGGCATCTTTCGGCGGCAGACCCCTCACTGCCATGACGCCAACTCTCGGCAATGGGCATGGCGGGGTCAGAATCAATTGACAAACAAACGGGAAAGGAGGGGGGCATCACAATTGGATAGAAGATGCAGATTTGTAAATTGACAAGGCAAATTACTTCTAACCACTTCCTTAACTAGCTGGTTGAAAAGACAAGAAAAAATCTAATAACATATACATTTCTATCGTTATCCCAACCACTCCGTAGCCTCCATTGACTTCCCTTGCAAACAATTACCATCCGTCACAATGGCATTCACAACCAAAGCCAAGATCGCCTCCTTCGGGGGCACGCTCTACAAGCTCTCCCACGCCTCCTCCTCGACTGGGACCGAGATGGCAGTGTCCGTGTACCTGCCCCCGCAGGCGACCAAGCAAGGGGCCAAGGTTCCCGTGCTGTTCTACCTCTCCGGCCTGACCTGCACGCCCGACAACTGCTCGGAGAAGGGCTTCTTCCAGCACGCGGCCTCGCAGCGCGGCCTCGCCATCGTCTACCCTGACACCTCCCCGCGGGGGCTCAACCTCCCCGGCGAGAAGGACAGCTGGGACTTTGGCGAGGGCGCGGGCTTCTACGTCGACGCGACGCAAGAGCCGTTCTCGGCGGGTTACAAGATGGAGAGCTACGTGTCCCGCGAGCTCCCCGCTGCGCTCTTCGGCGACGCCGAGTTCGGCCGCTTCCTCGACGGCGGCCGCGTCTCCATCACGGGCCACAGCATGGGCGGACACGGCGCCCTGACGCTCTACCTCAAGAACCCGGGGCAGTACCGGTCCGCCAGCGCGTTTGCGCCCATCTCGAACCCGGGCCTGTGTCCCTGGGGCGAGAAGGCGTTCAAGGGCTACCTCGGCGAGGACCGCGAGGAGTGGAAGAGGCACGACGCCACGGAGCTGGTAAAGGGGTGGAAGGGCGGCGACCTGAAGATGCTCGTCGATGTTGGGACGGGGGACAACTTCTACAAGCAGGGCCAGCTGCTGCCTGAGAACTTTGAGAAGGCCGTCAAGGAGGCTGGGCTGCAGGGGCTGGAGTTGAGGTACCAGGATGTGAGTCTACCCCCACCACCTCTTAACAACTTCAGGGACATGAGACTGACAGGAAAACCGCTGCAGGACTATGACCACTCGTACTTCTTCATGGCCTCGTTCAGCGACGATCACGTCAACCACGCGGCGAAGCACCTGGGTCTATAAAAGGAACGCTCCGATGTTATGTCCGTGTTGACTTTGTATGTAAGGTGAACAAAATATCATGTGCGAATAGCCTTCTGTGTGCAGATCGTTCAAGGTTGTCGGCCAGGGAGAGAGAATATACATACGGCGGCGTTTCACCCCAGGTCAACAGAAGTATTCAGCTCATCCTTCGTCAAGTTCATAGACTCATTTCCATCCTTTAAAACTCCTCATAGCGCCGGTAATGTGATGATATGAAGCAGCGGTGCGGGAAAAAGAACGTCGGCTGTGCTCCCCATCGTGGGAAAACGAACCCTCTCTCACTCTCAACTGACCCTCCTCTCTGCATCTGGGCTGTAACCATCCTTGCCTAGTTTGCTCCTCAATTCGAGATCTGCCTCCCTCCTGATGCGGATATAAGCAAGCTTTTCGAACCGGCTCAAGGCTCTCCACCAGTGCCGGCCGGCTTCGTGCTCTCCAATCCGTTCAAGTAGATCAGCGGTCTTGTTCCTGACGTCGCGGTCCTTATGGAACAGCCCGAGTGCGATGTAGAAAAGCCCGGCGTGGGATTCGGGGGCAACGGATAGGAGGAGGCAGATCTCGTCGTAGGAGTAGATATACTGGGAAAGGGCCGAGTATATTTCCTTGCTTTGCGCAGGTGATAAGCGCTGCGTCCGTAAACGGTCGTGCATATGGTGCAGGTCCATCCCTTTCAGGGGTCGAATTTGGTATAACTGGGCCACGTCCTGCGGATCCTAGATCAGTCCGGCTCTTCTTATGTAGGGGGGGTTCGGCTTACCTGAATGAAGCTGTAATAACTCCTCGTATTCCTCCAGCCCTCGATCCTTGTGACGTTTCCAGCAAGCTCTTTCGCCTTGGACACCTCGTCACACCAGACATATCCATGCCCGGATACCCCCCTAGTGCCGCTCTCGTACTCGTCGCTTCCGACATACAGGGCACTGGCGCCATAGACGCTCTCCTCAAACGCGGCCGCTATGCGAGTGAACTTGGTAACCCAGTCGCGCCACTTTGCTCGGATGACCCGTTCGCCGTGTCTCGCTGCGATGCTGCGTTGGATGTCTCCCATGAAAGCGTTGTCGCCCGTGAGATCGTTTGCAGCGGAGCTGCTTGAAGACGACCCGTTCACTAGGCCGGCGTAAGCGGGGTTTTGTTGTTGGAAGTAGACTAGGCCTTCAGTGATAGGAGCTGGGTCGATTTTGCTGCTGATCTTCACCCGTCCGCTGGGCAGATCACACAGGACGTCCCACCACTCCGGATGATGCTCAAAGGTGGGGTTTGTGACCCCCGCGATGAAGCCAGGAACCTTCAGGAGGTCGTCGATCTTCGTCAGGTCAGTGTATGGGAAGGCGTGCCTGGTGAACCCCCGCAATACACCCCCCGAAGCGAGGGCGCAAGCCGCAAGAACAGCTTCAGCAACCTCTCCGGAGGGCATGTTGTAGCCCAGGAAGATGACGCGCTTCTGGGTGAGTAGCGCATTGACGAGTACGATGATTGGGTGCGAATTGGCGCCGTTGGTGGTCAAATGAGGATGTAGCTGGAAAGCCTGTGGCGACCTCGTATGGGGCTCAGAGAAGTTCTGGATGAGCTTGATCAGGGAAAAATCGCCCACTGTCTCAGGCATGACTGCCACAGGGACCTTGATCGGGATGGGAATCCCCTTGTACATGACTTTGCTCTCAAACTCGTGGGTGTCTCTGGGGACGGAGTAAGTTGATTGCCCTTCGAAATGAGCTTTCGTTCCGGCTCTTGATATGCCTGGCGGCTTCGGTGGACTCCTGCTGGCATCGAACGGTTGGTCGGCTACGTTCTCTCCCCGGTCTTCCGCGATTCTCATTTGTATCATCTGCTCAAACTTCTCCACGAAGAGGTCCTTGTTAGCACTTGCTTGTAGCAAATGCCTCTCCAACAGACTAAGCTTGGGCATGAGTGAGAGATCCATGTCGTTGACGGCATCGTATAACATGGAGAGCGTCTCTAGAACGGGAGACTTGAAGTACTCCTCTAGGGCCAATAATAGAAGAGGCTAAGAGTGGTTAGTCACAGCACTGATTGAGGTGATGAGAACTTACAAACCTTGTATATGTGCAAAAATGGATGGCGTGTGCAGATGGCCATTGCTTTTACAACCGCGCCTCTTTTGACGGTCTTGTCCTGTTTGGTGTTTACCAGGTTGAGGACATAAATCAAAGGCGGCCCTTCGCCGCCCTCGGGCTCACTGTCACTAGACGAATCGTCGTCCCAGTCTTCGTCCTCGGAATCTCCACCGTCTTCATTGTCCTCGTCTTCGTCATCCGACTCGTGTATTATGCCCTTGGCGCGGTCCCGTTTCCGCCTCCTCCGTCTCCTTCGCTCGTCCTTGGCGTTCCGTTCCTCGTCTTCCTCCTCCTGGCTCGAGTCCTTGTGCAAGAAGAACATGGTCCAGTCTTGGTTCCGCACGTGGGTTTGGTCCGGCAACATCAGTTCGGCGAGCATATGCTCGTCTCCAGTGATTGCGACGGGATATTGGTGTTCCATCACTGGTCCCCGGTCGATATCGAAGGACGCTACCAATATATACTCGACATGATTCTCCGTGTTTCCGCGCGGGTACTGCGAGCGCAGCCGGCGAGGAGGATGCGCATCTGGATTATAGGGCCGCGAGGCACCATTCGACAGCGAACTATGCTGGGAAGAGACGCCGGTGCCGGTTGACGGCGTTTTGCTCTTAGAGCTCGGATCTGACGTGTGATCCGTCTCGGACATGATCGCGGGTTGGGAGTGGGGAGGCCGTTTCGATGGCCGCGAGTTTTGCGATATCTGCGATGCAGAGCGTGACGAGGAGAATATCGAGGGCTTATGGTTCTGGGCGCTCCGTGCTACTGTATCCGAAGCATTGGCGTACACTGCTGCTGTGGGTGTCTTGTTGTTCTTGCTGTTGCTGGTCGTCTGGGTCAGGAAGGGCAGCACCGTCTGGGCTGATGCCATTCCTTGATGTGCCCCAACTACCAAATTCTTGGGCTTGAGGATTCCTGTCGAGAGCTATCGTGTCTTGGAAAAGACGAAGATCTTCAAATTGTAGAGATGTTCTAGACCGCCCGTTTGTGTGATGCTGGGAAAGTGCTGGTCGGTTGGAGCTACAATACAACCAAGGTGGGTTGAAATTGACCGATCAAGAGCGCGGAGCACCGCTCAAGTGTTACACTTGGTTGGCAGCCGTTTCCGTCTCGAAAGAAGGTTAAAATTAGTGCTGAGGATCCCGAGAGGTATCCGTCCCGAAGAATAAGAGGCACCAAGAGAGAAGATGCCACAGCGCTCGCTGGGTCAGAAATGCGGAGCAAGTCCAGCTCGAGGTAGCAACTGGATCATCCTTGCGGGGCGTCAATGCGATGGTGGGAGGACGGTATACCGAGACATGATCTGCTGCGAGGCGTCTGTGACCTCCTGACAGGGGTTTGATCGCGGGTTTAAAAATGGTGGAGAGCGGGGTGTGTGGTGGGCAACCACTCACCACCCAGACTCGTACCGCCCAACTGCGAAATTGTGCCCTGGCCAACCCCTGGCGAACTTCCTGTAAACCTGAAACATTGGCAGGCGGCCAATCACAGACCTCTAATCAGCCCCAGATTAAACAAGCCACACACCCACGAGCCACAAGGCTGACGTTGCTGGGTGAGAACTGTTTACCTTCCGTGTTGGGAGGGGAATCGACAACTTACATGCTCGACCACAAGATATCCATCAGAACTCCACGAAACAGACCAGATCACTTTCAAGCGACATTTTTCAAGCTTTCCTATAGATCTGGGACACTCCATAGTTTACCGCTAGACACCCTATTCGAAACTCGGAATGGTATGTCACACAAAATCCCGAGGCCTGATGCCGAAGACCCAGAGGCCCAGTTAAATTTACAAGTTGCTGACTGTTATGATTTTGCAGACTACGCCAGCGAGCTACAAACCATCCCCGCTAGGATATGGCTCCCCTCGAAGTTCACCGTTCCGGAGAGCAGAATCGCCAGCCTCACCATCTCCCTTGAGACAGACCACACCATCAGCATCTCCCTTGAAAGCAGGGCAAGTGAACATTGGCTCTAGACTCGCTGATAGTTCCACCACTACGCCGACGATGGAGACACGGATTCCTAGGGGCAATCAATCGACGCCAGGTGCACACTCTTCCGCGCAGCGGAATTCTGCACCAGCGACAGCACACAAGGCAATGGGTAGCGGGAATGCTCTATCCCAATTGCAGCCATCACAGGTCCGAACATTACGAGAGGGGTTCCAAATTCTGGACAGAGATAGCGACGGCGTTGTAAATAGGGATGACGTTGCCGACATGCTTACCCAGCTTGGTACGACTCCGGTCGGACTCTCGTTTTCCAGTCGAGGCAAGGCTAACAGAATGTGACTACAGGACTACCCTCGAGCCAGTCAGACGTGTCAAAGTTCTTTCCACCTTCAGCTCCCCAAACGACGACACTTGCAGCCTTTCTTAATTCGGTGTCGACATCGCTGGCTGCTCTTTCGCCGAGTGTAGAGCTACTCTCGGCATTTTCAGCCTTTGATGATGACGATAGCGGCCAGGTGGACCTCGCTGAGCTTCGGGATGCGCTGCTGAACACTGCCCCTGAACCTGGAGAGAGAGCCTTGTCAGCTGCAGAGGTGGACAAAGTAATGGACGGTTTCACGGGCCGTAGAGCTTTCAGCAAAAGCAAGACGGCGATGCTTGGGAAGCGAGGGGAGGTTTTCAGGTACCAAGAGTTTGTGAACTCCATTGCTGGGAAAAACGGAGGGCCTGAGCAGGGATCGCCAGAGGACTCGGAAGAGCCATGAATAGGGGGGACCAAGGAGAGCTTGATGTGTCGAATACGATCTGCACGTGGTATGGGCGAAATGGAGTTCACACAGGTAGCTCAGGATGGGACCGAGCTTGGCGGCGGTTGGGCAAACTTATCTTACCTATTATTGAGATGGAACCGCAGCCTTGACTGGTCTTTGAAGTTTTGGGTTTGCGAGTTTCTCTGTTAACCCTTTAGAATGCCATCAAATCTACATACAAATAAGCAACCTTGACCTATGCGTACCTATGTCTATACCTATTACCCTCCTTATCTGCCCGTAGAGACAAGCGTAACATGAAATCGTGCTCGGTCAGCCTTGCAATTTCCGTTGTTGGCTCCGTGCCCCACAGAAGCTTCTCGAATTGACTGCAGGTTTGATATACCCTTTAATTCAATATTACCAAGTGGCAAGTTCTTCTGTGCTTAAACGGGGCTTCCAAGGGACAGGGGCCCCGGTCCCTGAGAGCTAGCGCAGCAAGTGACACTGGGCACCAAGGGACCTCCTGGGCAATTAATTAATAACCTAACAGGTACCGTCTCGATTGTCTACAACATCAACTAGCAGATAACTTTACCATTGGCTTTTTACCTCACAGATGGCTGCAAGCGCCAGGACGTAAACACCGAAGGCTGCATCTGGTTGACATGGCGACGCAGTGAAGTTGCAGCCAAAAAAAAACAGACGATAACTGGCTCTCGACGGAAGCCATTGGAAAGCTATGGGGTAATAGCAACAACTCGCTGGCAGTGTGATAGGTGTGGGGTGGGCGGCAGAACCGGCGTGCTCCCGAGCGCTGGCGTCAAGGCCGGCCCACTATTAGCCTCGCTGCAGACTCCTGCGATTGGGCGTTACAGGGAGGGAATAGCTTGCCTCCCCTTCACAAAAATTTGTGAAAAACACGCCCCAAACCCCCAGCCAGCTCATATTTCTTCGAATCGCAAGTCAGGACAGTCAAGAAGGTCCCTGATTTGCCTGGGGTCAGCTGTGTGATAAAACCGTTGTGGTTGGACTCTCTAAAACTATCTGTGCCTCCCATTGCTCTTTGCTCCATCACGACTTTCTCCTTCGGTTTCCCAAGTCAAAAAGTTACACCACGCTTCCCTGCTCCAAATTGCCGGCCTTTTTGTCGAACTTTTTTTTGCCCTTACAAGAGTCACTAAAAAGCGGGTAGCAAGAACCCACCTCCCGTTTGTTCATTCCTCAGGACAGATACTTGCTGTTCCCCAACTCGTTCCCGCCCACCCGGTACCCTCCACCTATTTTTGCCTCTATGCAGCGCCGGGAATACAACGCCTGACCTTGCAACAAAGTCACGGCCTGGCTTCAAAAAAAATTATAGCAGCCCGATTGCGGGAGTACCGCTTATAACAATTAGCAGGAATTCACTCGCGCTCTCATTCTATAGCCAATTCAATGAAGTTTTTTGCTTCTAAAAAGCCAACCAAAAAACACAACACAGCGGATGACGACGAAGACGACTATTTCCCATCACCCTCGTCGTCACCGACAAAGTCCCCAATCAAGTCCCCCGCAAAGTCACCCACCAAGAAACCTCCTCGCCCCGACTCTCCGTCATCGCGCGAGTCCAAGCCACGAACGCCGCGTTCTCTCGCGCGACAAGCTACTGACCCCGGGTCGTCGTCTTCCTCGCGGCGGAAAAAGATCGACCCTGACACGCATCCCTTAAACCTCCCACCTGAGCAGCGCAAGAGATTGTCTGCCCTCTCCGCCATGAGTGCCCGCAGCTCGATGGACATTGATAAGGAGTCTTCCAACGGGGGAAGCCCGTCCTCCTCTTCCCCGCAGTCACACCAGGCGGCCCAGTCGCCCCAGCCTGGCCCCCAGACTGCACCGCAGCCGGCACCAACCAATTCCTTCACCGTCCCCGTCACTAACGGCGTCAACGGTGCGAATGGACCGGCAAGCGCAGAGGACGGCGATGTCCCCGTGCCGCCGCCTCATAAATCTCAGCCATCCAGCCCTACGCAAACAGCTGCTGACGATGCCGAGACTTTTAAGAATGAGGGCAACAAGTTCTTCAAGGCCAAGGATTACACTCGGGCAATCGAGTTTTACACAAAGGGTAGGCCCGATTCCGTCGTTTTCGTGTGCTACTCGAGGTCATCTGTGCTAATATGCAACCAAATAGCTGTTGTGCTGCAACCCGACTCTGCGACGTACCTCGGCAATCGAGCAGCCGCATACATGTCGGCTGGCAGGTACGAGGACGCCCTAGAGGATTGCAAGAAAGCCGCAGGTTTGGATCCCCACAACTCTAAGATCCTCCTCAGATTGGCCCGCATCTACACCAGCCTGGGCCGGCCTGAGGAGGCAATCTCGACGTTCGGTCATATCCAACCACTTCCTTCGGCCAAGGACATGGCCCCGGCCAAGGAGATGCTGCAGCATCTGGCGGCCGCAAAGGGCGCTTTCCAGGACGGCAGAGGATCCTCTATGGTCCTATACGCTCTCGACAAGGCTGAGAGTCTTTTGGGAGTTGGGGCACTCAAACCCCGCAAGTGGCAGTTGATGCGCGGCGAGACTCTGCTGAAGATGGGCGACGCCAACTCGGTAGGGGAGTCTCAGAACATTTCCATGTCGCTCCTGCGCTCCAACAGCCAGGATCCCGAAGCATTGGTGCTGCGAGGGCGTGGTCTATATGCTCAAGGAGAAAACGACAAGGCCGTGCAGCATTTCAGAAAGGCACTCAGCCTTGATCCGGACTTTAAGGATGCCGTCAAGTGGCTAAGAATAGTCCAGAAGCTGGACCGCATGAAGGAGGAAGGGAACTCTCACTACAAGTCTGGGCAGTGGCAGGCAGCCATTGATAAATATGGCGCGGCTCTGGAGATCGACCCATCCAACAAGGGCACGAACTCCAAGATTCTGCAGAACAGAGCACTCTGCCGGATCAAGCTCAAGCTGTATGACGAGGCTATAGCAGATTGTGACCGGGCCATCAGTCTCGATCCAAACTACCTGAAGGCCCGCAAAACCAAAGCCAACGCACTTGGCCAGGCGGACAAGTGGGAGGATGCTGTTCGGGAATGGAAGGCCATTCAGGAGCTGGAGCCAGAGGACCGCTCCATCGCCAAAGAGATTAGAAAGGCCGAGCTCGAACTGAAGAAAGCTCAGCGGAAAGATTATTACAAGATTCTCGGAATCGAGAAGACGGCGGACGACAACGCTGTCAAGAAAGCGTATCGGAAGCTGGCCATTGTTCACCACCCGGACAAGAACCCTGGCAATCTGGAGGCAGAGGCGCGCTTCAAGGATATCAGTGAAGCCTACGAGACCTTGAGCGATCCTCAGTAAGTTATTTTCCCTTCTTTGTTCCACCCTCAGCTTCCTTCCCCCCACTGGCTAACAAATTACGACAGGAAGCGAGCTAGTTACGATAGCGGTGACGACCTCATGGACATGTCTGACATGTTCGGCGGTGGCGGAGGTATGGCTGGCGGCATCGATCCCGAGATCCTTTTCAGCATGATGGGCGGCGGCGGCGGCGGCGGCTTCGGGGGCGGCGGCTTCCCCAGTGGGGGGGGAGGCTTCCCTGGCGGCGGAGCCGGAGGCTTCCCGGGCGGCGGAGGCTTCTCGTTCCAGAACGGCCAGCAGCGGCAGCGCGGCGGATACCCCGGCAACTTCCAATTCTCATGACAATCCGATGAGGAGGTAGAGCAGGGATACAGCACCGGTCGCGAGAGCACTGGCCATGGCGCACCCGCCGCATCCGACGGCTCTCAGCCGTCCAGACGGCAATCCGAGAGGCCGGGAATGGACTGGTGGAGAGCCGAAGCTGCGAACACCAGGGAGAGACGGGTGGCACAGTTTCGGCGGATCGGGCTAGTGCTCCTTGCCGCCCTCGTGCTGCTTCCGCCACAACTCGTGGCATTGCTGGTGGTGGTGCTTGGAGCTGTATACATTTGCATTGTTGTGATCAGGGCTAGCATCCGGCCTCGAGATGTTTCATAGAAATCGGGCATCGGGATATAGATATGGACACTCAAACTAACTGGTCTCTTCCAGGCGTTGGATGAGATTGTTGAAACCACCGCATTTCCGGGATAGATGTCCATATCACTGTTCTCATCATTATTGCCATAGACCAGGAGGCGCCTAAGGGAACCTTAATTATAGGACTGCTTTGTTTTTTTCCCTTAATATACGGCGTCCACCCCGTGCCAGTAGGTTCGGATAGATCCCATTTTGATCTGATCAAGTGGCCGAGATTCCCAAGCCTCGCATCTCTCGGCAAACGCTGCAGTAAAAAAGACTCAAAGGGCAGATAACGCCTCCAGCTCCCCTATTTTTATTTTCTCCCCAATCAAAGTCAAATGCGCCATCTTGTCCCAAACTGGGCAATACTAAGGCGCCCCATGTCCGTTCTATGCTATCTCCCCGGGTATCTCATCAACATTCGTCATAGGGTGATCTGGGGGACCTGGGATTCTCAAGTGTCTGCCCGTCAGTCCGTCAGAGCGTCGACGTCAATGAGCCTTCTCATGTCGGCCCACTCGCGCTCAAACTCGCCTCTTCCGTGTTCGTCATCCGCGCCGGCGGCAAACCAGAACTCATCGCCGGGAACAACGGCCTCCATGTCGCCAACAACAACACTGGTTTGGTGGGGTGCGTGAGAAGATGGAAAGTCCTCCGCCGGGGCCACTTGACCCTCCTCCTCCTCCTCCTGTCCGTCATGGGCGTGCTTGACGTGGGTCCGGAGGTCGTGGTACCTGATGAACCGGGCTAGACACCCCGCCACCGAGCAGGGGATGTTCCGCTTAGCATCCGCGACGACGCCAGAGAGGGCCTCGATCAAGTCTTCGTCGTCGCCCGGCTGGGCGCCGCCTCCGACGGCGAGCGGCCTCGGCGGGCGGCGCCTCCCGAGGTGGACGAAGCGCACGTGCTCCTCGAGCTTCAGCTTGCTGATGAAGCCCTCGCCGCAGCCCTCCTCGAGCCAGTTCCAGTCGGCGATGTCGTGGGTCCCGAAGGTGTCGACCTCGCCGCACACGAACCGGAACCCCTCGTGGGCGGTGCGGACATGCGCCGCGAGGTTGTTCCGCTTGGTGAAGGTCTTGGGGCAGCCGGCCCACCCGCACGCGATGGTCTTGCGGTCCGACACCGTCGACCCGGAGTGATGCGTCTCGACGTGCCGCTCCAGCTGCGCCTGGCTCCCGCACCGGACGCTGCAGAACATGCAGTTGACGTGCTCGCGCCGCATGTGCGCCTGCAGCAGCGCCATGGTCGTGAATCCGACGCGGCCGGCGGGAACTGTGTCGTCGTCGTCGTCGCCGCCGCCGTCTCCCTCCGGGACCCGCTGCGTCCCGCACTCGTCGCACCAGAACCGCAGCTCGCCATGCTCGCGGTCGACGTGCCTCTTCAGCGCGCCGGCGGTGTCGAACCCGGCCGGGCAGGCGTCGTCAGGGCAGGCGTAGGCGGCCTGGCCCAGGTGCTCGGTCCGGACGTGGCGCTGCAGCGTCTGGTGCTTGCGGAAGCTCTGGTCGCAGGCGCCGTGGCCACGGCAGCGGTACCGCTCGGCGCCCTCATGCACGGCGGCGTGGCGGCGCAGGCGCGTCGCCGTCACGAACGCCTTGCCGCAGCCGGCCTCGGGGCAGGCGTACCGGCGCTCTTGGGTGTGCGAACCCTTGATGTGCTGCTTCAGGTGCTTCTCCTCCAGGTAGTCCTTTGTGCAGCCGCCGAAGGTGCACTTGAAGGGCCGGTCGTTGGTGTGCGAGCGGAGGTGCGCGGCGAGCCGGGCCGGCCGGTTGAATGTCTTGGGGCAGCTCGGGCACTTGATCGTCTTGAGATCCGAGGGGAACTTGCGCCGGGCATGGGGATTGGGCGAGCCCGCCGTGAGGGGGGTGGGGGAGGTTTCTGTTGGTAGGGCATTGGAGGCGCAGGAATTTTCGGTGCCCGAGTAGAGAGAGGACTTGTCGTCAGCGAAGAGGTCGGGATCTAGGATGTGATCTGCTAGTGGTGTGGAAAGTCAGTAGATGCTGGTGGGGTAGGATTGGAATTGAGAGCGACTCACCTTGCAATTGGATTGCATTTTTGCGTTGCCTTTTTGGAACAGGTTCTGGGTCGTCATCTTCTAGTTCCCTCTTCATTTTCGCAACCTGAGCGGAAGGGCATCGCCCAAGGCTGTCGTGTTTGTCAGTCGATTCTTCGAGTCTATCGAGGTTCACCGCCGAACTTTTTTTTTGTGCGTGTTGCAGCAGCCAGCTTATGTGGGCACGTGCACCGCCAAGGCCCATCACCTGCAGGGGTAGGAAGCACGAGCCCACCCACGGCTGACCAAGCTTCGAGATCTTATCAGCCTTGCAGCATCAATCCAAAATTTTGCATTGTTCTGAGATCGCCCCCCACGAAGGCTAGGTATTCAACAAGCAGGTCAAGCTTGCAACCACCCTCGCTCCTCACCATCTGATCACGACCGCTGCGGATTCCTCTACGTCTTTTAGCCCACCATGTCTGACTACGGCGACGAAGGCGGCGCTGAGCCGATGTACGTGTGCCACCGTCCAATTCGTCACCAACCTCAAGCTAACAGGAGCCAAGGGACGAGCCCGCCTTCGAGGAGGATGAGCTCCAGGACTACTATGATCCTGAGACAGTAGTCGAGGGCGAAGATGAAGGCGAGCCGCGGCCCGAGGACGACAACGCCGAAAACGACCACGTGATAGTGTCGGGCGACCCCAACGCCGTCGCGAACCAGGCCAAGGGGGGTGAGAAGTCCCACAGAGACAAGAGGGTCCCGAACGACCAGCGCATGACGACCCCGTTCATGACCAAGTACGAGAAGGCGCGCATTCTGGGCACGCGGGCGCTACAGATCAGGTAGGGACATACGGGAAAGAAACCGGCGGGCGTTTTGGGGCAGGCGGGCAAGACGCTGACGAGATCTCGCTACAGCATGAATGCCCCTGTGCTTGTCGACCTCGAGGGCGAGACCGATCCGCTCCAGATCGCCATCAAGGAGCTGCAGGAGAAAAAGATCCCTCTCATTGTCCGCCGATATTTGCCGGATGGATCGTCAGTCTTCTCCTCCCTCGTTGGCTTTTTTGAAAGGTACTAGAACTAACCCCCTCAAAGCTACGAGGACTGGACTTGCGAGGAACTTCTCCAATGAAAAGTCACTTGCACAGTAGTTAGGACGGGATCTGGGCGTGGGCTACTGGCAAATTGCCTGGACAATTATAGTCCCTCTTGTATGGTGGTAAGGGGGAAGGTAAAATGCATTAGCGATGGCGTTACGGATAACAACTTACAATGGATCTGGACATTTGACTTTGTATCTTGATGTACCTGGATGTCCTCGCCTACGGCCAGCATTTGTTCAGTCCTCCCCTCGCCCTCAATGGTCCCATGGGTTTCTCGTGGTTTCCGGCGCCGTTCAGGACTAGGACATTACGAACAATAGTCGGCGAAGCCGGTTTATGTTACGTCGACTTGCAATAGCGCGAGGGGCTGTTTGCACAGCCCGTTTATTGCACTGTTCCAGGGGTTCACGATTGTATCATAAGCTCGACTAGATTGGATTAGACGAGAATGATAGGAGGCTTCCCGTCTATACGGACAACGGTCTGATCGCGACTTGAACTCTTGAAAGTCTTCGATTTCCTCAACATTCAATACAACAAAGACTAGAGCGCCCTATGTCCAAAGATGTGCTCCAATTAGGTAGGAGCAGTCATGGTTAGGGGGGAGAGCTGATCTACCATCAGAACTTCTTCCACCAGATAAGTATGTGGCATGCCCAGTGGGATGACCGACTTCGGAAGAATAATGCTTCGAAAACGGGGGATACGAGCGCAGTGCAGAATTTCTATAGAAAAAAAAAGCCCGTTCAAACGCCACCCATAGCATCCTAGATAGATACAAAGCAAGTGCTATACGTACACCCAAATTCCACTAGTCTAATTTTCTGGCTCAGTGTCGGTGTTCGTGTCACTGGTGTCGTCAATCTCTTCCTCGGTGCCGCTCTCCTCGTCTGATTCCTCTTCATCCTTCTTCCGTGGCTTCGAAGGCGGTGCACCGCCCTTAGCGGCGTTCATAATCCCGGCCAGAGAGTCTATATACCAAGTTAGTTTTGCAGTCGTCAAAGGGGGGATCTGGGAAGATAAAAGACTAACCTTCTTCGGGCTCGCTAATCTCCTCCTCATCCGCCATCTGCGCAGCCTTGCTGGCCTCCTCAACTACTAGAGTAACCTCCATCTTGGTGTCAAAGCCCACATAACTATCGCATACGACGTGCATGACGAATGTGTAGTGGCCAGCCTGCGGCGGGGCCTGAAACTGCGCCTTGAGCGTCTGCATCGCGAACGTCGGCGTCTTGCCATCGGCCTCGAAGATGGGCCGATCAAACTGGGTGAAGGTAAATGGCGGGACGGCCATCTTCCCCTGCTTGGAGTCGGTCAAGAAGACGTGCCAGCGTGGGGAGTGATCGCGTGCGAAGTGCGGCACAAAGGCGAGCGGCGGGAAAATGGGGTCCTGATTTTCGGTCGACAGGATTGGCTTTCCCTTCTCATCCTTGCCGATCTGCTTTTTGGTCTTCCGGCCCAGAATTGCGTCGAGATCATCCTCAGCCGGGTCGACGTCCTCGAGATCGATCTCGTTGACTGCGGGGATGTTCTCGCTGCCAGGAGGGGCGAAGCGGCCCTTCACGACGAGGGTTACGAGCGAAGAAGGGATGATAAACCGTTCACCCGCAACCTTGAAGAAAGCCTTGGCAACACGGAGATAGGGGAGCTGCTTGGCGACGTTGACCGCTGCCTGGTACTGATCTTCCGACAGGCGGTCCTTGCCGACAGCGAGCTCTCGCCGCTTCGAATCTGGTTGGTCTAGGAACGCCTGCACGGTCATGCGGGTCCTGGAGTCTCCCTCGACAGCCTTGGCAATCGCTGCCGTGAAGTAGGGCAACTGGAGGAGGGGTGATGACTTTGGAGGCATGGCTTGAAGGAGCAGTTGGCTGGCGTAGTAGGAAGCGAGGATAGGGGCGGTATTGCCATAGGCCAGAGAGATCGCCGTGAAGGCTTTGGTGAGAGAGTGGGCAATGGGGCCGACCTCGTACTTCGTCCTCGTCAAGGCATCATCGTCCAGTTCAACGCGGCCGAGATATGCCCATAGTAGGGCGAGCGCCTTTCTCCGTGGGCCACTCTCGAGGTCCTCGAGCTTCTCCTTCTCTTTAACCGAGAGCCCCCCGACGAATGGCGATGTCTCTCCCTCTGCCAGGATCCTCGATTCTACCTTGGAGAGGCCAGAGTCGGCCCTATCTCCCTTGAAAACTTCCTCGTATTCCTTGCCCGAGCTAAGTGCGGTTATGACACCGCCCTCGTCGATATTGTCCTCGTACTGGCGGAAGAGACGGTTCGCGCTCTCCATCAGGACGCCTTCCTTGGACCGTCTCTGGGTACCATACCACCACGAGCCAACAAGGTACGGCAGCAACACTCCAAAGAGCAGGAAGTAGAGGAGGACGACGTATTTCCCATTTCCATCGGAAACCATCATCTTGGGCAGTGCAATAGCGATACTATAGCTCTGCTTGCCGTCCGGGTGGCCGTATTGGATATAGTTGTTCCGGACGTCCTCGTCGGTGAGTGCTTGGTAGGCTTTGGAGATCTCGACGTATCTCGAATTCATATCTTCCATAGTTTCGTTCTTGGCCGGGTCGGGCTTCACCTTGTCAGGGTGGAACTTGAGCGACAGCTTCCTGAAAATACTCTTGATCTCCTTCTCGGTGGCCGACTGCGAGCATCAACAACGTCAGCGATTGCTGCTCCAAACGCAAGCGAAGCGAAGGAGCCCCTGGAAATCGATCAGATATGCATACCTCGGAGAGTCCCAGGATATCGTAGGGATTCCACAGCTTTCGTGTCGGGACAGGTGTGACGTAGATCAAGTACATGGTATAGGCCATTATAGACCATCCGGCGACAACCATGAGGGCCAGCCATATCTTGCGATTCTTGCGCTTCTCCTGCTTGCGCTGGGCATCGACAAGGTCGCCATGCTTGGGACGGTAGTCGGTTTTTATGCGCGGGAAGGAAGCGGCGGGGTCGCGCGTGCGATTGACGAGGACATATGTGAGAGGAACTGTAACGAGTGAGGTGAGGGTGAAGGCGAAGAAAGGCCAGAGAGTGCCCTCCTCGTCGTACGAGTAGTCGGAGCTCATGATGGCTGCCGGATCAAAGAGCTATCGAGATGAGGATTCCGTCCCCGTTCAAGCTCGCTGGTAAGGACAGAAAAGCCTGGGAGAGAATGGCAAATATAGAGAAGAAAGCCCATTCAATACTCTAGTGCAAAAGGATCATGAGCACATCAGAGAACGATTCACATGGGGAGGCGAAACCACACAACAGCTGGTTTAGTATAAGGTTATGTGGCGACTGGGGGCTCATTCTAGCATTATCGGAACTCTCAAGTGAATCGTGGCCTCGAAATTTTGGACAGGGGGGAAATGCCGGACAAAGAGGACACGGACCACCCAGCCACCAATCAGACGTTCAGAACTTCGACTGTCTTCTCCCTCTGGCGTCGAGGCTAGGTTATTACAGCGGAAGATGGTTCCGATTTCTTCTTTGGTTGATATGAAGGTTATCTGCATCTGCTTGATACCTGACTACGCAACCTATGTACTGAGGAGCTGATGGGCTCGAGCTCGACCCTGGCTATCCTATGCTTGCGCCAAACCATTTATCTCCAAGCACCTTATGCAAATGCTATCTCGTCTCCAATATTTAGGTTACTGTACACGTTCCATACAAGTAAGTACATATAAGCACATTCTAATCAACTCGCCAGATATTCTCTCGTAAAACCCCTGTTCATCTCACTGGCTGTTGTTCTTCTGAGGCGGGTTCAGACGTCCCTTTCCGTCCTTCGCAAAGGCCTTCTGTCTCTCGGCGTAATCACGGATGACCAGCGAGCAGGTCGTATCGGCGCACAGCCTCCTCCGCCTCTGAACGGGCAGCTTCGTCGCGAACTCCAAGCCGCTGGCCCGCTCCACCGCCTCGACCGGCACCTCAAAGTCCGTCAGGGGCTTCTCGTTGGGGATGGGTGCGTTGGGCAGGACGAAGGCGCCCAGGGCCACATTGCCGCCGACGGTGCCGTCCTCGGCAAAGATGACCTTGTAGAAGTGAGTCGGCACCGCGACGTTCGGCGGGTTGCCGATGACCTCGTAGCGCACATACCACTTGTTGTCGGCCGGGTCGCGCTTCGGCAGGTACAGCGGGCCAGTGACGATGCGCACGCTCGGGTAGGTTTGGGTCAACCGGCGACAGAAGTCCTCAAAGTGCGCCCAGTAATCCCGGTTGAAGCCCTCGCCAACCTGCGGGCACATGTTGGTGAGGTAGAAGGTATCGTTCATGGCTGCCTGGCTCCACTTGCAATCCGCCGCAGGGACTTGATGGCCCCGGTCGTAGCCGGACCGGAAGTAGTCCTTGAGCTTCGCCCGAAACTTCTCCGGCACATCACTATCCTCAACGAACGTGCTGTGCTTGCGGTCGCCATCACGTATGGCGAGCGACGCAGGTGTTATGTGTTCGGCGACCCAGTGCGGGTTCTTCAGACGGCGGTCGAAGGACGAGACAAGGGCTTGGCGAGTCGCTAAGTCGGCGACGGGACCGGGGAAGCCATATTCGAAGAGGCCGGCCGGGTTCACGAGAGCGTTCGGGGCAAGTGCAGTGGTAGCAGTTTGGCTGCTGAAGACTTGAGAGCCTGGCACCGGAACGGGAGGTGCTACTGGCGTGGCTGAAGATGTGGTTGTCGTCGTGGTCCTTGTCTCGATTCTCTTCTCGGATCGCATCGAATACATAGCTGCTGTAGCTGCGGCACTGACTCCAGCGCTCACAGCTGCTATCACGGCAAAGGTGGTTTTCGACATCTTGGACGCCCTTCCTCCCAGTACCCGGCTTTTTATATCCCTCTAAAAAAAAAATTTAAATTTTGAGGCGGCATGTGCGGTGAGAAAGACCAGTCCACGAGGTTGAGCCGGGCTCCTCGTGGTTCGAGGGCGTGCCGTTGTTGTGTCTTGATTGCTGCCTGTCTCCAAATTTTCCGTGATCGCGCATCTGACATCTGCAATCAACCCTGATGCAGGGGCACCGATCCTGACCGGACCCCTGGAAAGGGCCCCACTTCAGCAGCCTCGCGGGCTGTGACACATGGGCAGCCCTGTCTTTCCAGCTGGTGTCACATTGGGACGAGCGAGGTCGTGATCCTCGCATTGCTGGCTGGCTTCTTGTTATTTTGCAAGTCACGGGTCGAAGCCAGACATCTTTGTAGCCGGTTGTACTGTGCGTACCAGGCCGATACGGTGTGCTATTAATTGGGAAGTTCAATTCCTTCAGCCCTGCCTCATGGACAAATGACAGACCGCCATTAGTAACGGCCCGTCCGACGCCTAGGGGTACGGGTAGTAAAGTGCACACTAAATTCGACAAACTTCGTCATTCAACATCGTCTTAGGGTTAGAGTTGGCAGGTCTACGTTTTTCAAGGAATCAACATGTGTATACGCCAACCTCTCCAGCGCCCATTTTGCACTCTATAAGTTAGAGAGGCAGGCGCAACATACCTGGGTACCTATCTTTTGAGCTTGGGGAAGTCAGCAAAGGGAATGACTAAAAGCGTAGGCTGACCACATCTGGCCAAAGAGGTTCTCAATTTGCCTCGCCACCTACATACCTAAGGCTCAGGTCCTTCACCGTTCCTTTATAACGAGCATAACCTGCTCCATATGTGCCAGGCAGGCTGCTATCCCTTGATAAGTGGCTATCGCAAGGCTTAGGCTCGAGCATCTCAGCGGCGCTGGGAGGAATACGCTTCTGCCACCAGTTGCATCATGGCCATCATGGCCTTGGCCGACGTGGACAATGACACTCGAGGGTGGATCATGTGCATCGTGAGTGGGATCGGTGAGTGACTCCTCCTATCAGTTCATCTCATAGCCACTCCAATGTTCTCCCCCCTCGTTAACCGCTGGTATTCTACGACTCTAGCCTGTATAGCCGGCACCACCATCATCTGCGTTGACTTGGTCGTACGCCTCATTCCGAGCCAAAAACATTTCCGCATACAGGATAGCAGTGCCTTCCTAGCGTGCTCCCTCAGCTTGAGCTTCGGCGTCATGGTGGGTAGTGTACCTCTGTCCCCCTTCGTGCCCCTTGCTGACCATCCCTATGCAGATTTTCTCGGCGCTGAACGGCATGCTGCCGTCCTCAATGGGCTATTTCGTCAACGGGGGGATCGAGAAGCAGAAGGCAGGTCTCATTATGATGAGCTGTTTTGTTGGCGGCTTTTTAGGGATCCAGGCTATCTCGAGAGTGCTTCACCGGTTCATGCCCTCACACGTGGTGGACTGCGACCACTCCCACGATGAGCCTGTCGACGAACACGGCGCCAATTCACACCATAGGCATCGATCTACCAAGAATAGTCGAGGTCGGCGGCACTCCATGGGCAAAGTGTCTCCTCCCCTACCTCCCATGACCGACATGAATGGATCTGTGACCGAGTCAACACCGTTGCTTCCCGCAGAAGCAGAGCGAAACGGACATCTGCGGCCTCAACTCCTGACAACTACGAGCGACGTTGCAAGCCATCCCCACGGTCCACTCAAGGACGCACGTAACCTCGCAGCGACGCAAAGCCGAACCTCTTCGATATCACAAGTCCAAAAGCGGGTCATGTCTTTCGTGAAAGATACCAAGGCGAACTGCGACAATCTGGGGCCTTGTTTTGGATACTCCGATCCCTGTGGGCAGGAATGCTTTAAGCACCTAGCTCTTCGCTCCCCAGCCAACCCTCGGGCTTCAACAATGATCCGCACTTCTACTGGAAGCCTTCGTCCGGGTCTTTTTGCTGCTATCCCCGAAGACGCCAACTATGACCCCCCCACGTCCCCCACCACTGCAGCTCACCGCGTTAGTCGTGTGCGATCTCGAAGCGCCATGCAAGTCGATTCTGACGAATGCCATTCCCCTGCGTGTGCTCATGTTGACATGGACTACCGGGATGACCATGATGACGCATCCGAGGACGAGTCCCAGACATCGGAAGACATTGAAGCACAGCACCACCACCACGTCCCAACCAATGCGTTCCTCTCCATCGGTCTTCAGACTGTCATAGCTCTTGCGCTGCACAAGTTCCCCGAGGGTTTCATCACCTATGCGACAAACCACGCAAGCCCGGCCCTCGGGTTCAACGTGTTCATGGCGCTCTTTGTGCACAATATCGCCGACGGATTCGCCATGGCTCTGCCCCTGTACATGGCCCTCGGCAGCCGGGTCAAGGCGATCTTCTGGTCATCGCTGCTGGGAGGGCTCAGCCAGCCCATAGGCGCAGCAATTGCCGTGTTGTGGTTCAAGCTCGCCAACAGATCGGATGTCGAGATCGACAATGTCGCGTATGCATGCATGTTTGCCGTGACGGCCGGCATCATGGCGAGCGTTGCGCTGCAGCTGTTTGTTGAGAGCTTGAGCCTCAATCATAACCGCAACTTGAATACCTTCTTTGCATTTCTGGGTATGACCATATTGGGTCTCAGCAATACCATCGTAGAGCACTAGGTTGGATTGGCAGCACGGCAGGATGTTTCTCTCTTTGTTCGGTTTTTGGCGTCTAGTATTTTTAGGCGGTTTATTACCAGATATCTCCGATTTCTGTTCTTTCTGATTAGCAGCGGCCGGTACAGCAGACAATGGTGCTATCGTAGTGGAATGTCCGGGATTTGTGTATTGACTGCAGCCCTGTAGTGCAGCTAAATATCAGTGTCGTTGCCGTCAGACTACGGCAGCCATGAGAAGATTCATGTTCATCCTATCCTCCGAATACTATTGCGAGACCCTACTCTACCCTGTGTTTCGTACTGCTTTTCTTCCCACCCTCTTCTCAATGGAATCTCACAGCATCTCACAGTGTGAACGGTTGGAGGGGGAAGGCGTACCCACTGGTCGGGCAGCCTCACAGTGGTGCGATGCTTCTCAGGCAGCAGCAGAGCATTTCACGGCAATGTTTCTCTTATGAGGCCTCCAATAGACGCCCCGGCCAATAGCAGAAATGCCGTAGTGGCTCATCGATAGTCTCTACCTGTCGACCGTCGACTCCTCCCTCTACCTAGGTCCAGGTCATGTGCTCTACGTCGCCCCTGCCTGTATCTGGATCCTTATTCTAAACCGCAAGCTGAGCCGTGGCTAGGTTCTCAACAGAGCTTTTGTAGCGTTTGAGCTTCTCCTCTACAATACCTCCGCCACCACAGAACCTCTCGACAATCTCAACGCTGCGGCCCATGTAGAGCTCGGCTCGCAGCATATCATCGAGCTCGTCCCAAACAGGCTTGAAGAACTCGGTGTTCTTGATCCGTGAAACGAGGTCATTTGGTTTACCCTATGATGAAAACAGCGTTAAGAGTTTGTGTGAAGATTGCATGTCTGCCTTTTGGGGAGAAAAAAAAAATTTGCATACCTCATGCTTGACAGCGTAACCCGCTTCGTGGGAGAGAACACGGATTTGCTCGTGGGCTCTAGTGGCGTGTTTAGTATCTTAGGCAGTGTAGTGTTAGGTAACCACTTACTCCTGTCTTGACTCTCCCTTGGCAACCAATTTCATGATGATCTGGAAGTGATGATTAGATTAGCAAAAATGGGCCTAAAGAGGTGAATGACGTATGAATTGAATGGCTTACACTCTCGGTTATCATGAACGGAAGTTCTTCTTGGACACGGCTCCGGATCCGCTGGGGATACACAACTAGTCCGTCCGTGACATTGTCCATGCCAAGGAGGATAGCATCGGCGAGGAGGAACATCTTTTTTTTTTTTTTTTTCACGTCAATGGAAGTCCCTAAAGTTGAAAGAAACATAACATCCCCTACCTCAGGTATGTCCATTCCTATCCGTATTAGCAACAAATCATAATTGAGCACCGTTATTAAACTTACGACGGATCGCACTGTCATCCAGAGTCCTTTCCATCTGGGCGACAAAAAATGTCAACAATGCAGATAGATGCATGGAATACAATGGACGAGGCACATACCCTGCCAAGTTGTCAGTCAGATCTAACCCCATTTATGTGCTCACTGTCTGGTCGCCGGAGACTAACCATTGGTCTGCGAAGGTGTTGGCAAAATTGAGAGGCTTGGACAAAAGAGCTCTCGAAAGACTGCAAATTCTTTCACAGCGCATCTGGGTTTGATCAGGTAGGTCAATACACTGAATTGTAGATTAGAAGGAGCAGGGGGGACAAACCGGGTTCCGCTTATAGGCCTATTTGAACAACCACTATGTGAGCATCTTGAATCCGGGCTGGGGGTTTTAACAGCGAGCGTACGAACCATTGCGGAAGAGCCAATTTGGCTGGTCTCAAATGGCTCTTCGATCTCCTTCCAATTTGCGAGCAGGCGGATGTCACCGCAAATCTTTTGAGCAGTCGAACCGAGCCCAGCTACAGCATTAGCTACCATCAAGTCGATTTTACGCGAGCTGTATCATGGTCACATGTTTAGCCCGTACTCATGTATGTGAAATGTCGAGTGATGACCTACTAGGTTTGCGATGAGACGGGCTAGGTATTGCTTGGCATTAGCTGATTGAAGAAGGTCGTCCGGCCCGTGTTTGAACTCACGTAGCAATCCTTGAAACCAGCTTTCTGGCAGAGCAGCTTATTGAGCTCGTCGCACTTGGCGGAGTCACCACCAAAACTATGGACGTCAGAATAAGCGTCTCTTATTAGTGGGAAAGAAAATCTCACATCTCTAGAAAGGAGGCTTGTGTTCCAGTAGTCCCTGGTTTCATTAGCCAAGACGTCTTTCTAAGCAGTTTTGAGCATACCTTGTGCACCCCGAAACTTGAGGTTTTCCCGAACTTGCTCGATGTTTTCAAGATCAAACTGCATGCTCTAGTTAAGATACTGCTGGTGTACTTGGACAGAATGGACATACCATCAGGTCTTGAGCCCATTGAGAAGCTACTCAGTGTTAGTATTGCGCACCCAGAATGTCGTTGCTGCTATCAATACATACCCCTCTTGCCTACAGATTGGACTGCCTGAGGTGAGTATTCGTTCATATCCACGGGTGGTAATGAACTAACGCTGAGCAGCTTGGAGATGGGTCCAGCTGAGGGTAGGCTCGGCTAAAAGGAAGAGAAGTTAGCTCCAGTCAGTGGAGGGGGCCATGAACGATGATTTGAGCACATATGCTTAGTTCAAAAAGCCGACTGACCTTTCCACTTCATGGCAAACTTGATCAAATTGTTCAACAACTTGGCAATTCTAGACAACAGTATATCCAAAGCGTCTCGCATGAGAATCAACTCTGTGTTGTCGGTCACTACAATGCTGTTAGCTCCCGATGGCTCTCAGCGACTATGTCTCTACCAACCAAAGCAGCTTGTTGCTCCGTAGTGGATAATGCCGGCGGCAGAAGGGGCAACGGCACTATAGGCATGAACATGCTAGCACGACGTTAGAAACCGTCATGTTTACGCAGGAGACAAGTGCAGTTGCTAGAATACTCACAGCCATGACGTCCTGTAGAACACTTAGTACTTCTGCTACCATAATGCTATTATATTTGAGCCAGAAAGGCTGGAGATATACTTACATGTCTGCGCTTCTTCTCCTCGATACGCGCCGTGTCAAAGTCTGCATCTGTCACTGTGAGATGCGCCTCCATCTCTGCCAGAGCATCGGCGGTAATGGTCTCGATTCCAAGCTCTTTCTGACTCTTAGCAAGGAAGAACCATAATTTACGCCACGTTGAGTGCCGTGAACGCTGGCTGAAAAGTTGCGACATTGCAGGGCTGCAGTAGCGCCCTGTCAAAGATGTCTGATACGTGTCGTACTGGCTCATCTTGCTCTGATTGTATTTTACCGTGTTATGTTGGCTTCTTTGCTTACGGTAGCAGAGTTTCGTACAGGTTGATTGAAATGTTCAAAAAATTCGACGAAAATCAAGACCTCAGTCACGTGAAACTTGACCATGCCGAGAACCCTTATCGGCAGCGCCGCCTTTATCGGGGCTCGAGCGGGATGGTGCGCACAGACCACCTGGTCAAACATGTAGGTGGCTTTGGATTCAGGAGTACGTACTTTCGCAGAAGAACTCCTTTCGCAGCGACACCCCGGTAGTTGTTCACCAAGCCAAGATAAACCTAGGTTCAATCAGCTCGTTACGAACCAATTCCCGGTTACCCACTTCTACCATGGCTTTTGGGCCGCGTCTTCCCCACAATCTTCAAAGCTGTCAGCGTCAACGGCCTAACGGCGCGAGCCAGAACAGGCCCACGGCGTGGGGAGGGCTAGGCCGGGTACGTAACCAGCGGATACGTTAGACATCTGTTTATCAGCACAGTAAATAAGTGGGCGTTCGGGACCTTGTGATGCAGTGCGGAGTGCGGAGCTTAACCGCCGAGTCGTTTTGGGAATTGGTGGCGGCTCGGCGGGCGGCTTCGGCCAGGAACCCGGAGGGTGCCATCCACTGCAACGGCACTAACCTGCAAGGCCCGCGGCAGCTGCATCTACTACGCAGTAGAGGCTGCTCCTGAGATTCGGGGCGCGGCCAATCAGGACCAGGTTTTTGTCATTCTTGTGTCCTTTTCCTCTCTCGTCTCTCCAGCCAGACGGAGCCACTCTCCGCGTCCGGACTTGCCGATCCGTTGGTTTGGCCCTGGGGAACCGGGTTGTGGTTAGCTTCAGCTAATACCAAGAGTCCCAACTTCTGCTTCTGTATGTCTGAGCGTGATGTGTACTGCACGAATACCTCGCTGTTGCGGCGCATCTTGGTGGTCGCTGTTGTCTCCAGCAGTCCTGTAGATGACGATCTTCACCTCAATACGGTGTTAACCTTTTGGAATGACTTGCAGGAAGTACACCCTCAGCCGTATCTGTCCTCGGCCGGGCCCATCCCTGGCGAGTTTATCGTGCTCTCCTGCGGGTTGCAAATCCTTGCCTCTCCCCCGGATGCTCTGTTGGGTTGAGTTACATCAAGGGGCGCGGAGACTAGTCTAGGCGGGCAGGACTATCCGACATTCCACCCCCCGGAGATTTTGCAAAGCCCCCGGGGGGCATCTATGTGGACTCTGACTGGGTCAACCCTGATTCCATCCGGGGCTCGTCTGGCCTTTTCATTTGGATGGCTAGGTTGCGAAGTTGTGGGGCAACGCGCTCGCGATGTTAAAGAATGCATCGCCACCCTGCCATGGCGACCGACTCCCTTCCTGTCACTCTCGCGACGTTGGTAGGCTTGGGCTTGTGGCTGAAATTTGAAAGCCATACAGCAAGATGAAGTCTTTCGCCCGGGTCTTCACCGCGCTGGCGGCCGTTGCGCCGTGTAAGTCATCGCCTCTCTTTCCCTCTCTTCCCCCTCGCTCTCTCTCCTATAGAGGTCGTTCGGGAGGCTAATATGCTTTCCCAGACTTGCCGTCATCTCTGGCGCAGAGTGGAACACCGGTGCAATACACGGACTCGGCCAGCGGTATCACCTTCGATACATGGCCGGTCCCGCAGACTTCTACCGTAGGAGGGATGACTTTTGGTGTCGCTCTCCCATCCAATGCCCTGACAGTCGACGCCACCGAGTTCATCGGATACCTGGTGAGTGATCCTCTTCCACGGCCAAGCCCGATTTTGCTAAACCGCCCCCTCAGCAATGCTCCTCCAAGGATGCGACCAACACCGGCTGGTGTGGTGTTTCGTTGGGAGGCCCAATGACCAACTCCCTTCTCCTGATGGCCTGGCCCCACGGCAATGACATCCTCACCTCCTTCCGCTATTCTCCGGGCTACGACATGCCGGAGCTCTACACCGGCAATGCCGTGCTGACCCAGATCTCGTCCACCATCAACGCGACCCACTACTCGTTGATCTTCAGATGCCAGAACTGCCTGAAGTGGACCCAGGGCGCCCAGAGCGGAGCCGCCTCCACGAGCTCGGGAATGCTGATCCTCGGATGGTCCCAGGCCTTCCCTCCACCGCGCAACCCCGAGTGCCCGAACGGCATCGACCTCGACCAACACGATAACGGACAGGGTATCTTCGGGGCCCAGCTCAACAAGGCGCCCAACCCGTCGTACACGGCATGGGCGGCCAAGGCCACCAAGACGGTCACGGGAACTTGCGGCACATCCGCGCCGACCACGACCTCTTCGGTCCCCGTCCCGACAGGAAAGGCCTACGACTACGTCGTGATTGGCGGTGGTGCCGGTGGTATCACCGTCGCCGATAAGCTCAGCGAGTCTGGCAAGAGCGTGCTGCTGATCGAGAAGGGTCCTCCATCGTCTGGCCGCTGGGGCGGTACCATGAAGCCCGACTGGCTCCAGGGCACCAACCTGACCCGGTTTGACGTCCCCGGCCTGTGCAACCAGATCTGGGTCGACTCTGGCGGGATTGCCTGCGGTGACACGGATCAGATGGAGGGCTGTGTTCTCGGTGGAGGCACGGCTGTGAATGCCGGTCTCTGGTGGAAGGTAAGGAAGAAACCCCGTCGGCGGAGATGAGAAACAGTCACTCCCCAGCTACCAAAAAGATCCTAGCTAACGATCCTCCTTTCCTACTTAGCCGTACACTCTTGACTGGGACTACGACTTCCCTGACGGCTGGAAGGCAAAGGACATGGCCGCGGCGACTTCCCGAGTCTTCTCGCGCATCCCGGGAACTGACACCCCATCCATGGACGGCAAGCGTTACCTGCAGGAAGGATTCAACGTCCTCACCAGCGGGTTCTCGGCTGCGGGGTGGAAATCCGTGGTAGCAAACAGCTCGCCAAACGAAAAGAACCGCACATACGCCCACACGCCCTACATGTTCTCGGGCGGAGAGCGGGGCGGGCCAATGGCGACCTACCTGGTCTCGGCCAGTGCCCGGTCCAACTTCAAGCTCTGGACGAACACGGCTGTGAAGCGGGTTATTCGCCAGGGGGGCCACATCACTGGCGTTGAGGTCGAGGCTTTCAAGAACGGCGGCTATGCTGGTATCGTCAACCTCACTCCCGTCACTGGTCGGGTTATTCTCTCGGCTGGTACCTTCGGGAGCGCGAAGATCCTGCTGAGAAGCGGTATTGGTCCCGCAGACCAGCTCCAGATTGTGAAACAGTCTGCGGATGGCCCGACAATGATCAACAACCAGTCGTGGATCCCGCTGCCGGTCGGCTATAACCTCATGGACCATCTCAACGTGGGTTTCCTTCTATAATATGATAAGATTCGATAAATCATCTAACCAGACTTGCAGACCGACACTGTCGTAACACACCCTGATGTTGTGTTCTATGACTTCTATCAAGCATGGACGAATCCCATTGTGGCGGATAAGAATGCTTATATGAGGAAGTCAACCCGTGGTACAGCCGAGTCTACTGCACAAGGCTAACAAGCAGACAGACGGCCGAAAGGGCATCTTGGCTCAAGCCGCTCCCAACATTGGGCCCATGTACGCAACTACCTCTTACCCAAAAGTCTTTCGTGACCACCCCCTAACAGCGACATAGGTTTTGGGAGGAAATCAAGGGGAAGGATGGGATTGTCCGGCAGTTGCAATGGACCGCCCGAGTCGAGGGCAGCCACGACATCGAGAACGGAAGTGAGTACCGTCCTACTAATTATCCTCCAGTCCCAGACAGAGAGAGTAAAGTCAGGCTGACATGAGATATTAGTTGCCATGACCATGAGCCAATACCTTGGCCGTGGCGCAACATCCCGGGGACGCATGACCATCACGGCAGGCCTTTCCACAATCGTCTCCGACCTCCCGTATCTCAAGGATGACAACGACAAGCAGGCCGTGGTCCAGGGCATCGTCAACCTCCAGAAGGCCTTGTCGAGCATCAAGGGCCTGACCTGGAAGTACCCAGACGCCAAAACAACCCCTCAGAAGTTTGTTGACGACGTGAGTACCTGAACCCATCCCCCTGCCTCTCCAACCCAACCTTTTTTCATATTTCCTTCATCCCCCCCCCCCCCCCCCCCCCCCGCCGTAGGAGACAAACGCTGACAGCCGACACCACGCAGATGACGGTGGGCTACTCCAATCGCCGCGCCAACCACTGGATGGGCACGAACAAGCTCGGTCCCGACGACGGACGCAACAACGGCGGCACCTCGGTGGTGGACCTCAACACGAGGGTCTACGGCACGGACAACCTGTTCGTCGTCGACGCCTCCGTGTTCCCGGGCATGCCGACGACGAACCCGTCGGCCTATATCGTCATCCTGGCCGAGCGGGCGAGCGAGCGCATCCTCGCCCTACCGCCCAACACCAATGCCCGCCGCTACGACCAGTGCGCCGGCCGCATATTCAACGGCCCCTTTACCTGCGAGCCGCCGTACACGTGCCAGTACCAGAATGAGTACTACTCGCAGTGCCTGTGAGGCAAAGATGGAAATGGTGCCGTCAGTTGGGGGCGCGTTTGGGCTTTTGGTTAACATCGTTGACCCCCCGTGAAGGCTGAGGTGGCCAGAAATGGTTTCGCTTAATTTCCTTTCGTCGTATATAGTTTGGAAACAGTATCGTATATATCCAGCTTTGTGTATGACACCGTAGGAGATGGCTTGCTGAAATAGGGCCGACCGACGTGACAAATATGTGACGAATGTGCTCATCAAAGGGTATCCCAAGATTGCGACAGAAACAAAGGACATCGGCAACATTGATGAGGTCTGCAGGCGTTCATGACGGCTTCAGACTTCATTAACGTTGTGGATGTCCTTTGTCTCTTTCGCAATCTTGGGATACCCTTTGATGAGAAGGGCGAAGCAGTCGTTGTGTTTTAACTTCTAGGCACTGGCTATATCAGGTTCTTCTTCGAAGGAAAGCGCAGCCTTGCCGCGCAAGTCCTGGTTCTGGTTTGTCTTGCCTAGAGGAAGAGGATAGGTGACGTTAATGATAGGCATTGTCACAAGGATTGAAGTACCTTAATGGGATTGATTGAGATGGTGGTGGTGGTGTTGGATGCAAGATGGAATTTCCGAGTGTTGTGTCTTGACTGGAGACTTTGTTTTGTATGGCTAGGCATTAGGGTTTACAGTGTGATACACCGGGTTCACGGCGTGACTCATCGGCGAGTTGCATTAAGTTTGAGGTTGAGTTTGAGCTTGCGCATACGGTTGCTGAGATTGAACTGGCAGCGGGTATCGCCAGATTGAGTTTTTACTGAGTACTGCTTGGACCCTGTCCAACGCAAATTAAATAATTCAACAAGTTTGTGCTCATTGCTTGATAGTGATAGTGTTGAATAGGGGTGGACCAGCAACCCCCCAAGGCCACACTCAATTCTTTACCTTCAGCATGATTCACCCTGAGAGCCATTGCGAGTCCTGCCATCTCTTCTATCATCTCACCGTCCTGGAATCAGATTAACGGAGACACAAGCCATGGTTCACAACGGTTTCCCGCCAACACAATTCATACAACACTTACACACTTATCTAACCTTGGTATGACCGACATGCGAAAACCTCGTATTGCTCCAGAAGAAAAAGTCTAGGCAAATCCCTGCCTGTCTAGGCAACGTTCTATCCCAAGCTACAGTAACTCCGTTAGCAGTCATTGCGCAAGGGCACTTGCACTTACGCATCCCAAACCCTACAACTATGCAACGAAAGGGGGAAGGGACACCAAAAGGAAGAGAGAGAGAAAAAAAGGGGGAAAACAACACGAGAGCAATCACTCACCTCACCTCTCTCCAAACCCATCCACCCGCTCAATCCTCCCGATACCAACCCCTCCACCCCGCCCTCCCCACCAGCTCCCTCTCCCTCCTCTGCCTCCTCTCAAGCACACAGCTAACCGAGTCCTCCGGCCCAATCCCATCCCCATCCCCATCCCCGTCCCGGTCATAATACCCCACCGGCAACCGCTCCGCCAGCGTCCCCGGCGACACAAGCGCATCCGCGGCCTCCAGGTCCCGCAGCAGGTCCGCGAACGGGTTTCTGTAGCCGGCCTGCGCCGTCGACGCCGACGACGACGATGTACCATCCACCGTCTCGGCAGACGGGTGTTCCCAGTTGCTCCTCCTTCCGCGCCGCGCGGAGGAGACCAGAGTCGATGGCGTCAGGGGCGAGACGGGCCGCCGCGGGGTGCGGGCGCCGATGCCCGGGGTGCTGGGCGGGGACGGCTCGGTGGGGCGCTGGGGCTGCGGCTGGGAGTCTGTCTGGGAGTAGACGCTGCTGCTGGCGGCGGCGGCGGCGCTCGTCCTCGAACCACCGCCATCGTGCGTCAACTGCCGGTGGCGAGCGTGAGCGGTATATTCGGCCGGCAGCGGCGGCACGGGGGGAGGCGCGCTGCCGCGTCCCCCCCGGGCCCGGGAGCGGCCGGCGTCGTCGCCGCCGTTCCCGCCCCCGCCCTCGTCGTAGTCCGTCGAGTGCACCGTCAGCGTCACCCAGCTCCGGCTGTCGCGGCTGGATTTGGCAGTCGCGGTGTCGCTGGCCCGGTTGCCCCGCTTGGCGATGTTCAGGGGCGCGGGGACGGCGGATTGGGTGTAGAAGGGCTCGAACATTGGCCGCGGCGCGTCGTGGCGCTCGTAGGGTTCGTTGTGGCGCTGGTAAGGCGAGCCATGTCTCTCGTACGGCTCCTCGTGGTTATCATCTTCGTCATCGTCGCTTGAGGCGTCGGTCGTGCAGTCCTGGAAATCGAAGGGGTTGGCCACAGACTCACTCTTCTGCTCTTCTTCCTCTTCCTCCTCCTCCTCCTCCTTCTCCAGGAATTCGAAGGGATTGACCGCAGGTTCCTGCATCTGCTGCTGCTGCTGCTGCTCCAGCCAATGCCGAGCCCCCAACGCAGCACCCGGCTCGAATTGGTTCTCCGGGTCAAGAGGATTCTCAGGCTCAAATGGGTGCTCAGCGTCACGGAAGAACTGCTCGTAGTAACCCTCGTTCCCATACACCTCAGTGTTAGAAGCAGCAGCGACCCTCGAGCACCGCACCTCAGGGCCCCCCTCATATTTCTCGGCCCTCATGTTCCGCCTAATGCCCGTCTGCGGGAGCGGCGACCCATCCGCCGTAGTCTTCAAGTTCGCCGGCCGACCGCCCCGATGGCTACTAGACTTGCCGGTGCGCTTCTTCCCCCCCTCGCGTCCAAGCCCCCCCTCCTGCTGCTGCTGTTTCTTCTTCTTCTTTTCCTTCCGCCGCTCGCTCATGACGCCGCGGATCCGCCGCAGCTCCCCCGCGAGCGCGTCGCTCTCGCCCACCATGGCATCGGCGTAGTCCCGGCCGAAGCACGCGATCCACGCGTCGACGAGGGCCAGCAGGCGAGGCCGGCCCCGCCTCGACCGCGCGAGCATGCTGGCGCGCAGGTAGACGAGCAGCTCTGCCCTCGCGCCGACGATGGCGAGGGCGCAGGCCGGGCACCCGGCCGGCGCGCGGGCGAGGCGGCAGTCGTCCGGCAGGTCGCCGTAGTGGTGGTCGAGGTCGGCGGGCGACAGGTGGAGGGCTGCGATGCCGCTGATCTTGTCGACGAAGCGGGCGACGTCGTCGGTGCACTCGCCGTCGCCGCCGCCGGCGGGGGGGAACCGGTTGCTGTACCCCCTGATGCGGTCCGTGTGCGTCGTGCACTCCCACTTGAGCTGGCCGAAGAGCCAGTGGATGAGCGCCGGGTCCAGCCCGGAGTGGGCGCAGCACAGCCGCGGCCGGAGGAGGTGCCTGTCCATGCTGAGGAAGGCCGCCAGCGAGGAGCCGTTGGTGCGGCGCAGGCCCAAGCGGGGCGGGAGCGCGGCGATCTGCTCCGCCTGGCCGGCGAGCCATTCGTGTGACGGTTTGTCGACGCCGTGGCGGGGTGGCCGGCAGAGGATCTCGGCGAGCCGGGTGACGGCGGCGGGAGGCAGCTCCGCCAGGGGGTTGGACGGATCCGAGTCCCTCCTTCTGCTGAAGAAGGGCATGGTATTAGAGTTACTGGTCGTCGAAGCTGGGGTATTTGGACACCCTCGGCTTGCTGTCGATTTCCAAAGTAGGGGACTTACAATATAACCTCCTGCTCTGTTAAAGCCAGCCGTGGTCAGTAATCAGGCGCACCAGATAAGGTCTAGAAGAGCAGAGGGAACCGCAAAGAACGTCTGTGTCTCTGGGAAACTTCGAGATGAGGGAAACCTCTGCCGATATGGTAGCCTTATATACCTCCTGTCGACTGATGTGGTCCGTTATCAGTATTCTGGAAACAAAGGCGTAGTTTCTTTGTCAGTTCGTTTCTTTCATCGTCCAAATAATCAGGTATTTTGATCCATAAAAGCATCCTTCAAAGAGAAAACAAGGCCACTGTGCAAGACCAGAGGCGCAGGACACTCGAGAGATCGACGAACAAAGACTCTGGACCTTGAAAGGGGCGAACAAGTTGAGAAAGTCACTGGTTGGGACTGTGGCTTGTTGATACCACGGTCTACCTTCAACGGCGATAGAGAATCGAGCGCCGAGGTGGGTGTCCTATTGTCTGACCATCTTCGCAACCGAAGTCAAGTTGACCAGAACGGAGGGCTGCCCGCCAGTTTCCAGTCGTGTATCGCTCCATTCATTTGGGGTCAGGGTATGAGTGTACCGCTATATACCAGGTATGGTCTCCAGCCATGTTCGTGTCAAGTGTCCCGGCAAACAGGTTTAGGTCCCTCCAAAGAAAACCGCAGCTGGTGTTCATAATGCCATTGTCTCGCGAACCCCCTACCTAGGATGGTGATAGACGATGTGATGCGAAATAATCCCCGACTCCCTTGTCCTTCCCTTCCTGGGCCAGCCTTGTCCAAGGCAATGCATTTGATACTCAAACAAAACCGACAACTATGAGAAGATGACGCCATCATGTCTCTTCATCTCATCTCCCTCTCCACACAATCGACGTGGACAGGAAGGCCATGCTCAGAATGCCCAAATCATTTCAGGGGTTGTTACCGTCATCATATCCGTTCATCCGTTCATTGGGGGTAATCGGTGACCTTGCTGCACCCTCATCTTCTCCATGCGAATCCTCGCAGCTTCGCTACCGTCGTCCGGATGAGGTATTTCCCGGAAGAAGGGGTGCTGTAGCGCCTCTTTCGCAGTTATCCGGCGAGCTGGGTCGTAGACGAAGATCTTGGTAAGAAGGTCCAGGAACAGCTGGAGGAACTTGTTGTTCGCCGGTATGATTTCCTAGGTCGTGTTAGCAGCTTGCCATCAGATGTTCGTTGGATAGCGAGGCTTACATCGAGTCTCTTCATGGCCTTTACAAATCTACGAGACGCCCTATTTGTGTCGGCAGTAGGGTAGTCGAGCTTCAAGCGCTTGAAGTACCTGAAATTTTGTTAGGTTCTGATCAAAGAAATTGATGGGCCCATGCGCTTGCTCACTTCGATGCCGGATTCCCTCCGTTCCTAGTCATACGGTTGACCGACGATACTAGGTGCGTGTCGACCCTGGCATTGACGACCGCTTCCATCATGGCCAGATGCTCGAGATTATCGTGAGTCTGGAACAGGGCATCCCCGGTGAAGAACTCGACCAAGATACACCCGATGCTCCATATATCGCAGGGGTAGGACCAACCAAGGCCCAGGATGATCTCTGGCGCCCGGTAATGCCTCGTAGACACGACAGACGAGTGGTATTCATCCTGGAAGGTGGCAGATCCGAAGTCGATAAGCCGGATCTCCGTGTCAAGAAGCACTCGCCGCTGAGTAGCTTGCCGACTGACCGTAGCCGAAGACGACGGGATCTTGCGATTATACGTAAAGGTCTGGTACTCGTTATGGCACAGAAGAATGTTCTCGGGCTTCAGGTCGGTATGGATCAAGTTGAGATCATGGAGGACTAGGGCAAATTAGTTGCTGAGCGTTTTCGAGTTGGAACAAAGTAGACATGTAACTCACAGGCCACGCTCGTGAAGAGCTGCCGCGCAAAGCTCTGGATCTGGCTATTCGGGAAGGGCACAAAGCTGTTGCTCTTGAGGAAATCGAACACACTTTGCCCAAGGAGGTCCATGACGATACATATGTGGCCCCGGAAGTCGAAGCAGTCTCGAAGATGTATGCAACGATTCCGATTTTGCTCATCGTTGGCCTTGAGCGTGGCAAGGACCCGGAGCTCGATCTTGCTGGCATCCCGATACTTCTGGACGGACCGGATGATCTTGATCGCGACGCATTCGCCGCGTCTCCGATCCCTGGCCTGAACAACCTTGCCGAATGTGCCCTGGCCGAGGAGCTTGATCATTTGGTCTATCAATCCGGTCAGCTTTGTTGTACTCAAGACGCGGAAATCGTGCTGACAACTCACATCTGTCGGTAAGATCCGCATCGGGCACGACTATGTAGTGGCCATCATCATCGTCGACCTTGGTACTCTTGTTGTATGAGTTCTAGATAAGACAAGTTTTAGTTTATAAACACACACATGAATATACACAAGAATCGGGTAGTGACACTTACGTCGGAAATGACCTTGACATGGACATCCGCGGCTTTCTTCGGCGGGTATGGAGGTGGCTGGTAGCTGGTATACGCATCTGCCAGTGCGCCGGCCTCGCGGCGCCTGGCTTCGGTGGCGACCTGCTGTCGGGTAGTTCGTTTCCTCTTCTGACCGGCCTGCGTGTCATAGTTGTACTGCCCACCGGTGGAAGAGAGGGAATCTAGGGAGGTGGCCGCGGTGGTATGGATGGCCGAGTTGGTCCTGTCGGTGGATATTGTGGACTTGCTCGGGGTGCTAATCTGATGGGGGGTGGTGGCATGCGAGCTGACGAGGTTACTGTGGTATACCGGGTCGTAGTGGGCTGGCTCGTCGTCCCTCTTCCTCTTCTTCGCAACGTGGCGAGCTGAAGTTGTGTTGGAAACGCTACTTATGGGCCCGCCGTTATTACCGGGAAGCGTCGTTGTGGAAGAAACGGTGCCGGCGGCAGGCTTCTGGGAGGGCTCGGGAGAGTCGTCAATGATGATGACCTCGGCCGGAAGTCCATTTTTGTAGAAGGTGTTCCAGTCAGGCTCCCTTGACCGTCTTCTCTTCCGAGCCGGCTGGGACTCTAGCGCGGCGTGGGCTTGGGCGACGGCCGGCATGTTGTTGGTATGCTCGGCTTCCGTTCGTGCTGTGACAATTGGTGGTTGTTCCTGGGGTACAGGCCTGGCTGTCGACGACGAGGAAATGGAGATCACATTTGACCTAGGGCTGCCGTTCGAGGAGGCAAAGTAGCCCGACGAGGGATATGCCAGTTGAGATGACGAGGGAAGGCTTGGGTTGCCGACTCGGTAGGTGGCGGTGTTTGGGTCTTGGTAGGGCTGGTGGTGAGGTCGGGAGAAGGGATAGTGCAGTTGATTGCAAGGAGGCAGAGTTGCTGTCGCAGTTGTTGGAGTCGACATTATTCTTCTCTCCCCTTGTGAGGCTTGCCAGGCTTCGGCGTGACGGTGAGGAAGGGAGGAGAGAGAGAGAGGAGGTATCTCTGAGTGTGGACCGCTCACGGGTCCTCCTTGGGGGGGGGGGGGGGGGCCGTAACAGTGCAAAACGGTGCGGCGCTGAATGTTGTTGGAACGAGGCGGGCAGGCTGTTAAGGATTCGCGGGAGCAGTACACCTTCAGCTTAACAAGTCGTCGTCGTCGGGTTATGACTGGGGTGTAATTGTGCCTCGGTGCCAGCAAGTTCACATATTCTCTAACATACACACCAGTGGAAAATGGAACCCGATAGCGGGAAGAGATCTACGTGGACTCTGCTGCTTGGGGGAATCGCGTTTGGTGAGGCGAGGAGGCGAGGACACTTTTTTTGCCCTCATCCTTCCAAGTGAATGAATCGAGTCGCCGGCGTTGATTAATTACGGGTATGGCTGAGGCGGAGGGGCCGTGTATTGGCGTATGAGTGTAGGGCGCCCTTGTAAATAATGGGACTTACCCAATTGGTGTAGCGTCAAACCAGAAACGTCGATTTGATGTCTCTCGGCCCTTGACTTTGGACACACTTTCTTCACCCTCTGTAAATTGGGATGAAATGGTACGCCGTACATACAGAGGCATCCGCCTGCATTGGCTGACAGGCGTCATTCTGCCAATCCAACCTTCTACGATGGAAGTTAGCGATTGAAACACATCGGGGAGAATCAATCAAGGAGCGTGGTCCATGGCTATCCGCAGGTACCCCAGGTAGGGCAGGTGGGCTTGTCACTGGAATGGACAGTGCTTTCACCAGCCACTGCCCTGAAGAGCCACTGTTACTGGGGCGACTATCCACTGAAAAATGCCGCCGCCCACAAATGGAAAGGGAAAAAAAAGACTCCCACCTGCATTAAACCATTCCTATTCCTGGGTACCTAAGTACTACAGTGTGACTGGTTTTGTGGTTTGCACTCACTTCGATGCACACACACACGCGCGCACTACCTTCTCTGCCGATTTCCCAATGGAATGTATCTCCCAGATGGGTAGGTAGGTACCAAGGTACCTACAGATTATTGCGCTGTCGTACAGACAATCAGCTTGCAGACTGGGAGCCACATGGCCATTGTATGCAGCCCGCGTCTGTTAGTGCCCAGTGATATTCACTGCCATGGCTAAACGACCCTCCTTCTCCGGCCATATCAATGATTAACATTGCCATTCGGATATTTTGTGGGATATTCTCCTATGATTATGAAAGGTCCTTCATCTCCGCACCCTTGGATATTATTTTCTCATATGGGCTTCTAGTTGAAATCAGTCCTGGAAGTGAGTTCGAGTTGGTGTGTGATGGCATGTATGGATGGATAGGCGGGTGGGTTCACTAGGATGGCCTTCCTATCACCAAGTCTCGTCACTCATCACTCATCACTCTAACATCACAGCGCTCCGCAGACGGCACCGGCCATACCATAGTAGGCCCCAAATCCGCCCCAAACCCACCAGGGTGGTGGCCAATTCTTGACCCAAACTTGCCTCTGGTTGGCCACTGGCCAGAAACGTGCTACTCGCGCCAACCTGGCATGACAACTTCGTACTTTCGTATGGTAGTCCGCCCCAACAGCGTGGATCCAAGCGCAGAACAGGCATATTGATTGCGCCGCCAGCGCCTCCAAAGAATTCCACGACACAAACGATCCTGATTGCAATGGCATTGGGGATGAATGATGGGACGGATGCAGAACGGATGCTCAAGCGCCCTGCATACGCTACATCCAAGTTTGAGTTTGGTATACACTATAACCCGAACGAACGGCCGTCCGTCTCCGAAGTCTAGCGAGCTGCGGGGGAAGCCATCCTTTGTCCCACACATCCTTGCCAGGCACTGCACTGCCGCGGGGAGCCTTGCCATAACCTGGAACGGAAGACTCGACACCACTTTTGAGTGAGGAAAGTTTCAAGCAACGTAAATCAATCACGGACATTTCCGAGTTTCTTTTTAACCCTCTACCCCTTTACCTTTTTTCCTTTGTAAATCCCCTTTTCTCTTTCATGTTCTTTTCCGCCTGCCGGCATGCCCGGCCAAAGAAAAATTAAGTCCCACCGACTTAGAACTGGGTCTCAGGCCAATGAACCCCGCAGAGAGATGGTGGTGGCGGCCAAAATGCCCCATCGGTGTTGTGGCACCCCCTTCCGACGTATGATCTCATCTCACCCAAGTTTAGCTCACTGTTGACTGGCGAGACTGGACTGGGCAGCGGCAAGCAAATCCGTGTCAAGAGAAAAACTGGCCCCACTGCACCGCAGCATCCATTCCACAGTCGCCTGTCGTGATGTCTGCTTGATGTAGGTACTTGTACATACGTATCCGTATTTCCCTACAGAACTTTGTATGTACTATACGTACAAGTAGTATTTCTGCTTGCAACACCCAGGAAAGGAAGATACGAACGGATTCGTTAGGTGGTTGCTTACCTAATCCTGCTGGCCTGCGCCTCGTCAAGGGGCTACAAGCAGCAGGCGTAAAGAGAAAGGATCACGGCTGTTGCCATGCTGGCAGTTGGGGGTCTGATGACGGATTCCAGCGCTGGAAACGTGCAGTAGATCCCGCTGATACGGATAGACAAAGCCCATAAATAAACGGCAAATAAATAGGCAAGGGGCTTTGATTAAGCAGCGCCATCAGATGACAAGCCCAGTTCCAAAACCAACACATTCCACTACCCATGCGTTCCCAGGTAATAGCACTCCGTTTATAGCTGAGCTCAGATCTCGCGGCTGCGACTGCTCGAAGAGAGTGTGACTCAACCCCTTTTTGAAACGCAATCCAACGCGTTTTCCGAGCCGGCCCCAGCCCTTCTCCAGATTCTGGAAAATCCCAACCCAGGATTTCCGTCTAAAACATCTCATCATTCAGCGCAGAGCCGATCCCCCATCGGCTCGTCGCCATCCCCAAAGCCACATTCCTCCCCCGAGGCTGCAATGTGTATCATCGATGGGTGTTTCTGCAGGTAAACAAAACGGCGATCCTTCTTATGCCCTTCTCTCCCTCTCTATATCTCTCTTTCGCATGTGACACTCGTCCGAAATCCCTCGAACGGTAACCCCTGAAACCCCACTGAGGCTCTTCCCTGCCCTGCCGGATGAACCAGGTTACCGGAATGATCTTTGTAAGAAAAGATGACAAAGTGCATATCGCCAATCAGCAGCCCGTAGGACTCCAAGCCATGCGTTAAAACCAAATGCTCAGCCTAAAGCACATGTAGAGTTTAGATGGTTCGATCCCTCGTCTTTTTTGCCTCCCTCCTCCCTAGATCCCCCGGTTGAAAACCACCATGCCCCCCTCCCCTCCCCGGCCGTGGAACTCCTCCTCCAGCGACTCGGCGCTGACCCTCTGGCGCTGCGGGAAGGCCGCCAGCGCCAGCGGGAGCACGGCGTAGCTCGTGGCCAGGATCAGGCCCAGGTTCAGGGGCAGCGTCAACCTGGGGTTGCGCTTCAGCCACTCGGTCCTCTGCAGCCTGACGAGGACCAGCGGCGGGATGACCATGATGGGCGAGCTGTTGAGGACCCTCGACAGCGCCGTCTCGGCCACGGCCAGGGTCGCGGCCTTCTTGCTCCTGCCGATGCTGGCCACGTCGCCCTCGGCGCGGCCCTCGGCCTCGAGCCGGGCCTTGTCGGCCGCCGACAGGACGGGGAAGACGTCGATGCCCGTGCGCATCTCCTCGCCGCGCATCAGGAAGACGTTGAGCGCGCCCGCGCTCGCCACCGCGGCGAAGGGCACGAGGCGGCCGAGCACGAGGCGCGTCGACGGCGAGAGCCGCCGGAGGTGCGGCACCAGGCTGTTGAGGCCCACGGCCACGGAGCACGACGCCCCCACGGCGAGGAGGTAGGACTGCGCGATCTTCCACGTCGACATGGGCGACGACTTGTTGGCGTTGGAGTAGTTGATCGCCACGTTCAGGGACTGGTTGGCTACCTGCCATCCGATCGTGCCTGCTGTCTGGAGGGAAGCATGTTAGCCACGACTTTCAGAGTAGGTAGGTAAAGGAGACATGTAGAGGGGGATTAGATGGTATGCGTACCCCAAGACCTGGCGTCAACATGCCCACAGTGACGACCAAGTTCGAGAGTACGAAGCAGGACATCCGAAATGGCAAGAAGACAGCCTCCCCGGTATCTATCGGCTCTTTATTAACAAACAAGCCGCAATCGACCCTCTAGATAGGCGACAAACCGGGGTGTAATGTCGAGTCAACGACCTTCTTTGCCTTCCATAGGTCGGGTGTGATCTCCTTCGTATGGCCTTGCTTGTACAACATGATGGCCTGCTTGGCCTGCTCGAGTCCGGTTTTGCCCACGAGAAGGGTCCTAAAAGCAGCAAAATACCTCGTGAGCATGTACTCCTACGTCAAGAGAAGAGACTCCCCAGCGCCCAAATCCAAGATCGGGACTGTTGGGCCGGGGGCCGTGGCTCTGAAGCCATTGAACTTGGCTCACCTCGGATCTGTAATGCCAGCGTTATGTCGCACGCGGCCCCAATACGTGCTAAGGTCATACTGCGATTCGGGCAGCTCGCGCCTGCCGGGAATGGAGGCCGACATGGTGCTATTTGCCCTGCTCTGGCGACAGTCTCCTCGTCCTTGGGCTGTCTTCGCGACGCGCGGATCACAAAGGCAGGCCTACAATTGCCGCTCAACGGAAGGACGTGAGACGTGAGGCCGCCTCAGGTTTGAACAGGCAGGGTCTTGTAAAGAGCGTGCCACTTCCCTCCTTCCTCAATTGCTCGCTGAAAAGGCCAAAAGGTCGAGTGGCGGACGTCGTAGTTTCGACCAAGTTAACAGAGTCGAATCGAAGAATTTCTTGACCGTGAATCCGATCTCGGTGATAAGAGTGATACCGATCTAGCCCCGCATATCGACGGCACATTGTGGGCTTGGTACTCCATAACCTCTCTCTTTCTCTTGATCGCTTCCTCGCCGCCCTCGAGGCATGATACCGTCGTTATTGATGTCGTTCGAAGCCCAGGTTGTGAGTAATTCTCATACATTTGAAATATACAGATCTGTAATCTTGACGGATGTATATGGATCTGTTTGCTAGATTCCGAATTCCTAGAGAATGGAGCTGGCCTTGGCTCTACACTAGAGTGATGGGATGACCTAAGCAACCTTCTCAGAACATCCGAGACAGGACAGACGCCGAATACGGGATGATGACGAGCAGCCTCTCAATTCTAAATGTAAAACATTGAGAAGATTGTCCCCCTTTCGCAAGTTTGCGCAATGTGAAAATTTGTACATTTAGAAACTCCATCTCGTGTGTAACAACCCCCCGATGCCATTTACAATGGCGAGGTCTCTACTACGATACCTTCCCTTCTCCGAGTCGACCTCCCCCCTCCAGGCGATCACCTATCTCCTCGGCATCTCACTGTTCTCCATATCCTTCCTGGTCTTCCTGAACAGCAGCATCTCGTTTGTGATCACCGACCTCATCGGCGTCAAGGATGGCGTCGGCGACATCGTCGGGACCCTGGGCTTCGCCGACGAGGTCGTCGCCCTGGTGGCCTGCCCGGTCTGGGGTCTCGTCTCAGATCGACTCGGGGTGCGCATGGTAGCCGTGATCGGCTACGTCGTCATAGGCGCCGCGCTCTTCCTGTTCGTCCAGGCGCGCAACGTGTACCCGCAGCTCCTGCTCGCGAGGATCTTCTTCGCCTTTGGAGCTTCAGCTTCGTAAGTCTTGTCGAGACCTAATCCCAGCAGCACCTTGGCTAACCTAGGACCAAACGGACAGGGCTACGATGGTGACCGCCATCCTACCGTCCTTGACCGGTGGCAATACGATCCACGAAGTGCAGGCTCGCGACCCTCGCAAGCCGCCGCGCAACCCACACGACAGCATCACCCCCTCCCTTGATTCGGAGCTTACAATCACTCCCGAACGGTTCCGCGAGCTCTCGGGTGGAAGCGAATCGACCGTGGGTGTTGACGCAGAGGATGATAACGTCCAAGGGAAGGGCAAACCGTCTGCTCTCGCGGGGTATGTTGGGCTGTTCACAGGGTGCGGCGCCCTAGTGGCTCTCAGCGTATTCCTGCCTCTGCCCACCCAATTCGGCCAGATAGAAGGTGTCACCCTCGGCGAGGCTATATCCTACAGCTTCTATGCCGTCGGTTCTGTGGCGTTGATTGTCGCCGTCTTCGTGGGCTTTGGTCTGCGGAATCTGACAGGCGAAGAAGGCAAGGGTTGGCGTCTGTTGCTCGGCTTGAGGAGGTCAGGCCCGAGTGTAAGGGGCGGTGATGATAGAGCCGAATCAAAGGTATGCGAGTGGTTGATTTCATGTGGATGCCCTGAGCTGATAAAACCTCCAGAGGCTCTTGCCGTACTGGCATCTTCTAAAGGACGCCGTCAGGCTTGGTTTCACCGACTCTCAAATCGCCCTGGGTTATCTGGGCGGCTTCGTCGCTCGCGCATCGACCGTCGCCATATCGCTCTTCATCCCCTTGTTCGTCAACTCGTTCTTCATGAGCAATGGCTTCTGCCAAGGGTCTCCGAATGACCCTTCTCCAGAACTGAAGAAGGAATGCAAGCAGGGCTATGTTCTGGCTGCCATCCTGACTGGAGTTGCACAGCTTGTCGGACTCGTTTGTGCCCCGGTATTCGGTTACCTCTCGAGCGGCGCGGGAAAATTCAATATTCCCATAATTATTGCCACGACGTTTGGCATTGTGAGTTACATTGCCTTCCCACAGCTCTCGAGCCCCGAGGTGCGGAATAAGGACGGCCGAGGTGGCAGCCCGGTTGTCATCTTCCTCGTCGCTCTCATGGGTATTAGCCAAATTGGCGCGATCGTGTGCAGCCTAGGGTCCCTCGGTCATGGCGTGTTGAAGACGGATATGGTTAATGTCATGGTCGCCGAAAACGGCGATGAGGAGGTCGTGATGGAGCCCGCAGATACCTCAAGCGACGCAGCTCCGCTGCTGGAGAATGCGGCGGAGACGCCGGAAGACAGCGTCTCACGAGTCAGGCTCAAGGGATCGATCGCGGGCGTATATTCGTGGTGTGGTGGTGCTGCGATTCTGCTCCTCACAAAGCTAGGAGGATACCTCTTCGACTCATGGACCCCAGGGGCACCTTTCTACCTCATGGCTGCCTTCAACGCCGTCTTGCTAGTCGCGAGCGTCGGGATCGACATTGGCCGTGCCGCTCGAAAGAGGCCAATACAGATATAATGATCGAAAGGGAGGCCACGAATTATGACGAGTCATGAGCATATCTTATTGTTTACTCTCCGCTTCTCTCATAGACGATAATAGAGTCAAAATGATAACCAAAAGAAAACGGCACTAAAGGGGAGAATCCGACATCAACGCGTCGTTTTTATTGCAAGGTCACCAGAATAAGCCCACAGCTCTCTTGCGTTCCTCCCGTTGCGAAGAACTCGGCCACGTTGGCACAAACACGTTCTGCCTCAGACTCACCTGTGTAGCCGGACGACGATAGCCATCAAGGAGGCGAAGATAACTCACCAGTCAAGCGCACGCCTGTCCATCGCCCGCACGGCCAGGTAGGCTGGACCCCGTTTCGAGCCGGCGGTCATGATGAGCTCCGGCCCCGCGCACGGCGCAACCGGCTCCCCGAGAAAGGAGTTCGTGGCCTCCACCACCTTGGCGGGGCGGCCAGTGAACCGGACTCGCCTTGCTGTTCCGGGGGAGCGCTCCTGTCGGATGCCTTTACCTTTACTGCTGCTGCTGCTGCTAGTAGCCGGGCCCAACTCCCCTCGGGCTTCCCTCGTCGTCGTCGTCGTCGTCGACGCCTCTCTGCCACCACGACGACCCGCCGCGATGGTGACCGACCACCGGGGATCGCACGATGCCCTCGTTGGGTGGACCGCCGCCGGGCAGTAGAGGCGCCCTTCCTCGGCGAGCCGTTCGACTGACACACTCCCCCGGGACATGGACAGGAATGCGCCCATGGGATGTTGGTGGATTGGTGGTTGATCTGCTGTCCTGGCGGTGGTAGCGGTTGGATCGAGACTTACCGAATCTGGGAGGCAAGGCAGGTGTTGTTCGAAAAGGGGTCTAGGCCGTGGGAATAGTTTTTCCTTCGGGGACACACAAAATAGTTTTTCCTTCGGGGACACACAAAATGGATGGGCGAAGAGAGATTCTAGCTGCGTTGTCGTTCACTCCAAATAGCTGTCAGGGAGAGAACTGATGGATCTAGGGCCCTCTGGCTTCAAGGCTCGAGGTAGTGATTATAGCCAGTGTCTATCACGCTGTCACTGCCAATTCATGGCAACCAGTCTTCCCACGGAGTGATGGGAGTCACAGCCGAGACAATGGAATTGTCTAGGTAGGCTACATCAGTATAACATAGAAAGGCGGTTGAGGCTATGTCCCCGACAAAGGAGGCATTGAACCTAACTCGAATCCCTTTAGGATGAAAAAGAGAGTCTTGATGCGAGCATGCTCCCTTTCAACTCCCTCTTGGACATTGCAGGACAATGCCCTCAAAGACTCTAGTCGGGAACAAGCCACCACAATAGTATGTCACATCTTGGGACAGATGCCAGACTGCTGTGTGCGCGGCTCTTGGCGCCTGGGAAACGTTGGGGGATACTACAGGGGACTGAACGGTAATGGATCACGTAGTAGGAGGGTCGCAGAGAACATAAACGGCAACGTAACCTGGCATTTCGAGAATAGACCGAGTTTTCTTACCAGTTACAAAGATGAAAAGAAAATGGCCACCACGGAAAACGTGGAATCCCGTTGTTCCCCATCGGCCAACCATTTCCCACACCATATGCTCAGGTAAACGTAGGAAAAGGAGACCATTTTTTTTTGGTTGTGAGAGAAATATTTGGAAACTTTGTTATCAGAAAACCATGTGTGCTTTTTCTGTGACGGGAACCAGCAAGACGCCGATGTTGGACTGCCGCCGAGATGAATGAATGCCGCCTAACGGTACTACCAACCGATATAGACCTACGCCTCCCCCTGTTTTCTGCATTACTGCCGCCATTGAGCATTCTTCCGAGCAAAGGCATAATCCGAGACCTGCATCTCCGGTGGTGACCCCTATGGCGTTCGAGAGCGAACGCATCTAGCTCCCCAAGCTGGGGAAGGCAGACTCATCCTTGGGGTTCAGGGGTGCGTGATCGCCGCCACGGCGGGGGCCGCCCCGGAAGTCGCCACGGGGACCGCCACGGGGGGCGCCACCTCGGGGGCCGCCAGCGCCACGGGGGCCGCCGCGGGCAGAGCCGCGAGAAGAGTCGCCGCGGTCTCCACGATCACCGCGATCACCGCGGAAAGAGCCGCGAGACGATTCTCCGCGGCTGCCACCACGGCCACCACGGCCGCCACGGCCGCCGGCGGTACGCTCGGGCTCGACGTAGCGGTTGTCAATCTCGACGAGCTGCTTGGTCTTGCGCTCGCGCTCGCGCTTGGCCTTGCCGCTGATTCCGGCGAAGTAGTCCTCGTCCCCCTCCTTGACGAGAGGCTTGGCATTGGCCCACTTCTTGTCGGCCTTGACACCCTCGTTGGGCTTGCGGACCTTCAGGGAGGCATCCGACTCCAAGGCCAGCTTCTTCTCAGCCAGCTGGGCGAGGTACTCCTCGTACGAGATGTGCTTCTCCTCGGGCTCGGCAGGCTCGGCCTCCTCGCCCTCGGCGGCAGCATCTCCCTCGACAGCAGCTTCTTTCTGATCCTTCTTGGCAATCGCCTCGCCGGCTTGCTCGTCCTTCAGCTCAGATTGGCCCTCAGTGGCGCCCCATGACTGAGCAGCCTGTTTCTCAGAACCGCCACTGATCAATTGTCAGAATTGTTCGGTCCGTCACGTGGGAAAGGGTCTGGTAAGCTTACCCTGGGGCTCCCTTGGTATGTCTATCATCACGCTCGCGAGGGTATCTCGATCCGCGACCTATCCAGAATTGTTAGCAGAGAACACACCGATGGATGACGCATGGCGGGGATCAGGTGAGGTAGCTTACCGCCACGAACACGGGCACCTTGGCCGCCTCGTGCGCCACCTAGGGCGGACTCGTCGACGGGTCGGTTGCGGTTGCGGTCACTGCCGGCATAGCGATCGCGGAAAGCTGTTTCAGCCACGGAAGGTTAGTAGGTGGTAAGATCAATGCAAATGCACGGGGTCGAGGGTGCAGGTATGACGTACCAGCCTCGTTGCCGGACGCGCCACCGCCCCGGCGGTTGCCAGCGGAAGCCGGCTTGGAATCTGGGGCCAGGCCATCGGCGTTGCGCTTCGTCGAATGGGTGGGGGTCTTGTCGACGGTCTTCACGGGCCCCTTCGGAGTGTCAGATTCTTCATCGTTGCCTGCGAGGTGAAATGGGTCAGCAACTGGTATCCACGGCTGGAGCCAAGCCCCGGGATTGAAAAATTCTTCAATGCACAGGCTTCGTACCGAGGAGGTCGAACAGGTTCTAGACAGAAACGATTAGCTTATGAGCTTCATCCAATTGGAAACAGATGGCGACAAAGTCGGAAAGGGCGAGTTTGGGCAGAGGGGATCGATTGGTGGCAGACAATTGAAGCAGATCCTAACATACCTTCGAAGCGACCGACATCTTGCCGCCGAGTTTTTCGCCTTCTTCAAAGGCGTGGCCTTAGGGGACGACAATCTAAGGAAGAAGACCGTACGACTGGAGTCACGGCGGGGAGAGGTGGAATTGAAAGATGCGCCTAGCAGGACATGTCACAGCTGGACGCGTTGCTCCTGATGGGATGGCAGAGATTTAGTCGACGTCGTGGTGACGACCAATGGTCGAAGGTTTCGAGAGGTTCGGCGGAAGTTAATTAGTAGTAGCTTTGTTGCAAGCGGTCGGCAAGGGTGGCGCACGACCAAAGTCACGTTTCCGGCTCGCTTATGAACCCCAGCAAATTTAGAATTTCAAAATTCGTGTTGTTACAGTTAGGGCTACCAAACACGTACAGTACCGTATCTTAACCGGTGTATTCTGCCCGACTCTAGTCCCCGTATTGATCCGTTTTGACCCCGTTTTGACCAATTACAGAAGCATAATATGGTAACGGACAGGGCAGCATTTAGTCACGTGTATCCGCAAAGCTAGGTAAGTAAACGTTGTGCGACCATGTGTGAGGTGGCTATCCAATTCTACCTATCCTATTCGTGGCATCCCTTACAATGTTAATTTTTGAATGGATCTCATCCTGAATAGGCATTGGAGATTCTCATGAGCTGCAGCAGTAATGCTCCGCACTGACAGGGACAGTTTGATCATGTCAACGTCCCGCTTGACAACTGCACGTCAAGCTGTGTCCCTTGCAGGCACCCCAACCTCCCTACCCCAATTGTTGACCTGATGTGGGTTCCTCTCGAGCGCCAAGACACCACCAACCAGAGCCGGACCTCGGCTGTCAAGGGCGATATGTGGCCGGCCAAGTTCCTCTCTGAGTTAAATGGTAGGTAGGTATCTAATTATATACTGCGTACTCGGTAGCAGAGGTAACTACTAGGTCGGCTGACATCGTCTAGCTACCTCTTCTTATGTACAAAAACTTGTTCCCACAAGTTGGAAGAGAGACATTGAACTGAATGACCATCTCACCTTGTATCCCTGACCTAAGATCCAAGGTAAGCATGACATGGACTCTCGAAATGTGCTGATGTTCCACCAGAAAAGGGGATGAAGCAAGCAACGGATGTCACCAAGTGGATATCCCAAGATCATGTAGAGAAAGAGGAACTGTAATCACTGGAAACTTGGTATCCAAAGAGACCACTAAGAAGAAAACACAGAGTTTGACAAGAAGGATGACAGCGTCTAACAGCGCAGTCTCGGTGAGATGTTTCAAGACACGGTAGGTATACTAGAGGAGAGACATGGCAAAGGGAACTCTAACCGTCGACGCCATGCATGCCTCTAACGTGATGGCGACCCCGCTCGATGTATCGCTGCCTGCAAACCATGTATACCATCCGTTTCAAACTGCAACCCCGCGCCCCGAAGCCGATAATCGGAGGTTGTCATAGCTCCCAGTACGCGTCAACGTCCAGAAGCAAGCAAGCCATAGCTGAATAGACACTGGTCTTCAGTAGCCACTGCCAACCGGAAAACCCTAAGTCATCGAGTGGGGGAGGGAGGGAAATAAGATAAAACTTTTGTTCAGCCCCCATCCCGTAACCCAAGTCATACATTTCCGTGACGCCGTAAAGATACAACAAAGAAGCGTAGAATCAGAAATGCAAGCAAGTACATCGTCAGTCGTGGGTATATCCATCCGAAGAAGCCTCGAAGCTCCGTTGTCTGAAATCTCGGGAGATAGCCATTGTAGGCCGTGTACGAGGAAAGAGCCTTCCGAAGAGTAGAGAGCGCTCGTTCGCAATCCATGTTAAGTTCCGCAAGGCCAGCACAATGCTCCTGGGGTATCTCATGAAGTAGTCCGCCGATTTCGTCGTACTCAATGATCGTGACAATCCTTTTTTGACCAATTGCTTCCCAACAACCTGCGCCATCCCCCCAATCCTTTTCCCCGCTCCCACCCTCTTCCATTTTGAAATGCCTCCTCAGTTGTGCGTTGTGTATCGTCCGGCCATGTAGCTGCGTATTGGCCAGTGGAAATATCAGAGCTGGTAGCCCATGAATTCCAAGAGACAGCCGTGAACATGCAAGGGTCGGTTCCCCAGCTTGGTGACGTGAAAACTCAAGGGGCGATGCCTGATGACCAGACTGCCCCAACGCCCCCCGTCATTCCCTCCTCCGGCTTCTCCCAGAGATTCCGCTGGGATTGCGAGGAATGCCTGGAAACCGACTGTTTCATCTGGTCCGATTTCCAAGAGGGATTTACCTCATGTTGCTCGTGTCGAACGAAAACTGGGTTGGGAATGCCATGCTTGCGCTCAAGCCAAATGGGTCCCAGTCAAGGCCGGGATCTAGCAACTGTGTCATGGATGGATAATTGCTGTGCTGAGTGTGCGTAACTCCATCCATGGCGGACGGGCCAGACATTTGTTGACCGCCGGGTGGCGCAGACGTTACCGGGGATGAGAGTGTCATTGGTTGGGGCGCGTCGCCAAAGGCAGCGCCGGGGTACGGGCCGGGGCCGCTCGGGGTATCGGGTGACTCGACGTGATCGTCCATCATATCGGCAGCGACGTCGTACTCCTGCTCTGTATTTACGATAATGATAAGACCGCTAGTTCTATGAAAGGGGGGTGGGGGGGGACCGGGAAAAGGAAGGGGTCAGCTTACCTAGTTGTTCAATATGATTTTGGAAGGCCGGTGTCGTGTAGAAAGAAGCGGCACTAACACCAGGTCGTACCCTCGATTGGGCTGCTGTTGCTGCTGGTTGTGCTCCAACCATTTGCATCTGGCGGGTGGCCGTCGTCGTCGGGGCCATCCCAGCCATGGCGCCCACCTGAGGGGGTTGCGCCTTCAACGGTGGTCGGATTTGGCTGGTCATGTTCTCGGATACGGATCCCGCCGGTGAAGCCACATGCTGGGAGCCGAAGGTCGTCGCGGTTGGAGAAGCGGAATGTGATGGCGGGGTGGGGCGTGTCTTTGGGGATGCGGCAGAGGACTGTGGACGATTGGATTGCAGAGGCGGTGGGCGAGGCGAGAGGTTGATACCCGGTTCGAGTTTGGGGGCGATGCTCGAGTTTGACCGACGCGCATGGTGCCTGTTCAACATGGCCCGTTGAATCGGGGGCGGTTGCACCAGAGTCTGGGGGACCTGAGTTGGACCGAGGTTGGGACTGCCAGTTTTGGCACGAAGCTCAGCCTGGACATCAATACCTGGTAGAACGGATCCATGTCAGCCCGTTGATGTGTACCTAGCTTCGGTTCATCGGAAGCACGTGGAGGCACGCGGGGGTTTGATTTGGTGTCTCTCCTCCTGGGGGCGTGGTGTTAACGGGGATGTGGGGAGCATTCTACCTTTCTCGAGAAGAATACGTTCTAGGAGAGAGTTCTTGTACCGAAGCATGAGACACTCATCGGCGGCATGGCGGTGGGCCGCCTGGAGGCTGTGGAGGTTCTGCTCATGAACGCGGATCGTTTCCTCCAATTGCTTGATGTACTCTGTTCGTCTCTCCCGGAAAGCAGCTTGAGCCTGGCGATTGCGTTGCTTCCTTTCTTCTGATGTCGCATATATCTAAGAGCAAGTTAGAAACCAACAACTTGAGACTGGCTCCACACCGGCATTGGCTGGGACCACTGATTAGGTAGGTAGGTATCAACTAGCAAATTGGAAGACCCAAAGAGGTAAATTTCAACGCACCGGCTTTCGACCGCCCTTGCGTTTCGGTTGCTGATTCTCCTGGGCAGCGGTGTTGTTGCTGTTGTGGTTGCCGTTATTGTTGGTGGTATGTTCGGCATCGGGACTAGAGCCCATTGACTCTTCGCTGTCATCCTTGACGAGGTCTTTCTTGTCGACGGACATCCTTTCTGCCATGTCACTTGCTGGTGACTAATATGACGATTGGCCCGGGGCGGGCAAGCGCCTCGGCTCTTTACTAGAGGGCTCGTGTAATGTGAGTGGAGCTGCGAGGGGTACACCACACAGCGCTGCGATTCCAGGGCCCAACAGCTCTCTCAGTCAAGTAACTGAGAATGGTGTTTTGCCTGGTCACTATGGTGTGCTTCGGTCCTTTGGCTGCGGAGAACGGGTCCTGTGGTACGCCAGGGTGACGTGATCGCTATTTTAGAGGGGGGTTCTGCCCAAAAGAGCCCGGAGAGGGCGTGCACAGGGCGGGTTTCAATATGGCGCCGAATCAGCGCGGCGGTTGGGGGGCGGAAAAGATGGGGAAGGATCCGACAGCGTGGGTCGGGTCTCGAATCGAGGGCCGGATACAAGGTCAAGGGCACGGAGATCAAAGCGGTTCCTGGATCGCGTATGTCTGGGCCAGATTGTCGAGGGGAATTCTGGCAGGCCAGAGATAAGCTGGAGGTCGATAACAGGTTGCGAGTGAGTAAAGGAAAGAGAAGAATGGTAGGGTTTTATGTAATGTTAATGTATGGTGTGGTGGGAGGGGCTTGCGAGGCGCTATGGGAGGTCTGATTCGCCCGGGGAAGGAATAGTGGCGACTGCCAGCCAGTAGCACTGGAGAAATGAGGGTCAGCTGGGCAGAATTTTTTCCCTTTTTTCCCATTTCCCTTTCCTCCCCCCCCGCACGTTTGGGATTGAAGAGTGGGAGAGAAGCTAGCGTAGTGCACCCAGCGAGAATCAGCAAGTTCGGCTGCGGGAGGGGTTGCCCACAGGTCGCAGTTACTGTGGGGCTTCTGCGATGTACCTCTATATTAGAAGGTCGAGGCCCACTACCTGTTCAACCCCGCACCTGCCACTTCCAGTGCTTCAATCGCAGCTAAGCAGCCAAACATCGCAACAAACTGACATGGTTGCACAATTCAACGACGGCCATTATGAACCCTGGAGGCTAGGCTACCTGGAAAGTATACACTCTCTACCGGGTATGTCTTGACGGTCAACTTCTTATGTATTTAATATTCAGTTCATGTTGTAGCCTCGTCACAACTGCCTTAACTCTTTCGAGATCTAGCTTCTAGCTTCCAGCTACAGTGCCCCCACGGTCCCAATGTAATCTGACCAACATCAGGAGATCCCAGCATGACTTCCCGCCCACGTCTTTTGGGTAGGACGCGGTAATTAATAGCGTCAGGGGCGCTTCTGGATAGTCAAGGTGGCCAGGATCTGGCGTTGCAGTTTAGCTTTGCAAACAGACCAGGGGAGTAGCCGTGGCGGGGTGGGGGGTGGCTTTGGACTGATTTAAGGGGCGGAAGTATACCAACAAGAGACGCTAGAAAAGCAGTATGAAGACAGAATTATTGGGTGCTTCAAGAACAGGAGCAAGGCAGGCAATAAGTGTTCAGCCTTGTAATCCGAGGACTTGAAGTGGGTACCGTATTAGCCCGGCACTCCGGAATTCGGATACCTACAGGAGCTTGGGCCCCTTAATGCTCTCTGCCCCATGAGATGAATTCGATCGTATGATTGGCCACTCTGTTGACATGTAAACAAAAGGACCCCCCTCCGTACCATGGAAACTTGCCAGGCGCGTTCTCACTGACATCATCCAAACCCCTACACCTTCTCTTGCGAAGGAATGCAACGCCATTAAATAAGCGTTGAAACTCTTCCACTGCTGAGTGCCGCACTATCCACCATTCCCTTTGCAAAGAACGCGCACAATGGCTCGGCGATCGGCGCGTCTAGCGAGCGGCTCCAAGGCAAGTCCATCCACCCACCGATGTCAACAGACACAAACACTCTGGTAAGAGTCCATCTATCTAACCCTTGATCGTTTTTGCAGGCACCCAAGCCGACGACAGGTGATCAGAGCCTGTCGTCCCTTGCTGAGCGCGATGAAAGTCCTACTGGAGGCGTCGCATCCAGCCTCGATGCAATTGTCTCGTCTCCCCATCGGCCTCCCAAGACCCCGGGCAAATCGACGCCGATGAAGCCACCCATGTCCGAGATGCACCCCAGCAAAGTTCATCACACTATGGGCCCCCCGTCATCAAGCCTCCGGTTGGGCTTTACAGACATCAAGCCTTCTGCCGGATCGCATAACATTCCGGCATCTATCCAAACCACCCCGTCCAAGATCGGCCTTCCTTCGTCGCCATTTACCTTTCGACTTGCCCGTCAAGCCGCCGATATGAAACTCGGACCAGATGCTCAGCGCATGATGGATGAGATTCGAGAGGAAGCTCTTAAGATCAAGGCAGATTTGGCTGCAAAGCGGGAGGTTGAAAAGGAGGAGGAGAAGCAGCTGAATAGCCGCAAGATTGCCCAGCCGAAAGGAAGGGCCGGACGTTTTAGCTCGGTTCACATGGCCGAGTTCAAGAAGATGGACTCGATCGAGAACCACCCTTCAGCGTTCCGCGCGCAAGCCGGTCGCATTACCCCGTCAACGGGCCTCAAGCGGACGCAGTCGCGTGCCAATCTGAACGACTCGGAGTCCGTTCTCTCGAAGAGGCCTACTCCGTCCACTGCTAGGGCCAAAGCCAGCACAAGGGGAGATGATGAGCCAGTTTCTCCTGCAAAGCGCGCTAGGCAGCGCTTCGAGGACGACGCATCCAGCCGCCGCCCTATTTCTCGAGACGAAAGCTCTATCCCGCGCCCAAAGTCATCCGGCAAGGATGCTTGGGGAGTGCCTCGATCGAAATCGAGCCTTGCTTCCCTCATGACGCCAACAAAGGCATCCATGGCTCGCACCATAGCTGTGAAGACGCCTTCTGGCTCCCTGGTAAAGTCTCCGTCCAAGCCGGCTCTCAGTGGGCTCAAGCGATCCACTACAACCAACAACGTTGCGGCTGCCGTTTCCAGTGAGACCATCTCCAATGTCACGGTCCGAAGCCCAAGAAGCCGGTTCGGCAAGATGAAGTCCCTGCTTCGGGGGAATAAGCCGTCGAGCCCTGCCGACATGGCCAAGAGTGGAATTCCGCTTTCTTCCGAGCCCTTCTCGGCCTTGACCAGTCCAGTTCGAACGGAAAAGGCGCTGCCTTCTATCCCATCGGCGACTCCGACACGGAAGCTCTCCAAGCGTAGCCGTCCCACTCCGGAAACTACGCGGCTCGCGGTGGAGAACTCGCCTTCTCCAGTCAAGTCTGGTATCCCGCGACCCAAATCTCGGCGAGGTCCTGGGGAAGTCAGTTATCCCACGTTGGACACTGTCATGGCAGGAGCCGGTGCCGGCGGCGATGTTTCCTACCCCGACCTTTCGGCCTACCGGCCCCTTCCTGAACCTCTTCAGCAAGTAAAGGAGGCCGTTGAGCCGGCGACAGGTCCTGGCACTTTCACTTTCCGTAGTGACCATACAATTAATTTTGGTGGGACCTCGCCGACAGGCTTTGGCTCATCCCCTGGCCAGTCCAGCGTTCGCCGCGTCCGGCCATCGATCTTGCCAACTGCAGGCATGCCTGGAAGCTTCCCAGGTTCAGCGGCAAGTTCCAGCCCTAACAAGGAGAACGAGGCGCCGCAGCCAACTTTCCGAGCCCTCCCCCACGGCATGGCCAATAAAAAGAGGCATCGGGTCAGTACCGACGAAGAGGATGCCGAGAAGGAAGCTGCCGACCGGGCCGCTAAGAAACGCAAGAATGAACATGTCCCCGAGGGAGATGCCTTGCTGGCTCCTCGACTGGTTGGAGCCAGCGGCAAGAAGCCGATCATGAGCCCGAGAAGACTGGGCACTCCAGGCGTTGCTGGGACGCCGAGCACAAAGAAGAAGCCCATTCTTAGCTTTAGCCGACTGAACATGCTGGCTCGCCCGAAGCTCAGGAAGTAAGATTATGGTCCGGAAATTTGCGCGTTTCCATAGGCGCCGTTGGTGCCTGGCAGTAACCAGATGCCAACCTGTCCTCTCGGAATCCACCCGCATGTTTTGCGGCTTGGATATCCGATTTTGTTATTTTCGTGTGTTTTCCCCCCTGAATTCTCAAGGCTGGCGTCATTCATCAACAAGGGATCGACCCTCAACAAGGGATCGACCCTGTTCCCATGGGATGGGGTTGAGAGTCACGTTGCATGATGTTGTGCGATGCTCATTCAGTCTCATTCAGAAATAGTCCTCGTTTTCGATGGCGTTCTTTCACGTCATTCTCATTGGAGCCGAATCTTCACCTCTGACGGTATTGGGTCGCATCCATGTGTATCAAAATCAAGGCGCGAGTCATCTGCTGCTGTTGTTCTGTACGGTATTTTCCCCGACGGTAGGGGCTAGGGAAGGAAAACGGATATTGGAGGCGTCCATGATGTCGGAGGGGTTTTCCTCTTTTCTTTCCGGTGTATTCGGTTTACTCGATGTAGGTACATCGCGAACAATAAACAAAATAACATGTCTGACGTGGGCTGTTCCTGCCTACTTGCATAACTACATCGAACTCCTGCGGTTTCTCTGTCGTGATGGACCGCCGTAATCCATGTTGTTCCTTCCTTTTCTACCCTTTTCATTCTCACGTTGCCTACAGCCTACCTTGGTTTCTACTCCCGGCCATCGTTGAGGCCTTTCGAAGCCGTCATTCCAGGAACCCGCTCTCTGCAGGCCTGGATAATCCTCGCCCTGCTTGCCCAACGAGGGTCCGCAAGGGTCTGCTAGGGTCAGAAATTCCTAAAGACATTCATTTCCAGTCACTTTCCAAGCATTACTAGGTTTCACGGCAACAACTTCCAAGGCTCGGCCAACACCTTCCTCCGCAGGCGCCTCCCCGGACCCCTCAAGATTCTTCACCAGCAACCCTCAACCCAACCCCAGACCCGCGACCATGGCTCGCCCTCCATCCCCGCCCCCTTCCAGCAGCAGCAGCATTGGTCCCGGCAAGCCCACCGCCGCCGCCGCCGACGGCCTCGTCGTCACCTGCACCTTCTGCTGGCAGTCCGCGCCGCCGCCGCCCCACGTCGTCGGCCGCGCAGCCCGCATCGCCTGCGGACCCTGCTACCGCGCGCTGCTCGACCTCGCCGTCTGCTGGGCGTGCGGCGAGGTCGTCTTCCGAGGCGACGAGTGCGTTAGCCTCGGGTGGTGCTTCTGGCACAGGGCATGCTATGGGTGCCTGCTCTGCGGGAGCGGGCTGGTTTGCAAGGGGGTCGGAGTGGCGGAGCTGTTTGAGGGGGGTGGGGAGGTTGTGGGTGGGGAGAGAGGGGGGGATGTGCTTGGGAGGGGCAGGGGGCGGGAGGTCGAGCAGATACCGCTCTGTGGGGGATGCGTCTGGGAAGTTTGTGTTGATGGTCTAGATCAAGGAGCTGTGGTGGAAAGGGGGTTGAAGAGAATCGATCAAGCTGATGGGGGATTGAGCCGGCGTAGAAGGGAAGTCAACCTGGGAAATGGAGGAGTGTCGTCCACGTTCAACAAGAAGAGCGTTGAGGTTAGATTCAACGCTTTATGTGGCCCGAGGATGAGACACTGACAGGAACAACAGGGTTACCAATTACTTAAAGGCTCACCCCTTGGGCACGGCCAATGCGACGTCACCAGCCTTGAGCCAGCTTCTCGGAGAGGCGACGTAGACCGGCCTGTATCTGTCGAGCCGATCTACGTATCCATATTCGACCCCATAGGAGAACCAGCTTTCAAGCCCAGTCCTTCAAAGCCCATACCGGAGTGGATGCAACCCAAGCCGCCCCACGGTGGGCAGTCTGATTTTGAGCAAAGCCAGTGCTCCGTGGCTGACGAGAAAATGGGGCGCCCTTACTGCTCTCGCCCAGAAGCGCGAAAGAGATCACCACTTCGAACGTTATGTCCTCCACCCCAACGGCCCCCTCCTCCACCGCCTCCTGGGAAGAAAAGAGCAAATGAATTGTCTAAAGACAGATCCTTACCTACAGGAAAGAATACAGAACACCCACCCTCGTTTTCCAACGCGCGGCTATCGGACCCTCGGCCAAAGTACGAGGGGGACAACAGATGCTGAAACTTTCTGATCAAGGAGCAAGCCAGGAAGAATGTCCAAGGCCAGCCATTCGGTACAAATTGCCGAGACTCCCGACTCGAGTCGTATCGCATAACCAACACAGACTTAGACAATAGGCTACATTAGCATCTCAATCACCCTAGGTCTCCTATGACCCTCAGCCCTACAGATTGAGAGAGAGCAGCAAGGTGTTTTATCTTGTTGCAAAGTGGCCCGTTGATTGTGCATGTTTAGTATAGTAGAGATAAGCAAAGGCAACACCATAAAATGAAGGGTTGTTGATCCCGATTGTTTTCAATTTTGCGGTTGATATGCATGAAATCGAGACCTGTAGGTGGTGCCAATGGAGGTTGATAACAGTCAATAACAAGGCTGTGCCCAACGTTGGCTGGAAGTTCTGGTGGCTGAAACTGGGGTACTTGATTGGCTGCGATAGTCACCCCACAAACGCCAGCCTTACCTTCTGCCAGCCTACCTTGCGAAAGTAAACTTCCATGAGACCACATTTCCACTCGATGGAAGAAATTCTCTGATCACGAAGCGCATCGCCTCGATCCAAGACAAGATGGAGCCGATAGACAAGCCAGACCACAATCTCGTGGAGCGTGCGTATCTACTAGTCCCGCACCAGTTGACGAATCCTAACCTGCGACACCACAGAACAGGTCAAGGATGTGATCCAGGACCTCTTCCAGGTAATGGTCCAGGTATCATCCTACGACGCCGCCGGCCGGCCAAGCAGAGAAGTCCTGGCAAATGAACTGTAAGCCCGCCCCACGCCTCCTCCTCGTCGCAATCCACAGCCGGGGGGGGCCAAGAACGAAACACACATACAAGACTAACCAACCCCCGCCCTCCCCCCAAGACAAACCCTCTCCGAGTCCCTCCGCTCAGTCCACACGGCCGCCTCCTCCCTGCCCCCCGGCGGCGGGCCGCGCGTCCCGGACCTGCTGGTGCAGTACGTCGAGAACGGCCGCAACCCGGACATCTACACGCGCGAGTTCGTCGAGCGCGTCCGCCGCATGAACCAGCTCGCCCGTGGCAAGATGCGCGCCTTCGCCGCCTTCAGGGACGTCCTGGCCGCGCAGATGGACGCCGCCCTGCCCGAGCTGAGGGGTGACGTCGGGCGGGTCGTCGAGGCTACGGGGGGGAGGGGGGAGGCGGAGGGGGAGCGGGATGGTGCGGGTGCTGGTGATGGTGATGCGCCTGGGCCTGGGGCTGGGGCTGGGATGGGCGGTTTTGCTGCGCCGGGGGGGCGGGTAGTCTAGGTGGTCTGGGAGAATGTCTTTGTGGTGGAGGCGGCTAAAGGTCCGGAACAGCGATGAGAAGACCGCCTGGTCTAGTTCTGGCCTGTCACCCCTGTATACTGGAAGGGGAAGGTGAAAACGACGGGTGAGTGATCGGCTCCATGATCTTTTCTCGGATGGATCATTGACTCCATGTTACTTCTCAGTCATGACCGCCGGCTGACAGTGTCTGCTTCAGCTCCCCTCCCCTTGTCGGCATTATTCTCCGACCTGCAACAGAACGAGCCATGCCCGCTCCTTGACGGGGCTCAGGTGCTGGGGCCCACTGCTGGCGTTGACGGGTTATGCGTTGCATCACTGATACCTAGTTTATGGACAGGAGTAGGATGGCGTTATCTGGGAAATGAAGGCGTTTGGAAGTTGGTCTTGAGGTGTCGAATCGAAGCAGTCCCTTTTCTTTCTTGAAGGGGGGGCTCAATGGACAATAGGAGCTGCTCTAGCTCCTTGAAATTGCACAGCTACGTGTGAGATACGATACATGCACAGTTGGCCCCGTTGGTTAGCATACGGACAAGCTTGCTCAGATGAATTGATCAGCAATTATCAAATATCTTCCACATAGGCGCCGAAGTCACTCCCCCATATCGCCCCTCGATCCCATGCATCCGTGGTTCTGACACCTGGGGCGCTGTATGAAGATCAGCAGCAAATGCAGTTTGCCCTTCCAAATTAGCGCCCTCCCCCCCAATGATTTCCCACCGTGATGGCGATAGGTTGATCTAAAACATAAGTGTACAGAATCGTAACACCAGACATCATCCCCTCCATCCTCATCCAACATCTATCTACCCACCCTTACTCCGTCATCGCCTGCAGCGCGTGCGTAAGCGGGACGATCCGCAAGCTCCGGCCGCGCCTCAGGTTCGGGCTGCTGGCCGTCGGGCTGGCCGGGCCGTTGACGGTGGGGCTGGCGGCGTCGGACCACTTGCGGAAGACGCTCTTGAGGTCCCTGGGGATGCCCTCGAGGACGACGGTCGAGATGGGCACAAAGGGCCGGTCCTCCATCCCCGAGGCGAGGATGGCGTACTCCTGCGCAAAGTCGAGGGCGTTGTGGAAGGACGCGTACTGGCCCCGCGCCTGGGCGCCCACGACGACGTACATCTCGAAGAAGGCGTCGAGGATGTAGATGCCCGTCGGCAGGAGGTCGACCTGGCTGAAGGGGGAGAGCTCTAGGACCTGTTTTTGTGCTGACGTTAGCGATATGTCTTCCCTGCTCGGGTGGGCTTGAGCTTCACTTACCTGCTTGCGATCGGCTGCGTCCGAATGGAACAGGCGTCCGCAGTACTTGTCGTAGTTTGGCTTCAGTCTCCAGTGGTCCGCAGAACTGGGCTTGGCCCCTCCGTCAAAGATGTTCCAGAAGTTGGCCGGCTCCTTGCCGTCCTCGATCTCGCTGAGCTCCCCCATCAGGGCGAGATCCATGCCTACCAGCCGCGCACAGCTCAACTCGGCCACGTCGCTGCCCCTGCCCTTCCATAGATAGCACTGTCCTTGCTGCGTGATCAGGTACGGGAAGCCGGAGCAGAGGCTCGACGGGGAGAAGTCGACCTCGTCGAACACGATCTCGCCAAGATACCGGCGGCCGCACAGCATGTTGGGAGCTAGCGAGTCGTATTTGTTGCTGGAACCACGGCGGACGATGATGATGCCCCCGAGGGCCTGGATGAACTCGGGCGTCTCCTTGCCCTGGGTGAGCTTGATAAGCTTTCCCCCGAATGACCTTGCCTCTCGCTGGATGAAGACATGAGCATCTTCGACAGCTGATTCAGGGACCTCGTCTCCAGCCCAGAAGTAGACTTCGTTCACTTTCCGTCCCGACTCGTTGACAAAGGTGTGCGGGCAGAGGTACATCTCGCGCTCAAACAGCACTCGTTCGTAGTGCGCAGGTACGGGCTGCTTCTTTCCATCCCCAGACACTTGGAACAACTGAACCTTCTGCGTCCGGATTTTGGGCCCGGCTGCCGGCCTCCGTGCCAGGATATCGGCCGTATCAACATTGTAGTTCCTCTTGGGACGCTCGGGCCCAAAGAATTCGGTCAACGCTGCAGATATCTCTAGCGAGGATTTTGTGGGAGATCGTGCCGGAGATGCCAAAGGCGGGGAGGTCACGCCAGATGTTGGAGGAAGTGGTAGAGGCTTGGATGCCCCTTTTGGGGGTGACCTCGGCCGTCCCGCTTCTGCATGTCCCAGGGCTGGTCCGCCGAAGAGGGTCTTGGCGTTCTTGACGGAGACCACAGGATCGGAATCCACCTTGTCATCTGCCTTGCTTTGAGGAGCGCTAGAAACCGGCTCAGGGAGAGGCCGAAATTTGGTGGGAGATGAAGGCCGGGCCTCCTCCCCTTCAACCTTCGAGCCAGTCTGGCCACTCTCGTCGAAAAACTTCGACAGCCTATTCAAGTTCAGTTTTTTAGGCGACGATGGCTGAGAAACCGGGTCTTCCTTCTCATTTGCGGCCTTGGCCACTGGTTGGCTCTTGGCAGCGAGCGCGGCGACTTGCTCGTGAACCTTCGTTGGCGAGCGAGGTCGTGGCTTATAGCCAGGTGAGTCGCCGAAAGAGATTGGGTGGCCAGCTGACCTTGGCCCTTCAGCTACTATCTTCTTCGACGAGTCCACCAGGGATATAACTTGGCGGGGTGGAGCTGGCTTTTCTTTAGAAACCACCTTCGATGAATCGGCAAGAGCCACCACTTCGGGTTTGCGCGCAAGCGCCAGGGGCGCCGGGTTTCCTTGACTAGTAGGCTTCGACATGGGTGGCTTGATGTCATACTTCTCTGCCTCTGCTCCAAGCGGTGTCTTCTTCCCCGGTGTGAGTGCGGGTGCGGGTGCGGGTGCCGATGCGGGTGCGGGTTCTGCGGCTTTGGTGTCCCCGACCGACTTTGCAACGCTAGAAGGAGTCTTCCTCTTAGGACCACGAGCTCGGTTCTTCGTCATATGCGTCAGTTGTGGGCCGCTAGAAGCACCGCCTGGCTCATCCCCTCCAGAAGATGCTTGGGTGGGAGATCCGCCGGAGCCCTTGGTTGGGCCAGACCCCGCTCCAGGAGGACCTCGGGCCAATATACCTGCCAGTGCTGGATTGAATCGGTCGGCCAACGCACTTCCCCCTGGCCGGTTTTGGAGGCGGCCTGGTGCGCTAGTCTCCTTCTGTAGAACAGGCAGCGTCGCGGGGATGTCTTTCTCGACCCAAGTGGAGGCCTTCGGGGTAGATAGAGGTGTTATGTCGGCTGATTCGCGGCCGGATAATGTCGAGATGGTGCTTGACCGGTTGGATGCACTTGTTCGGCTGAGAAATTCCGATGGTGCGTCGGACACGGCCGAGTCTCGCTTGGAAGTGGTGCTGGACCGGTTCAGCTCCATCTTCTTTGCAAGGCCTTCAGGGATAGTTTTCTCGCTAGACGTGCTTGAGCGCCTCGTGGCCCCGCGGCCTTCCTGCTGAGCCTTTATGAACTCTTCTTTCTTCTTCAGAATTGCTTCCTTGAACTCGTCTTTTCTCTCCGTCTTCTTCGGGCCGCCAGTCAGATTTAGCGCTGCCTTCCCCCGCAAGATGTTGTGCTTCAGCTCGTCCGGCGCCACGTAATTCTGGGTCTTGGTCCGCCGCAAGCCCCCAAACACGTTCTTCAGCTCATCCTTCTGTCCCGGCCCTCCCGTGTCTGGCTGAGGCTGCCGCGGCTTCAGGTTCGTACGGAAATCCTTCTTTGGCGGGGTTTCTGGCTTTGCCGTATCGGAACTCGAGGTGGCCCCTTCTGCTTCTTCAGTCCCTGCTTCCGATGCGCGCCTCGAGAGGCTGCCGCGCAAGCTCGCGACAGGGGTCTTGTCGCCGGCGGGTATCACGGGTGCGAGGCCAACGCCGCCAAGTCCGCCTAAGCCAGTTGGCTTCACATTAATTCCCATGGGTGACGACCTCATAAGCCCCCCGGTTTTCACCTCGTGCTTCCGTGGCACAGGAGAATTTCGGCCGAGGTCGACGCTGCCATTATTAGCCCGTTGCGCCCTCGCCTTGTTGAGCTCGACCATCCATGCCGGTTGGTTTGACGGAGGAGGGGTAGGTTTCGGTTTTGGTGATTCTGGCTTGTTTAATGCCGTCTCGAGCCAACTTGACTTGGTGGGACTCCATCTCCGCGGGTCCATGGTCTTCGAGGGGCTTGTAGGGAGCGTGGCATTTTCCTCGTCCTCCTTGGGCCCGGCCCCGGGTTTCTCGTCGGTATTTCCAGGCTCTTGCCCGTCACTCGAAGTTGGTCTCGAAGGTGTCCTTGATTCTTCACGTAGAAGGCTAGTACGGTGGGAATTTTCCTTCGGTGTGCTTGTCCGCTGTGAGTGGTCGAGGCCGGTGCGGTTGGACACGGTTGAATCGGCTCGTTGCAGTCCTGTTGAAGAATTCACACTCCAACGCTTGACACTATCCGATCGCTTCATCATTGCACTTTGAACGAAGCCACCCATACCCTTGGTCGGCGAAAGCGGCCGAGTCGGCGACGTCCGCCCTCCAGGGGACGTGACCGCTTGGCGGTCAACGAATGCAGAAGTATCCTCCGCACTAGCCCCGGTGCTTGGAGGGTCAAATCTCTGCGCGCTGCTCAAGACTAGGGGGGACCCAAATTTGCCCTGAGACGCTGGAGAAGTCGGCAGAGGGTCCGATGGTTCCTTCGGTCGGTCCATTGAGGAGTCACGCGCCATCCCAGGAAGCTGGGCGCGAACGGATGTCATATCAAGAGTGTCCTCGTCCTCCACCTGATTCCGCCGATATGCAGCCGAACTCAGTCCGCGATCGGGCGTCTGACGGAACCAGGCTGGGTCCTTCCCGGAGAGGGCCTGAGCAATTTGTTCCTTGGAGGGATTTTGCTCTGCCGGGGCTTGCTCGGCCGAAGTGGAGGAGCGGGCGGTGGCGTTCTCTGTAGCGACGATGGAAAGCGGCCGGCTTTTCGGTCGCTCCGAGGTTTGCGATGTCGGTCGCCTCTGCCAGGACAAGGGGGAACGTGCAGGCAGCCCAGCCGTGGAAGGGGAGGTCAGGGTCGCGCTCGATCGTTTTGTGTCCGAGTCAGACAAGGGATAGTTTTCCTTAGTAGGAGAGGTCGAATAGTCGGTAGAAGCATCCGTCGTGTCAATTTGGAGAGCGGCACGAGCTGATGGACTTGCGGGACTGGCGAGCAGAGGAGACGCGCCCAGCTTTAAGCCATCCAGGCCTGAGACATGAGTTCTGCTGAGACGTTGTGAAGACGGCGGTGGGGTATTTGCGGGTGAGGATTTCTGAGGAGAAATTGACCTTGCACGTTCTGCGACGAGGCACGAAAAAGGGTCAGCACATGCTTCTCAGATCTTGGCGTTGCGGTAACAAAGCAGCGGTTTGTGAGGGATGACGGGCTTGTTGACAGAATTGGCGGTCTTGCTTCGAAGACCAGGATGTCCAATGTGGCAAGACACAACCAAGTCCCAGTATCGGTCTTCCTTTTAAAAGAAGGCAACGTTTACATACCTGCTCGCCGAGCCTGACGCTCTCGCCGTTCTTGCAGAAACTTTTCCTCCAGCTCCCTAGAACGCGCCTCGTCTTCTTGGTCGCGCCTTTCCTTCAGCTGCTCTACTGAACGCAGAAAATTGGAAACTTCGTCGGACATGGCGATCCGGGAAAGAAGTCTGCATGACACAGAACAGAATACGCGACGGATTATTAGGGTTCAGTGGCTGACAGTCAAGGTCAAACAATGCAAACCACCTTCCACAGGCTACGTCGTACAGAGCACAGAGCACCAAAAGTTCGAGAGACAGAGAGGGGCATCGGAACCACCACAGGCTGCAAGGATGATCGCCGTGCCGTCGCGGCAGGTACCTGACGCTAGGACTTACCGCTAAAGACCAGCAGGCACGGAACCTACGGTACCCAACTCTTTTATTCCAGATGATATACGGGATCTGTACATGTACTGTACGAACACACGCGTAACGCCTGGCCAAGGCTAGGCAAAAACCAAGGTTTCAACTCTGACAATGATGGTAATTAAATTGGAACTGTTCGCCGTCGTGAGATGGATCCACACAAATAAGGGTTCCCAGTTCATGCAAGGATTTTGGCCAGCTTTCCAATCCGGAGCAGGTGTTCAGTATGCTTCTCCAGGGGTGCTGTTACACATGTCAAATCATGGCTGCTGATCTGCTTGTAGCCGATCTGTTCCAGGATGCCAGATCAGTGTGTAAAGGCAAAACAGCTCGATAACATTATGCCTACCGGTTAAGCGCCACGACGCCCAATGACATGATCTTTCAGGGAGCCATATCCCACGGCCCTTTCCTGTCGTTTTTTATCATCCTCCGCGGAGCCCACTTGCCCCAGATCAATAAAGGAACAGTCGTGCCTTTGCATCCTCAACCACCCACGCGAGCCCTTCTTTGAGATTCCGACCCGTCATGGCACTGCATGGGAAAATATTCCACCGGTGCGTCCGGATTTCTCGTAGCTGTAGAGCCTACCGGGCGCGGTTGAGCGTGCCGAGCCTTCGTCGACTGTTAAGAACTTGTTGGGGGCTGCTTACCTCTAGGATCTCATCGCCATCCATACACCCCACAACGTCTGTCTTATTGGCAAAGACAAGAAGACTTGACCCGGACAATCGCTACACTGCTTGTCAGCGAGCACGCAACGGATATCTTGACGCAAAGGCAGTGACCGAACCTCCTCCTGGAGCAGACCGTGCAGCTCACGTCTGCAGTCCTCGATCCGCAGACGGTCCGTCGCATCCACGACCCAGATCAGGGCATCCGTCTTCTCAAAGTAGTTCCGCCAGTAGGACCGCAACGTCTTTTGCCCACCGACGTCCCCTAGCGCTGGTTAGACACTTTCAACGGCAGTTTGAAAAACAAACGCGCTTGGCATACATATATTCAGCTTGTACCTAGGCCATTCAGTCAGCGATCTTGAATACCTTGGACAGCCGTGGAAGTGGGAGCATACCCTTCATAGTCGATTGTCTTGATTATGAAGCCAAGCGTGGGGCTGACGGTGTTCACGTCCTCGCCCATGATTTTCTTGACGATCGTTGTCTTTCCTGCATTGTCGAGACCTCTATTTCGTTAGGACCAACAGGTGAGCCACAGGCAAGCAGTTCATTTTCTCACAGCATCAATATCCTCAGCTCCTTATCCTTAAGTCTCGCCTTCCGTAGTATAGAGAGCATGGCCTCGAGGCAGCGCGTCGTTATTGGAGATGTAGGTGGTACTTAAACCGGCGAAGTGGAGGGGCGAGGTTGTTCAGCGATAACACGCGACGATAAGAATGGCGGGGCTCGGTGAAGCCTTAGAAGTCGGCCTGGAGAACGCAATGGAACGACACGGGACAATCATGAGGCCCAACTTTCTGCTAAAGGACAACCCGATTAACTCATCGTCTGTTTCGAGGCTTGGATTGGCAATCCGGTGTGTCCCGAAGATGTCTCCAATATTTGGGCCAAATTGACCGCCTCCACGGACGAGAAGATGATGTCGGTCCTGAACAGGGGTTGCTCTCCACTATGAGATTGAGAGCCACGATGAAGCAGCACCTAGATCGGAACTTGTGTGGGTAAGAAGGCGAGGAACGTTGGGGGTTTATCTCCATCTTACTTTACTACCCCCAGATCTAGTAGAAACACTCCGACCAGTTGCCTCCCTAGGTCCATAGGTATGTACCTACCTACCTGCCTAGCCACTCCAAAATGGGAATTGCATTGTCTGACAGGCAGCAACTCGAACACCAGTCACTGAATCCAAGGACACCTATGGTACCCAGGTATTGCAATCCCAAATTTGTTGTGGGCAGTTGACGGTGCCCAGTGCTGGAGCTATTGGCGTGGGGCTTGAATGAGAAGGTGCGTTTTTCATGATTGCCTAGCATTCACGATCCAGTGACACGCAAAGAGGCTTCCCATAGGTACCCGACTCAGGATGAGCCAGGGCATATATTTAGGGGTATTAGAGAAGATCCGTGCCGATCCAGGGCAACGCTTTCGGGGCAAGACGTCCCCCCTGGAAATGCCTTCAGGTGAGTCGTATCATCCACACCGGCCGTGAACGTGTAGACCTGAGTCCTATTGACGATGCACAGCTATAGCAATATTCCGTCAGCTTGAGTCAGGGAGAAGTATTAATCTCGTTGGCATGGATAGTACGGAATATCTGGTCACCTGATAGGTGTGTAAACCTGAGCAAGCCCCTGAATTTCCCCATTTCCCCGTTTTGGTTCGCTCAGGGGCCAGGACACTCGACTGGTATGGCAAATAGACGTGACAATGGAATTATTGAGGCTCCGTAAGTACAAATATTCATTGTAGCAACATGAAAGATCAAAAGGTACCTACCACCGACCTACCTAGGTACCTACCACCGACCTACCTAGGTACCTACCACCGACCTACCTAGGTACCTACCTCCCAAGTATCTGTACAATCTACTCGATTCTCGGACGTAGACGGTTGCCTGGACATTATCAGAAACACCCGAGGACACCACCCTCACTGCATCTTTCCCGGCCAGGTAACCAAAAAGAACTCACCAAGAGGTAGATACCTAGAAGCAGAGTACAAACATGGCTGACCGAACTCGAGTGATTCATTTGAGCCGAGGCGTCGCAAAGATCACTATCTAGGTACCCACCTCGACCTCCATCTTCCTGAGTCCATTGTCCTTCCTCCCAATATCAAACCTTTTCCCAGCACCGACCGAGTTCGGACGACATACAAAAAATCAGCAAGCTCTACACCGCCTTACTCTTACTTGCTGCCACCCTCAAGGCTGTCAAGGACAAATATAATCCTTTGTTCTGCCTTCGACCAGTATGCTGCGCTCCCAAAGGTACGTATTTATTTCGATCACTCCGAGCCACGGCATCGTCCTCTTCATGTAGGTTGGCAGCTGTGGCTTCGACTGGACAGTTCTCATCTCTCATCTCTTGAATTTCATGGCTTTCCTGCATTCGAGGGAAAGTTCTAGCGCTGCTCTCCGTCTGTTTCTCCTTTCCTCTCCCCCGAAACCATCTCCTGCAGGCTCCCGCATATACCTTTCCAATACCAGAAGGCCAACCTTCTTGCCCCATCTTTCGACAACCACCTTACTCACCCTCACATCTCACCTTCGCATCATCCAACAGGGCCAAACAAAAGAAGAAAGCAAATAATACAGCAGCCAACCTCGAATTCATATTCTAATCAACCCACTGAGCAGGTCTTGTGGTCAGCCTTGTCAACTTGAGGGTCCGCAAGCTTAACTTCTTCCAAGAACATCCATATCTCGGAAAACTTAGCATCGAGAGGTGACCGAAGGTTAGTCACAGGGATACTGTGTCGGATCCAGTGGCTCTGACAATCTGCCATGTAGGTCAACATGCCTAACGGGACTCAAAAGTCTGGTTGGACGCGATACAACCGCGGTTTGTGGAAGAGTTTGCACGGCGAGAACAAAACTCTTAGCAGTGTGACCAAGGGCAACATGCAGAACTTGCCGCAGGCCGACAAGTCGGAGCACCCAGACGGGACCTCGCCGCATAATATAGACGGGGCAGAGCCTCATCGGAGTGCCAAATCTGAGAAGGTAACTCCCATTCCGGGTGTACCGCCTCACTTGTGGCATAAACATCAAGCCAGCCAAGCTGGCAACCAGAAGAAGAACATTCGCTCCAGCACTGATAATGGCAACCCTTTCACGCCCGGTGTTCGAGACAACCCGTCGAACAGGCCTGAATTGCCTACGAATGCCAGTGATCAGAAAATCTCGACAAAAGGATCCGGCAAGTCCTTCAAAGGTTTGAGGCAGCCTTCCCAGACACATCCTTCGCAACCTCAAGAAGGGGCTACAAATTCGCTCACTCAGGGTAAGGTGTACCAGCCCCATCTTAGCGGAATAGTCACTAACACAGAGTAGTTGATGCGTCTTGGCCAACAGGAGAAGTTGACCCGAAACCGAAGGCTTGTCGTTATTATGCATACAAACCCAACCGCAGAGGGCATCGCCGAGGCGGGGCCAGAGAAAGCTCTACCCAAGTCGCGAGTAACTCCAAGATTCCACCACTCGAACAGTCATTTGTGCCAGCGGGTACGGTTCTCCCCAAGAGCAGCGACACCCGATCTTCACCCACCGTCCTTTACTTCCAACCCGCGATACTTCCTGCAGGCAGAGTTGAGGACTCCTCCCAGCCAATACCACCACCTAAAGCTGCCTTGCAAGCCGTTGGCAAGACCGTTGAACCTCCCCAGGTCACGGGGAGGGTTAGACCGACAAACATGGCCGATCCAGATCTCACCACGTACCGCGCCCCCCGGCCGAACCCCAACTATAGCGGCTCGTCTGTCGTCTTGGAGTCTGTCTCGTCAATGAACGTCAGCGACACGGGAATTGACGGTGTCCCCATCGACAAGCGTGACAGCGAGCCCATAAAGGACGTTCGTAATGACATAGCGCCCGAACATACGATTCAGAACACCGGCACGGGCTGGGTGCAGAGCAACTGGGGCGGCTGGGGTCCTCAGGACGGAGTTTTGAAGACCATGTCATTCCTCGAATCCTTCGTAGTGGCGTGGGTCCGAACCGTCCCTGATAACATCAGGCCCGAGTTCCTTGCACAGAACGCCCTTGGTCACTGGGAGTGCGACGTTGACCCCAACACGGGGCTCCTCTTGCGCCCTGTCGATTACCCTAGCACCATGGTCAATTGCTCGGAATTAGACAAGGCTACCGAATGGCGGCAACAAAACTGGACCTCGAGCCTCCTCATGCGGCGTGAGAATGCCAGGCTCAACCGAGCCGGCCACCAGGGTCCTCCCCGTCGCCATCCACCCCGCGGTTGGACAGAGACGCCCCTTGGGCCCCCAGAAGTGACCCAGGCAATAAAGGACGAGCCACGGGAGAAGCCATACAAGCCGGAGCCCAATCCATATGCGCCGATGATTCCTTGTCATATGCGACCCGCGATGACAGCAGATATGGAGGGAGTCCGTGAAATCTACAACATGGAGGTAGAGAACGGCCTCCAAGCGGGAGATACAGAGCCACTCTCGCTGCAGGACTTCAAAAAGATCTTCGAAACAACCAGGGAGCTCAAGATGCCCTTCGTGGTTGTGATCAGTGGGGAGTATCAGGACGCGGCTAAGAGCAAAGGTCCTTCTGCGCAGCGTCCCAAACACTGGAACCAACGTCCCCAGGGACCACCTCCTCGAGTTCTGGCCTTTGGTTACCTCTCCGTCTGGGAGCCAGGCCTCGCTGGAAGCGTAACTGGCAGGAGTCGCATGACGGCAAGGGCCCACGTGTATGTGCACCCGGAATATCGGAAGAAGAAGCTCGGTCACGCCTGCCTGGACAAGCTCATGTCCACGGTTTCGTACCGCTACTCGGCCCGGCTCGCATGCGAGTTCATCGACCCCACCGACAGCCCGATCTACAAGTACCCGCGTCACCACGATAGAAAGTACTATTTGGTCTACCTCCACTACTACGTGAAGACCAAAACCCCTCCCGGCTCGGGGGCCATCGACACCGTCAACAAAAAAGACCAGGACAAGGAACTCGAGTGGGCGGACTCGTACTTGAAGGAATTCCGGTTCTGGCAAAAGGCCCGCTTCGAGGCCTGCCACCGGACTAAACCTAGCCAGCTTCCCCAGCCTTTCTGGCTTGATGTCGTCGTCTTTGAACACATCTGCCAGACCGACTTAAACTTCACCCAGCTCGCCTAGACCTCGCAGGCGAACTGCTTTTTGCTTTTTTTTTGGTCTCGCCCCTGGCGATAATCTGCTTACGATGCTGGACGCATAATGATTTCGGTGATGGCATTGCAATTCCGGATAAGAAAATGATGCCGCTTGGTGCTTGCCCCTTGAATGCACCCAGGGATAGATGTGGTCACGACCAACAGAGCAGGCCTCGCCCCTTGAGGCTATGGATTCGACGAGACATGGTTGTTAGATAGTTGTACGATGTGATGACGGAGGCCTTGGTCAGGGCCTTAACTGACCTTGATATTCGAAATCAGAAACTGGGATAAGCTTCCCTTGGAGGCGTGGAAAAATGGTTAGTTAGGGAGATAGCTGAATCGGGAGCCTGGCATATGACGCACAAAATGTTCAATGTTCCCTTGCAAGTGATGTGTATCGACAGATGGCAGAAAGTAGTGAGTTCTAGGGAGGTTGATTAAGATACCTACTCATGACAACCCCTGACAGATCGATGATCCATCGTCTATAATCCACTGGCATTGACCCAAATACACTTCTCTCCAACCCCTCCTGTTCACTCTTTTTGTGTATTATGACTTTTGGCATTTCCCCCTTCCCTCTGAGGATCCCCTCTGAGGAATCTTAGTCCAACATTCTTTCTACAAGTATATCTCAAAAAATCCTCTACCAACCTAATCCTTCTCCAACCCCTCATACAGCTTCTGCACCGCCGGCAGGAACGCCTCAGCCTTCCTGAAGTCGCCAAGCTTGACGCGCATGTAGTCAAAGGCAAACAGAACCGACATATCGCCGGCAGCAGCGCCCGCGTCCCCCTCCTTTTTCCCGGCTCCCCCCTCCTCCGAAGAAGGAGGAGACTCCGCAGCAACCTCCGCAGGGCCGGCATCAGGGCCGATGACGGGGATCTTGGGATAGCGCTGGGAGAAGTGGGTGAGCAGGACGCGGCGGGCGCCCATGAGGCGGGCGACGCCGAGGGCCTCGGACATGGTGCAGTGCTTCTTGGCGAGGGCGTCGCCGGCGAGCTCATCGTCAAAGGTGCTCTCGTGCACGAGCAGGTGGGCGCCGCGACCGACGGCGGCGAACTCGGCCGACGGCCGGCAGTCGCCCGAGTAGGCGACCTTGAGCCCCGACGGGTGCAGCGTCAGCGCCACCGCCATGGCCCCGTGGCAGTGGTCGACGAAGCACGTCTCCACGCGCGAGAGGCCGTAGCGGAGGGTGCGGGCCCCGTCGGCGACGCGCGTCGACCGGCCTGTGCGCGAGCGCGGCTGCTCGTTCATCACGAGCCGCTCGACGTTTGCGCCGAGGTACGCCTCCACGTCCTTGTACTCGGTCAGGAAGTCGTGGAAGTGCGCGTGCGCGATGATGCCCAGCGGGCGTGGGGCGTCGCCGTCGGGCGACGGGCTGCTGCCGTAGCGGAGGTCCCGGTGGCGCCGGATGACGCTGACGGCGCCGAGGTGGTGGTCCGCGTGCAGGTGGCTGATGAAGATGGCGCGCAGGTCTCTGACGATCTCGTCAGCGCCCTCGAACCCGTACACGCGCCTCAGCTGGCCCAGCGTGTTCTCGCCGCAGTCCAGCAGGTAGCTCCCGTGGCCCGGGACACGGATCAGGGTCGCCGACACGTTGCGGTTCTTGGATGGCAGTGCAGAGCCGGTGCCGAGCGCGACGACCTCCATGTCGCGGTTGGGGATGTCCTTGTCTGCCTCCTCGATGGCGGCCAGGAAGGCCGGGTCGGAGACTTTGGCCTTTGCTGCGTTTGCTAGCGCAATGACCTCGGACTGGCCGTGGATTTCTTTTAGGACCTGGGCGGTGTCCAGGTACGGGGCTGCCTTGTCGTCCTGGAAGATAACCTGGGGAGCTAGCTGGAGGCCGGCGCCTGCCTGGGCGGCCTGGTACGGCGGGTCCGGAACCCCAAAGGACTCGGGCGGGTTAGGTTTGTTGCTGTATGTGGGGATGGGAAAGCGATCTGGGTCTATCCTGTTCAGTTTGATAGCTTCGGAGGCCGGGCTCACCAACGGTAGGTGGTTGGGGCATGTATCTCGTGAAAGGATGATGTGCTTCATCGACGACCGCTCTTGCATAAAGGACATGATTCTCGAGTCCTGGAGGACTTCCGGCGACTTGATGATCCAATACATGGCCTCGATGCCACGCATGACATCCTCGGCAGCCCATTCCGGCCTGGAGAGAAAGCTTTCTATGTAGCTGATGTAAGGGACTTCGACGATGATGAATCCGTGCCCCTCAATGGTTGGTTCCAACACCATCTCAGGAGTGACGGTCAGGTTATCTTTGCCCGGGACGCTCTCCCCCGCGGTCAGCCGCTTGAAGTTGGTCTGGGCAACGCCAAGCCTCCTGGCCTCGTCAACCTTGAACTTGCCTCTCCTGGCCTGGTTCTTGACGATATAGCACATTGACTCCGCGTACTGTGTGGTTGGAGGTAGCGAATCAATTAATGCAGATGGCCAAGGACTGCGGACTAGGACCTTAATATCTGGAACAAGGTCTCTTCCGTTGGGGAGTGGACCGTCGTACTTCACGATATGGCCGCTGGCGTCCCTCATGAAGAGGGTTGCAGGAAGTTTGACCGTGTTCAGCGGGACTTCTTTGAGGGTATCGAGTTTCCAGCCGGAGTCGAACATATCATGAACTGCCTTGGCTCTAATCTGGTGGGCAGTCTCTGCATCCAGAGGCTCATCCTGAGCGCCTTTCTCCGCAGGGCCCGTCTGATCCCGCTGAGAGGCCGGCCTAGAGGGTACACCATTGTCCCCCTCGCTATCGGACAACGCCTCGTGGCTTCGTTTCCTCCACCGGCGACCCTTGTGGGCGAGAGGGACATGCCAGACCCTGAGGTTTCCGTCCTGCCAGTCGGGCTCCTTCGCGGTACATGTGCCGTGCGCCCGAGGATCTGTCCGGATCTCGTGTGGTCGCAGAGGGAAGCCCTGGCGGAAGACGAACTTGCGCGCGGTTGCCAGCAGGTGGGTTAGGTTCCTTGGCCCGTGGATGTTCAAGGCCGCGAAGCTCGCGGGCTTCTCCTTCTGACCCTTCGCGGCTCGCTTCTCGTTTTCTTCCTTGAGCGCGGCCTTGGCGCCCGCAGCAGCGTCGCCAATGGTCAAGATCATGCCCAGGAGGCCGCCGGTGTTTTGCCAGTTAATGGACCCCGTAAGGAAGATGTCTTCGATATTCCGGGCAGACATCCTGCGCTGCACCAAGAGGCGCTGGGTGCCTTCGGAGACATTGCCAAAGAGGTATCGGCGGTTGTCGAAATGGACTGCGAGACATGCCCCCGTGTCCGCCGTAGGGGTGCTCAGGACCTCGACCCAGTTGAGCATACTTCGGATTCGGGCGTCCCGGCGAGACTCGTGTGTTTGTCGTTCTAGCTCTGCAGCTTCTTGGTCTAGAAGCTTTGCCTTTGCAGTGCCTGTTCTCGGAAACAGGACGAATTTGATTGCTTGCTTTGGGGCAAGAAGAGCTGGCGGCTTACAGGCTAAAAGGTCGCGGAAGGGGTAGCTGGCGGACTTGGGCTTGGGCTTGGGCTTGGGACTGCGGCCTACTTTAGCGCGAAGTTTTCGGCGGATTAGCTTTGCATCAGGAGCGAGAATGGTCGGTATCGTTTCTCCCAGTGGCCTCAAAGCTGTCGTCCAGGGCTTCATCTAGTCGTGTCTACCATTCCTTCAGTCACTTTCCGGCACATGATTCGACGCGGCCAACCGGTGACTCAAATTGAGGAGGATGCAAGAGGGACAAGTGACGCCGGTGACGCCGGTGACTCCTAGTCATTAATCTTGACGCGCTGTAGGCCGTTTTTTTCTTCTTTGCGCGCCTTGCGGCTGTTTCGCCCCTCGGCCTGACCCGTCGCCTTATCTTATCAGCTCGTGGCTTAGCCATGTGGCGCAGAACCACACCCAGAGACAAGGCTGAAATAGGAGCCAGCCTCACCACACTTGACCAAGAAGCCAAAACACCATGGTAGATTAATGATGAATAAAATGATAACAACAGTAGGGGAACAACTTTGCTTCGTAGATTGAAATTGAAATCTCGCATACGCCTAAACTTGTAGCAAGGGATGGATCAACCCACTTAGTGCAAGCTAGGTGCCTAGCAAAATGGAAACAACTTCTGCATACATAGGTTTGTATATCACATACAACAACTGCTGCAAATATACCAAGAGTGTGTCGTAAACAGGGGCAAAGGCAGAAGGAGCTCAATGAGAAAAAAAGGGGAAAAAATACCGCTAGGTGGTTCGAACAAAAGAGTTCGGACTCGGTGTCGCTGTCCTACTTCTCTTTGTCGTCGAGCCGGTTGTTGATTTTTGTCGGTTTCAGTTTGTCGCTCATTACCACTCCGCCACGGGACCACAGTTTGACCTGAGCAACATAGCCATGAAGCCGCCTGCTGTGGTCCTTGAGAATTTGATCCCAACCCTGGTATATAAACCTTTTAACAACCAGACACCCCCTGACCCATGTGACATGTCACTTGCTCACCCAGTCACCTACTCACCAGCTAGGTGCTCACCCGTTTACTTACATACCACCCACGCACCCACCCATATCTACCCACATATGCTATGCAGCAGACCGTTTATCGTAGATAGTGCAACCCCAACCGCGACAACGAGCTTTTAAAACCCCAAAGTGACGTAGCAAAACCACAGCATAGAATCCGGCACGAAACAATCGTCTAATCTTCATATTCAAGTAAACAGTTCTACCAACAGGGCTCCAACAACGCCCAGCAAACCAGACACATAAACAAGCAGATCTACACCCCCTCTGTGCAACCAGACGTCCCAACACCAAGACCCCCCATATCTATCTCATTGGGCCTGCACAATCTCAGAAAGCCTAGGAAAAAAATCCCCACTCTCCATCCCCCATTTATCTCTTCCCCCCTCCCATCCCCCTCATGGCCTCCCTCACGATCCCCTCCGCCTCAGCGACAACATCAAGCCCCTTCCGCCACGTATACAGCGCAACGCCGTGCCTGTCCAGCGTCTCGTGCGCCCGCGCCAGCCTCCTCCGCCAGACGTCCAACTTCCTGTTCACCGCCGCGCCGGGACCCGCCGCCGCCTGCGACTGGTACTGGGGTTGGTACGCCGCGTCGGGGAGGGACTCGACGTCGACGTCGGAGTTGGTGCGCGTCGGCGGCGGGCGCGGGGCCGGGGTCTGGATCGGGTTGAGGAGTGTCCCCGTCGGGGTGGTGGTCCCGCGGCGGCGTGGCGGGGGTGGTGGTGGTACCTGCTGCTGCTGCTGCCTGGACGAAGAGGATGTGGTGCTGGCGTTCGAGGTTGCTCGGGCGGGGGGCGTGGGCGTTGGCCGGCTGGCGCTGCTCCCGATGCTCTGGTCGGACGAGTTTTGGATTTGCGTGAGCGGGTGGGGATGTTGACTCGATTGAGGCCCGGAGAGCTTGCGGACGCGTGGGTTGGGCGGCGGTTGGGGATTTCGCCTGTCAGGCTGTGCTGATGATCCCAGGCTAACCTCGGAAGGAGAGCTTCGAAGGGCTAGCGGCTTTTCTGGACGCGGGGGAGGCGCCTTTCGGCCGAGCAGGTTGGAGGTGCTGCTGCTGGTCTTCAGTCTCGAGTTATCCTTGAGCCTGGAGAGGTTTCGTGATTCGTTCTGCGTCATCTCCTCCGGCTCGGCTGACAAGTCAATCAGCGTCCCCATCACGGGGCCTTCCGGCCTCGGTGGCGTTGTTGCCACCCGGGGCGGTAGAGCCGGTCGGGCCGCGGGGTCGTCAATTTTAGACTGATGCCCGGCGATACGGTTCCGAGTCATCTCACTACGGCTACCGCGCTCACCGCCACCATTGAATGATGCATCAAAGTATCCTGGCTGATCTGGCGTCGTCACGTCTCTGATGAAGACGGCTAGAATCCGGTTCGGGTTTGAAACCACCAGATCCGTGTAGACTTCGAGGTCGGCCTCTCCACTATCGCCGACGAGGAGAAATTTCCGTTCGGGGAAGTCTCGTAGGATCTTCTCGACGGAACCCCGTTTCCTCTCCGCCACGGGTTCGAATATTCCTTGCAGCATCCCGCTATACTGCTTTAATTGGATAGAACCCGGTGGGAGACCAGCTAAGCGGAAGAAGGTGGCAAGGACTGGGTACAGCTGCCATGGGCTGTTTGAGCAATAGTGGATTTCCACGCCCATATCGTGAAGAGAAGTGTACCATTCCCTCACTCCTTCGATGGTCAGGTCGCTCAAGTCCCTGAGGAACGTGTTGCGGAAGATCTCCCGTGCGCCCAGGGATATGTTCGAGTGCTTGATCGTGTCGTCGATATCGCTTATCACGCTGACACCGGAGCTCTCGATGACGCGCACTGGCTCGGTAGCAGATAAGTTCTCGTTAGCTAGCGTCCTGACATGGGTTGGCACAAAATCTAGCGCGGCGCGCATGACGAAATGGCCCGCATCGTTGGTCATCACGGTGCGCGACTGGGACTGCGTGTCGTTGTAGAAGAAAAGTGTGACCGGCAGCTGGACTAAAGGGGTTGTCATGAAAGGTCCAAGCCGCGCCATGAGATTTGCGTTGGCGACAGCCAGTTCCGCCTCGGTGAGCTCGGCCGGCTGCGTCCCCCACGAGGCCTTGGGTGCCAGAGTCGGCGACGGAGGTACCGAAGGAGGCGAGTCTCTTCCGTTCCGCGTCCTCGGAAAGCGGAGGTTTTGCGGCGTATCGACCTCATCATCGGAATCCTTCGGCGGTTCGCTATATCCTCCCCGACTCGCAATTTCCTTCTCTCCTTGACCTTTCCTCTCGATTTCCCGTGCTTCTTCGGCTATCTTCTGCTCCTCCCTCATGCGCTCATGTTCTTCGTGCATTGAAGCCACCGGCTGCTGGCCCTGAGCCAATGGAGGAGGGATTCCACTCAACCTCCGGGCAAGACCCACCAGCATGCGATTGCGCCTGGTCATCTGCCCCTTCTGCGGCGTATATATCCAGCCACGGACATCGACGTCCACAATTGCCTTCTCATCCTCAATCCTTGCCCACTCCTGACGCCAATACTCTTCGTCGTTCATGCTGCCCTGGGTCGGCAAAGGAGCCTCCGGGAGATTCGACGATCTCTCCTGACCGGACTGTTTGATATGGTGCTTGGCATATGACGGAAAGAGCACCATCTGCTCGTTCCCCTTCGTCACAATAGCAACATCGGGGAAGGAACCCGGTATCGATATATCCGAATCGGGCAATTCCACTCCCCGCACTCGCGTGTTGTTATACTGCTCCTTCAGCTCGCTCGCCGCTGCCACGCCGGCACGGTAGACACTCCCCGCCATGGCAGCCAGCTTCTTTCGTCGGGCGCCAGGCTCTCGCTGGGCCAGTGAGTCCGAGCCCACCCCATAACCGTCAACTCCTCCTATTCCTCCGCCACCACCACTACCGTACCCATAGTAACCCCTCTGAGATGCCATCACCGTCTGCTTCTGCTCGACCCCTCTCCCGGGCGGCGCACTCGCATCCTCCTCCTTCCTCCTCCGGCTGTTGTGCCCGCGGTGGTGCTGCTGCTGGTGCTGGTGCTGTCTCGGCGGCGGCCCGGGCCCACGTAGGAGCAGATTGGCCCTGCGGCCGTGCCGGGCAAGGGCGTCGACGAGCCTGGTGCCCTCGCGGGTACGCCTGCGCTGCTCGCGGGCGACCAGGAAGCCCCAGATGCGGCTCTGCAGGCGGTGCTTGTAGCGTGGGAGGGCGTCGAGCCGGAAGGCGAGCAGGCGCTCCCGGTAGCGCTGGCGCACGGAGTGGGGGAAGAGGTACTGCAGAAGGGTCGAGCGGTGGTGGGGGTGCGGGCGGCCTGGACCGAAGGGCGGTTTGATTCGTGGATTGAAGCGAGCCACTTTTGCTGAGCGACACGACACTTAGGGAGCCACGGTGACGCCGAGATGCGGTGGAAGCGGCGAGATATATATTCGGGGATGCGATGTGCCAAGCAAGTGTGACTCTAGCATGCTTGTCTGCTGGAGCTCCTGTGGTGGCCAACTGATTGGAAGCAAGGCACCCCGTACTCTGTAGGCAACAGGAGTCAAAACCTAATGATTGGAAATGGATACAGCTGATGTCGACAGTTGGTCCCTGACTATTAGCATGTGACCAACGGCGCAGGGGCAGAAGATTTGAGTAATGTGCCCGGCATGCAGGGCAGTGAGACATTGCAGGTCTTGAGGACGTTACCAGGCACCCAGAGCCTCATCTTACGTCACCAGATGCCCTTGCTGTGGAATTTCCAGACTGCGCGGGGATGCCTGTGGGGCCGTGGCCCTAATTTACAGGGGCACGCGGCACCTCAGTAGAAAATGACAAACAGTTGGCAGCTACAAGGCGTCATGTTCTTCCTAGGGATTACCTATATGGAACAGCTCAATAAACTTCTACCTACTTTTTGCGTCTAACGCCTCCCTTCTTAGGCCCTGCGGCCCTCTTTGGCTTCCCCTTGTGACTCTTCTTTCCAGGAGCGGCAGCCGCCCCCTTACCATCCCTCTCTGCCCGCCCCTTCTTCCACGATCTCTCCCCGCTCCTCTCAGCTTTCGCATCGAGCAGCTTCCTGTCCTTGTTGCTCAACTTCCCAGCACCCTTCTTCTTCAGCTTCTCACGCACTCCATTGAGCTCGGCTCGACCGGCCTCCTTCGCCGTTATCCTCTCCTTCTCCGACTCGAACCACGTCCGTTTCGGCCGTGACTTGATCTCGTCCTCGTGCCTCAAGAGATTTTCTCCCTTCTTGACCTGCATCTCTACTTGGGCGAGTTGCTTCTCTTCCTTCTCTTCCTGCATGATCTCTTCGATCTCGTCCTCCATTTCGTCGATTTGTTGCTGCCACTTGTCGGCATCGCCGACGTCGATGATCCGGCTGCGGATGGTAGCTCCTTGCGCTTTCCCTGACCTCACAGCGGCTTTCACCACCTTCCTGTCCGGCTCGGCGGCTAGTGTGACTGCCGTACCACTGCGGCCAGCTCGGGCTGTGCGGCCGACACGGTGGACATAGATGTCGAGAGATTGCGGTGCCTCGTAGTTGATAACAGTGTCAATCCCCTTGATATCCAGGCCACGAGAAGCCAAGTCGGTGGCGAGAAGGTATGAGACCTTGCCGTCTCGGAAAGCCTCGACACTGGCTATACGCTATCCGGTTGTTAGTAGAGCTTTTGCCGTAACGAGAAAGTTGAACGTACCTGTGCCTGGTTCATGCTCCCGTGAAGCTCGGCGCACGAGAGGCCCAGGAGGCCGAAGACAATTCGGGTCAGATGAGCAATCTTCTTTTGTCTGAAGAAGATGATAACGCGCTCGGTATAGAGTGTCTTGCAGAGGTGGACTAGGTAGCCCAATCGCTTTTCCTCGCGTCCAGGTCGCAGCCGCACGAATTCCTGAACCAGAGTCGTCACCGTTTTCTTCTGCGAATCAACCATGATGCGTACTGGCTTATTGAGCCCGACACGGATGAGCTGGTCGACCGAAGAGGTCATAGTTGCCGAGAACAGCATTGTCTGCCGAGACTTGGGCAAGGTTGTCAGAATCTCGTTGAGCTCATCGGCGAAACCATCCTCGAGCATCCTGTCTGCTTCATCGAGAATCAGAATCTCCACCGTATCGACAGCGAAGCTGGCAGAATTTCTCATGTGGTCGATGAAACGACCCGGAGTCGCAATGATGACATCCGGCCTCATCCTTAACTCGGCCTCTTGGACCTTCAGACTCAGACCTCCGACAGCGAGGCAGAATTTAATATCGGTATGGCTGGCGAGTTTGACGGCTACAGCATGACACTGGATAGCCAACTCGCGCGTTGGGGTAAGGATGACGACCCGACTGGTCGGAACCTTCTTAGGCCGATAGAGAAGTCGCTCGAGGATGGGGACCACAAATGCGCCAGTCTTTCCAGAACCAGTTACTGCTCCGCCGACAACATCCTTGCCCATCAAGGCAATCGGTATTGCCTTGGTTTGGATAGGTGTTGGCTTGAGGAACCCAACTGAGGCAAGGCCACGGAGAATCGGACGAGACAGCGACATTCGCTGGAACGAGGCGAGGTCACCCTTCTTCCCGGACTGTTCCTTCTCCTCCGGCGCGAAGAACGCATCTCGCTTGGCCTGTTCCTCCGCATCTTCTTCGTCGCTGAGATCGGACTGTTCGGCGTCGTCCGGGTGCTCAACGGGAGTTGCGACCGAGTCGTCATCCGAGGCTGCAGCATCCTCCTCGTCTTCGTCTTCGGCTTCGGCTTCGGCTTCGGCTTCGTCTTCATCCCCTTCTCGCATCCCTTCGTCTTCCGACTCCTCAACATCCGATCCAACGCCCATGCCGAAGCCGTCTTCAGCTAGGACGCCATCCTCGTCGTCGTCGAGCTCCAACTCGGGTTCCTCGTCTGCTTCTTCCTCATCGCTTGCAGAAGCAGGCTTTTCCTCCTCCGGCTTAGATCCGGCCATATTCCCCTCTTTTCTTTCTCTTCGTCGTCGAATAATCTCGTCAATGTCGACGCCCTTCTTCTCGGTCCCCCCGCTCATGGCCGTCTTGGCTCCTTCGAAGCCCCAGCCTTCAAAGTCGTCTCCCACGAGGGCATCGGCACCGTCGACCATGAAGTCGAAGTCCGAATCCATGGCGCCATCGTCGTCATCGTTTTGTCCCCATATGCCTTCTGGCTCCTTTTCTATGCCATCTGCCTCGACGGCTCGCTTCGCCTTCTTGCTCGTCTTGGTTTTCTTCTTGGGAGGCGGGGCTTCGACAGCGACTTCTTCGCCGACGTCAGCTTCATTGTCTGATATTGTGTGCACAAACTCATCGTCCACATTTTTCCTCTTGTTAGAGGGTGCCATCTTGACTCAATTGACGAGCCTGTGGGCAAATACAAATATCGTCAGAGGTCCTGGAGAAGCAACAAAATTTCAGTCCAGCGATAAGATAAAAAAAAAAAAAAGCCTTACCGTATCAACGGAGCGCAGGGATTAGGAAGCTCGGGCCACCTTTTTTTTCTTGCACCATAGCATGCCGAAGTGGTGGATCAGGACGGGACGACTCATCCTAGTAGCAACATCGTTCTACTTACAGGTAGAAACCGCATGGTATATAACTAGGTACCTAGGTTTAGGTAGGTACGTATCCGTACTCCGACTACCCATACGTCACTCTCCCCTCCCTATACCCAACATTCTCGTTCACCCTCACCAGGTCGGTGCCCTTCCTGTTCTGGCAGCACCTTGGCACAGCTAAGACCTTCTTGCCCGCATAGGTAGCCACGTCTACCGTAAACGGCAGAAACTTATTGGCGTATGCGCCCCCATCATCCTCGATCTCGATTATATTGATCTGTAAAACCTCAGGGTCCTCATCGTCAGCGGGGACAAGGTGGTCGAACGTAACCCCGTAATAATCCATTTGGCTATGGCCCTGAAGTTAGTATGTAACTACATACACGCAGAATGTTTACCTACCGTAGGGGCCTCACTTCCTTGACCCAGCCAAGATACTCGTCCCGGACGACAAGGTCGCGCGCAATGTCTGAGCGAGGTTCGTGGCCATATATCGTCCGGTATGTAAGCTTTGCGAGTTCCGGCCCAGCTGGTTGCGGGAAGGCCGGCTCAAAGGGTTCAAGGTTCCAAGTGACGGCGGGAAACAACCTTTGGACGGAAATCAATGGGCCCTCGATCTGGATTCGGATGGCTTATCTTGAGGAGGACTATGGAAGGGATGGACGGGTGTGCGAATGCACGGCAAAATGTAAAGCTCAAGAACCACGGTGTAGGAGTGTCCAGGTTATCCTTAAAGGTCCCCCCCTTGAAGGAGAGACTGGTGCTCCACGATCTTGTCGTGAATGATAACGTCGAGGACCCGTTTCGTGACCGCAATATCGTGGCTGGGAGCGGCTATCTCACAACGGTGTAGCACGGATACTTTGCTCCACATAGCGTTAAGAAGAACAAAGGAGAGAGCCCGAGTCCTTGGCCTGGCTCTATGGAACCGTCATGCGAGCCCATGCCAGCGGAAAACTGAAGTTTGAATGATGATAGTACGTAAGCCCGTAACCTCTTGTAGTTCGCGTCAGCCAGAGTCAGCCAGGTTCATCAATTAATGAAGAGTCCAGCTCGGCTGCTAAATTATGGGTGGGTGGGAACTGGGTTGTTAAGGTGGGACACAGCCTTGGGGCTGAGCCGCCGAGGCAACCAGAAAACGTCGAGATCGTCACAGGGTTGGGTACAACCTGGCGAAGGATTCAGAGCTTATCCGTACATCTAAGGTACCCAGTCAGCCTTAATTAACTTGCCTGTATACCCCAGCGCATTTTTCTTCCTGTCTACGCCGTAGGTTACGTTGACATTCAGCTCCGCTCCGGTATTCGGTTGTGCCAGAGTGCCATTTCGCTCCTCCCCTGTCCCTCCAATGTCCCTAACACGACCTCGATATCCCTTCCTTTTGCCTTGGTGATGATGGTAATGACGGGGATGAAGACGAAGCCGCTGTCTATTACCTCCGCCCCCCGCCGCCGGACGACGATCTTAGCCATCGCCAGCCTGCTGACAGCTGGTTTTGCGAACGCGAGATGCGGTGCCGAATTCCTCACCCCCGAACCAGGATCGATATTTCACTACGGCGACTCGATTAATGTTAGCTACACATCCAATTTCTCGACCCCGACATTGTATTGCCTTTGTGGGCGCCCACCAACGCCGGTTCAGAGTTAGTGCAGTCCTGATCTCTCATTTTTCTGTCGTGTGCTAGAGACGAGGTGACCGCTGCTGACTGATCAACTTCCCTCTCGGTGTGCAGAATTTGAGGTTGACCCGACTCCGTTCAACGGTTCCGAGCTCGTACTGCTAGAATTTACATCCCCCGATCCCTGCTGGTTCGACCTCCGCCCTGACACCACAGCGTGCGGCGACGACAGCCCGCGATTTACGGTTCTTCCCGTACGACGACCGCGTGATGACACGACCGTGGCCCTAGGCAGAACGCTGTCATTAAGGGCCGACCCGGCTCCCTCCCCGACTCTGACGACGTCTCCGTCAGCAAGACCCAGTACAGCCGCACCCACATCTACTACGACCGGTGGAGAGGAGGGCGGGCCCGAGAAGAGAGGAGGGTTGAGTGCGGGAGCCAAGGCCGGGATCGGTGTCGCTATTGCGGGAGCAATCTTCGCAGCCATCGGGATGTTTTCCTGCTTTTACCTTCGGCGGCGCAGTCGGTCAAAGGACGCCGCACCCGGCGCCCGTGGCAGGGGCAGGGGGAAGGGGCGAGATAAGTTGCGGGCAAAGTTGCTGGGGAGGCCAGGCCCATCGGATGGGGTCCAACCGGTTTTTGACGGATTTCCCGGCTCGACGGGGTATGACGACTTTCATTCCCTGCAGTCGAGCGCACAGCGCGACTCGCCGACGTGGTCGCATTCGTCTACCCGATCAAACATCATGCCATATTATCAGTCGCACAAAGAGGAACTCGCCGCGGCCCGGATGAACACCCCGGCAGCGGCCTCCACCATCACCTCGTACAGCCCCAACCCATCAACGCGTGTCTCGACGTCTAGACTCAGCCCGAGGCCGAGCGAACCCGGAGGATCGATCTCGATCGACAGCCGCGAAGGATCCGTGCCATCCCCAGACATGCCCTTGGATGCGCGTCCGAAACCACCAGCAAAACATCCTTTCATAACATCATACGGACCCAACCCAGTCACGCCGACGCCGGTCCTGGGCCGGTCGACAACCACCCCAGACGACGCCTTCCTGACGCAGGTTCCCGACCTACCCGTCCTCCCCATGCAGCACGCGGCCGAGCGACAGCACCAGCCCGCGCCCCCGCCCCAGGAGCGCAAGTTCTCGTGGGAGGCGCACAACAGCTACCCCGCCGCCGAGGCAGGGGGCGCCACCCCGCCGCCGCTCCCGCCCTACTACGCCGCCGCCGCCGACTTCTACGCCGCCGTCGCCGAGAAAAAGGAGCGCGGGGAGAGACAAGGGCAGCAGCAGCAGGGGGGCGGCGGGGGCGCGATCAGGACGCTGGCGGAGCCGCCCGCGCGTGCCGAGCTGCCGCCCACCAAGGACGGGTACTACCACTTTGGCGACGCGGCCGACGAGTACGAGCTGCCCGGCAACGGCGGCGGCGGCGGAGGCGGGGTGTCGTCGTCGTCGTTGTTGCCGCTCGGGCAGCACGGCCACGCGCCCCAGATGCCGCACCGCCTGTACAGGGACCGCGACGGCGGCGGTGGTGGTGGTGGTCCTGGCGGGAGGGGCCGCGAGCTCGAGGAGCAGAAGTTTTTGCTTTCCGACGTGGAGATCGCGAAGATGCGCGTGCAGAAGGCGGGGCGGGCGCCGGGTGGGGTGGGGCCGGTGGGCGGGGCGGCGGCGGCAGCGGCGGGCGAGTCGTATGAGATGAGTGGCGGGCCGTGGTCGGGGGATGCGGAGCGGCGGTAGCGGGGGTGGGCATTACTTGCGAAAGAGCAGGGTTTGGAGAATTACAAACCCGGGTCGATCATATCGGCAGCAATGTCGAAAAGTGACGGAAGCATTTATTAATATACCATTGGGCGAGGTGTTAGGCGCAATATGGGAGCTGGGGGCAAGACATCCTCCGGCATTGAGGAGGTGGCTTGGTCAATGCTATTATTTGAAGGGAAGGTCGGGGCAGGAGCTTGACAAGGCGACTAGAGATGGGATTTTGCACACCATACATATATTTAGTGCCCCCTTATCAGAAGACTCAGCAACAATGGTTGTCTGCCCCGTCTATCGTTCTCGAAATCTCGAGTTGCGAAGGGGAGGCTTCCATACAATTTTGCTGTATATAGTGCCAAACAGGTCCAATAGAGTCATCGATTTCCCTTCTCTATCGCGTCGCTTGTGCTTGACAGGACAGATGAAGAACATCACTTGTTTCTGGATGAGTATCACTTCCCCGGACCGAATGGCAGCCGTCCAAGCCGGGTTTCCGGATATCTCACAAGACGACCATTCAGATCACTCTGAGAATGCACGTAGTTTGTTTTGGATGTGATGATTTAAACGAAGAGTGAGCTATAGAAGTAAACTGGGAAACCGGGACGAAGCCCGCCATATAAATAATACATCAGAGGCACCGAGGCCTTTTTGCAAGAGAGACCAAATCCGAAGTGGCTCTCCGCCGCATTCGGGAGCTCCGAGAGGCTCCCACAAGATTAGCCTCGCAACCCCGAGACAAGGACACAACAACGCCCCGCCAGCATCCCATGTTGTTTGTGCCAGGCTTGGTCGGTACCAACTCCAGAACCCCATACCCCGAACCGCGGACTCGTTCCTCACCCTGGCAAAGATACCATCCCCAGGAGGCGCCGAAATCCACAGAGCGTAAGAAGCAGGATACCGTTTTACTAACCACCCTCCCAAAAAAAAAAAAAAAACCGATCCATCACTCCAACCCCAGTACAAGACTCCGCACCGGCCGAATCGTAAACAGCCAACGCCAAAAAAAAAGCTCAGAAGTACAGCGGCTGGCCCTCGCTAGAGATGACAAACTCGCACCCCAGCTGGGCCTCCTTCTCGTACTCCTGCAGCTCGCCTAGGATGATGTCCCCGATGTGCGGCCCGTCGTTCAATTTGTCCTTCATATGGATGATGACGACCCTCAGGCCCTTGAGCGGGAGAGGCTCCGGGGGCGCAGGCTGCTGCGACTGTTGCGACTGCAGCTGCTGGTGGACAACTACATTCAGCGGTGTCACGGGCGGCGGCAGCTCGACATCTATGAGCGTGAGCGCCGCCGTCGGGGTCGTGATATGCGGCGAACTGGTGCCAGCGGAGGTATGCTCGTCGGGCCGGGGTTGTGCGAGGCTGCCGCCCACAGGTTTGACCGTCCTCGGCGAGACGGGGTCGTCCATGGCCGCTCGTGTTGGGGTTCCCCGTTCTCCTCCCGCCGCCGCCGCCGCCGCCGCCGCCGCCGAGCCCGACGCAGCCCGTGTCGCCGCCTTCCTCGCAAGGCTGCCGTCGTCCGCGCCGTCGCGCTTGCGCTTCTTCTTGTCCGCGCTGCCGACGCTCGGGGTGGCGGAGCCGGCCCTGGACCCGTCCTGCCGCTGTTGCTGCCGGAGGGCCCGCCTGGCGGCGCCGACCTCGTCGGCGAGCGCGGCCATCTCCTCCATGACGAAGCGTGGGGCGAGGTGGCCGAAGAGTCGGTCGACGTCCTGGGAGTCGTCGTAGCTGCACTCGATGAAGATGGCGACCAGGTTGCCCGTGGCGATCTTAGGCGCCGCTTCCTGCCATATCTGGCCGTTGCGCGGGCTGAGGCTGATGCTGTCGGGCTCGACGTCGCCAAACATGAGGACCTCGCGCCCCGTCGCCATGTCGCGGATGAAGTACGCGCTGCTGTCGTACACGCACACCGACTCGCCTGTCGGGAGTCCGCTAGCTCCTAGACCTCCCGCGGACGCTGAGCTCCTCCGCCCGACCCCGCTCGCGGCCACGCTCCCGGGTAGGACGCCGCCCTGCTGCGACGAGTTGAACGGGTCACGCTGCTGCTGCTGCTGCTGCTGATGGATGAAGGCGCTCAGGTTGGGGCTGTTGTGGTGGGCCATCCCCCTAGGCGAGGCCAGAGCCATGCTCGCGCCCATGCCCACGCCCAAGGGCCCGCCAGCGGCGCCGGCGTCGACGCTGCCGAAGCGCGTGCTGCTGCCGCTGCCGCGGTGGCTGTGCCGCTCGATGCAGTGGCCGTGGCTGACGCCCCAGGTCTTGACGGCGAGCCCGTCGCTGACCTCGAGGTAGCCCTTGTCGTCGCCGTCGCCAAAGGCCGGGGACCCGCCCTCGACCAGGCGCATGTACGTCACCAGGCCGGCGCCGTTGTTCTCGTCGCTCAGGTTCGGCCAGATGACGTTGTTGAAGATGTGCGTCTTGAAGGCGGCGATGGTGCTCGGTAGGCCGGCCAGGCGCTTCGGCCGGGATCCCGGCAGGCCGGCCGTGTTGATGACGAAGCCGGAGATGTGGTCCAGGTGCGGGTGCGTGATGAGGTAGGTGTCTATAAGGGTCCTGTGGACGTGGGCGGCGTTGGCCGAGGCGGAGGCGTGGGGGACCTCGAGGCCGGCGAAGGGCCCCGATGTGAGGGTGTGCGGGAGGGATAGTTCCTCGGTCTGGCCGAGATCCGGGGGCTGCGTCTTCTCAAGGATCTGCGAAATGGCGCTGAGATGCACACCAGCATCGACGGCGACTATAGAGCCTTTGCGCCATCCCGAAGCTAGGGATCTGACGAGGAAGGCTGTGGTGTTGGATTCATGCGGGCCGCCGCCTGAGCCCTGAAGGGGGGAATTAGTATGTCAGATCATTGGTGCTGATACTCGATCGCAAATGCGGTCGGGAACAGAGAGCCCGGGTTGGATGCCAAAACGGAACAACATGTCAAGTCCCCTAGTAAAACAAGTGGTCCCGTCCCGCGCTGGCGGTACAAGATGTCGAGTGAGCGAGGCTGAGGACGGCTGACTAGGTTTGTTCTCGCATTGTCGGGAACAAAGAGCTAGGGGTAGGTAGCGACCGTCAAATATGACGAGTCAATTAATTGCAGCTCACGCGCCGTTTGCATCGAGCTGCATGCAGCCCTTCTTTGTTGCTGTGGGGTTGCTCGGTTTGGAGGCACAAGACCGGGCGGGCCATTGGCCGGGTAGGCAGGTGACGTCGTCGTCGAGAAAGGGCAAGCCAGGCCTTTGTTTCGAGGAGACCAGGGCAAAGGAAGATGGGGATGGATTGATAGGGGAGAAAGAGAAAGAACAGCGGAAAGATGAAGATAAAGACGCAAAGACAAACGAAAGACAAAAGTCTCACCAGGACAATGACCTGCAGCGCCGGAGCAGCACTGTCGGCCTCCACTCCGCCTCCCATGGCAGGGCAATGCCGGAAAAGCGACGGGGTGGGACGAGTTCCACTAATCGAGCTGGATTCACTTGTCTCCCTGGTTTCCCTTCCGTTGGCTGCTTGATGAGTATACCCGGCGTGTTTTGCGTGCTGCAGGAACCCGAGTCGGGTTGCGACAAAATTTTATCCCTTCTTCGTTGTTGAGAGGGAGCTTTCGCATGGGATGGGAGGGAGCCAGAGAGACGAGAAAGAAAGCTAAAGCGTCGGTGCTTTGCTTTGGGGGGAGGGACCAAGGGTAGGTGCTCAGAACACCAAAGTTTCCATGCGGAGATCCCAGGTAAAAATAACTTGTGTCAAATGCCACTGCAAGTGAAATGGAAGCAAAGATCAACGGCTACCTATCAAAGCGCTCAGTTCGACGGGGAAAAGGAAGGAGCGTCGGGGGCGATCGAACGTTTATCAATCCGCTGCGCCTACTCCTACCTAGGTTCTCTTTCTCTTTCAGCTTGTGATGTGACTGCTAACTAGCAACTACACACCAACTTACAATGAGGCATCTAGGCACCGACTCTGTTATTATCATATTGTATGTGTCCTTTGGGGGCAGCTGCTTCTAGCTTCGGCTCCTCCGTCCATGCCATCTCCCTGTTTACTCCAGCCTCCAATTCATCTCCAGCTCTGATCCCAGCTCAGATGAGGCAACACGGCTCAAGATTGGTCCCTGACAGCTGGAAGGCGGAGAGACCCACAGTCATTGGCTTTCGAGTCCTGTCGGCTTTGCCGCTGTGATGCAGGAGCTAAAGATGCAACATTTTAGCCTGCGCCCCGCCCGCCGGCATCGAGGTCAGAAATCCGGGACGCGACGCTGGAGGCTGCATGCGTTTGGGGATCTCGACCTCGCTTATTGACATGTATTATTGCATAGGTAGTATCTTGGATATGACCATCCTTCTAGGATTTGATTTCTGACTCTTGTCTGTAGAAAATAAGAGACGCCTAAGGCCGTCTTTCGCCAACATGAAGCCATGGCGAAACATGGAAGAAAGAAAGGCAACTGGAATGAAAGACCCCAAAAAGAATAGAAAGAAAATAAATGCAGTTTCAAGTTTCCTTTCCTAGATTGACACCGAAACCCCCCCACTCAAACCTCAAACCCCAAACCACTAAATCGACCCAACCCTTCTCCCAATATCCTCCTGCTTCATAACAATCTTCTGCACCTCACGCCTCTTCCAGAACGGGAGCTCCTGGATCATCTGGACCATCCGACCAGTATCTCTGCTCTCACCAGAAGCCAATTTGCCGAGGTAGATATTCAGAGCCTGGCTCTGCTTCCGCGTAACCGGCCCCGCCCGGGAGACAAGCCTATGAAGGTCACCGAGACCGCCCGCGGTCTCGACCTGGGGCCCCTCCCGTCCCTTAGCCGCCACCGATAGTCTGCGCCGCTTGGGGGAGTTCGGCAGGAGTACAAGACCCTCGTCCCCTTCCTCCTCTTCCCTGCCGCGCTTCCGGGTATCCTGTCCTTGCCGGCGGGGCGTCTTCGGCGGGTAGTTCCAGTCTGCTGCCGTCGTCTCGATCACTGACGACGTCCTGCGCACTCTCACCGAACTCTCATCCGGGTCTGCTTCCTCCTCTTCCGGGTCCTTGCCGTAGTTCTGGAGAACCCGAGTCTTTGGCCTCCCGCGAGATTTGGCCTTTGCCGGGGGCTCCGATGGTTGCTGGTCGCCGTCGGAATCCTCCTCCTTGATGTCCCTCCTCGACTCGACCCGTCGCTCCCGAAGCATCGCGTACTGGCTGAGATCGCCCATGTACTTCCCCATGTGGATGCCCCCGCGCAGTTCCCTGAACTTGGAACGGCCCGAGGTCTCGAGCTCGAGGTACGCCCTGGTCAGGCGCCTGCAGAGGAAATCGTCCCCCTTCAGCTTGCGGGTACCTTCTCCGTCCCACTCCCTGTGCCTCTTTGTCTGGTCGAGGATCCACTGATCGAGGACCGCCACCAGCTCCTGGTGGTGCCGGATCAGTGACATGGGGTTCCGCTCCTCCTTGGCCATGCGGCGCAGGTCGGGCCGGATGTCGACCGTGGGGTCCATGAACAGTTCGATGAGATCCGTAATCTGCTCCAGGCAGTACAGGTGCACGTAGCCGGCGTTGTGGAAGGGGTCGAACCTCTCGCCCGTCTCGTCCGCGTTTTCGTCGAAGGCCACCCGCCAGTGGCCCTTGAGGATCGTATTAGTCTTCATGGGGCACCCCTCCCACCGGCAGTGGCTCGAGAGCTTGGCTGCCGGGTACCGGTGGGTGAACTGCGCCGGAGGGGTCTGCACCCACAGAATCAGGCGCCCGTCTGCCCTCTCGGGCGTCCTGATGAACTGCAGAAGCTGCTTGGTGTCGTACTTCTTGCCGAGCTCCAGCTCGCCCTTTTCGGTATATCGGAACAGGTTGTTCTTCTTCGTCCTCGGATTCAGGCCCCAGCTCGGGGGGACCCTCGGCAGGGCTTCGTAGAATTTTGCCGGATCGTTGGTTATCGAGCGCTTCCTCTCCCTCTTGTGGCTGATGCACGGTATGTAATGAAGTTCCCCGTCGGTCCAGCGTGGTACCAGACTACTAGCTGGGTACGAGGGGAGGGCTGGCGTGTGGACCGGGAGGGCATATCCCAAGTTGCTCCTTGCGGTGTTGGCGGGGTACAAGGGCTGGGTTAATTGCTGCTGCTGGGCATGGGTATGATTGCCGGCCGGAGGGAGAGGGAGTGTGGGAGCGGGAGGAGAGAAAGTGAGATCGGTCAAATAACCCTGAAGTCCCTGAAGATGATGAGGACCACCAAATCCAGCTGATGACTGAGTCTGATGTAGGGGATTTGCAGTGACCTGCACTGGAAATTGCGGGTTGTAGCTCGAGACCTGGGCTTGCGTCTCTGAGGGAAGTGATACCTTTGGTAGCGCCAGGCTGCCAGCGGTGTCATCTGCAGGAGTTGACGTTGTCGCCGCCTTATCCATCTCGCCGAAGATTTCCTGAAAATCTATGTTACTGTCTGAGCCAAACAGACTGGAACGCAAGCCGCCGCCGCCGTCCGCACTTGAGTTACCCCACCCGCCGTTGCGTCCCATGGCGGAGGGCAGTCCGAAATTGGAAAAACCTTCCGCGGCGCCGAAGCTGCTTTTTTGATCCGCCATCGGGGAGATGGGAGATGTAGGTCAGTGTAGGACAGGAAGGTATCCTTGGAGCTCGGGTTGAGTGTGTCGCAGTTGCAATGTCTGACCGAAAGAAAGCATCTGGTCGTGATGGGGGCCTCTAGTATATTTATAGGCAGAAGAGGTTGACAAAGAGGTCGGATTGATTCGATACTCGCTCGAGGGACGGAGGCATTGTGTTTGAACGAGTCCCTTGTTCACTCAAGAGGGGAATTGTATTTGAACGGGTTCCTTGTTGGGAACAAAAGCCAGAAATCTATTTTGAGAACAATCAAGTTGCCACTACTACAGCTCTAATTGTAACTCGCGTCTATCTGGTGTACAGGAATTAGGAAGAAAGCCCAATGGAGCAAAGGGGGAAGGAAAAGAAAAACACCACAGAGTAGAGCACTGTAGGTTGTCAATGGCAAAGAGATGCATTGGCACTTCCGTGAGAGTTCCTGCTTCGATCGAGTCAGCATCGAGTATCAAAACGGCTATAGCAGAGGCGATACGGGTTGTAAAGGGTGATCAGTAGAATAAAAGCACGTTATCAACATGGGAGTTCAGAACAGGTCTGTGATATGATGCGTATGGTCTCATCATGTGAAGGTAGGCAGGTAGTGTAAGAGGATAGTAGCAGATGCATAGATGACTTACCATATGCTCAATGCTACGTCCATTTGCGTATCTCCCCGACCTACCTTGGGTGATTAATCATCTGATCGACTGGACCGATCTATCCAAACAAATTGCATGCCCTCTCGCAGCATCCAATAGCCCCTGGATCATGATTTAGAGGTGGACGCAGTTCAATATAGAGCATGACGATATGTAGGTCCGCTAGCACATCGGGCAGATCAACCGAGGGTTGAAATTGCCCGGCTGCAACTCCAATTGTAGACAAAGATCTCCAGAAGATATTGAGAGTCGAGACAAAAGGGAGAAGGAGGGCCAGAAGGAAGAGAAATCTGGGTTTTGTTCGTGCGGTGGAACGGAGGACGGAAAATTCTTGCACCGCAGTTGAAAAGCTCGGGCCCCACCAGAGGTCGCGCAGGGAATCATGGGTGCACGGGTGCACGGGTGCAACGGGGCAAGGGTCCAATATCTGGCTGCGCTGGTATTGGACGGTACCTCCAAGGTACGGAATACACACAGGTCCCTACGTCAGGACCCTAGGTACCTGAATCTGTACCTCCCTACCCACCAAGTTTAGCCGGTTGACAGTCCGGGCAGTTCGCTACGACAAGTCGGCGGTTGTGACATCAGGTATCAGGTTTCTGATCAATAAATGCTCCCTGCTACCCTGTCTCGAGATAGCATCGAACCAGGTCTACTGACCGAAGCAGTTTGTTTTGGTCAACTATTATTTTTCCTCTCGCTACGACCAGGTAGGTACAGCATGCTCCCTCTTCAATCTCTTTGCCAGGATGTACGGGCGTTTAACTAATCAATCCATACGGAATCCCAGACCTCAAATACGGACGAAGGCTAAGGAGACTCCACGGTGTCGTCGGAACCCCGCCCCGCCTCCAGAATTTCCCGGTTGTTCCAACAGGGAGCCAGAGACCACATACGCCCGACACTACGGGCCCTCGCCGTTTAGCAGAGCTGGCTCCCCTTCCAGGCACAGGAACAGGCAATAGGCACATGCGCAGCTGCTCACGGCCCTCACGATGGCTGATCTAAGCCCCGAACTGCAGGAGAAGCTCGAAGAGCTGCAGAGGGAGCTCGAGGTGCGCACTTGCTCCTCGTTTTCCTCCCTGCCGTGTTCACGTTCGCCGTGTCCGCTAACTAGCAATTGATATTCACAGGAGGGCGATATCACAGAGAAAGGGTGCGCAAGACCCCGAATGCTTTTGCTTTTCCGACCAACCGTCCATCCAAACCCCTGCCGTACCCGTTGTACCTCCCCGACACCGAGACCTCTCGTCTGCTAACTTGTGTGGGTTTGCAGATATCAGAAGCGGCGGACTCAACTTCTCTCTGCCTACGGACTGAGCGGCCCTCCCGCCAAACCAAAGGGTGCTGGCCTTCGAATCCAACCGCCAGACAGGTCATCCTTCCCTATGGGTGATGGCCACCGTGCGGCGTCGCTCGCGGCTTTAAACGCCAACTCCTCGGGCCACGGAAGCCCTTACTCGCCTGCTTCAATTTCCTCGCCGACCGAGTACCGGCCACAATCCTCCTATGGCCAGCCCGATCACCATCCGGCCTCATTACTGGCGCCCGGGGGCCCAATGGCCGATGGCCGCCCGTCTCTGCGTCAACATGACTCGCTATTCCTCGCCCCTGGCCAACAGAACGATACTTCGACGCGATCGGGGACAATGGTCTCGGGGGACTATGTTTTCAATCCAGAGCAGCAAGGGCATGGCGGCTATGCCGACCCGCCCCAGAATATGTACGATAGCAGGAGTGGGACATTACTAGATTCACAGGCCTACTTCTCCGACTTTGCCGGCCAGCAGGCCTACGACCAGATGGGCCCCAATGAGTACGGTGGCCCTCAGAGATACTCTGCCGGCGATGCATTCTCGCCGACCGTCGCTGTGCCGCCGCCGATGCTCACCGCAAACGACCTTCCACCGCCGGACGCGTTAGAGTACCAGATGCCCCTCGAGCCTCGGGACGTCCCCTTCGCAATTTACGATCCCCACGACGGGAATACGCCCATGTCCAGGTTCGACAACATTGCCGCTGTCCTGAGGCACCGGGGTCGGACAACGGCCAAGCTTCCGGCGTACTGGGTTCTGGACAACCGAGGCAAGGAAATCGCCTCCATTACGTGGGATAAGTTGGCTTCGCGCGCCGAGAAGGTTGCCCAAGTCATACGAGACAAAAGCTCGTTGTACCGTGGAGACCGCGTGGCACTCATCTATCGTGATACGGAGATTATCGACTTTGCTATTGCGCTGCTCGGTTGCTTTATTGCCGGGGTAGTCGCGGTGCCCATCAACGAGCTTCAAGATTACAAGAAGCTGAACTTGATCCTCACCTCGACGCAGGCGCATCTCGCTTTAACCACGGACAACAACCTAAAGGCATTCCAGCGCGATATAACGACCCAGAAGCTGAATTGGCCGAAGGGGGTTGAGTGGTGGAAGACCAACGAGTTTGGCAGCTTCCACCCGAAACGGAAAGATGACGTGCCGCCCTTGTCGGTGCCGGATCTGGCTTATATCGAGTTCTCTCGGGCACCGACCGGCGACCTTCGAGGAGTCGTTCTTAGCCACCGGACGATCATGCATCAGATGGCCTGCCTCAGCGCCATCGTCACAACCGTGCCCGGGAATGGCCCGCCAGACACCTTCAACAACACGACTCTACGAGACAAAAACGGGCGGCTGCTCGGGGGTAGCTCGAGCAGCGAGATACTGCTATCATACCTCGACCCGCGACAAGGCATAGGGATGATCTTGGGGGTGCTGCTCAACGTCTACGGTGGACACACGACTGTCTGGTTGGAGAGCAAAGCCGTCGATGTCCCCGGGCTCTACGCCCATCTGATCACGAAATACAAGGCAACCCTCATGGTGGCCGACTATCCAGGCCTGAAACGGGCAGCCTACAATTACCAGCAAGACCCCATGACGACCCGGAACTACAAGAAGGGCATGGAGCCCAACTTTCAGACCGTGAAACTCTGCCTTATCGACACCTTGACCGTCGATGGGGAGTTCCACGAGGTCCTGGCTGACCGGTGGCTACGTCCGCTGCGGAACCCCCGCGCCAGAGAAGTGGTCGCGCCCATGCTCTGTCTCCCGGAACATGGAGGGATGGTCATTAGCATACGCGATTGGCTAGGTGGCGAGGAAAGGATGGGCTGTCCCTTGAAGCTCGACATTGGGTCCGAAGCCAGTTCCGAAAGTGGGAAAGAGAGGGAGAGGGAAAAGGAGAAGGAGAAAGAAAAGGAAGAGAAGCCCGCTGCGGCCAATGCTTTTGGAAGTCTCCTCGGAGTGACAGCTACCACCACAGAACAGCGCGCTAAGACCGAGCTGAGCGAGGTTCTTCTTGACAGGGAGGCCCTGAAGAGCAGCGACGTGGTCGTCGTAGCAATAGGAGAAGAAGCCCGGAAGAAGGCAGGGAGCGAGGTGGGCACGGTTCGAGTAGGCGCCTTCGGTTACCCCATCCCAGACGCCACGCTCGCGGTCGTAGACCCTGAGACCGGCCTGCTGGCCTCACCTCACTCGATAGGCGAGCTCTGGGTCGACTCCCCATCCTTGTCCGGTGGGTTCTGGGCATTGCCCAAACACACGGAGCAAATATTCCACGCGCGGCCCTACAAGTTCGATCCCGGCGAGCCGACTCCAACGGCCGTCGAGCCCGAGTTTCTGCGGACAGGCCTCCTCGGCACCATCATCGAGGGGAAGGTCTTCGTCCTCGGCCTTTACGAAGATCGTATCCGGCAAAAGGTCGAATGGGTGGAGCATGGCCACGAGGTTGCCGAGCACCGTTACTTCTTTGTCCAGCACCTCGTCGCGAGCATCATGCGGAACGTCCCGAAGATATTCGATTGCTCGGCCTTTGACGTCTTTGTTAACGAGGAACACTTGCCGATTGTGGTCTTGGAATCCCAGGCTGCTTCCACTGCGCCGATAACGTCGGGTGGACTGCCCAGGCAGCTGGACACGGTGCTCCTCGACGCGCTAGCCGAGAGGTGCATGGAGGTACTGATACAGGAGCATCATCTCCGCGTGTACTGCGTCATGATCACTGCTCCCAATGCGCTGCCCAGGGTGCTGAAGAACGGGCGGAGGGAGATTGGCAACATGCTCTGTCGCAGAGAGTTCGATCTCGGGAATCTTCCCTGCGTGCATGTCAAGTTTGCAGTCGAGCATGCTGTGCTGAACCTCCCTATTGGCGTCGATCCTGCCGGCGGCGTTTGGTCCGACGTGGCATCGAATTCCCGGGCAGACATTCTGGCGGGAGCCGACAAGCAGTACTCGGGCATTGACCGGCGGGAAGTGGTCATCGACGACAGGACATCCACTCCCCTCAACAACTTCTCGAGCATCACCGATCTCATCCAGTGGAGGGTGGCTCGACAGCCCGAGGAGCTATCCTACTGCACCGTCGACGGCCGAGGAAAGGAAGGCAAAGGCGTCACATGGAAGAAGTTCGACATGAAGGTCGCAGCCGTGGCGCTCTATCTGAAGAACAAGGTGAAGATCAGGGCCGGCGACCATCTTGTCCTCATGTACACCCACTCGGAGGACTACGTCTTCGCCACGCACGCTTGCATCAACCTTGGCGCCATCGTGATCCCAATAGCGCCCATAGATCAGAACCGTCTATCGGAGGACGTGCCAGCTTTCCTTCATCTGATAGCCGACTACGGCGTCAGGGCGGTCCTAGTCAACCAAGACGTCGACCACCTCCTGAAACAGAAGCCAGTCTCCCAACACATCAAACAGACCGCTCAGGTTCTCAAGGTCCAGATACCCAGCGTCTACAACACGTCGAAACCCCCGAAGCAGAACAATGGTTTGAGAGATCTGGGCATCTCCATGGATCCCGCCTGGGTGCAGCCAGGATATCCGGTTGTCATTTGGATTTATTGGACACCGGACCAGCGCAGAGTTGCCGTCCAGCTTGGCCACGACACCATCCTAGCCATGTGCAAGGTCCAGAAAGAAACCTGCCAGATGACCAGCTCGCGTCCAGTCCTGGGCTGCGTGAGGAGCACAACAGGCCTCGGATTCATCCACACCTGCCTGATGGGCATCTACATCGGCACCCCGACGTACTTGATCTCGCCCGTCGAGTTCGCGCAGAATCCGCTCTCACTGTTCCTGATACTATCCCGCTATAAGATAAAGGATACCTATGCTACGCCCCAGATGCTTGACCACGCAATGTCTGTCATGCTCGGGAAGGGGTTCACGCTGCACGAGCTCAAGAACATGATGATAACGGCCGAGGGGCGCCCGCGTGTCGATGTCTTCCAGAAAGTGCGGCTCCATTTCGCCGCGACGGGTCTCGACCGCACAGCCATCAACACGGTTTATTCGCATGTTCTGAATCCCATGATCGCCTCTCGGTCGTACATGTGCATCGAGCCGATCGAGCTCTGGCTGGACACGAAGGCGTTGCGGAGAGGTCTTGTGATGCCCATCGACCCCGAGGCGGACCCCAAGGCGCTCCTGATCCAGGATTCGGGCATGGTCCCGGTCTCCACGCAGATCGCCATCGTCAACCCGGAGAACTGCATGCTCTGCAACGATGGAGAGTACGGCGAGATCTGGGTGGACTCGGAGGCCTGTGTCAAGGCATTCTACGGCTCCAAGGACTGGCTTGATGCGAAACGGTTCGACGGCAGGACAGTCGAGGACCCAAGCATCCGATACGTGAGGACCGGAGACCTGGGCTTCTTGCATAGCGTGAGCAGGCCTATTGGACCCGGCGGTGCTCTGGTCGATATGCAGGTGCTCTTCGTTCTGGGATGCATTGGTGACACGTTGGAGATCAATGGACTGAACCACTTCCCTATGGACATTGAAAACTCGGTCGAACGGTGTCATCGCAACATCGTACGCAATGGCTGGTATGTTTCTTCTTCTCCTATTTGATTTTACTTGACGCCTCGGTTCCTCCAATCCAATCCTCCAGCACTAGCACCACTTCACCTTCCAACATAGTCTAATCAGTCACTAACCACATCCTCTGCAGCGCCGTCTTCCAAGCGGGCGGCCTCGTCGTCGTCGTAGTCGAAGTCTCCCGGAAGGCCTACCTGGCCTCCATCGCCCCCGTCATCGTCAACGCGATCCTGAACGAGCACCAGATCGTCGTCGACATCGTGGCCTTTGTCGGCAAGGGCGACTTCCCGCGGTCGCGCCTCGGCGAGAAGCAGCGCGCCAAGATCCTCGCCGGCTGGGTCAGCCGCAAGATGCGCACCATTGCGCAGTTCGCCATCAAGGACATGGACCCGTCGCTGATGCCCATCGGCACATCGGGCACCGCCGCCCCGGGCGTCGACGCCGAACCACCCGCGGCTTCCTCCTCCATGAACCGCGCCAGCCTGGGCAGCGTGAGGAGTTCCGCCGGCGGCGGCGGCGGCGGTCCGGGACCGGGCGGCGCCAACAGCAGCAGCCTGCGGAACATGGAGCCCGCGCCGCGGATCCTGGAGCAGAGGGAGCTCGAGCACCAGCTGGACATGAACGCCGCCGCCGCAGCAGCAGCAGCCGCAGCTGCGGGCCGGCACCCGATGACGGTGGGTACGGCTGTGGAGATGCCAGCCGACGAGGAGCATCAGGCCCCCGGGCTGGGCGGCGATAAGGACGAGACCCCCACCAAGGCCCGCCCCGGCGCCGGCGGCGGTGCCCGGCGCTTCGACGACGACGACGACGACGAAGATGACGACAACGATGACGGCGCCCCCGGCCGGTACGACAACGACCTGCCCGACTTTGCACGGTTCAGCCTGCACGACGAGGCGGACAAGCTAGGAAGCGCGCGCGGGCGGGGCCCCCAGTACCAGCAACAACAGCACTACCACCAGCACCAGCAGCACCAGCAGCAGCACCAGCAGCAGCACCAGCAGCGGGCGCCGCAGATCCGGCTGCCGGGCGTGGACGGACGCGAGTCCCTCGACGACTGGGAGGGGGAACCCGTGAGTCCGCGCGGGGGCGGGCGGGGCGGGCAGAGCGGCGGATTCGGGGCCGCCGCCGGCGACGACGACGACTGGGCGAAGGAGGCGAACATGTACATGAACCTTGCGGGGACGCTGGGGAGGAAGGAGGAGAGCTGATAGGGCGCGCGTTATGGATGGATCATGGCATGTCGAAAGTGGTTGGGGAGGGAGGGTTCTTCTATTCACGTCTTGGTAGGAAGGAAGGGACCGGATCGGATCGGATCGGATCAGCTTATTTCTTCAAAGGATCGGTTTTGCTTCCTTTTCGTTGTTTACGGGCACTGGATATCTCTGGATAGATCTGTGGCGTGGTATGCCGATTTTACTCTTGTTGTTGGGTGGCATTAGTGGTATTAATCGTACGGTTTAAGGCGTGAGTGAGCTTTAAGTTTATTATCGTGCTTCAGCCCCATAAGATAAGATGTTACACGTTCGAAGGATAGTTGATCACTGTTTCTTGACTGGAACTAAGGCGTACGATGATTGCTGCCATCACTACTCCTTACTGCATTACCCTCTCGTGCACAAACAGGAGATGTTGCTGGCTTGAAGATTGATTCTTGACGATTTCGCTTGGCCGTGATACGGATTGAAAGGAACCCAACCCGGCCCTACGTTCCTAGACGACAATGGTCGCTGTGGATGTCTCAATTCCGTCCATCATCCCGTCCCGTTAGAACACAATGTCGCACTTTAGTGACTGTCTCTGATCGTGGAATGAAGAAAAGGACTAGCGGCGGAATGTTGTCTACCTCCTCTCTCACCATCTGGGAGAACGGGCTGATTGATCCCTAGCATAATCAAGTTCTGTGGTCTTCTGTGGTCGGGATACAATTGAGTGCTGGGACGGGACTTGATAAAGAGTGACAAGTCTCCATTTACAGGCCGCGAACATAACGTTAAAGCATGTACTTCAGTGTATTTGACTATTTTTGACTTCGACACGAGTCTCTGGAATGTGCCAATATGCAGGGAATGGGGGGGGTATCGATCCGGCAGGGCTATGCAGTATGTGACATGGTGGGCAATCTTGTCCAATCTCTCTCTCTCCTCATTCCATTCCAGCGGTTGACATCTCCACACAACACGGACAAACAAACAGCAGACGTCCTGTCTGGTATATCAACAACACTCGCAGGGCCAATTCCACGAACCCAAGTCTCCCGCTCCACTCCAACACACCTTCTTTCCAACAAGTGCCTGACACACGTCGATGTTGGGATTACCACCCGTCTATGTACTAGAACGAAAGTCGAGCCAGCCGGATTCGAAATTTAAGAGAAATATTTGCTTAAAAGGTGTGGGGTATGGGGTTTATCAGGGAAAGGGGAGGGGGAAGGAGAGGGGAGTTTGCTTTCTTCAGCCCCAACCAAGCGTCTCCAGCATATTCCTCGCGTCCAAGCCGCTGAAGCCGGCGACGCCCAGGGCGCGGATCTGGGTGCCCCGCCTGAGGCGCTGGAGGCCGACGGCGACCTTCCAGCTCTCCTCCTCGGACAGGACGAACAGGTATCGCTTGCCCTCCTGGTCGCGGATGGTGGCGCGGAGCAGGTGCAGCCCCTTGGCCTTCCACTCCCCAGCCTTGTTATGAGAGTTAGAGCTTCCCGACACGGACGGCGCGGACGAGGACGAGGACGAGGAGCACAGGCCAAGACGACAGCGGTCCTTGCACGCCCGCAGCAGATCCACGAGGTATTCATCGGCGTCGTCGCCGATGAGCGTCTTCGGGGCACCTCTCTCTGCGGCGCGGCGAGTGCCGGGCATCGTCTTGAAGAACGGGTGGTTTGTGGGAGTCGCACCGGGGTTGTTCGAAGCAGAATTCAACGTGTGCGTGGGGCACCATACCTCGACGAGCTTGAGCGTCCAAGCCTTCACGTCCCACTCGCGCTGCGCCACGCCGCGGACATCGTCGTCGATGAACAGGCCCTCGGTCGTGATGCGCAGGATTAACCCATCCGTCACCGTCCCGGTCCCCGAGATGAGCTGCGAGGCCGGCGTCTTTGCAAACTGGTTCATGTAACCATAGACGGCCTTGATCACGATCTTGTCGGGATCCTTTGTCGTGTAGGGGGTCCGCATCGAGGGCGGCGGAGTCGTTCGGGCTGTGGACTGAGACGGGGTCCACGAGGCTTCGGAAAAGTCGGAGACTGACTTCTTATGGGCGGGCTTCCTGGGGCTGTCGTACGGTCGATACGAATACTCTTCTTCGGTCCCTGCGGTGGACTTCGCTGTCGGGGCCGGTGGCCTCTTGGCACCGTTTGGCGTTGTGGTGGATGCAGCTTTGCCGGCTCCCGCGGGGGAAGCAGGTTGAGATGACGCGGCGGGTGGCCTGCCGTTAGGCCACATGCTGGTCCTCTCCCCGACCGAGGAGAAGGCGTATGTACTTCCCTTACGAATTTTAGCCTCTTCCTCCTCCTTCCGCAACCGCTCCGCCCTTTCCTTAGCTTCTCGTTCTTTCCGCTCCCTTTCTTGCCGCTCCCTCATCTCCCGCTCTACCTTCTCCCTCGCCTCCCGCTCTAGCCTCTCTCTCAGCTCCTTTTCCCGCAGTTCCCTCTCCCGAGTTTCCTGTTGGGTCCTTTCCCGGTCCTTGGCTGCCCGTTCCCGGCTTTCCTTCTCCCTCTGCTCCCGCTCCCGCGCTTCCCTTTCCCTCATTTCCCTGAGGCGCCGGGCGGTTTCTTCCTTTCGCTTTTGTTCTGCCTCCTTGGCTTTGCGTTCCTCCTCCCGCTTCCGTGTCTCCTCTCTTGCTTTCTCCCACGAGTTCTTCGGGGTCTCTGTCCGCGCTGTGCCCGGCTGTGGGGGTGCCTGCTGCCATGATGACTTTGGCCTCTCAGTCCGAGGAGGCTCGCCCTGAGGTGGCGGCGGCGGCGGCGGAGCCTGTTGGTTCGGGGGCGGTCCGGTGTTTGGTGGAGGGGAAGAATGGGCATTGGCACCTCCGAAACCGCCAGTACCGCCACCGCCGTGTCCTCCACCACTGGTGCCACCTCTGCCTTGACTTTCCCCATTGACTCCATCTCCTTGTTGCCTGCCGAGCGACCAAGCTCCCATCCCTATCGCGACCATGAGCAGGAACACGCCCATGTTCCCCATGCCCTGGAAGTTGGCCCACCATGTCTGCAATGCGGGCGCCATGCTTTGGAACACGACCACGCACGCCAAGGCGCAGGCAAACCCTGCGACAAAGCTGTTTATGTTTGGCTTCAGAGATGGCAGGTACAGAAACCCCGAACCGGCAGAGTGCTCTGGTATTATGAAGATATCATATTTGCCTTTGGGAAGGTTGGGCCCTCCTGACGTCGTCTTGGGGTTATCGCCATGAGGCGGGGGCGGGGGCGGAGGTGGTGGTTGTTGGCTCATTGCAGCAGCGAACGGCCGGCGAGGTTCCGCCGAGACTCTTCACTCCCTTGATGTTTGTCGCCGTATGCGTCGATTGTGTCAACCTCTTGCGGGGCAGCATGCCTCCATGAAGCGAAGTCTAGAGGTATGTCCAAGGTGGTAGAAAGGGTCATCAAGTCGTGAGAAAGCTACGGAGCTTCTAGGTCAGCAGGGGAAGTCCCGAACAAGCTCATCGAGAGAGAGGAATCGAGTCGGGCCCAGCACTCACCACACAGGGGAAGCGAAGAAAGAAACACCCAACTCCGAGCCAAATGCAAGCCAAGAAAGCAAACGAAAGTAGAAACGCTCTAATGAAGTAGTTGTTCAGTGTCTCCCACGGATGCACTGGCAGTCGGAAATATTAATGCCTTGCCCAATCTGACGATTGGACGAGTATATCGTCGTCGCAAAGGTTTTGAATGCGAGACAAGCTGTGGAGAAGGGCTGTGGAAGGATACAGATGTCTTTTTGGATGTTGTGCCAGGCCAAAAAGTTGCTGCTGTGGATTGGACGACAGGGGTCCTAATGTTTACTCTTGGCGGGTCCTCGGACGGGTAAGAGCACTCAGGCGGATTCGCACTCCGCCGCTAGCATGGACAGTATGTACTGTACATGGTCCCGGGACCTGCAATTGATAATCCTCAAGCCAAGCAAACGCTTTCGTTCGTTTGTTCCAGAAATCTGTGCCATTAATACACATATAAAATCGGGTAGCTACCTGATCCGACAGCTACAGATTTTTCCGTCTCCCCAATCAATGGTATTCCATTCCGGCAGACTGTCTTGGGCCTGACCCGAGATCTAAGTACACTAGGTACTGTACCTGCTCGGTTACCAGGGCGGGTCCCGGCTCCCTGTCACGCAACCCCCATCATCCCACTTCTGACAGCAAGAAACTTACTAGGAAGAGAAAAGGAAAGAAAAGAAAGGAAAGGAAAGGGGGGGAGGACGATTGGGGAAATGAAACGTTTGTTCTTCAAGCGCTTAACTTCACCTGCCCAATTGCTTGCTTGTTTGCTTGCTTGATTGATTTCCTGCTTGATTTCTTGCTTGTTTACAGGCGTACTTCTTTTTCCACTCGTGATGCGCGTTCTATCCTAGGGCAACCAATTGGCAAGAGATCCGGCGAGGAATTGCTGCAAGAAGCTGTTGGCAGGTTGCCATTGTCGTGACAATACGGTGACGCGGCGTCCAATGCCAGGGATTGCCCACTGTTCTCGCTGTGACGGGTTGCCCAAGGCCCACATCGACCGTTGCCTAAGAGCGAATCGCGAAGTGACGGAGCTCCTGAGAGGCTGAGGCGGTGTGGGCCAGGCAACTGGTTTGGTTGACTGCGGAGTTCCCTCGGACTCTCTGTCCCTTTCTGGTGATCCGCTTTGATCCCATGACATCTCTGTCGTGTCTATTCGTCATCAACTTAGGTAGAAGCCGTATGGGGAGAGAGATTCTCGCCAGAATAACGGCTTTTTACCAGTGCCGCCAGCCAGCTGGCAGGTTGCTAGGCAACGGCTCCCGGAACCTTGGCACTGGGCGGGGCGGGTACTCCCTTTCATGTCCACCTGTCGGGTGACGTAGCCACACTCACCTCTCCACTCAGGGTCCAGACCAGGATGCGGGTCGCGCGGTAAGGGTCCTGCACCCCGCCGCTTCCCTTTCGTGTCTCAACATCGGTCGCCCTCGTCAATAGTCAATAACTAGGGGTCTTGTCGTTCAAAAAAAGGCTGTATCGATCTCGCCCCTCGAGGAATTAGCAAATCTTGACAAAACTCCCCAATCGCCGAATCTCTGCTCCTAAGGTGTGGTCTGCTGTACATGCTGCCGTGGAACGACCGGGAGGATGCTTCGATTCTATGGCACCATTGATAGGATAGGATACCTTGACCCGAGTATCACTAGGCAACTGCTTCCTTTGGGGTCGATGGGCCCGGTGAAAGTCATAAATCTGAACGGGGTGCTACTCAAATCAACAACTAATGGTGTGAAATTTCGTAAATGATTGCCATGTAAACAGTCTAGTGGTAATTCCCGAGCTTGCTATACCATTCCGTGAACCAAGTCCCCTCCTCCCAGTGTAGATATACAGTGGACAATTCTTGTAAAACCATGTCGCGCATGGATTGCAGTCCCCCTTGCCCCTAATTACTGCGGGGGCTGCAACACCATCAAGCTCGAGTCTAGTATCCATGTAAGCGCCTCAGACACCTTTCCCAGCAACCAGCCCAAAAGGACCATAATATGAACGCCAGCCAGGATACACTGGACGACCGCGGTGAGCACAGCGCCCGACAGGCCAGTTCCATCGCCGGGGGGGAGCGTACCCGGCACCCCAGGGACATCCGGCAGGGGAGCTGCCAGTTCAGATTCCCCGGGCTCATCGCAGCTTTCCTTCTCGTCCTTCTCCTGCTCCCCTTTCCCTTCCCTCTCCCCTTCACCCCCCTCGACCTCCACTCCCTCCTCCCCGTCAACTGGTAGTCAGCCCAGCTTCCGGACGCGGTTCTTGGCAACGCCGACCTTCCCGGCCAGGCGGTCTGTGTCGCTGTCCAAGCGGTCGAGGCTCTCGATCTGGCGGCTGACCTCGTCGTGTATCGCGAGCCCCATCTCCTTCTGCCGGCGCACCACACTCGCCAGGGCCTCGACATCCTGGTCCTGCTCCGACATCATCTCCCGCTGCAGCTGCACGACGCCCTCATTCCCAAGCTCCCTCGTCCTCTCCGTCTCGGGCAGCGGCACCCCCAGCACCCTCCCACCAGCCCTCGGCCCAGCCGCCGCCGCCGCCGACGACCCACCCCCACCCCCAAGCAACGCCGCCTTATCCCCCGCCCCAGCCGGCCGCCCACCGCCCGCCGCCGCAAGACTGGCCCCCAGCCTCTCCAGGCCATCGCGCTCGACCCTCGCCGCCGCAAGCAGGTCCCTCCGCCGCCTGAGCTCCCCCTCCCCGAGCCCCGCCGCGGGCCCCTCCCTCATGGCCCTCAGGCCCTCCCCCAGCCCCGCCAGCAGCGCCCCCGCCCGCACAAGCGCCCTCTTGGCCGCCCCGCCGGCCTCGGCGCGCGCCGCGTGCTCCGACGCCGCGTCCCGCCGCGCGAGGCACATGCGCGCCTCGTGCAGCGCCGCCTTGAGCTCGCGGTGCAGGTCCAGCCACGCGCCCGGGTCGGACGCCGCCGCCGCGGTGGCGGCTTCCTTGTTGTTGTTGTTGTTGTTGTGGCGGCCGCCGACGCCGACGCCGACGCCGGACGCCGACGCCGCGCTGGTGCCCGTGGAGCCGCCGGGGAGGTTGAGGAAGGCGCGCCAGGAGGCGGTGTCGCGCCAGCGGCGGTCGGGAGACTCGGCTATGGCGCGCAGGTAGCGCTCCAGGCCGAGGCGGCGGTCCTCGGTCAGCTCGGGCGAGGAGACGGTGGACTTGAACCAGGACTTGGCGGGCAGCGGGGCGGGGGGCGGGGCGCCGACGAGGGAGGTTAGGGAGTCGTGCAGTGTGTGGAAGTCCGAGTAGCGTTTCTGCACGACGAAGGAGCGGAGCGGGAGGCGGAGGGTGATGTTGTAGAGTGTGTAGGGCTTGCTGTTGTGGGGAGGGGTGGAGAGCGAGGTCGTCGGGATGGATATCTCTGCCGGCGGCGCCATTGCGGGTTGGCACTGGATCTGCCTCTTCGTAGTGGGAGAGTTTCGAGAGGAACTTGAGGTGATGGCTGATGACGACGGTTATCCCGATGACTCGATCGAATTGTGGAAGACTATGAATGACGTTTGGGGAAATGGCTTAACACTGTTTGGTTTCGGGCCGTAGAAAGTGCTTGTAGGAGTCAAGAGGGATCGCAGTACACGGGTATTTGATGGTGCTTTCAAGATGGGAAGGGGTTTTAAAGCTGAAGCAGGCGACCAACCTATACTTGGGTACCTTGCTGAGATGCACAGGTGCACGGCAGCTGGAGGTGTTGTCATAGCCTCATAGGCCGCATTGGGAAAGCTTCGTTTTAAGCGCCAGACCTGAACGAACTCCACAAAACCCCTTATTTTAGCTCCAGGATCAATCGCCAACAAACCAGGCAATTTATAATCCACAACCACCGTGGCGCTCGCGAGATATTACACTAAAAGCTGGGTTGGGGTGGGGATCAACTCCTGCTGAGGGGAACAAGGACATTCATTTCCTATCTATTATCACCAACGTAGTCTTCTGACTGGTTTGGGAATATCGAAGCCTCTACTGAAATCCCCACCCACTGCCTGCTCTTTGGGCACTGCAAGCGTCACCTGCAAGTCTCGAGGCGGCATAGAAGACAGGTGCAACGCCACACTCAAGAGAGAAGCCCCATGCCAGTTACCAACCGGGTGGCCTTCTCCGCCCATACACGTTATTCCTGACATTATGTGCTCATGATTCGTCCTCTGTCCTCTGTCTTCTGTCTACCCTATCGCCCTTGGCTTTTTTCCTGCGCCTAACAGTACTAGAGGGCTCCCTCAGAATGTCTCCTGGTCGTCAAGCTGATCCCCCTCAGGGATCTCGAAACCTTCCTCGGTGGAGTAGAGGATGTTTTGGATCTGCTTGACGAGGCCATCCTCCTGCTTCTCCAGCTCGGGGTCCTCGTCGACGGCCTGCTGGACGAGGAGCTCGATATCCCTGAGCTTGCTGAAATAAAAGTCACGCTCGCGCTCGAGGCCGACGACAGTCTCCTTCAGGGTGTTGTTCTCCGCCTGGAGCGCGGCCGTGGCCGGACCGCCTCCGGCCTTCGCGAGCCGCGGTCCGGTGGTCGGAGTGGTGCCGCCAACTCGCCGGGGGCCGCCCGAGGCAGCCCGAGCGCCACCGGCCGCACTGGGGGGGAGGGCCCCTCCTTTCCGCCGGCCTACGGCATCGTACTCGCCGCCGGGGTAATACTGGTCCCAGAAGCGCTTGGTCCACTGCAGAAACTCCAGGTTATCCTGCATCTTGCACTTCACAAGGCCCTCCACCGGAATCGACTTCTCGATTTGATGTTTCGTAAACGTGTCTGGAGAGCATTTATTGGTCAGCAACCTGGGATCTTGCATGCCTGAGGGAGAAGGTAGAGAGGAGAGAGGTAGGAAGCATGGAGGTAAAGAGGATGTGGGTCATGACTGCGAGGATGACGTGGCACTGACTCTGCAAAACCTTGAAATTCGTTATGTATGCATATTCGGTGTTCACATTGAACTTGACTCGGGACATGGGAACATCGAGGAAGATGCTGTCGTAGACCTGGCACAGGGCCGCGCTGGAAGACCAATGTCAGATATGGGTACTTGACGATGTCGGAGGGCCCCTCAGTTGGTGGGGTGAGGGGCAAAGAGGACTTACCCAGTGCCGCATTGCTCAACCTTTGTGATGTTGAGTTGGAGAAGGCTGTTGAGCCACTGGACCAACTCCTGCCTGTAGAGGGGATACCGTCAGCACAAGTATTGGTCTGTCGCGACGTAGCGCAGACGCGGTACCAGGGCGGGGGCGGAGAGGGAAAACACACCGTGATTCACCCATTTTCACTGATGGTATTTCTTGTACACGCGATGAACGTAGACCAAGCACGCAGGACAAAGAGAAGAATATGGATCGATGAAAGGAACGGCGAGGTGTAGGAGAGGTGACGGCTTGCCGAACAATGTGGAAGAGGTAGGTAGGCAGCAGGAAAGGTGAGGGCCGGCCTTGTTGGACTGCAAGATGGAAAGTAAATTGAAATTCAAAATCAAACCCACAAACAGCGCCGTCGTCCAATCAACCAATCTAGTGGGGCCCTGTGATGACATTATCACCGGCAGTCCGTGCTTCCCCACCCACGTGATGGATCGTTTCTGCGTTTCGCCCAAGGCCATTTGTTTACAAACAGTGGTAAGGTCCTCTCTCAGGCGAATCTGGAGATCCAGCTAGCCCCTCTCACTCTTTCCTCCCACAGGTTAAAACCACCTCATTTGAACATTGTATCTCAGGCCTGCAACTGAGATGCAGTTAACCAAGATAGTTGATATCCAAAGTCTGGGAGCCTGAACGAGGACTCATTTGTCAGCCTACAATAACACAGCCAAGGTTGCCAAGGTCGCCATATTCCATCGTGCCCAGAGAATCACTCCGTACCTGCTGTGATACCGGCTTGGCATAGCCCGAAGACCAAGTCGCAAAAGGATGGTGGTTTATTTCAGTCAGTAGACAGCAGCATCTCAGGGTCCCATTGAGGATGCTTTACGTATGTAGATTCAATGCTGCTTAGAAAGATGGAACTGTATCCCCATTTTATACCCCTCTGATGATACCGGCGAACGTAAACGGCCTAAACGGCCGCACTACGGATGTACACGCAGAGGATTCAGAGTACCAGCCATGGCCCCAGGTGGATGAATGAATGTTTGACTCCCGCCCTGGAATTCTTGCGGCGAACACTAGCGTCATCCTCCTTGGCAAACATAACTGGCTTGAGAAGTGATTCGGGGTCCCCCTTTTTGCAGTGCATCGATACAGACCTTCGAACCAAGTCCTGCTGCCCTCGAGTCAACGGTCGAGTATTGGGCTGGCCAATCTCTTGTTTGGTTTACCCTTCACGTAGCGAGGCAAAGAAGAGGACAGAGAGAGACCCTTCCCGCGGCTGCCTATGCGATCGACTCCGCTGCCAAGGCCGACGAGGCGCTTGATTTTGTGGCATCGAAACAGTCTCGTACGGTTTACTTGGCCCTGTTTCTGCCTTCTTCAGGATTCTAAATCTCCATCATCTCTAGTTTGCTAGCTCATGACCTCTACTCCTCGCCAAGGTCCGAGAGGGAGATTAAGAAGGGACGTGAGCTTTTGGAACAGTAGCAGGGTAGACTAAGTTTACCATTAGAAACTAGCAATTAATATCTACAGCGAAGGAACAATATGCGTTTTCGTCAGCTCTCATCACCGCCATCACCAAGAGTCTCAACTCCCATTCGGATCATTGGTGGAAGGAAACAAGCCCCTATCATCACGAAACAACAATCAGGCCAGAACCGCGCTGAGCGGCAACTTCCTGCTGCTGCAGCCGACGTACACCGTCTTGGGGTGGCTGCTGACGACCCAGTCCTGGACGACGGGGTCCCAGTTGCTGAGGTCCCTGCGGGTGAGCGTGGCGCGGAACCGCGTCGTCTGGCCCGGGTCGATGCGGACGCGGTCGAAGGCGCGCAGCACCACCTTTGGCTCGTCTGGCCCGCCGAGGGACACGTAGAGCTGCGGCACCTCGTTGCCGACGACGGAGCCCGTGTTAGTGATCTCCGCCGTCACCGTGTACAGCGTGTCGTAGAGCTGCCGGTTGCCGCCGGGGCTGCTCTTGCCCGCCGACCGGAGGAGCGGCTGCGCCTCCCCGTCGGTCGCGTGCGGTGGGAGGAACTTGTCAACAGTTTGGCCGTAGTGCGGGTCCATCGAGGCCTCGGCCGCGTCGGTGCTGTTCAGGTACGGGTAGACATACTTCAGGATGTACGGGAACTCGCCGCTCGGGAACTGGTAATCCTTCAGGTCGGTAGAGAAGTTGCCGAACGTGGGGGCAGGGATCGTGGTCCCGCTCGTCGGCTTGTAGGTCCCCGCCCCGGACTTCTGAACCTGCAGGTTGCTGTACTTGAAGGTGGTGTAGCTGAGGCCGTGGCCGAACTCGTAAATGACGGGGGTGTCGGCGTGGTCGAAGTAGCGGTAGTCGATCATGACTCCCTCGGAGAAGTCCTGCTGAGGAGCACCCTTGCCGTTGTTTGGCTCGTACATGACATCAGTACCGTAGCTCTCGCGGGTAGCGCCCCACGTGAACGGAGAGCGGCCGGACGGGTTCGTCTTGCCGTAGAGGATCTCAACGATAGAGTTGCCGGATTCCTGGCCAGGGACACCCGCCCACAGGATGGCAGTGACGTTCGGGCTATCGTACCATTCGGTCACGAGGACCGGGCCGGTCGAGTGGATGACGACAATGGTGTTTGGGCACCAGCTGGACACGTTCTTGATCAGTGCGTCACCATCATGCCAGAGGGTAAGGTTCTTCCGGTCGCCCTCGTTGCCGTCGACGTTGATGTATCCCTCCCCAGAGTTGGCATTGACGAAGACGATGGCGGTCGCGTTGGCCTGAGAGACGAGAGACTTTGTTGCCGCACTTTGGTAGTTCGAGAGGATACTCTCGTAACGCGTACCATCCTTGATCGCCTGAGCTTGGAGCGCAGCGTCGGGTGTAATCAGGTAGGGGAAGTTGGAAGAGCCAGAGCCCCATCCCATACCAAGGGTGCCGTCGTCACATCCTCTGTCAGGGCAGGAATTAGGGCCAGCAGGGTTGGCGCCAGCATCCTCCCCGACAACGGCGAGGAACTTTGGCTTGTTGAGCGGGAGCGAGCCCGTGTTCTTGAGAAGGACGGTGCCCTTGGCCGCGACCTCGCGAATCAGGCTGGCATGGTTGGCACGAACGTCGACGTGCCAGTTGATCTGTTGGTGGCCCTCGTTGGCATAATAGTAGAGCGGGCCGTTCGTGTCAAGAGTCCACGAGTCGAAGTTGATTGGTGGCTGGTCCAGAGTTTGCCCGACCTTGAAGAAGGCCGCCATGATTCGCATGGCCATGTCGTCAATGCGGTATTCGGGAACGGTTCCGTTTAGGACACCGAGAGTCAGGTTCGTGCCCCAGTAACTCAGGCCCGTGTTGAACTCGGTGTCACCAGGCATGGTCATGTCCAGACCAGCGGCAGCACTGGCTACGCCCGTGTGCTGGGCTTGCCAGTCGCTCATGACGAACCCCTGGAAGCCGAGCTCGTTCTTCAACAAGTCGTTCAGGACCTTTGAGTTTTGGCACCCGTACGAGTTGTTGATCTGCTGGTACGAGCACATGACCGAGCCGACACCGGCGCGGACCGCGTCGACGAATGGCCAAAGATACAGCTCATGCATGGTCTTGTCGTCAATGTTGGACGAGAGGGTCTCACTGATGTCGTAACCATAGCCCTGCGCCTCCCCAACTTGGCGGAAGTGTTCTAGACGGGCTGTGAGTCTGGGATCATGAACCGAGAATACGCAGCGGAATCTTCTCACCTTGCTCGTTGGCAATGAAGTGCTTGGCGCAAGCAATGACACCGGCATCCTGGATGCCCTTGATGGTCTCAGCCATACCGATACCTGTCAGGACGGGATCAGGAGAGAAGCCTTCCCAGTTCCGTCCCCCTTCCGGAGCACGGCCGATGGGGCCGGCGACAGGGCCGAGGGCGATATTTACGCCCTTGCCCTTGTGCTCCTCTCCCATAGCCTTACCGCGGCGGTACATCAGACCCTTGTCAAATGTGGCAGCAGTGGTCTGACCAGAGGGGAAGACCGAGTTGTAGTCTGTGAAACGAAGGCCAACAGGGGCATCCTGCAGACACAGCTCACGCAGGCCGAGTCTTGGGACCGAGCCGGTGTTTCCAACACATTGCCCTCCTTGCCAGCTATCCGATTGTCAGATACATTCTAGGCCTAGGGCTCAAGGGCAATGCTCCCACGGGGCACTTTTCCCGTGATAGAAGCGAAGGGAACATACCCTACACCTGTGGTCAGGTTGACCTTCTCCAAGAGAGTCATCTGGGAGACAAAGGCCTTGGCTTTCGCATAGGCCTCCTCCCAGCCGTCTGCTTGGGGATCCATCCATGGCGAAGGATAGAATGGATCTGAAGATGCCAGGCCTCTGCCATGGATCTGTTGGCAGTTAGCAGCTGGTATCCCACCAAGGGCAAGCAAGGAAAATTCAATGAGCGTGGGACGCATGACGACGTCGTGGGTTGCGCAAGATGTGATGGGGCTCAGAGAAAGTAAACAATGGATGGGGCGAGGGGCGAGGGGCGAGTAACAATGAATAACAGTGCGGTCAAGTTGGCTGATCTGAGTTACAACCGGCCGTCCCAACTTGGGAAATGCGGTGGGTAAGGCGAGACAGAAAACATTCCGCGCGTCATACCTCAGAAGCTTTATCAAGCGTTGCGGGAGAGGCATGGCTGCTTGCCAGGAAGGCAAGAGCAATGGCGGCGTGCCTCATGTTCTTGGACTGTGTGACGTTCGGCCAGAAGGATCGACCCTTGAGAACTGAACCACGACTAGGTACCTACTGCTCACACAACTCTATCGTAGAAGTCGACTCGCACAAGCTCGAGTTGCCTGCGAGAGACCGAGATAACTTTGAGCGTTGCGCGTTAGATACGAAGCTTGGCAACGGGCAGGGACTTCAGAGCAGGGCCAACCTTGATTCTTCCGAGTCGCACGGCGGCAAGTTAATATATAAATAAGCTGCCTTGAGTTTATTGTGCTCGTCACCGGGGTCCGAACCTTAACAGCGAGTTCCTGGTCATAGAAGGCGGGAGGGGTAGCTCTTCCTTGCCCCTGTTGCCCGCTGCCCACATCAACTCGCAACTATTACTTGCAGTATGGCAACGCCCAGACCTGGCAACCTTGCTCGCAAGTCGCAGCTCCCCTTCCTCCTCCCCCCATCATCTCCGCATTCTGAAGTCTGAACTCGGTGTACTCTGGATCCTCCTCTGTGGAGAGAGGTTGGATCGGAGCGGGGCAGGCCCTGGTTCCGAATTGGCCGTGACGAAACGGCGTGCTGCCGAAGAATATCCATCGTCGTATTGTGCCGAGTTCAAGTCATGGAAGGGGGGCGGCAGGGCCAGATCTGCGGCCTTGGCGAACCAGAGTGGGAGACATGTTGTCAGAAACGGGCCGATCTCTTGGAGAAGGGCCATCCGAACAAGGGTCCTCCCAAGTGCCAGTGAAAGCGGGCGACGAGAACGATTGGGGCCGAGAATGTGGGGAAAGATTCAAGGAACAGGAGTAGGCACGGAAGGGCTTTTGTCAGCACCCAATCTTGCTCAGAGAGGTGTGCCTGGGTCTAACTGTACCTCTACAGTCTACACTACCTGAGACTACCTAAGGTACACCGTTACAGCACGTGGGATTCAGGTGGTGTATCGAACTGCAACATAGACGTCATGGTGATTCCATGGAAGGCCAAAGTTCAATTAATCCGTACTGGTCTCCAATAACCAATTCTCTTCACGCCGGCCCTCTCTTTTCAACCCCTGACAACGAGATCAAATCAGAGGGGTGGCCTGTCCGTATTTACATAGTATTCATGGGTGGCGAGCTTCGACCAAGCCGGGAAATGAACCTGTCGATCGGAATTAAGCTGACGATCCAAGGCAAGACAACGCAAGTAGGTTCCACTCCATTTCAAGACGCGCATCGCATTCTTGATTTTTTGGGGGTGTCGAGTCTTCGACCTGCCTTCTTTGTGCCCCTCCCCAATTGACCCGGGGCGACTGACCTATCCGGGGTACATACATCCGTTGGTATTCGCGCCGATATAGTAGTATTGGGCACACTTATTCGGCGCAGGAAACGCTTACAGTGGAAGTAAACAAGGCCGGATGGCTCCCCCGCACGAGCAATAGGACCGGCCAAGACTTTACTGCGTACTAACTTCGGGCCTTTACCTGGCCCCAACTTGACTGTATCAACGCATCAGTCGCCGGGGAGCTCTTTAGTGAGGGCATCTCGCCTGTCATGGTTACATTGGATATCCCCCGAGGCTGTCAGTTGACTCAACTTCAAGCCTTGCATTCTTCAAGTAACGTTGTCTGCCTTTTCGGCACGCAACCCAGGCTCTTGGGTATTACCCAGCTTTTCTTCCCCGGAGATACCGACCGAGTATTCAAAGCATACTGCATCAGACATATTGCACGTGGTCTTTTGAAGAGTTGTGCCCATCATACTGCATAGTATATTCCCGTTGTTACCAATACCGGGGACTCGGGCTTGCAATACAATCAGAACCCTATGCTTCTCGTTATCTATCCCACCACAGCCCGCAGGTCACGATAATAACAATACCAGATGAACGAAACCCCTGCTGGCGTGTAATCCAAGTCATGTCTCATCCATGACCTCGTCCGCTGCCTCCCAACCCGCGTCCACCTCCTTCACCACATCCTCCATGTCAGCCTTCATAAACATGAGCCTGAATGTCTTCATTCTCTGTTTTATCTGCTCCCTGGGGTCTCCCGGAATCATTGGCTTGTCGGGAGACACCTCCCACTTGTCGACGGAGTCAAGCAAGCAGACGAGGAACATGCGCCCCGTTCCGAACGGGTTGGTGAACGTGACCTGCGACACTCGGCCTTTATCGTCGGCCCTCTCGGCATTGTACACCAGCCAGATGGAGTTTTTGGGACTTATCATGTCCATGGTGACAAAGTAGTTTGTTGAGACGAACCTTTCTGGTTTGCAGGGATCGGTCCGTGACTTGGTAAAGATGAATGCCTCCCCGAGGCAGACCATGTACTCTGGTATACCGAGCGGGTGCGTGTCGCCGTTGCCGAGACTAGCGACGCATCGCACGACAGCAGTGTCGTCCTCTTTCTCGGCTCGGGTGTCGTTTCTATCTCTCCCCCGAACATAGGGCTTGCTCATACGGCTGCCGAGCTTGATAAATGCCTGCACCGTATCCTCTCCGGTGCTGTACTCAAATAGAAGCATGTCCATGGTCCAATGCTCGTCCAACAGGACGCCGCTAAGCAGTTGAAGAGCCATAGGGTCTCGAAAGTCGATTGCTTGGAGGTTGGAAATGAAGCGTGGCGGTGTGAGATAATTGTTCACCCAGTTGCGATCCGAAGTATCAGGACTCAGCTCGGGCTCTTCAGCCCACTCTCCTACCCCGGCGATATGCCTCTCGATAGCCTCCTCCAAACTGGCCCTGCTAGTGTCGAGCCCATTCGACTCGACCAGCGCACGGAATTCATCCATGTCAACAGCCCGGCCCTCCCTTAGCAAATCTCGTACATACCTGTCCCACCCGCTCATCATTATGTTGAATTCTTCTCGGCTTATCTGCCGACTCATTCGCAGCCCATCGTGCAAGCGCTCCTCCCAGTCGGCCATGCGCGTCTTGGCCCGCGCCAGACAATCCTCCATCTCCTTCACATGGCCCCCCTCGTCCCACGTATACTCCGTCCCTCCATCATCCATACGTCCGACCCAGCGATCTACCCTGTCGACTCGTGCGCCGTCCCACTGATTTCCCTCATTTCTCGGGCTCGCAGTACAGCCGGACCACTCGGAGCACGTGGACCGCAAGTTTTCGTCCACCCGCGATATCAGCTCTGCCGGAGCGGGGGGCGGCGGGGGTGGTATGGCGGGCACTGGTTCGTGTGGTGTGGCATAGTACCATGTACCAGACCCCGTGAGATACTTGTCTATGGGGAGAGGCATATCCTTCGCGGGCTGTAGCGTATACAGGCCCTTGGGGGCCAGTTGTTGGAGTTGCGTAGCTGTGTTCGGGTTGGGGTAGAAGAATGGCGGGAGTTCTCAACACGTAACGGAGGTAGCTGCAGTCTAGCTGGCACTGTCGTTGGTGAACGGGCTGTTGAGGGAGGTGATGTTGATTCAGCGCGGTTGCAACTAGATTGTCCCGCTGTTTGAACTCGATCCGATACTGGAAGACACGCCAAACAGGCGAGTTAAGGATGTCGAGTCGAGATGATGAAGTTCTGCTACGCCGGGGAATTGGGAAATAGTAATGGGGGTATTAGTGGAGAGATATTGACGGAAACAAGCTGTGCACATCCCACGATAATACCTAGGTAGGTGGTTTTGCAAGAGGTGATGAGGGTCACATCTCAAGTTTAAAAACAGTACCTAACGAAACAGAATTGAGAGAGTGTTCTGTCTAGGGAAAGCGTGCTGGACGTGAGAGGAGGAAAGTAGGTACCTACCTACCTAAGGTAAGCAAACAAGAGGTTTTGGTTCAGGGGCAACTGCCAACCAAGCCCAGATCAGTGTAGCCGATGGGAAGGAGCAGCTGGCCAATCTGGGAATCAACGACAAGAGCGACGGGGGGTGTTCCTTCAGCCCCATTATGGCCACCTTTTGCGGTGGTTAATTCTGGTAGGTTAGTAGGTACTCTCCAGGCTCCTCGAGTCTCTCGCATAACCAACACCATGTTCCTCCGACTTCCCTCCCGGGTGACTCCATATGGACTTGTCGATTTCGCAACTCGTCTTCTTCACAACTCTTAGTTGCCGATATACAGATGCAGGGTTTGGACAATGAAGCGCTTATTCTTCATATTTTCGTTCTGGTGGACTAGACAGGCGAACTCTGCTCCTGAATGTAAAAGGGGAGGGAAAACACCCTGCACGACAGTTACCAAGGGGGCGGAGAAGGTAGCCAGATCAACTGCATTCGAAATTGACGTATTTACGGGATTGTTGGCGGAGCCCTCCGCTCTACTCGCCCTTCTGGCACGTCCTGGGCTTGATGATGGCTGTCAGGGGTCTACGTGATCAGTCGAGACAGCTGCAAGAGCCCCCTGCGAGGATCAATTGTAGGCTCGTTATTAACATATACGGTGGATTTCACTGTATCCCTTTGCTCTAACATGTACTAGTGGATATCCAAAGGAGCTTCAAGTGACAATTTCCATGAATTTTTTTCTCTCGACCAGCCAGCGAGTCGTTGCGTGGCTAGCACCCTATATTTACATTACAATTACACTCGGTCGGGAGTCTTGGGATCCAGAGGTCCCACATTCTCCCCCGGAAAAGCTTTACATGAAAAGAAAGGCTAATCCTTCACGAGTCCCTACTAGTAGAGACCGGGAACAATCCTCCAGCGGACAGCCTTCTTATACTTCTCCCAGTCGTCACCATACTTCTTGGCGCACTTCTCGTCATCCCTTCTGTCACGATGGATCAGCAAGACGGCAAAGTAGACGATATAGAAGTACGTGAAGACCATGCCCCAGCCCTTCGCATCGCCCTGGACAATCTCCCGACCGTCCGCCATCTTGTAGGCGCCCTCGGCGCCGGTACCCGCGGTCAGGATCGTGTACCCGGCGAGGCCGGTCGGCAGGCTGTACGGCCAGCTCTGGATCCAGTCCCCGAGGTAGTTGATGTGCCTCGCGGTACCCCACCAGCCCGAGATGAGCAGCCGCGTGCCGGCCTTGGTCTCCAGGTACTTGAGGTGGGCGACCCGTGGGTCGTTGGGATCCGTGCGGAACACGTTCTTCTGGCTGTTCGACAGGCGGAAGATGGAGTAACCGGCGACCAAGACGGAGCCCATGACCGAGAGGCCGAGCCATCCCAACGATCTCGGGTAGATGGAGAGATAGCGCGTCTGGGTCGAGTAGAGGAACGGGACCCAGACCAGGTCGCCGAAGGCAAGCATGTGGCCGAAGCCGTCGGTCGTGATGTCTATCGTGGTCAGGATGGCAGGCTCCATCAGCTGAGAGTCTAATATGTAGATTGCCTGTATGACCGAGATGAAGACGATGCTGTCCGTGACAAAGCCGTAGGTCCTGTACTGCTTGGCGATGAAGGCAGAATTCAGGAGCATCCAGCCGAGCATGCCGGGGCGCAGCTCCATGAACTCCTTGATATCGATCTCTCCGATAAGAGGAATCGATATCCGCGGGTTGAGCTCGCGCCCGATGAACCAGTCGTACAGCAGGTTGCCGCTATGGCCCCCAGCAGCCAGTTCCCGGTGATCCGGATTGCCCGGCTTCACGCTGAAGCTACGAATGTAGACGAAGGTTGCGAGGGCGAACGAGATGAGGATGCTCGTGGTCAGGAGCTGCAGGTAGTTGTCCGAGATGAAGGTCCAGACCGGGAAGTCCGCCCCTTGAGCGATGGTGCCGGCGAGACACAGGGCGAGAGTGAACGTGGTGGAAGCAAAGGCTGGTCTAGTTAGTACTGGCGCGACATGCGTATTGGACAATGTTCCTCCTACCATTGAACTTGTACTTCAGCCGCCCACCGTTTGGCAGCTCCAACCCTTCCACCTCGGTCCCCGGGAGCACACGGTATAGGATGGCGCTGAAAAGGTAGTAGGCCAGAATCCAACCAGTCACCCTCCAGCTTACGAGACCAGCTATTCCATCGACAGGCCATCCGACCTCGTGCTTCAGGGTCTCGAGGGACAGGGTCTTTGGGCTGAAGAGAGAAGGCGCAGGGCAACCCGAGACATCGTTGCAGGCGAAGGTGAAGACGTATAGGAGAATCGGGAGACCGAAACTAATACCGAATGCTCCTGGTCTGGACGTTGGTCAGCTACCTCGACTTTGGTTTAGCTCTTTGCGGGAGCCCCTTACGGTCCGAAAAACTCATATCCGTGCGCAGGTTGCGCTGCCGGCTTGGCCTGCTTTTTTGTTTTCGCCATTTCTCCCTTCCTTTGGGTCGCTGCTGGTAGTTTCGAAATAGTGTTCCCGGTCCGTCCTTGAGGACGACTTTTATAGAGGGAAGAAGAGTGAGGGAGCGGGGGTCGCCGGATTTCCTCAATCCACGGGGGTTGCCAAGACCTCGAATTCGCGGATCGCTGGATTCCCGGTGGGCTGAGGTCGCGATGATGTCGTTGCTACTGCTTTGGGATGGAGCTCCACAAAAGGGGTCACGTGCAAGATAGGGAGCAGTTAGCATCAGTTCTCAGCTTTTATCCTGCATTTTCTAAACACTGGGGGCTGCAAGTATGTCGTCCAAATATTGGGTTTGACTGCACATGATTCTAGGTAGATTGGAGCTCCCGTCCTAGCATCACTGCGGTTCCGGAATATATTGTACGGAGTACACAGTGATTCGTAGGTAGCAAATGGCGCTCCACCAACGGATAGTTCACGTGCCAGCCGCTAGTCCCACCGTATTGCGTCGACGCATCCCATCTCCTAGCTCCTTTAATTCCCAACCAATCACGGCTTGCGCTTGCTCATCGACTTCGCAGCCTGTGTCCATCTCCTGGATCTTACATATATCCCGACAAGATTCTCTCCACGGACGAGACAATCAAGAGACTGACCTCCGACACTCGCTTGGAACTATTGCATCCATCATAAAGTGCTTGCTGCATGGTGGAGTATCATTCCATCGCACCGATTTGCGCCAGCAGACGTCTTGAATGATTACGACATTCCAATCGGCTGACTGAACGGACCGCAAGCATGCATCCCCGGAGTTCCTGGGCAACCCTCCTGCTCCTGGCAGCGGCTACCGGAAGCTCTGCTACACCGAGGAAGGACTCCGACAAGGCTAGCACGACATCGTCGACGAAGACCGCCGTTGCGACACCATGTGTGGCTACCCATTCTACCACGGGGTCCTACTACGATCTGCGGCCTGACGTTGCGGCCGCGGTAAAGGACGGCGAGAAACGTCATAAAGGAGTCCCAACGGAGGATTACACATGGGCGAGGCCATCGGAATGGCCCTACAACTTCACCCTGAACGTCTGTGCGCCTGTGGTCAAGGGTGTTAAGGACGTGGTGGGGGTAGAAAAGGCCTTGTGGAAGAACACCAGCGCCTATTACGAGGATGGTGGGGAAATCTACTCTCTAGGGTACGCAATGCCTTCCCGTCGTCATGACAGCGGATTGAAAGTCCCGCATGCGCTAACATGGAGCACAGCCAACTGAATACCACCCTCGTACCGAGAGGCACTCAGCTGATTCTCAGGTATACTGGTGGCTCGCCGTGCGCACTCGACGGCAAGGACAAACGGCGGGCTGTACACGAGGGAGCGAGCTACAAGTACAATGATTATGAGGATGACGAAAATGACTACGAGGTCAGTCCGGACTTGGAGGCCACAGGTTCCGCTGTGCGAGACGACGATGACGAAGAAGACGACGACGACGAGGAGGAAGATAGGGAGAAGAAGAAGGAGAAGGAGGAAAAGAAGGGGAAGAAAGGCGTCACACGGCGGAAATCGGCAATCATTACCTTCCGATGCGACCGAGACCCTGCGACGACAGGGGCAAAGCTGTCATTTATCGAGAGGGACGAGGATGAGTGCACGTATGTGTTCAGCATGCTGTCGCAACACGCATGCGCGAAGTCGGAGCCGCATAAACCTGGAAGTGTGGGACCCGGAGGCGTCTTCGCCATCATCTTCTTCGTCGCAGTGCTCGTATACGTGCTCGGCGGCGTCTTCTACCAGAGGACGGTGGCGCATGCCAGGGGATGGAGGCAGCTACCCAACTTCAGCCTCTGGGCAGGAATCTGGAGCTTCGTTAAGGTATGCTCACGGGCCTTCAACTCAGGCTCCCGGTTCTCAAGACCGCTGACGCTAACATTTGGTTAGGATATCTTTGTCATTCTCTTCTCTTCGTGTGCTCGCCTGCTCCAAGGTCGACGGGGCTATCGCACACTGTCCTCCTCGCCCTCGAGTAGGAGTAGGAACCGAGAAGACGAAAACCGGCTCATTGACCAGCTGGACGAGGAATGGGACGACTGATGCTGAAAAATATAGAGATCTTTAACCCTGGTGGGCATTTGTATTACCTACCTGGTAGTCTTTTAGCTACCTCTACCTGCATCTAGGGTGCTTACATGGCTTGAGAATACGGCTGGAATGACTTGGTCTGTCTCCGCGATATTAAGCCGAGGGGGCATGGAGTTCGTGGGCACCGGGATGGAATAGAGGACACCTTGCCTTTTTTCTTGTCAACTATGCTATGTAGATTAAATAAAGTTTCTTGGATGACCCCAACACTTCATTGGAGTCGGTAAGGAACGGCGATAGCGTTTGAGTTCGACCAGGGAGGAAAACAGGAGCGGTACGTACATCTGGTGAGAAGGCCAGGAAACGACGATTAGACTCAACTCCCTTTCTGGGCTTGTGCTATCATACAAGAAAGGACTTGATGGGGGAAACGAGAGGAGGGAGGAGCAAGGCCTCCAGGAGTTCCTGGGGAATCCATTTAACATTATCATTTCTTCTTCCATTATCCCTTGCATGAAAGTCGAGAAGGGTTCCTGTACAAGAAGCAGCTTGAGGGAGAATAGTAAAGCCCCAAGCAAGTGAGAAGGTGAAGGGTACGCGGCGGCCTTCGCCATCAGGGACCGAATCATGGTCGTGGCCACAGCACAGTGGATAGCGTAGACTCACCCGTATGGCCCTGCCAAGACCCCGCCGGGCTCAAATCGGGAGAGGTCCGTACGGTTACGGAGCGGCTTGAGCGCACCCCTCGTTTCCTCTTCGGTGCTCCCGGTGCTGTGAATGAGCTCATTTAAGGTGGCAACTCCTTGCTAGGAAGCAAGGTTCGGCTGGCCATCATGTCCCCGCCCGAACCCTGCTTGACGCGGAGGTGTTACGCGGTACCTCCCTACCAGCCAGGCCTGAGGCTGAGGTCCGCCAGCCTCAGCTCCTTCTTCCCGACGATCATCCAGCTCCCCCCGTCCTTGAGCTCGCTGCCCCTCCCGACGTCGTAGCGCTTGAAGTACTCGGTCTGGCTGCAGTCGGTCAGCACGCACACGCCGCCCGCCCAGCCGGGGGGCGGCACGCGGTCGCCAAACATGAACAGCACGAGCTCGTCGAGGTCGCGGAACATTGTGCGGGCGAGCACGCGCATCATGGCGCTGGCGCCGGCGTGGTACGTCCACTGGGCGCTGACGGCCAGGCGCCTGAGGCCGCGGCCGCGGCGCGTGTCGAGGCGGCGCACGTCGGCCAGCAGGGCCGACAGGCGGGTGAAGTCGACGGATCCCAGCACCGCCACGGTGTCGTCGGCCGGGCTGATGTACAGGGCGCGGTGGGCGTCGCGGCGCGTGGCCCCCGGGAAGTCGCAGTTGGCCGACATGGCGTCGAGCGGGATGCGCATGGTGAAGTGCGACAGCGCGGCGGTGCGCGCCTCGACGCTGACCGAGAGCGCCGCCGGGTTGTTGCACCCGCTCTGCCAGCGGGCTACGCCGCCGTGCTTGTGGTCGTCGGCGTAGTGGGACCGGCGGCCGTGGAGCTCGACGATGCGCGGCTCGAAGGAGTGGTGCCAGATCTTGAGGCGAAGCTCGGCGGGCAGCAATGGGAAGAGGTGGAAGTTGTTGGGTGGGGCCGGGCCTTCCGTTCCCCGCTCCGGCCCCGGTTGTGGGTCGTCGCCGATGGTGGCCATTTGTTGGCGTAGTTGGGTCGATAGCTTGCTTGGTATCAGGCCGTTTCCTCGGCGGGGATGCCCTAGTACGCCCTTGGGATTTGTGGAGCAACAAGGCAGGATGTTCGAGCTTGGGAGTTGACGATCTTCCGGCAAAGCAGGGAAGCGGGGATGATGTGCGAGGTGGGTACCTAATTAATTTGCTTCCCTGCGAATGCAGATGTAGAATGTTGCAGATGGCTGGACGGTCTGGACTTAGGTTCAGAAGGCGACAACAGGACACAAGAGTAAGTCAAGATTTTGCCAAGTTCTTTTTTTCCCCTGGTAAGTACTGTAGGCACTGTACTTCGAGTGTGAGGCCCGGATTTCTTGGCATGTCTTGAAAGTCCCCATCTCCAACGACTTGCATGATTCCATCGCCATTTAGGCCCTCAAGAAGTGGGCGAACTCCGCTATGCCCTCGGAAAAGTGAAATCGACTGACCAGGCGGCCTCCTCAGGCCTCCTCAAGGCTGTTGACCCGGTCGTCAAACCAACCCGCTTCCCTCCGTCCACGTTGGATCATTGGCGCCCAAGTTATAAGTCCGGAATGCGCATTTTTCCAAGATAGGCGATTGGCCACTCTCCAGTTCTACAGCCCCCTCTTAATATCTCTGCTTTAATATCTCTGGACGGATAAGAGGGGGCCAAGGTGGCGGTAACAAGGCGGCGCCTTCAATCAGGAAGAGGTGATCAAGTTGAATAATTTCTATAAGTAAGCCCCTCCCCCACCCCCCCCAAGCATCCTGAACTCGTCTTCAAGCGTGTGGAAAGACCGTATATTTAGCATCGGTATTCAGAAGAGCGAACCGCGCACAAACAAACCCACCATCAGCTGTCCTGCTTGGTCAGTACACCGAAGTAAGTGTTAACTGGTAATGACCAGCCGCTCTGGACTAGGCACTAATAGCGGGCAGAGCCTCGATGAGGTCCTTCCGGTCCATCTTCCAACACCGTGTGGTCAGAGCCTCCAAGGCCGCTGCACGACAACACATCCCTCTGGCCGCGGAAAGTCGTTCCTCGATCGACAGCATCTCCAGCCAAGACTCGATCTTGGCCTTGAAGCGCACAGCCTCCAAAAGGGGCTGGATGACGTTCACAGCTAACCAGTATGTGGTGGTGAAGGAGATCTAGGGCGTGCCTGAAGAGGGTGCGGGCGGGGCGTGGATCATGTATCGGTATAGGTAACACGGCGTATATGAGTATGCCGAAACGCTGGAGTTGGATGGTCGGGGCATTGCCTTTTATTTGGGAAATACATGGTGCATTTCAATTCAGGAGCTTCTATGACACTGCTGATATTCCAGTGACCCTCGGGTGGAATGAACGGCCTTCTGATCTTCCAGGGATTCGGCTGAACTCAACACCAGCGGAATAGGAAGGGCTGTCAGTTCGGGCCCAGTAAAATAGAGTAAAGGAAAGGAAAGGACAGTGTTGAATCCCTTCATCGACACAGGGGACGGAAATTGGTCCTATGCCTTGGCCCGGATAGTCGTCGAAGGACATGCGTCGCAAGTCTGGATGGCCAAAGAAACTAGGCGAAAAAAAGCGACGGTCATCTTCACAACGTAGTTTCCTCGGCGATCCGGGAGGATTCCGACGTTAGCCTCTCCTGTGCCGTCTCCTCCGAACCCGCGTCTTCTGAATTCCCTACCTGAGCCTCGTTCTGTGCTACCGCGCGCGCCAACGCGCCATGCAACAGGCAGGCGACGATGCCGGACGTGATGGCGCGCCGATACGGCGGGGGGTGCTTGCACCTAGACGGCAGCGGCGGCACCTTGAACCCAGAGCAACAGACTTCTGTGCAATGGGGGAGAAAACTGTGGACCGGGCAGAAAGACTTCTGACGGTGGAGGTTCATAACCTGCCCAACTTGCCGCAGTCTCCGAGGTTCTGGCTGAGAAATCCCATCACCGTAGAAGATCTGCAGCGACTCCAAGGATGTCAAGGGAGGCTCGAGCGATGGAAAAGAGACGAGAGCGGTGCATCGCAGCCACAGTCTAACGCTGAGAATGTCATTGTTTGATGGTCTGTCGGTTCCAACTCCTTCTGTCTCCGTCCAGCCGGCCGCGCATGTCTGGCCTCAAACTTTCAGTACCAACCTCTACATGCGTGCCGGATTGACGGTAATCGTGGGGACTTCGTGCGTAAATGAAATGCGGGACTCCCGGTGAGCCTCAGCTGGGACGAGGGAAGTGCCAATAGGCGGAGAATAGGTAACGTTTAAGCAGTCAATTGGCTTCGTGGTGAAATGCAAGGGGGCGTCAGGTGTGCCTTAGACTCGCGCTAGAGCTTGCACTTTGCAACTCGGACCGGGCATTTGCAGGAGCTTGAGACAATCAAAACAAGACCGGGATCGAGCCACAGGTCTTGCTGACGTGGTAGGCCACCGATTGATTTAAGGTAATGTACAGTATGGACTGTACCTATTCGCAAGGTTGTCTGGTACCGAGGCCAGCCAGCGTGACCGGTCTTTACTACCTACCTAGGTACTTAGGCACGTATGAGATCATGGCAACCTGTTTTGCTGCACGGAAGTGGCGTACACATGGCACGCAGCGGTCGTGCGCATACGTAGTACATACACCAAAACTCTAATTATAATAAGGATCACAATAAGACGGGTACTGACAACGAAAGTGGATCATATCCTCTTACTATGTCTGAGATTTATGGTAGTATGTATGTGTGTCCAGGGAAGGTCAATTAAAAATTGTAATCTGTAATCAGGGTCGGATTCCATCCTGGCCCCCCCTGTCTGAGCACTCCCAAGCTTTTGTTGTTGTGCCGCCTCTCCCCGCCGATCAGCAGTCAACATTCCCCAGTTTCCCCAGGCTTGCAGGGCTGCACAGATCACCGTTGTGATTTCGCTTCTCGCTTCTGCCACTCCTCCCTTTGTTTTTCTGTTTTCGTTCCCTGCGCGCACGGCTTGCTGCACAGGCCCCGTATTCTCTCATTCTACATTCGGATGAGGGAGGGAGTTGTTGTTGTCCGACCGCCTTTCTTTAGCTTGGGCGCCGCTCCCTTCCTTTTTTTTCTCGCCCCCTCCAGGCAAGGCCTTACTGGTGTCGATCTAAACCCACCGCATCTGTCATCGACAAAGTTTTCCGCCTTAGCCCACCCCAGATCCGCCAACGAGCTTTCTAGATTCTACCACCAGGCATTCGCGCTACGCCCGCCACCGCCCGTGCCCGACGAAAATTTCTTTGGTCCTAGGGGGAAGCCCGGTTTATATTTAGTTGGGATGGGATTTCGGTAGCCCCCCGGGAAACCCGTCAGCCCCAAGTTATACCTATTTCCCGGCTTCATTAAACAGGGGAACTTTCCCTCCCCTTCCGAGGCTCTTGGAGACCTGGACTGAGGCGCTTGACAACCTAATCCTGCTGGCTATCTGAGCACCGGTGATGTCCATGGCTCCGCGAATCATCTCCACCCACGAATGGGCACCGGCCCAGGAAGCTGTTTACGACGATCTCTCCCAGAGCCCGGAGGATTTCTCTCTTCCGCGAGACAGCCACAGTGTCGTTGCATCCAACGAGACTAGAGGACGTAGCGTGAGCCTGTCATTGCTGTGGCGACCGCGTCCGAAGTCCTCAGTCTATAACCTCGACGATATCGCCTCCAAGTCAAGACGATTGAGCCTGGAAAAGAGCAAGAGCCATGGGTTTGCGAACGAGGGGGGTGGCATTGGAAACGCCAATGTGGCTAGGCCCTCAAGACCGGAGCAGCCCCTCAATTTCAAGGGCTTCATCCGGCGCGCTTCCATTTCTGTCAAGTCGGGGGTGAAGGGCATTGTCCACCGTCGAACCTCGGTCCCGGCCCCGGTTGCGCCTTTCGAACACGATGATCCCTACCGCCACCAGCGATTTGCGTTCCACCCGCACGCCAGCAACCCCCGCCCCACGACCGCGCATTCTACCTGGCACCGCCTCCGGCAGGCCGCCAGCTTCCACCGATACTCGCGCGTGCTGCACACCGGCCATGAAGATCGAGTCTTTGGCCTCGACCCCATCGAATCCCCAACGTTTCCCGTCCCGGGCTCCGGAGAACAGCCGCCGATCATTCCGCGAAATACTGGCGCCGCGGCGAGGCAAGCTGCTGCGAGCGCGTACAGGGACCTCAACGAGTTTGGGCCTTCAACTGGGTTGACGCCGAAGCCAAACTGGCTTGCGCCCGAGGAGGGGCTCGACGATTACGAGAGCGGCATCGGGATCGCGCTGACCAGCTCCGAGATTGAGATCTATGTCCCGTCGGGAGAGGTCGACTCGGACGTGGACGTTGGCGTGGATGGGGCCGCGGAGGAGTCGCATATCAGCAGGATCGACTTTGTGTCTCGGCTACCCATAGAACTTGCTATCCAGATTCTTTCCTATCTGGACGCCGCGGCGCTGGCGAGCGCAAGCCGCGCGAGCAAGCGGTGGAAGACGACGGTGGCTAATCAGCACATCTGGCGCGAGTCGCTCATGAGAGAGAAGACCACGACATATGCGACTAGTGGGCGTGTGAAGCCGGGCACGGGGTTGGGCATCCCTGCTGTGCAGCCGGGGACAGACTGGAAGGAGATCTACAGGGTGAAGGAGGAGCTCGACAGGAGATGGAAGGAGGGCAAGGCTCGACCAGTTTACCTGAACGGACACTCGGACAGCATCTATTGTCTGCAGTTCGACGAGTAAGTTGTGCCGATCCCGGATACCATTCTTGGTCCATTGGTTGGCTTGTCTTGAGACCGGGCTAACTCGTTCACAGATCCAAGATCGTCACCGGCTCCCGCGACAAGACGATCCGCGTCTGGGACATGCGCACCTTCGCCTGTAAGCTGGTTATTGGTCCTCCAGATGTCATCAATGACCCGACCCTGGCGCTCCTGTACGACGAGGACGGAAGTCCAGTCCACTACGCTACTCTTCCAGACTCAGACTCGGCGCCCGCTGGAAGCAATGGGTTGCCTCCACCACCAGCCCGTGCGCACCAGTCAACCCCCGCCCTCGTGTCGTTCCCCACACACCATAACGCGTCCATTCTCTGTCTTCAGTACGACGACAACATCCTGGTCACCGGCTCCTCCGACGCCACCTGCATCGTCTACAACCTTCGGTCGGGCTACCGGCCCATCCGGCGGCTGCGCCACCACAGCGCGGCGGTGCTGGACCTGGTCTTCGACGACAAGCACATCGTGACGTGCTCCAAGGACATCAGCATCTGCGTGTGGGACCGCGAGACGGGCAGCCTCATCCGGCAGCTGCGGGGCCACTCGGGCCCCGTGAACGCGGTGCAGATGCGCGGCAACACGATCGTGTCGTGCTCGGGCGACTTCCGGGTGAAGCTCTGGAACATCGACACGGGCAAGAACATTCGCGAGTTCAGCGGGCACACCAAGGGCCTGGCGTGCAGCCAGTTCTCCGAGGACGGGCGGTACGTGGCGTCGGCGGGCAACGACAAGGTGATACGCATCTGGGACGCCAACACGGGCGAGTGCGTGCGCGAGATGCGGGCGCACGACAACCTCGTGCGCAGCCTGCACGTCGACTCGGTGTCGGGCCGCCTCGTCAGCGGCAGCTACGACACGGACATCAAGGTCTTCGACATGGAGTCGGGCCGCCAGCTGCTCGACTTCCCGCGCTGGCACAACAGCTGGGTGCTCAGCGCCAAGAGCGACTACAGGCGCATCGTCAGCACGGGCCAGGACCCCAAGATCCTGGTCATGGACTTTGGCGCCGGCGTCAGGGGCGTCGAGATGCTCGAGACGGCCCCGGGGACTACTACTGCTAATGCTAATGCTAATGCCGAGGCGTCCTCGCATGACGTGGACGGGGGCTATATCTGAACCCGGTCCCTGGGCATGGGGGGGCTCTGGGGAGAATGCAGAAGGATAATCCTTAATTTGGTCGTTCGCGGCATCAGTTCGCGCGATCAGCACAAGGCTGAATACGAATCCCATCCGTCGACCTCCTCTTCGGTCTGGTAGATCCGCTGGCGGGACAGCCGGACCGGGAGGGAGAGATAGGGGTGGGGTATCAGGAGACGGCCTACCTACCTCTCGTTACGAATTTTTTTGTGTCTTTTGGTGGAATATTTCATGGGAGGATATGCCAGACGGATGGATTACTGTGCCCCACTGGCGTGGAGAAGCAAAGGGACAATTATAGTACAGCGTGCATGGGAGGTAGTTCCTCACGGGACTCGCGCTCTCTGGCCTTGGGAAAGGGTACGAGTTTTAGTCGACGGGGTTTTCAGGAGTGGGATTCCCTGCCTTCGGCCTCTTTTCTGTTTGTTTGTTCCCTCCATCCTCCTTATTTCTTGGTCTTTTGAATTGCATTGCGAGCGAGCATATCTGCTTCTTGGGGTTGGTTTTCTCAGGGCCTAGCTACGTTTCTTGCATATAGAATAGGGGTTTCACTTCCAACTTTTCTTTCCCGATACGGGGTCCTCGCATTTTGGAGTAGGTACCTACCTACCTACCTACCTACCTACCCACCTAGTTGGCAAAATCTGCGTCTGTAGGTAAAGGTGATCCGATCATATGCTACCTCTTTTGCGATGCCGGTTTTTGCGAAGCTTCCTTGTTCCGGCTTCCAGATGAGACAGGTGACATCACCGTCTTACCTGCCCGGACATTCCTCCCGGCCCCGAATGGGCGGGCGTGCCGCGTGAACGGACTACTGAGACATTGGACGGAGGAGCGAATGAGACAGACGCTCCCTTCGTTTTTCCAGAACGTTTCACGCTATCTACGGATTCCCTTGCCGCGAATACCGTTTACAGCTGGATGCCGTCTCTTTATTTTCCATACCGCCAAGCAGCGTCTTAAACAGGCCATCTCGGAGCAGCTCGTCACGGACCTTGACTGTTGGATCCGGGACCACGCTTCCGATTCGCCTCTGTACGGAGCATATTTTCCGCGGACTTTTTTTTATTATCCTCATGCGTCGCTGTCGAAAATGGACGGGACAGAGCCGAACGCATGTTCTGAACGACGGCGGTGAGCGGCCCGTCTCCGAGCCCGCGCGCAATGGGTTTTGCAAGATCCGAGGAGAGAGAGGGAAAAGGAGAGTCTAGACGGTTGTGGGGGAGGGTATATTACGCGGCGATTATAGTGTACGTGTAGGGGAGAAATAGCGCGGAGGTGGAAAAGGGCGTGGGACGAACCCGTTCGCGAATAGAATTGGCCCCTGCGGCGAGCAGGCAAGGTAGATCAAACGCTCAACCCCTGCAAGGGACTGGCTTTCGTCTTCCGCCCTCTCTTTTCGTTCTCTCTTGGGCAAAAACGCAGCTGCGAGAGGGTATCGATCTGGTCACTTGCACATGCATCCTTGGACCTGACAGCATCTTGGGGAGGTGTCGTCTGTCTGTTGAGCATCGAGGGGGCGAGGGTTAGAGTAGCGGCCGGCCTTATTTTGCTGCCAGCGTGGGCAAGGCAGGAAAGCAGGGTCCCCGCTGGCGGAGGTAGGTGGCATGCTGGTCTAATCATGTGCGTCTCTTGGGGCTCTAAAGTTCAAGCACATGCACTTGGCACCTTCAAATCGATGGAAATCAGCCGAACTTAAGACCGTCCGCCTCTACATCGCGTCCGTCCGTACGATGGAACGATGCAGATGCAACGTGCAATGGGCGCCAAGTTGAGATGCCCCGGGCCACGTGAAAAATGGTAATCACCTACGGAGCATTCGAAAATAGCAAGGGGCAGGCATCAAGCCACTGACGAAGTACAACGTATGCGTACGGCAGGCGTGGCCAGGATAGGCCCTCAAACGCCGCAATAAGATTCAAAGTGGAGTGCAGAGAGCATGGCCAGGCCCAGAGAGGGCGGGACGGTTGGTTAGCGTCAGGTCCCAGAATTCGAGTGGGAGTCGCCGCATTGTTCTTGAAACGTGAAACGCCGCCTGATGGGGTATCCACCAACTGCCCACTTGATTGAATACCAGACAAACCTTGACAGGCTGACAGCCAGCCACAGCAGAATACGCTGCTTGTTGGCCGCTTCGAATTTGGTCAGAGAGAGCAGATCGGATGGTCGTGATGAGTAGCCGATTAAGCCGCAGCCCACAGCCCAGGATTCCAGCGAAGGGTCAAGCGATCAACTCGCATCGGTCACATTGCCGGAGCGGCTGTCTCCACACTTCGGGGACGGCCCACACTAACTAAACTGGTGTGCAGGATAATAGCTGGAGCTAAGGCGATCGACATGATCATTACCAGCAAGAGCCGCGGGCGTTAGCCCCATGGAGATGGTGCCTCGGAGGCTTTATGACCCTGCTTTGGAGCCCCTGAGTAGAGATCCCTGCAGCGGTCCCAAGTATCACCGACCGAGATCTCTCCTACCGGCAATACTACCTGACCACTTCGGCTCTTTCGTCCCATGCAGAGAGAGAGAGAGACAGTGTGTGTGCGTGTGCATGCCCAGTAGGCCAGCAGACAGGCCACCACCACATCTCCGTCTTGCATCGTGCCTGGCCATCCAAGGGGTTGCTTTCTTTTCCCAACTAGCTTGTTTGATATGCGTCAAACTCATAGCCAATAGTTGCCTGGCCTGCCGTCGGCGGGACAGTCACTATGTTTCTCTCCACTCCCTGCCGCCAAGCCTCAAGATTCCCTTCGCCCTGACCCCTTGACATTTCCCCTGCGCGAATGATGGCAACCACACCCGGGGGCTTGAGTGATCTGCGAACCTGGCTCCCAAGCTCCAGCGACCATTCCAGGATGAGGCGGCTAGCAGTCTACTTTCTGCGCGTCACCGGCGTGGCTCCCCATGGCTGGGAATCCGAGGTAATATAAATAAAGACTTCTCCCGGCGCCAATATCCGCGGTCTCAGTCAGTGGCTCGCACTATGTCTGCCGGTGTCTATCGCCTCCCTTGACGAATTCTTCGTCTTGTATCTATTCGTTTCGTTTTCCGCGCCTGTTTTGCTCAAGTCGTCGTTCCTTTTTTTCCCTACCGACCCTGACTGAAGAAGAAACTTGACTGGATCCGCGTCGATCTTCGTCAGAAACAGCTTCTGTGAGCAACCCAGCAGGGTGAGTAATGTGATGAGTTCCTATGATTGATTGTCTCTATTCCCCGGGCCTCCTCGAATCAACGCCCCTCTGCTTTGTCAGGTACACACCTTGAGCGAGGTGAAGACGGTCACAAGGTGGTCCTAGTCAGTGTCCACTGTATTGTTCCGGAGCCTCTTTTATTCACTCGGCCGTGTTGCGCGACAAAAGAACCCGGGACAATGACATGGGGCTATTCAACTCTATTGTTTTGCCCCTTCCACTCCTGTTGCTGTTTATAGAGAGATTATCTTTGTGGCCTGCAGTACTAGCACTCTCGAGTCTGCTTTGTCCCCCTCCTATTTTACTACTATTCAAGCCCTTCCCTGGTCTTCTCATCCTCGACTCTCCCAATATAAAAACACGGAGATACCTACTTCAGACCACGACCACCCCCAAGAAGTACACGCCATTCCCTCAACCGACTAAGCACTGACAACACCATCAACAGCCTACCAAGATTCTCACGAGAGAAAACGTCTACTACAAAGAAGATATCTGCGAACAGCTGGCTCTCGTTTCGCCATGCTGGGATTCTCAGCCCTCATCACCACCCTGCTGGCCCTGCCGGCTCTGGCGGCGCCAGCGCCTCAGGCTGCGGCCCCGGCGACTGTCGCCGCTTCGAGCTACTGGGTCAGTTCGATCCAGCGGCAAGGAGCAGCGGCATTTGGCTCCGCCGGTTACCAGATCTTCCGCAACGTAAAGGAATTCGGCGCCGTGGGAGACGGAACTACTGATGATACCGACGCCATCAACAAGGCCATCTCGGAAGGAGGTCGTTGCGGACAGGGTTGCGATTCCACCACCACCACCCCCGCCCTCGTCTACTTCCCCCCCGGAACCTATGTCGTCAGCAAGCCCATCGTTCAGTTCTACTACACCCAGCTCGTTGGCGATGCCATCTCCCCGCCCACCATCAAGGCTTCTGCAGGCTTCCAGGGCATGGCCGTCATCGACTCGGACCCTTACGACAACCAGGGCAACAACTTTTGGGTGAACCAGAACAACTTTTTCCGCCAGGTCCGCAACTTTGTCATTGACCTCAGAGACATGCCCTTCACCGTCGGCGCCGGCATCCACTGGCAGGTCGCACAGGCGACGAGCTTGCAGAACATCGTCTTTAACATGCGCACCGACGGCGGCGACGCCAACACGCAGCAGGGCATCTTCATGGACAACGGCTCTGGCGGGTTCATGGTCGACCTGACCTTCAACGGTGGCAAGTACGGCGCATTCTTCGGAAACCAGCAGTTCACCACCCGGAACCTGACCTTCAACAACTGCAAGACGGCCATCTTCATGAACTGGAACTGGGCCTGGACATTCCAGGACATCAAGATCAACAATTGCGGCATCGGCATCGACATGGCCAACGGGGGCACCACCCAGACGGTTGGCTCGGTCCTCGTCGTCGACAGTGTCTTCCAGAACACCCCGGTCGGCGTCTTGACGGCCTATAACCCTTCGTCTCCGCAGACCAACGGCACTCTGATCCTCGACAACGTCGACATGACCTCGGGTGTCCCCGTCGCCGTCTCCAACGCTCTCACCAAGGCCACCGTCCTCGCCGGCAACCAGAAGATCGGGTTGTTCGCCCAGGGTCGCGCCTACGACAGCGGCAGCGGCACCGGAGGCAAGGCCGTTCAGGGCTCGCATACCGCCGTCACCAAGCCGGATTCGCTCCTCAACAAGGCCACCGGCAAGGTCTTCACCCGCGCCAAGCCGCAGTACGAGAACGTGCCGGCGAGCTCGTTCATCAGCGTCAAGTCCAAGGGTGCCAAGGGCGACGGCACCACCGACGACACGGCGGCCATCCAGGCCATCTTTGACAGCGCCACTGCCGACCAGGTCGTATATTTCGACCACGGAGCCTACCTCATCACCGACACCGTCAAGGTCCCTAAGAACATCAAGATCACGGGCGAGATCTGGCCCCTCATCCTCGCCGGCGGCAACAGCGCTTTCAAGGACCAAACGAAGCCGAAGCCCGTCTTCCAGGTCGGCCAGCCTGGTGACGTCGGCTCGGTCGAGATGTCGGACCTCATGTTTGAGACTGCGGGCCCGCAGCCGGGCGCCATCCTGGTGGAGTGGAACGTCGCCGAGTCGAGCCAGGGCGCCGCGGGCCTGTGGGATGTGCACTTCCGCATCGGCGGCTCGGCCGGCACGCAGCTCGAGCTGGCGCAGTGCGCCAAGAAGCCCGACATCACCAACCCGGTCGACCCCAAGTGCTTCGGGGCGTTCCTGCTCCTGCACATCAGGGAACAGTCCAGCGCCTACCTGGAGAACACGTGGTTCTGGGTGGCAGACCACAGCCTCGAGCCGGCCGACAAGTCGCAGCAGATCGACATCTTCAACGGGCGCGGCGTGCTGATCGAGACGCAGGGCCCCGTCTGGGGCTTCGGCACGTCGAGCGAGCACTCGGTGCTCTACAACTACCAGATCCAGAACTCGGCGGCCGTGTACCTGGCGCTGATCCAGACCGAGACGCCCTACTTCCAGGGCAACCCGGCGGCGACGACGCCCTTCGCGGCCAACGCGGCCTTCGGCGACCCGGACTTCGCGGCGGCGTGCCCGTCGGGCGACGGGCGGGGTTGTCAGCGGGCGTGGGGCCTGCGGGTGGTCAACTCGAGCGACGTGTTCGTGTACGGGGGCGGGCTGTACAGCTTCTTCGACAACTACGCCCAGACGTGCCTGGACACGGAGAGCTGCCAGGAGAACATGGTCAGCATCGAGGGCAGCAAGGTGCACCTGTACGGCATCAGCACAAAGGCCAGCGTCAACATGCTGACCGTCGACGGGCGGAGCGCCGCGCTGGACGCCGACAACCGGAATAACTTCTGCGCCACGCTGGCCCTCTTCCCGGGCGCCTAGGGGGCGCCGCTGGGAGAGGGAGCGGGGGAAAGTTGTGAAGCCTGAAACGGTGGAGTAAGGCCCTCCGTGAGAGGACGGAGGAAGGGCGAGGCAATCGGGGTGGTATATACACATCTGGGAGTTACATTGCGTTTTACAGTACATGGCATTTCCTGTACCTATCTTCTTGTCTCTCGGTCCATTCTTCTTCTACATTCTTGGCCCTAGAGGCATTGACTTTGGTGGAAGGGGGCGTCGTCATAGCTGCCTGCCTAGCCCCGGGCAGGCGTTTCTGGATTGACCATCCGCAAAGAATAGCGGAGACAGGTATATCCCGCTAGCATGTACACAGCACTGCCGTACATAGCAAATAGGCTCGTATGAGTCTGAAAGGAAGGGGAATGTGTAAACTCGTCGTGAAAGTGCACCGTTCTTGAAAGGAAAAGTCCGTGCTCTGCGCAGGTGCTGATGATTCACTTGATACCCACTTAGTCATCAAGCCTCGGTTCTGAAATGACAACGTCATAGTTTTTGCCTGACTGACCGCTGCGGACTTTACATATCATATCGTAATGCCATAAAACCTGTCCAGAGCGATAAAACAACCGAAGAAACATCTTCGAATTGCCTTCACTCTTTACCTTTACTGTTGTTATTTGGCGACTCTCCTTTCGCGTCCAAAATCTTCAGAAACTCCGCAAGTTCTTCAACACTCTGTCAGCACCGGCCATAACACAGGCCCCATTCTGCGCTACAGAACCTCGAATTCCGCCGCTCTATATGCCCTGACCACTCTCCCCGATTTCCAAAATCTCCCAATTTCCCATCCGGGACGCAAGCTCCCCAGAAATGGACGACAACCCCCCACAACCCTCCCTCCGCGCCCGCCCCCCCAAAATGCCCGCCCCCGAGAACGGCGGCCGCCCCTCGCCGCACCGCCCGTCCACCCAGGCGCCGCCAACACGCCGCAACAGCCCCTACCTCCCGACGCCGACCGAGCGCCTCCTCGTGGCGCTGTACCCGTCGCTCCTCCTCCTCGGCGCCGCCTTCGCGGCCCTGTCGCCCGAGACCCGCGCCGCCGCACCCGCCGCCGCCGGAACAACCGCGTCCTTCTCGCAGGACCCGGGCCTGGCGCCGTCGTACTTTGCGCGCAAGGACAACGCCGTCAACGTGCTCTTCGTCAAGTGGGGGTGGGCGTGGATCAGCGTCGCTGCGGCGGCGTGGGCGGGGACGCATCCCGGGGCGGCGGAGGGGTGGCGGGTGTTGGTGCGGTGGGCGGGGGTGACGGGGTGGTGGGTTGGGGTTACGAGGTGGTTTTTCGGGCCGGGGTTTATTGATCGGGGGTTTAGGTTGAGTGGGGGCAGGTGCGAGGTTGTTGAGCTGAGGGTCGCGGAGGGGGTTGCTACCGGGGCGGAGATGGTCTCGGCGGCGGCTTGTAAGGCTGTTGGCGGGAGATGGAGTGGTGGGCATGATATCAGCGGGCATGTGTTTATGCTGGTGCTGGGCAGCGGGTTCCTGATGCAGGAGGTCGGCTGGGCGGTGTGGAGGTGGAGGGAGGGGCGGAGGGGGGCGAGGAGCACCGAGGAGAGGACCGTCGTGATGGCGGACGGGTCGGTCAGAGGAGCCGGGGTTGAGGCCCGTGCTGCTGCCGGTGGACTCCCCGGCGGGGGGCCCGGGTCCGACGGTGACCTGCTGGGGCTCGGGGGGAAGTTCGTGCTCGCTGTTGTGGCGCTGAGCTTGTGGATGATCCTCATGACGGCGATTTACTTCCACACGTGGTCCGAGAAGGTGAGCGCGACCCTGCGTGCTGGCGGATCCCCTTTTTTTGGGTTTGACTTTGCTGACAAAACCGACGACGACAGCTTACGGGACTTATCGTTGCTCTCACGGCCTTGTATAGCGTCTACATCCTCCCTAGATGGGTTCCGGCGTTGAGAAGAATTGTGGGACTGCCAGGCATTTGATGATCGGCTTGGCTTAGACAGCTGCGCGGTCCGTTCCGCGGGATAGAGCAGGCGGGACGGCATGGTTTAATATAGATGTACATGGTGAAGCCAATGTCGTATACGAGCCTATGATACTCCAACTCAACCAATAGCCTGACTGTTATTGTGCCTTTGTGTGTGTTCAAACGCAGACCAAAAAGCTACAGAGGCTGCGCACAGACCAACAGTGACTTCTTCAAAGCTATTCTGGACCGGCGAAGATGGTTCTGCCTGCGATTAGCACCTTGATCATACGCAATTGAACCATGGCAACGTCGGAATCCGATATGCCGCCGATCAGAGTGCCTAGCAACTTGCCTGAGCTCGTGAAATCAGCCTTCAATAGGGCTCGGGCAAGCGGGAATTTGACATATTACCCGACAGAAGTGACCATCCTCCACATCAACTCCATTCCAGTGAGCTCTCCCTCCTCCCCCAAGTCTTCCCTTCCCCGTCGCCTCCAAGAACTCTTCCAAACTAACCAACCAACCACCCAACCCAGTTCCAGCTCCGCTTCTCCCCCTCCCTAGCCAACAAGCCCCGCGCCCCCGAACCCCATCCCCGCACCGCCGCGCCCATCGACCCGTTCGCCGACCCGCCGGCGGCCCTGCTGGTGTCGGCCGTGCCGCCGGCGCACAACCTGGTCCTCAACAAGTTCGCCGTCGTGCCGGGCCACTTCATCCTCGCCACCGCCGCCTTCCTGCCGCAGGACCACCTCCTCGACGCCGCCGACCTCGCCGCCGCGTACGCGTGCATCGAGGCGTACCGCCGCGGAGAGGACGAGGGAGGAGGAGGAGACCGAGACCTGTTTGTGTTCTTCAACTCGGGCCCGCACTCGGGCGCTAGTCAGCCGCATCGACATCTGCAGCTGCTGCCGGTGGAGGGCATGCGCGACGGCCTGGCCGGGGAGGGGGAGGGGGCCTGGGAGGTCCTGGCGGAGAAACTGCTGGCTGCTGGGGATGGACTCGGGGGCGGGGATGTCGCGGCGCGGCTGCCGTTCCGGACGTTTGCGGGCCGTATTGGTCGGGACATGGGGCCGCGGGAGATGCGCGAGGTCTACCTGCGGCTGTACCGGGAGGCGTGTCGGGCGGCCGGGCGAGGGGGGGATGCCAACGGGGTGGGTGTGGAGGTGGAGGTAGACGGGGAGGCTAGGATCAGCTATAACCTCGCCATGACGCGGCACACTATGGTGCTGTGTCCCCGGGTCGCCGAGGGGTCAACCGTGTCCGGGCCGGGCGGCGCGACTGCCGGGAAGTTGAGCCTGAACGGGACCGTGCTGGCGGGGACGGCGCTCGTCAAGACCCAGGCCGAGTGGGATGCCCTACGCGGCGATCCGGCGCAGCTGCGTGGTGTGCTGGAGAAGATCGGGATCCCGACGAATGCGGGTTGAGGGAGCGCGGAGGCCAGGGCAGGGGGAATGTGTGGGATGAGAGCACGGGCATCGATCTATTAGGAGGGTCTGTCGAACACAGGGATTTACAAAACAACGCCACGAAGTTTTCGAAACCAGAGAGTTAACCGCAGACTTCTTGTCCAGCCTCTTTTTCCCCAAACCCATTGAGACCACCCCGACACTCCAACCAAGTTCAACCCGATAAAAAAAGGAGAGGGAAAGGAAAAAGAAAACAGAAGACCATCAACCATCGACCATCTACCACTAATAAACGGGCAACGCCCCTACTCAAAGAACGGCTGCCCAATATCCTTTCCACGCGCAATCTCGTCGGCCACCAGCTCGTCCCACCTCTTACGGCACGTCGAGTTGCCAAACAGGTACGTCCCGCCGTTGTTGAAGATGTGCTCGGCGACCTGCTTCCAGGGGATCTTGGCCGTGGATATGTCGTTGCCGCTGGCAAGCGTGCGGACGGCCTGTTCGAGGAGGCGGAGCTGTTTGTCATGAGAGGAAGTGGTCAACCATGGCCCGGGGACAAAGGAGAATCAAACAAAAAACACCCACATCATCATCCGCCCACTCGGGCTTCCGCACCCGCGCGTCCTTGTGCTTGGTCAGCGTGCGGAAGCGCCCCCGCAGCGTCGACTCGGCCTCGGCGAACCCGCCCTTGCGCCGTATCTCCTTGTACGTCATCCCCGCCAGCTTGTTGCGCACCAGGAAGTCGTCCCGCTGCGTCTTGTCGCGGGACGCCGACCTGACCCGGTCCGCAGCCGGCTGCCCCGCACTGGGCACGGGAGCGGGAGCGGCGGCCGGGACGGGGGCGAGGATTGGCGCTTTGGCCGGGACGGCGTCGGTGGCTGCGGCTGCGGCTGCGGACCGGGTTTCGTGCTTCTTGTTGGTTGTGCTGCTGTTACTGTCGGTGCTGTCGGTGCTGTCGATGCTGTCGGTCCTATCGGTCCTATCGATGCTGTCGGCCTTATCGATGCTGTCGTTGCTGCCGGTGCTGCTGGTGCTGTCAATTCCGCCAGTGCCGTTACCAGTGCCGGACTTGGATCGCTTAGCAGCACCTCCTTTAGCGGCTGCATTGGTCCTTCTGGACGACCCCCGGCCCGTACCGCCAGACGCAGTGGATGAGACAGCGGCTGTCCGAGATGCCGGAGCCTTGCGGCTGTTGCCCAGGAGCACCGGCACGAATCGCGGCCGGGGCTTCTTGTCCGGGAGCTGCTTGCGGGCCCTTTTGTCTCTGGCGTCACGGTGCTCTTGCTCCTGGTGTTCTTCCTGCTGCCGCCGATGCTGCCGGCCCCGCTGGACCGGGGCGGCGGGCGGCGTCGCCCCGAACGGGCTGAAGGGCCCGTCTGACTCGCTGCCGGCCGCCAGGTAGTTTGTGTGGTTCGACTCGGATGACGACTTGTGCGTCGGGGAGGGGATGATCCTGAGGAGCTTGGGAGAGACGGTTTGCTCCAGCCGGGTGGTGCATGGGGTTTGTTGACGGGGCTGGGGATGGTGCAGCGGCTGCGGAAGCTGAAGTGGCTGATGGGGCCGGGGAGGTGGGGGGAAGTGAACCGGTGGAGCGGCCTGGGCAGGCTGGGGACAGAAGCTGGCAGCATTGCCGTTGCTCGGCCCTGGGATCGGAGACCAGCAGCAAGGGCTCTGGTTGACATCGCCTCCGGTCATGAGGGAGCCCATCATCACCGAAGGCCCGGTGGACGAGAAGCTCCCATTCATGGAGTTGATGCCTGGATTTGCGTAACCCATCGAGTTCATGGGGAGCATCATATTCCCCGAGGAGTATCCCCCCATGTCGAAGCTTGGGAGCCCGTCGCAGTTTGGAAGCCCGTCGTAGCTTGGGAGCCCGTCGGCATTAATTCCGTAGTGGCTAGGGACGCTGTTGGGCACCAACTGCCATTGCGTCGGAGCGAGACTCAGCAAGGTCGCTGCCGTTGTGGCTGCTGGCCAGGGGCAATAGCAGTGGTCTTGCACTGGCGCCTGGGCGGGGAACATTTGGGTTGAAAGGTGCCTATTCCGGGGAGGGGGGTGGAGTGAGACATAGGGGGAGTCCGGAAGGTGGGCGGAAGGATCTATCATGGAGTGTCCATCATCCATCTGGCCGGGCCGCATGTTATCAACTTCCATCGCTTCCAACGGGACGGGACAAAGGACGGCTTACCAGGAAGTCTTCGTCTCTTGCGTCGCTTGCCTGTTGATACCAGGGGTCGTCAGAGACAAGGGGCTCTGCCTTTAGGCCAACTGCGCCCCAGCCATTGGATGCATTCGTTGACATCTCTGCGAAGCGTCCGTACAGGAGATAATTGTTTCTTTCCTCCAGGGCGGCGGCAAGGGCATTGGGTCCATTCCAGACCCCCCTGGGTCCTGCGGTACTGATAAACATTTCTGGAAGACGGCCTCGCCCAGGTATGGCCAGAGGCTATCTCTGAGCGGATCACGATGCACAGAAGGCTATCATGCTTAGAGCCACTCTTTCCTTAGGCCCCTTCACCGCTGCTTCTAATCGCCTTCTATGCCTGTCTCTCGCGGGATGTCGTCTTCCCGCTTCCTGCGCCCCGCTCCGGACCGGTCGAACGAACCACGGCCGCACTAGGTTCGTCGGGCAAGAAGGCGGTCAGATATGCTGCTGTCTGGTGCCGATGCAGACTCTGTGTGAGCGTCCGATGGAAAGAACTCTTGGACTGGTTCTCTGCCGTTCTTGCAGCTGTTCTTGCGTCGCCCCTAGTTGGCAAACACCTCAAGGAGTGGCGGACGGTGGATGGCGGGTGGCGAAACGAATGGTCCTCCTTTGATGGGTTTAGTTGAGCCTTATGGAGCAAATATCCAAGCTGTGTGGCTCCTATCAGACGTCAATCCATAACAAGAAATAGCACAAAAGCTTGCTAGTTTATATGGACTTGAGCGAAAGGGCCGGGTCGGGGGCTGGCTGGTATGTGATATTCCACGTTCTCGGCACCTCCAAAGTCTCCCAGGGGGCCAGTACTTAAGCATGAGGGCTCGAGTTCTCGAGAACTCCGAGCTTCCCTTACGCCCCATTGTCTTCAGGGTACATACGGGGATTCCCCTCCTCCAAAATCGCGGCTTCCATCCCGTCTCATTATCACAGTGGAGCTGGAATGGGGTTACGATGGAATCACGGAAGCAGGCTTTACTCAAAAGAGCTGTGATCTTTCCAAATCCGTCCAGTCCCGGTCCCGTAGGTCCAACCCTTCAGCCCCTATCCTGGACCGAGAGCTTGCACGAGCCGAAGTTTGACGAGCATCCACGGCTGAGCTTGTCACATATCAGACTCTCAATTTAGTATTTTCCCGTGCTGTGGAGGCTCTGAGCCTTCGAGGGTATCGAAGGTGGGAGGACTTGACTTGATGTGGAAGGCTGGCTATGGCCAATTCTCGGGTAACGACACTTGACCATCCGTGATTCGACATGACGGTTTGGCCTCAGCCAGAAACTCGCGTTGAGTGGCGGTCCAATGTTTGGTCTGGAGTGAGAGACAACGAGCCCGCACGCCTCCTCAAACTTAGCCTCCGCCGGGCTGCTGCATGAGCCGTCCCCTCTTGCGGTCGACAGAATAGAGGTCCGAGCTAGTCATCCTTAGGCGCCATTTGCCAGATCTCTAGTGATGGGCCTAGATCTGCATTGAGGCGAATCGCCATGTGATGGATGGTCTAGGTTGGCCCGTTGAGAGACTGGCTGCATCGCGCCTTGCCGAGAGACGAATACAGTAGCAGCTGCAACTTGCCATATACCATGACTGCGATCGATCTTATCTAGAGACAGAGAGATTTGCGGGACCGACAAGTAAGGGATGAGCAAGAGATTGCCTTGGTTGGCGTTCGCAAAAGGGAGCAAACAGCGCTTGCCTTCGAGGCCCAAGCCGTGCAAGGATATCCGAGGATTTGTTTGTGTGACTGAGAGGGAAAACCTGACAGATCCCCTCAGCCTGGTAAGTCCCGATTTCCTTTCTCAGAACACCTCGCATACCACCACTATGGAAACGATCCGTTGCACAGCAGGTTTCATGCTTGTGGCTGCATGAGCCCTACATGCCCAAGCCTGTAAACATGCATCCCACATGTGTCTTCCCACGTTACCAAGATGGAGAACAGACCTGCGGATATCCCATCCGTGGCCCCGTGCGCCACCCACTTGTTTTTCTTCAACTGTCCGTCAAATATCCCAGAAAAGTCTTCGGCTGATGATGGGAATCGGCGGCTCACCCGTCTTGCTTCCCGAACGAAGGACCGAATTGAGGAATGAAGGAAATGAAAGCATATACGACCCATTGCTCGTGGACTGTACGGGAAGGACAGAGCTCAGAGCTGTATGTGTTCGTCCCATCACGAACATCACCAATGCCTTCCACCCTCCTCCATCCCCTTCTTCAACTTCGTGAACAAGCGGTCAGTGCAGCACACATATTGCGATGCGCTCACCCACGGCGCGCCAGGCGAGCCAAATTACCTACTTCCGAGACATGCGAACCAGTCGGCAATGGGCCGAGCAGATTGCATTCCTTGACCGTTTGAGGCAATGTCGTCACTGACGGGAGTACGTTTGGGCGGCGTTGTGTGGGGGTTGGTGTGTAACGCCTCCTCACCCCTCTCCTTCGCCAGGCAACTGGCCGTCCTGGTCTCGGGAACGACCCTGACCAATCTCCCGATCATGGCTCTCTTACTGACTTTATTACTGTGTGATATCCTGTCTCTTGGGGGTCCAGACGTAGGCTGTAGGCTGTAGGCTGTCTCGCGGAAACTGGCCCGGGACCGGTGGATATTGACGTCCTTTCAAATAAACAGAAACTCTTTCTAATGTCTTCATCGAAGAAGCTTAGCTACATCCTTCTCTGCTTTCGAACGTAGTCTTCAGCCTTGATCTCACCTCCCCCCTGATTCCGACTAGGTGCCAGGGGGAGCTACATGGGGAACAGACATCCGTGATTCGGCAGTACCTGCCGACCCAGACTCCCCGTGGGATCTACACTGCATCTTTCGTGTCACGAGTGGCGAGACCGCGACAACGCCGAGCCACCAACTGAGCACGATGCTCTGACCGCCTGATCTCCGACCCAAGGCGCCATATAAAAAAAACGTAGCAACACATCTTGGCAACTAGATACCCCGGAGATTGGTCATTTCGTCCGACTTCACGTTGCTGGCCTGGCCCCTTCGTTGTTGGCCACGGCCCAAGAGATATGGACTTCCATTGCCTACATTGACGGTATACGGCCATCCATGCAAGGTAGCGGTAAACTTGGATGGTCGGCACGACCAAGGCCTACTACCAACCGCAGCCAGGAGGACCAGTGAACATGCAGTGACCGGCCATGTCCCACCTGCTGGCATATAGGCCCAGGCACGCCAGGCAAGGATTCCCCGGCTGGAAAGGGGGGGCTTTACTGCAACAGGGGCTCTCTTCCTGTTGTTGAGTTCCTGTCCGACCCTTCATCAACGCGGTTTGAGACGCATAGAGAGTCGCCTCGCATCCTACAATTTCTTCCCGTCTTCATGATGTGGCCCCTGAATCCAAGCACCCCCTAGCCGTGCTTCTTGGAGTGGTTAACTACGCCGACCCTGATCCACCTCCTTACTCTACCCCCGGTTCCCACGACTTCATCCTCGCCCATTCGGACCGGAGATGTGGTTACCCGGTCGACGTTCAACACGCTGCCTCCACGACTGAGAAATCCAATGCATTATATTGCTAGCATCACAGTACTCTGACTATCGCTGCACCTGGACACCGTTCCACCTGCTGACTGCTGAACGACGCCTGTTTGCCCAACACTGGTTCGCTCGGCCATGAACCTAGCCAGGGGAGGGGTTGTTCGTCCTATGATCCACAATGCCCAGTCACCTCCCCTCTCACAATGCCATTTCAAACACCCCTCTCTGGAATAATCGATCCATCAGCTCTGCCCGACTCTAATCCTTCTTCCTCCAGCATCGCCATGCCGCGATCGACTTTTCTGTAATCTCCGCCCCAGCATCCGCCACTGAAAAAGGGCGACCCCCCCCCCCCCCCTTTTGCGCCACCGTCATCGAACCAGCAACATCAGTCCAGGATATCCGCCGCCCATCCCTCATCACCATCCCAGGTCTCGTCCTCCAATACCATGTCCAGGTCCCCGGGGTACTCAAACAACCCCAGCGCGACATCGGGGTCCATCTCGTCCCTCTCGTCCACGATGGCGATCTCGAGACGGATCCCGAGCCTCTCAAACGTCACCACCTGTTTCCCGCCCAGGGCGCGATAGTACGCCCTTGGAGAGACCCTCCATTCGAGCGGCATGACGACGGTGACGAGCCTCAGCGCCGGCAGCGCGGCCGCCCGCTGGCGCAGGTGCCTGAGGATGTGGAGGGCGGTGCGGCAGAGCAGGAGCCCCTTGGCGCCCATCCGGTACTAATTCTTCGGCGCCTTTTGGTTCTCGAGCCTGCTCCACCGCAGGAAGATGGTGAGGGTCTGCAGCGAGGCGGGGAATGCCGTCATGCCGGGGGGAGACGTTAACAGCCAGTGGGAGTTGAAGTCGCTGCCGGGCCCGCACAGGCAGGATAGGTCGACGTTCAGGTGCTCCAGGTTGGCCATGGAGGGGAGGCAGTGGAGGTACCGCCTCCCCAGGGGGTCTGTCACGAGGAAGTGATCAGTCGAATCGGCCTGTGCCACGATTGTCAGAGAGCGTAGGGATCCTGCCAGCCCCAGCAACGCGTTGTTGAGGGTGTGGTCCGTATCCGACTGTGGGCCACGTGGTTCGGTTCCTTTTGGCACCATTTCATGGGTGTGGTCGACCGGGCTGCAGTAGTAGTTCACCAAGAGCTCGCGGAGGTTGATAAACGTCTGGCATAGCCGGATAAGTTGGCGCTCGTTTATTCCGCTGTCGTACAGATGAAGCCGCCGAAGGCAAGGATAGGTAGTGGGGAAGTAAGGAAGCACCAGGCTGTCCCAAGTCTGCAGGATATTGCCACCCGACACCTCCAATATCTCCAGGTTCGACAGGAAACGCAGGAAGCGGTTGACAGGGAATGCTAGTCCATATCTGTCCGGCTGCGATGCTTGTAGTTGAAGCCTCTTCAATTTCAAAGGCAAGATGCTCCAATCCTCTAGTTCGACATGGCTGTTGAATAGATTGCCGTTGTAGAGCTCCTTCTTGTGTAATGCATCTGCATTACAAGCCTCATATTTGTGGCTATGGGGCTTAGTCCTGAGGACATATGTACCCTCTATGCCCTTGATGAAGAGTGATTCGAGGGCTGGCATAAAACGAAGGAGAACACGAAGTACCCTGGCTGCACAGAACATGTAATGTTTAATAATTGGGCGGAATGCATCCCCGGCAAATCCAGGGCAGTAATCCATCAGATTTTCGAACTCGGTGCCTCCTTCAAGGTGTGCCCGTTGGCGGTGCCACGCGTCGAACACCTCCGCCTCACACTCCATTGCGCCCAAGTCTATATGTGACGAGAAGTTCAGGATCTGTGCCCCAATCTCAGGCTGCCGGTAAACCGTGTAAAGGAGCTTTACCAAGGATCGCCCGCTGATAACATGGACATTTCGCAGGAGGTGTGGCCGCACAGTTGCGGCAACCGTGCGGCATGTCAGGCAGAAAGCGAGAGTATCCCGGAAGGCTTGAGACAAACTGGAGTACAAGCAATCGGGAGGTGTCCACCGGTATAAAGCCATTGGTGGTACATGTAATGAAGGAGCTAGAAAGCTGGCGATGATGCTAAGGATCTCAGCTGAAACTGCATCGAGCTGTGGTCTCTGTAGCATGGGAGGGTGGTGAACTGTGGTCATCTCGCTGCGTTCGGCTATCGACTAGGGTATGTAGGCGGGATCAATCGAGGTGATCGAAATGATTCGGGAGATGCCAGGTTGGCGGTTACGATTGGCAAACAAGGCAGAGTCGCGACGGCGATCGACAAACGGCGCGATAAAATCCGGGTTGGAGGTTTAGACCGACCGTCGACCGATACGCAGATCAGGGGACTGGTCGTGAGATACTCAGCAAGAATATGCGAAGCGGAAGACTGATGTGGAATATTTGGTTCGCCTGTGTTGGATGGAAGAGGCCGCTGACGAAGTGCTACGAGGCTGCGAGGTAGGAAAGTAAACGCAGATCCAGAAAGAGCAGGCGCAATCGGAATGGGCGGAAGGTGGAGCAGGCAGGGTGGAGGGAGGGGTTGGTTGAAGCCCAGATCAGGGTACCTAATGTAGAGGTACCTACCTAGGTAGGTAGGAGGATGGAACTCAGGCAGTGACCTACCCGTTCCAATGGGGCGGACTAGTCGAGAGATATTTCGATCGGAGCCGCAAAGTGTCTGGACATCCGCACCAACCACGCCTGGTGCGCCACAAAAGGCTCCATGCAATGAATATGCCGCCCGACCATCCCGGGGAAACCACACAACATAAATTAACATCTCAGACCTCGTCCACCAGAAACTCTACCCCATGTCCTTCAAGCAGGCCTTTTACCCCGTCAAAATGGCTCTGCATCGTCACATATCCCTCCAGAGTCCACGTCCAGGGGATCTTGGTCAGGAAGGACACCTTTCGCAGCTTTGGTAGCCTTCCCGGACAAGCTAGCGCAAACTTCTCTAGTATCCCCACAGCCTTGGCTCGGTATTCCTGCTTCCCCTGGTAGTGAACCACCTTCTCCGTGGCTATCCAGTCTTCCATGTCATCGTAGGTGTCGACATCATCCCACCACCATTCCTCCAGCGCGAGCTCCACGAGGGACGGGGGCAACAGGTCAACAAGCGGGGTGAGAAGGTTGGCGGGACTGTTCCCGTAGAGGACGCAGAGCTGGATGCACAGTTTTTCCAGATGGACCAGTTCCGCAATCGCGGACAAGCGCCCCTCCGGCCCGATGAGCGACTCGTATCCGCGGCAGTCGAACCACGCCACGTCGAGGTGCCTCAACTTCTTGGGCCGCTCGAGAAGTGCTACGTCCAGGGCCTCGGGATGGGCGTGTGTCAGGTCCCCTCCAGGTCCGTGGTCGAAGTCGTCTTCCCGTCGGGGAGTCATGTACAGCGTCCGGAGGGACGGCGCGTTCTTCAAGACCTGGTTGAGGTTTCTGGGGCACGCGATGCTGTTGTGGAGGTAGAGGTGCTGGATCCTGTTCAGGTACGGCGTCTGGTTCCCGCGGAGGCCTCTCCTCATGTTCGTCCAGATGCCGTCGTCAGTGCTGACTTCAAGGGTCGTCAGGTTGGGGAAGGCGTCGTAGACCGGCCAGTAATCACGAGCCTGGCAGCCCCAGACTTCGGGGACCTCACAGCTGCAATCGTCGCTTTCGAAGTGCTCGAGAAGCTCGGGGTCGCCTTGCAGGAGAAGAGTCTTGATATTCTGGAACGGAAGTTCGTCTTCTGAGCCCCCTTCGGATTCCTGGCTTTTGGCAAGCTTCTCAAACAGGACCGTGTACTCGGGATGGTCGTCACATATGGGCAGCTGGAGCATAAGAGTCTCGAGCCTCTTGAGGAGTGTGAGGACGAAGAACAACAAGACCTGGGGAACGCCGTCGAAATCACCGGCATGAGTACTGAGAACGGGGAGCGCGAGAACCATGATCGAAAGCGCCCGGCCTATGGGGCTCCCCGAACTGAGGCCGGGGGCGAGCGTGTCGAAGGTCCGCAGGAGTCTCCCGAAGCATCTCCGCGTCTCCCGCACGACCGAGTCGCGCGTCAAGGTCATATGACAGGAAAGGTATCGGGTCCAGTAGCCAAACTCAAGCCGGCTAGTCAGAGTCCTCAGGAATAGGAGAAGGCCCTCCTCGTCCAGGATGGCGACCACGCGGTACAGCAGTGGGCGGGCGATAGCCGCAAAGTCTCGCGAGACCAGGCTGAGGCTCCACAGCCCGCGGCGAGACCTGGTGAAGTCATACCACGACTCACCGGGCACCAGCTTGTCATAACCGACCGGCCTGGTCTCACCTATCTCCGGGTGGTCGGGGACCAGGTGCTCGAAAATCTGGGTCAGGATCTCGGCGGGAAGCAGCCTCAGAGGGCTTCCCCCCGCAAGCGGCGGAGGCTGCAGCAGCGTGCCGTCCATGAGATCACCGCCGGAGTGTCGGGATATAATGCGCCGCAAAACTCGCGGTTTGTTGATTTGTTGAGAAATCTTTTCTTAAACAATCTGATTTCTTTTGAATCCTCCGCTGTCGCAATTCACCTCAGTAGCGCACCAAGAGTTGATTTGATGGTGGGGAAGGTTTGTCATCCGGCAGCCAATTGTGGAGCATTGACGATGTGGGGACTTTGTAATTCAGACGTCTGACTTGCACGGCTGTTATGAAAGTACCTCAATTTGGCTGCGAGTCACGTCTCATTTTAGGTATCTCTCAATCATCTCCTTCTACTCCGTGGGCTCTCCATTAGAAAGGGGGCGGCCAACATGGCCAGCCCGTGGTGATCTGCCTGCATACTTGTATATTATACTGGGACAGGAGTCTCAAATCTCCCACAGGTGTGCTACCCGGACACCGTCTCCAAGTGTACGTGTAGGCGTCGGAGTTGAGAAGGACGGGAGCTTGGGCGAGCCGGACCGCACTCACCGCCAGCTTAGTTGATCCTGGTAAGGTGTAGAGGAAGTAGGAGACAATTCTATGGTGGTTATGCAGAGCACAGGATGGGTACTTCTATCAGTAAGGAGCATTCGAATTACGCCCCGGCTCGTATTGTAATCACCATTTGTGACGGGGGCAGGATAGTATGGCAAGATGCGAGCAAAGTATTCACGGTTTCAAGCAGGCAAGTTGGGGAGATTATGGTAGATAGATTAGATCTATCTAAAGGTTTTCTAACATGCTATCACACGATAGACGTTGTCGGCTCTTGACTGTGCATTTATTTGCCGGAGACGCCAGCAGGAGTGTCGCAGAGAAGACCAAGGTCAAGCTATTGAACACGATTAGCTTGGGCAACTTGTGAGTTGACGCATCTGTTTGACTTACAAGGGGGTTGAGGAGGCAGCAGCGGGGCTGCTTTCCAACGCGGGAGCAGATCTCCCTGAAGCCGTCGGCGCTGATGGGAACGATGGATGCTACAAGCCGGGTTAGTCGGAAGAGCAGGCACGAAGAACAAAGTGGGTTGGAACATACGGTTCGTGCAGTCGACGCCGATGATGCCGAGAAGGTCGGCACCGCAGCACTGGGGGTTGTTCAGCCCGTTGCAGGGCGTCCAGGCCTCGACCGCCGCGGCGTTCTCGGTGGGAGCAGCAAAGGCGGCGGTGGCGAAGAGCGCAACGAGGGCGGTGGTGAACTGCATGGTGCCGGTGGTTGAGTTTTGTCTCGAAAAAGAGCGAAAAAGGGGTTTGAAGTGAGTGGGTTGGATGTTTTGAGGCTGTACCGAAGAGTGTGATGATGAGCTTGGGAGTAGAGATCGAATACTCAAGGCTACATGTCCCATGGGTATATATACACGATTGATGCCTTCCGTCGACTGCTGGTCAGCGACGAATATACCGTAGCTTCTCCTTGCCGCGAGCCGTGTCAGCCACTCGACTTGAGCCGCGGACCTACTATGTCTTAGATCAACAAATATGGGATCGACATCACTGACCACGGTAGTATGGACATCCGAGCGAGAGGTTGCACACAGACTCGGCAGCGTGAGGGGATAGATACCGAATTCCAGCCCTTGAATGCGGTTCGAGTGCTCGGAAATCGGCCCTTCATGAGCTCGACAAGGGCCCGGGAGTCGGGAGGTTGCCCCCCCGCGGCTCGTGAGACGTCCATCTCAGACACGATCGGCGATGCGGATACTCGGGTTCTTGCCTACGGGCGTTCCAGGGAGGCTTGGGCCGTGTCCGTTCCTAGGGAGCGGAATGCAGGTTAATATCACATTTTCAGAATAGGGCCGGTGCTATAGAGTTGGAAAACCGTAGCATCGATAATTGTCAGATATTGGCTCCCGGTTTTTCGTATCAGTTTGCTCCCTTGCCCATTTCTTGCTAAGCTATTTCTGTATGAGTACTAATTGTGGTGAACCCGGGGAGCGGGAGGTCTCAGATGGAATGACAGATGTGGAACTTGAGAATCGGAATGGGAAAAGAAAAGATAAGACAAGAAGTATGCACGCTCGATTGGTGGCGTTGCGGAGATATTCAAGGCGCATCGAATTGTTCAAGTCAGATGCTGACAGAATGGCAACCCTGCCGAAAAAAAGGGATGTGATGTCTTGCAGGTTGCAGCTAACCTGGAAACTAGGAATCCATCCAACATTACATCCCTGAGCCGGGGTAGTATTTTCCAATTTCCTCCTCCTGGCTCCCATAATTCCGCCGAGACAAAAATCATTCAGCAGGTGATGCTTGTATTATGTTTGAGTGAAGATGTTGGTCTTTGGTCGCTTGGCAGCCAAGGATTTTCCAACTTCCTCGAACTCCCTCCCGCCTCTTTGTCAGCCATCTCATTAATTGCTTTGAGACTGAGCACCCCAAGCGGGTAAACAAACTTGTTCAGGACGGTCAGAAGGGAATTCGCTGCGGGGCTAGGTATTGAGAGAATGCTTCGGCATCATGGGCTGGAGTTGCTTACGAGAAACTCGCAGCAAAGGTCAACAACCTAATCATCGAAGTCTTGGCATCCACGGGCAGACGACATTAATAAGCCTGTGCAGTTTGAGCTCGTCGCTTTGCGTTGGCACTTGTCTCAATTGGAATACAGCGACAGCGACAGCGACAGCGACAGCGACAGCGACAACGAGGTAATGTATGAGAATGCTAAGGTATCATTTGAGAATGGATGGACACATACTCGAGCCCCGAAAGGTCCACATCTTACAGGGTCCTCAAAGCCACTAGACTTGCCTCCAGACCTCCCCCAATCTTTACTTGGTATAATATAACTGGCCATCATGCCACTGACTCTGTGTCACCGTTTTCCCACCATCCAATGAGAAGCATAATCCCACACGGAATACGGAACAGACGAGGGTCGCACAAGAAGAAAAAAAAAGGACCGGACCGAGACCGCCCCTCCAAAACTAAGCCAACTCCGCCGCATTGTTCCCCGTCCCGACCGGGTTCCTCGCCGGCACCTCCGCCGCGTGCACCACCGAGGGAGACACGCTGCTCCCCATCTTCGAGGGGTCGGGCGACGACCCCGGCGACACGGAGGGGTAGGAGGTGATCGGACCCGGGAAGCTAGGGTTGACCCCCTGGTTCGGCGCCGCCGGGTAACCGCCCTGCACGTAGCTGTACCGCGGGTCGAAACCGGGGCCGCCGGCCTGCTGCTGCATGTGCGAGTCGTACCCGGGGCCGCTGGCCTGCTGCTGCATGTGCGAGCCGAAACCGGGGCCGCCGCCCGGCTGTTGCACGTGCGAGTCCGGGCCCGCGCTCATCAGCTGCTGCATGGCAGGGTCGTGGGGGTACTGGCCCGTCGGTGGGGGGACGCCGCCTGCACCACCGGCCGCGGCGGCGGACGAAGATGCCCCGGGTCGGGTTCGGTATAGGTAGAGTATGCCGAGGATGACTAGGCCGATGACGGCGACGCCGCCGACTACCCCCCCCACGATGGGGCCCACGGGGGTCGACTTCTTCGGGCGTGCGGTGCTGGTCTCCCGGGGCGGGCCATCCGCTGGTGATGAGCCCGTCGGGTCTTGGGTTGCATGGGTGGAGGAGGAGTCTGATGCCGAGGTGGAGGTGGTGGTGGAGGTGGCGGTTGGGGGAGGGAAGTCTTGCATCAGGAGTGTCTCGTCAAAGCCGGACTGGTAACAGTTCACAATCGTAAACGTCTCGCTCGGGTTTGCGCTTGAGGAGAAGAGTACTGTTCCGCAGGCCGGGTAATCGGAATTGGAGCTGTAACTGTCAGTGGGCTGCGCGAAGCGAAACATGGGACATATCGGGCCGGAATGATGCTACAACACTCACCAACATATTGTCGCTGTCCCACAAGACGTGGTGGTGCCCACCAAATTCGACGAGGGTATGCAGGTGTGGGGGAAATCGGATGCGCAGGAGCTGGGCGTCCCTTTACAACATCCTCGATAGCTGCCGACGTTGATACAGGATGCCCCAATCAGGTCGCAGGTGTAGGATGCGGCTTTAGACAGTCTCCAGGTCAGCATTCTCTCTGCCTAGTCGACGGGCCCCCAGGCCGCCGAGGCTTCCCGCCAGTCATAAACAAACAACTCACACTTGTAGTCGGCGTACCATCCGCAGTAATCGCTGGGGAGGGTGTAGTCGTCGCGCTTGAAAAGTTCCATGGCCGCGAGTTGAGGCCTCGGGGTCGGTGTCGGAGCGATTCCGGCGGCGGACCCACTGTCGGCCCGCCAAGCCCGCTCGGTTTCGCGCGGCGGAGCCCATCTCGCTGCCGCCGGGTCCCCGTTGAGCGCCGAGGCCGGCAGAGCCAAGCACACGGCCAACAGGCCAAGCTTCCGCAGGACCATTTCGAAGCCTTTTTCGATTCCGCCCGGAGGTTCGAATGTCGCCGTTTGGGTGGAAGAAGTGAGGAAAACTGGAGGATCCGATTCTGTGGTTGAGGGGGGGTGGGGGGACACCCACAGTTTTCAACAGATTAATTGCGCCATGACCAAACTTCACCCATGTCGACAGCTAACCCAAAATTAGGTACGAAGGACGTTTCAAGGCAGGATGGTCAAATAAGGCAGATACAAATCGTCCAGGGTCGGATCAATCCCCTGTCGACAGGGCCTTTGACTGGTATCGCCTCTCCGGCTGGGGTGCCTGTAAGCGCTAGAGCTGCACCTTGTACATATGTAACACGAGCCTGAGACTGCCATGCAGAAGTCTAAGCCTTGAAGGATCCTGCGATGCAACCCCTACATCATTGTTATCTCGCGATCCCCGGTTTGCGGGTTGAGAGGCTGTGAATTAATAAGTTGGTCCATATACGGATATTAAAAGTAGCAATGCCTACCCGCCGTTCACTGTTGAACCCAGCCTTCTCATTGGTCAATCCAAGACAACCCTAACCCAGGCATTCCCGCGCCGTGGTAACATCAAGAGAGTTACACGCCGCCAACCAAAGATACTACGAACAGCGGGCGTCCCATGGTCTGAGCCTTTTATTTTGCTCATATTCCAGCTGCAAATGCCTTTGATTCCTCTCTTCTGTTCCACCAACCCAACTGCCGAAGTGGTCTTTCGCATTCCTCCCCAAGAAGACGAACTCGAGACCACAGTAAACTGGGCATACCGCTAACCCACGCCAGCATTTCGCTGAGCAAGTGGCTCCACGCTTGCTCTCTGAGGCTCGACGGGGCAGAAGGGGTGATTTCCTGGGTGTGGGACTCTCTCTTGCAGCGACCGCCGCCATCATAGGCGGTACTTCTCTTGCCATGTGGCTCACGGGTGGCCGGGAGCTGGCCACAAAGATGGCAAGAGCGACAAATAAGGCGGTGGCTGGGAAGGAAGGCCAGGGTACCTAGGCAATATCGACTGGTTATCGAGGCGGATGGCTTGATGTCAAAATAAGGCTCTTCACGTCGTGAAGACTCCGTATCTACGGATAAGGTTGGGTGGGGAAGACGTGCATGACTTCCCAGACCTTGTTTCAACATTGGCTTCACCCCAGCTGTAAGGACAGCGCACAGCGTCCAGTAATTTAAACGTTTCTAAATCACATCCACTTGCCTATCCGCTCTCAAGCTCCCAGGTTGTGACCATACTCTGGCTCGGGTGCGGAGATCATAACCTTCCCCGCCCCTCTAACCGGAACCAGTTCGTTTCTTCGACCCGGTTCTATTCTCCAGGCAAATTTCTCTGTACCTGGGACTTCAGTCCGTCCCTGGGGCCTTGATGTACACCTCCACCAGGTGACCGGCACTAACACTTGAAACCCCGGTGGAGGTATATACGTGTAGGACTCGCTTGTAATTTAGGGAGGAATCCCTCATACGTCTCGCAGGCCGCGCCCTTCAGCGCCGTCTTCACGCGCACGCGGCGGGCCCGCCTCCACGCCGGACCTGCTGACCACTGACGCCCGTCGACTGCAAGGGCATCGTGTACGGCACCAAGCCGGCGACGCACTTCATGAGGCACACGGGTGACGTGCTTCCAGGGAGGGAGCGTGAACCTGCGTTTCCCCGCTGTGCTCCAGGACCTTGTCCAGGAACTGCCTGACGCCTTCTAGCTGAGGTGGCCGTGGATACTTCTTCCCGAGAGTGTCGGTGACCGGAGTCCAGTGAATGCAAGTTCCTTGTGACGCCGCATGGAAAGCGCCCTCATGGCGGGTGATCTCGACGATTTTTCAGGGGTTCGGGACACACGTGGCACACAAAGGCCAGCTCAGCAGGTCGAAATGAATGATGGATCTAGAAGCCATGTGTCACACAGTCCGACATAAAGACGGGAGGGGTTCGCTGCTGCCTTGTTGGACGAGACGGAAGTAAACCCCCGACCTAGGAATCAACTCAGGAGTCATCAACGTATACATGCCCACTCGGACATGATGCCGTGCGATCCAGCAGCACACGAATCAAAAGAATACAACCTTGGGTAGCCAGCCAGCAAGACAAGCGTTTTGACATTGCATTGTATGGCGACGCCAATTATCCGTCAGATATCGGATGCCCGGCACAACGACTCGCATTGAGAAGTTGACTTTGGAACAGGAGCCTGCAGACAACTCTTCTCGGGGTCATGTGAGTGAGGCCATGCCTCGCGAGCCAGGGCTTTCCGATATATTCCGATTCAGGGATTATTTCCATTCCGCTCAAGAAGTCAGGATAGCCAGTAATCAGGGAGATAAAGGGACATACGAGGGCTTCCACAAACAGTTGCGAACAGTTGGCTGTTCTCAAAGGAATCTGAGCGACCTATGCAAGCCGACTGGAGGTGGTCAGTGCGTTTCATTACAGAGGCGCATGGTCGGTGCGTGCTTAAACAAGGCAGCATTCACTTTATTCCACATTAGCGCCTGATCGGACGGAAATTGGCATTGCTGACCGCCAACACGCGCCGCGCCTGTTCTTATCGTTCAGTTTCCGTCTCTTCTTTTCCTACGTCCCCGCTCCTGCAACCCGGATACTTCAGCTCTCCGTCAGTACGCTTTATAATTTGTCTGATATTCTTCTTCTCCCGCCGCCCCCGCCGCCCTCGCCGGCACCATGAACGGTGCCATGAACGGCGCCATGAACGGCAATGTGGAGAGCTACCTCCACCGACTCGAGGCCTTCCGTAGGGCTGACTTCGAGCGCGATGCCATGCTTGCCGAGCTCGTTAAAAGTTACCACGACCTACATGTTCAGTACCAGCAGAAATGTATTGATTACGAAGATGCTGTCGAGTCTCGCCGTTCCTGGCAGTCGAAGGCTACGCAGAGCTCTCGGGATCTTGGCGAGATTCAGCGAGCCAATGTGCGTGATTCCCCTCCTCTCTTTCTCTCCCCGCTTCCATTCTGTCCCAAGGCTGACCCAGAGCTCCGTTCCCAGGAATCTAACCAGTTCATCTTCGCCATCATCGACGGCGACGGCGCCTACTTCCGCGACGACCTGATTGCTAGGGGGGACGAGGGCGGCGAGGAAGCTGCCCAGAGGCTGCTTTCCGACATTAAGAGGCACGTTAAAGACATTTACCCCGGGTCTAATGTCGAAGACTGGAGCGTTATTGTCCAGGTCGTTCTCAACCAGACCGGCCTATCCAAGACCCTCTTCGAGCGCGGTATCGTTAAAAACCCTAATGTTGAACTACCCGCTTTTGCTCGAGCCTTTGGCCGTACCCAGGCCCTTTTCTCTTTTGTCGACGTCGGCGCCGGCAAGGAGCGTGCCGACCACAAGATCCGGGAGATGATGCGGGTCATGGTCCGGGTCACACAATGCAAGCATATCCTCTTTGGGCCGTGCCTTGACAACGGATATCTACCGTTCCTGGGCGAATATAAGGGTAACACTTCTGCTTCCCCGAGGATCACCTTGCTTGAGACCTCGCCAGCTGGGCCTGGCTTCCAGAGCCTTGGCTTTAGGCACGTTAGTTTCCCGGACGTCTTCCGCTCCGCGCCGCTGCCAGAACGTCCCGTCATGCAACCCCCCCCTCGTCCAATATCCACCTCGCCGGTCCCAGTGTCGGCTATCGCCGCGACACCCGGGTCCAGTGTTACTTCAGCCATAGAAAACGGCTCGTCGGCAGGCTGGGCCGCCCTGAGCAAATCTGTGGCTGCTTCCAAGGCTAAGACTATCAACATCGCGCCTAAGAAACCGGCTCAGCTTAAGCACTACACGATTAACATCAACGGCGAGCGACTGGACGAAGAACTGTCACGCTGGGATCCCAGTGCCGAGAAACGGTTTGCCAACAGAATTAGGGAGCGCGGCAACTGCTGCAACTTCTACCATCTCCGAGGCAAATGCCCGGAAGAGGAGTTCTGCGGTTACTACCATGGCGACCGGCTTGGCCCTGCCGAGCTGCTTGTGCTCAGACACAAGGCCCGATCTCTCAAATGTTCTAATGGCACTTACTGCTCTGATCCGGAATGTTTCTATGGGCATCATTGCCGGTTCGGCAAGAATTGCAGTAACTCGTCTTGCAGGTTCGCCGATACCCACCATGTTGACCTGGTAAGTGCCCTTCCCTCCCTCGACTCTGATCAAACATCTTGGGACCCCCGCCCTGTGCTGACTAGACATGTCACGTCTTAGCATCCTGCCACGAAGATCTACGAAGATGGCACAGAGAAGACTGTTCTCTAATATGGGTCGCCATCCTTGTTAATAACATTAAATTTACCATTTCCGCATCGAATGCAGAATGTCTTTCACCTGAGGGAGGCCTGCCAAGGGGACTCTTGAGGCAGGCAGAACTGGTTTCCTTTGTCTGGTCCCTCTTTGTCTCACTCCTCAATGGGCATAGACTACTAAATTGTAACCCACAGTCCTGTCTGGTTATTTCATTTCTCTTTCCCCTCTAGGACCTCTGTTGCTGGTCTTACCTTGGGGTAAGACGGAAGGGAAGGGGGTCAAACTAGGCTTCTTCCCATCTGCCGGGGCGATATGTTTCAACATGTAGTCTGTTGCGAGTTGGGATGAATCTGCCCTACCTACAAGCAATGTCAAATGCGGGCGGTGTGTCTGCCGCAGGAACTGAAGTATGAGATTGTGTTTAAGATGAATGTTATTCTGTTCGCCTTACACTGCCTTTGGCTGGGAACTAGAACCACTCACGGGTCGAGCTCTTCCAACCCCCCCCCCCCCTCAACACTCGATCAGACCAAGATCCATCACCTCGAGGCTTCAAAACGCCCCAGCCAGTGGAAAGCCAGCCCACCAAGACAGCTGAGCCATGCATGCACAACCTCCAAACCCACAGCCTCCTCCCACCACCCACTTCAGCCTAACTCCCCCCCTCCCCCCGACACATAAATCAATTCAAATCCCCCCTTCCTCTCTAGTAGGGAGGGGCCCCGACCCGAACCAGCGACCCGTCCCTCCCGTCCCCCGAATGCGTCACCGCGGCGAACCAACCACACCCCACACCACCAACCCCAGGTTGTCCGTCACGGGACCCAAAACCCCACTATCAGGCAACCAGTTATTTTTTTGGCAGAGCGGGGAGTGGTGTGGGGGTTGGGTGTGCTCGTGTCGGCGGGTCTCGGTTTGGGGACGGGGGGGATGGGGGATGGGGGAGGCAGCTTGCTGGGCTCTGGGTTATCTGGGAGGTGCAATGGGCGGCATCTTGCATGTTGAGGGCTTTGGTCATGGGATGGACTGGGGCTGTTGAGCTGCCTCTCTGTTGTCTGGGACAGAAGCCGCAACGACAACACCGAGGAGCAGTTCGGATGGAGATTTCGGGCAACGGCTGGAGCTGCAGTGGTCTTGCATCGCGGTGCATCACTTAGAGCAGGTCGCTAAAGGAGGCAAGTGACGATCGGAAATGTGGTGGTTTAGTTGATTCCAAAAACCTTTGTTGCCTTACACATTAAATCCTAAATCGCTAGACACCGGTAACGGCCCTTGACGCCCTCATTTCCAAAGCAAAGCCATAAATCCTGCAAAAGCCCGACCGTTGTCACAGGCACATCCCAAACAGACTCCGTTATTAATGCCAATCAGAACTCCCAAAACATGCAATGAAATGAACCCTGATCCCATCCCATCCCCTCCTCACATGTACTTATACGTGCCCTCTCCGGGGTAATACACCCTAGAGCGCCTCCTCCGCTCCCTCGGCTCCTCGAACCGATCCCTGAGCCGGTCCCAGTACCGCTTCTCCTCCCTCCCGGCGCCCCCGCCGCCCTGGATGCCCATCCGCTCGACCGCGCTGCGCAGCTCCTCGTACGCGCCGTCGCCGGCGGCGGTGGCCTCTCTCTTCAGGATGCCCTTCTTGGCTGGCGCCTCCTGGTCCTGGTGCACGTGCAGGCGCACCTTTGGCCGGCGCGCAATGCGCTGGTTCTGCGCCGCGATCTCGGCGTCCACCTGGTCCTTCCACCGGAGCTCCTTGCGCTGCTGCGATGCCGCGCTGGTGGCTGGTGCCGACGACGAGTAGTCGCTGCCGCCGCTGACGTAGACGGTCGAGGCCCGCCGCTCTGCCCTCCGGCGGCGGCGCTCCTCGCGCTCCTCGCGGTCCTCCTCGATGTAGGGAGACCGGGAGCGCCGTTCCTGGTGGTGGTGGTCGCGGGTGGTCCGGGTGGAGGGCCGGCGGCTGGCCAGGCCCTCGAGGATGTGCACGGGACCCAGGGGGATCTCGCGCGACGAGTTGCGGCGCTGCAGCTGGCCCGCCCGAGCGTCGAACTCCGGCATGGTGCCGGAGCGCTTGAGGGTGGGCCGCGGGGAGGGCGGCTCTGGGGCGTGGGGCACGACCACGACGCGGTCGCGGCTGCCGGGGCCGGCGGCGGTGGTGTGCCTCTTCCTGCCCGTCACGTCGGCGATCTTGGCGCCGTTAACGAAGACCCCCGACTCGCGCCTGCGCGACGGCGAGGGAGACTTTGACCGGCGCGGAGTCGGCGGCAGGACGTTCAGGTGGTAGTCGGCGGCGTAAGGGGTTGGCAGGCGGTCGGCCTGGCTGCTGGGCCCAGGGTTGGAGAGCTCTTGGAGCTTGGTGAAGCGGAAGTTGCGGTTGTACTCGCGCAGATCTGGGTAAGAGCACATCTTCCCGGGGCGGCAAGTGTCGACGCGCTCAGTCACGTCCTCGGCGCCGTCGCCGTAGGTGTTGTAGTAGATGGTCTTGCGACACATGGTTGCGGTGTGGAACGTATGAGAGGGTGTCCTTGGTGTGTCCCTCCTTTCGAGGATGCCGAAGTGGTCTATTACCGACCCTCGGTGTCGACGATAGCTATTTCGGTGTGATGCGCCGGTTCTGGTCAGGGGCGACGACAGGTCTACCGGAGATTTGTGGCGGTGGGTGTTGTGGATGATGTTCTCAATGCTGATGACGACTGGGGGGGCTAGAGTCACGTCGATGTCAGTCGGCTGTGTCAGAGACGAAGCAGACTTTCGAATAGCTGTCGGTCTGGGTCAACGACATTAGGACATGGGAGGTAATGACCAAGGGTCTGAAGTTGTAGAAACGAGGACGGTAAGGGGTATATATAGGTGAATGGGAGATGGGTTGTTGGTCCTGTTCAAAACTGCTCCTGGTGATGTGTGTGTATGTGGTTGAGGAGATGGGTTGTAATAGAGGCCGGACTGGGGGCAGGTGGTCGTTTCTTCTTAAATATAGCTCGCCGGCCGGTGGTGAGTCGGGAGGCCGATGCAGGCAGCACCCAGGTGCAGGGGAGGGTGTGTATATCGACGCCAAGTGGGCGCGGTGTAGATCCGCCGGCCAATAACTGCCCCTCAATCCGGAGAGGCTGAGCTGCAATCAACCAACCACGAAAGCGCGAGTGACCCACTATCGGGGTGGTTTTCCTACAACACCCCACCACTCCATCCTCCTTGTCCTGGGGCCTCCTCCCCTTACCCCCGCAGCCCAGCACTTGCTGAGGCTAAGATCCTGGTAGGGGAGGGAGCCCACTGGCTGTGACGTACCCGTGCTGGTCCCAACGGACCGGAGCCGAAAGCAAAGAAAAAAACAGCAAAGCGGAAAGACTGGAGAGCGTGTCATTGTAGAGAACAATGCAGCCAGAATTGAGGCCTCAGGGCGCGAAACGAAACGCCAAACCAGAAAGAAGCACCAGCAAGAGCAGCCAGCACCGCTCTAAACTGGGAGCCTAGGCAGTCAGATCTTAGTGGAGACTAGTTTGCAAAGGGAGTGCGATTAGGATGGACGGACTTGTGCCCAGTCACTGAACGGCGGCCTGAGTCATATTATGAGGAGATGTGTGTACAATCGGGTACTGAGAGTCTCCGGCCACCTTACTTAAGGCCCCACTTATTTGAAATCAAATGCTAAGTTATAAACTTAAAATGCATAACATATATATCATTCTAATCCCAAATATGCAGAGAATACAAATATTATACTATTATTTCTATTAGATGTATATTCATCTTATAATTTAAACTTTTAAATTTGTAAAAATGTTTAACTTTTAATATTAAATTAAACTTACTTTAAAAATCTACATAAGTATTTTAAATTAATTATTTTTCTATAAGCTTACCTAAAAGTTAATTTTAACTATAATAGCTTTTCTATTCATTCTTACTAGTTTTAGTTAATTTATATTAATTTTCTTATACTTTAAGTATTAAATTACTTTTTTTATCTTTTTATAATAAATTAATTAAATATACATATATAAACTTTTATATTACTAGTATAATGTATAAGTTATTAAAATATAACATTATTAATGCAATATTATATAATTAAGTTATAAATTTTTCAAAATAAAAATAAAAAAGTAATTTAATATTTAAAGTATAAGAAAATTAATATAAATTAACTAAAAATATTATAAGTAAAAGAAAAAGTTATTTTATAATTATAATTAAGTATTATATAAGTTTATATAAAAATAACTAATTTGAAATGCTTATATATATATATTTGAAGTAAGTTTAATTTAATATTAAAATTTTAACATTTATATAAATTTAAAAGTCTAGATTATAAGATAAATATACATCTAATAGAAAGAATAATATGATATTTGTATTCTCTGCATGTTTAGGATTAGAATGATATATATTTTATGCATTTTACTTTACGTTTAGCCTTAGCATTTAATTTGAAAATAAGTGGGGCCTTATGTAAGATGGCCGGAGACTTTTAGTACCCGATTGTACCCCTCTTCGAAGGATTCGCCAATACTGTGATGATGGTCCTGCAAGGGCAGCAACCGGGCATGTATGCCATCCGGGAGTGCTGCAGTAGTGCAGCGAGAGCAAAGTTCGACTGTTCGTCGGACTGGCCGCCACCAAAGTTTCCTTGCCAACTGCGCATTGAGTTTTCCTGCATGTCGGCCGTTTCCGCAGGCCCAACAACTCAATTCTCGCACAGCCACCGCAACCCCCCGACCACATCGCGGGGTGTGCAGTTGGTAGCAGAAATAATGCTCGAGGTACGTCGAGTTTCGGGCCTGGCCAGGTCAATCGAAATCGACCGCCGCCATTCGATGCTCAAGCGAAAAACGCCCACGTCGATGGTTCGGCACATGACAACTTTCGGCGCTTGAAAGGATGCCTACCAGATAGGCCCTTGCTCCAAGCGACCCGCGAGCGACCTTTTCGCACCCAGAGCTGGCGTCATGACCTCACCGAGGTGAGCAATGGGCGAGGATGAGGACACTTGGCGGAGGGCAAGTACCCACCGAAACATTACGAGTGTGCCACCACGAGACCACTTGGGGGGGTTGGATTCCTGCTTCGTCCTGGCCACCCTGCAAGCCGCCCTGTTAGGCACCTACTTTACTCACCTAAATATAACTGACTGCACACCTCCCTGTGTCCATGCTAGTTGTCTGGTGACGCGGACACACCGAGAAATCTTGGTGGATGCGTCAGGATTACGAGGCGGGCCATCGACATGTTTCCTTGGCCTCTCAGTAATCATGGTCTGTTTCCCCTGTTAAACATTCTGCTGGCGAATAGGGTAAGATGCGCTAAGTGGGAAATGATGTGCGATGATGATGGGATCCCTGACGATCAGAGATTGCGGGCTCAGCCCTGTGAGGCAGACTTTCACTTTGGAGAACGCATTGACCATGATGGTGGCTCTGCGTGGCTTGTGGTCAATGATTTTCCCGCTATTCCGTATCCGTACTGGCTAATAAAACAAGCAATTCCCAGAGGCCAACCATATGGTAGGTGCGTAGATTTCGACAATCAGCCCCCTTTCCCATCTCTCTCATTTGACCTGTCCTGTAATCCGTATGGATTGGTATTTTCAGCTGAGAAGCAAGGATACCTATCGCGTCTCAGGTTCCACCTATCATCGTGTCTGTTTCAACTCTCGCATTGTTTCTCATTACTAGGTAGTTAATAGCCGCTGAGTAGAGGATTCTGTCACGACGGGAAAGGCCCCCCCCCCGGCCTTGGGACCACCAGAGTTCGCGTTTAAGCGAAAGGCAGTCCGGGACAATGACAGCCAGCCGTCTGGACCCACTCGGCCTCCGCCGAAACAAGCGAATGCATTCTCGAAACGGGCCCAGGAAGAGTCGGCCTTCCGGCGGCTCACTCGAAACCCCAAGTCACTCCGCCGCATTCCTTCGCGACAGAAATACACACTCCAAAATAGACTCTGCCGCCACCCCCGCCAATCCTCTTTTCTTCCCATCTTCACCAAAACTCATCGATTGGAATACGACAGCTCGCGCTTGATGAAATTGGCGCTTGGGACAGAGCAATGCACACCCTCAACTTGGTCGCTGGAAGCAAATTGCGTGAGATTTGGCGACGTCAATAGCCTATCGTTGGCCTGTTGGTTTCATGACATTCCAAAATATAATTACCATGTAAAGCGCATCTTCACGGAGGCCGCAAGTCGAGTCCCACTTGGGATGGGCAGGTTCGTGCCAAGATCGCTTCCTAATGGTCGGATGAGTGGCCCAGAGTCGAGAGGCTAGAGTCGGGGGTCGGGGGTCGGGGGTCGGGGGTCGGGGGTCGGGGTCCGGACCTCGGCGCAATCGGGCTCCATCCCGGGAGACAGACTCCCCGGTAAGGAGACATGAGATATTGATTGCCCCTTGAGGGTTCTTCAGTACAGCCGGAGCAACCGTTCCCCGCTGACAAAAGTGGCAATGGAGAATCGTGAGCCGCTTGGTAATGTCAGATGCACATGCGCTCCCACAATCGTATTCTCGGTCCCTGAACCAGCACGTTGGCCGTCGGAAGCCCGGATGATTGGCGCGAAGACATCATCGTCCCACCAAAGATCCTCGAGATCGAGCTCCTTTGTCTGCCCAGGAAAACGTTGGCTGACAAATTAGTGGCATGGCATGCTTCTCAGAAATCATTGCGTGCTCACCGTCAATCAAATGGATATCGAGTCTGACAAACCCGACCCCGCACGCCATCAAGGTTCAAGACGGGCAAGTATATAAAGCTTTTGTGTAGAATAAAAAGTCAAAACGGGCGCTCCAGGTGTTGCCTCGAACTCAACATCCAGAAACATGGCGACTGCGGCAGTACAGCATTCCCCTGCTACCGGGCCGGGTACATTCGTCGAGCCACGTGCTGCCGAAGTCAAACCGGCGAAGCATAATGTTGCAACTGTCTTGAATTATTATGATGATCCTGGCGATGGGACGCCTCCAGCCCCGTCGTACGCTGGGTAGGTGCTGCTTTGTAGATGCCATGCTCTGTGACGACGCGGTGCTAAGATACCATCAACCAGCAAGCCAGAGACTTTCAAGCGTCCGACTGTCGCAACGGAGGTGATTGTCACCGATATCAGTGGCGACGAGAGCAACTACACCCTTGACAGCCACGGCTTCCAGATCTACCGACACGAGAGCAAGGAGAAGAAATTTGACGACGACGAGAAGATCAAGGCCGAATACTACCCTGAAACCGAGCAACTGTTGAAGGACGCGTGAGCAGCCCTCGAATATCTCCTCCCCCTCCCCATGGCAGGCAGTCACTAAAATATTTCGGCAGAACCGGAGCCGTCCGCATCTTCATCTTCGACCACACCATCCGCCGCAACACGAATGACAAGCGTGATCCGCAGGAATTCCAGCTTCGGGGCCCGGTCCGCCGCGTCCACATCGACCAGTCGTATTCCGCGTCCGAGAGCAGAGTCCCCTTCCACCTACCGGACGAAGCCGACGAGCTTCTCCGCAAGCGGTTCCAGATCATCAACGTAGGAGAGAAACCCCAACCCCAGCCCCCTTTCAATAGTGTAACAATCCGCCCTCCACGCCTGCATCGCAACTGACAGTCTCCCATGGCAGGTCTGGCGGCCGATCAAGACGATCTACAAGGACCCCCTCGCGGTGGCGGACGCGCACTCGGTCCTGGAGTCGGACCTCGTGGCCTCGCCGCTCATCTACCCAACCCGCAGCGGCGAGACGTACGAGGTCAAGGCGAACCCGGCCCACCGCTGGTACTTCAAGTACGGCCAGAGCCCCGCCGAGGTGACGCTGATCAAGTGCTTCGACTCGCTCAAGGACGGGCGCGCCAGGCGAGTGCCGCACTCGGCGTTCACGGACCCCGCCGAGGAGGACAAGGACCCGAGGGAGAGTATTGAGGTTAGGGCGCTGGTGTTTTATGACTACTAATTGGGCGACGGACGTGTGTGGTCCGGCATGGCAACTGTGGAATGGGGATGATTGAGGGAGGACTTGCGTCCTGGTAGGGGGTTGGGGATGATCAAGTAAGAGATTGTAATGCGGCTTTGCGTTAGCTTGTGATTAAATGAAGCATAGCAGCAGCTCCACAGATCTACCTTTTTTCCCTCCAAGTAAAGATATCAGCCTTGGGTTGCCGCTGACGTTGCGGTGTTCGTGAATATTGTTTCGCTGGTTGATAGGAGAGTGGGGGAATGATAGCACTGTTTGAACCGTGGCCATCTCACATAATTAATGGGTTTCCACTAAGAGTGTTGACAACGACCCGTGTGGATACAGAAGGCTGGAGACAGGGCGTAGACTCGAGTTGTGAAAATGTGTGAGCCGGATCCAATTATTGGAGTCCCGTCCACATCAAGTTAAACCTGACTAAATCGGTGTAACTTGTATCGTCGCGCGCCCTTTCGCCTTGGCGAATGTACCTAGGGTGGGTTTATATAAGCCAATGTGGTTGTGAGAAATACCTGGATCAGTCAGCGCCAAATAAAACTGGGAACTACTTCAGGCTCACATCTCAACGACTCACGACTCGCTGGTCTTGATTCACAGGCAACGCGACCGCACCAACTTCACCATGCATCTCCGATCGGTTCACAAGGAATCCAGCATTCCAGTCCTGCGTCAACTCATCAGGGATAACCCTCTCGGAATCCTGACGACCGCTATCCGTTCTGATTCATACCCCTTGCTTCAATCAACTCACATTCCGTTCGTGCTCGATGTCGAGGATGAGACGAGCGAAACCGAGCTGGGCCGGCTGCGAGGGCACCTAGCCAGACAGAACCCGCAGAGCAAAGCCATGATCGAGTCGCTCACCCGGGCCGACGCCGCCGGGGCGACACAGGTTCTCGAGGAGGAGGTACTGGTGCTGTTTTCGTCTCCGGCCGAACACTACATCACGCCAAAGTTCTACGTCGAGACGAAGCCCACCACGGGCAAGGTCGTGGGCACCTGGAACTACGCGGCTGCGCAGGTCTATGGCAAGGCCAAGATCTACTTCGACTCCAAGGCCGAGGAGACGATGTCGTTCCTCGCCACGCAGGCCGACGACCTCTCCGACCACTGCGAGACGTCTATCATGGGCTACACGGGCGTCGGTGATAGGCCGCCGCCGTGGAAGGTCTCGGAAGCGCCCGAGCGGTATGTCGATCTGCTGAGGAAGAACATCATCGGGATCGAGATCACGATTGACCGGTTGGAGGGGAAATTTAAGATGAGCCAGGAGATGAGTAAGGGGGATAGGGAAGGTGTCATTCAGGGCCTTTGGAACTTGGAGTCCGACGTGGGCCGGCAGACGTCCATGCTCGTCCAGCAGCGCAGCGAGTCGAAAGGGACGGGGGCGAAGGAACCTTGAGATGGTACGGCCCCGAGAAGTGGTAGCCATGGATTGGTTGAGGAATTGATTAGCAGCGTGGTTATTGGATCAGTAGATTCTACTATCTTCCCCGTCTTCCCCTACAGGTGCACGAAATGCCCCAATATCGGCCATATTCTCGGCGTGTGGCAGGCGGAGAGGGGCGACCCCACTGCAGCCATGCTTGACATGTGCATCGAAGACCGCGTGGCCATCGCCCGTCAGGTTCCTACAAATCCTAAGGCTCACGACGTAGAAGCCTCGCCAACTAGGAGCCCCAAGGGAATCGCCGGAACCTAAAGTGGCGGGCCAACGACGTCTCGGACTCGGCTTTTGGTAGTTATTTGACGCGAGGGTACAAATGGACATGTGAATTCAAAGGTGTAGACGAGAGTCGGGAGTTGCCTCAGAATCCCCCAAGATTTGTATCATCACTGCCACTTTGAGAAAATAACAGTTTGTCATTCTCAATTTTCTCCCCTCCACTTGCGCCGCCCCTCTCCATTTCCGATCCAGCACTCGTGCAGTCATGGCTGTAATCTAGCACTCGTTGGTCCAGCTTAACCACCACCATGGATACCTCTTTCTATGGATTGGAATACAAAACTGCGTCTCAGCCCGGCCCAGGCGCGTACTAATGACAAAGTCCGGTCAACGCATGGCCATGCGTTGCTACACTGCCCACGCACGCTTGCTCCTTCCAAGACCTTAGAGAAACTGGCCCATCTGACCGCACGAGTCAACAAATTCGTAGTTGAGCCCAAAGTTGGAGTTCTCAGGAATGAGTCGGTAGTAGAAGTTGGCATCATGATCGGTCTTGACGAAACCAATCATTTCATGGAGGTCGCTCTCGTCAGCAGCGTTGGCCCACCAGTGAGCTAAGGCGGTAGTCAGATTGGCCTGATGAGACTTGGTGAGCTGGGTATGAAGACGAGTCGTGTAAGACAACTTGAAACCCGGAGCAGAAGCCCGTTTGGTAAGGCGACTGTGGATGTTGGTCTCGTTGCGGTCCTCCAACATGTCGTGCGGCAGGTGGACGTGGCCCTCGCCGTTGTCTTCAAGGTACTTGTGGAAGAAGTCAAACATGTGCATCGTGTGGTTTCCCCCCGTCGCGGCGGGAGACACTGACGGCACCGGCCCGGTTCAGCAAGGTGAAGACGGCCATGGTTCCCGAGGCAACGACCAAGGCCAGTACCTCGCAATCTGGGACGTTGAGGCGCCTGCAGATGTAGTAGGCGGAGAAGCCGCCAAACGAACCGTAGATGATGACGGCGCTGTTCGCGCTAATGGCGCTGCTCGTGCCAATGGTTGCTGCCAGCCCTAGGCTGAGCAGAAGGATAGAGGCAGGGATGAGGCGAGTCAAACACATCTTGAGATCCCTTTTCTGCGGTACAGCCAAAGACTTGTCCTTGCCTGCTGATTCTCCCTTGCTTGCTGAACCTCCACGCTCACCGTCCAATGTCTGTAAAGATACCATCCCGCAGAGGAAGGCAACAAAGAACTGAATAGCCCAGGGAAACATAAATGTTCGAATTTGCTGTTTGTCTTGTCCAATCCTTGTGCCTTTGTAAAGAAGCAGGGCGGAGTTGGCAGCAACCATGCCAAACCAAAGGCCTCCTAAGATGGAAAGGATCTTGTCAGTTTGTGCTCTCAAATCTAGAATTGGGATTGCTTCTAGAGTACTCACTTATTTTCCTCACATCAAGGCGAGAACGCCAGGCAACAGAAATGAAGATGGAAAACGCTAGCCAGGACTCGTAGAGGATAACTAAGCACACAATACTTGTTAGCTCTCCAATAAATATGGCAATAAGACTGAATTTGAGATAATCAAAACAGCCAACAATCTGTGATTTACATTGATCCATCTTGGATATGGCAGTGTCTTGTGAGGGCCATTCAAGGCTATTAGCAGCCCCGTTGGGACAGGCTTTTTGTGACATGGAATTTGATTGTTTGACGCTTCAGTGATACTGGGGGAATAGGTTACTGAGTTTGAAGTATGATTTCTGGGTTGTGGTGATGTCGGGTGTGCATCCATCCTACCTACTCGGACATGGCTCCTCTTTTATCCGCAGCTATGAGGCAACCACCTTATTTTCTCTTGAAAAACATGATTTGTATGGAGGAGAAGGTTTCCCAAACTCTTTGCCTCTCTAGAACCCTATTTTGTTGGCCAAGGCGCATCCTGTCTCCCAACAGCGGAAGGCTCTGCAGGAGTTAATTTCTGCCTAGCAAAGGAACACCATCCAGTTCAGCACGGATCTGTAATGCCACGAAACGAGAGAAGTAGCGCGCATGGCCACATGGCCCGCCGTGGAACCAAAGCTGCGGTTCTGATGGTGGGGAACGAGCGATTTTGATCAGCCTCACGGATGGTTAACGGGTTGGCTGGGCTCTTGAACTTACGTCCTGAGGCCTTGAAAGCGCCTTTGATTTCCCCCTCCGAATCGAGGCCCCAAAAGTCCTCCACGCGGGCAGAGACCTCGTCGCCAAAAATGTCACGGACGACGTCCCTCAAGTTGCCAACGAATCCGGTCGCATGGACGATCGCATCGGCCTTGAGCTCCGTCCCGTCATCGAAGAGCAGGCCGTCCTCGGTGTAGGAAGTGGGTAGAGCATCCGATTTGATCTTGATCTATTGTGGTGTGTTAGAGTGTTGCCAGACAAAAGAGTAATTACGGATTTGATTAGCGGTTTACTCACCAATCCCTTGGCAATCTTTGCTGATGCCCCGACGTCCATATAGTGGCCTCCGAATCGCTCAAAGAGTTGGTATATGATATCCCCGTAGCGGATGACCCTGAAACCGGCCTTTTCCAGTGCGTCGAACCGATCTGGCTCGGCACGTGCCATTCCATTCAGCGCAATGTTGCTCATGAGCCGAGCTACAGCCAGTGGACCCGTCAAGCTCATCATATCGGAATTGTCGGTGTCGGAAGTGGTGTTGTAGGTATCTGATGAAGATCGACTGTTAACGGATCCGAACTCCCTCCTTGGTGCGCGAAAGCTACAACTCGCTGTCGCCATCCAGCCTCCCTCGCACTGCTGATGAGGGTCTTACCTTCGGTTATCTTCAGGAAGTATTCACATGGAAGTACATCTAAGCATCTTTCTTTCAGCAAAAGTACGCACGAATTTCAGTCAAAGCCCCATGACCTACAAGTCGGCGACCGCTGGACCATCGTTACGGAACTCAGGCCGGCCTCTAGCATATCGTCGGCAACGTCGTGCGCTGTCTTGCAGGATCAGAAATACGGATACATCCTCTCTTCCCTCTTGGAAGGCCAGATCACTCACCTGTATTAGCCGTGCCGACCACAATGCCGTTCTTCCCTTTCCATGCCCCGGCGGAGTCGTACTCGCCCGAGTGCAATATAACGCCGCGGAATTTGTCCTGCCATTCTCTCAGTCAGCATGGATTGGGACGCCAGCAGTCTTAGTGAACGCACAGCTCCGGGATATGTGGGCATCACGGGGATCTGACCCCCTGCGCCCACCGCCATTACGACATGTGTAGCTTTGACAGCTGTCTCTTTTCCATTTCGTAATAGCCTCAAGTCCCACACTTTCTGGTCGGCGTGCCATTGCCCGGACTGGAGGGTTGTCCCAAGCCAAACATTCTGAAAGAGAAAAATGGTAAGCTTTGTTTTGACGATGGGCAAATGGCGCTCGCCGGAGGCTTACAATGCCAAACTTTCCAGCCCAGTCACTGTAGCCCTTGGCGAGGTCATATTTGGTTAGGAAGACTGGGTAGTGATCCGGAAACGTCCGATCGAAAGGTAGGTGTGCTGGGTGGTGTCTGAGATCAGTCTCTTTGCGTTGGTGCCAGCGTTGGCGTAGGCTTGGATTCTCGACTCACATGAATCCCTTGTGGTATGCACTGTTTGTATGTGAGCAACCAAAACCTAAAAAGATCAGGTTCAGACTTACGCTTCGTTGACTCGTATCGTAGCCGCCAGTTATCACCGACCGCTTGGTTCTTCTCCAAAACAACGTACGAAACCCCGAGGGCTTTCAGTCTTCCCGCGACACTGAGGCCTGCCTGGCCTGCTCCGATAATGGCGCATTCGAAATTGTTGGCTTCGCTCGTGCTGCCAGCTGCTGACTGACCTGCTGCAATGGATGTTGGGTCTGGGTTTAGACGGTCGACATTCGGATGGCCTCTCAGCTGATCAAGAATCGTGCGAATGACCCAGATCTTCCACTCGCCGGCTTCTAGGACCAGAGATAGCATTGCAGTGCAAGTCCTTGCAGGTTTGGCTATCACCTCAAAAGTGTATCGGGCTTCAACCCAGGCTGATTCATCCCCCATTCGCATAGTCTTCGCCGAGCCTTGTTTGTATTCGAAAGCACCACATTCCAACAGTCTTGTCAACGAGGTCCATTTTTCCGAGACTGTGTCCGCCAAATAGAACGTTCGGGTGGAACCTGTCAAGGCGAAGACATCTCTCCAGATGGCATTTGTGGTCAGGTTGGACGAATTCAGATCTTGCAAGATCCGCTCAAACCCCTTTGCAACGCCCGACACATCGATGTCCTCTGGCACGGGCGTGTTCGGCAAGGAACAGGGGAGTTTCTCGAGGACGGACATGGCTGGCTGGTTCTCTTCCACCTCGATGGGGTCTCTTCGTCTTGGCGATGGACCAGCCTCCGGCCGGGGTCATGTCAACTATATCGCAGTTCTGCCTCCACTCCTCTACAACGTAAGCCCACTTAAATCCGCCGTTGTGGTGTTAGCTCGTCGTGTTCCCCACGGGGTTGCCTGGGGAAATGGCATTAACATCATTCATCCCCGCACCGGGACTTGGGACACATCCCCCCAGTCCTAATTCTCGGGATCGTCGCGACTTTCTTGGGCCTTGAACTTCTCATGAGGGAATGATTCTCTTTTGGTATCTCGACGCGGCCTACGAAGAAAGTCATCTGCAACTCATCTCACTCAATGGTGGCCAATCAACATCGTATTTCGGCGCATTGTGAGAGATCAATATAAGAAGGGGCTTCTGTGCATATTCTTCTAATGACTTCACTTGGAGTGCCGACATTCGAGTCTATTCTCATCGTGATCATACATGAGTGCCCAGATGGCGTCCAGCAAATGCCGAGTCCGGTGACCGGAATTCGCGCAGGAACAAGTCGCCGTCCCCAAAGTGGGTAGGACGGCCCACGCAGACTCATCTGCCGGAAGGTGGTGCACAGGCGTTGGAGCGGGGTCGCACACCCGACAATTCCAGCGTCAGCCTACCTTGCATGCGCCGATATTTCCAGAACCAGCCGTCGCCGCCGTAAACGCGAGGAGGGAGGGGGGAGGAGAGGTTAGCCTTTTTCGGTCGACGTAATGATCTGGTGATCTAGTATATTGTTCGATAATATTTCTTGTTCTTCTAGTAACAAAAGAACAAAACACAAAGGGACAAGGACAAACGGAGCAGCCATGCCCGAGTTCCCCAAGCTTCCCCCGTCAGGGATCAGGGTGCTCGTCGTCGGGGCCGGGTTTGCGGGCCTCGCGGCGGCGATCGAGTGCGACCGCAAGGGCCACTCGGTGACGCTGCTGGAGAAGGTGGACGCGATCGAGGAGATCACGCGGACGGGCGACATCATCAGCTTCGACCCCAACGGCACCAAGGCGTTTGAGCGGTGGCCGGGCGTGGTCGAGGCCATGGAGAAAGTGGCGCGCCAGACGACCTGGCTGGACCTGCACCACTGGGAGGGCAAGTTCGTGACGCGCCAGTCGTTCGCCGACGAGAGGGTCTGGGGCCGCCGGATCAATGGCCACCGCGGGGAGCTGCACTCCATCATCTACAACCACGCTAAGGCCCGCGGCATCGACATCCGCCTGGGCCAGCGCGTGACTGACTACTTTGAGTCTGACGACGGGGCCGGCGTTGTGGCGAATGGGCAGAATATCGACGCCGACGTCGTCGTCGCCGCTGAGGGCGTGCGGTCGCGCGGGAGGAGGATCGTGCTGGGCTTTGACGACAACCCCAAGTCGTCTGGCTATGCCGTGTACCGGTCCTGGTACCCGGGCGAAGTCGTGGCCAAGAACCCCGCAATCAAGCACCTCGTGGAAAACGGCGACACGCACGTGGGCTACATCGGGCCGGACATCCACTTCCTGACGTCGTCGCTCAAGAACGGCACCGAGTTCAATTGGGTCTTCACGCACAGGGACGACGGCAACGTCGACGAGAGCTGGCAGTTCCCGGGCAAGGCGGAAGAGGCCATCAAGTATCTCGAGGGCTGGTCGCCCGTGGTCCGGGAGATCGTCATGGCCACGCCGCCGACGGGCCGCCTCATCGACCACAAGCTGGTGTACCGGGACCCGCTGCCGACCTTCATCTCCCCTAAGGCCCGCATCGCCCTGATCGGCGACGCCGCCCATCCATTCCTCCCGACATCCATACAGGGCGCCAGCCAGTCGATCGAGGACGGCTCGGCCCTCGCCGTCTGCCTGGAGCTGAGCGGTAGGGCCAAGGCGCCCCTCGCCGTGCGGGCGTACGAGAAGATCCGCTACGACAGGGTGCACCGGGCGCAGGCCATGGGGCCCAAGACGAGGGAGAGGTGGCACAAGGCCAGGTGGGACCACATCTGGAAGAACCCCGAGTCGCTGCACCTGATCAGGGAACCCTGGCTGCTCAACTTTGACCAGGAGGCCGACACGTATGCGAGATACAACGACGTCGTTGCGGGCCTGGCTGACCCTAAGGCACGCCTGTGAGACAACCCAGATGGGGGGTGGAGGGGGGGTTGAAATAGACAGTGACAGCGATTGTCTGCATAGAGGCTCTTGTTGTAAGCAAAACTGTAAAACTCAAAATGCAATACTTCCTTGTCTGGGTGACCATGGCTGTGTCAGATGACAGATATCAACATCCGATCATACGATCGGAAACTTCACACAGCCATGAAGTAGTACCGCGTAGCGACATCGTACTCAAGCAGCACCTCGGCCTCCATCGCCTCCACATCCACCACAACCTGCCGCCACAAAGCCAGCTCATACGACTCGGGCGCGACACTCGGCAGCACCATGGCGCACAGGTATCTCCCCTCCCCCGCCTCCCCCGCCTCCCTCACCACCTCCTTCCCCAGCACATCCCGCACCCTCGCCCCAACAGCCGACACCGGACACAGCACGACGACCATATTCTGCTTCCCCGGCAGCCTCATCGGGAATTTTGCCGGCGGCTCCCACCGCACCACCATTCCTGGCCGGATGCGCTTCCGGAACGGCACCACCTCCTCCTTGTCGTCTCCCTCCGCCTCCGCCTGGAACGGGTCGCGGCTCGACGACTGCCCGTCCGCCGGCACGCGGTCGTTGCGCACCGCGGCGGCGGCGGGCTGACGATGGTGCCAGTGGCGCTGCTGCGAGTCGACGTGCAGCTGCCAGAGCTTGGACCGGAAGGCGGCGGCGCGCTCGGGGTCGGGCGCCGAGGCGAGGCAGCGCGTCAGGAACTCGGCCGCCGGGAGGCGCAGGAGCTGGATGCCGGACTCGGTCGGGGCGAGGGTGGCGGATGGGATGGGGGGGTTGCCGGACTGGATTTTGGGGGGGTGGGGGGTTAGCTGATGGACTTGTATACTGTATGCACTATGGGGGCCCGGTTGGTTCACGGGGGCGGGGGAGAGAAAAGGGGAGAGAAAAGGGGAGAGAAAAGGGGAGAGAAAAGGGGAGGAAAAGGGAACTTGCGTTCTTGTCGATCCACCTCCGGGCCTGCTCGTTCGACCACGTCACCGGCACGGCGGGGTGGTACTCGAGCTGCGCGGCCCGCGGCGTGGCGACGCGCAGCAGCTTGGCGTAGCGCAGAGTGTTCTTGGTGGCGGCGACGTCGGCGAGGCACGGGTTCACGCAGGCGAGCACGACGGTCCTGCAGCTCCGCAGGCCCGCCGGGTCGAAGACGGGCTTGAGCACCTTGGTCAGCGCGCTCTGGCGGAAGGGCACGTGCGGCCTCTTCCCCCCGGCCGCCGCCGTGGTCCCCGAGAAGAGGAGCGGGTCCGCGGCCGCGCGGCCGCGGATGCAGTCCTTGAGCACCGACAGGCTGGTGTTGATCTCGCGCGTCTCGCGCATGCGGTCGGCGCCGTGGGCGCTGACGTCGCGGGCCGCCTCGGAGCCGGCGAGGTCGATGACGTACAGGAAGCCGTCCTCGGCCGACGGGATCGTCGGGTTCTCGATGCGGATGCGGCAGATGGCGTGGCTCCGCGAGGAGGTGTCGTTCTTCTGCGTCGGCGCCGTCCGCCGGAACGTGGCCGCCTCCTCGATGACGGCGAGGAGCGCCGCCTTGCTGGTGATGTGGTGCTCCAGTGCTCCGGCGAGCTGGGTGGTGCCAAATGAGTCCTCGAGGATTGAGATGGGCTTGCGGGAGTTGAGGAGGTCTCGAAGCGGAAGTTAGCTAGGGTGGGTGACTGCAGCTATGACTGACGATGGGAGGAGGTGGCAAGGGGGGGGGAGTGATGGAAACATTGACACCTTACCGTACGCGGAATTGCCTGCCAGCTCAATAATGGAAACGTTTACTTTCCGTTGCCCCTCAAGACCGCCGTCCATCAATGCCTCGGCAATGAGCTCTTCAAGGCCGCTCACGGTGAACGTCTTGCCCGACCCGGTCTGTCCGTAAGCGAACATGATGCCAATTCCTCCACTCCACACCCAGGGAACCAGAGGCTGGACAAGAGCCTCAAACACCTTCTCAGTGCTGTCCTCTGGCCCGAATGCCTGGTCAACATCGAAGGTTGCAGACTGTCAAGAGCACACACAGAGAGAGAGCGTCAATTCCAGTTTGAGAAATTAGGGTTATTGAGGAGTGGAATCATGTCGGCCCTTACGTTCAATGCTGGCTGCCCTTTCACCGTCTTCCGGAGCTCATGGACATCCACGACGCCATTTGCACCCTTGCGGGGGAACACTCCCGAGACGAGCCCGGCAGAGGACTCTTCGGCCAAGACTGGTCTAATTCGGGTGCTAACAACAATGTCTGGATTCGTAGTCGTATCTTGTTTTCCCTGGCCAGTCCCGGTCGTGGGCTTGAACGCGCTCACAAGAGACTGGTACTGAGAGACATTGTCGAGGAGAAACTGGTCCATGATGAATCATTGAGACCCAAAAGTAGAAGTAGCTATGTGGATAGCAATGGGGAGAAATATCGAAAGGCGAAGAGTCAAGACTTTATTCCACCTTGTGTCCCTCGTCAACCGGGGCTGGAAAGTGTTTGCCTAATTCCTAGGGATCAAACATTCAAAACAAGCGGCTAATTAACCAGGCAACTGTTTTGAGCACAAGCCAACCCAGGCTAGTCGCTAAACTAGCCTAATGAAATTGGGAATCTTAGCGCCCCTAGCACTTGTTCACCAATAAAATCAGGCAAGAATAAGGCTGCCTAAACGCCATTGTAGTGATTTGCTCCACCAAGGATTCCCACTCAGGAAAAGGGGCGGCTCCCCTGGCATCGTTCTGCTGAAGTGGAATCGAGATAAGATACTGTTCCCATGTCAGCAGTCTAGGTTGAGCTCCGTGCAGAGTACGGCGTTGAGTACGTGGCCATTTGGGGGGGGGGGGGGGGGGGGGGGGTGTTTGGCCTCAGGGGGTTAAATACAACCCCACCATTTTTTAATTTTCGTTAAAAGTTAAAATCAGACAAAAAATGTGGTCATT